CCCCGTCGGGATTGTGATCAGTAATCATATATATGCTATATCTATATATCTATATATTGATCAAGTAGCCTTGTAGCAATGCCATGATGTCGAAATACTTACACAGAGCCATTGGGGATCAGATACTCTCTTTCCCAAGCGAAACAGAGATATTTTATATCTCGGGTCAAGGGCTAACAATGCACCATTTACAACCCAGTTCGATCAGGCCATCTCAGGTCGAGACAACTAGTTAAGTGAGGTTGAGTGCAGTTCTGGAAGACGAGGCTGTGCCCCCTTTTTCTAGTTTGAGATAGGAGATCTTCCACAGGAGTTTCTGTTCTCAGTTGTGTCCGTCTTCTTTGACAATGCCGCCGAAGCGAAGAACCAGAATCATTCCCAATGATGCGTCGACGAGGCTTGAGGAAGCTACTCGCAGCGACCGAACGAGACCAGAACGACAGACGGCGCGGTCGGGCGGGTTCTTGTTCGTGGCCTCGACGGGACAGAAGAGACAGCCTTCCGACCAGCGACAGCTGAGAACGCTGCGGGCCCACGTCATGCAGAATTACTTGGACAGGACGCATTCCAAGCAACGGCAGCTACCGGCGGAAGAGGCTGACGAGGACGATGAGATCGACCACCCGCTCACGGGTCGTCAGCGTCCGGGTGGTCACGATCGATCGACGAGCATGACAGAAGGGCAGAAGATGAGGTTTCGACTCAAGCCAGACGGGTTGGAGCAGAGATATCCGTTGAACCAGCGCAAGGGATCGCAGAGAGCTACGAAGCAACAGCAACAGCAACCAGAACAGTTTGAGAGTACCTCATCCACATCCATGTCCACATCTAGTAGAGCTCCCCAACACGGGCAGAAGAAGATGGACGATGTCACGCAGCAAGAATTCATCCCAGGTCTTCCGCTGACCTGGCTTGGATCGCAACGGATCGATCCGTTCGGCGTGCTTCCCGTGCGTTTCGGCACGAAAGAAGAAGCCAGCATCATCAACTTCCGCCGGATGGAAAGATACCCGTGGTGCCCGATCAACGGGCAGAGCTCGTGGTCGGGATTCGCCATGTCGGATCAACTCGTGTTCCACGCCACGCTGTTCAGCTGGGGCATGCACTTCCGCGCGCGGGCGGGGGCGGTGTCCCCGCCAGACCCGGAGGAAGAAATGCAAGTGATGCAGCATAAACTGGCGGCGGTGAAGTTGATCAACGATCGCCTGTCCGACCTGGAGCAGGCGGCTAGCGACGAAACCATCGCGGCTGTGGCGGCGTTGGCCAACATTGCGCTTGTGGTGGACTCGTTCTCCGAGGCCCGCAAGCACATGCAAGGCCTGGACGCCATTGTGCGCATGAGAGGCGGCCTGTCCAGCTTGGGCGAGTCGGGTGTCCAACAGCATCTGCAGCGGCTGATCAGCTGGAACGACCTGATCTACTCGGAGGTGTTTGATGAGACGCTCCGGTTCCCGCCGATCAAGGTCTGGGACGAGGCCTGGGGCAGCTTCCAACATCCAAGGCTGCTGGGCTCGCTGCCGGGTCTGAGCCCCCAAGAGCTGCGGAAGGCGCGTGTTGCTCATCACCCTGACGTGGTGGATCTGCTGGAGAACATTCGCGAGCTGTGCTGGGCTGAACAGGTCACGCCGCTCAGTCGGACGGATGAGCCCAGCCGCATGCGCCGCGGTGATATGTTCCTTCGCATCGAGAGACGGCTACGCCTCATTGCACAAGAAGACGAATACACTCGGGCGCATCAGCAGGACGACGGGCACTGGGACGCGAGGGTCTGGAGAGCAGTGGCTTTGGCTGCCTTGGTCTACACGCATCACAATCTGAGAGGGAATCCGTCGAAGTATCGCCATTTCGGTGTCTTGACGATACGGCTCCATGATGTCTTGCTCGCCATGGACGAGGGCCTGTCCGAGTTTGAGTTCGCTCCTGCCATGTTGATCTGGATGCTTCATACCGGCGTGACTTTGAGTCGGCGGGCGTCTGTCCATGGATCGTTTGTCTCCATGTTGGAAAGGGCTTGTAGGAGGTTTGGATTGCTGGACCGAGAGCGGTTTCGTTGGACGCTGGCTGGCTTTCTTTGGACGGGCGAGGCTGATGAGAGACGATGTCTGGCTTCATGGCAGGAAGTCGAACAGGTTCAGACTAGTATGCAGGTAAGATAGCCACAAATACCATGGTTTCGCATGTTAGAAAGCGTTCACTTTCGTGGGCCCCCAATTTCTGAAGATTCCACTCACTCGTTTGACCCCTGGCGAAGCGCCTCGCCCACCTTATTTCGGTCAGCCTTGTCTTCCTTCCGTCCTTCGAAACATGGAAGCCAAGTGGGCCGTGGCTGGCTGATCTCGCGCGGCCAAGGCGGGTTGGATCCCAGTGCTCCAGCCCCTGACGACGCGCCTCTGCCAGTGGGAGAATACGAGGAACGAATGCGTAAACGAATGCGCGGAATGCGACAAGGTGGATCGCATAGGGGACTTGTTAGACATGCCGTGTTGGTTGGCGATGGGATGGGACTTTGGACTGTTATCGAGGACGGGAGAATACCATGCATGCGGTTCTGTGCAGTGAGGTGACTCTACCAGAGTGTCTCCTCTTCTACTCTGTAAACTTGCTTCACCTTCGCAGCTCGAGACCGGTCAGGCTACTCCCTCGCCCACTGCCACCGCGAGAACAAGCATTGAGTTCAATGGCACTGCCATTCGGCTGAACGATTTGTCTCCTCGGGGATGTCGCAGCTCGTCTTGTCACCTTCAAGTTTCACCGCCCATGATTCGTCTCCTTCACCACAGTCAAGCTTGACCGTCGAGAAGCTCCTCGACCTCGACTCTTTTCGGATTACGCAGACCCTCTTGGCAGGCAGATCTCAAACATCGTGTACTGCCTGTATCTACCTACTTCCTACCGGAGTACTATCCTCTTACGAGTCGGATGAGCGGGCGGCCAGACTATTCCCTGCCGAGCCTCCTGGACTGTGGCGGTGCAAGCCCGTGCTCCGTATCTGTTCCTGTTCTGGTATCCAGGAGATAGGGATCTTCTCGGTGTGGAGTGGTGCCCCCGGTTTCCGCCATGGGGGCATCGCCCTGTGAAGGACCAACAACACCGCTAACCCACCACCTTGGGTGAATGTTGGAGCAGAGGGTCACCGCGGAGGGGTGGACCGTTGCAGCCTGGCACAAGCAATGCTGACTGCCTGACTGCCAGTGGACTGATCATGGTCCCCGCTCTCCAGCGAAGAGAGCCTGAAACACCACCAAGCCCGAGCCTGGCATCTCCAAGGCCCCTTGGCGAACATTTCATGCCACAATGGTATCGTGGTGCGGCCAGAGTCTGCTGGCCTGGCGAGAGAACTTGGTCAACTACCTACGTTCATGTTGGTGGTTGCAAAAATGCCCATCTTCGGACTCTCTTCTCTGTCCTTGGGGAGAATGTCTTCTTTCGCCGCTTGAACCATTCGCTCCCAGCGCTCAGTAACGTTGGACCACGCTCGAAAAGATGGCCACCAAGCGTCCGCACACAAAATCACGAAAGGGCTGCGTGCGGTGCAAACAGAGGCACATCAAATGTGATGAGAAAGGGCCCCCTTGTTCCAATTGCGAGATTCGACATCTGGACTGCTCATACACGAGGACGCTGTCTCCAAGCTCGGCCTCGGACAAGGCCAAGGCATGCCCAGTGAGCCATGGTGTGCATCAGTCCTCGCCCAGCAGCATTGGACCACTCGACGATGCCAACCTCAACGCCTCTGGAGTCGTGCGCCCAAGCACTCCTTCGGGCTCGTCGAGGATGCAAGAACTCGAACTCATGCAATACTGGTGCACGGAAACATGCCACAGCTTCACCGCGAAGCACACGGACATGTTCCGCACCAGTGTCGTCCACGAGGCCCTGAGTCAGGAATATCTGATGGATGCCATCCTGGCTTTCACCGCGGTCCACAAGGCCTGTAGAACGACTGACGCTGTCGCCGCCGCGTCCTACGTCCGGGCAGGGCTGCAATACCACAACAGAGCCCTCTCGACGTTGCAGTCTCGGCTGCAGACTCTCGTGCTGTCCGAGTGCGGCGCCGTCTTCACCTGCTCGATCATCGCCATGGCGTCGGCGATTGTCCTGCCCTTACTGCCTCATGGAGGATGTGACCAGCCCGGTTCCAGCATCGAAAGCGTCTGCCACCTCTACGAATTCATGCGAGGCATCACCTCGGTGGTGGAACTCGGTCGCCAATGGCTGGAAAACGGACCCTTCCGGACCGTGTTTGGCGACCATTTCGATGGCGACGGCTCCTGCATGAGCCAGGAAGACACGGCTGCTTTCCTGCGGCGGTTGAGGGCATGCAACGACCAGATCCACGGCGCCGAGTCCCCGTCGCCTTCGGGCCGTCATCGAGTCTACGCGCGAGCGATCGATCGGTTCGAGAAGGTCTTCAGCGCGCACAAGTTCCGCACCGTCCAGTGGTTGGTGGACGCCGGGGACGAGGTCATCCAAGGTCTGCGGCAGCAGGAGCCCGTTGCCTTGATGATCTTCATCCATTGGGGCATGCTCCTGGACAAGCTGGAGGAATTGTGGTGGGCAAAGTACCTGGGCCAACGGCTCATGAAGGAACTTCTGGCCGCGTTCTCTCGATACGGCTTGATCTGGAACGAGGCTGTCAAACTAACCGACATCCAGATCGGCCTCGCGAGGGGGGTGTCCAACGGCCAAACCGGTGCGGAGCCGCGCCCGGTCTGATCTGCTGGCCCGTTCTCCCGTGATCCGTGTTTGGCAGTGTTTATGATAGTCTAGATTTGTCGGCGGGGATCTTCACGTTTCAGCAATGGTGTTAAGTAGATGGAGAAAAGGCCGGATATGTGTATATGTATGGGAGAATGAGATTTCCGCCATCCTCTGCCTCCTCCATCTGGTCCTTACACTCCTACTCGGAGGCGTCGATTCAGACACGGCGATCCCTCTTCTGAGCAACCGTCAAGAGTCGTTGGATTCATCTGAACCATTCTTGTCTCGCCTGCCAGACTGTAGGTTAAGGGCATTCCAAGAAGGGCCAACAGCGCCCATGGATCTATTCCACTGTCGCGACTCGCCCCGCCCTGTCCGACCCCTTCTCCGGGGTGGAACTAGGCCCGTCTGTTCCACCGCGTCCTCGACCGGCCAGCCCGACCGCAACAGGCGCTATAAATCTCGCACGGTATCTTCTACCTACTACCTATATACTGCTTACCTCTGCCAAGACCCCATGAGCCCCCTTCGCACTCGTTTACGCATTTCTCTTCCGCGCATAACGGGTTCAACACGGCCACCACCCTATTCGCTCGTGCCCATAGGTCTCTTGCAGTCATGGTCCCTCTGGTGTTTGGCAGTCTGGTTTCACAGGCACCGGGAGATTGGTTCATCCCTTTTGGGTCCTCTCCAAGAAAGAAGCTTTTTCCATGCGCCTCCTTCGTGTGAGCTTCTATCCGTACGCGATCGCGCGAGCCAGGAGGGGAGGAAGAACATACGAATCGCGCCCCATGCATCTTCTCGTCGTCAACATTACAGATGGATCAGGCCCGTCGTGACATGTCATGGACCACGGCCCTTCGCATATTCCGTGGATTACAGGTTTGAGCACAAGATATAAAGGATGCCCCAACACCTCCCCTTTCCAGATTCCTTCTCTCCCATCAAACCGCCTCGCCGATATTCAGCAGTGCTTCTGAAACCTTTCCGTCACCCCACACGTTCTTCAAGCGCAGCGCGTCTCGCTCCATCAACAAACAACCCGGTCCATCCCTAGGACCACAGCTCGCAATGGCCGGCCAGGAATCCCACTACGACTATGTGCCATCTCTTGCGGCGGCGGTCATCTTTGTGGTGGTGTTCGCCCTCCTTTCCCTCTATCACCTATATCTTCTGGTCGAGAAGCGAGTCTGGTTCTGCGTTCCCCTGCTGGTCGGAGGTGTCTGTGAGTTTTCTGCCTTGGATCCCTTCTCCAACTCTTAGAGTCGCGGTCGGTTTCACTGACACCACACAGTCGAGGTGGTAGGCTTCACCGGCCGAGCGGTCGGCCACTCCGACGGCACCTCTCTGCCGCCGTACATCCTGCAGGCGCTCCTGATCCTCCTGGCGCCGATCCTGTTCGCCGCTTCGACGTACATGTTGCTGGGACGGATCATGCGGCAGACCGGGGCCGAGAGCTACTCCGTCATCCGGGTCAACTGGCTCACCAAGGTCTTTGTCGTCGGCGACATCTTCTGCTTCCTGGCCCAAGCCCTGGGCGGCGGCATGCTGGCTGGCGCCGACACGGCCGAGGACAGCTCCCGCGGCGAGAAAGTCATCCTGTTCGGCTTGGTGCTGCAGATCGTCATCTTTGGGGGTTTCCTCGTCGTCGCGTTGCTGTTTCACCAGCGTCTTCGCCGGAAGCCGACAGACTTGGCCGTGAGTGGAGGGGTTCCATGGCAGCGGCTGATGGTCACCATGTACGGCGTCAGCGGGTTCATCACGCTGAGAAATCTGTTCCGCGTCATCGAATACGCTTTGGGAGGTGAGTGACTAGCCCCAAAACGTGTCCGGCGACTCGACCTGCACATGCGTATTACTTTGCGAAGTCCAAAAAGAAACTGACTGAGTTGCTCTCGGTACAGACGACGGATACCTCCTCACCAACGAGTGGCCGATCTACATCCTCGACGCTCTCCCCATGGCAGCCGTCCTCGGTATCACGGTCTTCTGGTACCAGTGTGACATTGGCAAAGCCAACAGTGGCATTAGTCTGCAACGTGTGAGCGTCTGAAGGGGCGACGCCTGTCGAGAATTCAGGTGGACAGTTTTCCGTTTGTCTTTGAGAGCGTTGCCGAACGGGCACCGCAGGGACGAGAGTGTTTGGATGGTGATGGGCACCGTAATGACGGGCGATCAGGATGCCAATGGCCGGATTGGGCGACTCACTAGTTGTTGTTACAATACCCAAGTCGTATTTGATTTCATCAGATATATTATGCTATCAAATACATAATAGGGATTACATACAGATGTAAACCGAGTATATAAGAAAGAGGAATAGAATAGAGGTAATTGCTCCCCCGTATCGGGCATTAGACTAAAATGGTATCCCCGAAGCTTTCTAATATCTTTGATTGGCTCCTTGGGTATAGTGCTACTATACTAGTCTGCGATGCTCCGATAAGACAAGTCCCTCACCGTCACCACTTCACTCCATCTCTTAGTAATTCAAGTTGTACGTAGTGGTAGACCACGACCTACTCACATCTGGGACTCATTCATGTACAGGTAGACCCTCGAGCAAGAGCTGCTTCATGATAGCCGCCGTGTTGTCATCCGTGGAGCTCGCTGTGTCTGTCAAGCCCGCATCTCCCTCGTATCACACCGACCACCCCCGATACCTCCACAGTCACCACCAGGCAAGTCCGTCCCGACATGGCCCAGCTTCTAGATCAGCCTGCGGAAGTCCTCCACAACATATTCCGACATGTTGAGCCGACAGATCTCGCCTCACTATGCAAGACCTGCCAGTACTTCCACAAACTGATCCAGGCCGACGAGTTGCTGTGGAAGTACAACTACCTATGTCGATTTGTAAGTCGGTCCGGGGAATATTGACGTTGATGACGATCCGGAACCCGTTCTCATCTACTACTCTAGGATCGTCCGGCCCCAGAAGATACCCGGACCTGGCGCGAACGGGTGGTCCGTTTGGTGAATATACAAAAGATACTCGAGTCCGATGACGATGATATCAAAGTACTTAGGACCTCCCCAAGTCCCTTCCCCTTCCCCTGCCAGACCTCACAATCATATCTCTCTCTACTCCTACTAACATTACTGTCACCACTGCCTGGGATACTGACCAACCTGTCTTACGCCTCAGACCGAAGCCCTCGAAGAAGTGCTGACCAACTGTATCCAACTCGCTCTCCAATCCGACGCTCGGAGCAGTAAGACCTCGGACTTCCTAGCCGACCATTTCCAGAACCCCATCAACGTGAGCACGTACCTGTGCAAATCCAGCCTGTTCGCCCTGGCCCGCCCTGAAGCATGGCCCGCGGCACCCAGCCCAGCTCTTCGACAACTGTCCGCACAGCTGCACGTGTTGGGCGGCATGAACCTAGAACCGCCGTGGCCGCTGCCGGACGAATTCCCCTGTCCGCACCTGATGGACGAGGATGGGAGAGTGCGTCCGCACCCGGTGCGACATGTGCATCCCTACGCGCGGTCCCGCGTCTACGATCTGCGCCGGTACACCCAGGCCAACATGTGGGGACCGTTCATGGACGACGGCAGCCAGCGCGTCGATTGGGAGAAAGTCCAAGCCATCATGGTCGTCCTGGCCTACAATCACCGCATGTACACGGAACGTCGGGGCCTGGGGATGCCCATCCCCGGTACGATCCTGGGCGGCTCTTCCTTCTCGTCGTCTTCCGCAGCAACAGCAACAGCAACGGCAGGACCAACGACAAGATCCCGCAGCCGTGGAGCAGGGTTGGTTCTGCAACCGTGGGAGGAACCATTCTCGGGACTCGCGACCGACAGTTTCCGCTCCGTCCCTCTGTCCGGCTCCCCGGTGCCCGCGCTGCGCCCGGATCTCGACGCTCTCGACCCGTACCATGTCACGGGCACGTGGATGCGCATCGTCTGTTTCCTGGACTACAACGACCTGTACGCGTTCAATTTCGAGAGCGGCGACGTGGCCCCCGATGAGGAACGCGATCCGATCACGACCCGCGAGGCCTTCCGACTTATCAGGCTGCAGTTGCGTGTCAATGCCATTGAGGACCCCGGCGAGGACGACGGCCAGGATCTGCCCGTCGTGCATTTCGAGGGCTTTAGTCGCTCGACATTCATGGCTTGGGATCCGAATGCGAACTCGAGGATCAGAGGTGAGTTCCTTTAGTCCACATTCATTAGATTAGCCCTCTTCTCCCTTCTTCCTTATTTCTGCTCCATTCACTCCGTTTGTCGAGTCATCTTTGACCCAAGACACTCAACCCTTTTCTCTGAACCAGGAACCGTCCGTCAAACCCCCTCCGGCGCCATCCGCTGGACCTCGTTCAGCATCTTCCACGGCGAAGAACGCTGGCGCAGCGAAGGCGTGCAGATCGGCGGCCTCCGCTCCACTCGAGGCATCCTCGGTAATTGGTTCGACAAGGACTACGACGACCACGGCCCCGCGGGACCCACGGCCTTCTGGAAAATCAGCGACGACATCGTCGAGGAGAAGCGTCTGCCAACTCCGCTCATCCAGATTTATATGAATGAGGCGTAGCGCTAAGGCTGCCGTTGCCATTGCCGTTCCGGCTGAACTCTCGTCTCTGCTCTCCGTGCAAAATATGCAGGACGTGGTCAGATATATGAGGGACTGATGATCCGAGGTCAACATGAACATGAACATGAACCAATGAACCAATGAATGAAACGAGTGATTAATGGGATGGATGGATTGGACACGAATGAGGCCGATATCCTTTCTTGCTGCTGGTTTTGAGGGCGGAGCAGTCCGTCGGTATATTCGGAAACTGGAATCAGGGACTTGTATGGGGGCAAAGATACGGCGCTGGACCTACCCGTGGTTTGATTGTCATCAATTCAATGCTTCTTTGAGGGCCATTTGCTCAGATATGGTCATAGATCTTCTGTCAGTCCCTCTTCAAACAACTATAATCCCGTCGTTCTGTATTGTATCCCGCTGCTTCGAAGGGGTCTTCTCGATCATGCATTTGGAGCTCAATCAACTCTGGCATCATATCAACTTAACGGCGCAAGAGTTCGCAATCCCTAAAACAAAGCGTGAGAAAGACGGGTAGGGTATATGTGAAGCTTGTGTTTCAATTCATCCATCCCATGGCCCCTCGGCCATTTCTGATCGTTATCTTGTTACAGAAACCTGTATACTCATTCATGCTTGGGAAAGAAAGCCCAGAACTCCTCATGACGGACATGATTCCCCTTCATATAGGGCGGGATTTCGGATGAAAACCAATAGCAACGCCTCCCAATCAACGATAGATCCAGTTGAGGCCAATACCAGTTGGTAGCGTTCAGTCAATTTCAATTCTGTTTGCTGAAGGCCTCAACGGCGGTAATTTGCCATTGACCCCCATCCCCATCTCAGTGGCATACGGGGCATAAGCGCTGCCGATGGGCTTCTCGTCATCATCAATGCTGGCTGGTTTGTTGACGTACGGTTTCAGACCGCGTTTGTAGTTATGCGCGCAAAGGCAAGCACCAATGATGGTCAGAATGATAAGAATGATGGTCAAGACAGCGAATGTGGTGAGTTCTTTCCTTGCGGGGAGATAGGCGCCTCGATACGATGGCGAGTACATACGGACCATCTTGAAAATGAAGTAGGCAAGTCCGCCAAAGTAGAGGATCTGGAGAAGTCAAGTTAGCCCAGAATTTCCGGTGAGTGGACGGCGTCAAACTCACAATAACTGCAATGGTTCCCCATAGATTTTCCTTGCGGACAAACCAAGCCGCGGCGAGCAGAATGAGGATGGTCACAGGAATAGCTGCAATGGTCAAGGCGAATTCGATCTGTCGCTGTGTGACGATGACCACGAATTGAACTGTGAACCCCAAGAAGAAGAAAAAGTCGAACTTCAACAAGGCAATGTAGACCTGGTATTGAAGATAGCGCCGCTTCATCCTCAAATCGGCCGAGATGCGCTTGTAAATCGTCCAGGCAAACTCGTCGTACAACTTCCAAGCGCAAGCTGACATGCAGGCCGTTCCGAGCGCCAGAATGCACGGAATAGCAATCAAGAAGGGCTTGGTGTCTCGCCAGATTTCCCGACGGATAAAATCATCCTCTGCCAACTGGAAAACCGCATCCTTGATCTGTTCCATTTGCACGGAGCCATAAATGAGCAGGCCGACATTGTACATGATCAGACCAATGACTTGAATGGTATTTCGCATTCGAAGGGCATCCCAAACCAAAAGGAGTTGGTAGATAAATCCGAAGATGTACAGGGTCAAAAAGGTCGGGATCGTGCGCGAAGCGGTCGTGTTTCCCGCGCCGACTCCTCTAAGGTGAATCTGAAAGTGGGCAAAGACATAGCTGGTCACAATATTAGGGCAGGAAGAGCAAAGCGCAGGCCCTTGCTTACCTTTCAAATGCGAGAATTATACCGGCCTGGATGAGGGCGACCATGGTGAAGCTCCAGGTCCATTTTGAATTCGGTGTATACATGATTGATCGTGATCTTCGTTTTTCAAAATCGTTCACGACATATCCCTCTCGTTGGTGAAAGCCGCCCGGTAGAGGTTGGTAGGTATCGGCTTGACCCCCAAGGAGGGAGGTCCGAGCCTCGTGGGAGCGAATTTTGACGACTGGAAGCGCGACTGACTGTTGAGGCTCTGGTGTGGACTAAGAATACCACAACTCGGAGGTTGTGGTGCGGCTCAGCGACGTATTCACGTCGACGTTGTGTATAGGTAACTCCCTGACACGGGCGGTATTTCGAAGGTATTTCGAAGGCGGTAGAAGACGCGAAGAAGGAAGGATCAACTGATGCGTTGAGCGTTTGTCAGTCTCCCTGAGGCTGGGGCTGGGGCTGAAACGCCAGGAGGGGGATGTCAGAAGAGGATTGGCGGTTGAGACGTTTGAAGTAACGTTCGTGCTTAAGCGAGGAGAAAAGTCGAGCGACTCGAGGTGTCCGTTGATGTGACGGTGGCCAGGGAGGGCGTGTGAGTGTGAATTGACTGTAGCGAGAGCAGTGAGGAACGAGTGTACTATGTGTGTATAGAAGACGGACGCGAAGGACGATCTGGAGTCGAACAGTTTTCTTCAGCTGTGCGAGGACGTAGAAGTGTTACAGTAGGTCAGGGTCGCGACGTGACTGTGGCAGACTGCGGCTTTTTGGGACGGAGAGGAGGAATGGGGCTGGAGCCGACCCGTAAATGGAACCCCGAGGCGCCGGCATCTTCCTTAGGCCAGGGGTTCGTTAGGTCTAGCTGGGGCGCACAGCCGCAGCCACAACGACCCAGGGGGGCTAGGGTTAAGTAGGTAGCCTCCCCAGCCTACGGTAAGCCGTCTTTGGGCGGAGGGCTCCCTCGTTTGAACGCCTCCAAAGACCCAAGCCAGTCAGCACGCGTTGAGGGGCTCCCGGCATGCGATCAACTGGATTATCAAACAGCACCGTTGCCTCGAAGTTGTTTGGGCATTTTAGGGTCAATTAGAGCGGGCAAAGGACATAATGTACGTATAGGAGTCATTCAACAGATACCATCAGAAATCGTCTGTGTCCCTGTTCTACAGGTCCACTGCACCAAAGTACACATGCTCGGAGGGGTTTATGTTCTATGTTCAGCCCCTGCGCCTCTATTTTTGGTGGTCGACCGCCTGCCAGTGAGATCGAGTCTGCTGGGAGGCTTGGCCACACTGCTAGTGGGGCGCCGTGGGGGAGAATAACCAGCGGCACCTCCATTTCAAAGTGCATGTACGATAATGTACACGGCAACGAAACGCCTTTTACCTACCAGTCACCAATCTCAACTGCTGTGTCGAGGGCAGCTTCATCTTCTCGATTGCTGGCTACTAGGACATGGCGAGTCATGTCATTCACCAAGACCTCTCTCAAACACCTTGCAGCCCGTGTTGTCATCTCCCCTCCACCCGTCACTCTCTTCGAGTCCACCGCAGTCCTGAAGCGACTTCAATCGTTCGGTCCTGTGACATCTTTTGCCAAAGCATCCCCTAAGGTCGGCAGCATCGCCCGTCCGAATGACACTGAGGAAGGAGAAGTACACGTCGTCTTCTCATCACCAGATACGGTCCAGAAAGCCTGCGATGCCAGTCCCTTCATCGTCAACGCAAACCTTGATGACCTCGATCCTCACGTTAGCGATCCCTACAATGTGCGGAACCTCCAGTCGCGAAAGAAGCCCAAGCCCACGGCCATGACATGCCGTGTTCAGCCCCACGAGCAGGATGGACTCTTACCGTCTGGACAAAACGTCCTCTCTGGCGGCTTCTCCCCGAGCAACAAGACCAGGTTGTATCAGAGCCTCCTTGATGTCAAGCCTCCACCCAATATCATCGATGGATTAGGTGTATTGGAGACAGACCGATCAGACGTCCTGTCGACTTCTCAATTCACAGAGACACCTCCCAACCTGACCACGATGTTTCGGTCTTCTTCTGGTCATCAGTCAAGCCAGGGCCATAATCGTTTGCCGAATTCTGCGATTGAATACAGAAAAACAAAAGCAGCAAGTTAGGGGACTGGCTTTGAGAGACCGTACGTCGAGACGTCAGACTGTTAGGTACAATGTCGTCCAAGGCGAAGACTGGCGTCCCATCATGCCGTGGCTGTTTCTCGACGAGAATGTTTTACAAAACCCGGTCATAGAGGCGCGGGATCCAGCTCTCAGCTGTACCATGCTTTGCTCTTGAGAGAAGTAATCCACTCTATTGCATGACACCATTCGCACACAAAGCTCTTGAACGAATGAAGGGCATCTGGCTCAGCTGAAAGAGGGTCAATTACAGCGAGAGAGAGCGGCGATGGTCCCCTTCGGACAGTGCCCAACCAAACGACAAGCACTTCGCGAGTGAACGCAGTCCGCAATTCGTCTTCGCCGGTTGCACGAAGCCTCCTAATCCGTACGGCGTCGGTACAACAACATCGTCTTTCCATATGAACAGCATCTAAACCCCGGCGGATCTCCGGAGAACAACACCAAAACATCCCACCGCATTTGAAGATCGACTGTCCATACTATTCCATCGCTGGCTGCACAGCCAGACAGCCAATATGTCTATCATATTTTTGCCCTGCAATGGACAGGTACCTCCTCGCGGTGCAGGGTGCAAGTAGCCTAATCTATCAATCATGCGAAACCAAAACCTGTCCTTATTCCACTCGGGCACCTGCCGGGGCCATCCGGAGGCACAAAGCGGAGATCGCTGCAGCAGAATACGGACGTCCAATGAACCAAACGCAACAGTCGCAGGCAAAGATGGCCGCAGCAAGTCAATGGCGCTCCTAGTACCATGGACATCAAGCTGACACAAAATCGGACATGGTACTGGCACTGGTGGATTCCCGCGAACCCATCCATCTACCTTGCTCATGCTTGGGTACATCGATTGTCACTTCAATGGCGGTCTCCGCAAATCCAAGCCCCGTTCAACCCGTCCGGGTTGCAAAGGGTCATGTCTCTTCGATAAACCCGAGGTGTCTGGGGGGGAACGCGCACCAGTTATAAAATCTTGATCTGCCTTTACCGCGATCAGCGGGAGCTTTTCTTTCCTACTCCCCAGCAGTCTCTGTACGAGAACAACCATAAAAGACAAAGCAGCCCTCCTTTCCCAACAAATCATCAATATTATGACAACGGGTGTTAAGCCTGTCCTGTCCTGAAATTTCAACAACCCCTCCTCCTCTCGCCTACACCGGTGACCTCCAGATATACAAATCATTTCGACTGGGCAACTAACTTGCCCATGACGTCCGCCTCGTGTCCATGGACACAGGGCTCGACCGTTCCGCCCGAAGGCGACGACTGGCGTTAGGAACAACATTACGCTTCGCGGGACGAAATGGGATGGGCCGGGACAGGACGGGACAGGATAGGACAGGGAAAGTGTAGTGCACATTTTCTCTGATCCTGCCTGTGTCCGGCGTGGCCGTTTTCAGCCTCACGCTCCGGTTCCTGGCTGCGGACAGCGAACATACACACTAATTGCAACAACCCGAGTCCCTGGAGGGGTTTCTCCCTTTTTCTTGTTCTTTTCCACGGAATACTACTACCATCTTGTCTGCCGCTCCCTGGATCCCCCGCGTCGGGTCTTCGGGAGTATCTATCCCTTCTCTCGGCCCGGAGAGGAGAGCTGGTCGGGAAGTGGGGAGGAATGGAGGGAAGTCTCCGAGAATCAGGAAGGGGTTGGTGCACTGCCGAGAAGAGACACTCGGGGCAGTGCACATTTTCTCTGATTCTCGGTGGCCCCTGCCTGGTCTTTTTTGTGTCAGAGTCGCCTTCATTTCTGCCGGAGGAGAAAATTTCCACGGGGAAACGATTTCGACTCGAGCATGCTAGGGCTAGAAGGAACGTGACGGTTTCGAGAAGACGCGAATGCAATGTCGCAATATCGGCCCTAGATAAGCGACCGAGACGCGTTATAAACAAAACCATATTCAATAAAGAAATCCAATTTTGAACCCCGAAGAACAATGTAGAGTTAGAACCATGGTCGGCTCTTTTCATCCAGGCGTCCGACAAGAATGGCATGTCTCGGAAACAGAATACTCTCTCACTCTCTCACTCTCTCACTCTCTCACTCTCTCACTCGTAACTAAATAGGTAATTTGGCTTATGAAACAAGGGTATCATCTTTGCATGTACATCTTCGCCCCTCATAACAACATCATCATCAAGCCCAATACATCCCATACCATCACGTAACCAAACCAATCCGAAAACGTTCAGTTCATATCTCAGTCACCTGGAACTCCATCCCATCGTAATAGAGCTAGGATGACATGAACACAACATCGTGACTGTAAAGACCGTAAGACATCCACCGAATTCACCCGTCATCATCACATCAACCCCACAGATATCTCGGGTCAATCTAAACAAATCAGTCGTGACATGACCTCTTGCCCCTGAACCACTCGTATATCATCATTCATATATCCTGAGCGCACCACCGTCATCTTCTCAAGACGGTTCCCGTTCCCCGAAACCCATACAAGACAAGATTGAGGCCATCCGGCTCTGTCGGAATGATTGAATACCCGGCGTGTGACGGGCAGATCCAGTGGCGTTTCAACGAGTCTGTTGGATGATATGGTCTGTTCCCGAATAAGTGAAACTCGATCAGCATTCTTGGACGCCTGGGGAAAACGATTCGAAGAGGACATCGGGTCGTCAGATTGAGGCCAGTTGAAGGCTAGTCAAACCAACGCATCCACCCCAATCGGTTTGTATCGCCGAAACGATCAGAGCGCAAGGAGAGCGAAACCAGACAGCGGTATCGGTGGCCTTCTGATGACGCTGGCCCGATTGCTGGTTCGCCCCCAACCATATTCCTGTAGGCGCCAAAGCGATAAGTAAGCATCTCAGTGCAAGAGTTCACTTTTGACAAGGAAAGCTTCCTCTCCCAATCAAGCTCGCCGCCTCTTGAGCGTCGTCGGCATATATTTGTTGCGCGCTTTCGTTCTTCAAAGCGTCATGTTTCTTCGTCTGTCCGTGCTCGGACGCGACAAGTCAATTTCTGCTGTTCTCATTCCGGTTCTGTCTCTGATTCTTCATCTCCACTCAACTGCAACACCTGTCTCAGCCTCGACATACAGACTCGCTACTTGAACCTTCTCCTTCTTCTTCGCACACCAAGAATGGTAAGAGAGGAATGCGAGATACAGGAGGAGGTGGAAGAGAAGGAGCCCAAAGGCTTTCAGGCAAAAAGGCTAAGACTCACGCTTTGAGTTCTAGGTCCGCCCGGCGGGTCCCTTGCGCCATATGCGCCAAATCCAGATATGTGGTGGTAGTCCGGCGGTGCGGTGGCATTGATACCGGAATAATGCAGAGGTAGACTGGCCGCCGCGGGCGGGGTGTGGAGGTGGTCTGCAAGGCTCATATGTCTCGTGCCAGCCAGAGCTGGATTAGAGCTGGTCTCTTCGTACACGGGGCTTTCAACCCCTAGGTCGTGATGACCAAGTTGTCCTGCTTCATATAGTCCAAATTGTGATTCGATCTCTGCAACAATGGCTGCGGCGGATTCGTTCAGATGGGCAGGGGGCACGCCTCCCTCGGCGGAGATCTGGATTGGTGTTTTGAGAGTGAGATTACTGCTTGACACATTGGAGCCGGGCGTGCGGAAGGAGATGTTCAGATCGAGGGCATAGGTTCTTGACACGATACAAGAATGAAACGTCGGTACAAAAACTTTGGGTCGATTGCTGGCGGAAGCAGTGGGCAGAGCAACGGGGACAATCACACTTGCGGTGTAGAAGGGCGAGCCTTCTTGGTAGAAACCCGACGGTTCAGGGATCGAAGAGGTAGAAGAGGTCGAATAAGACGAGGGACGGCGGGAAAGTTCCGAGGATGAGAAACTCATCTCCCGCTCCGAGGGATCGTGGCGGAGCCATGACACAGCCGAGACACGGCGCGATGCAAGGGAGACCTGTTCGGGGTACACACCATGTAGGGTGGACCAGTTGTCGTGTTTCCCGGACGCGGGCATGTGGCCGTAGGCAGTGGCAGCGAAGAAGGTGTAGGCTTTCAACTTGGTCGTGATCGAGTCGAGCTGCGGTGGCTCATCCTCAGGGGTTTGCGGATCGAAGCGCAAGTTCACCGTGGCCATGGTGGAAATCGGACCGGTCTGTCGCTTTTGTGGATGCGGCAGACGCAGACTCCTGGGCTGGCTGGTCTCAGCTGTCAGACGCCCGGTTTTACCAAGCTTGAAGAGACCTTTTCTCATGCTCTTCTCTTTGCGCATGACGTGATCGGAGAAGGGTGTTTCTCTAATGCTCAAGGGCGGTGCTTCTGCTCGTGCCGGCACCAGTCTCACGCGCTCAGCCTTATCAGCCAGCTCGAGCGGTCGGCCGACAGCACTCCATTTGACAACTCGAGCTCGAACACAGTAGCTGATCTTGGCCATATCGGGCGCCAAATCATCCATGAGCGCGTGGCCTTCTCCTGCAACATGAGGGTCTCCCAAGCTGGGAGGCAGTTGTGTATGTTCTGTCCTGAGGGTTTCATTATCAACCTTGTGAGTACAAACCAAGGGCAGCAACCGGTCGGGAACCACGAAGGTGAAGGGAATGCTGTAAGCAGCGTTCGCGCGGAAGACGCCGTCGGCTGGCAGATCGTCTTCGTGGATGGGCTGCTGAACTTTCAGAAAGGTCTGCCTTCCCGTCGTGCGGCCGGTGGTAGGGGCGGCGGTGGATATCTTCTCCACATACGTGGACGTTCGGCCCTCGAATGTGATGATGAGGTCGTCGAAGGCGGTATCTTTGTCGAACTTGACATCGACATGGCCCTTGATCTCGTCGTAGGTGGAATATGAATGGACAAATTCCGTGCCGCCATCAAACACAATGTCCAGCTCACTCTTTCTCCGCAGACCCATGGCGCTTGCCAATGCAGATCCTCGCCGTCCTGTTCCATTGCCTTGGATCGGTAAGGAGCGAGAACGGGCGGAATAAGAAGGAACCGCGGATGTGAAGAAGGACGGCATCTCGCCCGATGTCTGTTGGCGGGATGGTTGCATGCTGGGAGAAGGAGGAAAGAAGGGAGGTCAATCAAACAATGCGGCGGGCGATGCAGCCGTCAGTCGATCAGGGTCCTTGTCTCTTTTGGGACAAGGGAGATACGGGGAGGGGTTGGAACTGGTTCAGAATGCTGTTCGGAGTGTCGTATAGCTGCTGGTGATTGGAGAACAGACACAAGCAAGAAGGACCTACTCGATACCAGATACCAGATACCAAGATAGTACTGATAAGAACTGGAGCGCAACATACCGACGAAAAAAGGCCCCATTGATGGTGTTTATATACACATACATCAACATGGGAGTCATGTCATGTCCACTCCTGGGATTTACAATCGCATCAACACGCGTCGTGAGTGTGGAATAGAAAAACGAGCAGTCCGTGTAAGTCCGTCGGCTCCAGGAACTTGTCGTGACCATGTCGAGGAAAAGGCGTGAAAGTAGTGAGTCACCCATCTCCATCTCCATCTTTTGCACTCCGAGTCTGTTCTGTCGTAGGTGCAGTGATGGAATAAGAGGACCACATCACTTACATTCTGCCTACTCCGGCAACCGTTGGAATGACAAGGGCGGATTCTGTGGGTTTGAATGTCGTCGCTTACGTTGGTTGAACCCGCACATCCACGTGCATGCATCGAAACTGGAGGAGATGCAGTGGAGGAGATGGAGTCTTGACTTCACGAGCAGGCACCAGCCAGGCATTTCTCCCGCTGGCAGGCGTATAACTGCGTCGCTGCCCACTCTATGTCGTTCATTAGAGCTCCACCTGCGCCCTTCGAGTGCATTGATATCTACACATACGATTGATGCCATGCACCTTTTTACTCCCCGATTACTCCCCATTTACCATGCGCGCCATTGCGAAATCCCCTTTGTCAGCGAACTCAGCGACAGGGTAACTTACTTGTACGCCACTCCATCGACTGAGAGACATGAATGCCCTCGCCAAGTTTGCCTTTGATACATAGGTACCTTACGCCAGTCATCGTCCCCCGTCCTGGCTCGTTCATGTCCGACATCTCCATTCCTCCGGCTCCTCCAATCCCTGCGGAAGAAAGATTACAACACACGGATGGACATACTAGTGGTGCATCCACCACCTCCAATATTTATCAATCAGGGCTAGGATGCCGCTTGGACACTCTCTGGATACCCAAAAGAAAAGAAAAAAACACTTCTTGATATGACTCCCATCCACATTAGGTTGCGTTATTAGTTCTTCATGGTGGGCGGTCGCTATGCTGTACAAATCTCGCCGCCCTTGAGCTGAACCGTCTATCATGATTTTGGCATATGGAAACACTCCAGGTCAAATGTCCAAGGGCCTTTTCAATCCACCTTGACCCCCCCATATATCCGCCGAATGAACATGTAGGCCGTCAGGAAGCCAATCGTCCCCGTCGCCAGTGAATATACTGCACAAGCAAGCGCGCTGTAGCTGAAAAACAACAGACTACTCACAAACCCTTCGATGTGCAGCCGAGTGGCATAATACCACACCGAATAGACAAAGATCCAAAATCCAGACGCTCCTCCCACGAAGAACGATTGCCACCACCAGTGGTAGTTCTCGGCGCACAGTTGTATATATGTAGTGATGATCACGGTCTCGGCAATGGTGATGGAGAGCAAGGCTGATATGATGCTCAGGAAGCCAAAGACATAGTAGTAAGATGACTTGTCAAGGTACAGGGACCGGAACAGGAAGATGAGTTCGATGAAGAGAACCGCAAACGAGACCAGACCGGCTCCAAGGGCCAGAGTGATTTGGTGTTTCGTATACCATGCCTGCGGAGGGACTTGTCGCGCGATCGCGTTCGTTCGAGTGGGATGTTCCCAAACTGCGGACCGGTAAAATCCGATATAAGAGCCGAAGTGGACGAGCGGAAGCTGGATAAGAAGCCAGAGGCAGGCCAGTCCCAGGAGCGTCGAGAATGGGAGGGCGGTGGAAGATGCTTGTGCCCAGGTGAACAGATTCAGAACGAAAACAAGGGTGAAGACCAGGCCGGGGAAGAGAAGGGCGGTCTAGACATAGAAAGTCAGCTCGACCACCATACAAAGACATGCAGCGAAACTTACCATCATCGTGTTCTTACGCCAGTTTTGGCCCCCAAAGGTCTTGTAAACCCGGGCTGAGAAGTACCCCGAGAATCCACCTGCCAACACGAAGAGCCCGACTGCGACGCTCCAGAATCCTCCGCGCCAACTGGGATTCAGGACACCGGCGCAGCTGAGGACCAGAAGCCCCACGATCATGAAGACAAGTTGCATCCCAGAACCGATCAGGGGAGCCAAAAGACCACCGTACGGGGGCGGTCGGAAGACATCACCGTGCAGCATCTTCCATCCCGTAATCTCTTCCAGCGGCTCTTCATCCGACATCAGGTCGTCCTCAGGGGCCGCCTCGGCAGGCTTTTCAAGAAGACCGGTGGTTGACTTCTTCTTCTCTGCCCGCCGGATGATCCGCAATCTAGCCTCTTCTAGCACACCGTCGCCTCGACCTTTGGCGTCACCTTGCATGGTCCGGCCCCAGATAACAATACAGACTGCGCCCAGGATCCCGGAGATGATCAACGAGTTGACAATGGCTAGCCAGTGAGTGGAGGAGCTTCCGGTCTGATCACTGAAGTAAAGATCCCAGCGGTTGGCCCAGTCGACATCTTTGGCTTCCCGGAAATAGACTGAATATGTATACGGGATGGTCATGGTGGCACCATCGTTCAAGTCTTCATTGGCCTCGATCGGCACGTAGGACGAGTCCGCGTACTGCTCGGTCAAGCCGCTGTTGTTGGCCGGAATGAACAGGGCAAGAGGTTCCTGGTCTCCTGACACGTCGAGCGGACAGCCGGTTTCATTGCGGTGTCCGGCACTGATGCTCTTCGGGTAGACTTCGAATCCCACAATGACCTTACCGCCGTTGTCGCCAGCTCTTCCCGGGGCCTTGCGCCAGCGAACGACCAGGGTGTGGTGGTTGTACAGATAGAACCGCTCTTTTCCCGTCGCGACGTCGAAATCCTTGTAGCCCATCTTAAAGCCGGCCGCGTAGTACTTCCGACTGCGATCAACGGTGACGAATGAAGTGGCTCCGGGGAGATTGTCGAGAATCCATTCGGTAAGGAACTCTCCTTCAATGAGTTGTTGCGCCCACTTCATCTCTTTCCGGCCAACGACTCGATCGCACAGATACTGACAGTCAATGTCTTGACCCATGTTCACCTCCAGATCCGACGTCTTGATCCGGTCGCCCCGTAAGACCTCCCCCAGATTGAGCGGGATGCTGTGGCCACTGGCGACGGATGAGCCATGGTGTTTACGGCCGGTGGGGGGACACACGAAAGGGAGTTCGAAGTAAGCGTATTGGAGCTGGCTGTTGTCTGAATACACCTTGTTCACGAGGAGGGGGATGTTCTCATCATCTCGATAGCTCCGTATCGAATATCCTGTCATACATCAGACCTCGATCAGTGGGATTCAACCATCCGGTTCGCGTCGGAAGCATACCTGGGATGTAGAAGGCATGTGAACAGCACGCGAACAACAGGACCACCCGGCTCAACCAGGAGACGGAGAGCCGGACGTCAGGCGACATTTTGACGATCGAGGTACGATAGCGAACGGAATCGGCACCCAAGGGCCGGGGGGAATTGAGACACAGCGCGCAAACAGGAGAAGCAGAAGAGAAGGAACAGACGCAGAGAGAGTAAGACAGAGGTGGAAGGGGTAAGAAAGTATCATCAGATAATCATCTGGAGAAGCGGAACGCAGGAAACGCCCGGAGGAAGCAGTCTCTCTCGTAGTGGCTCCGTCCGGTCCAGATGCAAAGGGATCCTACGACTCTGGAAAGGCTCCAGAAATAATTGATGGATGCAAAGGAACGAGCGTGATAAGTCAGTTTGTGCCACCTAAAGCTGCCATTTGATCCACCCATTGCAGGGGGATAGTACTACCTAACCCTGGGCCCTGAAGTGTCAGCCTCAACTCATCAACGTTGATCTTCCTTCAGCTTCTAGACGTGACTGTGAACGGGACTGCCTACCAGTGTCTCGTACCACAACTCCAGAAAAGGGCACCGACAGAAGATGACTCTCCCAGCTTGAGGATACACGACAGCTGCATTGATCAGACCACTTTGAGATATTACTAGGACAACCTGCAAAACAAAATAAAGATACTACCCACGTAGTACGCCCCTGGCCGTTCGCTATTACGAATTGCGGCAGCCAAGCCTTTCAGGGGAGGTTGAATGCAGCTTAGGTACCTAAGGGACCTAGTATATGTGCCTTAGGTGCCTACATTATATTGTAGTGGCGCCTATAGTGGTCGAGGTGAATCTCGGATCGGCGTAGGAGCAGGTAACAATAATGCGGGTTCAGGCGCTATAGGGGCGATGTCTCACCTATCCAGCTTGAAATAATGCCAATCTAATTTCAACGGTAGGCATCTGCCTAGGCGTCTACCTTGCCCCCAATCCTCGTCGTCGTCGTCTTCTTGTTGCTGCTTAGATGCTCGCCACAGGACACCATCTGTACGATTGTCCACCGCAAACCATGTTGCTGTCAGTCTGAAACACTGGAAAGCTGCAGACTTCGGGTTCCGTAACTTCAATCCTACTATTTATAAATCCAGTTGGGACTTTTCATGCTCCCAGCCACCATCGCCCCCGGTCGCTTTCGTGGTACTTCCACTCGTAGTGCAGTAGTAGATAGTCTGTACAAACTGAAAGACTCTGGCCAAGGTCTCCAGAAAGTCGAGATATAATCCTACAAGTCGGTCAGTCACTCTTGCAACATAACACATATGATATAGCCAAACACATATAAAAATAAAGATAAATCATTGCCAGAACTCCTGGCCAAACGATGTCAATGTGCTCGGCCCGACCCATTGTTGAGCCTGTCTGCTGCCAGCTGCCAGCGTCTCTTTCATTCATCCGATCTCTCTTCCGCAATTGCCGACCCGAACATCAATAATGAAGATATCTCCTCACCCTTATAATTATATCATAATTGACAAACTTAAACCAAGGGAATACCAGGTGAGGCCGCTGTATCAGACTCGACGAGTACCTAGCTGTACGTGAATCTCCAAGGCTCTTGGATACCCTTAGCTCTCTTCAGATCGGCTTCACACCTACCTAGTCGTACTCCAGACAAACATCTTCCCCCTTCCGAGACCGATTCCATTACAAGCAAAGCGGATAGCTGTATCCAACACTACACCAAACCAACAGGAAACCGACACCAACCGCAAACATGCCGTTCGCCAAAATCAACAACCACTCCCTCCACTACACCGACATCGCGCCCACCGGAGACCAGGAGCCGAAACTGACGCTGATCCTGGTCCACGGCCTGGGCTCGACTCAGAACTACTATTTCCCCATCTTCCCCTACCTGGCGAACTACCGGTGCATTGTGTTCGACAACTACGGCGCCGGCCGCTCCGTCTACGACGGCGGAGAGACGTCGATCCCCTCGATCGCCCAAGACGTGCTGGGTCTGCTGGACCATCTCGGCGTCCCGAAGGCCGTCGTGGTCGGGTATTCCATGGGCGCCATCGTGCCGACCTATCTGGCCTCGACGTCTCCCGACAGAGTGGTGGCAGGTGTCTGCATTGGACCGGTCAATCCGAATGAGAACGCCGCGAGTGTATTCGAGCAGCGCATTACGATTGTCAAAGAAGGTAAGTCTTAAAGATTCCCCCAGGAAAAGAAAGACGAGAAGAGAAAAGGAGAAGAAGAAAAAGGATCCGTTCATTCTCCATATGTGTGTGTATATATTTATTAACTCCTCTCTCCTTTTTTCTTCGTCAATCAATAGGCGGCATCGAAACAATGGCAAATACCATCCCGAATGCCGCAACAGGGAGCAAAGCCACCGCGACCGCGAAAGGCTTCATTCGGGAAATGATCATGGGCCAGTCCCCCGAGGGATACATCGCGAATTGCCGCGCCATCGCGGCCGCCCGTCAACCGGAATATGAAAAGGTCAAGTGTCCCATCCTCATCATCGCCGGGGAACAGGACAAGAGCGCCCCCTTGGCCGGATGCAAGGAGATCTTCGCCCACTTGGGAACCGAAGAGAAGAACAAGCGGCTGGAAATCCTGCCAGGCGTCGGCCATTGGTATTGTGTCGAAGTACCAGACGAAGTTGGCCCTCTGGTGCGTGACTTTTGCGGACAGCTGCTATAATTATATGGCGAGACACCTATACAATGTACCTAGACTCTCCCAGGCACTGGTCCGTCAGGGGTATAATCTCTGAACAAGACCATCAAAGTTGAGACGATCTTTGCCATCTTCCACCACCATGGTGTATTTAAGAAAAGAAGAACAAGAACAAGAACAAGAACAAGAAAAGGTTACAACATGGGTAAAAATGGCCATTTGTTATAGTACTTCTCCTCTCTTTCGTTGTCTGCCTGTCCCGCCACTCTCTCATGCCACCGCATTCCCACAATCTTGTACGATTGAATTCGGCCTGGTTTTATCCTCCCGTCGAAATTGATCTGCGCTCCTGAATCCCGGCTCCCTGTCCGTTCTGGGAGCTTTAGTACCAGTCAGTGGACTGTACAACCCGTAGATTTCACAACAAAGAACCATGTCGCTTGCTCGCTGCCTTGTTCTGTTCGCACCCTTGGATCCCACAAAAGCCAAATGCATGCCTGCAATATGCAAATTGCCATCAAAATGAAAATAACAAACGAAACTCGAGCCTGTCGCAGTTTGGTATCTCAGCCTGCAAGTCTTCCAGTAGCGGACGCAACAGGCGGGTCGGATTGGTGGTTGGTTGGAAGACATCAGCTTTCCCAGTGCTATTAAACTCGATCTTTTATTTTTTTTGATGCCCACCCCTCTTTTGATTCCCCCCTTCCCGGTTCTGGCATTCTATGCGCTGAAGGGTCCGTTCGAATTTTGGTGGATTTCCTCAGCATCGACAGCATCAGACAATGGATGCCTCGCTAAGGAAGTAAACTTTTGGTCGATATGCCGTTCTAATAAGAACATATGAAGTGAAGATAGCCACTCGAACGTGGGCCGACAGATCTCGAGCTCACAGGGCAACATCCAAAACCAAGCTCACATCCCGCACTTGCGGTCCCGCAAGGTCTTCGAGGACCGGTATCAGATCGAGCAGTTCATTATCGTGGGCATCCGAAAACCAGGAGCTTATGGGAACTGCATGTTGCGGATGGAAGATGTAGGACGTCGGCGAATTGTCGATGATGATGACTTCTTTCAAATCCCGTCCGACCTGCGATAGATCCTAAGAAGAGCATTAGTGGTGACTTCCAAGGGGGTTTCTTCGCGATCGTAGTCTTACCTTCACATAGTTTCCCTGGTGATTATAGCAGCTCTCACGGAACAGTCGGTGGTGCACCACGTGGTGGATATCTAGCTGGTCCAACAACGGATCACCATATTTGGAGACCGAAGCTGTAAACACAACGACTTCGTACAGTTCACCAACCCTTTTCATAAAGGCATCCACGCCGGGCCTTTTTATGACATACACATTGTGGTACTGGCCTTCAATCTCGACGGGAATGGTGAAGTCGGCCTGGTTAAGGATTTTGAAGCTGCTGTGTACCAATGTCTCATCCAGATCAAGGACTAGACACTTCCGCCCTTTGAACCGGGGCTCGAGAGGAGGCAGAAGCCATGTCTGCTTTTCGGCCACTTCTTCTGAGACCGCCGGGACTTCCTTGGTTGCGATCTGCTCTTGGCGCTTCTCTAACGGGGGTGGAGGAGGCAGAGGCACTTGAGGTTGTAGCTCTGCCGGTTGAGGAGGCTCGTCCACCGGTTCGTCTTCATCGCTTGGAACCGAAGGAGGCGCATCGCTCATATCGACATCGCTGTCTCTGTCACTCGGACCCCGGAAACTTTGAGCGTCGGTGGAGAGTTCTGGCTCAAGGGGCGTTGCGGCCGTCACCTCCAATTCTGGCTTGGTGGAGGATTCGGGCGCAATAGCCGTCGTTGTCTGCAGCGGTTCAAGTTGGCCGCTATGAGCTAGTTCTTGGTCCCCGGGGTTCGGTTGAGTTGTGGCGGATGCTGACCCGTTGCCTCCTGATACAGGGCTAACTTTGTCGTCATACACATCCTCTCGTGTTACTCCTGGTCCGGTAACATCAATCGCCCGTTTCTCGGAAAGCCCAGCCTTCTCTTCCTCCCCACCTCGGCCCTCCACAACCCGCTCCCCGGCAGACGCTCTGCCTTCCAGCGCTTTCTCGTTCCCGATAACCTCACTCTGTTCGGGTGGCCTGGACGCCCTCTGCGGCGTAGGCTGGATTTTAACCTTCTTTGCTGAGACGTCAGGGTCGTCGGATTTCGTATCGTCAGGCAGTTCATGGGGTAAACAACAGTTAAATAGTGCGAGCAGGCCGCTTCGAGGTTTCTTGTCACTTCTAGGAGCGCCCGACTGCGCAAGTGGCGGCACTGGCTCTTTGGGGTCGTCACCAGTACGGGCCGCCTTTGTCGACTTTCTGCTGCTTCGGCTGGCGTTCCTACTTCTGCTCAGGAGGCTCCTTTTGGACCCGCGCCTTGGAGAAGCGGGTTCTTCGTTCGGTATAGTTGATACAGGAGGAGTAGGGGACGTTGTCTCGGACTGTTTCTGATGAGAAGACGACCGAGAAGGTATTTTGACGAGCGAAGGTTGTTTGGGCTTTTCTGTCATCGTCTCATGGCTTGTAGGTGCATCACTTGAGGGGGCGGTAGTTGGAATGACCGAGGAAACGTTCGGGTCGAGGGCTCTTGGGTATGCGCCTAGATCCAGAGATGTTAGGAACGAGAGTGCGCCATCGCAGTAAAGGTCGATATACAATTCGACGCGAGAAAGTTGAAGATCAGATCATACCTGGCGCGGGCTGAGTGGCAGGGCTGCCACTCATGTGGGGCGAGCGGTGGCCGACAAAGACCTATTCTCTCTGTCGTGCGCGCAGCGAGCTTGATAGAGAGCTCGAATATACATCCAGCCTTATCGAGGACGGCGCTGAAAATTCTTGATCGACGTAGATGGGATGCAGTCGCAAACGACCGGTAATCGACCAGGCGGTTAAACGGGGGTAAGGAGGACCACCAGCAGAAGCAGGATGTGGCTGGTCAGTGTTGCAGGGACAAGCGATCGCTGATTAGTCTGGCGATTCAGGTCAGGCGTTGGATGGAAGAGCGCGTTAACGTTGCTGGACGAAGCGAATTGACACCGGGCTGCAAGTGATACGGTGTTACTCGAGGCGCAGGTTGATGGAAGGAGAAGTGAAGTGCAGTTGTGGTGTGGTGACTTGAAGAAGTCAGGCAGGTTCTGTACAGCGTGAATCGGGCTTCGAGATCAGCAAGGCAAAGACAAGGCCAGGCAGGGAAAGCGCACTTCTGCCATCTGCCATCTGCCAGTTCTGCCAGTCCAGACTGCCAGTAGTGACGAGCCTTCGACTTGCTGCTGGGGGCGGGCGACCGACGGACTGTGGCTCCTTAGGCCCTGCCGTTCGGGGTGCTTGGAGGCCAGTTACGGGCTAAGGAGGCTAGTGGGGCCTTTGTCCAGTAGGAAGCCCCATGGCGGGCTTTAGTGGGCAATCAGTACCTCATGGTACACCGGGTACCTTGTAGCCCACAGCAGTAGCCGCTCGCTCGTTCACTCCTCGTCTTGAGCGCCCGACACTGGAACTGGGGACAGTTTCCTAACGGCGTACTCAGTACTACTGTTCTTGTGGTCTCCTATCGTTCAAACCATGCTCTATTACTACTTGTACCAGATGATTGATTAATACTTGGGTCATTCACGGCTCCTTGCTGCGCCAACGCGGACGGTACAGTACCAGGATACCTACCTAACGTACCTTAGGTACTGAGGATAGTTCCGATCAGACCTTGTCTCCTATCATCGCCTCTTGTCAGTTAACCGCCTCTAACGCCGTTCTTCTTTCGCTCGCCCTCCAACACTTCGACCCTCTCTTACTTCCTCGCCTTCTACCACACCCCTGCTACCTCGTACGTCCTATCCAGACTCCACCAGGCGGCCGAACGATCCTAGGGATTAAGAATGGTAGCCTGGCGTCGGAGCTGGTGAACGCTCGGGCGGAAATTGGGCAACTGCATGTGGGATTCCACTCTGCTCGACCCACGAATGGCATCTTTCGATATTATGGGCAGGCCGTACTCCCTCCAAGGGATTGAAGAAACAAGGAGGCTAGAACTGTGGCTTACCCGCCGAACCTCAGCTCCCGCAGCTCCACGGGGGGCTCGACGGCCGTCGCCAAATGTTGGCCACCTTTCATCCACCTGTCGCCACAGTAAACTACTCCCCACGCTATCAAGTTCTACTCTGTGATGGATATCGTCCTCTGGCTGCTTAGGCGCCACACCATCCTCGCTCCCTTCGGTTCGCTTTTACGGGGTATAATCAGTACCTTGTACAGATCAACAGCGAGACACTACAGCGACTACCCTCAGAGCTTGTGAGACTGCAGATTCGATCAATGAAATTCAATCTTTGGAGCTTGCGAGGCGATGCTCTCTGGTACTGAAGATAACTATCTACGGATTACAGGTATCCGCGCTAGGCACTGAAGACATGTCTATACGAGATACGTTCTCACGTCAGCCACATGGCAACAACATTGCGGGAAAGGCAGACCTCGGGAAGGCGTCAACCTTGCAGGCTTCACCTGTGAACCATCTAGTACGATCGCCGGATGTGATCTTTTGACGTTGTCAAGATCGGTCAATAAGGGTTGAAGCGCTCTTGCACAGTGCCACAGCTGGCCCAAGATTGGAAAGCTTTAGCCATCTGGTAGAGCTTCTTCCGGACACAGAGGACGCGTCGACAAGCTCCAACAATGCCTCCTCACAAGAGAGCCCCTCTTGGTTGTCAAAGAACTTGTGCCGCCCTACTCATTCAGGAGCCTGACTGTAACTTGAACGTCGGTTGGTTTAACAAACCAGTTGTTGTCGGTGTTCCATGGCCTTTCAGGATGTTTGAGCTGGAAGTCGAATTTTCTGATCATTTGCGGAATCAACTTGGACATCTCCAAGAAAGAGATATGGCGGCCGATGCAAGTCCTTGATCCTAAACCGAACTGGTAGGCTTGTCAGCAATGAACGAGCTTCTGCATCTATCGAAAGTTCATGGTTTACCGGCATGTAATAAGCCTCCATGTTCTTGAGCCTCTCGCCACCCTCCTTCTCGGCTTCAGCCCACCTCTCCGGTCGGAAAACTTTGGCATCAGGGCCGAAGACGTCTTCGTTGTAATGAGCACACCAGGTGTTGACTCCAACGATGGTGCCTGGTGGAAAGAATCGATCGCAAATCTCAACACCGCCGTCGGGTACAACCCTCCATAAAGGTAAGCCGGTTGCTGGGTGCACACGGAGAGCCTCCTTCATGACGGCCTGCAGATACGGCATTTCTTGACTCTCTCTGAAGGACACATTTGGATTGCCGCATCGGTTTTGACCCTCGAACTCCTTTATCTCCTCTCGGAGCTTTCGCATCTTCTCTGGATGCTTTAGCAGGTTGTACAGGATGGACGAAAGGCTGATGGCGGTGGTATCAGATCCTGCAATGATGTTCGACAAGCCCATCATGAAGACATGATAGGGTGTTACTCTATCAGGATCCTCCCGATTGGCGTTCATGAGCTTTTCCAGGAAATCTACGGGCGCATTGTCGTCTCGGTGGCCAGTTCTTCCCGTATCTCTGCCGGTCTTGGTCGCCTCTTTCCTCTGTCGGATGCGCTCTTCGACGAATTTCATTAAGTAGGTTCGACCTGCTGCGCCCCCCAGACCAAAACGACTCGAGAGGTCGAATACTAGAGGATGCCAACAAGCATATATGCCCACCAAGGCTCCGTACTTCAACACTCCGTGCAGTGCCTGCAGCAATCCAGCAACATCCTCACCCCTGTCCAAGAAACCGAACCGCTGGGAGTAGGTGATATCGCCGATGACATCAAAAGCATAGCATTGCAGCCAATGGCCCATGTTGATGATATCACCACGTGCTGCGAACTCGCTCAGCCTTTTGTCGAAAATCTCAGCACACTCATCCACATATCTTTCATAGTTCACCAAACTTGACATGGAATACATCGCCTGAAATCTTTTCCTGGTCTCGGCGTGTCGCTTCATATCCCTGTCTGGAAACAGAGTCCAGCGGTTCGGATCCGGGTGCCTCCACGCATCATACCAGTCTGACTTGGGGAACTTGGAGCCAATGCCGTAGACCTTCTTCACGATCTCCGGGGACTCGATACTGTACATATCCGGGGCGACGCGGACGATAGGGCCATACTTCCGGTGTAGTGCTATGTTGTCATGTTCCCATCGGCCCCAGCTGACTCTCCAGAAGTAATAGAACCTTCCGAAGCGGGCAAGGAATGGTCCAGGTACAGAGCGGAGGGGAGAGGTGAGAGATCTGTATAGAGACAACAGGACTCTAGTTGTGAAGAGGATGCCGAGCAGCCACAGTCCGTATCGAAACAGCATTTTCGCGGGGAAGAGGCTGTCTGCCAGTCCTATGGCCTTCACCGGTGAGCTGCTGCCGCCCATGTCTGGCGGTTTCATGAAAGCGGTTTCGGCTGACACTGATATAATATTCGTCTCAGTCTCTCAACAGTCGAGATTCAGGCTCTTCTTGATAGTCAACCTGCTAGACGAGAGTCGACTTGGAAAATGCTGAGGTTGGGCAGAGCAACACCTCGATAGTCCCGCTACCAATGTATCGGACGGTCTTATATGTCGCCAGAAGGCATTTGTGATGTTTGGGATATTGAGATTCTGGGATTTTGTGAGGGCAGGAATGCTGACGCTTCACCCCCGCAGAAAGCCCCAGATCAGAGCGGTTGTTTGCTGGTGACCCCGGCTATGCTTAGTAGCGTATAGCCTCACAACCGAACGACTCCAATTTCGGCCTGACGGCAAAGGGGAGGGCAATATGTGATATTCCAGCTCTACCGACATTCTTCAGTCTTGCCTCGGGCTCGTACCCGCGGTAGATGGTTGCGGTTGCGGTACTTGGTACCTGGGATCTAGAGATTTGACCACAGCCTGAGCACCATGCCAAAGAACAATGCCTGTCTTCGATTCATACAACACGGGGTCACGACGAGTGAGCGTGCTGCCACCGGAAGATCCCAGGCTCTACCCAAAGAGGATGGATTGCAAGCCTGAAAAGGTCGCCTAAGATCGACCCCAACTTACCTTGTGATGCGAGAGTGCAACGGCCTGCGCCATCAGATGTGCATGTACTGTACACCATCAGAATTGGTGGTGAACCCGCGGTCATGCTCGCAGTCCAACATGGGTCGTTAGTACCACAAGCCATGATTATTCTGAATCTTCAAGATCGATTCTCATCAGCCAAACCGTGCCAGGACGAGAACCGGCCCGATGTCACACCGGACCGGGCAGAATATAACGACTATGTGGGGAAGTTATGTGTGTGGCCAACGCCCCCTCAGCCTCGTACTGATCAAGGACGAGCATGTGCATGCGTTCCAACACTGTCTGACAAGTTGGGTGATGCAAATAATATTTCCCAACACTGGACAACTTACTGCTATCGAATCCTGCTGCGTCCTTGTGCTAGTACTTAGCAACTATCTATATACTAGGACCTTACCTAGCACGATATGTCTTCCAAACCCCCGGCTTGGGATATGGCGAGCACCACCGCAAACCGGCCCGGCCTGGACCCTTGACCATACCAAGACAACGCCGGTTTTGGGCCCTTGCGCAGGCCATTGGCAGCATGACAAGCACACACAGTGGATGAGCTTGTTTATCACACCAGAACCTGAAAGAACATGAAAGACAGCCGTGGTTCTCTATCTCTCTTGTCCGGGAGCCTCACTTGAGATGCAGTGGTGAGATATAGTAGTAGTATGTCCTGCGACCCTCTGCTGCGCTTCCGTTGGCTTGGCTCGACTTGTCGCCAGACGAGCCTGTACTGTTGTTGTCCCGTCTCTCGTCCGTTTCTTTCCACTGTCCATGCGCGCAGTCTTGCTCTGAAAAGCCCGGGGTTTGTAGCCTCAGAGAAGAAGTCTAAAGTTGAGCAATCTCGACATCTATCAAGCTATAGCATCGTCTCGACTCGTCTGTCGAAGCCAGGTCATTGCTCTTACGCAATATCGATTGACTCGGGATCCAGCCGATCATTGCGGTCGGCCACGAGGATTTATCGCTCCGGAAAACAGGTTCGACGAGTCTCGTCCCAGCGAAGGACCATGAGCGGATTTCATATCCAGAAACCGCTCGCCGAGCCCCACTGCAGCTTTTCCAACAAGACCGTGCTGGTGACGGGCGCCAATTCCGGGCTTGGATTCGAAGCAGCCGTCAAGTTCACCGCGCTCGATGCTAAACGGGTGATCCTCGCGGTTCGTGACCTCTCGAAAGGCGAACAGGCCAAGGAAGCCATTGAGTCACGCACAGGCAAGACGGGCGTGCTGGAGGTATGGGAGCTCGACATGAACTCGTACGCCAGCATTCGGGACTTTGTGACTCGCGCCTCTTCGGACCTCGATCGTCTGGACATTGCGGTGCTTAACGCAGGCGTGTTCATGGTCGGCTACGAGAAGTCCAGTTACGGCTGGGAAGAAACGATCCAGGTCAACGTGCTCTCTACTGCATTGTTGGCTCTTTACCTTCTTCCCAAATTGAGGGACACTGCGAAGAAAGGCAGCGTGAGCGAGTCCTCTTCCCCGACAATGCCGCTGCTGGAATTCGTGTCTTCTAGACGGCATGAGAAGGTTACTGTGTCTGAGGAAGCCCTGAACAATGGTAACCTCCTCCAGACGTTCAACGAGGCCACGAGTTACAATTCGAGCAAGCAATATCAGTTGTCGAAATTCCTCCTGATGTGCGTGATGCGGAAGCTGGCCTCACTGGTAAAGGCGCTCTCCCAGCCCGGTAGCACCGATGTCGTTGTCACCGCGGTCTGCCCCGGCTTCTGCCAATCTAACCTGAGTCGAGGTCACAAAGGACTACTTGCGGACCTTCTCCGAGCGGTGTTGAACACATTGGTCTTACGGACACCCGAAGCAGGGTCCAAAACACTGGTGTCAGGAGCAGCCGTCGGGCCGGAGGGTCATGGACGGTTTTGGTATGATGACGGAGTTCACGATCTGTAAGTTCTTTCCCCGTTTTTGGTCATCCTCCTCCTACAATCGCCAACTTTTCTCCAGAATACACCCGTTGCTCTCGGCAGAGAAAGGAGAACCTGCGGTGGATAAAGTGTGGCAAGAGGTGCTTGCTGCTCTGGAGAAAGACGTGCCCGACGTAAAGCAACTGGTTTCAGGGTTGACGAGTACAGCGTAAATCGTCTCGCGTGCGTCAGGACACAAAGCTATGTGGGAGTATTTCGGCGTGCGTAAGATACCTCTTCTCAACAATTTTCCGCGGGTTGCTTGGAGTTGAAGTTCTAGATATTGTCAGAGTCATGTAGTAGGATCCATGGCAAGCCGCAGCTTACCTGCGCAATTAATGACCAGCTGCACGAGGCACTGGAGTCGTACACAGAGCGATTGCGGGGTTGCAATCCAGACCTCCTGATGCGTTCACTCCGAAACAGCTTACGCTGTTGACGCAGATCCGGTGGCTTACGGACCTACCTAGGTATCTGGTAAGTGAGCAAAGCTACTCAGACTGATATGTAGCCAAATACTGTTGGTAGGTGTTTACCAGGTCAATGACCAGGGACGGTGATGGAATGCCAGTGATTTGGCTGCGGTGGAGAGAATCAGGGTGACTCCATTTGTGGTGGATGCCCCTGACGATGATGCCTTGGCGGGACTGCTCCCACAGCTCCCACTCATCAGGCTGGCAACTGCGGTGTGGACTCGCAATGGGCAGATTGACGTCATTCTGTTCGTGAGGATTCTCTGTGTGCCTTGGGACCTCAATTCAAAAAGGACACACTTCTGCCCACACAGTCCAGTTGTACCTCACTACTACTAGTACTACACAGAATACAGCGACTTCATTAACACTACCTCACTATTCACTGCTACCACTCGACCTTCAAACCTCAAAGGTGAGTCACTCCTCGGTTTAGTCGTGCTCTGTTACAACAACACCTTTCTAACCCCTCCTTGCAGCAATCCAAGCACACCACCGTACTCAAATAACTCAGTCGTGTGATCATACTGTGCTCTCAGTCATAAACCACACAAACGCACCTCGACCGAGCTTCTTTGCGAACCCCATCCCATTCCTACAGAAACCACCACACAAGACTCTACAGATATCATGACTCGCGGAAACGTCACCAAGGTGTTCTACAAGGGCGAGACCGACGACTTCATTGTCTTTGTCGAGTCCCCCGAAGATCTGGCCGCATGGAAGAAGGATAAGTCCATCCCATTGGCACAAGTGGCGAACGCCTTCCAGGTCATGGTCACCCACAAGCACGGTGCGCAGGGCCAGCTGGACCGCGCTTCCAAGGCTAGTCTGGAGAACGAGTTCGGCACATCCAACGAGGACGAGGTCATCAAGAAGATCCTCGATGAGGGCCAGCCTCAGTCTGTTCCGGTAAGTCGAGAAGCCCTAGCCTATGGCAAACTAACCCAAGCTTGAAAGCATCGGTTACTGACACACGGTTTTTGTTTCTACAGTCCGCTGAGAAATTTGGAACTCGCAACGAGTCCATGGGTACCAGACAAGGTCATCCTACTGCTTAGATGCACCTTTACCACAACGCTTCTGAGTCCTCCGTCGTGCCCTTTGATCTGTTGCTCGTTTCGACCCTAGTCAGGTCAAGGCAAGGGGAAGACTGGACCAGACTAGCTGGAGATGACAACATCCACCAGCTGGGACGAAGTGCAAAGTAATGGGACGATGCAAGGAATGACAAGCTGTACTACACCTGCTGCCACTCATCACTGCATACCTAAACATCAGGCTGCCAGGTGGACAGCACGGCTCACATGCGCTGGAGACAAACCAATTACTGTTGAGTCTCTTGCGTCTTGGAGAATTGCCGACGACGAATGTGAGAAAGCCAAATAGCTTAGTTGGGTCTGTAGCATAAGCTGGACTCCAAGAGCCAATTGCACTTCCAACAAAGAAGGCGACATTCTGTTGCTCACGTTCTGCAAATCCAAGTCTCCTTGTAATTCATGGCTGCCCTGAACTTTCATTCCTTGATACATGATATGCCAACATAGATTTGATTTCAAACCTCATTCCTCTATAGACCTACCATATGCCTCATGGTTTTGTAGACTGGATTATGAAATGAGAAGTAATAAGTGGCACTCAGACCTAATCCAAAACACCTGCCGAGCCTTGATGCTCTCAAGAGTACTAGCTGGTTCGACAATACGGGGTGAGCAAGCATCTTTCAGGCATCTTGACCAACTTGAACTCGAGCCGCGAGTTGGTGGGTATATATTGCTACTGTACATGGAACATCATCCCTTGCGGTTTTCGTTCTGGTCGCCCCGGCTCACAGCCTCTTCGACATTGTGATATCGCTCATTCGCTCGCTTGCCAATTCCAACGAATCTAAAAAGAACCTGAACCCCAATCTGTACACGCAAAAAGAGATATGACTCGCCGCTGGTATCTGTGCACTCGACCACGGCCTCTCAGACCACGCCTTTCCAACAGTAAGAGCCAGAATGAAAACCAGTCCACTTTGAATGTGGCGACCAAACCCAGACCAGGACCAGGACCAGGATGAACACAACTCGCTAACCTAGAAATGTTCTTTCCAGAAGCGGAATTTCACCAACTCATTGCTGGTGCCGTTGCAAGCCGCCTTGATCTCTCGTGCCGCCGTGCTGGGTCCGCAAAAGTACACGCCGACAGTGGCCTTCATTTGGGCAGTGATACTCTCCTCCTTGCCGACGTTGAGATATGTCTGGTCCATGAGCCCGTCGCGCATGGCGCCAAACAATCTTTTGAAGTCCGGTCGGCCATATTGCGTCTTGGTGCGGAGCTCTGTGAGTGGGTCGACAGTGTTGCCCACGGTATTGAGGTAGATGTTGGCCGCCGTGTTGACGTCCACACGCTGGGTTAGATATGTGTGGATGCGGAGGAACTCCGGCCCACCCACCGACTCGGCCGCCTGTGCCGACTGGGCTTCTAGTGAAGACAGAAGGGTCTGGAACCACTCGAAGGATTCAATGCTTCGAGTGACCCACACGAATTCGACACGCTTGAGCCGACGAGGAGGATTGGGTCCTGCGCGGATGTTGTAGATATGCTTGAGCACCGAGGCCCAAGGGGTCACGCCAATGCCAGTGCCGATCAGGACAGCAATCTCGTTGTCGAAAACATCTTCTGCCGGGGCGCCATACGGCCCGTCAATGCGGATGGCCGGCATTTCCTGGCCCTGGTTAAGCGCAATCTCGTAGATCCCATTGCTGTCCAGGTCGTCAAATTGTTTGGCTTGAGCCGGACCGCACCCCAGTGCGTCACCGACTGCTTTGGTCCAGTCACCAACTTGACGGACATGGACGGAGATGTAGGGGTCAAAGGGGCATGAGGTGATGGTGAATGGGTGCCACTGCTGACTGGAGACTGCTGGAATGTTCATGAATAGCCACTGGCCTGCCTTGTATTTCATGCTCGGTTTCTGGAATTGGATCTCCATCGCGTCATATGGATGGCGGATGACTTTGTAGATCTTGGTTTCTCTCCTGGCACGAATCTCTCGCCACAGACGTTCGCCCAGATAGAGGCCACCGGAAAACAATTCCCAGCGCCATCCCTCATAGCCGATGCAGTGGTTCCAGAATGGCTTCCCAGCAAATGGAGAGAATGGCGCGGCTGTGTCCCGGACAAAACACCCTACTGCGTGGGTATACATAGCTAGGAGGAAGGGGATGAATAGGTGATGGGTATACCAGAAGGTCTCGAAAGACTGCTGTCGGATTCTGTGGTGAGCCGTGGTGTACATGAGAAGCATGCATAAAAGCATGATGTGGCCTGTTATGCCGCCTGGTTGAGTGTAATGGATTTGAATCGCGCTGACTGGACGGATTTGAGTGCGCTCGACGTTGAAGAAGTTGACATAATGAGCCAGCACATGGACACAGGTGAACACGAGCATTGCATAGGCACATTGCCGGTGAAACCATTGTGTCTCGTCGAGGGGGAGCCATCTAAACTTCGGCCGAAGGAAACGCATCAGGTTTCTGCACATAGGCAGGAGGATGAGCATGACATCGACGGAGAGGACGAGTCCGGCACCACGGGACATCCATACTGAGAAGGTGAGGGTGTTCAGGCCGGCCAACCGAGGATCTGATGCTTGCTTCCACCTAAATCAATATATCAGCGATGTACCGAGCTGGAAAGATACGGGCCGTACTCACCAGCCGATGGCGAACAGCCCCCAATGAAATCCCCACCAGAGAATGTAGAATGTGATCTTTCTCGGAGCGAAATGGGACTTGAGCGTGGCCATGATTGAAGTGATGATCGACTTCCTCGATTCAGTTTTCCGACAACTGTTTTTCCCAATTGTGCTATCTTGGGCGCATATCCAATGTCCCGTTCCACAGCGCAGATGCACACAATAACCAGAAACGTTACACTTTAAGGGCGTGGAAGTCAAATAGATATTCAAACCCTGAGGCACAGATCACCGAGGGCGGACAAGGTTAGTGAAGGTGCCGAGAGATGAGCCTTTTGAGAGAAGAAGCAAGAGGATATCAAGACGTCCGGAGGGCTGGTAACCCGGAGACAAGCCTTTTGCTCGGTCGATCATACACGGGATCAGACGTGAGAACTGGTACTGACGGCAAATTAGAGCCTCGTTGCCTCGGTATAGTTGTGTCGCAACAGTTGCAAGTACGGAGGATGTGAAGCAGGAGCTCAAACAAGACAGTGGCGAGGAGGAGAAGGTCAATTGTATCAGTACGAGTCGTTGCTGGAGGTCGAAACAGATACCAAGTGGAACCTGGGACAGGAGTTGTAACAGGAGGCCCGACCGTGCTCGAGGGTTGCTTTTTGGACTTCCAAGTGCAGAAAAATGGCTGGAATGTGTTCGACTTTGCAATCGCTGAAGAGAAGACAAAGGAAGTACTAGATGAGATGGGATTGAAAGAATCAGAACATGAATACATTGTCGCTGGACAATTGCTTTGCTGCAGAGATACATCTCGGAAAAGAAGCGAATGGCTGGCTAGAGCGCGCTTGCGGAGAAATTGAGGTCGAGACACATGAGACCCTGGTCAGTTGGTTCCTGCTCTTGGACCCCTGGCTCACATACAACGTATGTTTTACCTTTTCGAGGATCATGGGCGGTTAATAGGTGGCGACGAGGGAAGACCATGGGCCCGGGCCGATGAGGCGAGGGAATCGACCAGCCACAACGGGAAGAGAATCAGGATAGTCACTGTGGTCACAATAGAATTGATGACGAGCGACAACGATGCTAGTCTCGCAACTCGTGGTCAACGACATCTCGTGCTCTTCGTGCTCTGGTGGGTGGAATTTCTCCGTCGACGCTGCGATAGAACATCAGCTATTGAGCGGTGACGGTGACAGGAAGCGGCAGTCACGCAGCTGGCCCGCCCAGTGTATGTGTGGGAGGCGTTCGAGGCGTTACTGGAAAGAAGGCTCGATAGTAGTAGTAAAGAAAGATGCTGGGATGAGGAGGGAAAATGAGGGAGACGAGCGTATCAGAAACCGTCTGGAACCGCCAACTGTCTGTTGCCTGCGCTGCAGCTGCGATGCCCCTCCTCTGCAACTGCGCCAGACTCTTGTTTCCGCCGCACTTTCTGTATCACATCCATGTTCCGTTCACGTTATTCGTTTGACGCCCACGCCAACATTTCACCAAGAGACCAACCTCCAGTCGCACCAGATCAACCTGCATGGTCACCATGGGCATTCATCCCTTCTCGGCGCTTCGCAACCCTCCTCTTCCAGGCGAGGAGATCATCCAAGGGCCAATCATCTCTGACTTCGCTCTTACACCTCACGAATCATTCCTTGTAAGCTACGAGCTACAGCTCCCGAGGTAGCGAATGCACAAGCGCTATTGGATTGTGGAGTGCAAGAAGGACAAGAAGTGCGTTCCCAAAGGCTTCGCTGTATCTTTACGTCGTGATCAAGGTAGGGTCTACAGGCATTGCTAGGTTGGTCGAAACGACGTGCGAGTTTCTAGAGCAAAGGACATCGCCATTGCCTACTTCTATCAACCAGTTCACTACATCCCAATTTATTCCTTCTGCATTGAATCTCCCGCAGTGTCAAGACGACGATTGAGTTCAACGCATAGTTCTCTACCTACGTTTGTGGCGCCAGAGTTGCCTCTGTTCTGCTCAGTCAAAATTTGTGACACATACTGTCTCCGAAGCGCTTCAACCACTCTGCGACGACACGACAGCTGCGACCAATCTCATACGCGCCATACCCACTCTCAGGATACTCTCGCCGCTGAGACAGTCACAAAAGGCATTCTCAAGCAGGTTGAACCCTTGTTCTGACAGTATATCCCTCGCCGTCGAGCACTTCTCCCAGGCAACTTGTTACCGGCTCACTCAATCCCCGAAATCACCTGTTGCTCCGTGCCGAAGGGGAGAGCACACCCTCTAAGATCCTGCAGTGCCAACCCTCCTCATATACTTTGCCAACCCAGATGTACCGTCGGTGACCATCAGGCGCAAGTTATCATTCCTTGCGTGCTCTTCAATTCGATCATTTGCCCAACGGCGTCTCTCGTTTTGCGTTTTCCGGTCCCTTATTCTCAACAACCTCTTCATCTCCCTTCGCCCTGCTCTTTGCAGCGTTGTTCATAGAATGGGCAAGCTCATCAAGAACCACTGGGCCCGCCTAATCGTCCTGACCGCGGCGACGTATCAACTGGCCGCCGGCGTCGAGGGCTTTTTCTGGCCCAAGATTTTCTGGGACTTCCTCACCAAGAACCTCGACGGAGCAGTCAAGCCTTTTCCTGCATTACAAATCATCAACGTCATCTTCAGCATCTTGATCTTCGCTTGGGAATGGCCCTTGCACCCGGTGGTTAAGATGTTACCGGGCTTGCATCGCAGCATGGAGGCGAGACTGGTGGTATACCCCTTAGCTGCCCTTGCGGGGGTTCTGCTATATCAAGGCACCAACTCGGCGCTGTACTATATCATCGGAGTTCTGGCTTATTTCTGGGCTTATTCGGAAGGAGAGGTAAGACTGTCCAACCACTCACCTGTTCCACCACTCCTTACTGACTGGAGTGTCCAGACTGTCTGTCCAGAGCCGTGGACTGTCCCGAAGAGAGGCGGTGTCAGACAGGGCAAGGTCTGAAAGGACATGTATATAAGATTTATAAGGGTTGATGGGTAGACTGAGGACTGTGAGACAATGTTCGACATGCCAAATGACATCGGGTTGGAGTGACGGTCAGGTGCGACTGTGCATTATTTGAAAAACGATCATGTCCAGCATGAAATGAACATATCTTTGCCTTTCCGTCCAATCTATGTGGTAAACCTCTAGTCTTCGAGCTGTTGCTAACTTGCTGTAGCACGGTGATAGCAGTGATATGGGTATGAAAGCAAGCCATAGGGCAGAGACATAACAGTTCACTGCTAGGTGTGCTGCAGTCTTCATCATATGAAAACATAGCAAAACCCTAGGGTATAGGATAGTGTAAGCAAGGCTGCGCGGTCCTGGGAGACCAGGCAATCTGACATTGTATCACTGCCATCGGCTCTTCCATGTTTTCTATTTGCACTGAATGTCGCCCAGGTAGCCCAGGTAAGATAGATGGTCTTCGTGGAGTGACATTGCCAGAAGTCGGTCGAACATTGGGTTTGATACAGCCTTGCCAAGTCATCACCACGGCAGTCTTTCGCAGGTCAGAGACAACGCGGGTCTTAGATGGCCGGCCAAAAAGGGACATGAAGAAAATTATGAAGATGAAACAGAATTCTTTTTCCCCAAAAAACGGCGGCAAGAAGAGCAGAAGGACCGAGACAGAATCGATAGGTACCGAGTGAGGTAGTCCTGGCATTTGACTAAATGGGCGACGTGAAAAACTTCACTCGGGGTTTTTATACTCCGCGATATTACAGTACCCCTGAATCGTGAATCGTCGAGGATTCAGGGCAATTTCATAGTCAACTCGGCTTCTATCCTGATCTTCTCACATCCTTCAATCCTCTGTAGAGTGCTCGAGAGCAGCACCGCCCACGCGATGTGTCCTTTCCCGCCTGAGCCTTGCCCCGTTACCTCCGGCCCTGAGACTGCCATCTATCGTCCGCCGTCCGGGGGTTTCCCAGAATAGCATTCTTGCTTCAATTAGCGTTGGAGTTCCGACCCTCAACGTCCAACCCAACACCGAGTGAATAATGAATCATTTATCAATCTGCACTAGACTGATCCTATCACCGGCCAGTTCGAAGCTTGTGGCTGTTTAAAATTGCGGGCGGCCTTCCTGCCACGGTGAAAAAGAACTGATAATGGTGCCGCGGGGCACAGCGACTGGCTAGATGGGCGACTCTGAACGATAGACCGGGGTAGACTGACCTGCCAATTTCCACCGAGCCCCCTCCCCTGTCCAGTGGAACCGCGATGCAACAATTGACTGACACTGACAGTCGACCGGCGCGCGAGGCTGTCCCAGGTTTAGGGCGACACGCCCCGACACGTCCGGCCTCCAGGGTCGTGGCTGATGATCAGGCTGATCCAAGATTCCCTCCAGTGTCCAGTGCCTCTCCACACACGAAGCCGACCGGGGGAAGAAAGCAGAGCGAGAGTGCTGTGTCTCTTCCGTCTTGTGTCTGCGGAAGCCAAACACAAAACGGCCTGGATGGCTGGCTGGCCAGCTAGGTAGCCTACCCATACCTAGACTAGAGTAAGTGCTAAATGATCCTTCTGCTTTCCCCTGTGATTGATATATACAGCCTGCTCTACCTGTTGTTGATCTTTTTGCTGTCTTCTTCTTCTGGTTTCCCTCTTTGTGTTACAATATACATCAAGCAAGCATCGAAACATCGAAACACGTTCCTTTCTTTCGGGATCCTTCAGCGGTGTTCCTTCGTCGAGCACATCCATTCGCTTAGCCACACACTCTCTCTATACCATCCACATTCGGCTCTCGTTCAGTCAACCGAAACGAGCACCCATATCAAGGACCATTCATTACCTGAAAAAGAAAAAGAAAGAAAAGAGAAAAACATGAAGGTCTTCATCGCCATCCCCGTGCTCTTCGCCGCCTCTGCCCTCGCCGCCCCCGACTGGTCCTACACATTCACCTTCTCCAACGCCGAGAGCACCTGGACGTCATACACGTACGCAACGGGCGCTCCCAACGCCACGACCACGGGCCCCGCGAGCAGCACCTGGACCGGCCCTGAGGAATTTGTCTCGACCACCTCGTACACGGCGGAGTTCAGCTCCGGCACGTCGACCTGGGGCGTGCCGACCGTGGTCTCGTACAGCGTCGGCGAGACCTGGACCAGCATGATCCCCGCGGCGACGGGCTCGACGTCTGCCGCCGTGAGCAGCGCGGCCAGCGCTACTACCGAGACTGCTGTCGCTGCTGGCACCACTCTTGCGGCGTCCACCACGAGCGCTGCGGCGACCTCTTTTACTGGAGCTGCTGCGCCAAACGTCAATGGCAAGCTGGCTGGGGTTGGCGCCATTGCTGTGGCTGGACTGGCTCTTGTTCTGTAGATGTTACAGAGCAGCAGACAAGGATTTGAGCTATGGTTTCTCTACAATAAGATACAACATGCATATCAGTTTGCTGGCCTCGTCCTACCTGAACTCTGTCTGGAACTTCCAATCCGCAAGACTACACCTTCCAAACACCCACCATTCGACCTTCGAATTCTTCTCTTTGCTATGATGCGAATAGAGCCAACGAAGTCGACTCAACAACTCAGGATTCAGATCGCGCATAAAGGAAATGGAGTGGTTGGCAGTGAAAGACTAGGGAATTCATCGCCGCGCCTGTACTTGGTCTATAATGCCGATCGGGTTCTTAGAACCCAACCTCGTTGCGGATCCTGGCTTCTACGTATTCATAATCTAGTCGGATCCAGCGATCAGTCTTGTCCCTGATCTGGTGTATATTAGTATCACAAACAAAACCCCAACATCAAGAAGTAAGGTTCTCCATGCCCGAATACATCCCAGAGCTTGGGGACTCCCCCACGTTCACACGGTTCAGAAGGTCCACCCGGTCCAGGCTCCGTCGTTCCAAAAGGAAATTGCTCCTTGATCCCTGGAGCTTAGCCTTTGATTAAGCCTTACGCCGTCTGTGAAATGGTGCGGCAGATCCTTGTCTGACGTGCAGTGTCGAGCTTCCAACGTCGTGACTTTAAAAATAGTAATAAGGAATCCCAGAAACCCCGAAGCCCGACGATCCAGTCAGAATAGGGGCTCAAGGCGTTATCCGGAAACAAGCTCTTGGACGATGAAGCTTATTATTTGCCAGGTGGAGGGAGATACTAGTAACAACCTGTAGCGGGAAGTACTTCTACACCCGTAGCCTCGTGAGAAGAGTCTTCCTGGCATGTCAGCAAGATGCCAAAATGCTAAACCTCATACTAGTATACGGAACGCACTCCTCATGATTAGAAACCCCTGCCATCGACACCGGACACAGCACCCACCTGTTGGTGATACAACGCAACGTCTATCCTCTTTGTGGTCTTATGAATCGGTTTTGACAACTTCAGTCATCACCATGGTTGCATACTTCGAATGTATGCCACTTGAGCAATGCATCTGATCTCTATTCCACTTCTATTTACTAGAATACAACATGTGTCGAAACCCTTCGGCCGACAGACCTCTTAATATCCCCAGCGGATTGCTCCATCGCTTCTTGCGACCAGTCAAGCCTTCCTCGACAATCTCTTCCTTTTCCACCAACTCTTTCTCCTCACTATAGAAGATTTCCGCCGGGACTTCAGGTCCCACCCCAGTGATAGTCTCATGGTCGGCCTTCTTGCTCTTGGTCACCTTCCTTACAAGGCCGTGGTCTGCGTGGGAAAATGATAGTCGCTTTGCGCCATGACTCCCAATCATACGACTGATTACGCTGTCCATTGTATCAAGTTCGGGCAGGTCGTGCGACCTTTTCCTGGCGGGGGTCAACTCATCAAAACTTTCCTTGCGCACCTCAAAGACCGGTGCTGAATGTTTGATCCGGGCCCGGCGGCTTTCCGGGAGCCCGTCAAATGATTTCCGACTCGTTAGTGACAGACTCCCTGACCGCCTGGAAAACGGAGCGTGAATCGATGCCAGACTCAACTTTCGCACCAATGTCCCTGCTGAAGCTCGGATGATTTGCCCACCACGAGAGCCAACCATTCCAGGGAATGCAATCTTGTCCTTTGTCCATACGTCGCCCAATGCTGACTCGAGTCGTGCCCGTTCCGACCGCTTCGGCGATAGGACCACAATTCGATTGGAGCTCATATGGGACTGTGATCTATTCATCGAGGAGGACGAGGGCTGCCGAAAATCGTGAAAGTCGTGCAGGTTGTGCGTGTTGCGGATGATTACTTGTGAGATATTGGCTCGGTTTCCCACGGTTGCCGCTCTCTGAACAGACGGATGCCTCGACAAACTCGACGCCTGCGGGCCATAGACCGATCCAGTCGATCGGAGGTCAAGACCAATGCTGGACGGTATTCCTGTCAATAGTGCTTTTGTTCGCTTGACTCCAGGAGCTTTGCCTTCCATGCCGGCCTTCCACACTTCTTCTTCTGCGGCAGAGCATGCGCTTAGGATGAGTTCGTGAAAGTGACCGTTGACTTGAAGGCTCACCTTCCAAGTGTGCAGGGCCGAGTGGCATTGAAGACCTGCAGTGCATCAGTCAAGTATAATGACGCTGGGAATGGAACTTACCTCGACCATTGCTGGGGCATTCCACCGTGAGGTCCGTCAAATGGATAAATGCTACCACCTCGAAACGTGAAGCTGGCCCGGCAGGCAGTGCTACCATTAGACTACTGTCGAATAATATGCAGAGACCGTAGCATCCACCGATCCGGCTCCTCGTCTGCCACGTAACGTGCAGCACACCGCACAGCTGGATGTTGCCGAGCATGCGGAACTGCTCCGCCCGCAAGGACACCCTCTCATAGCTAAGCCTGGACTGAAGGGACCATCGTCGTTGGACTTGAGTCCTCGTCTCTCGATTGTCTGTGGCGTGGTTGACGGTTTGCACGACCTCTCTCAAACATTGCAGAGTTGCCTCAACCTCAGTATGAGCACTCGGACAGTCGGCGACAGGCGTTTGCTTGAGCAGGTCGTCGAACAGCAAGGGATATTTGGTCACGCGTTGGATAGGTTTGATCAACAGATCGCCTACTGTAAGGCCCTTCCTCTCATTCTGATGCTTGAGATCAAGAGCAATCAGAGATCTGGCGAGCGACTCGATCCCTGCCTCGTATGCAGACCAAAGGTTCGGTGCGTGCCTCTGGAGTTCGTGTGCGATGATGCTGTGATTGGCGCAATATTCCTCATAAACTAGAAAGTCGTTGAGAAAGTCTTTGAAAATGGCCGCCACGTCAGCCACGTCTTTTGGATCAGCGCATCCAAGATATGCCCGTCCTCGCGTCATCTCACACGAGTCAATCGAGCTGCGTGCTTGCCGGTGATTACGATTGTACTTGACGACAAAGTTTGACTCCAAGCTCCGGCAGCGCTTGTGGTGACGTGGTGATCCAAGATGCCGGCATGAGGTGGTGTCTGCCCATTTGCGTGCTGCCGCATCAAATGCTGCTTGTTGCAGTCGTTCCAAGAGCCTCTCATGTGTATGAAGAAGGTCGTGGACGTTTCGCAAGATCGACGCCCGGATTCCACTTGAGCCCGTCATGGTGGTGGCCAGTAGAGTAGAATAGAGATAAATGAGAGCTTTCAGGTCGGCTATGTAACTTTCTTCGGTGGTTAAGAGTTCGGCAAGGATTTGCCTTCTTTTCGTACCTCTTCGAAAGGCAGCCTCATCCACGGAAGAGGTCGTAGGAGGCCGATCACTGTCGGTTGACAGCCTCGAAAGAGAGGTGAGAATCCCACAGCTATCCGTTGATCGACCGATCCGTGACGATCGACGCACGATGGTAAAACTGGCATTACTGAGACTTGCTGTTTTCATCGTGTGGACGAAGGCGGATGAGGCAGTAGAGAGGCGCTTTGTGTGGGAACGATAAGGGTTTTCTGCGGAATCTTGAGTGTGCTGCGAAGCGTACGGAATGAATGGTGCCTGTTGATGATAACGAGGTTGGCAAGGTAGATTGGCAGCCCGTGTCTCGCCCACAGACTCTGTTGTTGGATTCTCTTGCCTCCTTTTCGACGTTGGCAATATGCCTGCCGTCAAAGGAGCCGCAGCTTCAATATGAGCTCCCGGGAGTGGTCGAGCGTGACTAGGTGGAGTCGTTGGCCATCTTTCTTCGTTTGGCAATTCCTGCAATGCTCGACGGATGCCAGCTCCATCAGAAGACCCTTGCAGGACAGTTATAATCGCAGGAGGCTTTGGAACGCAAGGAGTGCGGCCAGACGTGCTCGAATCATCCTGTTGCGTGCGGCCGTTGTCGCAGTGTCTTCGTCTTTTGGATTCTTTCGAAGACAGATGTGCGGACACCGAGCGGGAGGAGAGCGGAATATCAGTGTTTCCATCGAGAGGAGGTTTATTCTCATTATTCGTCGCGACAGGAGCCGATGTTGTTGATAACAGAGAAGCAGACGATATTTGTCGATCTTGATGGATGAAGAATGGTGTGAAGGAGGTTGCTGGAATCGTTGGAGTGACAGAGAGGGCAGCGTCTGAGCCGTGAAACTCGAAATGACTGCTGAAAGGACTGCTAACAATGGAGGGCAACAGCTGGGTCGTCATGGCGGGCTATCGATAGAGAATAGCTTGGGCTTTGAAAATGATAGACTGCAACGATGGAAGACAAAATGAAAGCCAAAGTCAGAATCCCAGAGGGAACACCAAGCGACCAAGGTCGGAAACGTTCCAAAAGTTGGGCGATAGAGCATGTCAACAATGACAAAGAAAGAGACGGAATTGAAGCAGACTTCGGAGCAGGTCGATTCGCAATGAGGCTGATAAAGGGAAGGCGGAGGTGATGAGGCATGGGAAAGAGCAGGGGCTGTACCGAACATGAAGAACGTTGATATTCTCTCAGGACGAGAAGGACATGACCTGTGCCTCTTCGATCCCTCCAATATGGACAAAGTCAACAATCACTGCTACCGAAACGAGCCTTGAAGAAATTGAGCAGAACCAAACAACACAACAATGAGATTGTTTTGTGAAACATGGGCGTCCAAGCCACTGGAAGAATCACGGGAGAGAGAAAGCGTGAGGGTCTGTATATCTGCTGATTTTAGTGATAGGCGTTAAGAGCCCCGGTCAGCAGGGCAATTGCATGGCTGAATGAACCTATGTAGATGGTAGGTATGAAGCTGAGTTGAAGTCGAACGGTTCAGTGCGAAAGGAAACGCGGTGGGCGCCAGCAAGGCTGACGGAGAAACATCGGCTGAATTGGACTGCTACCAACCACTGCAGTGGCACTGCAAACTGCAGGTAATTTCCCCCGCACTCTGTAACAGCGTCGCCCGCCGCGTTGATTTGACTGTGTTTCAACTGCGGCTTTCATTATCCGGCTGCCTGCGCCTAAGACATCAACGTCGCCTGCATCTGCACCTGTTTTCTTCCTCATCGCCAAACACCGATTCTTCTTCCTATATGCCGTGACCCTGCTTAGATGACAATGGGACTTCCAATGGATCCTAATCTCGCTGAAATTCATGTCCCGAGCGGGCCTACTTCGGTTCACCAGGCTGAATCATTTGAAGGCCTCACCCTACAGCAACTGATCTCCCGCAAGGATAACCTCGAAGCAGAGTTGAAAGCCCTGGGCACTGTCTTGGACAGTCATGGCGTTACGATGGAGACCAGTCTGACAACCTTTGACGGCTATCCAAGATCAGACATAGACGTGGCACAAGTTCGAGTTACTAGAGCACGCATCATCGCCCTTCGCAATGACTGGAAGGCCTTAATGGACAAGATCGAGAAGGGCCTTCATGAACATCATGCTAAATATCAGGCATCAGACGAATACAAAAACTCTCTCACTCGCCCCCAATCAGAACCTACGCCTACATCCGCACAAACGCCCTCCGCTCCAGAGACACCTTTTGCAAAGGTCAGCAGAGTTGAGCCTGGCAGCCCGGCAAACGAGGCTGGTCTCAAATCGGGAGACCTGATAAGAAGGTTTGGAGATGTGATATGGTCAAACCACGAGAGATTGCGCAAAGTCGGGGAAACCGTGGGTCAGAATTTGAATCGACCAATCTCGGTCAAGATTTCTCGGGGCAACGGTTCTGAAGCGCAAGAGCTGGAGCTTAAGCTTACACCAAGGCAGAACTGGGGAGGTAGAGGAACCTTGGGATGCCATATTGTTCCTGTATGACATCCCATGGCAGTGATTCAAAGTGGAAGTGTGCAAGAATGAAGCCTTGGGCAGCTACTGTTAACCGCACTCTTCGTCTGATAACGATGTGGTTCCCAGCTTGCCACACAGTGCAGAATGGTGCTTCCAGAACTCCTGGCCAGGCGTTCGATCAAAAACAAACGAGCTCGAGGCAAACTAGCGACTCAAAACCAACAAACCAATAGCAGGCGACATCAGGTGAAGAGTCATGGAACTAGGTATCGTACTCGCAGGAGAGCTTGTGGAGGGGCCCAACAAGGCTGAAGAATGTACACAGTACTAATGCAGCCTTGGGCAGTGGAAAACGATACCCCGATAGCAAATGTTTTATCCTCCCGCAACAGAGCCATGATACTAAAGTGGCTGTATGCCCCGTCCTTAAAGATTATCTCAGACTGGACTGGTTGACGCACTTTGCTACTACTAAATTCACACACTTGTCGTAGTCGAAGTCGAAGCCTCTGGAAGATGGGTTTACCGCCTTGCACGTGACTGCAGTATTCGCTGGGGCGCTTCCAAGTTGTGATAATAATATGTACATGTACACAGTAATACTGGTACTAGTACTGCGTCACTGCGTTCACTGCACCATCAGTCACCCGTCGGCGCCCAATCTTTTGCTCCCCCAGCAAAGAGAGTCTTGGCATACTAGTATGCGACTTCCTGAAAACAATCTTTCCGCCTCTTCACCTGCGCAACATCTGCCTCCCAACTACTTCTGAATCACCAATTCTTGTTCTTCTCCTTCATCATCTGTGTGCTCCATTCCACAGATCTGAGTATCGCGGTCTTATTGCATTTGCAAACCGTGCGCAATACACCCTCTGCAGCCTCGTTATCTCCATAACCACAACAAAGTCCCGATCATCATGGCGGAAGCTGCTTCAGCCGTGCCAACCTTCAAGCTTGTGCTGGTTGGTGATGGTGGCACAGGAAAGGTATGAAGCCATATGCGAGCCTCTTTCCGACTTGTAATTTGCAGTTGCGAAGACGACCTGTGTCTGCAGAAACGCGACCTTACTGACAATGTTGATAGACCACCTTCGTCAAGCGCCATCTGACTGGAGAGTTTGAGAAGAAGTACATCGCCACTCTCGGTGTCGAAGTTCATCCTCTAGGGTTCTCAACTGTACGTTGTCCGACTTCCGCAAGAAAGGTCATGCCTAACACCGATCTAGAACCTTGGCCAAATTCAATTTGATGTCTGGGATACGGCTGGACAAGAGAAGTTTGGAGGTCTGAGAGACGGTTACTACATCAACGGCCAGTGTGGCATCATCATGTTTGATGTTACCTCCAGAATCACCTACAAGAACGTCCCCAACTGGCATCGTATGGCAATAATCTATCAACCCCTCTTGGTACCCGACTGACAAAACACGTATAGGTGATCTCGTCCGTGTCTGCGAAAACATCCCCATTGTCCTCTGCGGAAACAAGGTCGACGTCAAGGAGCGCAAGGTCAAGGCCAAGACCATCACATTCCACCGCAAGAAGAACCTCCAATATTATGACATTTCGGCCAAATCCAACTACAACTTCGAGAAGCCTTTCCTCTGGCTCGCTCGAAAGTTGGTCGGCAACCCTCAACTCGAGTTCGTCGCGGCTCCAGCTCTCGCACCTCCCGAAGTCCAGATCAACCAGCAGCTACTTGATCAGTACCAGAAGGAGATGACCGAGGCTGCCGCAATGCCTCTGCCGGATGAGGAAGACGCCGACTTGTAGAGGCCGACTTCTCACACCTAGGCTTCCTGCCACCGCGTCAGGGCCTTGTGTATCCTGAGGCTGAGTTGTTGACAACGAAGTTGGCTTAGCGGGAATACAGAGAAGTGGTCATACAGGTTTCTCACCGGAGATCGAAACGAACTGGTTGCTGGGGGAGCATGGGGAGTGCAAGACAGGAAAGTTGGAAGGAGAATCGGGGTGATATTTCATTCTGAGCAAGTGAAATCAATTCTCGAGTCTTGCGTCCACCCGGCAAGCTTTCCAGTGATAACGATATGAGCGAATGAATGGACGAAGACAGGTCGTGCTTCTCTCATTGACGCAAGAAAAAAAAAGTCACCGCTCAATTGCACGATAAAGTTTCATTTCGTCTTCATCCTTCAAGTTGCGCGCCTAGACTAGCACGATAGCATAGCGAGAATTCAGACCGTTCGACCGAGAAGACAAGCCGGGTCTGGTATCATAGGGGCTGTTCAGCGCGAATATATGTTCAGTGAACACCGACCGACTCTGATGGCTCCTGCTCTCCAATGCCTGGGAGGATCAAAGTGTATTGCAACATTCTAGATCTGCAGGGTGCAGAAACTAGCAACTCCCAACACTCGTCTTTCCGTTCCCACCTGAGAGGGATCAAGAAAGGCAAGCCGCTTGACCAGATTTCAAACATGAGAAGGCAGATCTCTCTAACCCATACCCGAATACCATTCCCATCCTCTATCTATATCTAGTTCGTAGGGGAGGTATTGTGAGTCAAGACGCCATAGTGAACCCCGACTCCAAGCATGAATGCAGAATGCTTCCCCCCGAATATTCTATTGAAGCATGCTCTAAATCTTGTTCTCTTTCTATATCACGCCGTAGATCTTTCAAATCATCAATCATCAAGTCAAGAAGGAATTCCAACGAAAACCGGGACCGGGTGTGAGGTACATTGATCAGCCGTCGTTCTGACTAATCCAGAAGGGGCACCGGAATAACTCTCTTCTCCTGGCACCGTTCAGTCAAGATGTCGTCTTCGTCCACGGGGGTGTTCTCTTTTCCCGCGATCTTGGAATCTCGAGACCGCTTAAACGGTTCAACGTCCAGCCCGACGCCGCGCATTACGCTGAGCACAGCCCGCACGTTCAAAGCAATGATCTCTTCCGGATCCTCGGCTTTGGTGACATACCGGACCAGTCTGGGGAACAAGAGGCCGAAATCGGACTGGGAGAGATGGGCGCTCGAAGGAATCAGAAATAACTTCGGATGGGATGGGTGAGCGGAGTTCTGGTTCGAGATCGGGTTTTGATCGGAGGCGGAAGGAGAAGAGGACGTCGACGAAACCGAAGTGGTGGACGACGCAGGGCTGGGGTTGTCGCTCGTGCCGGGATTAGGGGATGATATGCGGCTGGGAACGGAGGACGTGTCGGGTGAGACCGAGTTGGACTTCGAGTTCGCGTTCGAGTTTACGCCGGGCTGGACCTCGACAACCGCAGCGTTGTTTTCAGATGGACCTGTGTATGAAGCTGTGGAGAAGGCTGTGGTTTCTGTGAGCTCCTCTCGTTCTTGACGAGGGTCGGGACTCGTGCTGCTCTGATTCTCCAGCATACTCAGGGCCTCGGCTGGATTGGGCGACAGGGCGGCTCGCATCCGATTCAGCAGCTCGGGGTGCTTGTGAAATTCGGCAGTCACAATTGCGACCACGTTCGGAGTGGTCTTGTCGTTGTCCTTGAGATCTCGGTCGTAGCAGGGAAGCGGCTTCTCCCACAACCAGCTGGTCTGTTCGGCTCGTAGAGGCATGGCCCACAGATCGAGCAATGCGATAGGCGACTCTGGCGTGATCTGATGGAGGAGGTCGCTGTTCGCTGCGGGTTTGTACAGGGGGCGCCAGTCAAAGTCGTTTTCGTACGGCGTACCTGCCAGTGAGGGAGCTGATTGGTGGTAGTAGACCGACTTCACGAATTGGACCATAGTACAAGCGCCGAAGGAATGGCCCGCCCACGTTATCCGGCCGGGTCGCAAGTCTAGTTGGTCTTTCCAGGATTGTGAGTCTGATGGTCCACTGGACCTGTCTCCAGGGGCGGTGGCGTAGTTGGAGAATCGTCTTTCGCCCGAATCGAGACTGCTCAGGACGGTGAACAATTGCTCCAACTCCCATAGCCGGATGCGCAGTTGAGCGTTGCGAGAGGTAAGGACCTCCTGGGTGGGTGTGTGAGGGTATCTCCGGTAGTCGATTGAGGAGGCAATATTTCCGTCCGCAGAGCGGATGAAGGAAACAGGAGCGCTGCCATCACGGTGCTCTGGTGCCACGCACACGATGCCGAAACTTGCCAGTGATGCACACACTGCGCTGTAAGCATTGAAGTTGCCTCCCAGTCCGTGAGAGAAGATGACCACCGGGTATCCGGAGGACTGGTCTCGATCTCGAGGCTGGAGTGGCACGTCGGCTATGGCCGGGAGACTGGTGTAGTTGAGGAAGAAGGTGAAGCGTGCGAAGATTGAGGACAGCCTGGGGCTTGCGCCCAGGAATGAGGCATATGCTTCACTCCATGCCCGTTGCGGTTGTGGAAGCCACGGTGCAGAGATCTTGGAAGTGGCCGTTGGGAGAGTCGGGTAGAAGACTCGGAATTTGATGGTTGAGATTTGAGGATCAGGAACGGGCGAAGGCGAAGGGATCTCCGAGATTGGGATCTCCCATTCTGCTGTTCCGACCTTGTGCGGTCCGAAGGGTTCAGGTAGCGAAGGGATTGGACTAAGCGAGGAGATCATGGCAAGATATAGGACAAGGCCGGCCGGGTCTCGTGGTAGGGAGGTATCGCCAATCTGAACGGACGAGTGAAAGGCAGGGTTCTAGATCCAGGGCAGTCAATGAATAAGATATCTACAAAGCCAGGAAGGAAACAAGCCAAAAGAACTCTAACATATATTTTGAGTCTATACTTGTAGAGAAGGACTAAAAGAGCGCAACGAGAGTGATACATGTCATGTACATTATACAGGATGGATGCAGTGGGTAGAGTGGCTGATCTGATGGCTCGCGTGCCCACCTTCCGACTTTTTTCCCAACGGCGACGCCGACGATGTTTCAGGTCGATTGATGTCATTCAATTGCAGTTTCTGGCAAGAACGCAGCCTGCAGTGGCGAAGTGACTGGTTGGTGCCTGCCGGCTGAAGCCGCTATTATTGAGTCGGCGGAGATGAAGTCCGTCATTAGAAGATTTCCGTAACGCAAGGAGCGAAAGACAGGAAGAAGAATCAAAAAAGCATCTGGCTGACACAATAATGATAAGAGCACTGGCATGACTCGAGACATGACTCCATCCTGAGCCGAGGCATAGCTTCACATCATGTGATGCCCAGAGACGCGTTTGTGACTCCCTGAGTGGTGTTCAAGCAGTCAGGTGTATCTGATGGTATATAAAGACCTAACTACCAGAATATTTATGGACAGACCAAGCACCCTGTCAGGTCCCCGAGTGCATGCGAGCTCCGATGCACCGTTCAAGTTGCGCAAAAAAGATAGAATGGACCTTTTGAGTATCACGTGTCGACGATTTTCAACAAAAGTCGGGCAGTTGACGCGCCACACTCGCTGAACGCGGCTCCAATTTTCCAGGGCAGAGACGCGCCCCGGTGCGGACCGTCGGCGGATATTATACTAGTAGTACAGTGTTACTCTGCCATGATGTGTATGATGATTAGGTATTCTCTTTTTCCCTTCAACCTGATCATGTTCTATTCTACTAGTAGCTATATTATACCGGAGTATTGAGCGGTCCATTTGGGAAGTTCTGTATACTGCAGGTTTCCTGTGTGCAAACACTCAAGACTCTTGAAGAGAAGGGTAATAGTATGGGGTGCTCTCTTCCCCCATACTTCCTCGCGTTTCTGGCTTCGCTTTCGCTTTCAGCTTCTCGAGGGTTGGCGCGAATCCCCCGCGAAACAAACACCATCTGCAGCTCCCGCATCTGGCCGTGGCCTTCAACTCGCTCAACCACCTATGATCTCGGTGTTTCTTCCTGTTCGCGCTCTCACGACCGCGCAACACTCGCGATATAGCATCCTTTAAGCCCAACCAGATGCTACACAATTCCCGCCTTCTGCATTCACCGGTGTCTCTCCCTCTCTCTCTGTGCTCGAGAATGACTCGGCTATATCGTCTCCCCTCCCACAAGATAGGTTTTCCCGACTCTCCTCATTTTCTCTGCCTGACTTGTTCCCTCTCTCTCCAGAAACCACCACCCCTCCCATTGAGGATCTTTACCTCTGTCAATCAATCCAATTCAGCAGCAACCGTCATGTTTGTGATGAGGTAGCTGTGTTCAATCTTCCCCTGGTTTCTGTTCTCAATACTCTCCACTGTGGTGTTATCGACTGTTGTTCGGGCTATTTGTGCCCTTCGTGCTCTGTCGTGCCAGGACAACTACGATTTTTCCTTCTTCGCAACGCAACGGCAATATCTCGACACATTCAAACAATGTCCCAGGTCAGATATGTCTTCGATCGCCTTCGCCAAGTTCTGGCGGACCGATCTCACCCGCGAGTGCTTCTTGTCCTGCCTCTCCAACGATGATCAGCAGTCGCTTCGATTGGTGTGCAAAGATTTTGCTCACAACGTCGCTCCTGTCTTGTTCAAACACCTGCAAGTCCGGTTCACCACCAACACCTTTTCACGCAGGGCGCGGATGGCGGCTCTGGCTACGGTTGGTCGTCATGTGCGGACTCTCTCGTTTGTCATGCCGCACCATTCCGACACCTTTCTGCCACCCATCCTCTCCCATGGGTCGCTTGAAGAAGTCAGCTTCAACTACAAACCGCGTCTGATCGGCTCCAGACCGACATCGTCATCCAGCTCTGCATCCTCCGCCTCGTCCAAGTATGGCTCGTGGGAAATGAACGATCTGCTGGTCAAGCAATATCCCCCATTGTTCCACGCCGCGACCAACGTGGATGCTTTTTTCCAAGCCTTCTCCGCCGTGCCGAACTTGCGTCATCTGCTTGTCTCATGTCCAGGTCAGCCTGCGGGTCAAAGGTATCGTAGAGATATCGTCGACTACGCGTTAATCTCGTTGAGAATGGCCGTGGAGACTGCCAACCCGCTGCAGCTAGAAACCCTCACCCTGGCACCTATTCACCCCGCTGCACTACTGTACCTTCGATCCCATCTGAGTATTGGAGCTTCGCCGGCCTCGTCACGGGTCTGGAGACGCATCAAGACACTTTCTGTTGAAATGGACAGTTTCGAATATGGCCGTGACAAGCCGTCCGACCATCTCAAAATCTTGCACAGCTACTTACAAACGCTGCCATATTTGGAACACTTCAGGTTCCAATGGCTGGGCGATAAGGGGCCGTGCCCACTTGCTCTTCACGTCGAGCCTTGTACTTCACGACCTACCTCTCTGGATTGCTCCAATGCCTGTCCCAACACAAGCACGAAGTCCTCTTTCAGGCCTCTCAAATTCCGCCATCTGAAGTCAATGCAGCTCTGCAATGCCAGTTTAGACGCGAGCCAGGCGTCGGAGTTCATCATGACGCATCGCAAGGTCCTGCATGAATTTCAGTTCGACCATTGTCACCTCAGATCCGGCACTTGGGATGATGCTTTGGCTCCCTTGACCCGTATCGTCGGCAATGACAGCTGGAAGCAGAAGCAAGAAGAGGTCATGGATATCCCCATCATGCTTGGCCCTGTCGATGAGAAGAGCGACGACACGGACTGTGTGGAAGGACGGCTCTGGGACGATATCTTCCGTAGACACAAAAGTTTTCAGACGCTCCGCAAAGTCGGCATGCGAACAAAAGAGATGGTGCCTGAACAGGTGAAGCGTCTTCTGAGGACCGCAAGAGTTGCGTGGCATTGACCAGGTCCAAAAATGCAGCGCATGCATAATACATAATTATGCTCTCACTCCGCAAGCAACATCACTGCTCATCACTGCTCTTCTTCAAGCCCAGATGGCGGGTGCTGACCATCTAGGTTTTCAGGTATTGCCGACATGGTGGCTGTGTAAGCTGCAGAATAGTCATAATGAAACATTCTTTTGCCGACAACTGTCGATATTTAGATCCGCGCCTAAGACCTGATTTCGCCTCGTGTGTCTGGACACCCTGACTATCTAGGAGCTCCTCCATAGGCGAGTTCAGGTTGTCAAGTCCCAAAGAGACCGCACTTGTGTTGAAATATTTAAGCGGAAATATAGCGAGAGCGGCGGCGCCATCTACACAGTCAGGTAACTTGGACAGTGGAGAACGTCGACCTAAAAATACAGGCTGGCCGTCGGGTGACGTGTCGCCGTTGTGGAATAGTAATGGCTTGCTCTGGATCATGCCTGGGTGATAATATATTGATTACCTAAATGGACAGTTGGGATGCAGACGTGGTAGCAGGTAGATTTGCCCGTATCGTACGAATCCTGAAGCAGAGCAGTCAGTTGCGAAAATACTAGGTAGTTCGTCTGCTGTGGTGAATTCAAGTTCATACCTGGCCGACAGCTACAGTAGCATATCTTGATCTTGTTGAAGGATGAGTCTGCTTTGCTGTTCAAGTTCGGAAGATCCACAGATCTGGCTGGGGTAGAAGTCAGTCAGTCAAAGAAAGAGCTACTCTGTGGTAGTGAGACCCTCCCTGACTGCCGCGCGTCAGGTTGTATGGTACGAGAGCAATCGAGAGATGCCCAGGGGGCCAGGGTTAGGGAGGCTCCCTAGGCTAAGCCCCTAACTCCCCATAGGACCCGGGTAATTGACCCCTAAGCCTCAGTCAGGTACCTGAACCGGCACCGGATGCAGCAAATAAGCCACCCAGGGCGAAGGAGGCTAGGGAGGCTAGTGCTAAGGAGGCACCCGCTCGACACCGCGCCCAGGCTCTTTGTTCACATGTGGGACTGAGGCAACAACGTGCAAACCACTTTTGCACTTACCAACACTCAATTCTCTCCACGATTCATCGCGCTGTTGCCTTTGTCCTGTGATTCCTTTCTTATACGCTCGTTTCAAGGGTGAATCATCGATCCATCCAGATCGACTGAGTCTGGAGCTGGACTTCCACGACGCCAGCTCGATCGCAATTGCGCCCCGCGTACTAGCCTTTCCTCATACTCCTCGCCATCTCAACCACCACGTTAGAAGACAACTCCGTTTGTCAAGGTCGGCGAGATGGTCTACTGTGCTCGTCGGTAGCCGATCGTCTTTCTTCTGTGTCTGCTAGGGCCGTCCTCTGAAGATGTCTTCGCGCGATAGAACGCCGCCAAAGACGACCGGCCCGCAGTCGATACCTTTACAAGATCTTTCCAGACCCCCGGACCATTCCTCTCCTGCAGATGACGAACCCATCAGATCCGGAGGGGGGTTATTTGGTCACATTCATAGACACAGTCGCACTAGGTCGTTGCTGACAGGCCGGCGGACGCCCAACTATGCCCGCCTCGAAGAAGAATCACCAACAAGAGGTGGAACTTCATACCAACCTGTTGGGCTCTCGGTAAGAGGTGGAAGTGGCAGAGAGTCCCCTCTCGAAGATGTTGAAGGATTTGCAGCTGCTACGGTTGGCCTGGAATTGCCTCCACCATCCACTCCTTATAATCATGCGATGCGACGGCCCACTATCATCACGACACCTGCAGATGCAGATGCCAACGATCATGACGGCGAAAGCTTCTTCTCGCCTCCGGACACGGACACGACTCCCTTGACCGAGGGCCGCCGTCTGACCCCTTCTCTAAAGACGTCGAGTTCCACTTCGAGAGGTCAGCGGCACGATAGACGACGCAGGTCCAGTGTACGTTGGACCGATGGCGAGTCGCCTTCGCTTTCACGCGGCCGGGGATCTCGGCTTGGAGATGATCTCCCAACGCTTGATACGAACACCGGCATCCATCGAAAGCTGAGCACCGGCAGTGGTATCAGTCGTTTGGCATCCTCGGGGCCAGAAGAGTCTAGCGAACGTTCAAAATCGTTGTCTCCTTCTCCATCCCCGATGGCCAGGGCCAACTCCATGCTCCGGGAGATATCACAACGTGTGGTCAATTTGAGTAATGACTCGGACATGGTAGAACGCAGCATTCGAAGGAAGTCGTCTGTGCGAGACCATCGGCGCCCAAGCATGTCTGCTTCTCCCCTCCCGGACGAGGAATTGCCGCCGCCGCTGCCGCCCCCGCAGTCACCGCTCGAGAAGGTGCCGTCCGTCGAGGCCTCGCCAGCCCCAACTCTCCCCGTCTATCGTCCAAACCCGCTGCTGGGAAAGACATGGGGCATTTTCGGACCCGAGAACAAGCTTCGCAAATGGCTATGCGAGATTCTAGTGCACCCTTGGACGGAACCGACCATTCTGGTTTTGATCGTCGCTCAAACGGTCCTGCTAGCCGTGAACGCCGCATCTGATGCAATATATCTTCAGACAAGGAACAGGGTATGGGGAAGTACCGGATTCGACTATGCAATCCTTGCATTATTCATCGTTTACACGCTCGAATTGGTTGCGCGCACAATCGTTTCAGGGTTCATATCGAACCCTCGCGAGTTCAGCACCATCGACCGGTCCCTCGGGTTGAAGAAGGCTGTTCTTCAAAAAGCCCATTCGCTCCTTGCTCCTCAGCATGTTCGAGACGTGACAGCTGCAAACAACAATGCTCCCAATCAACCCTCCATCGTCCGCACGTTCACAGGCGTCCCAGAATCCGGCGGCCCTGGCCACACTAAACAGCAGCAACGGATTCGGCTTGCTCGGCGTGCCTTCCTCAGGCACTCATTCAATCGGCTCGACTTCGTTGCCGTCGTTTCGTACTGGATATCCTTCGCCATGCAGATAGCTCGTATCGAAGATAGCACTCACGTCTACGTCTTCAACATGTTGAGCTGTCTTCGAATTTTGCGATTGCTCGGCCTAACAGCCGGCACCTCTATCATTCTGCGGAGTCTGAAAAAGGCCGCTCCTCTTCTGGTCCATGTGGCGTTCCTGATATGCTTCTTCTGGTTGATCTTTGGCATTATCGGTGTTCAGAGCTTCAAATCGAGTCTAAGACGTACCTGTGTTTGGGTTGGCGACGATGGTTCTGGCCAGAATTACACCCTCAACCTAGCACCGGAAAACGTTCAATTCTGTGGCGGATACCTCGATGCTGTGACAGGCGAGCCTATGCCGTGGCTCAAACTTGATGGTCGAAACGGGACCGGCTCGTCTAAAGGCTACCTCTGTCCGCAGAATTCTCTTTGCATTGAGGGCTCGGAGAGTCCATACAATGGAACCGTCAGCTTCGACAACATTGCCCAGTCTTTGGAGCTGGTGTTTGTGATCATCAGCTCGAACACATTTTCTGATCTCCTGTATTATCTTACAGATTCGGACTATCTCGCCGCAGCACTCTTCTTCGCCGCAGGAATTGTCGTGCTTAGTTTGTGGTTGGTCAACTTGTTGGTTGCCGTTATCACTTCTTCATTTCAGATCATCCGGGAAGAAAGCAAGCAGAGTGCTTTCACGGCAGAGAATATTGACGAGCCGGTGCTCGGCGACGACTCAATGACCAACCGGAGCCAGCTGAAGAAAATGTTTGACAAGACCCACTGGTTCTGGATCCTCCTGATTGTGTACGATCTGGTTGTACAGAGCCTTCGCAGTGCCAGAATGGGGAACGACCGGAAGAACTTCATCATGAATTCTGAAAGTGTCGTCACGTTGCTCCTCCTGGTGGAAATAGTCGTACGGTTCTTGTGCGACTGGAGAAACTTCTTTCGTGGTAGAAGGAACTGTTTTGACCTCCTTCTTGTCGTGGTCACCAGCATTATGCAGATTCCTCCCATCAGAGATTCTGGTCAGCCATATGCCTGGCTTAGTGCCTTCCAGATTGCCCGTATCTACCGGGTGGTTCTGGCTGTGAGGCTCACCAGGGACCTCGTCATGGTTGTGTTTGGCAACATCGTCGGGCTACTCAACTTGATTCTGTTTGTCTTTCTCTTCACCTTCTTGGCTGCCATACTCGCATCTCAGCTGTTTAGAGGCGACTTTCCTCCCGCCGACGCCAGCGGTGAGACGATTCCGGTGACTTTCTTCAACATATGGAACTCCTTTCTCGGTATGTACCAGGTCTTCTCGAGCGAAAATTGGACGGAGCTTATGTACAACGCGACCCAATTCAACCTTATCTGGGACACTGCTTGGCTCAGCGCAATCTTTTTCATCTTATGGTTTATCATCTCCAATCTGATTGTGATGAACATGTTTATTGCTGTCATCCAGGAGAGTTTTGATGTGTCCGAGGATGAGAAGCGGTTACAGCAAGTGAAGGCCTTTCTGAAACAAAAAGAGATCAGCGGCTCTGCATCTGGAAATCTTTCTCTTGCGGCGGTCTTCAAGATGGGACGAGAATCCATCCGACACCGTGATGCCCTTGAGTATGGCTCAGCGACGGTCGAACAGCTCTTGAAGGAGGCTGTGGTCAAGGATTTCTTGGACGACCAAGAGGAGGGTCTGCCGAAGCGTCCAACGTCCATCCATCTCCCACACCACAACGTGGTCGAGCCGGGCTTACTTTCCAAATACTGGGGTAAACTCACAGGGCTCAATCACCATAAGGAACCGAATCCCTTCTATTCAAGTGCCACGATTACTCGAGCCAACGAAGAGTTTGATCCACGCGCCGCCGCAAAGCGGGTGGTCACAACGTCCGAAAACCGTCGTCGCGCACAACGGCAATACCTGCAGAGGCACCCCAAGTACAACGTGTCCTTATTCATTTTCAAACCAGGCAATCCGATCAGAAAAATTTGTCAGTACCTGGTTGGCCCTGGGCGCGGAAGTGAACGGGTCGAAGGAGTCTCGCCATACAGACCAGCCTGGTATGCGTTTTCCGCGTTCACATATACCGCCATCGTGGCAATGGTTATTCTGGCTTGTATCACGACCCCGTTGTATCAGCGAGAGTACTATCTGAACAATAACCTGAGCATCACGAATTGGTTCATCTGGACCGATCTTGGGTTCGCCATCCTGTTCACGGTGGAGGCGTCCATCAAGGCCATTGCGGACGGATTCTTTTTCACTCCGCATGCCTACTTTCGGAGTGTCTGGGGCTTCATCGATGGCGTGGTACTAATCACACTGTGGATTAATGTTATCACAACCATGTATCGTGATGATGGCATCTCCCGCGCAGTCGGTGCCTTCAAAGCCTTGAGGGCTTTGCGTCTGCTCAACATCAGCGACACCGCCAGAGAGACTTTCTACTCGGTGATCATCATTGGCGGCTACAAGGTACTCGCTGCAGGCTTTGTCTCGATGAGTTTACTCATTCCCTTCGCCATCCTGGGGGTAAATCTCTTCAGTGGGAAGATGCAAGCTTGCAATGACAGCAGCTTCGGCTACAGTGCGCTGTCCAATTGTGTTGGAGAATACAATTCGACCCCCTTCAACTGGCCTGTACTAGCTCCTAGGCAGGTTGCCAACCCATGGTACAGCTTCGATGATTTCGGCAGCGCTTTGTTCATCCTCTTCCAGATCGTCTCTCAAGAGGGCTGGGTCAATGTCATGTGGTCCGGGACAAGCGTTACAGGAAGAGGCCTCCAACCGCAACCCTTTGCTGCGCAGGGTAATGCTGTCTATTTCATCGTCTTCAACCTTTTGGGAGCTGTCTTTGTGCTGACACTGTTCATATCTGTGTTCATGCGCAACTACACTGAGCAAACGGGTGTTGCGTTCTTGACCGCTGAACAGCGTTCGTGGCTCGAATTACGGAAATTGCTCAAGCAAATTTCCCCGTCGAAGCGGTCGATTGGTGACACCAGCGCCAGTTGGAAGAAATGGTGCTACAATCTCTCGATTAAGAAACGTGGAAAGTGGCAACGGCTCATCACAACCGTGTTGGTCCTCCATTTGATTCTACTCACGGTCGACTACTATCCAGAGCCAGCCTGGTGGGAGACACTCCGGGAAGGCGTCTTCCTCGCGTTTACGGTGATCCTCATTGCGAATATTGCAATCAGAATGTTTGGGCTAGGCTGGCATCGTTTCAGACGCAGCTCCTGGGACATCTATTCCGTGTTTGTCGTGTCGGGCATTTTCATCACATCCCTGATAGCGCTGGCCAAGGTCAACAGCAGTCGAGGGTTTGATCAAGTGCACAAGCTCTTCCTGGTCTCGGTAACATTTCTCCTGATCCCGCGAAACAACCAGCTGGATCAACTGTTTAAGACGGCCGCAGCATCTTTAACACTGATCGCCAATCTTCTGGCAACCTGGTTTGTTCTTTTCCTGGTCTATGCAATTGCCTTCACCCAGACCTTCGGACTCACGCGCTTCGGAGATAATGAGAGTAACAATGTCAACTTCCGGACAGTGCCCAAGGCGCTTATTCTTCTGTTCCGCACGAGCATTGGAGAAGGATGGAATCAAATCATGGAAGATTTTGCTACCATTGAGCCGCCTCTCTGCGTTCGAGAAGCTAGTTTCTTCGACAGCGATTGTGGCAGTTCGAGCTGGGCCAGGGCACTCTTCATCTCCTGGAACATCATCAGCATGTATATCTTCGTGTCTTTGTTCGTCTCCATGATCTTCGAGAGTTTCTCGTACGTGTATCAGCAGAGCAGCGGCATGTCCATTGTCAGTCGAGATGAGATTCGACGATTCAAGCAGGCGTGGGCTGATTTCGATCCCAACGGCACCGGATTCATTTCCAAGGAGCAGTTTCCTCGACTACTTGGGGTGAGTCATCAGCTTCTTTGCGTCTTGAACTGCGTCATCTAACGGCGTGCTTAGGAACTGTCCGGTGTCTTCCAAATGCGCATTTACGATGGTGATTTCACGGTGCGCACCATCAAAGAGGATTGCACAGTGCACCCCGGCGACCCCGTGAGACCCGGTGCAAGGGTGGTAGAAGGGATTGATCTCGACAAACTGGCGGAACGGGTCAGTCAAATACCGGTAGCCGAGATCCGCCGACGACGGGAGCGGATGAATGTATTTTACCAGGAGGTCATGCTGACGGCCGACCCCGATCGAGGGATTCCATTCACGGCGTGTCTTTTCCTATTGGCACATTACAACGTCATCACCGATTCACGCAGTCTCCGCCTGGAAGAATTCCTCCGGCGCCGGGCGCGTCTTCAGAGGGTTCAGGAGACGATTCGACGCAATACGGTGGTGGGCTTCTTTGACACTTTGCATTGGTCAAGAAGATTCAAAAAGATCACGGAGATGAAACGCGACTCGCGGCTCGGCGGGCCACCCTCGCTTCCAGTCCCCGAGATCTTCATCGACAACCCGGACGACATGCTCGAGAGCAGTAGCAGTACGCAACCTCACGACTTTACCTCGACCACGCCAACATACAGCCCGAGGAGAGGGCCGCCGAGTCTGCCGCCCATTGACACGTCCTTTCAACCTCGGGACTCGTTGAGGAGCGCTTGGTCGTTTGGCATGGACAACGAATCACCGGGAAGCAGTCCGGTCCGGTCGCCTCGATCGCCCCGTTCGCCGCGGTTGGAATCCGTGGACACTTCATACCCCGGAGGAGCGGCGGCGACGAGGGGAGTCTCACCGACCACGCCGACCTTGACGATCAGCCACAGCCGACAAGGCAGCGACGCCAGCGGCATGGCAGGAGAGCAAGGAATCATGGAGAGCTTTGACGCGTCGGCGTGGGGCGAGAGTATACGCAGAAGCTTTACGACGAGAAGACCACGAAGTGGTGATCGAAGTGATCACGAGTGATTTGGTACATATTAACTTGACGAGGCTGATGATTGTAATGAGTGGGTTTCTCTTTTCTTTTTCTCTTGTGCTTTTTCTGGGCTGGGTTGTGTGCAGAGTCGATGTATATATTGAGAGCCATGGCTGGCAAGCAGGAGGACGGACGGACGGGCGAGGCATCTGTCGCCTATCAGGATTCGAATAGTTTGAAAGAGCGATGGCGTTTATGTGAGTAAGTGAACTTGTTCTTAAACGACAAAAGGGAAAGATAGAAGATAGATGAAGAGCGGCTGGCGGGTCTGGAATACAATCACACTACATCACACTACATCACACTACATCACACTTCAGTCCACCGCTTGCGATCTTTGGCAACATTTGTTGTAATATCTGAATTTTGGAGGTGTGGGCCGATTCACTATCCAGAGTTCCTCTCCCAAAGGGTTACTGTTAGAGACAGTAGTGTGTATGAGACAAATATTACAGTCCCATCTCTTTGGTAGAGTCCACTCCCGCACACCTAACAGGGGGTTCAGCCGTTCGCGTCTCTCCCACGTGTAATCGTTCCAGATTGTTATCTTGTTGGCGTTTCCCGTCTCCTGTACAGAGTACGGAACGCGAAGGCTCGTCGGAAGTTTCAAGAGCCCCCAAGCCCTGTTGACACAGACGCGAGAAAAGGGGATGAAATGAGGTTTGATGGATGAAGGACGATGGGTGATGGCGTTTGGAAACGCGGAAAGCTACAAGGATCCCCCCTGGTTGTATCTTATCGTCGTAGCTCTCGGTACCTGGTGATCAGCGAGGGTGGGTAGGTACCTAGGTAGACACCAGATCCCTGTAGGTGCGTACTTGTCAAGTACTATGGTGTGCTGTCTTTCCAATGCAGCCACGTCTTGTCCTTGCATCATGGGCAGCTAGCTGAATAGTTAGAGAACTGGTGACTTCAAGGTTGTCACTGCTGTACCAGCATCAGCATCAGCTGACCCTTTTCCATCTTTCTTTAGCCGTGATGTATTGAGGCCGGTAGACAGACGTGCGAGGCGTTGAAACGCGAATCTAGTCTGGGACGAAAATGAGGACTTGGAGGAGTTCACTCCAGGTACGTAACCTACCTTAGCCTACCTTGTATCTTGGATCCTTGCATCCTTGCATCCTTGTAGCCGAGATGAAGCAGAGACGCGAGAAACGTAGACAAGGGGGCCAGGTTGGCTTCCGTCTTCGTTTTGATTGATCTGTTTGAGACCTGGGGACTTTTCTGACGCGCGTGTGTTTCGTATCGCATTTAGGTTCGGGCAACGTCGTTCATCGTTCACGGTTCGGAAGTTTCAAGGTTAAGAAAACGCCTAGAAGAGCCAGTAGGTATTCAGTCAACCCCTAGAGCTATATTAAGAGTAATTGCTGAGTGTGGCGCTGAACCCGGAAATGTGGGAATGATAGTAGACCACCCTGTTCCCTGGTGAGAAAAGGCTGGTACTAATATAGAGGTGAATCAAGTTCTTCAGCTGTACCTACCTAGATACGTGCATGTATCTTGTTCAGCAGCCAGAGAGCGTGTACCCTGTAATCTGTAATCGGTATGGATCATGTCGGTCGGTGGAATCGCGCACTGAGCAAGTAATAAATATCTGACCCAGTCAGATTGCTGCAACAACGCCAGGCCCGTGAGCGGTTCCCGGGAGCGGGAACCTGGGTGACGGAGGCCAGACGGGGATACGAGACTTGACAGGCCAGACAGAACAGACAGACCACACAGACTGGGGTTGTTGATCGCGTCAAAGCTGAGAACCGGACACCAGGCACATCGCGTCTGTGCAGACACCGAACGGCGTGGTTCGTCTTCTTTCATCCCTGTCTCCCTGTCTCCCTGTCTCCCTGTCTCTTGTGTATGACCGAAGAATTGTGATACTGCCCATGGAACTTCCAGGAGCTGTGGAGCAATCTATTCCTGACAAAAAGGCATCGAGGGTGTTTCGACCACGAAAGTGATTGTTTCCGGTGAGTTCCAGTGAGTAGTAGGATCGTGGCATCCCTCACACTTCCTCCTCCCTGAGCCGACTCCTGGTATAATTGCATATTGGCAGGGAGACTTATTGGTATCAATTCCCACGCGGTCTCTGCCGTTCAGTTGGCCCTTGCGAAGCCCGGATCCATTCATATACAGTATATCCATCTACTTGTGGTATAAACCATCTGTCACTGCTCGGGAGACGGATTGACACGTCCTCCATTTTTCTCCCTTTGGGAAAAGGAATGTCTCACTGACCTCTCAGGTGGCTTCTTCTGCTTCTTGGACCCTTTTTCTTCGATCGACCGACCTGGTGATCCTTTTTCTTCCATTCGGTTTTCCGTTCTTTTTACAACTCCTCCGTCGCTCGGGCCTTTTTGTGGCTATCATATTCCCCAGGCAACTCACGAGAAGCCCGTTCGTTCGTTCATTCACCGGCTATTGCTGGACAGACCACTGCACATTCACACCTTCTCTCGCTTAACTATACACCGATCGTTGCTCGCTCGACCTTGCTGGCCAACGTCGAGCTTAGCACCGCACTGCGAAACCATTCAATCTCTGTTTACCATTAAAACTCCCATCTAGCTCCTCCCGCCCTTCACTGAAAAGGGAGATGGCGGTTGCACAGTTAGTCTTCCACTTCGAGACTCTGAGTCTGACTCGAGAAGAAGAAGAAGCATTCATTGTTAAACCTCTACACAGCAGCTTTGGCTTTGGCAATCACTCTTCCTCATCGTCCCCGTCCTCGTCCTCGCGAGCCCGGCTATCCCTCCAAACCATATTCAGTCACAACTTTCTCCGTCGGTCATCACCCAGGAGTTCGAGTTCAGGCGCCATGAGCTCCTCATCGGCTTCGTCCTCTTCTTCCGTCCGAACATCCTCCCCGGGTGCATCCTACAGCAACTTCCGAAGTCCGGCACGGGAACTCACCAACATCGCCGCCGTCTCGCCCATCTTGGGTGCCTCATACTCGTCGAGCCCCACGAGCTACCTCCGTCGTCAGCCGTCCGCCATTGACTTGGCTCTGGAGGAAGAGAAATACGCCGACCACGTCGAGCTGCTGGGGTTGGGTCTCCTCGAACCCAGGCCTCGGGCCAATACTTCGTCGACCGTCTCTTCTCGACCATGCTCGATGATGGACTTTATGCATGACAGCATGCAGACCCCCGTGGTTCTGGACGGGATCTTTGAAGTCCTGGAGCGGGCATGAGCAAAAGACTGTGCAGTCAGAGCTTGGCCTCGTTTCTTGACGAGAGCAACAAGACGGTGTTACTTGGTCACGCTACGTCCCATGTCTTTGTACAGAGGCGATGACTTTTCTTGTGAGCAAAGGGCCACATTGAGGTGGATTATATTTTTGGGTGGACAAAGTGAACGAAGTCTATGAATCTATGTATGTGTAAGAGCTGGGTTGTTCAATTCTCGGTAGTAGCTAGGGATGGATGCAGGGATAGTCTGGGTTTGGATTCGGGATAGGATTGTATGGTATGGCATGGGATAGTATAGGTACTTAGGATAGGATTGGTTTGGCGGTATTTGAGATCGAAGAAGTGATCTGTGGAATTGGACCTGGGAACGAATATAGATAGAATCCAGACCTGATGGTGCATGCTACAGAGTACAATGGATCTCGGACCGATGTAATACTGGTTTGGAAAGAGACAGGCACATACCAAAGCTCTTTGATGGTGACCCCCTCAGCCTCGCGGTTGTTCAGCCTCGCAATCGATTAGTCATACCTTACGTTAGCGCCAAGCATCAGGCTCCCAATTCACTGGCATGGCACCGGCATGCAACTTGGGGCGGCCTCGGCGACCACCGACACTACCCCAATTCGCTCAGCCTCTCATGATACTCGTACTACTAGTTTAGGTACGACTCGGAGCTGTCCGAGAATCAAAATTCGGTGAGCTTTGCTGGGATCTCAGTCGTCCGCCCATTGATCGTGTCGTGTTCATCGATCTTGACGACCTGCTCCAACATTACCGTTCGCATCAACCATGGCTCCCAAGCAAGAATCCTCCGATGAGGGCTCCATAGACCCTCAACTCGAGTGGGAGTTGGAGGCAGGGATCCCACAGGTCGACGACCCATTCATCCAGAAATACTACGCGGGGAGGCAGGCGCTGATAGCCCAAGAGAAGAAAAAGCGACATGACCGTCTCTTCAAACAGACCATGACGCCCATCGCCAAACAGGCTGCAAAGATCATGGCCTCGATCCGCCGCCGGGAGTTGAAGACAGTCTGGACATCTGAATTCGAAGAATCCCTGATGGACAAGAATGGCGGCAACCTGTATCCTGGCATGATGTTCACTCTGGCACGCGACCGGATAGAAACCACCGAACTATGGAAGATCATTGAGCGCATGCCCAAGGGGGCTTTACTTCATGCTCACCTTGACGCCATGATTGATATTGACTGGCTGGTCGATCAGGCCTTGGCCGAGAAGGGCTTTTGTATCCTTGCACCCGAAGCACTCAGCGACAGGGCCAAGAGAACTACAGGCTTAATGCAATTCCGGTTTTATCCTGACGAGGAGATCAACAAGCAGAAGAAGCCAGCGAATATTTGGAGCGCGGACTACACACCGAACACGCCTGTCCCCATGAGGGAGGCGCAGCGGTCATTCCCTGACGATGACACCACATTCAAAAAGTGGCTGATTAGCAGGTGCACCATTACCGCGGAGGAATCTCTTTGCCACCACCACGGGTTGGATGCGATCTGGCGGAAGTTTACCAGCGCCTTTTCCGTCATTGGCGGGCTGTTGTACTACGAACCCTTCTTTCGGCGAGCCTTGTCACGACTATTCGGACAGCTGGCGAGCGACGGCATCACTTACGTCGATCTCCGGGCCGCGTTCATGTTCGAGTATCGACCACAAGGTCAGACGCACGGGCAGGTAGGCCAGTTCGACGAGTTCTTCACCGCGTTCGACGAGGAGATTGAAAAGTTCAAGAAAACCGATGCTGGGAAAAACTTCACTGGCGCACGCATGATCTGGACGGTGTTCCGCAGATTGGACAACCGAGCGATAGCCGCGGCTATGACGGAATGCATTCGGATCAAGAAGAAGTTTCCCCATCTCGTTTGCGGCTTCGACCTCGTCGGCCAGGAAGACAAAGGTAGGACGCTGAAAGACCTGACGCCCATGCTATTCTGGTTTCGGAAACAGTGCGCCGAAGCAGGGGTCGATCTGCCCTTTTTCTTCCACTCTGGTGAGTGTCTGGGCGACGGCGACAGCACCGACGAGAACCTGTTCGACGCGATCCTGCTCGGGACGAGACGCATCGGACACGGATATTCGCTGTACAAACACCCGCTTCTGATCGACATGGTCAAGGAGAAGAAGATCCTGGTCGAAACTTGTCCGATCTCGAATGAGATTCTACGACTGTGCAGTTCTATCCTCACTCACGCTGTACCTGCCCTGCTGTCCAGAGGTGTATCCGTGTCACTGAACAATGATGACCCGGCCATCCTGGGCCACGGCAAGAACGGGCTCAGCCACGATTTCTGGCAGGCATACATGGCCTTTGAGAATCTGGGGCTGGAGGGGCTCGGAACCATGGCCGAAAACTCGTTGAAATGGATGGCCATCGAAGATCAGAAGCCCGCAGAGTGGACACGCACGATTACCGAGGGCTATATGGGCAAAGGGATCAAAGCGAAGCTGCTTCGTGAATGGCGGACCGAGTTCGAGAAGTGGTGTCAGTCCATTGTTATGGAATATCCTCTGGAGCTTGACAGTGATGAAGAAGATGAGGACGAGGCCGAAGAGTCAGACGATGAGGAGGAAGATGAATGAAGACAAATGTAGTGATGGCGCCTGGATTTGGTAGTGAGAACAAAGAATAGACAAGTCGTTGAGATAGAGGTAGACATCTGTTTACGACGGCAGAGAACACACTTCAAGTTGTTCAGGCAAGGCTGCTCTTGGATATATACTAGATAGGCGACAAGGGCACCTAGGCACCTAGGCGATAAGTATCCCTAGTGACTGTTGTCGCCATAAAGGCTTATCTTTGGCCTAAAGAACCCTGCTCGTTAAGCCCGTCGCTAGCTGGTCACAGGGTGTCACGTGCGCCAATCCTCTCCATCCACCTCCGTTCGCCTTCAACCCATCGGCACCTCAACCGGGGCAAATCAACTGCTGCCAGATGCCATCACAGGGTTTCGCTCTGGGTCTGTGTCAAGCTTGCCATCTGGGTCACCCGCCCACTGGCAGTGGCAGTGAACGGAGCCTTAGTAGGTACCTAGGAGCCTATGATACTGCTATCTACTACCTTAGGCACCTATAGGCTGTCTGACTTGTTGGTGACCGGTGGGCTTGAGCCCATGGTCTTGTTCCATCTGCCTGTTTTCTCCGACGTCCAAACCCCCATCAACCGCGACTGCGTTTGACTGACCAGAAACGGACTGTACGTCCTCACGATGCCAGATATACTATACTTCTTTATATCGCGTTCACTGAACGAGTCCCGCGCTCTTTAACCACAAAGAGACGCCATCGCGGCCCTCGCTGAGGAGGGACTGTCGGCATCATCACCCCCTCTATACACACCTTGTCCGATGGTCACACTATCACTGTTTGTCCATCACCACTTCTACACTCTCAACCATGACCAAAGCATCTCCTTAACTGTCGTATCTGAGGCCGAGAAGGCATATCCTCTCTCGCCATGTCGTACTTCCTTCCATCCTACTTCCAAAAGCGACTGCTTCGATATGCCCTCACTCGCCTCGACTTCCTCGAATCCGACGAACTTGATCTTGATAACCTTGCCCTGACCTGGGGTCAGAGGACCGTTGTCGAGCTACGAAACGTCGGCATCAAAGTGAAGCGGCTCATAGATATCCTCCAGTTACCGCCTACCTTTGCCCTGACGCATGCTTCGATCAGACTCCTCCGTCTCACGCTCCCCGCAGATCTACACATCTCCGGCATCGAAGTCGAAGTAGAAGGCGTGGAGATACTGGTTGGAGTTCGTACAGATGGACAAACGGAAACATCTCGTTCAAAGGAAGAATCCGCACCCAGCAGGACAGACCGAGCAAATCTGCCCCGGTTGTCTTCGCCTGCGGTTCACGACCCAGGCGGCTGGGCTTCCCATGGCCGTCAGGGAGTATCTCTAGAACTGTCTCAGGTCATCCCGACCTCGGAAGATCTGGCCACATCGTTCTTGAAGGATGAACCTCCCGATGAAAGAGAGGAGCTGCAGGCGGCACTGGAGTCTCAGTCTCAATACATGCAAGAGTCGGTAACGTTCGCCCCGGGAGAAGACGTCGGGCTGGGCATGCCTGGAGGGCTATCGCTGCCTACTTTTGTCGCCAATTTCTTTAAAGGCGTGGCCGATCGCCTATCCATCAAAGTGAAGGACGTCAGTGTGGTTCTGGAGCTGGAACTTTCGCCGTCGGAAGGTGTTCCCACGGAGCAGACAAAGTTCATGCTTTCAATTGCGAGGATCTCGGTAGACCCATTGACACAACCAGGAAACATTAAGGATGTCCCAGATTCGCGGCGGTCGGTCACGGTCGATGAATTACATCTGTTTGTCCTGTCCGAAACAGAGACATTCTCGGAGTTTTCTGGTTTCAGTTCCCCGAGACAGGGTCGGTCACGCCCCAGACTATCGCAGCCGCGCGCTCACAGCGATATTAGCGACCAGGTGCGTTCCAGCAGCGCCAGTCTGAGTCGACACTCAGAACCGTCCAAGGTGTCATCTCCACTGAGCAACTCCACGTTCGGTCTTGGGCTCAACGATGCTACCCTTTCCGAGTTCAATTCGCTCGAACAGAGACCGAGAAGAATCCCGGTTCGGCAGCGGTCGTCCGACGACGGGCGAGTTGACAATAGAGCACATGCACAGGAATTTCTGGACTCGCTACATGAGGACAGTGCTGAAGAGGCACCCTCCGAAGATGCACGCTCTGAAAATCTGGCGGAATCGAGAGTGTACACTCACGATGAAGCCGAAAGCATGTACATGAGCGCTGTGAGTGGTCAGGTCAATATGCCCGGTGGCTGGGCCTGGCCAGACGCTGCCACGGAGAGTCAACAGAACCGTGACACCGTACAAACTACGAGCAATACTGATAAGGATGTGGAACCCGCAGGCCACACATATGTTGTTAACGAAGAGAACGAGGAGGCAGCGGCCCCTCAGCAGCCCCGGTCAAGTGTCGAGCGCGAGGAATCTAATAGTGAGTCTGTTCTTGGAAGCCGCCTCGAGTCATATTTCCGCACCCGGATCCTGCGCCTGGATACCGTGTGTTTGAGGATTCCTGAACCGCACCATGAAGCGCAGTCAAGCGAACTACAGTCAGGAATGGCCCAACGTCCTTCTCGTCCCGCCGCGCTCCATCAGAGTCGCTTGAGTGCCGAAAGAGGTGCGGGCAGCACATTCCTTAGCGACTCTCGCCTTCATGGTCTACGGTCTGCACCACAAGCTCGACCTACTGAGAGATCAAAGGACACCATAAGCGTCGCCGTAGGAGAGATAGCGATTGATCTGGATATAGTGGTCTGCAAGGTTTTGGTGAAAGCTGCTCAAGCGATCTCTGAGGCACTTCCCACCACTGCTTCCGGCTCCCAGTCGTCGCCTTCCAAGCCCAACGGCAACCCTCTTTCTTTGACAGTCCAACGAGTTGACTTCAACTTTTATGAATCGGTACCGAAGAAGCCCCCGGCTAAAGTGGCTGTGCAAGCAATCGAGTCGATAATTGGCCCTGACCCGGCTCTTTTGAACTTGTCCTTCGCCATGGTAGCATTTACACCGCTGTCTGGACCGGAAGGCGCCCAACGCCTGTCGATTTCCAAGATCCTTATGACCCATGGTGCAAAGGAAGTTCTTTCCTTTGTGGACTCGGTCAACGTTCGCGATTCAATAGCGTCCAGCTCCATGTTGAGACCGCACGACTTTGTGGCAACAGTCTCTCGAAACCGCTATGACGTGCAGTTGAAACCTGTTCACGTCGTGTTAGACCTACTGGTCATTGACGATGTCCTCAGCCGTAGTGGCGGACTGAGTTCCTTACTGGATCTGGGGAATTCGATCATGTCGACCAACACCGCGAAAGGGGCAGTCACCAAGCCGGTCGCCGAAGTGGCTCGAACACGGACTGTCCGGTTCAACGACCCTCAGAGGAGACCTCGAGCGGAGAGTGATCCGTTGTCACCGCTACCCAAGGTCGATATTCGTATCTCTGGATCCGTAATAGACCTGATCGGCTCGGAGTCTACGGTCCAAATCAAGACTTCGGCCATTAAGACCGTCTACCGCGAGAGCAACGTGAAATTGGTCATCGATGGTGCCGCTATTGAAGGACCGCTCCTGACCGAGTCCAAGTCCCGTGGAGACATTTATGCAAAAGTCCGCAACATCGAGGTGCACTACTCGAACGCGCCAAATGACGATGATCTGGATCGACTCCTCTCTTTGCTTACCCCTTCCAGTGACAAATACGACCAAGACGACGATATCATGGTAGATACTCTACTCAGACAGCGTCGTAAAGGCGGAGTCTTGCGACTGACTATCGGCGACCTACAGGCTGGAGCCGACGGTCTGCGCTGGATCCCACATCTCACGAAGGTTGCAGATGAAATTTCGAAGCTCTCCTCAGTCACCAAATACCTCCCTGAGGACGATCGCCCGGGCGTTCTTACTTTTGCACTAGTCAAGAAATTCGATTTTCGATTCGATATCGACAAAGAGTTTGGTCCTCTTCGCCTGAAAGCCAACCTCGTCGAGGCGGCCCACATCAGTGTACCGTCTCTCGCGGCAGCGCAAATCACAAGCTGGACTCTTTCACGGAGCGATAGTGATGCTTTGATCGGTGAGGTGATCTCCCAAGACAGAACTATCATGGGGCCCCCTATGTTCATGTGCCGTTTCATCGCAGATGAAATGGAGCCCACAGTGCGACTGAAGCTTTCCAATACTTGTGCGGAATACAAAGTGGCGACACTGGTTGCCTTGCTTTCAATATTTGATCGTTTCAAGGCCGGTGATGCCACTGGTCAGCAAGGTCCAGTCTCACAGCCTGCGAGTCCAACATCTTCGGGCAATGGAGATGCCAGCAGCCTTGCGAGAGACATCAGATTCTCTGTGTCATTTCGTGACTCGGCTATCGCACTTAATCCAGATCAAGTGCCGGCAAGGGGTCTTTTCGTCTTGACCGATGCTGTCGTCCGCCATGAGAAATCGAAACACGGGTCGACAAATAACCTAGACATCAAGAAAGCATCTCTGCTTATCATCGACGACGCTGCAACAATCGGTCAAGATTCTGCCAATGTCGATCATAAGCTTTACTTTGAAGAGAATGATCAGATTCAGCAATTGACCAAAGCTGGCTTTGTTCCGGTCGGGACGATGTCATCTGCTTCAGCTCTAGTCCAAGTTATTGAAGACAAGGTCTCGGGGCAGACTCAGCTTGACGTTGAGTTCCGCAACAACCTCCTCTTCCTTGAGACGTGCGCCGATTCCACTCAGACCATGATACAAATCCTAAGCGGACTGGCACCTCCTGCACCGCCTTCCAAGGTCGCTAAGTTCCGGACAGAAGTGGTTCCGATCCAGGACATGCTAGCGTCCTTCACAGGCAATGCTTTCGTGTCCGAGCCAGGGCCGGAGCTCGGCCTTACGGCGTCGAGGGAGACGATTGTTGAAGGGATGTCCGGTTTCGAAGATGACTACGACGATGACGATGAAGAGACACAGTATATGACGAATCTGTACGCAGATGCTGACGATGCTGACGATGAAATGACTGCAAGTCATGTGGAATCCGACCTAGGTCAGTCAACAATAACCGAATCCCTCCACATAGCACCGGTCGACGCCACGGGCCAGAGTCCCGACGAGATGAACGAAAGCGTCATGATGCATAGCATGCTAGACTTCAGGACGGACCATTTTGCCCCAAAGACATCGGTTGGCGGCACCGCGCATCGGTGGAACTCGACTCAAAATACATATGGTCTTGCCAGTGATACGGTGTTCGAGCGGGCTCCCGTCAAGGTCCGAGTTAGGGATGTTCATGTGATCTGGAATCTTTTCGATGGGTACGATTGGCAAGCAACCAGGGACACAATATCTCAGGCCGTGAAGGACATCGAGAACAAGGCCATGGCAAGACGACCGCGAAGCAGCAATCGAAACACTGCAGCGGATGATGAGGACGAGTCTGTGATTGGAGATTTCTTGTTCAATTCCATCTACATTGGGATTCCAGCAAACAAAGACCCCCGGGACTTGACGAATGCCATCAACCACGACATCGATGATATGATCAGTGAGACCGGCAGTTATGCTACTGGTACCACGGTGACCGCCGCGACCTCTCGCCGTCACTCCGGGCAGATCCCACGTCAGAAGAGACTCAAACTCAGTCGGAGTAAGCATCACAAAATGACGTTTGAGCTCGAAGGGGTATCCGTGGACTTTGTGGCGTTCCCACCAGACAGCGGCGAGGTTGAGAGCTCTGTCGACATTCGAGTCAAGAAGCTGGAAGTGTTCGACCACATCCCCACGTCGACCTGGAAGAAATTTGCTACTTACATGCAAGATGCTGGGGAGCGCGAAGTGGGAACTAACATGGTCCACATTGAACTCCTCAACGTAAGGCCTGTTGCGGATCTGGCGGCGTCGGAGATGGTGCTCAAACTGAGTGTGCTACCATTGCGGCTGCATGTCGACCAAGACGCCCTGGACTTCATGAGCCGATTCTTTGAGTTTAAGGATGAACGCATCCCGGTTTCCACGGGCCCCTCCAATCCGCCGTTTTTACAGCGGGTGGAAGTGAATGCCATCCCCCTCAAGCTTGACTTTAAACCGAAACGGGTGGATTATGGTGGCCTCCGTTCTGGTCGCACCACCGAATTCATGAACTTTTTCGTGCTTGACCGTGCAGACATGGTGTTGCGCCGAGTCATTCTGTACGGGGTGTCCGGGTTCGAACGTCTCGGGATCATGCTGAACAATATCTGGTCGCCCGACGTGAAGCGCAATCAGTTGCCCGGAGTTCTTGCCGGACTGGCTCCGATTCGGCCTCTGGTTGATGTGAGCAGCGGAGTACGAGACCTCATCACCGTGCCGATCCGAGAATATCGCAAAGACGGTAGGATAGTTCGAAGCATTCAGAAAGGAGCCGTGGCGTTTGCCAAGACGACCGCTACCGAGCTGGTCAACTTCGGGGCGAAACTGGCGATTGGCACGCAGCAAGTACTCCAGAACACCGAGGGTCTTCTCTCCACTCAGGAGCGCAAAGAAGATCCTGATGGGGACGACGAGGCAACCAAACACATTTCGTTGTACGCAGATCAACCTATCGGCATTACACAAGGATTGAGAATAGCGTACGGAGCCCTGGAACGGGATCTGCTGATAGCCAAGGACGCGATCGTGGCCATCCCCGGTGAAGTGATGGCGAGTGGCAGTGCCACGGGAGCAGCAAAGGCCATATTGAAACAAAGCCCGACAATCATCTTACGCCCGGCGATAGGAGCCTCGAAGGCGGTCGGGCAGACACTGATGGGGGCGGGCAATACGCTGGACAAGAAGAATCTTCGGCGGATCGATGAGGTATGGCTGAGACTTTTCTTTGCCCTTTGCATTGACGTGTTGCTCTGGGGGTGTTTTGGGAGATTTACTAACGTCTTGGGCAGAAATACAAGCGGCACTGATCTGGAGGACTCCCTCGGAGTATTTCGTCTCTATCGGGCCCAGGGCTTTGAATTCTACGAACGTGGCCGGCCATCTACTTACACCGAGACACGCTGTAGGACTAGAAAGATTGTAAAGAGGGGAGCGAAGCATACAGCATACAGCATACAGCACGGCGCAATCACGGGCGAGTTTGAAAGGGACTGCATAGCATGGGCAGGAGATTTTGTCGGGATTGTTTTGCATTGTTTTGACGATGCATTGAAGTTGCACTCAGGTTCAAATCCAAGCCAGCTGCTCGATGCTGAAGCAAACGAATCACGAATGAAAATTTCCCAGAGGGAACAAACGACACGAGACGAGAATTGATGAGACGGCTTTTTGCTCTTGTGAGAATGAATGAGAGACGGATGCATCCGGCATTCACATTGCACGGCGCTGGAAGGATTGCTGGACTGCTGGACTGAACCAGAAGGATCTAGGGTTAGGGGTTGACAGACTTGAGTTTGGGCTTGGACAGAGGTTGTCCTCCGCCACTGTTCCACTCACTCGCCTGTTCGTCTGTCACTGTTTTTGTTTGAGGAGTTTGCCTCCTTGCAATCAATTGCGTCTGTTGTCAGGAAGCGAGTTGAATGTGATATTGTCCCTAAAGTCAAGTTGGCCTCCTAGTTTCGAGCGGAGCGAACATCGGACGAAACATGAGGATGTCAATTCTGGATGTGAACCTAGGCTGTTGTACAGAGTACTACGGAGATGAATGACTCCTGCGGAAATGGACAACACAACTCGATCTTAGTTGGAGTCTGGAGACTTTGGTCATCTATAGGTATCTACCTTGGACTTTCAGCCCCAGCTTCCAACCGGTGTGAACGACTGAGGATAGTTAGGTTCTGTATCTGTAGATGCCCAGTGGTTTCGGCAGACTCCGATCTCGCCGTACTAGTATATGATCAAAGTTCAAGTTGATGGCAACATTGCATGGTCCGGGGTTTCCAGTCAAGAATCTGCCTTGTATGCAGTCAGTGCCAGTGGATGATGAAGGAGAATGAGGCTGTGTTTTTCGTGGGCAGGCTGGCTGTGCTGCGCTGCGCCTCTTGGTCAATTGATGCAACAACCACTTACTGGCATCAGCCGTGGCATCGTGGCATCGTGACACCGCTTCCAGTTGCTTGTTGAACCAATTCAAGTGTCTTCTTGACTCCCGGCCAGTGAGTGAGTGGATCGAGGAAAGATATCGCCTCAAGGATTTGGGCTGGAGATCAACTTGAAGGGCCCCAGGCTCATCATGCCAGTGTTGATTGTAACTGATGTCTCTCCCTATCCATCTCTCCTTAAACTTGAGCCTTGGACTGGGATGGGACCCTTGACTCCGCCTTGCTTCAGACTCCAGATCGGGATGCTACTACTGTCTTTCTCCGCTTGAGCCTTGAGCCTTGAGCCATTCCTTGCCACATGGATACTGCAGTGTGCGTGGATCAAGATCAGGATCAGGATCAGGATCAGGACCAGTTTGACCTGAGCTATAGCTTTAGCAGTACTTAGCAGTACTTCGGTTTTGGGTTGTGCGCCTTTACAAATTATCAATATGGGCTGAGCCCATCTAGGATGACATGGCATGCGGTGCAGGGCAGACTTGTGACGGATCATCAAGGGGCAGTACAGTACCTTCGAAGTAAGTTGAGTGAAGCCATATAAGTAAGTCCAAGAAAAGACGGCGATCCGGGGGATATATATCCCATCATTAAAGTAGTATATCAATTCACAAGGTGAAGGGTGACGATATCTTTGACTCTACCAACTTGCCTAGGAAACTCTCAACAGATCAAATAGCCTCTTTGTCCGTGTAAATCATATATTCACTGATTTGTTTAAGTCTTTTGCTACAAGTCGGGCAGGCAGCACAAAAGCCAAACGACGCACGACTATCACTTGGATCACCAACCAACGCGGCGAACCAAACCACTGACTGCACCGGGTGACTTTCTGCCCTGCTTACAGACCGGTCCAGTGCCTGATTTGCACTGTCTTCTTCACCCAGAGTCATATTTGTTTAGAGTCATATATTCACTGGTGGAGAAATGGAAGACCTGGTCCTCATTTCACCTTCTTCTTTCCATTCTCTCTCTTCATCCACAACTTCGGCGTCGCGAGCTCGCCATTCCACCATGGAGATCCTTCGCAGATTCGGCACGAGGCGACCAAAAGTATCAGCCTGGACAGGACAGCAGTCAAAGAGCGCAACTCGGACATGCCCTTCAGCATCTTCGTCCAGTAGCAGTACCAGTCCCTTCACCATCACCCCTCCAACTCGAAGACCACCACCGCCATCGAATAACAATATGGCCGCACCACCTCCACCATACTCAGCCACTCCAACCGGTCCAGCAGACTTGTCCTCACCGCTCCAAGTCACCGGCGTCGCCGCCGACGACTCACCATACGCTTTTCTGCGCGAATTCAACACGGTCTTTCTCATCGACGATAGCGGCAGCATGGCGGGCCGCAGCTGGCGCGAGACCATGGCCGCGCTTAGCGCCATCGCTCCGATCTGCACAGCCCACGATGCCGACGGGATCGACGTCTACTTCCTGAACCACCGTAATCCCAATCCCAATCCGTCTCCCAACTGCCGGCTAGGCGGATATACCAACATCACCACGACCGCGGCCGTCCAGCATTTGTTCCAGAGTGTGCGACCACTAGGTGGCACTCCGACAGGGACGCGGCTGAATCAGCTTCTGAAACCGTACTTGGCGGAACTGGCTGATTCGGCTGAACAACAGCAACAAACTCATCTCCAGGGTCGTGGCCGTGGTGGTAGTCGTGGAGCTAGTGTTGGAAACGAGACTGAGGTTGATGTTGCTGCAGTCAAACCACTCAACATCATCGTCATCACCGACGGCGTGCCTAGCGACGACGTCGAGTCGGTGATTGTCACGGCGGCCAAGAAGTTGGATGCCATGGGCGCCGAGCCGTGGCAGGTCGGTGTCCAGTTCTTTCAGGTCGGCAGGGAGCCCGAGGCCGCGGAGAATTTGAGGGAGTTGGACGACGCCCTGGCAGGTCAGTATGGCGTGAGGGATATGGTTGACACGGTTCCTTTCACGGGGGACGAGGGTCAGGAATTGACGGCGCAGGGCTTGTTGAAGGTGTGTTTGGGCTCGGTGGTGCGCAGACATGATAGACGGGCGGTCTGAATGGCTGGAGAAGGGATCCTTGGGAGAAGTGTTCATACCCTGGTCCTATCTAGGGTTGTAAGGCATAGATCGTGAACACACACATCTACCTATCATGACAGGATTTTATGTCAGGTCCAGATGTGCAGCGCGGTCAGGTCAGGTCAGGTCATGGCTTAAGGTTTCGTCTGAGTCGTGTCGAGCATTAATTACCTTATCCTCTCCATACCTAGGTATGTTTCAGGGTCCAGAAGGGTAAGCAGTACACAGTACACAATACTAGGTACGTCGTGAACGCACGCCCTTGAGTGTTGTGTTTCTCGCAGAGGTGCGCACTCCTGGCTAGTTCATGAGCGCACCCAGTCCTCTTGACCTTGAATGATGACTGCACGGCCGCCCACGGTCAGGGTTTCACAATGCGGTCGCGCGTCTGGCGAGACCTGAGGCATGCAAGGTGGTGCGAACGATCGAGGATCGACGCTCGAGGGTTCAGATGAAGGACAGGTATCATCTTATTATTGGTCAGTCGCCCGTTTCAGGTGTCCGGGGAAGATGTCTGATCGAAAGGTAAGGTAAGGGACTAGTAGGTGATAGTCCCTTCAAGGTCTTCTCTCCTTGCCTCCATGTTCTTTATTCTTTAAGCGAGGCCAAACAAATTTGGGGCGTCATGTATTTGCAGACGAGATTACACGATACCAGGCCGCGGTGGAAGTCAAGGGCGGCGGAGAGAGGGAGAAAGAAGGTGGACAAACACATACTATCGTACAGGTTACAGTGCTATGGCATGACTTCGGCGTTAAACCTGGAGCGGAAAAGATGCAACATTCCCGAGCCAATGATTGTCCAGCATCCCAAATTGGACACGATAAAGTCTGTACTAATATTACGTAGTGACTAGCACAATCGAGAGGAGCGCAGTCAATTTCCCCTTGATATCATTTCACCACCACCAATTCAATTCCATCACCACAACTGGGCAATCGGCCACTGATCTCTTGTCCATCTTGTCCACCCTGGCTGTTGCTTATCACAGCTTAGTCCCCGCCGGTGGGTTCGTCGATACGCCACTATCAGGTATTCTACTCCATCGCCGCCTTGTTTTCCAAGTTCCAGTTTCACACAGTGACAGCTGCACCGCACCGCCTCTTCCCTTTTCGGTCTCTTGTTCGTCCACTCCGGTCTGGCTGAAGAAGTTCAACCCCAGCCTCTTTGCTCGCTTGTCCTCCGAGTCGTCCTCGTTCTCATCTCCATCCCTAGCCGACCGATATCGATCGACCTTCGAGTCGTTCCATGCAATCAGTCCCTGATGGAGCCGTGGATGGGTCCGCATCTTCGCTTGAAGAGCTTGCGAGCCTGCACCGGATGTAGCATAGACCACGAGGGCGGAGCACCAGCACATCACGAACCAGATCTCTGGACTTTTGATCAAACCCTGGTTTCACCCCAGCTCGTACGTACAACAGGACCACAGCCTGAGGGCCGCAGTGGGAATACAAAGTCGTTGCTCCACGACTTGCCGTCGTGCCGATTCATTTACACAGCTTACAAGCCTCACACTACGTACCAGGTGCTATGCTGATCTGCTACGCTCTTTATCATTCGCTCTCCTCCCACAACCTGCAATCTCGTTCTCTCATGGTGCAGCCTCTTCTCCCAAAACGTGCCCTCGCCCACTCATTCTCGTTCCAGTCGAGACTTCCTTTCACCACCTGCGACTAATACTTCAGCAAGCGCCTGGCCCCCATCAAGCCGGCTCTCTTCCTCTCAAACCTGCAATCACCATCATCAAGCGCCTGACATCACTGTTGGCCCTTTCATTGGGCGTCTTTGCATATCAACACTGCTTCTGGGTCCTCGGCCAATTTCTTAAACAAGCGCAACATCTCGACACTCAACTTTCAGACCTGACGTCGCCTCTGAACTCGGTTTCACTGTTCCAAACGCGACCACGAGCATGGTTCCAGATCCCGCTCGGGCCCAAACAAGTCGCCGCCGTTCAACTTGCCGCGATTGACGGTTTGAGCCCTGCTTCAGTTCCACAGGCTCAGCAGAAATAGCATCCGTCCTGAGCATCCACTCCCAAGCTTTGGCGGAATCGGTGACACCATCCGTTGTCCGACCACAAGGTCATTAACTATAATTTCCGTGAACGCACCTGTCGATCGAGTTTGGTCGACCATCAGGCACTGTGTGTTAACCATCTCGCCGGCCCGGAGCCTGCCATCACCCTCTTTCTTATCATTGTTCTCACTGCTTTGCTTTGCGCATGGGCGTCGGTGTTGTCCTTCCGGCTTTCCTTCGAGCTGCCTATACAAGCTGGAGTTTGGGGTGAAAGCAACAAAACAATCGTGATATCAAGGGGTTTTGTTTCGTTTGGTCCCTGACTTACCTAATCCTGAATCGCTGCAATGCCACCAACGACACTCGTCACTTTTCTAGTGTATGTTCGAGACCTTGAGAAATCCTTAGAAGCGAGCTGAATTGTTTTGCGACAGTCGTGCTCCCGCCTCCACCAGGTCGATAAGCCTGTATGGTTCCTGGGACAACTTCTCCGCTCCGTATCCCATGCAACGGGATACGCGCACGGGCCCTGAGCATTGGTCAGGCTGTCATAGCTTTTCCAACATCATCTGCGATGGTGATCTGCAGTCGGCTGTCGTTCCCAGGGCAGGCGGTCTCAAGATGGGTGGGACTTATTGGTACTATGTATGCATGGTCCTTGGTTCTCCTTTACAAGCCGTGTTCCTGCTCATCGCTTTCTCTGCTACAGTACAAGCTTGACGACGATCTCGAAAGTCACAACTCGGCCGAGCCGTCCACCACCTCTTGTCCTCTGCTGCCGGGTCAGCTCGTCAACGTTCTGAACGTCCCTTTTGCTCTGAGCAGCAGCAGCAGAAGCCGCAACGACAGTGTCAGTTCTACCAGTTCCGATTTTCGCACCATGGACCCCTCCGAAAAGTTCATGAACCCTCGTCCGGTGCCAGCCAAACCATCGTTGCCGCGCTTGAACACCTCGCCTACTTTCCCCCAGCAGCCCTGGTCATCGATCAGCTCGCCGGCCAGCGCTGGCTCTGGCAGAGCAAGATCGGCATCCTCCCGGGGATCGTCTGTTCCGGGCAGTACTAATGCGTTGAGAGTCATGCGAGTTACCAAGAAGCCGTCTTTCCATCGTTCGAGTAGGTCTACTTCCCGGGGAAGTAGCAGGTCGAACGGTATCATCGGCGCCTTTCGAGCTCTGGCGTCCCCGCGTACTACTAGTCCTGGAGCTGCTTTGGATCGTGGCCGCACAACAACAACCAAACATGGTCCTGCAGTCGACATCACTCATGGCACATCTCAGCGCAGGACCACAACCAAGAGTCCCGCCATGTCCCAAACACCGCCCGAGATCCATGGGATGAGCGTTTCTCCGTCCGCCACTCCCAGGCCGCTTGCTCTGAGAAGGGAGTTCGATAATGAACTCGACGGGGCCGTCGTTGCTCTGTCCTCATTTGGTCAACATCGCCGGCAACGGTCAACATCGCGCGAGCCATCGTCTCTGCGGAACTCACTGTCTTTGGAGGAATCGCCGGTACATCCCCCACGCAGTGAAATTGCGACATTGTCTCAGCATCTCGAGACGTTGAAAGAAGTGGCGTCTGCCGCGAATACCCCTGTTTGGCCTCTGACGGCGTTGAAGATTGGGGTCGCACGACCAATTGATGACGTGCCGATGCCACTGGACCTGGAGAAAAGGCTGCCGACCCTACCTAACACGCCCTCATCGGCCTATCCACCCAGTGCCGCAGATGGTTCTCCTTCAAACCGACTTGACGTCGATCTTGAAGCCGTCGAGAGCCGCTTCTCCAGTACGACGATTGAGACTTCATCCTGTGCGGACAGTTACAGCAACAATGAACAGAGCCGATTCTCCGACTGGACCTGCAGCACCACCAAGCTCTCGCCTGCGTCGGATTACGCAGCAAGCAACGCTACGGATTTTGACCCGACAAGCCCCCTGGTAGAAGCGAATCTGGACTCCACCCTGGTCAATGCCATCAATGCCTTGAAGGGCGCTGGGGGTCAAGACGAGCTTGGTCATAAAAGCGATGCCGCAGGAATGGAAGACGGATTACCCTCAGCGCTGAGTCTATCTTCCATTAGCTCAATGGCTTCTTCTACCGACCCAAGTTCTCACGTCGACTTGGACAGTGCCAAAGACGCCGAGTTGTGTTGGAGTAAATTCCAGCATTACAGCCTTCCGACCGAGGATGTCGGGTCGGGCGTGACGTTGAAAGCCGCATCTACTGAAGACCATGTGGCACCTTTGGCTGCGGATGAGCAACCTCGCCCAGAAGGGGTTCAACCTCGAGTGGCAGACTCGGATGGCTCTGCCTTGCCTCATTCTTCCGGCATGCAACAACTTCTGGATGAGTTGAGTTATCTTAGTGGCATGATTCAACACACTTGAACTGTCCGGCAGCCCTTTGCCCCTTTTTATTTTTCTCTAAATCTCAGTCACAGGCTTATGATGGTGATGACCATTACGCCTTGTGCGCCAAGGACAGATCGCGATTTTGGTATTTTATGGTTGTCAGCAGATACAACGGTGTTGGATTTTTGGATTTTTGGAAGTGACTCGTTGTACAGAATAATGGGAAATGATGGGAACGGAGGACATGGGTTAAGATGACACGAATTCTATGGCGGAGTTTCAAATGAAAATTGCAGATACGAGCTGGTCAACAAAAGGATAATGGTAGTCTTCAATGAAAAGAGAAAAGAGGATGGGGAAAGGGAATGGTAGTACTTGTTGTAGAGAAGGAGGAAGAGAGAAAAAGAGAAAAAGAGAGGGAGAGGAGAGAGTGAGCAGGCTGTTATAGCAAAAAGGCTTGGCAGGGGTCAGGATGGATTGTTTACCTGTACAAGTCGAAATGGGTGAAATCACACTATACAAAAGTACCTAGACATGCCATGATACCAACGATACTCCTTTACATGTCGCCACACATAAACAAGCTGAGGGATGATGAGCCTGCGTGAGGCGTTTGATGCATTCGGGTCCAGTGCTGATGCGACAAGACACGTTTCTTTGAGTGCGTCGGATGCTCGCAGTTACAGTTACTACGAGCAGTTGTTGGGGCTGCGTGACTTCGCTCACCTACTACTCTATTGAACGGTCTCCTTCGAAACCAGTTCAGTCTCACATGCTTTGACACGGTGACAATGCATCAAATCGCTGCCCGCTCTCTTACTGAGCCATGTCGCGTCGATCTGGTGTCCTACTGTCCCACTATGGATCTGATCGCGACAGTCACGCCAATCGGTCATGCGTCAGGCCAGAAAACCAAAGACGTCGTTGATGTCTGGAGATTGAACGGCCAGAGAGTCTTTGGGGCCACGTTTGAGAAGGCCGATGATCAAGATGGAGACGGAGATGGCGACCTAGCAGCCAGTGGGGACAGACGGAGAGGAACACTCCAGGAGAACGATGACAAAGGAAAAGACAGATGGTTTGTCACGGCTGTGAGCTGGAGGAGAGATGGTAAGGCTTTCTGCCCCGGAGTTCCCGCAAGGATGGATGAATCTCTTGTCCTATCTCTGCCTGCCATGAGAGTCTCTGGGCCTCATCGCGCATCTGGTACTCTCGTGAGAGCAGGCCCGAGGCTATTGTCTCACGCAACTCAACTATTGCGCTGAGTCCAACTCCAGATGTGTCTAACGGCTAACATGAACCAACACAGGCCAAATCCTCGCCGTTGCCTGCGCCGACGGCACTGTCTCTCTAATCAATGCTTTTACCGGCAAGATCGCTCATCGACTCAACGCTCCTCGAAGTCTACCAGCATCGCCGAACGCCACGATGAGTTTCAACTCGTCTCCATCATCGCAGCCTCAAGCGTCAGGCTCCAGCAGCTCCGGAAGCAAATCGGTCAGTCCTCCTCTCCAACCCGTCACCGTCACCGCTATCTCATGGACCAAGCACTTTGCTTTCCCGACTGGCGACAAGGTCCGGTCACGCCTCGAGGGATCCGGTACGCCAGTTTCGCTCGACCAGCTTCTCGGGCTCAAAGCCGACATGGACCAGCTCCTCAACGTCGCAGCCGATCTACCCCAAGCGCTGGCTTCAATCGACGTTGAGGACTCCCTACCCAAGATCGCGACTCTCCCACCGCTTGGCGCAGCCGTTGACGACGACGTCTTCAGCTCGCGAGCCAGCATCGATGCTATCTTTCATTCAGACGGCTCAGCAGCATCCGGAGGCTCGGCAGTCGGCGATGTCAATGCGCTCTTGACCGGTCTACTGATGGGAGATGGTAGTTGCGCCATCGACTTGAAAATCTTCGACTCCTTTGAGATTGGAGCCATCGATATCGAGGGCAGTCTGCGTACACTACCTGGAAGACGTCGCGTGATTAAATTCGACAGCCACCCCTTCCTTTCCACTGTCTTTCTCATCATTGAACAGGCTGATCCTCAAGGGGTCAATGTTACAGCGCATCACCTGGTCAGCCTGGACCTCAGTTTCATCCCGCGGACTGGCTCGAATCTACCCCTGGTTGCGAGGAAGGCCACCCGGCTGGGCAACCTTCTACGGTACATATCGCAAATCCAGATGCAGCTGGCCTCCGAGGTGAAAGCCGCGTTTGAACTACCAGCCAGGTTCCTACGCAATATCAATCAGGCACTCGCCGAGGGCGACCCAAGCGCCGATTTCTCGTATGCTGCGCATCATCTCGCCGTCAACGGTGAATGTTTCCCGCACCTCAAGGAATGGCTTGTCGACGAGGTTGGAGAGCGGGGTCTCAAGAGATGGGAGAAGGCCGTGGGTGACTGTCTCGACCTCGTCCGCCGAATGACCAGCGAAAATCTCATGCCGGCCCTGGAGAGATGCCATGTCATCTTGGACAGACTCCACGGACTTGCGATGTACGGACCCACCAGCTCCAAATTGGGACTGAATGAGCACAATGTTGCAAAGATCATTGAGACCACAGATGCCTTGACCATCTTCGCCGAGGATTTGCTGCTTGACGTCGCGAAGGAAGTCAAGGAGTTTACCGCGTTCATGAAGTGGATGAAGTTCGAGTGCGAGGTCGAAGCGTTGGAAGAGTCCAGCGAGCGGGCCGAAGAACTGCGAGAGGCCTGGACAGGCGAAAATGAAGTCATGGCCGTGTTGGAATATGTCAGTGGTGCGATGGCGCATAGCCGTCTGTGGAAGTATGTTGACAGCACCACGAACGATCATCTTGGTGAAGGCAGTGCGGCGATGGCAGCGATCACTGCAGACACGGACGCCGGCTTCTTGGCCAACTATGTGAAGAGACGATCTGATGGTAAGCCACTACCCGTGCTCGAGGAGATGATCGAACAAATGCAAAAGCAGAGCGACGTCGTGTTCGAAGAGATCGCAGAGACGTTCCGAAAGAGCATTCTCGCCACCTACATTACTCAGTACCCGCGCTGTGATGGCGAGAAGATGGACACCAGAGTCATTCCGGACCAGGGTGATGTCTCCCTGTACCACCTCATGGCCATCGCCAAAGATCCCAAGGAGCGAGACCTCTTGCATATGGTGTCGACCACCCTGCGGTTCGAAAGTGGCAACGCTCCGAGAATTGAAGACAACGTCAACATCAGCACCACCGTCAGTGACGTGGACGAGATCCTTGATGCGAAGATTGTCGACGACAAGACCATTCTTGTCCTTGTCGCCCACCCAGCGGATATTAGAATCTACCAGATGGGAATCAAGACAGACCTGGAGTACGAGGTATGGGAGCTTCGACATGTCTTTACGGAAGGCCGCATGCACGCCGGACAGGAGCCAGCACGACTCGAGGTGAACGGCCGAGAAGGGAGGCGGGCTGTCACGGTGGTGGACGAGGCTGGCATGGGCTATTTGGTCCTGGATATGGATGGTGAAGCCTGAAGGCACGAAGAAGTGACTGATTTGAGGAGACACCACGAGCCTTTTCCCCCTTCAAATTGGTTGGATGGTGGCCTCATCCCTGGTTAGCAAGGTGATATGAACGGGCAAAGATCGAGAGTGCTCATCACAAGCACAGCAAAGGGCGGTGAAACTGGCTCGCACACCAGATCAAGCACAGTACTTGATCCACAGTCTGAGATAGAGGACTGATCAAAACAATATCCTATCCAAAAACCGCTTCGCATACGATTACACAGACGTAGAATGAGGCTGACATCGCCGGTGAGGCGAAGGCACCGTCAGCTTGTGCGGCCTGCTGCTGACTTGAGATTGTAACTGGTTGGTTGCAGGCGAGAACCAGGAAGCGGCGAAGAGCAGTTAAAGGGTTCTAGGGCTCTTTAGGCGCTGTCCTCCAGGAGCCTGGCCCCTGGGGCGCGCAGATCCTAGAGACAATCGTTGTTGCAGCTAGGTACTTGATACGCTTGAGACTGGGGTGCCGGGGTACCTACTACCTACCACCTACCAGGGATTTAGTTAAGCTACCAACCTTAGGTCCGAGCATATTCACTCAGTCGACGGCTCCTTCGGCTGCTGCACTGGCCAGTCTTCAAGGTTGGACCTGCCTGCCAGTGCACCTGGAACAAGCTGGATCTCTAGTACCTGTACTCATTATGTAGGCAATAAACGGTACCACTAACCACACCAGTTAAGAAAGCAGTTGGATAGTGGAATATTAGATGAGGCCGTGGACGCTTTCCCACACTTTTATTGCTGTCGAAGGCGCCTCTAAAAGCTCCTAGATTGCATCTAATTGTCTCTAGTTGAACAAACATCGCATTCTATTCACTCCCTCTCTCCCTCGCTCCCTCCACCGCCAGTCATCAAATCATCCATCCCACTATCCTAAACTGCGCTGCAAAACAAATCCACACCTACTACAACGCAGCCGTACCAACCAAACACCCGTCACTACAAACACTTCGTCCTCTTCTCAACCACCATCTCTCACCTTCCCTTCATTCTTCGCCTTCATCACCGCCTTCTACTGTGTCACACTGCGATTGTCTGTGGCAGGTCGTTCTTTCCTTGACCGCAGGCCCGTTGCTCTTCTCCAATTTTTCCCCTTCAAAGTGCGGCCTTCGAACTGATCTCATTTTGGGACTCCCTCCCTTTCCAGGCCGCTGCCCAGTTCAGCAACCATGGATGTCACAGCTGTGTTAGAGAGCACATTCTCGCCGGGTAAGAGATCTCCACCCTCTATTTACTGATTCATTGTCCATTGACGTTCGCTAGATGCCACAATACGTGGGAACGCCGAAGAGCAATTGAGACAAGCCAGAGAGGGAAATTTTGTAAGTCTCAAAAGATAGACACCCAGAATGTACAGTTGGGAACTCCGGCTTACCACTCATGACAATCGCATAGTCCGAATATCTCTCCATCCTCTCTCGCGAACTTGCCAATGAACAAGCCAGTGGTTCTGTCCGACAAGCCGCTGGTCTGGCCTTGAAAAATGCGTTTTCCTACCGTGACATCACACGATTAAGAGAAGTCCAGGCGAGGTGGTTACAAGGTGTCGATCCTCAAATCAAGAGACAGGTTAAGGAGCTGGCGGTGAAGACATTGAGTGCCGTGCCTGCCGCCGCTCTCTCGGCAGCCCAGCTCATTGCGGCCATTGCGGCCATTGAACTCCCCCGCAATGAATGGCCTGACTTGCTGCCTACCCTCGTTCACAACGTCGGCGCCGGCGAAGACCAACTCAAACAATCCAGTCTGACCACCATCGGCTTCATTTGCGAATCCGATGACATTGAGCTCCGCGAATCCCTGATTGGATACTCCAACGCCATTCTCACCGCCGTCGTTCAAGGTGCGAGGAAAGAAGAAACCAACCAGAATGTCCGACTTTCGGCCCTGTCCGCCCTGAGCGACGCAACCGAATTCATTCGCAGTAATTTCGAGAATGAGGGCGAGAGAAATTACATCATGCAGGTTGTGTGCGAGGCCACTCAGTCCCAGGACACCCGGGTTCAAGCCGCCGCCTTTGGCTGTCTCAACCGGATCATGGGCATCTATTACGATAAGATGAGATTTTACATGGAAAAGGCATTGTTTGGCTTGACCATCGCAGGAATGAAGAACGACGAGGAAGACGTTGCGAAATTGGCCATCGAATTCTGGTGTACCGTCTGTGAAGAGGAGATTAGCATCGAGGACGACAACCAGCAAGCTCAACAAGAAGGCTCGACGGAATTGCGGCCTTACTTCCATTTCGCTCGTGTTGCGGCCCGGGAGGTCGTGCCCGTGCTGCTTCAGCTCATGACCAAGGTGTCCGAAGACGACGCCGATGAGGAATACAATGTCGCTCGCGCCGCCTACCAGTGTCTCCAACTGTATGCCCAGACGATTGGTGGCGAGATCGTTCCCGCTGTCCTGGAATTCGTCGAAGCAAATCTTCGAAGCGAGGACTGGACCAAGCGAGACGCTGCAGTCTCCTCGTTTGGTGCAATCATGGATGGTCCCGACCTCAAAACCCTGGATCCCCTGGTCAAGCAGGCCCTTCCGGTCTTGATTGGAATGATGCAAGACCCGGTCGTGCAAGTACAAGATTCTGCGGCTTATGCGCTCAGCAGAATCTGCGACTATTGCTCCGAGTGCATCGACCCTTCGACCCATCTTCCACCTCTCATGTCTGCTCTGTTCAACGGGCTGATGGCCAATCCCAAGATTGCCGCGTCTTGCTGTTTGGCCCTGCTCAATCTGACTGAGCGGTTTGTGGGCGAGGACGGCGCTTCGGCCAACCCTCTCACGCCGCATTTCCAGGACAGTGTCTCGTCCTTGCTCGCAGTCACGGATAAAGAAGGGGCTAACAACCAGCTTCGGACCGCGGCCTATGAAGTCCTCAGCGGTTTCGTCACCAACGCCGCCCACGACAGCTTGCAAATAGTAGCGGAATTGTCCAATGTCATCATTCAGCGTCTCGAGGCCACGATCCCCATGCAAAAGCAGATTGTCAGTATCGATGACAAGATCACCCTCGAGGAACTGCAAGTCAGTTTGAGCAGCGTCTTGCTGGCCATTGTCCAGAGACTTGAGCAGAACATCGGCCCTCAGGCCGACCGCATCATGCAGATCAACTTGGAGATTCTCAACGTTACCAGCACTACTGCCGTACCGGAAGTCATATTCCAGATTGTTAGTGGTCTGGCAAACGCGTTGGCCGGAGATTTCCTCAAGTATATGGACTCGTTTGTTCCGTATCTGTACAACGCCCTCGGCAATCAAGATGCCCCTGACATGTGCTCCTTGGCTATTGGCCTTGTTAGTGACATTGTCCGTGCCTTGGAGGACAAGGCTCAACCGTACTGCGATACGTTCATGAACTATCTGCTCAACAACCTTAGGGTATGTGCCCACCCACCAACTCTCTTTCGGGAATGCTAACCGTCATCCACAGTCTGATAAGCTTACCAACGCGCTCAAGCCACCTATTCTGGAGACATTTGGGGACATTGCCACGAGCATCGGCGAGCATTTTGAGACCTACGTGACGGTGGTTGCTCAGGTCCTCCAGCAGGCGAACAATGTGTCGGTGGCGAATGATGTTTCTTTCGACATGCTCGATTACATTGTGTCTCTCCGTTCGGGCATTGCTGATGCTTGGTCGGGTTTGATTCTGGCATTCAAAGGCACACCGAAAGGTACGGCAGGACCTCTGGTCATTATTCCCGAGCTTTTATTGACATGTAGTAGCACCCCTTCTTCAAAACTACGTGCAGCCAATCTTCGAATTTTTGCAGACTGTTGCTCAAGACATGAACCATAACGAGGGTTTGCTTAGAGCATGCATGGGCATCATCGCGTTAGTTTCCTCCTCTCGTACAACTGACCGTGATTTCTGACATTGTCCAGCGACCTGAGCGAAACCTTCCCAGACGGATCATTGGCGAACTACTACCGACAAGAATGGGTTACGAAACTCATCAAGGAAACTCGAAGCAATCGCGATTTTTCCCCTCGAACAACCAGTGCAGCACGTTGGGCCAGAGAACAAGTTAAACGCCAGATTCAGCATCAAGGTACTATCATGAATGCTTCATGAACTTGATGATCGGTCATTACTCTCCCCCAACACGGTTATCCACCTCCCCGGCACCATCATCGCCATCCTAAACCTCCTTGCCCAGCACAGCACAGCACCAGCACCAGCACCAGCACAGCACAGCACAGCACAGCACAGCACAGCACGTTTATTCCCCCTGTCAAAACGCTGATCACCGTCAGTGCAAGGTCACTTCTCATCACAAGCGACTACCATTGTGGTCCAAATGGAGAATGATGACGAAAGAGACCGACCACTGCACGAAGAGAATGGTCACGTGGACACGCGCCAATATCCTGACGATTCCCAGAACCTTACCTAGCCCCTGGACAATTCTCCTGTCTCTCGAGGGTGTAATCTCATGGCCCTGACATCGACCGGATCACCCTTGGAGTGGCATTGGTGTGATTGATTTTGCACCCTTGCTTTTCAACAAGTTTGTCGCCGAACCGAGTCGAGCTTGGGTTGCCAGTCACCTTTCGGTCGATACTCCCCACTTCAACTTCCGCAGCCTTGAAGCACCCTATGGCAGTGAATCAGCGTCGAGTTGATGTCTTCGCACAGATGTCCAATCACGTCCCGGTACCGGGTATTTGGCATACATGGAAATGAATTGCTTCGACGACCCTCAAGAGACGTGAAATGATAGACATCATCAGTGCAACGGTTGTGGAAAGGGAAGACATCAAAGAAAAGTCGGGACAGAATAAGGACCGGTCGGATACACGGCGTATTTGTTCGGCGACTACAGACACCCTCACACCACAGCATCATGATACCCCCTTTACCCTTTCCCATATCCCCTCCTGCGCCACCTCCCTTCTTTCCCCAGCCCTTGCACCATCCGCCCCGTTAAGGCCTTCCAATCATCAGTCTGTATGCGGGAGTTGGCTTGGAAGATGCACTCTCATTGCGACTGAAAGATAGCATTTCTTGCTCTGTTTTGCCCAGGAGCATCTGCTAGATGCATGGATTGCTTAAAACAGCGTCTAATGAGTTCTAGTAGACTGGCTCGAGACTAGACTGCCACCGTTATCACGAGCCTAATTAGACAATCAGAGAAATGCACTTGAAAAGCTTGGGCCAAGATTAAATAATGTTCAAAGGCGTTTCCCTGCGCTGTACTTCCATCTGGAATGGTGGTTGTTCGTGTAACGGATGGGGATATTTGAGATTCATGTAAGCTGCGCCGCTCTGTCCGGGTATCATGACATGGCCCAACGCAAACATCGGCCATCTATCTAGTGTACACCTAGTCATGGGTGGTCTTACACCTCTTCTTGGGACTGCCCTGTTCCACTTCCACTTCCACGGCCGTTTCCTGCACCGTATCGGTGGTAGTTGTAGCTGTCGACTCAGGCAAGTTCATGGTACCATTGCCGTTCGCAGCCGAGTTGTCTCTAGCCGGAACGATAGTCATTGTCGCTGTCGGCGTTGTCGTCGTCGTCTCTTGGCCAGCACTACTGCCTTTGCTGCCGTCTTCATCGGTCCGAGGCTGAACACGCTTAGCATTCACACTGTCCTCTTCATCTGCGTGCTGATCGCCGTTTGGCAGCTCACCGGCTTGAGGGGCTAGGGCAGACGTCGTCGTCGTCTCCGTCGTCGACTGCTGCTGTTGTTGTTCCTGCTGCTCCAACTTCCGTTTATTCTTTTTATTGTTCTTCTTCGAGTTTTCCTCATTGTTGCCCTTCTGCTTCGGCGGGCCATTATTGGCCTTCTCTTTCTTGGCCTGCTGCGCCTTGGCCTTTTCGGTCTTTTTGCGATCGACCTCTTCCTTCAGCGCGGCGGCGATCGCCAACCGTTGCTTCTCCCGCTTCTCCTCCTCGAGCTCGAACATCTTGGAGATGGCCGGGAAGAGCGGTTTCATCGTCTTGATCTGCGAGACTTTGACGCGCATCAGGTCGAAGGCGATGCCGATGTTCAGGTCACGAGCCGAGTCGGGTTCGACCCACGCCGAAGTCGACGGACCGGCGGGAGGTGCAGACGTAGACATACTCGTAGGCTGTTGGTTAACATCGACTTGCATCTCGGCCGTGACGGGCGCGGTCGTGACTTCTGCGTCGACATCGTCCACCAAGTCCTCTTCCGGGACGTGTTCGGGCATCTTGACACTGCTTAAGACCGGGATTTTCTGGTACCGTTGGCTGAAGTGCGTCAGGATCAGATTCTTGGCTTTCATTCTCAAAGCCACGCCGACGGCCTCCCCGGTCGTACAGTGCTTCTTTGCCATGGCGTCGCCGTCCATGCCATCATCGAACGTTGCTTCGTGCACTAGAACGTCAGAGTCCTCCCCGATGTCGCAGAACCGCTCGTTCGGTCTGCAGTCGCCGCTGTACGAGAACTTGAAGCCGTTCTGGAACGTGACGGAGACCGCTTGCGCTCCATGACAGTGATTCACTTTGACAGTTCGAAGCTCCTTGATGGGAATGTCGGTCTGGCTGAAATCGAATGGCTTCCCACGCAACGACATCCCTTCATGCCAATGACAGGCTATGGGGGTGCACAGCGACTCGGTGGGAATGCGTGTAACGGACTGGTACTCGTCCAGATAATCGATCATGTTGACTTCGGATATCAGGCATGGAGGAGACGGGCGTGGTCTGCCTTGCTCCGAGAGTCTCCGGCAGGTTTCATACGTAGCCTCGAGGACGGCTACTGTCCCCAGATGGTGGTCTGCGTGAAGATGTGAGATCCATATCCCCTTCAGATCGTACAATATCTGGTCCAGCTGCTCGGCTGTGTATACTCGTCTCAGCTGGCCTAGTGTGCCTTCTCCGCAGTCAAATAGATAATTTCCCATTCCGTCAGGCATGCGCAGGAGGACGGCAGACACGTTGCGGTATTTCGAAGGGGCCGCGGATCCGGTGCCTAGAGTGATTATCTCGGGTTCGGACAGTGCTAACGGTGATATTGTTGCCTTGTCGGATCGGTGATATGGTGACATGTCCGATGGTAACAATTCCTGTACTGTCGGTTCCAAAGACACGTTCTGGGCATTCAGTTCTTGGTCGTTGGGGACTTCACTATTGTCGACAAGGAAGTTTGGCTCAAGGTGCACTTTCATGCCTCGGTTGGCAGGCATGATATCCAAGCCGTGCTCCTTCGTCTCCAACACCCGTAGGAAATCTTGCATCTTTTGCGGGTCTTGGGGACAATAGCCATGTAGATTATCGGATCGGGGGACTGAAAAGAATTCCGAAGCAATCTTTGACAAGCGAAGGGATGACAGCGCGTTCGAGTCGTGGACGATATAGTCGTGACAAAGATCAGGGTCAGAGATGATGTGTTTGATCCCTTTGTGTTTCTGGAGTAGCGCTTGGAATCGTGCATCATACAGGACACCTCCTCGAGTCACCCAGATCGCGGCCTGCAAGCCTTCCATTAGTTGATCTCCTCGGCTGTCTAATTGTCGCTGGAGGCTCGGTATATAGTCGACTGATGGCAGGTCAAAGATAGCAAAGCCTCTCCCTGGACGTGTTGGTGATATGACCATCTCCGGTGTGATCGTCTGTCCTTCCTCTGTCTGTACAGATAGGCCTGCAACAAGCTTCTTGAAGATCGGGCCAGGTTTCAAGCCCAGGCTCTTGGCCTTCTCAATGTCGAATGATCCTCGCTGTGCATGCCCCTTGACAACGTACGACATCGACACGCCTTCTGAAAGGCCGGATGCTGGTGGGAGCTGTTCGACTGTTGAAGCGGGCCAAGGGTTTCGAACCAGAACCTCGGTGTCCGGCGTCAACGGAGCGGTGTTGTTTGGATCAAAGCAGGTGTAGGAGACCAGCTTCTTCGTTTCTGGATTCCTTACCCACACCATTGCAGGCAGCTTAACATCTTTGAGTTTGGATTGAAAAAGCTGGTCTCGCCTCCACTCCGAGTCAAACATATTGTTCACCACATCCTTCCGCAGCGTTTGGTCTCGTGCGAGTTGCGAAACGTCAACCGTGCTGCCTTCCGAGTTGTGTCCAGAAGCAGTGGTGGAGGTTAATGCGGTGCTGTTCTCAGGCTCAGGCTGGACGCAAAGCGCCCATACCCGAATGTTTTCATCTTCGTGGATCGGGCCAGTGTTTGCGTCAAAGCGGCTCTGTTGGGCATCAACCTCGTGGACCGACAGAGGCATACCCGTCCGGAAGACGAACCGTCGGGCGCAAGCCAACGAATGCATTTGCATGGGACCCGCATGGATATGAAGTCTCGGACGCTTGTTGGAGGCTTCGCTCTCAATTTCTCCCTGCTGGATATCAGCCAGACTCAGAATAAGCCCAATTAGTCCGCCATTGTTCCACTTCGTCTTGCCCGCAAGAAACAGCCCACGAACTTTGCGGAGACCAATACCACGTTGTATGCATGCTCTTTGCGTGCCCTCGGCGATCTCCCCAAACATATATCTCTTCGAGTCGAAGTGAAGTATAACACTGGTGCCAGGCGTATCCGAAGTAGGCGTGGTAATGATTTGCAGGTGGAAAACCGTCCGGATACCAACGCCTTTGAGGCCATCTCGATGTTCCTGCATTCTCTTGGTACTCGCCCGAGCCCGTCGTAATTGCTGTTGCGTCACTATCTGTGGCTCTCGTTTGCGAGAGAATATCCGTCTCGCTGCTTCACGCGTGCGTCGAGACGGTCGAAAACCTTGGACGTCGCGGGTAGGTAGATCTAGGTAGGCGCTTGAGGCCTTAGGTCTAATGTTCTGTTTGCTGCAATGCTCCGGTCCACCATCCCTAGGTAATGCCTTCAGGGTTCTTCGTTCCCAGCGTGAAAATTGACGACGTGGATCGTTTGTGAAGAGGCCTGTGTTCAAGTCGCGGCAGAAACGTTTTACGAGGGAACCCTGACGGCAGGACAGACAGTAGAGAGGACGGGTTCGAGAGTCTGCGACCGCTGAACGCTGGACAAATGGCAGGAAAGTCTGTCGTGAGACAATGGTAGAAGCGGAGGGAGCCACGGCGACTGGGGTTACGAGCAAGGACTCGGAGTCAATTTCATTGCTCAATGTCGCTTCCAAACACCGGACTAGGTACGGTCCAGTTTGGATCAAGAAAAGAAGGAAAATGAGTCGAGCAACGAGCGTCTAGGAGGGTGCCTGGTTCTAGGTTATGCAACGGTCTATTATTTACTATACAAAAAAAGTTGCAACTGCGCAATTGGAGTCAATATGCGTCACGCACTTTTCCGGCTACTGATTGGTGAGGCACAAACACCAGATGAATGCATTCAAATTCTGCACCAAACGCGTCTATTGTCCTAACGGAAACTATTGTTGACCGATTGAGATGGAGCGTTAATATATGAAAGGATCTTCAAAGGAATGATTCTTGCAACTATGTGCTGACCTGTACAGGCGCAGCCCAGATGACACTGGATTAAACGCCTCAACCGCCGGGTCACCACGACCACGGCCTCATGATAATTCTCAATCCCATCCCCAATATCTTAGTCCATGTGTGAAGTGAAGTAAGCGAGCCTATTACAGACCTCATCAAGAGCAAAACACCAGTTGTTCAGTCTCGCCAGACACTCTTCCTCTGAAAGCTCTTCCGTTGATGGGGGAACAGTATGAGCAGTGTCGTCGGAAACAGTGGCGCTTGAATCAAAGTACAAAGTGAAAGCTTCCTGATCTAAGACTACCGAATCATCGACCTGTGGCGCGTTCGGTTCTGACGGGCAGCTGTCGAAAAATAGAGCGGTATCGTGTAATTGCGGAACATCTTTGGAGGGTATCGAGGTGCTGCTGTTATGGCTTCCTTTCCCAGATAGAGCGGATAAGTCCAGCACCGGAGGCTCAGGCAATTCAGTCACGGCGTAGACCTGGAAGTCATTGGTGGGAAGAGGAGTCATCCAAGAAGTCGAGGATTGCAACGAGTTGAAGTCGACAGGGGTATCCGGAATGAGAGCCATACCGACTTGAGGTTGCGGGTTGTGCATATGGTGCGTTGCCTCATGAGCACCAAAGTCCTTCCTGGTCGGTTGAGGTTGGGGCTGCGACTGGACAGGATTTTGCTGCTGGCTGTTGCCGTGAATGTTGGGTGGCGGCATGCCAGACTGGCTAAGCTCTTGAAGGAACCCTGCAAAGGCCTGAGAAGACAGGAGCATGCGCGTGAGGTCGGTGAGCCGGTTGTTCTCTTCCCGGAGTTGTTGGTTCTGGGCACGGAGATCGTTGGCTTCCTGCACTTTCGCGGCAACTTCGCCTTCGAGCTGACCAATGTATTCTACGATGCGGATTAGCAAGGTGCCACAAACGATCGGTGGTAACGCGTCTTACCTTTTCTGCGAGAACGGAACGCACGAGCAGAAACCTTGTTTCGAAGCTGACGGCGTTCCTTGCTGGAGAGTTTCTTCCCCTCCTCGCTAGCCAGGAGCCGTTCGTCTTCATCCATGTCGTCCTCATCCTTCTTGATACGCGGCATGCTGGATGTGCCGGAAGATGGGGTCTTCTCCTCGTCCGCTGTGGAAGCGACGCTGGCTTGTCTCATGCGATTCAACACCTTTGTGATACTCTCTTCTACCAAAGGATCCTTCACCTGTGGCGATTTGGTAGGCATAGGACCTGGCAGAGGCTTCTGTCCATGCGGACGTTGTTGCTGTTGCTGTTGCTCTTGACGGGCCATTCGCTCCTTCCTCTGCGCCTCCTGGGCCTTTGCCAGGGCGGCCTGCTGGCTATGCATGCCAGGATAGATGCGTGAGGTAGGAGTAGACGTGCTGTTCTGGGTCAACAATGTAGTTGGGCTGACAAATTGGGCTTGACCGGCTGAGTGATCGCCAGTGAACATGGTCGGAACGTCGTTCGGAGAATCGGCCTCAAAGTCCATGTCGGATGGATTGCGAGAGAAGTCGAAGTCGTCGAGGTTACTCAATGGCATGTTCAATGTCTCCGTGGGCATGATAAATCCTCCATTGCCTTCGTGATAGTATAAGCCGTTCGCCTTATTGATGTTGAAAGTATTGGCTAGTGCGCCGACTGGGATACCAGTTTGTTGATGATAAGCATCGTATTGAAAACTGGGTCCGGGGAAGGTTTGGGGAGTCGAGCTCGAAGCAAACGTGGCGGCGGAATTTGTGATCGTAGACTGAGGCGTCAGCATCGGGACTGACTTGATGCGAGGGGAAGCCGACGCAGGAGTAAAGTCATTCTCGAGATTGAGGAAAGAATCGTAGTCAGGGTCCATGGTGGTATTGAGATGGGTCATAGTAGACTGCGCGGCAGAATAACTCATACCGAAGGGTTTCTGTGGTGGTCGTGGTGGTGGTCGTGATAGTGCGCGGCCCGGCAGCCTGCGCAGTTTGGATGTTGCCTAATATAGACCCGAATCTACTATCATGGGTGTTCCCAAACAAATTGACCTCTGCGATTCTTGACTTCGAGAGGGTTGAAGGTCAATTGAGACGTGCAAAGGGGCGATCGAGATATTATGGTGAGGTGAAGGAGACGAAAGGGATAAGGAGGAGAGAATAGAGAGGAACAAAGGGATGAGAAAGTTGGCACTGGTAGAGCAGGTCAGAGAGAACTCGGGTACTATGGATAGTGGTGTGGTGTGGTGTGGTGTGGGTGTCAGTCCGGACGTAAGTTGAGCACTGACTGCCCACTAACGAGGCATTCTTAGGATGACGGTAGGTAGCATTTTGGGGGCAATTGGGTTCATTGGGTCATTGGGCGGGTGCTGAGGCTGTGCCGGTGTTGGCCTCCTTATTAGCCCCTTAGCACTTTGAGGCTTGCAACAGCCTGTCAGAACAACCTAAAGCCCCGGGCATTGGGCCCTAGGCCTGATGAGCCACTCACCTTGAAGCGTCTGGCACTGGAAAACAAGCAGCGCGGCATGTCGGCAGCTCCATTTCGCCGTAACCGAGCCGTCTTCACCAATCGGTGCCGGTAGCAAGGCTCAGGCTGTGACTTCGAAAGATGCAGCCTAAAATCTTGATACTCAGGAATACCAGACAACTTAACGAGATGGGGACTCTATAGTAAGCCCCAATCCTTAGTCACTACGGTCGGACCAGAAAGCATCATGACATCTTCATGGATGTACGTACTCGTGTAGGATCAGATCATCAGGGCCTGAAGATCTGGTCGCGGTATATCTTTCAGCCATAACGAAGGCCACGCTACGTACGAAACACTGGATGAAACTATCCCAACCTTAAGGTACTCAGATATCTAGTGCGTAGTAGTACGTAGTAGTACCTACCGGCGCTCCAGGTCGAGCAGGTTTCAAAGAGATGGAACCCCGGGTTCCACCATTTGTCCTCCCATGGCGTTGTATTTTTTTCGCATCTTACGGCTTTGGTTCCAAGATCTGGTATAGAAAGTAGAGCCCCGGCGGCATGCCTCGAGAACGGTCAGTATCAAAATCAAAGAGCACAGAGCTAGTACTTGCGCAGATTGCAGTGGGTGGTTCGGGTTATTAAACAGCTCTGTGCCTTTTATCACTCAGTCAGCCTGCGTTGTCAGCTTTACAAGTTCTGCTCTTTTTATGTATCAAAGCATATTATTGAAGCACTAGATATTATTGAAGCACTAGATATTATTGTGTACACGGCTGAGGATAAATGTGCACTGTGCACAAGGTCCAATTTTTCATTAGGGGAACACTGCAGCAAGAACGATACACGTGAATTTGACCCAAGCCACAGTCACGGGTGTAGCCACATGTGGCGGTGCACATTTCGCATTTCTCCGCTTACTAAGTTGGAGCTGGACGCCGCAACGCAGCCCGTGGACTTCCCTCTGACCAACGGCCTCGCCTGTCAAATAATACAAGGGACCTAGGTAGCCATGGACGGCTTCTTTATCCACTGCCTCATCTTTTACCCTTTTGCTGTTCTGCACTATGATCCATGATAAGCAATACGTATAGTATATAAGCCTTTCTTCTCTACCTAACTACGCCAATGCCACACTCTCTCACTGAATACTATTCCCGTTCACCATGGCCGAGGCTTCCTTCAGGCAAATGATTGCGTCCATCTTGCGCCAAACGAGACCACAATCTTTTCGCCACACCAAGCCCAGTCGCTATCCTCAGCGTCAGATCTCTACTACCGCGAGCTCGGCCCCGCGACCAAGCGACTCTGACGGTCCCCAATGGCAGGCCCATACTGTGCGACCGTCCTCGCAGTCTGGCGCCGAGCAATCTCGACTTGACAAACTGCGGAACGAGACCGAGCCACGCCCGTTTTCCTCCTTCCTGACCGACAATTATTCCAGACAGCATAACTACTTGCGCATATCTGTCACCGAACGATGTAACCTGCGGTGCCTCTATTGCATGCCCGAAGAAGGTGTACCACTGTCACCCTCGGCTCGGCTGCTGACTACCCCGGAAATTGTTTATCTAGCAGAATTGTTTGTGAATCAGGGCGTGGATAAGATTCGGTTGACTGGCGGTGAACCGACAATAAGAAAAGATATCGTTGATTTGATGCATCAAATCGGAAAGTTGAGGAACAATGGTCTAAAGGAGCTATGCCTTACCACAAATGGCATATCACTACATCGCAAGCTCGACTCGATGGTAGAGTCAGGTTTAACGGGCGTTAATCTGAGCCTGGATACATTGGATCCCTATCAGTTCACCATCATGACGCGAAGGAATGGCCATGATGCGGTCATGAAATCCATCAACCGCATCCTGGAAATGAACAAACTGGGAGCTAAAATCAAGCTTAAAATTAATTGCGTGGTTATGCGTGGTTTGAATGAGCGCGAGATAGTCCCATTCGTCGAGCTCGGTCGAGAACAGGATATCGAAGTCCGGTTTATTGAGTACATGCCATTCGACGGGAATAAATGGTCAGAGAAAAAGATGATCAGTTTCGGGGAGATGCTCGCTCTCATCCGGGAAAAATATCCCGACGTGCAGAAGGTCCAAGGTCACAAGAACGACACCAGCAAGACTTATCAAGTCCCAGGTTTTGTTGGAAGAATGGGCTTCATTACCAGCATGACGCACAACTTCTGCGGTACATGCAACCGACTTAGGATTACTGGAGATGGCAATCTCAAGGTCTGTCTGTTTGGCAACGCTGAAGTCTCCCTTCGCGATATCCTGCGCGAGTCAAACGACGGCAATCCCATTGACGTCGAGGCCATGGAAGCAATCAAACAGTTTGAACTGGGTCGACGCGGAACCATCGCTGGCAGCACCGGCAATCTAGCTGTCTCCGATACGGAAGCCAAACTGCTGGATGTGATTGGCATGGCTGTCAAGCGAAAGAAGGAGAAGCACGCTGGTATGGGCGAGCTTGAAAACATGAAGAACAGACCAATGATCCTGATCGGTGGGTAAGCCATGATATCTTTCCCCTTTGTTACGCATTTATGGATATATGAAAAGTTGGAACGAGGACCTCCAGATCTCACGAAAATGTATCTATACCCAATATAAACCCAACTTCATGAAGCATCGAGCCCCGGTTTTTCTTGCACGATTCTTTTGTCAGTGGCCTTGCTGACATTCGTACGTTGGATAGATGACACCGTGCTTAATGTACATACGTCGGCTGGGCCTTGCAGATTCCCAGGCGCTCGTTCACCCGTCAATGCCAGCGCGTTCCTCCAGTCTGTGGTCCCTGTGCATTTGTTACAGCGGGCCCATTCGCCAAATCTATGGTCACAAGTACGCAGTATCTCCAATCTGCCTTCTCCTCGGTCGGTCGTGCGTCACTTGCACAGCCAGTCAAATGCCACACGACCACACCTTCGCCACAGCTCCTTTCGGATCCAACTCGGACAGTCCCTCTTTCGAAGGGTGCCGTCGAAGAAACCAAAAACCATCCCAGCAACCGCGGCCCGCTCATGGCAGGAAAGTCGGCAGCGAGTTGAGTCAGGCACGGGAGGCAGCCCAGCCCAGTACGCCCGCTATCTAACACGAGATATCGTAACAAGAAGGTCTTTACGACATAGCGCGATGCATTCTGATGTCAACCAGTCTTTTTTCCCTAGCTGGTCACTCAGGAGGAAGCAGTCAACCAAATCTCGAGACCCCGGCGCGGATGATTCCTCCCCGTCACCAACAATGAATCCCTCTCCAACCAAGGACCAGCCTCCGACACTCACCCACCTGACCTCGACTGGGGAAGTGCACATGGTTTCTATCGCGGGCAAAACGCCCACTGCACGCTCTGCAACTGCCACCTCCTTGCTTCTCTTCTCGCGGCCGGAGACCTATAGTGCGTTGCTCGCGGCGCGGCTTCGGAAGGGCGACGCGCTTTCTGTGGCTAGGATTGCTGGCATCCAAGCTGCCAAGAAGACCTCCGACCTTATTCCCCTTGCACATCCGGGACTCGGCATCACCGCCGCCTCCGTGCGGCTGGAGCCTTTTGTCGGTAACAAGCTGCCATATCCTCTCACGAAGAAAGGCCTAGGTCTGGACGAAAACGCACGGCCCTTGCAAGGTGGAGTCTTGATTACGGCGACGGTGAGTTGCGAAGGCAAGACCGGCGTCGAAATGGAAGCTATTACCGCCGCGTCCATTGCAGGGCTGACCATGTATGACATGCTCAAGGCCGTGGACAAGTCAATGGTCCTGACGGAGACGCGCGTGATCGCCAAAAGCGGCGGCAAATCAGGAGACTGGGCATGGGATTACCATTCGAACAAGATCGTCAAGGCCCCCGAAGTCAACGAAGAGAAAGAAAAAGAGAAGGACCTGGAGAGGCAGCATCAAGCTCTCAAGGACAAGGAGATTCGGGACAGAATCCGAGCTCAGCAGTCGGCTACCGCTGACGATAACGGTATGCTAGAAGGCTTGGATTCCGACCCGACGGGCATTGCGACCATACCTGATGGTGTCGATGCCAATAACACGGATGCGAAACGGGGCTCCGTTTCCGCCGATGATTTTCGAGCCAGTAGAAGAGAGCGCCTCGCTCGCAACCTGGCGGCCCGTGGGTCACAGCGGGTCGGAGAGGCGTTGCCAGATCGATCGGAGAGCGGACCAGGCAAATCTTAGCCTCTGATGTCTGCAAGTCGATCAGACGAGGCTGGAAAGGCTCACCGCTGACGGCCGGACAGCTGGTACATTGACGCACGCCAAAGGTTGTTTGGCCGCCGGCGCTCGGTTAGAGATATGATCCATCTCCCAGCACCAATGTCAACATGATCATGGAAGGAAGTGTGCGGAGAGGAAGAGAATATCTCAGCCAAACTTATGTATATATCCATATGCTGTCAGAGCTCATATTTGCTAGACAGGCAGAACCTGATGAGAAATGTCTCGAATATATTGTCCAATCAACTTGAAGCAAGATCAAAGCAAATGGTATCCAACTCCCAGACACCGGTTTACCTCAAGCGTTCATCTATCCAGGGTATCTTCTATATTTCCGTCCAGCGCAACAACCATGCAAAGCCATCTATACGAATGCGTCTACCATTGAATGCACCTAAAGCCAAAAGAAAAAGAAAGCAGTCTTTCATCTCAGCCAAACTTGTTCGTACACTCCTCCTAGAGGCCTTGTCCCGGCCAATTCCTCCATGAATTTCTCCGAGACAGGCGTGATGAGCGGGCTCCACCGCCCGAACCGCGTCTTCGCCCAATCGAGACAGAAATAGTGTGTGCGCAAGAACTCGGGCGGCTGGCGCCTCAGCGCAATCCCCGGAGAAGACGAGGGCAGCACCTTCCACCGGCTCTCGTACAGTGTCGGACCAATGGCGAGCTGGTCTAGACTGGGCCGGCTTCCGCCCACGAGGGCGGGAAAGACCCATTCGATGAACTTGGTGGCATACTCCTTGATACTGTAGTCGCCCAGCTGACTGAAGACGTGGTTCTCGGGGAAGTTGCGGATGTGGATGGTTTTGAGGTGTTGCAGGGCAGGAAGGGCAGTCTTGCGTAGCCGCACGATCTCGTCGTTCCAGGGGAAACCCATGCCCAGCTCGACTAGATTGGGGCACAGCCGCGCGATGTCGTTGATGGATTCTACCCATAGCTCCTGGCTGTACCCGCCGGCGCCGAACGGACGTGACGTGTCCAGGCCCAAGTGCTCGCGAGGTTGAATTCGGGATTCGAGGACGAGTGTGTGCATTGTTGGGCCGTGGTTTGCGATGAAAGTCGACGGTGGCTCGAGGATCGCGCCGTTCTCGAAGAGCAGGGATAGAGTATGCAGGCCGTTGAAGGAGTTGACGAAGCGGATGATCGAATTCTTGATCGCGACGGTCGGGTTCTCGTGCCGGAATAGGAAATGCTTCAGGGAAGGCGTGACGCGTGGGGTTTGAGGACCCTCAGAGGAGTGCAATGTCCAGTCGAAGGTGTTGGCAATCAAGTCCAAGAACTCTGCGCTGCCGGGACAAGATTCTAAGGTCAGCCGGTCAAGTCTGCAAAAGACTAGAGCCTCAGGCACAGATGCTGGTCGGAGTCTGGCAACGTTCAAACCATGTAGAGACAATTCCTGCAGGCTGATGAAGTCCTCGAGGTGAAGAGCAGCCATAAATAAACTATCCCTTGGTTGAGGAATCTGGTCCAGACCATCCGCTCGTGCCTGTTGGTATTTGTCAATCAAATGCCTCTCTTGTCCCAATTTCAGTTTCTGTAACGTCTTCTTGTTCTCGGCTATGATCTTCTCGATCCCTTCGCCTTCGCCGACCGTCCTACATTCGAAGCCCGTCAGGCTTTTCGGGATAGGCGTATCCCCCTTCCAAGAATCGAACTCGCCGACACGCAAATGCTGGAGCGTTTTCTCATGTCGCTGGACTAGCAGGTCGAGAACTTTGGGAATTAATGGCGCTTGATGCAGAAACCTGCTATATGTTAGTGGAGGGCCAAATCAGAGAGTAGTGGTAATCGGCAATACTCACGCAAAAGCCGTCAATCTGCCAGCAGGGACCTTGTCCAATATCTCTTCCACAAAGCCGTTGGCCGAGACCGCGTCGGGCGCTCCACTCCTACGGTTGTATGTTGACTTCCTCTTGTTGGACAAAGTATTTGTGATGGTGAGTTGCCGAACGCTCTGAGTGACCGGGTGGCGGAATGGAGCTGATCCAGGCTTCCCAGAGTCGACCGGTCGAGGGAAATCGCAGTCTATACTGTGGTAGAGTCGAGTCATAACCTTGTCCTCGAGAACGCGACAAGTTCTAGAAAGATTGTAGAGGTCCCTCCGCTCGTCAAGCTGAATGAACCATCATCAGCACATTCGCCTCACATGGTTCGCTCGGTGACCCACGTAATCAACTATATGGAATTTGAGTTCGTTTGGTAGATTCAACAGCCGACAAGGCTGCGCGAACAATGGGGCCTCCATGGCCAGGAATTGTGAAATCTCACAGGCCAATGCGTATAGCCAGCGATATGGCGGTGGCACAAGGTCTGGACATGAGCACGGTACGACAGAAAGTGCTACAGAACTCTTCTTGCCCACCGAGTTATATATAACAATGGGCAAAATATACGGAGCGGAAACCCGCAGCCGCAAGGAAAATGGGACCAGGGGAAGCGAGGGCGGTCAGCCTCAGCGCCACATGAAATGCATCATCATGTCAGACGGAAGGTTCCTTCAGAATTCAATCTCTTGACCCGAGCACACGGATTGAACAGCGTTCAGGAGTCGGTAGGATACGGAAGGGCGATAAGCGCGATCAATGCGTGGCCAATTTTGATGACCGGAGTTGCAAGAAGGAGCGAAAGAGAAACTCGACTGGAACAACGGATATTGCGGATAGGATGCCGTAACGAGCTCTGAGTGAGACGCCACAAGGCTTGGGACTCCCGCTTGGGTTCGCAAAATGACTGGATGGAGGTCCCGTTGCAGAACAATGAGGATGTGCTCGTTGTAAGGATTTGTCGAGACGATGAAGAAGAACCTTGACGCACGGGACGAGAAGGTAGAATGCGATAATGTGGTTGCAATGACAGCCTTCATGAAGGTCCACATTCCCCAAAGCGATCGGACTCTGTATTAATGCGCACGAACAATATTTCTTGACATGGACCAGCTTCGCCTGATGGATGACAGGGGCGGCCGCTTCCGCCGTCTACTTATGCCAAATCGGTCATATCTCTGGTCCTCATTCCCTTCGCGGGCACCAGATGGGTCTAGGACTCCATCAAGCGTTCTGGTCCTCGTTACGGGATTTGCTTCGGGCAGGACAGAGGTAGTGCTGAGGCTGGTAAACCTGAGGAGATGTAAGCATCAGTTTGAGTCAGCAACAATCCCGGCAAGGGCTGCTGTTCATGCCAAAGAACAATGTTACCTTATGTGTATGTAGGAAATTCATTCCGAGTAATCTTCCTACACCACAAATTGGCGACGGCGGCTGCGGTTGCGACTGTGCCAACCATTTTCCCTTTTCTAACCCGCCTGTCGTCCGCAGTCTGTTTGCGTCGCCGTAGACTAGCGTTTAGATGCGGGAAAACATAAATCCAGCCCCGATGCTGGACTCGGACCTCGTCCCACTCACAGATGGGAGGCCTCCTACTACGTAAAGTACTACAATCCAACGGCACGCAGTCACACTGAACAGAGGGACCGGCACAAGGATCGGGACAAAGGCTGGATTTTGAGGACAGTCTGAGATATCTGCGTGCTTGCTTATAGTGCGATTTGGATTACGACGCCAGATAACACCTGACATCTTAGGACCGGACACTTCCAGCATTTTGTCTTCGCCACCTGAAGCATCAACCCAGTGCTTATCACCTCTCCGGCCATAAAAAAAGATCTCGATAGGGGGTTCTTCTTTCCTGGAGGCCGCCGTGGTCAAACTGAAGAACAGGGAGCAAAGCACAACTGATGGAAATACAATCTACTGTAAGTGATATCCTTTTTGTTGATGATGTTTGTCCAGCCAGAAAGACATGAGGAGGGCGACAGGACCATCAGGCAGTCAATCTTGCAGCTTAGACTTGTGCTTTTGAAGTCCTCCCATGCCAGCAATGAATTACGCGCCATGTCTGTCGTTCTTTCCTCATGCAGGTTTCATCTCGCGACCTTCTTTTTCTACATCACGCGATCTTCAACGCCCAAACCCTCAAAGCATGGAGCACAAAGACGCAGACGCGGCCAGTACTGCTGGTGACAGTTGTACCACAGACAGCCTCGAAGAGCGGCTGAAGGTGGCTAGCCTTAACGCAGAGCGCAATCGCGATACCCAGTTTCCTGCCGTATTTGACTATGTTGAACCACCAAAGACTAACGCCGCTGATATCAGACCATACCTCAAAACTCCAGAAGATGAGGAGCGGGCGCTGACCGCAGACTACTCGAACCGCCCATCTCTTTCTCAATCCTCCTCATCTCACGCTCCTCCCACTTCAGGATTCTTTGAGCACTCTCCATCGGATGCCATGATGGACCGCAAGTTGCGCCAGAACAAGCCTCGCTTGCTCCTTATGGGGCAGCGGAGGTAAGAATGAACTTTCTCGCCTGTCAAGGCCATCTCTAACAAGTCTCAGGAGTGGCAAGTCATCCATTACCAGCGTCGTGTTCCACAAGATGCCTCCTCAAGAAACCCTTTTCCTTGAATCTACAACTCAAATCCAGAAGGACTCGATGCGCTCATTCATGGATTTCCAGGTCTGGGACTTCCCTGGACAACTCGACTACTTCGATCCCACCTTCGACACCACCGAGATCTTCTCTGAGATCGGCGCACTAGTTTGGGTGATCGACGCGCAAGATGACTATTCTGACTCCCTGAACCGTTTGACAACCACCATTCTCAATCTTCAGACCACGTTCCCGCACATCAACGTCGAGGTGTTCATTCACAAGATTGATAGTCTCAATGAAGAATTCCGCTCCGATATCTACCAGGACATTGTGCAGAGAGTGGGTGATGAACTGAGCGATGCAGGCTACATCAACCCCAATGTCAGCTACCATTTGACGTCGATCTACGACTACTCCATCTTTGAGGCTTTCAGCAAGGTCATTCAGAAGCTAATCCCTCAGCTCGACACTCTGGAGAACCTGTTGAACATTCTGGTCAACAGCTGTGGGATGGCGAAAGCATACCTGTTCGATATCTGGAGCAAGATCTACGTCGCAAGTGACACTAGACCCATCGACATGGAAGTGTACGAGATGTGCTCCGACTACATTGATGTCATCGTCGACATCACCGATATCTACGGATACGACCGCACCCACGGAAAGGTCCTTGGAGAGCAGATGCAGGAAGCCGAGTCGTCTGTGACTATCCACGATGGAACGATGATCTACCTCAAAGAGATGAACCAGTAAGCACTGACACTTTCGGTTCCAGCTCCAGTTTCAGTACTGACCCATCGCAGGTACCTCTGCCTTGTTACGGTTATCAAGAACGATGAAGCCAAAGACAAAAAGGGCTTGATCGACTACAACTGCCACATCTTTCAAGACGCATTGAATGCAGTATTCGCACGAGCCTGGGAGAAGGACAAGCCAAGCGAGGACGGAGAAGAAGAAGAAGGACAGAAGCCAGGCAAGACACCAGCACAAGGTCAACTTGAGGCGCAATTGGAGAATTAAAGCCAACGTGTGTACCTTTATGCGGGAGGTGACGAGAGTCAGCGTCAGGTCACTCCTGTCTGCTGGGTGAGGCATTCAAGATTTCCTGTCAGTGTCAATGGTGGTCACCAATGAGTGGCGCATACACAGCACCAATTAGCTACAACATGTCAGGTAGCTTCACGCGGCATTGAGCGTGCGCGAACAGCGTGCGCAACATCCAGGAAATAAATGAGACGGCGAGATGGCCGCATCAAAACATGAATATCCAGTATCAGTTGAAGGTGGCCCAGATTATGATGTTTTCTCGTGGTTGTCGCTGTCGTTGTGATTGTAGTCGTCGTCGTCGCCGCCGCCTGCGCGTGCGTCTGCGCGTCAGGCTCTACCAAACGGTGCCAAGCCTGACATCAACCTTGTCAGACCCGCAATTCTCGCCAGGATGGAAACAAATTCCTTCATCTACATGCAGACTCGCTTCACAACTGAGGCAGAAAATCCTATCAGTCTTCTAAAGGACGTTGACGGCATTGATACCTTCGCCAACGACCTTCAACAAAACCAGAAGACGGGTAGCGCAGGCCACACTCGCCCCCGACAGTCCCTCAACCCACGCATCCAGTTTTTGCGCCTTTCGGCTCTGGTTCGATCGCGAACCGGCGTATTAGGAGCGACTCCTCCATATCAGCCCGTGCCGCCATCTTTGTATCGATCCCCCACCGTCGAGCCGGAGCAGGAGTTAGACGCGCGATCCGAGCATAGGGGGTCTTCTCCCTTGCGTAATCTCGCTTTCTCACGCTGGCCGCCGGTGTATGAGTCACAACGACGCACGCCTATATCTGACCCAATCATCTCGACCAGGCTGCGACGAAATCTCCGCTCGAGGAACAGCAGGATGCCTCAGACAGGATTTCAGGCTCTGATTTTATGTGGTCCTGGTATTGGACTCAGCACCTTCACCAGTGTCCCGGCAGAATATCCCAAGGCCTTGGTTGAAGTCGCCAATCGGCCTATGGTCTGGTATGTCCTGGATTGGTGCTATCGAATGGGCGTGACAGACATCACTCTTATCACTCCCCCAACGTCAAAGGGTTCAATAGCTGCCGCCCTCGCACAGAATCCATACTTGACTTCTCTACCGTCGCCAACTCCTGACCTGCTAGCTCCCGAGGAACTGGAATTTACGACGCCGACTGCGGAGCTCCTCAGATTACCAGAGGTACAAGCTAACATCAAGTCCGATTTCCTTGTTCTACCCTGCGATCTCATCTGTGCTGTCTCGGGAGATGCCTTCCTCGAGACCTATCTAACGAGGCTGGGAGGACCAGGTGGAATCGGTAGTAGCACAGGTCTAGACAATGATACATCTAGAAACGAGCTTCTAGCGCTTGGAGGCGAACGTCGAGGACGACGTGGTGGTCTGTCAATATGGTACAATACCGTTGACCGAGAGGAGAGCGTCAAAGGCGAGGAATGCGACTTTATGTGCACCACCAAAGTCGACCCCGAACACGACATACCGCTTTCGAAAACTGCATCCTCGCAAACACAAGGAATCCTTCGCAAACTTGTCTGGACGATGCCCATGTCCGAGCTTTGGGATCATTGCGAGGAGAACAAATCGTGGAAGATTCGACAGTCTCTCCTCCGGAAACATGGCGCGATCAAGTGCATGACCAGATACCGAGACTCTCATATTTACCTCTTCCCTTATTGGGTCAAGGATTTCGCGAAGCTGAACGAGGATTTTGAATCCGTTAGCGAAGATCTTGTGGGCACTTGGGCGAAAGCTGAATGGCGCAAGCCTTCCTACCGAGCTCGGTTTGGCGCGAGAAAGATTTTCTCCCAGAAGAACTCTCTAGAACGGAGTGAACTCCTTTCCCATGAGCGGCCGATCGAGGAGGAAATCGATTTGCTATCGCTCAGCAGCACACAAATTACCGCACAACCAGTATCCGAGTCGCCGCCCACGGTACGCACCGCCAGACTTGCATCGAGAGTTCACGCCGACGCAGAAGACAGCATCCTTTCCCCATCTGAAGAGTCTCAAGCGGGGGAGGAAGCAGGACCGATACCTCTCGTCCCTCCCATTTTGTCTTACATCCTCCCATCCGCGCCTGACGCGCCGCTGGTGCGCAGAGTCGACACCACACCACTTCTCCTGTCCGTTTCCCTTTCTCTTGCGAAGCTGCCAGCCATAGAAGAATCTTTAGCCGCCAGAATACCGGTGTCTCCATTCGCACACCAGTCCAAAATACACGCAACTACGACGATCGCGCCGCGCGTGACCATCTCGCGTGCCGACACGCTTATCGACAGCAATGGTACGATCGCGACGCAGTGCGTAATCAAGTCTAGCGTGATCGGTGCATCTGTGGCGATTGGGACCGGCACCAGGATCACTGGGTGCGTGATCATGGATGGCGTTACTATCGGCGACAAATGTGTTTTGACCAACACGGTGGTGGGCAAGAAGGCCAAGGTGGGAAACAAGTGCTCGCTGGTGGGCTGTGAGGTGCAAGACGGCAACGTCGTCGCGGATGGCACCGAGGGCAAGGGCGAGAAGTATCTTGTGGGAGGGTTGGAGGATGAAATGGAGGGTGAGGAAGGGATGGGGTTTGATGACGACGATCCAGATGCCGATGAGATCGCCTAGTCAAATCTTTGCTTACAAGAGCCTGGCGAGAACTGGGTACGGCCACGGTACGGTTACGTCCTAGATTGCGCGTTTGGGACCGACAACGAGATCTAACGTTGGCGCTGCTGCCGATTCTGAGATCCGCAGACACCATACTTCCTTCCCGCATCAGCATCAGCATCAGAAATAGCGAGCATTCTGTAATTTTATGCTATCTTGAGATTCCAGCTTCCACCTGCAATGTTCAGAGGGTGTGAGGAGTCCTGTATGGTGGCTGACTGGGGTGTAAATGAGGCTCTTCGGAGGGGAGGATTCTCAAGGTCAAGATGGATCAAGGCGGCTGGCTGTAGGAGATCGCCTAACACGCAGAAGGAGCAAGTGAGCACTCGTAGTAAGCTTGTCGTCGGCAAGGCCACCCTTATGAAAGCAGGAAATAGAGATCGTTCAACGAGATGAGATGGAAGTGGTAGAGGGGAAGGGTCTTTCGGACCACATACTATCCGCAAAAGTCAGTTGAGGCCTTGGGGCCTCGCAATGCTGGGGATCTTCCTCACACTTACCAGTGTTCTTAACAGCGTTGAGGAACTCAAAAGGTCACCCAGTGGGTTGAAGCTTGATAGCAGACGAACAGAGGGAAGGCATTCATATCTACCATCCGTACAGTTGACAGTTGTTTGTTGTAGGTTTCACGGATCAGCTGCGGACACTTTCACACTCCGCGTTACTACTAAGAGAGGCACCGGTAGGCGGTACTGTGGGCTTGGGAGGCACACCCTGGGCACTGCCAGGCGACGCTCGGGACTCTCCACTGCGCCATGGCCCGCTCCCGGGCTTAACCTCGAGTTCCAACCAAACCAAACCAAACCTGATCTGCCACAAATGCAGTGACCAGGACATCTTAAATGGTCTCCTTGAATTATTGAAAACCTTACTAATAATAGACCATGTATCATATGGCAGAACGAACCCAGGAGAAATATCGGAAGTCTATAGCAATGCAAGGAGGTTAAAGACTGGAGGAAGGCTGACACCCGCAGCACCCTTTCGAAATTGAATATTTTCAGATATCATAAGTGCTTCTAGTAAGAGAATCTTACTGTCCCTATAATATATGCCTATAGTTACAACATATCTATTAAATACCCTACCTAGTTAATGATAAAAATAACTATTTATAGCGTCCAATCAGTGGCTCGGAACTGATAACAGCTAACTGCGGCTAAAAGTAGTTTAGCGCCTCGGCAGATCGACAGCCTGAGCTCGTGACATGAAATTTAGCGTGTCAGTATAAAACGCAGTGTTAGGATTCATGCAGAGACAGGCGTGGCATGAGATCCAACAGGAACCAATAAACAAGGAAGAGGCAGGATTGCCGAGGAAATATCACGTGGAACTTCAGGCCAGGTCACGTGATGTGATCACTGTGATCAGTCCTGATCAGAGTGATCAGTCTTGATCAGTGACTGAGCACACTGAGCGCACGCTGAGCACACTGAGCACGCTGAGCACTACGAGTCTCTTATGTCTATATAGTCTTCCATCTCTCATAGCACTTCATAGTTCTCTCGTAGTCAACTTCGTTCACAAGCTAGACGCTACCATCGCGTTGATAGCTTTCGTTCTGACTTACCCTTGTGCCCTGGAATACTGTCCTCCTACCTTCCCACATATCAGGAAACCCTGATCGATATCGTGACCCCGAGGAACGATTCGTGACACGCAGCTTCTCTCCTTCCTTTTCAATTAAATCAACATAGCATCACCTCTCCCACCTTTAACTTTCCACCACGACTTGGAAAAGACATTAAATTAGCAGATTAAGTCTCTAATTTAAACGAATAACACGAATTGATGGTTTTTCGGATGTCGATCTAATAGGGTTTTGTGCGCGCTCCAGCAGGAGTCGCGATGGCGGCTTCGGCGCAGGGTCCGATCAAGCGCAAACAAGCGGTAAGTTCGTTCGGAATGGTGCAGTCAAAGGACTGGATCATTTTCGGTTTGAGATCGATTGATTTTGTTTGCTTTGTCCTTATGGCATGATTTCTGTTTTTAGCGGGTTAAACCAGCTGCTTCTCGTGTAGTTAGTCGCGTCTTGAGCAGAGAGAGAGGTACCTCAGACCGTGTTCCGCCTGCCGGAGAAACGAGTCTCGAGACTACACTCCCCTTTACTTATTGACTGTTTGTCAAGTGATACGGCACTTCGGCCCTGTGATTATGCACTGTACTGCTCGAGTATGTCTGCTGATTTGATCCTAGCCGCCTCCTGGGTCACTGGTCATAGAGATTTCAGATGATGATGAAGTGCGTTTCCTCCCCTATTATTCACTGCTGCCAGCCACTCTTTGGTTTCACACCCCTCCAATCCCAAATTTCACCCACGCCCACAACTCAACTCTTTCTTAACATTTGGCTGACTTTTACTGCAGGACCCTCCACCATTTCTACCACCTGCCAAAAGACAAAAATCTCAAACGCCAATCTTGAATGGCTGGTCGAGAGATGCAACCAATGGGACCCGTGACCCTACCCGGGGCGGACCGTTGACCCAATCACGCCTCGTCGTGACCCCAAGTCCATCAGATGTCACGTCGAACGGTGTGTCTTCAGAGAAACAGTCCCAGCAGATTAAGAGATCCCCTTGGGGACCACTTTCAAAGTTCTCATACCCGGGCTTGTCCAGGGATGAGCTAGCTCTTGAACCTAAACGTGAAAGATCACCCTCCCAGCAAAATGGACTCTCGCGAAAGGCGGCAAGCCCGTTACTGGAAAGGATCACCGCGGCCAGGGAGGCAGCCCGCTCCGAAACTCCCTCTATCTCTAAGAATCACGACATACGCAGGAATCCGCCAGGAGGTAGTCAGCTACGACGACATGAACCGTCGGGGCCATCTAGGCCACTAGATTCATGGACCAAACCTCTAACCAAACCAGTCCACCCGCATTCTCACGCCAGTAACCCTTCCCGACCAAACAATGAATCTCCCCAGAGACCATCATCCTCTTCCCAGAAGTTGGTATCTGTGGAAATCCCGCTGCGGTCTGGAACTACTCCTGCACCGCGAAATACCCCTTCGTCTCAGTCAAATATTGAAGTTAGGATACCTCTTGGTGGACTCAAAGCCGAGAGGAAACAGCTTTTCCAAAAACTCAGACAGAGCACCCAGCTAGCGAAAGAGAGGCCTGAGCAGGTTCATCGTGTATTCGGGCAAACTGGCTTCTCTCCGCTGTTCAGTGTCGAAGATGACCACGAGCGAATGCGAAATCTTGCCTCGAAAAAAAAGAAGAAGGCTCCACAATATGACACCCCCCTGAGTACTGGAAATTCTCTTGTCAGTTCTCTACAGAGATTGCAGCTCGGTGAAATGGTACACCCTGCCGACTCGGCGCGGGACGTACTGACAAGCCGGTTCGACGAGAACATTGTCCCGCCATTGACGTTTGCCAACGATGTCAATCAAAGACGTTTGAATGGAAAGTTCCAGTTCACCGATCGTTATATCATCGGGGAGGGCATCAAGATGGCCCCTGCGAGCACAAACGTCGGCTGCTCCTGCAAGGACTGCGAGCGATCGACGTGCCTGTGTTTCACCAAAGCAGTGCCGGACGCGGTTGGCAAGGGTGTGCACCACGAGCAGATCCGTACCTATGTCCGACGGCCTGACGGGATAGTTGTACTTTCTGACAAATACATCGCGAACGAGTTAAACCCAGATCCAAGAATCAGCCACTTCGAAGTCACCGAGTGTAACGATCTATGCGCCTGTGGACCTGACTGCTGGAACCGAGTCGTCGGCAAAGGCCGCACCGTGCCGCTCGAGATCTTCGAGACGTCGCGGTGCGGGTTCGGTGTACGTTCGTCGCAGGACATTGTCAAGGGCCAGTTTATCGAATTGTACCTCGGCGAAGTGATCACCGAAGCGGAACTCCGGCGGCGGGAAGATACCGCGGAAGAGGAGGAGCCGAGTTACATCTATTCGCTGGATTGGTTCGGGACGCCTAACGACAAGCACTACCACGTGGACGGGAAATACTTCGGCTCAGCTATGCGGTTCGTCAATCATAGCTGCGATCCCAACGCGCGATGCTTCCCGGTGCAACTGCACAAAGGCGATAAGAGGGTCTATCTCCTGGCCTTTTTCGCCATCCAGGATATCAAGGCCGGCGTGGAGATCCGCATCTCCTACGAAGGCCGAGACAGTATACATCATGATCCCGATTCCGACGCTAAGGGCGACGGCGATGGGGAAGGGGAGGGCGACGAAGAACTGGTGCGGTGTTACTGTGGCGCGAAGAACTGTCGCAAGTTCCTATGGCCGTCTAACGTCAAAGCCCGACGAAGGAGACGGAAACTGCCTATTGAAACCTTCACGACTCTTTCAACGACACACATAATATGCCAACGCCGACCTTGTCGAACCGATTCTGGCAGACACAGACACAAGAGACACGACCCGATAATCACGACAGAGGAACTCAGACCACTGTGGAGAGAGTCCCTATACCAGTAGCACCCACCACGAATGCGATGTTGGGGCTCAGGGGGGATTGAACCCTTTGACATTTTTTTTGGCTTTGCTACGCTATAAGCTGTACATCGGAATTGGAGCTTGGCGAACATACTTTGGCTGGCGAGCGTGGGCGTTTGGCGAACATAGTGGACGGTATGTCTGAACATTGACTTTAGCTTGGGGGCGGCACGATGGACAGGACAGGACAGAAACGAGACAGCAAGGATAGTACTCGACTAGACGACTTGAATGCACATGAACTCGCTCTGAACTTCGCTCTGAATCGAATAGGCTGTAATGGAAATACTAGTAATTATCTACATCTACCTGACTTCATGTCCTAACAGACAAACATCCTCGTGATTTCTGGTAGAGTGATCTTGTATACCGTTATTCCGGAATCTATAATGGCCGGGGACATCATCACGAGGAAACGAACATGGGGCGTAATGGGACGCGAATGCAGCAGAAACTGAGAAGAGGCGGCAGGGAATCATTATTTTCATTCAAATAGGAGGATAGATGCCCGATGGCGTCGATTCTTTTCGTCCCTTGATAAGAATCAAGGCTGGTATCTACTCTGCATTGATAGGAATTGAAGGATTTGCAACCATAATAGTGAACTCTGGGGTATACTTGTGGAATAGGATGTTCGGTGTAGTGGTTGATAGGCACTGGCACCCAGCCTTAGACTCCCTGGGCTGTAGTTATAGGGTGCAATGGCCACTTATTACTACCTAGTAGTGGTGGTGGTTGTTAGTGCGAAGGACTCGTCACGGCCGGGCATTCGGGATCATTACCAGTAAATACGAATCATTACCAGTAGCTTTCACTGGATCTCAGCAGTAAACAGTGATTTCAAAAATAATATATACTTAACGGACGATTATAATCAGTAAATTTACTGGTAGGAAGTTTATTAATAAATTTACGTGTAGCAAGCTTATTAATAGATTTTCTGGTGGTAAATTTATTAGTAAATTTATACTGCTATATAGCCGAGGTACTAAAAGATTGATACTATTTTACTAGTAAACAAGAATAGGGTAGTAAGGTCTACTTCAAGGCCTTGCTCTTTCGCTGTGGTGCACGTGCCATACTGTGATTTGTGACATGTGGGAACTTTGTGACGTCACCCTAAAAAATTCTAGTCACTTGCAGTCATTTTGCAGTCACTGCAGATATAGTGCAACCAACTTGAAGTTAGTACGTAGGCACCACCACTGCAGTGCCACACCAATGCCGCCGCCTACCTTACATGGTATAGCAGAAAGTGTCTAATAGAAAAAGAGTATACCTCCTACACCATCATATCCTCCACATTATATGGAAAATAAAAGGTCCAATAATGACCAGCAGGAGTCAGGGCTCTTTTTGATGGATTTGATCAAACCATGGATCTGGTTCCCACATGGCCTTGACTGCATGCTATCTATATAACTCGAAGCCTTCCTCAGCTTGTGATGTTAAACCACACCTTAGTATAAAAATTGGGATATTTGTTACTTATTTGGTCCACCACCTTCACTACCTAGGTACTCTTTTCATGCCATAGGGACCGAACTCGATGCGACCAATCTCATTATTGTCAACCATCCCAGGCCACATCATCTCTGTTCTTGCCTTACTTGCTGTTGCTCGAAGCGAAACTGCGTATTACACATTCTTTTGAGGCAACTCCCCTCCTGGACTTGTCAACCCGTGGATGTTCGTTCGTTCGTCTTCTCTGCGCCTCTAAAAGCTCCCCTGTAGACTCAACACCAGAGCAGCATCGACAGCTTCTTTCCTGTATCCTGGGGCGCGGCCGAGACAAGCACCTCCCTGGATCATGCGTTCGAGGAATAGTTCCACATCGAAAATCACCGGGGCAGGATACTGAGAGGGGCCGAGTAGATTCTGCTGGTGCTGGTGCTGCATGTCCTGGAACAGACTTGACGAGGTTTGCGCGCTGAACTCGTCCCACGGGTTGGACGATGGCGAGGCGGAGTTCGACGAGGATGAATTGCCGATGTTGACAACTTGAACATCGTTGGCGTTACCGATCGTTCCGCCATGATGGGATGGTGTGCCACTGTGAGGCTCCGTGGTGAAAGGGTTGGGAAATAGGGAACCTGGACCTGGCTGGCTGTACATGTTGCCGAAATCTCCGGCAATGACCGGATCCATTAGGGAGCCTCCCAAGCCGCCAGCCATGGGCGGCGATGGGGCGCGAATGCTCGCGTCGTGCGGGCTGGAACTATGGCTGGACAAGGAGAACGCGCTGGCGCTGGCACTGGCACTGGCGCTGGTTATAGAGTCTCTCACTGCTGTCTCGCGCTGGACAAGTCGAAGGACTGCCGGATCGACCGGGACAAACGAACTCTGGCCGTCCAAATAGATGCCCTTGGTCTTGAGATACTCTTCGACATCGTGCGAGTCGTACCACTGGCCGCCGAAGCCGATGTTATCGAGCACTTCTTGCGTCGACTTTTCCGTGCGCGGCGTCTCCGGCTGCATGTACGGCTGTGGGCCGAACGCCTGTGCAGGATGCACCAGGTTAGGCGGGTAGATGGGGTTGCCGTTGTTGTCGCGGCGCGGGAAGTGGGTGCCGGCGCCGCCGATGTGGAAGAAAGGCACGTTGAAGTTCTCCAGCGACTCGCCCGCGCGGCGCTTCAACCTCTCCTGGAACCGCTCGAGCATGCGCTTGCGGTTGGAGTAGCAGAACGCGAAGCGGAAGGCGTGCTTGAGGTATTCCGGGTCGATGTGGGGTTGGGCCAGATTGCGGAACCCGCGCTCCAGGGACATGCGGTGGAGACGTCGGGCGAACGTGGTCTCTTGGAAGCTGTACGTGTATGAGCCCTGGTGGTAGGACGGTACTAGTGGTCTCTCCACCTCGATCTTGTCGAAGACATTGTCGACGAGGAAAGGCGCGGGCATCGCGCCGAATCCGTTCCCGTCGTCAAGGCCTTGTTGGTCGAACTTGATGTCCGTGTACCAGGATTGCGAAAGGTCAAGCAGGGCCTTGCTGTTGTCGGTGCTGCCGCTACCCTCGGCCTGATCAGTAGTCGTATCGTTGTTCCCAGCCAGTGGGAGATCTTCCACAGCTGCGCTGGCATTGAAAGAGAGCTCATCCAAGCTGCTCACAGATTCCACTTCGGCCCTGGCTGGGGAACAAGACTGGGACGATGAAGCTGACGACTTCCTTGCGCTTGTCACGCTGGTCCGCTTGTTATTCTCGCCCAACCTCGGAGATTGCTTGGACTCGCCTTGGGTGAAGTCGGCTGGTTTGTCCTCTTCCTCGTCCGATTCAGGCACTGCATCCTTGGACAACGCGACGAACTGTTCTGTCGCGACCCGAAGTTGCCGAGCCAGGGAGTAGTGGGAAGTCAAGATCCCAGCGTCGACCATACTATCGTGCAGAGCCAAGAACGTCTTATTCATCTGGTCAATGGTTGTTTGGAGAGTGGTGACTTGTTGTTTCAATCCCGCAATCGTGGTCTCCTTTCGATGTCGGTAGGCTCGTTGCGCCAGTCGGATTTGAGTCCGGCGACGGTCGGCCGCGGTCTGATCACGAGGATCCAGCCGCGGCCGTCCTCTCTGTTTCTTACTGTCGGCCAGGTCATCGGCATCGTTGACCGAGACTCGTTTGGTCGGCTTCTTTTTCTTTTCAGCTGGTTGCGGCGAGGGTTCATGAGAGGATAGACGAGTGCTGTTAGTGGCCGCATCGGTAACAACGATACCACCGTAGAGCTGGTCGGAAGACGTTGCCTTCCTCTTGCGAGAGATTCGGTCGACTCCGCTGTAAGGCTGCATCAGGCCCTGTGGATATTGTGAGGCCGAAAGGATATCAAGATCTGCCCCGACGGGCCGGTGAAACGAGCTGCCCGTGGATATGAGGAGATTGGTGGGGTCGTCCAAGATCGACTGGAGGGAAGTATATGTTTGTTCGCCGTATTGCTGTTTGGCATAGGCCTGCATGGCAACCGACATGTTCGGCTAGGAGCCTCTCAGCAGCTGATTACTGAACCTGACTGAGCCAGGGTGGAAGGAGGGTGTTGAGGAAATGGGCCGTAGCAGATTATCGGATAGATGACTGGCTTCCCCTGACAAGACAGTATCCTGTAACCGAGCCCAGTTGATGGAGTGCTGCTATGGCGGTGGGAGGATACTGGCTGGTTCGAATTGCCTGAAGGGAGGAAGAGTGATAGTGCCCCGTCCTGTCTCTTGAAAGCGTATCAAATTGGCAAGCCTTGGGTTGCCTCTGCGCTGCACTTGCTGTTTAGACGACCGTCCACGCCGGGGCCCCAATGAACATGACCAAAGTGGACAGCAATCAATATCTGAATTCTTTTCCAGGTGGAGCAGTTGAACAGTGAACCTCAGGAAAAAGAATCATTCAAGGCCAGGCGTCCGTCTTTGTAATACCAGCAGGGTCCCGGTGGAATTGTTGCTGCTTCAACAGATCTGACGCCAGAATGAGAGAATTAGTCAGTGAGAAGAGAAAGGCCCGGCCAGGCACCACAGAGCTGGCTGTACAGGTGATGACAGATACCTACCTAACGTACTGAGGTAGTAGTCCGCCAGACTTCTTCGTACGTACTGAGCAGAAACTCTCGCACCGCCAGAATCGACCGTCAGCGGGACTGTAGCAAGATTGCTGTGGTAGAAGCCTCGCCCTTGCTGGGGCTGACGGCTGACTGGGCGACTGGCAGCGCAACGAGATTGGCTGCAGGACAAGATGGGATGGGAGGTTTGAGGTCAGGGTCTAGCTGAAAATGGGATGGAAGAGTGAGGTCGGTGGGTTGTAACTCACTTTGCAAAGATGTATAGTAATCATCCATCTCGCCATCTCCGACCGAGGCAGTTTGATCCACATTTTTGTGTAGAGAGAGAAAGGCTCACTCAGCAACCACGTCACAGATTATGGACTACTACTAAGTTAGGAACCTATTTCCGGATTGATGTCGTCTGTACATGCTAAAATCATCACTACGTCCGTACGGAATAGGACTGCCTTTTCTTATACGATACTAATACGGACTTATGCCAAACGCAGAGAGAATCAGCACGATGCACACGACTCGCCGCTTTATGGCCTTCATCTGAATCACGATATATGATGCCAATACACCCCTGCACCCTGCATCCCTGCATCTGGGTGGGCTGACTAGAGGTACCTAGTACTCTATGGAGAAAAGATCTTGATGCAGCGCTTACTGTGCATCGTCTTTGATCGAATGTCTTCCATCGAGGGCTTCATATTCCCCGGTTAAACTCCACCAAGCCCCCTTCTCCGCCCTTGTTCCAAAACTCTTTCTCCAGGGTTCGGGCACTGACCGCTTGACGCTGGGGGAATACGGCCAACGCAAGAGGTAAAGCGAAGATACTCGTGGTGAGGATAAGACCGAGATTCACAGGTAGCACCATTCTGGGCCGCTGTTTCAACCATTCTGTCTTTTGCAACCGGACGAGGACGAGCGGAGGAATGACCATGATTGGAGTTGCATTCAAGACCCGTGAGATGGCCGTCTCTCCCACCGCCATAATTGCCGCCTTTCGAGACTTGCCCAGGCTCTCAACCTCCTTACCCGTCTTCTCCCGCTCAGCCTTTTCTGCGTCGGACTGGACAGGGAAGACGTCAATCCCGCGGCGGATCTCCTCCCCTCGCATAAGAAAGACGTTCAATGCACCAGCGGACGCGACGGCTGCAAAAGGCACTAGACGGCTCAGGATGATTTTCGTGTTGGGTGACACACGCTTCAGTCGGGGAACAATCGCATTCAGCCCCACGGCAACGGAGCAAGATGCGGAGACTGCCAGCAAATAGCTCTCAACCATTGTCTTTGTGGACAGCGGAGATGACTTGTTGGCGTTCGCACTGTTGATGGCCACATTGAGAGACTGGTTGATGATCTGCCACGCCACCGTGCCTGTGGTCTGGGATCGTCAGCGTCTGTTGCACTACTTAGAGTTCTGCAACGGCCATACAGTGAGATTCGGTGTCAGCATGCCTGCCGTCACCACCAGATTGGAGATGACAAAGCATGACATGCGGAACGGGAGGAACACTGGCTCTCCGGTATCTGCCCTCCTGTCAGCCTAGCACGTAGACAACTGCGACGTATACAGCTGGGTGCCGTACCAGGATGAAGTGTCGAGTCCACAATTTTTTTCGCCTGCCATAGCTCTGATGTCATCTCCTTCATCTGCCCCGTCTTGTACGCCGAGACAAGTTGTTTGGCATGTTCGAGGCCGGACCGGGAGACAAACAGGGTCCTACCACCAATGAGTCAGTCGGCTGTGCCTATGAAGTACAATGGTAAATCTTCGCTGCGGTAGTCTGCAGTACCTTCAGCGGCGACCCGAGTCACAGTGGCCCGCCAAATGTGTTCCAGCTGAAGAAAAGTTCACGCCATTGCTCAATCTTCCTCACCTCGGATCTGATATCTGTGCCGCTTGCTTGACACGCCCCCAGTAAGTCGAGAGATCATACTGAGAGGCAGGCAGGTCGCGACTGCCGGGTAGCGACGCAGACATGGTAGGCCGAAGCGGCCGGAGCACGTCTACAGAGTCGCAGAAGGTTCAACGATTGTGTCAGCGCACAGCAGGTTGCGGTGTCTGTGTGTAGAAGAATGATGGTGGGCGCAACAAAATGTCATCGACCTGCGACATTCGGCGATCAATGGGCCACGACACAGAAGGCAGGTGCGGCGAGTGTCAGCCTTGGTCCCCCTTGTCGCTTACCTAAGCCGAGCCTAGGGAGCCCTCTCTTCAGGGAGACCACAGACGCTACCGCAGAACACCATCTTCGCGTCTAGAAGTACCAGGTAACTTTGGGTAGAGCCAGTCGACCTCGCCCCTCAGACTCCAGCATACATGAAATTACCATAAGCCCGCTTGCAGAGTGCACCGCTGAGAGGCTGCACGCCGAGGCTGAACCACGTGATCGGCACGCAAGGCTGAACTTCTCCCTACTCCTCAATCCGACACGACTTTTGATGAATGTCGTTGTTCCTCGAAATGCATCCAGATCTTGACCGGCTATCTGGCTGAAAGGGCCTACAATACCCATACCAGCATCACGATAACTGTCAACTTGACTCTTCGCAGGCCTCGATCCCTATCTTTTGGCGATGGCGACCTCGGCAGCGATACTCTACTAGCCCGGTGGGTCTCCATGAGACGTGGCGCCTGTGGTGTGCAGCATCTCCTTCATCATCTTATCCATTGGCCTTTGAAGCTGTGAGTGACAGCTGCCTTTGAACAGGTGTGCCCAGTCGCGCTTCAGCTCCGGTCTTATGCCGTCCACGCGCCAGCGATGTTGGTGTGCGGTCATGCATTGGCTTGTGCGCCCAGAGACATTTCGCACGCCTCTCGCTATTCTATTCTAGTGATGTTCATCTCCAAGGTCGACTTCACCGGGACGAGTTACAGAGTGAAAGCCCATTCCATGACTGACCCGAAATACTAACAGATTACATTCTACTCGTTGACATCCGGAGAACACACCACTGTCCCATTTCAGACAGGCCATATCTAGACCATCAACTCAAGCGATAACCATCCGGACAACCCCAGTCAACCCCGGCCCGCAATATATCTCTTCCTTCTGCCGTAGCATACTACACCCTTCAACCATATCACAACATGCCAGGCCCACGCTTCACCGACAAGATCATCTTCATAACAGGCGGCTCGTCCGGCCTCGGCGCCGAAGCCAGCGCGCTGTTCATCGACGAAGGCGCCCACGTCTTCATCATGGACTTGGCGGAGAAAGGCATCCTCACGCGCCTCGGCGAGGAGAAAGCAACCTTCTTCCAAGGCGACGTCGGCAAGCCCGAGGACTGCGAATCCGCGATTCGAGCATGCGTCGACAAGCACGGCCGCCTCGACATCCTGTTCCACAACGCCGCACAGCCGACCCCCATGACGACAGTCCCGTTCCACGACCTCGTGCAGTTCCAACAGATCATCAACACGAACCTATGCGGGCTGTTCTACTTGGCCCGCATCGCCATCCCGCAGATGCAAGTGCAGAAGAAGGGCGTCATCGTCGCCACCGCCAGCACGTCCGCCTTGGGCGGCGAATACGGTCTGGCCAGCTACGCGGCGTCCAAGGCCGGGATGCTGAACCTCATGCGGACCATGGCTCTGGACCACGCTCGAGAAAATATCCGTATCAATGCGATTTGTCCGGGGTACATGCCTACGCCAATGACCGAAGGGCTGGGCGAGCTCGTCAAGGTCGTCGAAGAGAGCATTCCGCAAGGGAGGGGCGGTGATCCCACAGAAGTCGCTCGGGCTGCCTTGTTTCTGGCTTCGGAGGATGCAAGCTACATGACTGGACAGGGTAAGTGGCGTGGAGTAGAAAGAAAACAGGAAACTATCTGTTCGGAGTGGTCAAGATCCTTCTCCATCCTTGATATATACCAAACCCAATGTTTCCGGCCGTCGTCATCACCGCCAAAGGGACACTGAGCTCGACGTTTTTGTCGTGAAAGTCACCTGGCTAACGCAAGGCTACAGCACTCATCGTCGATGGCGGCTGGTCCGCGCATTCCGGAGCACCGAATCTCCTCAAATATGTGCCACAGCAGGTAAGCTCCCAAGAGACCGGACAGCCGGCCCTCAACACTTCAATCAATCGTTCACTCCGCACGTATTTGATACACCATGTCGCCCCTTTTATACTGACCTCTTCGCTTTCAGTTCCGGTACGATGAGAAATGAGTTAACTTCTTCCTTCTCTTCGCTCGTTGCTTGCCAATGTTGTGGACGACACGCTTCGCGGCAGATCTGTTCGTCGTCTCCTCTGCGCCACTGCAGGAATGTTGGTGATCCTCGGGGTGAGGTGGGTGCGTGGAATGCTTCATGTTTCGGGAGCCTCCGTGTCATGAATCAGAACAAACGGTTTCTATGCTCAGCTATCTATCTGTTGGGAGCTGTTCTTAGTGTACAGTGTATTACCCAGGTAGTCGGATCTTCCCTCCAGACATTAGTTCGGTCGTCGTTGATCGCTTGAGATCGGTTCCGTTGCAGAACCTCTAGGGCCAGGGTTTGTGAGTTCTATTCGTTACACTATGGAGCTATTGAGGAATTGCTTGGATCTTCAGCATCGGCCCTTTGCCTTTCTGTGCCGGTGCAGGAATTTTTGCTGTCTTCAAGTAGCTAAGCACCTATGGCACGCTGAGCCGCTCGTTCCCTCCCTGGACGCAATGATACCCAGCCGTTGAGATTGCCCTTGCCATCTGCCCGGGGTACACCGGCGTCTTCTGCACAGCAGGCAAAGACGAGGAGCTGAGCGGTGCTTGGTTCAACTGAGACGGCAGGGAAAACGGCAGGGAGACTGATTCGCATATCAAGCAAACATCGACGGCCACTGCTCGTTTTGATCATACAATTTGCAGCGCTATGAGCTCGTTCAGGCTTCTCTCACTTTCCTGCAACTCCTTATGGCACCAGTCCTGTAAATTGGACAACAGGGCAGGCCGATAGTTCTGTGCTGTCGTCCAATGACCAAGTAATGTGGGCCGTTGTGGTCGTCATTCAGGCACACTGAGATGGAGATCTCACTCCTTGGCGGCATCGGCGAAGGAGACGCCTGGCTTGACCTCACTCGACTCGGGTTCTTCTTTGACGGCGTCGGCAAAGGAAACGTCTGGCTTAACTTGGCTCGACGGGGCTTCTCCTTTTGCTTCGTCCCCTCCAGAACCGCTTGCGTCGACATCATGGTCTCTGACTGCCTGAGAGTCGTCAATAATTTTGTCTTCTCTCTTCTTTTCCTGCTTAACCTCTTCGCTTTCCTTAGGCTTGGCTGTCTCTTTCTTCTTCGACTTCGCTTGATCGGACGCCCCGCCGGCGCCGGTGCCATTTCCGTTTGGGCCCTTCTCACCCTTCTTCGCCTTTGCATTCGATTTCTCTGCTTCTTTCTTGACGCCTTGGGCAGTCTGCTTGGCCGATTCAACTGACCTAGCTGCCGATTCGGAGGCTTGATCACTGGCTCCCTTGGCGGTTGTGACAGCGCGATCCTTGAGATCCATTGCCTTTGCAGCTGCTTTGGTGGCAGTTGACTTGACTTGTTCCTTGGTCTCGTCGCTGGTCAAGTTGGTAGCCCCATCCTTAACAGAATCCGAGACTTCTTCTGTGATTTTTTTGGCTGATGAAGCGGCGCCGTTCTTGATATCTGCGGCCTTTGCAGCTGCTTTGTTGGCAGTTGATTTGACTTGCTGCGTCGTCTCAGCGCTGGTCAGGTTCGCAGCTCCTTCCTTGACAGTTTCCGCAACAGACTTGATGTTCTCAACGCCTTTTTGGACAGCATCGGCGGCATTATCTTTGACAAATCGGGCTGCTGCTTTCGCTTTCTCTATCTGCTCTTCATCAACCTTGTCGGCAACGGCAGTCTTGACCTTGGTCACGGTGTCCTGGAGGTTCTTTCGTACTTTCTCCATATCACGCTGGACTTCCTCTTTCAGCTTGGCCGAATCCATACCCGACAGCGGCTGTTTGAGCTTCTCTGATCTTTGCTGGATTGTGCTCTTGGTTTGATCAACAACCTCGTGGAGCTCCCGCTTGATTTCATCAGCATCGACGAGTACGGTGTCGTCCCCGATGTCTTCGGACGTGCTGTGCATCTCTTCCATAGCTTCACTGAGTCTCCTGGAAACTCCCTTGGTTGCGTCCTGGATACTTCTCCCGACAGCGGTCGCCTTCTCGCTGGCTGTACTGCCTCGTCGACCCTCCAACCGCTTCGAGTAAGCAGTGATGAAGAATTCCACAAAGAGATAGGTCAAAGGCAGCAGATACATGCAGTTGAGCAAGATAGCAAAGACCTGACCGCTTGTATCCAAGCAGTGCACCCAGTGCAGCTCGTCTCGGTATCTGGTCTCTTCTCGGGCGACAAACTCTTCGGCCATGTGCACGGCATCAATTCCAAATGGACTGCCTTGTTCGTTCAAGACATTTTCGGCAAGACCTTCATACCCTGCGGCCCGCAGAGCGGCCTTCTTAAGCCAAGCCCCCGCACCAGCAGACGCCGTGGACATTGCAGATGCCAGCGTCGTGGAAGCTTGCGTCGGGAGATCTGTGAATACCTTCGAGGCCACACCGCCCACGTGATAGATGTATGGCACACTGACTGGAATCCGATAGGCAATAATGAGATGTAGAAAGGCGTACGTTGCGCCTACGACAAATTGAGTGATTTGGAGGGTAGTCAGGGACTGCTTGAACCATTTTGGTACTTGGATACCGATTGCAGAGAAGAGATAGAATGTGTACTATCGCGGTTTAGTTGTGTCAGAAGCAGAACATGGTCATAGGACAACTTACCATGACGGTGTGGATTCCAGAGTTCACAACCACCCACACCCAGACAGGTGGTGACATGTACCGAATGCCGGCCCACATAGACAACATGGCTCCAGCATGATGGTAGGTCTGCAGTAAGCTGCTCTTCCTGCCCTTAGCCAAGATGATACAGGTATCAACCACTTCGTAGAACTTGGAGAGATAGAAGATCCAGCCGTAGAATGCCAGCCCTTCATTCCACATTCTGCCGACATCCGTGGGCTCGGGACCGAGGCCGTCAGCAGCCAGGTGTAGAAGCCGATTTGTCGTTGTCCAGGCACTGCTGGTAGCGTTGTAGGTTGCAGCATTGCCAACACCGCGGGGCCCATGCAGCTTGCAGAGGGCGTCCACGGTTTCTACCGCACTCCAGTGTTCACCCCATGACGGCAAAGCAAGGCGCAGAGCGTTCCCCGCTCCCACAAAACTCCATGCCGAGTAGACTGCCAGAAAGGTATTGTGCAGAATGACCAGAAGCTTGAAGACCCTCGTTCTGCTAAACGCCCATGGCTTGTAGCTGCGCTTCGCGTTGACGGAGTTCATAAGAGTGACAAAGGACATGTATACCAGGATGACGGTGATAGGTACCAGAGGAGATAGAAGCGCATTGTACAGATCGGTAGGGATTGTGAATGGGTGCGCGATGGTCGGGTCGTATGTGGGAGGAGGTACCGTCGTCGGTTCTGGCGATGGAGGGAATTTGAAGTAGGAGGCAGGCAAAGTTGTGACTTTGACTCCTGGTGCAGATGCCTTACTCAGGCCGAGCCATTCGATGACTTCGGCTGCAGACATGGTGCTTGCTCAGATCAGATCGGTATCGCAGCTGCGTTGAACTGGCGCGCAAGCGTATCGCGTGAGTTGTTGTCACGCCGGGACTTGGGAGCCAGAGAGACGTGGGGATAGACAATTCGATGGCAGGGTGGAAAGACGCGTTCGTCTTTGGATTAAGGCTATAACATGGTAGACACGCCGTGTAAGAAAGAGTAAGAGCTATTCTTTTTCCTGTAGGAGGAGTAGAGGACAACAACCTTGTGACGAGGGACAATATGGTACGCGGTGATGTGAACAGGGAAAAAATGGCTTGCGAAAGGACAATAATGCTGGAGAATTGCCAGGTTATTACGTAGGGCCAGCAGACGGGTCACAGGGGGGGTGGTTGGGGTTTGTTACGTAGTTGCTGGGAATAGCGTAGTGCCTAACAATCTAAGGTGACAGCCATTAAATAGTGGGACCTGGGGGAGGCGCATTAGGCTTGCGAGGCTTCTTAGGTGAGGCGGCTGCCCCCAATCAGTGCAATCAGTCGCCTGGTGCGCTTTGTTAGGCTGCAAAGTCTGTGCTGTGTATGGACTACTACCAGGACTACTAGGTAGAAGTCGACGGTGTCCAGTCACGTCATTGTGAGGCACAGAATACGACTAGTTTCTTTATTGAATATATTGAATCCGGGGTGGCTGAAGTGGCTTCAACTGCTGCTTCTACACCTGGTAGCAGTAGGTACAGGCTTCAAGACTCAGACTGGGCACGCACCATCTACTAGTAGATGCATGCATGTTTTCTCTTTGTTCGGAAACAGCCTCCGTATCACCAACTATGATTTGGATAATGAACAGAAGCAACGACCCTAAGAATTGCTATACGTCATTATTTATTCCTGTGACGCAGGTACCTTGGTGCACAATCGTCATCCCTGCGTTGCTAAACGGTTCCTCTGCCGCCGGTATACTATCAGAGTCGCAGTTTACTCAGTGTTGTGGTAGCAGTACAGAAGCCTTCACAAGTGTATTCCATTCATTCCACCTACAGGCTCTTTTCCGCCCAGGAAAAGCCCATGGAAACCAAACCCGATGGCGCCGTCAACATGCGCTTGTCCAACTTCTTCCATGGTTTTGGCATCCAGGACCAGTAGATAGCTTTTCCCGCCTATGCCGTCCAGTACCACGGACAGCAGGACGCCGCCGTCTTCTTCGGCAGCCTCGGGGTCAGGCACGAAAATTGGCTCCCCGGCCGTGTGGCCATGCCGACTCCATCGCAAGATTGAATGCATCCAAGCATCGTACTTGACAAGCCCGTCAACAAAGGTCGATTTCCCAGTGTCGCAGATGCCGTACATATATCGATGCTTCTTGGTGACCATTTGAGGGTTGATTGTGGGAAGTTCAAACGCATCTTCCTTGCCGCTGGTGTACTCAATGTTGGCCTGTCTGGTTGTCGCTGTTGGAGCGCTGGACAGCGACGGCAACCGGTACCTTCGATAGCTTGGGCGAATGGTTGGGCCAAACGAATCAAGGTATGTACGCGCCTGGGGCGAATCGCTCACCAAATTGTCCAGATAGAAACGCTCCAACACGTCCATATTGTCGTAAGCAGCCACATCACCAACAATATCCACCGTGCCCTCGGTCGTCCTCGAGGGCTCCTCATATGCATTGATTGTGTGGAACGCATAGAAGGCGTCTGACACATATCTTGCAACGAGACCTTTCCCACCTTCTTCTGCTGGGCGCTTATCGACCACGAACCAAGTGGCCGGCGTTGTGTTATCCCACGTCATAGCGTCAAGCAAATTGCGATGCCATAGGATTGAGGCACCACCGGCTTTGTAGAAGGAGTTCCACACACACAGCACCACATAATTCTCGGTCAAAAAGATGGAGTGCAGATATGCGGGCGTGTGATGGAATTTGGCCAAAATAGAAGTCTTGCCAGCAGATGCGGAAACCCGGAAGACTCGATATGTGCCGCTCCGCCCGAAATCGAGGTTGTAATTGAAAACATCTCCTGTACTGGGATCGGATTTTGCATGGGCACCGCTGCCTAAGCCTTGGAGTTCTGGGTGCAAGGTCGTTTGACGGGCAACACCCACAGGCTCTAGGGTTTCAGGATCAATCATCTGCATCATAGTGGCGTCTGTTTTATTGCACAAGGTAATTCCTCGTGTCGGGTCGTGAGGGCCATCCATTTTCTCCCCAATCCTCGACAAACCAGGAAAATTGGCTGACATTGTAACCCCCACGTTGACTTCGTTGGGCTTTGGCTCTGCACTGGAGTGAAACACAGATTGGACCTTCCGAAAGAATGATTTGCAAGGGTCATATTTGGCGGCAAAAGTGAAACCGTCTAGTTTCCCGGCTTTCTTGATTCTTTCGATAAGACCGTCACTGGTTAGCCTTGAGTTGTAGGTGACTCTAACAAGCGCATCACCGTGAGGTGCATGAATCTGAAAGCGATGGATCTGAGAAAAGTTGTCAAACCAATGGTTGACCGTGAACTTGCTCGCTGTGGACGTCTGGAATGACCGAGGCCCTAGGCCGGTCCGGAATAGGGTGCCAGCGGTATATGCTGGAATTGTGCCTTCCACCCGAAGCTCAACTGGTTCCCTTTCTTCATAGTGGACATCAAAGCCTAGAGTGTTAGGCCAGTCCTTGTAATGAGAGCGGGGGTTTGCCTTCTCTGTAGATGCAGCCATTGCTGATCACTGCACTCCTTGACAGAACGATAGAATCTCTCGATTTCCAAGCAATCAACTCCTGGTAGTGTTCTGTTACAAGCTGTTTAGTTGAATGACATGATCATATGTTTTCGTTGTCAGAGTAGTAGATTCCTACCAGTAGGGTTATATGCTCTGGTAAAAAGCCTCAGGACTTCGAAGTCCCCGACACAATCTCCCGCCCTCAACCTAGCTATGGGCGTAAGCACCACATCCAGTACATGCCGGGAGTAAATCAGAGGTAAGAATACTAGTATGACAGGCTCAAAAGGGTATGTGGTGCGAGCCTAGTATGGGCAGCCTCGCCTATACACTTACGGCCGGAAGAGGTCCACACCTAGTCACCAATGTGAGTATTTCGCCGAGGTTCGAGAAGGGGAAGTGAAAGTCAAAGATGTGCCTGGTTCTGGGCAGAATGAACTAGGGTTCGATTGTCGTGGGGGGTCGGGTGTCCAGGATTCTGGGGTAGTAAAGCAAAGGATCTGTAGATGGCAGAGAAAGACGAAGATTGTGAGGGCTAGTTATGAGCAGGCGGCAGAGGCTACATCCACCGTAGCAGGTCAACGGAAGTCCATTGTCTTCTGCTGGCAGCGACCCAGGATGTTATACGACAAAGAGCTCTGCAGTAGATCGTGATAGGGTTTGCCATGGCAGGCTGTAACCCTACGAAGAGGCCGGCTGAATCAACAGGCCAGCCAAGTCGCCGCAGAAGGGCTAACCGAAACAGTATGCTCCTCTTTCAAGCGAATACTGTACGTGTCATGGGTGGCTCGATCCTGGCCAGCATTGGCAGCCGGTCGGCGGGAAACCAACATTCAGGCCAGTGTGCAAGTGTTGGTTAAACGAAGAAGTCGTGAACTTCAAGTTGAACTTGAAGCTGTCGTCGAGTTAAGACCCAGGGTGGTCGGCGCCAAGGCTGTGTTAAGCGATTATCTCGCCTTTGATACCGCATTCGGCATGTTCTCTCGCTTCTAGTGCATTGGTCGACTCAACCTCAAGTTGCACCCGCGGCGGCCTTGCGCAGCGATTCTCAACGGGGCTTCCGGCGTTTCTTTCCGCACCTACACAAGTCTGCAATCGTCGCGCAGCCCTCATGGCCAATGCCCAAGACTCTGAGGCGGCCGTGGATGAAGATTACGACGAGGAGGCGGACAGCGACTTTCATGCAGACGCTGCGGACCCCGAAGACTCCAATTCCGCCTCGGAGGATGAAGAACGCACCAGTGACGGCACAACTCAGAGGCCTCGAAAGCGCCGAAAGGTTGAGAAGGCGCAGGACAGCCTAATCGCTGAACTAGATTCAGGGGATGAAGCTACAATAAAGGAGCAGAAGCATTCGCGGCGGCGGAGACACAAGAAAAAGGACGGACCGTCTGTTGAGAGTGAGAATGAATCCGATGGATGGCGTGCCCGTACCAGGGCTATGCGCACCAGGGAGAAAGAAGAGCACAAGAAGAACTCACTGGCGTCTTGCAAAGGCAGTACCATCGATGTCGACAAGATATGGGAAGAGATGAACCGGCCGGCTCCTTTAGCTCCACCTCACATGGAAACGGAAGCACCTGCGCTGGTAAAACCGTTAAGCGAACCGAAGTCTTCCAAAGAAAGAACGTCTTTGGAGGGGGATGGCAACAAAGAGAATGAGCCCGCAGCGAGTGTTGAAGAGACAGTCACGATCAAACGGACATACAAGTTCGCAGGCGAGGTGCACGTTGAAGAAAAGACAGTACCCAGGTCCTCGGCTGAGGCCCAGTTGTGGCTGTCTCAACAGCAGTCGGCCAAACCTGCAACTCCAGGTCCGGATGGCAAAATCGTGAACAGACCACTACGCAAGATATCACGCTTCGACCCCAATCTTAGCAATTTGGGCGCTTTCAAGGCTGCCTGGGCCGCAAAAGATATCACGGGAACCGGCTTCAAAGGCCCCAAGCTCAACGTTGTCGAGAAGAGTAAGATGGACTGGGCTGCACATGTTGACACGGAGGGTCTGAAGGAAGAACTTGACACACACGCGAAGGCCAAAGAGGGTTACCTCAACAGAATGGATTTTTTGAAGGATGTAGAGGAACGCAGGGAAGCCGAAGCTCGCGCAGCCAGGTTAAAAGGACATTAGCCATGATACGGCCTTTGACTCACGGATGGGGCACAATCTCTCTTCAGGCAAACGCTGGTGTTGAATGGAGGTGGGTGTGTCTGGGTGTCTATATCAGTTACCCTTCCTCTTCTGCCCACGTTGCTGCATTGTTCTAGGTCATGCTAGACATGGCCTCTGTTTGGCTTGTTCACTGGCATCATGTCCACATCAGAAACGTACCAGACAATGATCTTGCTGGCGCAACGTGCCTTCCTTCAGCCGGATGCTCTGCATTGCCTTCGAGTTTCCCGTGCAGTGCAGTGCAGCTTGAATGCACTACTACAATGCAGTGGTCGCAGTTGCGTGCCAAGCTCTTGCTCTCTCGACTCCCGGCGCAGTCCAACTTGAGCCATGCGAGGTACCGCTATTCGCTGGTCCATCTTGCAAGTGTGGTGAACCGAGAGTCCTGTCTTGATAAGTTCGGGTTCTCTTTCACACGGGCGGCTATACACATCAACCACTTCGCTAGTACCCACCATGCAGGAGAACATACCACCACCAACTGGTTGCTCTTCTGTCTCATCTCGATGTTTCTCCCCTCATGCCAATAGAGGCGATGGCAGACCACACTTCAGCCGAAGTATAGCCTCGCCCTCGCCCTTGGGATGGCGAGAAAGAAGAGAGAACTCACCTTTTGCAGCGCGACCACCACTTTCTCTCCGGGACTCGACCACGTCCAGGAACAGTAACCTGCCTGCATCTCCTCTCGATCATATCCCCGAGAAACTGTGGCCACGGGTCCTCCGAACAGCTAGTACACCAGAGACAAGCAATCCGGACCTCTCGATCGCTGAAATAACCTCCACAAGACTATCTTTTGACGATCGAGCCATATTAACTAGCCTACCCAACGGAGACAACAGAAAGCTGCAAGCTGCTGGCAGGCCCGTCGCACGCAGGGGGTTCAGTGGATTCTTGGGAGGCAGCAATGAGCGGTTCAAGAAGATTTCCCAAAAACTCAAAAGCCTACCTGCTGGTCTGTTCCTTCGCAGAGACAGGAGTCTGGCGAAGCCATCCGAGGAAACGGTAGATCACGAATCCGATACATCCGCACCAAAGCTCACCACACCGGAGTTTACGGGCGAATTAAATATGGCGGATCTGTTGCCTTCGTTGGCTGATGGAGAAGTCAACGATCTTAACCCAGAAGTGAAGGTGCCACAGGTGACTACTAGCGGCTCTTCGTCGTGCCGTTAACTGATACGCCTTTCAGATGGACTACGAATGCAAGCCCAAGGTTACGGACTCGTGCTCAGATGAACTTCCCAAGGTATGCCCTTGAGTGACTGAAGCCAATGGCATCTGACAAGGACGCGAGATATCCTGCCTGATCAGGAAAGACCTATACGAGGTTACAAGAAAAGAGCGCACAGTCCTTTCTGGTTCTGGATATCCTGAGGTTCAGCTGAAATCTCCGCTTGCTCTCCCACTCTAATTTGGCTAGGGCATGCCTCATCACTTTGCGACGCTACCTACTTACGTTTATGCGGTCTCCTCTTCAACGGTCAACTCGTTCCATACGTCGGAAGACCGACTACTGCGCGGACCCCGCCCTTTGAAAACATTTCCCCCACAAGCCTCAACCCGGACGTCCTCGATAGGGAGTACAGAAGAGAAGCAGAGTCGTGCATTTGGCAGTCGAAGACTGCAGCGACCGAGTCCCTTTGGCACTTTCGTCAGACACAGTTCTGCCCCAAGTATCGGGCGAAGCTCCCGGCCGACTTCGCGTCCTGGGACAAATACCGATTCTATCTACTCCAGTACTTTGGCACCTGGACGGCCAGTGGTGTATATGGATGCTCCAAATGGCTGTTCGGACACTTTCTGGTCGGCCGTCAACTTCAGCAGCCGCCCATCCACCTCGTCTACGTCTCGGCCAAGATCTAAGTCGGTATCCATGCAGAATGGTCTGGAAGAGGGCTTGTATTTTCCGCTCGACGCTGCTCCCGAGGTGGAGGTCGGAATGGGCGATCGACCTGGCTATACCAAGATTCCTCTTTACGTTCCGAGAAGGATCGAGCGAGACCGGGCCTGCCCTAGGCCAGACCAGATGCGGCCTACCTTGACACCGGTGCCTGCTATGCCCAGTATAGCAGCGGAACAACTTGCAGTTCATCAGGAATTTACAACCGCTAACCCAGCCATCTCTGATATGTCACTCACCTCGCTGCAAGGCCAGACATCCGTGCAATCACATACGGAGAGGGAGCAAATGCTACGAGAAGTAGAACCTCAACCCCGAGGTCGACCAAGCACAGGCAGTCGCGACCGCCTTTCTAAGGCGCTGACCAACGCATGGTCGGAAAGGACACTGCGGAAGAAGCAAAAAGGTGGGCAGAAAACGGGCCTCCACTAGGGTCTCTTCTGCATGTGTGGCTAAGTTTGGACCATCTGTTGTAGAGAGAAGCTGTACCGTTCGGAAGCTGGGGTGAAATGCTTTAGCTAGAACGTGACATCTGGGGACTCTGGACAGCTGCTGTGATAGCTACAGGGTCAGCCTTAAAGACTACCGAGGTAGTTAACTACCTTATCCTTGTAAGCAGTTGATATCCTCCAGCAACGCGAGTCAGACACGCGACGACTACAGATTACCACGCAGTACCTGCCTCTTGATACCTGCCCCTTGAGAAGGTACCTAAGGTAGTATTAGTACTGTCAAATAATAGGCCTCCTACTACTAAAAGACTGCAGTGCAAGACTGGTATTAAAACGCGTCGCGTGGTTCCTTGGCACCAACCCTGAAACTTGAATTTGTCCCAGCTTCAAGTTCAACTGGAGTCCAACTTGAAATCATTGCTTCGTGAGTCCCTTTCAAGACACTACCTACCCAAGGTACCTACTGGACCTACATACGTGATACACCCTTTCTACTCGGACTATCCCAGAGCCTTACAGATTCCTAGAGCGGTAGCGCACATAAGGGTCTTGCTCTGGGGATGACCGGGGATCATTCAAATCATTGCTGTGCTGTGCTCCTGGCCTGACATGCTATCTATCCTACTATCCTACACTGGCAGAACGCTGACCACCTAGGATTGCGTACCGCACCTAAAACCAGTATCAGAAGCGCCGGCAGTCCTATGCTACCCTCTTCCTGTCACGAGGCCACCTGATACCCTCACATATCAATGCCAGATCCGACTTTTGACCGCGAAAGCAACCTCAATGCAGAACAGCCGCGCCCTGAGATGGAAATTATTTCAGCTAACGTACAGTGACAATGAATCCCGGAAACTGGAAAGTGTCTGACAGAACGAGAGCGAGAACTCTCGCTTGATTCAACCGGTGTAATATGGCCTTCCCATAGCATACTGCCATACACTGCGGCCGCATAGTCAGTCCGTCACAGCACCGGGAAACCCTCCTTGTCCAACTCACCCACCCACTCTGGATCATAGTACTCGCTGGACTTGTCAAGAGTGGCAACGTATCGGTTTCCGCGGACTCCTGGTCGCTTGGAATGAGTATTTCTCAGATGACTTTTGAGGTTGTCCGTTCTGGAGAACGGCCTGTTACACTCGGGGACCCAACATCTGTACGCCGAATGCTTCTCCTTCTCATGGACTGTCTTCTCGTGACGCTTTTTATGTTCTTGTCTCTTGAACCGCTTCGCCTCGCCGGTGCTTTTGTCGATACACCCTGGATAGCCGCAGGCAAACTCGTTCTTGGTGATCACCAGCTCACAGTTAATGCCGGACTTGTTCGTTGCTGGCTTGGGCTTTGATGACGCTCCTGACAGACGTTTGCGTTCATAACTCCGCCGGTGCAGCCGGTCGGGATTGGTTCGATTCTTTCTCGCCTCACAGAGTCTCAGCGATGGCTCGAAAGAGCCGTATGAGGGCTCATCAGCATCACGCTGTGAGGGCACCACCATAGGTGAGACAAATGACAACGGGCTGCTAGTCATAGCGCTAGCTGACGAAGCGATATGGGCATTGAGCGGGGTGGAAGGTTCGAACTTGCACGCTGGTGAGCTCGGCAGAGCAGGGCGGAAGGTGACCCTAGGCTCGACTGTCTCCGCGGGTGGCTGCAGGTGCGTTGAGCCCCATGTTAGCAGGTCATGCTCCGTGGCTTGTATTGGCTTATGGTCCGGGGAACTGAAGATCGAATCCGTCAATGCTGGGTTTGTGGCTGCTTCACTGAGACCAACAGTTCCCACATGACTGAAGGAGTGATGCGGCATCGCCATCAATGTCTCGGGCATCTCGGTGAGCAGCGGAAGGCTGTATCCAGAAGTTACGTTGCTCATCCACATATCATTTTGACGATCATGTTCTTCATCTTGCAAGTGGAATATGGGGCGAGACATGTGGAAGTAGGTAGCAGGCTTCATATATTGCTGGTACGAAGTGTGCAGACCTGGATCAAACATCATTGGTGTTGTGGGACTGGAAGTCCTTGCTGAAGGGGTGAAGAAGACCTCCGGAGACATTGAACTGCTGGATGATGCCAGTGAGGCCCGACGAGGACCTTGAAAGCCAGCTGAGGACTGATCGGAGGACAGAAAACTCGAAGACAGCGAAGGGCAGTCCGTGGCGTAACCGAAGGACGTTTCCATGTCGAAATCGGTCTCCAGCTGGGGCAACATTGCAAATGGGCTGTCCTTAGCCTTGAGTTGAGCGTGAGTGCCGGTCACTGTGAAGAGTGCATTAGCAGATGGTCCTCATTCGCACTGGCTGAGATGTTCCGCTAACTGGTTCTCTAGTAACGCATGAAATCGTCTGATTGTTGGTTCTTCAGGTGTTTAAAAGCGCTTTCAGTGGACGAAATTGGCATGCTGGCCTTTTTGAAAGTTGGACAAATCGAGGCCACGGGCAAATATCAGCCTTCCTCCCTTTTGAAGACGGCCCATGATGCGCGTTGTCTAAGAGGAGAATGCAAGGTGCCTGGAATGTGCCTCCCCGAGAACGATTTGTGAGATGTGGCAACTGGATCCACTCAATCGAATGGAAGAGCTCAGACGCGGGAGTTTCGGACGGGCATACCCATTTACGGCCTCGCTGAATTCTTTGAAAAAGACACACCCAGGCACGAGAAGCTCGAGGAGGATAGCGTAGACGGGGTGGGGGCTTTTTCATGCGCCTTTGCAGCAAGGGAGGCCTGCTGGGTACTACTCATCCGGTACTCTCACGCACAGATCGAGAAAAGGTCTCTAAGATGATCTACATCTGAGACCCCAGTCTCTCCGAGGACTCTCAGCCCACCACTCTTTGCGGGGCGCCATTGAGACGTGCGAGACGTGCGACGGGCGGCAGCGGGAAGTCTAGAAGTGAGATCTCTCCTCAGCGCAAGGGCTCCGAAATACTGATTGCGGACCCAACATTGCAGCGGCCGTTGCAGGTACGAGAACATCCCGGTTCGCGCATGCCCTGTCTCCAGCAAAGAGGCTCGAGGCCCGATGATGACGAGCGTTCTTGAACAAATGTCGCTGAGGTAGCCTTGCGGGCTGAGACAAGTGTTGCGATAAGCGATAATGCAAGAGACGATCCTTGAAATCCATGCTCAGCTCTGTCAACAGGATGGAATATAGCACGAGCACCGACCTTCTCCAACGCGCTTACAAGCAATTCACTCTGATGCAAGGGGACAATGCGGTCCTCGGTACCATAGGCGATGAAGAAAGGTGGCAGCTGGCGCTCGATCCAGGTAATTGGATTGGCCTTCTCAACGATATCTCGGTTTTCTGTTATGGGCCCGCCAATATATCGCGATTCCGGCGAGTCTCTTGCATTGTGCTCTAGGCTCCCTGGCAAAGCGTGGTCGTCCATCTGCAGGAAATCGGTTGGCGCGTAGTAATCCACGACCCGCACCGATGAGTTGCATGAATCGATAAAGTGCTTGCATGGCAAGGATTCCACTTTCGTGCGTCAGAGTCGTCTTTTGCTTGAAGGACGCAGCCGCATCAGGCAAGAATGGATGGACAAGTTCCTCTAACACATTATCCCTGTTCGACCCAGGCCAGGCATGCATAGCATTGCAGGGTGGGCTTGAATACGAGATGTCGGCGCGACACCAGGATTCAGTACAAGTCGAGCAGGTGAACGGTCCAGGGTGTCCTCCAGATACTCTCACCTACTACTGGACGGGCAAAAGTCGAAGGAATTTGGGTGAGAGCTGGACTGCGAGACCACCTCCTGAATTCAAGCCTTAGGGGGGACTGTTAGACCAGTTGCGTCCAATGAGCCAGACAAGTGGTAATATGACAATCCCGGGGTGTGAACTGGTATCCGAACTTCGCGAAATGCGCGCCATCCCCAAAACTGTGCCAACAGGGATCATGTATTGGTATGCGCTTTTGCCATTTCCCAAGCCAAACAATCCCGACCGGTCGCCGAGGACGCTGATGTCGCCAATTCGTGCCCTGTCGTCGGTCAAGCAACTCCTTGAAGCACTGACCACTTTCTAGGCACTCTCGAGTACAAGTATCCATCCTCAGGTATGTGGTATAGGTAAGGTAGCTGCCGGCTGACGTCTGGCATTATTGGTTACGGTCTGAGAAAGTGGCGTTGCGGACACTGGAGAGTATTGAGCTCATTGACATCAGATGCTTTCCAGGATCTTCCCTAACCGCCCAACTTGCTTTATCAGTGAGTGATATCCCTCGCGCTACACCATATCGCCGTACTAGCTGGGCGTCGCCGCATTGATCTGGACACCTGGTCCACACATCGGTAACCTTTCACTGCTTCAGTACGGGTTGCATAGTACTTTCGAAATTGAGTCACTACACCGAGAGGGGTGGTTCCTACAGTCAGAACGGCACGGTTCATGCGCGCCGGGCATGTTGGGGCCCCGTTGCATTACCTGGTGCGCCAGGGCAAGAACCGAAAGAACTCACGGGCAAGGATCACTATACGAGGTCTGTAGGTCTGCGAAGGCTATAGGATCGGAACGACATTCAGAGACAATACGACCCACCCTGATTTGACCCTTTGGTTCCTCGCATATGTCAAAATGTGGCTGTTCCTACAGCTGCAACACGATCCGACCAGGTATATCACCCTTCTCCAGCATCTCATACACCTGTGGTAGATCCCGAAAAGGTCTAACTTGGACGTGTGGCTTCACCTTGCCAAGGCGGACCAGATCCACGGCCTCCAGTGTCTCCTTGAGAGACCCTACCAGATTCCCTTGAATCTTGAGTCCTCTGATGACGATGGTGGCAATGGGTATGTCCAAATGTGCATCTCCTGGTGGAATGCCCACCATACATAGCGATCCGCCGATCCTGATCATGTCGGCCAGCTTTTGAAAGGCCCGAGGGTGGCCACTGGTGACCACGACTGCATGCGTGCCTCCAGCTGTGATTTTCCTGACTTCATCCACAAGGTCTCGACATTTGGTGAAATCCAGGAATTTGGCTCCAAGTGATTCGATGAAGCGCTGCTTCTCAGCACCAGCATCGACGCCAATGACCTGGGCGCCCATGGCAAGGCCGTATTGCACTGTTTCTATGGTCAATTGGACGCCTCTAGCCTGGGTGAAAGGGCCCCTCGCCTGCAAAATGGCCCAGGCCGCCACCCGCACCAATGACGGCGAGCCACTCTCCCTCTTTCACATCTGCATTGCGAACGGCCTAGAATTGTCAGTTCCAGTATGTCGCAAGTTTAGGCACGTACTTTATATGCCGTCACGCCGGCGCAGAGTGCCGGTCCCGCCACCTTGGGGTCAATGTCTTGCGGCAACAAGGTCAAGTACTTGGTGTCGAGCACACAATACTGTTGAAAGCTTCCATCTTCATGGTGCAGATGGTTCGTCGCCTTCTGACAGTGTTGTTCTCGGCCGGAGACACAATACTCGCATTCATGACACACGCGGGAAGCGAAGCGAACCCCCACCAAAGTCCCTTGGTGGAGGGTCTCGTCCGGCGACATATTGGGGCCCAATGCGACGACACGGCCTACACCTTCGTGTCCACCGACGTGCGGAAGTTTGATGTTTGTGATGGGGAGGCCATCGGCGCCAGTAGCAGTTCCAGCTTTGGTGTGCAAGTCTAACCTGTGAATGAGTAGGGGCAGTCCCAGCAAGATCTTTGATGCTTCTCACCACTTTGACACACACCGGTATACAGGACTTTGACCAGGACTTCGTTCTCTCCAGCCTGGGGAACGGGGTAGTTGTCGTCGAATTCGACCGGTCCACCCTGTTTCCGGACTATAGCAGCGGTTTGGGTCTTGGGAATGGAAAGCTCAGACATGTTGTCAGGATAGTGAGTTTTATATATACCTTTACCAGCTGGTCGCCTTCCGCTACCTACAGAAGATTTGATATGATCTGTCACGCGGCTGTTCGTGATGATGAGAAGTCAGTTACTCTTTTATCTATTGAACATGACTACGGACCTTATATTCCGCGAATCTGGCGTGGAGGTAGGAGGCAGTAGGTTGCAGCAGGGACACCTGACACCACGGAGATCGCGACGTTCTAAACACGGCCCCCCAACGGCTAGGCGAAGTTTGATCCGTCGATCCAGCAGAACTTCTGTTTTTGTCCGACAGAGGGGAGGACATCTAAGACCCCCTCTCCGGCGGCTGAGTCAAATCAACCAGCATCTTGCAACGTCTGTCCTGAATGATGCAAACCCCGCACTCGCAGCTGTCGAAGGTTCGACAAATTGGGCGTGGATGGCTGGCGAGAATGCTCGCTATCGAAGCCACCGAGGACAAGGGGTCCGTTCTGGTCCAGTCTTTTCACATGCCGTCAAGTTGCCGATGTTGACACACAACGGGTCTCTAGATCCTCGCAAGATTAAGCGTCTTTGGCATACATCTCAACGGTACCGTCCACGGTAGGATTGTAAGGGGCGTCGGCATCAAGGGGTAGATACGATGGGACTGTTGGGACCAGCCGTCTCAGAGTGGTCTGTATCTCCATCCAGTCCAGGAAATGTTTTTGATTCTTCTCAAGGCGAGACCTGGCCCGAAGACGACTCTGAGTATGCAGAAGGAAATGCATACAGGATATTCGAATACTGAGGTATTAGCGATGTACTGCGGCATCACGCAGGATCTGCGTGGGGTTAAGTTGTTCCACCCCATAGATTTCCCCGAAACTAAAACATGCTTAGCATCCACAGCCGAGATCGACAAGGGTTTTTTGACTTCGAGTGGAAAGAAAGGAAATGGAAACCAGGAGTTACATATGTCAGACATGGAGATACCTAGTAGGTAGGTACTTACAGATACAGACCTAACCAAGCTCTTGACTACCTCTACGGAGTTACCTGTATATATACATATTATACCTACTACTCTTTTGGTACGAATTGGTGGATATCAAAGTTGTGGCACTCAAACTGTGGCTTAGATAACTGTGGCTTAGATAACTGTGGCTGAGACCCCTAAAGTCACGTGGCATGGTTGGCCTGCTATGACGTCGCTGCGATTTGGGGCGCATCAGGAAATCATGTTGCGGAGGCTGCACCGCATCAACAACTTGAACACCAGCCCGCTTTTCACCACTTGCCAGCCACATCGTTCTCACCGTCGCGGGTTTGCTAAGTGCACTTTTCGCTCCCAGTCTCACGAATATCTTGACCAATACTGCGGCGTGAGAATGTTTCGATACATATGAAGTGTTGTACTCTCTGAAAACCGTCTCGTCTTCCAATGTCGTCCTACAACCCAGCCTGCTATCTGCCGCAATCCTGGTCCTCCTATATCCCCAATGCGATCTCCTGCCCACCACCACCGTCGTATGCCTCGACGATCTACAACTATGCCACCTCACCTTTCTCCTCGACATATACCACCTTACGCACCATGATCGATGCGGTAGTCGGCTTACCCGCGCTGTCCTTCTTCCTGATCCCGACCATGACATCTTACTCGACGTCTCTGAACCTGCTCTTCTTCTACCTCACCTGGTCGACTTTGGTACTATCGCACCCACCATTACGAGTGGAAATCGTCGCGACTCTGGCGGTCAAGATCCTCTTCTACATCCTCCCCTCGGCGTTCTTCCTACTTTTCGACGCGTTGCTCCCTTCCGCGGCGGAGAATCTGAAGACATTGGGCGACTCCGCCCTGCCGTTCAAGAGCGCAAGCCGTCAACGAACCGTGCGCATGCTTCGCACACTGGGCTGGTCACTATTCAACGTTCTCCTGGGCGTTGTACTCCAGGCACTCGTCGAGGTCTTCTTCACCCGAGTCCTCGTCATCCGCTCCGCCCTCCGCGTGACCACTACGCTTCCACTGCCGTTTGGGATCGCCAAAGACCTGGCGCGAGGCTACCTGCTACGTGAAGTCATCACGTACGTCCTTCACCGGTACACGCTGCACAAGTCTCACACGACCCTCGCGCGCGCCCACCAGGACTGGTACCACTCACTGCCCGCCCCCTTCCCATTGGCAGCCAGCTACGACCACCCCGGTGCATATCTTGCGCGCTCGTTCCTCCCGACCTACCTCCCCGCTGTACTGTTCCGCTTCCACCTTCTCACATACGTCCTCTACCTGACGCTCGTGTCGCTTGAAGAGACCTTCGCTTACAGCGGCTACTCGAGCTTGCCGACGAATTTCATTCTCGGCGGCGTCGCGCGACGGACAGATACCCACGTGCTGTGTGGCGGGGAGGGCAACTACGGGCCATGGGGTCTGGTGGATTGGATCATGGGCACGAGTGTCGGGGCAGATGTTATTGACGATGTGAGGGCTGAGGCTGACAAGCACGACGTCCCTGCCAGAATGGATAAGGCAAAGGACAAGGCAAAGAAGAAGGTCAATGGCAAGCTGGCCGAGGCGAAAAATGGCGGGACGAGGCGGAGGACAAGAAACCGAAGTGCCAGTTGATCTAGAGGCGAACTGGCTGGCATCGGTTTATGGACGACCATGGGAAGGTTCCGCGAACCTAGATGAACTGACGCTTGTGGCCTAGCAGCATTGAGAGGCTGCCGTGGCTTGTTCGACAGTGGTGGAACCGAGAAGTTCTGGTAGAGGCATGTTGGTGAGGATGCTCTTCCAGTTATCAGTTTTGTGATCTCTTTGCAGCGGCCTTCAAGCGTCCCTTCACATCTTGATACCCTTTTTGAGCACTTCCAATGAAGAACATTTGAACAACATGATATAAGTGACTTCCCATCGTAGAGATCAACGAATGATCAAGACAGTCTCCGCATGTTAGGTGATGATAGAAGAGAAAAGGAAACGACGCCAGCACTTCACTGGCATAGATGGCTAGTTCTGGGTTGGGTACTCGCGTCGCAGAGAACCTACAAAAAACAGCCCCGGATGGCATCCAGATGTCCCCAGCAGGGCAGTGAATGTGGTCGCAATCGATCCGAACAGGGTGACTCCGAAACAGTGGTTACTTATCGGGGCACAGGCATCTATGGCGGTGGCGGATCCAGATCTGCAGGGTTAGCATTGAAAACACGCGTGCACAATGTAGAGTCAAGACTGGCTCGAGACTGGCTCGAGACAAGGTCAGACAGGTTTCATCTTGGTGTTCATATTGTCTAGGCTCGAAAATCAATCCCGAAGGCGCAACAGTGGCCGATCAATTCTCCTCTGTGGGGGATCATTTTGGATCGCCCAAATCCATTGATTGACCGACTCTCGTCGCCCGAACTTGATCTTGAGTTGGGTGCACCTGATCGGCTCGGACTAGCAAGGTCCATGGAATTCCCCCCTCATGGCTATCCATGCCGCCCCGGCCCATCATGGTCTGGTTTTTGGGAATAAGAAGATTGCTTGGTGGTCGACCGCGCAAGCACGCAACAAACGCCTATCTCCCATATGCCTGCTTTCCACCTCTCCTCTCACGCTCCAACCAGCCTCCCTCCACCACAGATTGGCGTTTGGCAAGAAACAGTGAAGTGACTCGTCTAGAAGGCCATCTCGTGGGGCTTCTGGCCGTGTCGGAGGGCGAAGCTGGATTTCAAATAGCTGGCAAGGAATTCTTCGTTCTTGATCGCGGAAAGGAGCGGCTTGTCAATGGCCTTTTGGTCGGAAGCGCGTTGAGAAGTAGGCTGCTTCTTCTATAGTGCTGTTAGTATCTCCAAACAGTCGGGTCGGTTGTGGGATCTCGTATGCTTACCTCTGGCTTCTCTCCCTGCTGGATGAAGGCTTCCTCACCCTTTTCCTTCTTGCTCTTCTTTTCCCGAGCAAAGTATTCAGGGCTGGCAATCTTCTCTAGCGTCGACTGGTCAAGACCGCTGATGTCGACTTTTGTTGATGTCGCAATGACGTATCTCGAGTTCACTCGTCGGAGGGGGACTCCATTGATCTTGAAGGGGCCGGTGACCAGCAGTGCGCCCTCCTTGAGGTGCTTGAGGAGGATCACACGCTTGCCACGGAAACGACCGGCGAGGAGGATCAGGACCGCGCCCGGTTGAAGCGAGGCTCGGGGCTTGTGTGGGCGGAGTGTCTTGCGGGCCTGTGGTAGACGGTTCTAGTCAGTACAACATGTCGACGAGTTGTTGGCTGAAAGCGCTCGCTCGCTCGTCTGAGGCAATACTCGACGGCGCCCAGTCTTTTCTTTCGTGCTTGCATTGAGTAGCACTCACCTTCTTGGGTTGTTTAACATCCTCCGTTGGATAGAACTTGCGCGCCTTCTGGGAAGGGTGAGGCACCGTCCTCTCACCGTTCCCGAACTTCTTCGTACTGGCCTCCACGGAAGACATCTTGACCACGAGGCTGGAGTGATTGCTGAGGTTGTTGTCGCCAAATGGTGGTGGAGGGTTGGTTTCGATGAGGTGCCGCAGTTGTAGTGGACGGTGGGAAGAGCAGTGTGCGATTCGTTTTCTTGGCGACTCGACCCTGAACAGGAAAGTACGGCGGAATTTTTGACGGGGCCTTTGAAGGCGGTGCATCATGTGACTTCACGTGCCACCGCCAAGCACCAGTAGTGCAGCAGTGCAGTGTGGAGACGGATTTGGCCTGTTTGCTGGGTTTGCCGGGTTTGTCGAGGACAAGTTACTAGTGCCAGGCTTCTGCTCTTGACGCAAAGCCACCTGTGATGGAACCGTGGAGGAACTTCCAGTACAGAGAGTATTTGGCTTGCCGTCAACAACGAATGAGGTCTTGCTCCTGAGTTGCACATTCAAACCCTAGCGACTTCAACTTGCACGATTCCTTCAGTCATCTGTTTCTCTCGCTTGGTTCCCGCTTTTCAACATGTCGGTCACTCCAATAATCACATTTAAGGCAGGACTCTGTGAGCTCGATGTAAGTGTTTCTGCAGCCTCGTCCTGACCGGAACGCCATTTGCTACTCGCGCAGATACCTCTTCTAGGCACAAATGCTGACACTCTTGCAGACGAGTTCTTCGCCTCCAAAAGTCAAGCCTCTTCCCACTCCCGGATACATCTACCTCTACGCTGAGGATGAACTCCTACATCTGTGTTGGCGACCAAGAAGCGCTCCCTTAGACCGGCCCGAACTGGACCTGTTGATGCTTCCGGGCGATGGCTCTTTCACTCCCTACCACCCCACCAGTGTAGACAGTCCCTCGAACTCCCAAACACCCACCAATGGAAGAATATACGTGCTGAAGTTCTCGTCAAGCTCGCAACGACACCTCTTTTGGTTACAGTCACGCAGTCAACATCCTCAGGGCGATCCTGCATGGTTCAGCACTCGAGACTTGAAGTTGGGACAAATCGTGAATAATCTTCTACAAGGTGAAGAGGTGGACGTCCAACAACAGATGGCCGAGTTGCCCAGAGACCAGAACCCCCCGGACGATGATGAGGATGAGCCCATGGAAGAGGTCGAAGGCACAGACCATGCCGGCAACCGTCGTCCATCGCAAGGACCAGGAGCAGGCCCTGATGCCACCGGCGGTGACTTCCGTGAAGAAGGAGAAGAGTCCAGAGAAGGGGGAGCTGATGGCGGAAGAGCGTAGGTAATGCACCCACGCCGTGCGCTTGGTGCCTGTTTGAAGTCGCCCGACTGACCGGTGGCAGCGCTGCTGGAATGGACGCCAACGCCATCATCCAGAACTTCATCCAATCACTAGGCGGCAACAGCAGTAACAACAGCCAAGGCCGCGGATCCGGGCCACAGGAACAACTCTTCACCACTCTGGCAGACTTGCTGACTCCAGCAACTACAATCCCTTGGATCGATTCTGCAGACTCTGTCCTTGTCGACCGGTTGCTTCAATACCTCCCACCTGCGCTGGTCACTTTGATACAAGAAGCAGACGACATGGCGGCACTCAACACGGAACACGCATCAATCGAAGCAGCTGAGCAAGCACTCAGCTTGGACCAGAAGAAGGATATCCTGCGGAGAGTTTTGCGGTCCCCACAGTTCTCGCAGAGTTTATCGAGTCTGACAATCGCCTTGCGTGATGGTGGTTTGCCAAGTATTAGTGAAGCTCTTGACATTCCTGTTCGAAACGGAGGCTACATGCGTCGGGGAGGGGTACCATTAGGTGGCGGCGAAGCTGTTGAAGCTTTCCTGAAGGGAGTTAAAGATAAAGTGATGATGGAAAGAGAGAAGGATGGAAATGATCACATGGACACTGAGTAGGACTTGACAGCTAATATGCAGTCTGCTCTCACTCCTCGCCTTTGTGCTGTCTCAAAATCAGCTTCTAATTACTGGACCGTCGGTCAATATCACAGCCTCGTCCCCCTTGACATTGGAGTGGCCACATGTGAAGATATCGAAACCCTTCCCAGTATTGATGTGTGATTGATTTTCTTTGCTGCGCACGTCCAGATCCTGGTTGTATCTCAAGCGCAACCCGTCGAGAATGTATCTAAGTAAAGGGCGCAATCTGATGGACGAGGCTGGTCTTCGCCATTCTAAGTTAGACCAAAGATATATACAAACTTATCCTATACTCTATATAAACAACACCTATAATTATCGAGGCGCCTCGAAGGCGCTAAGGCTTATAAAGACGGTTATATAGAGGCTTCGAAGGGTATACGGTACTATACGCGTACGGACCCTTCTTCGAGAGCTATATAGTCTAATAAGGCCCCGGCCCCGTTAAAATAGGACAAGTCCTCCGTGAAATTATACACCTATTATACCATGGAGAGCCAGTTGCCCACAATGCATTTGCATATATATCACTAATATTGCGCTAACTAGGTTCCGCCCTCAGGCTCAGCGAATATATCAGATGCAATCGATGCTTAATGGATCACAGGATGAGGTACTGTTGCTTGCCTGAGCAATGACCCGCCGCTCTGGCCTCGAACCCACAAGGCTATCCGAACAATGATCAGCCTGGATAACGAAGAACTATGTCTGGCCATGCTACCATCATCATGCCCCTACACTATCTCAAAACTCGATGCCGATAATGGGGTGGACTCAAAGACCTGGCTGATCCGTGAACATGATCAATATGGCGAGTATCCGCACATATATGCTAAGATCTGCCGAGCCACCAGGGAGTCTATGCCCCAAACCAGAGGACTCTCTGGAGACACCAAGCTCAAATCCGCCGACCTGGGCAGGGACCAGGATGAAAAGGACGAGAAGAGATACGACGAAGTCATCATCCTCAGCGACACAGGCTGTGGAACAGAAGTGCCCTACCCGACTTCCCACCATGCTTGCGCGGTTGAGCATGCGGGTTCCAGCATGCTCTCGTCTCGCCCTGAACCAGCTGTGTGGAATCTCGGAACTTTTCTCGAGTATACCCTGAATCCAGCAGGACGAATACCGTACCTGGTCATGACGACGCATTGCCATTACGATCATATCATGGGACTCTGGAAACTACCTCCTACAACTACCACAAGGCTCCAGGTGCAAGACAGAGTATCGATATCGCCTAGACTCCGACCGGATGGAGCATCGATATCGCCTCCGGTCGGACGAGCAGATGGTAGAGACGACGTCCAGATGTCGAACATGCCTGCAACGACGGTTCTGAGTTCCTCGCACGGCAAATCGTTCGTCATACCTTACGCCAACCTCCAGAGACACAGTCTCTGTGAGAACAATGGTCTCCAAGCACCCAATTACACGGTGAGTGTCTGGGCAGATGACATGCAGCGTGTCGTCTACAGCACTCCTGCATCTCTCAGATCGATCCCGACACCCTTGACAATTCTCCATATGCCAGGACACACGCCGGACTCGCTGGCCTGGTATGACGCAGACACGCACATGCTCTGTGTTGGGGACAGCTTCTATCTCAAGGAGACGCCAACGACGCGCGCGGCACCGTGGGGCCCTGAGCCGGCTATGCCGACAATATTCACTCTCGAGAGTGATCTCGCGGATTGGTGGACAAGTGCGAGGAAAGTTCTGGCTTTTGTGAGAGAGAAGAATGCCGAGCTCAAGTGGCAGAGGTGGGATGGTGCTCGTCGAGGCGGGGAAGATGATTGTTTCGTCTTCGTCGAGTATGCCGGTGTCAGCGACGGCGATCGGGACCCAAGATTCCGGGACGCCATCGAACCAGGGTTGGAAAGTGGCTCTCCGGTACCCGAGTTCGCGCATGAACACCAAGAGGGGAATCATGACGACGACTGGGTTCTCGTCGACATCGCTCATCGTTCTTCTTCTCCGTCTGCTCCTGAACGCGTCAGTCTCTGCGCAGCACATACAACTGTCTCTGTCGATGCCGAGGCTGCAACGCTCACGGTCCTGTCTTTTATGGCTCGAATCTTGCGCGACGAAGTGCCTTGCCGGCGTGTCGCTGATGGTTCGGGAGGCGAGGAGCGTTGGCTTTGGGATTATGCGCTCAATAGGGACTCCGCTGTCTCTGTCCCTTTCCAGAATGAGGACGACAAGAGTAGGTATTGGCATCACGGTGAGAACGACAGAAAGGATCAAAATGGAAGAAAAGACAAGACTCAATATCAGGGACACCATGAGATCAGCGAATGTAAGGATTCTTGGGCCGTCAAGGCCAGCAAGAGTCTCAATCTTGATCAACGGTGGAATTCGCGAGGGTTTCCCATACAAGATGTACAGAGTCAACGTCAAGGCCAGGGCCATCCTTCCGGAAACAATGGATACGTTGATGGAAGTGGATATGAGCGCCACTTGAGGTACGAGTACAGTGTCCTCGCGCCTCTTTGTGTCGTTGAGGAAGGGAGGAGAACGATTCCTAGGTCTGAGTGGGATGTGTTCTGCGAACGAGCAGTATAGATCGTTGCTCTATTGAGTACTGCGTGGGAGAGGGCATCTGGCTGACAATTGCTGTCAGCTGGAATACATGTTCCTGTGCAGCACCTTTGCGAACGGAATAGTGAGATACCTACAGTACAGTGATGAAGTGATGGCCGGGATGACGGATTGACGGGTATTTCTATAGGCATAGACCCCAGTCATATGTACATTGATGGCTCAAGAACAAAAAGATGAAGGATGGTTGAAGTGGCCATGAAACATCATATAGCTAGATATCTGTAGTTTGCAGAATACCTAGATAGAGAAGCGTGCTGAGCTGCCCAAATCAATCCAGGTCAATCAAGTCTGATATTGCACTTCCCATCTCTCTCCACAAACGTGGATCCAGCTAGCTGGACTGTCGTTGATCGGTGCCTCATTCCCAACTCTCCACAGAAACAGGGCCCGAAGGTCAGTGCCGCTGGACTGAAGCCGTTAGAGATGGGGCGAAGCCAACTCAAGTTTTCTCAGGCCCATTATGTCTTGAGTAACGCTGTCCGTCTTTCGTCGTTCGCGTACATCTTCTCGGGTCACCTTTTGGGCGTGACAAAGGTCCTGATGCTGAGAGCATGGGGGCTTTTGCCCGATTCGTGTCAAGCATGACTTGCACCATGTCGAATTGGTTCGAAAGGTATATGAGAACATAGCGGTCCGTTCGGTGATAGACACGCTCCGAGAAAGTATCAATTGATAGAACGTCCGAACCCAGGCTCAGCTCATGAGAACCTGCCCAGAAGTTTAGCGGGCATGGGGGAAAGCATTGAGATAGTGATCGATCGATCATCCAATATATCGAGGGATGAATCAATCGCTCTCATCCTCGCTCCCGACGTCGACATCTCGTCCGATCATCAGTGGTCTCGCTCTTCCGTTCGGGCGGTGACTTCCATCGACGTCGTCAAGGCCATCGGTGTCGTGGCCATTTTGCTCGTCATCCTCGTCGTCCGGCTCTTCATCGTCCTCTTCCTCTTCCTCTTCATCCTCGTCCTCTCCCTCCTCCTGGTCGTCGTCCTCCTCGTCAGCTGGCTCATCCTCACCTTCGTCGCCGTCCTCAGCATCCGACTCATCCGACATTGCCCTCGCCTTACCATTTGCGAGTGGTGAGCTCCGATTGGCGGATTTGCTCTTACTCTTCCTCTTCGCCTTTGCTGGGTGAGAGAGACCCGAGTCATCGCCCACTCCACCACCGTTGAGCTGCTCATCAAGCAGGCGCTCCTCCTCATCGTCGTCGTCATCATCCATCCTCCGCGCCTTCTTACTACTCGGTTCTCCCCTTTCCGCAGCTCCTGCCTCTCCATCCTCTCCGCCTTCGCCGTCTCCAGCAAGACTCTCCCTCGCCTTGACTTTGTCTCTATACCCCTTTCTTTTGCGCTGGATGATCTCCTCGTACGCCTCCATTTCCCGCTCCAGCCGGCCGCCCAATCGGCCGTCCTGACCCACAGCCCCGAGTTCCATGACTCCGGCCATTTCCATCTCCTTCAGGGCCTTCAACACATCTTGCGGCCCAAGCGTCTTTTTGGTCGTCTGCTCGTTCGCATGGTGGGCCAGGTACGAGATGAACACGGTGGCCGACTTGGCCAGGGCCAGGGTTGCGTCTTTCTGAATCGAAGTGTTGGGCGGTAATACGCCGCGAGCGAGTCGCGACACGAGCGTGCGTGGTAATAAAAGGTCCTAAGAAGCCCCTCCCATAATGGGGTCATTGTCAGCCAAATTTGACCTCATACTCAGACTTGTATTCTACAGTGCTTTTCGTGTAGGGCGGCAGCTTTGAAAGGCCTCTTTCCACCGTCCTCAATACAGGGTTTGTCCCAGTACGGGATATGGAATGCACATACATCAATGCTCACGCCGTCGTCTTGCTTGCCTCCACCACTTGACTGTCGGGCTGATTTGGGATGTGCGTGGGTCGAGGTATTGGTTGCGTTGGAAACCATGGATACATCGCCGTTGGCGTCTGTAGCTGCCGCTGAGGCGTTGCTTTTCCGTGGCGCCATTTCTGGGGCTGCTTTCGTGTAGAACGGACCGAAGAACCGGCGGTGCGTGTCTGAAGAGGGCGTCGATGCCCGCTAGTTGTACTCTGCTGGGGAGAAGAGTTGTCCTTGGCTGAGCGGTATTCTGTTGCTCCTCAATAACGGTACGACTGATCGAGGGGGCCTGCGTTCCGGAGAGTACTGTAATGCTGGGTGCTTGTAGAGTGGTCGACAAGCCTCGTTTCGACGGTCTTTCTCGACGACTAGGAGCAGGGCGCCAGGATGGTTGATGCTAGCAATGGTCGCAGATTCCGCTCACAGACCGCAGTCAATCGGTCGCCTTGAAGTCGGGTAGAGAGCGACGCCGATCCTTGGGGGTGCACGGCGGAAGATAGTACTGCAAACGTTGACAAAGTTGCAGAAGTCTGGATAAACGAGGACCACTTGGAAAGGCAGGTGTTCAGAGTATCGGTCTGTAAGAAAACGCGGTCGAAATCTGGACGCGACCGCGAGGACGGAGAGGGAAGCGAAGCGTGTGTCAATCAGACCAGATCCAGTCCACTATTATCGACTATTTCCCTTCAACTTCTTTTTCCTTCACACTACAGTTACAAGAAGTCGCATCTTAGTGATTGGATTCCCATCCAGCAATATGATTACAGGCAAAGCATCTGCAACTGTGGATTGGAATCGGCTCGTGAGATATGTTTCCCTTGGATCGATCCCTCTACCAAATACCATTTTGTTTTCCATCCGAACCCCCAAACGCCATGCATGTCTCATGTCTGTCATGACTCTATTTGCATTGCATCGTTCCCAGCTTTGTCCCCTGGCGCATCGCCCGAGTCGCCCCAGAGTCCCTCCAGCTTGAACTCGGCCGCCCATTCCTTGACAATCTCCTTTCGATCGGCCCCAAGAGCCCGAGCCTTGCCGTTGGCTCCGTCTTCATCCTCGACCATGTCCGCATCCTCTGCGACCTTGAGGACAGGCGGATCAACCCAGCCTTGGATTCTGCCGTCCCTCCAATCCGTGATCACCGTCATGGCTGCCGCATTCAGGTTCGGGACACCGCCTCGACCCAGCCTGCCTCGCTTCCGTGCCACCTGCACCAAGAAATCGGTGATGGTGTCACCTTGCGCAAACGGACCCAAAGCAACGATGCCGTAGTGGCTGAGTAGCTTTTCGTACAGCGCCTCAGAAGTAGAGAGTCGGGACATGAGAAGGTTCACTGCAGGCATGGGATCTGAAATCTGCCGGGGTGGAAGGGCGTTCAAGAGAATGAGTCGTGCTTCGTGTTCTGCTTTTCGTCGTTCACGGTCCTGCTTGTTCTCACCGTCCACGGTCGATGGGAAGACGATACCAGGCGAATCCAGGATCTTCAATTTGCTGTCCACCTTGACTTCTCGTAGACTCGTGGTCACACCAGCCTCCGAACCGACAGGACAAGCGAAACTCTGCGTGCCCTTGTTCAACCGGGACGTCAAAGCGTTGATGACGGACGATTTGCCAACATTGGGGTACCCGATGACTCCGACGGAAACAGACCGCTTCAGCTGCTTCGAGGCCGCGTATGACTTCAAAGCGCGGAGCAAGGTCTCCGAGGTGGCTTTGAGCGTGAGCTGCTTGTGGTCGAATGTCTGCGCATTGGATGCAGGTGTCGATGCTCGCAGGGGGATCGTGGGGAAATATCGTCGTAAGTGGGTCAACCAGCCCTTCAACACTGGCGGCGGCACCAGGTCAATCTTGTTCAGCACGAGGATCAGTCGCTTGGAGCCACCCTCGGCGGACATGACCTGCCGTTCGACTTCTCGCGATCGAGTGCCTTCGGGGTCTCGAGCATCTAAGACGTATAATATCACATCTGCGGCATCCAGGACTTGCTTGAAGATCTTGTCGAAAGCCTTCCGTGAAGAGTCGGGGTTTTTGTTATTGACTGCCATGGTCTCCGAAACTCGAACGCCGTCGTCGTCTTGGTCCTCATCATAATCGGAGACATCGCCTTCGAGCGCGCCCTGGTCGAACTCGGCTGCCCTTGCTTGGGCCGAGGCCACCAAAGCAGCCAAAGGATTTGCACCGTCACCCGCCGCCGCATCATCCATTTCTTCGTCGAGCATGTCGTCTTCGTCGTCTTCCTCCATTAAATCGTCGTCGGTGGGCTCATCGGCCGTGGCACCCTTCTCTGCTCTTTTCTTCTCCTTCGCGGCATCCCTCAGTCTCTGCGCGTTCTCCGCCTTTTGCCTCTTTTTCTCCTCAATCTCTTCAAGGATCTTCTCCTTGAAGGGAAACAAGTTGGGAATGCCAGGATCCTTCTTTAAGCGAGACTTCCATTGCGGATTCTGCAGGGTGTCAGCGTGTGTCCTTTCTCGTCGCTAGGAGACACCGTACCTTTTTGGATTCTTTTCTCAGTTTCCTCTGCTTTGCGGCACTAGCCTTCTCGATTTTATGCCGCAGTCGCACGGGTGTACGCTTCGACTTGGAAACTGCAAACGGTCAATAAGTAAAAATTGAAGACCACATGTAGAATACTTACATGACTTGACCATCTTCCAGATCTCGAGTGAACAGCAGCAGTGGAATATTCTACACGGGCTGACTACTGACTGCTGTCTTCTCGACGGCCCTTCAAAAAAAGTTGCAGGCAGCGGGCGCGCCAAGGTGTGGGTCACCCCTCTCCAGGATTAAGCTGATGCCGCCCTATGCCCACCCTTGGTTCACCTGTTATGGGGGAGAAATCCTAGTCGGACACCACGGCCGCTTCTGGCTTCAATGCGACGCCGATACATCGTTCGTGAGAAACCCTTCTGATTAATCGCCCGATTATGTCGGAGCGACTGTTTCGTTCTAGCAATCGAACTAAGTACGTAGTATGGTGTACTATAACGCTCACCGCCCCGAATCGATGCAGAGGAGGCCTCGACCAGGTTGCTACTTTCACCTAACCCATGTTTTCTTTTCAGCGGAAAAAAAAAAAAAACGTTGGCCTAATTCGGAGATAGAAGGAGCACTGAGACTAAGCTCCAAAAAAAGACGTTCCAAGGCAAAAAAGAAGCCTCCCCGACAGGGAATCGAACCCTGGTCTCCCGCGCTCGTTATTTGAAATGACAAGCGGAAACTGAAATGATTGTTAGATTATGAATCAACGAAGGCTTGTAGACAAGATGACTTACTCATGACCACTAGACCATCGAGGATAACACAAAAGGAGAAACTCCCCGACAGGGAATCGAACCCTGGTCTCCCGCGCTCGTTATTTAGAATGACAAGCGGAAACTGATTAAATGTTAGACGCTGAAGCTTGATGTTAAGTGTGATGGAACTTACTCATGACCACTAGACCATCGAGGAATCAATGTGTGATTGTTGTGGATAATTCCAAAATCCAAGCAAATATACTCCAAATAAATTTGTGGAGTCACGTGCCAAGCATACTATCCAATCAATCCAAGACTTACCCACAAATTTAAGTACGTACATGTATTTGCCTATCAGGTATTCAACTTCGGAGACATTCAACTACAGATTCTCCTCAGATCAATTGAAGGAAATTGTTGATTGCATCCTGCCTTTTCCTCACCTGTATCCTCACCTGTATCCTCATGATTAGCCACGTGCCTACAAAGCCAAGCTGCATACCGTGATCTTCACGACCGGGAGCTTATCTAAGTGAGTTCTTGAGTCGCGCCTGATATGGGGTCTTCCAAATAGCGTGCTCCTGGTTTGCGCAGCATTAGCAGGCTTGAATACCTTTCGTGGATGGATGAGCATAATGGCTCTGCGCTTTCACATAGGTACTAGCCCACACCTACCACGAAAGTGGCGTAAGACAGCCTCCATGACGGAACTGAGCTTGCGAGACTGACTGGCCCCAATGAGTATGACGAGAATATCAGATTACTCCACGCTCTCGTGCTCGACTACCTCATACATGGAATGATCGAAGGCGACGAGGATTCACGTTTGAGAACGCACAACCTGATCTTCGGAAGTAACTGCCTTACAGTGCTCGAACATTGCGAATGGCTAAGATACCTGGAGAGCCCTCTTCTCGTCTCGGTTGACTGTGTGACACGCCTCCTCAACCTCAGAATCTCGACTCTCGAAGGGCCCCTGTGCAAAGCTACCGGTAGCGGTATTCTGCGTACGCACATAAACTTCGGCTGTTGCAGAGCTCACCCAAGTAATGGATGCTTTTGGAAGGCCAAGGTAACATTCAAGAACAAGATATTCGCTTGGAAAAAACCACCGATCCTGTCTCAAAGGATGTATCGGTCCATCTTGGCTATGGCGGCGTTTCCCGTACAACGAATGCATGGGGGCGGCATGCACATGGCCTCAGAACCACTAGAGGATCTTCTCTCAGGCAGATATTTCACCTCACATCCGACCTGTATCCTAACATTGTCGCAAATTGCCATGTGCAGGCGATTCCCATCTGGAACTGCCAACATGGGCCGGCGACCAGCTCATTGAGACGAGGGAGCAATTACTGATATGCATCCTAGAGCAAGGGGCTCTCAATGTCAGCATCGGTGGCTGGGTATCTTCGAGATCAGATCCTCATGGCAAAAAGTTGTTTCAGAGTCTGGGAACTGAGTTCTTTGCTATCGCGGCACAGATGACTCCGGAAATTTCTCCCACCCCCCAACTGGTTGTACAGTGCTATGCACGAGAGTCTGCAGCCAAAAATTATGAGAAGGCAGTGAGTGACTGTGATATCGACTACTCCAGTTGCAGATGCCACCGCATTGGCTGAAGGATTGACTGATCAGGCCACTTCCAGGGTCCTGAAGAACGGTCGAGCCCTACCTCTGATTGTGGGCCTTTGGCCCTCCCCGGAAATCTGTGAAGGCTCCAGCGAGCTTCTGGAAGTCTACTCCGATGGGTGCCAGGATCAACTGCGCGGACCCTTCAGTAGGCATTTCCCGATGCTGTATCTGTGTGGCCGGAACTGTCCAGATTTCCCAAAATAACCAACTTCTCCCAATATTTGTTTGCAGAATACCTACATACAATTAATCGCAACACGTGCTAGCGATGGAACATATGGTACTACCTTATGCAAGCAGTACTGTCTCTCAAAGCTGCTCTCAATGTCTTACACACAGATGTTGTCAAAGAGTCATTCGTCAAGATACCCAACAGAAGTACTGCCCAGCAGCGACGAATTACAACATTCATCAACCTAGTGCGCACAGGACCGTGTTCGAGGGCGCCATCTTATGATGCAGTGAAGAGGAAGTTGACGCGAAGCACTTCTGTGTAGGTAGTAGTATAAACATCATTCGGCCCAAAATCACGTGAATAGAAGATATACTCTGCCGGCGCCGGCGCAGCCCGATCGAGTAACGGATCCGACGTTGGGGAGGCATAAAACTCACGCTTTAATTCCAACTCCAATCAGCAGATTACTCTGTATGTTTCTACTCCATACTTCTGTAAGGCTCATATACACGGCATAGAATAGAGTGTGGGATAACAACTACTTCGGTGAAGAGCGATTCTCTCCATACATTTGACGCCAGCAGAGGGGCTACGATGGGCTCAGTTGAAGAGCCCGGGGCTTCCTTTTCTGCACCACCCGAAATCGTCTCGGCTAACGGTTTACTGTTCGACTTTGATGGTCAGTTGCATCACATATCTACTCCCCAGTCTCAAACATCCTATCTAATATGACCTGGATTAGGTACCATTATCGACAGTACAGAAGCCATTGTCAAACACTGGCACAGGCAAGGCGAACTGATGGGAGTTGATCCCAACGTCATCCTTGCCACTTCTCATGGACGAAGAAGCATTGATACCTTCAAGATGTATGACCCTTCCAGGGCCAATTGGGAATGTAAGGTCGCTCGTGAAAGCCAAGGGTCCCTGGTGCGCAGCTAAGACAGTGCTGTAGACATAAGCCATGAGGAAGGGTTGATCCCCAAAGAATTCGGCCAGAATGCAGTGGAGATTCCTGGTGCTCGCAAACTGCTCACAAGTCTCGAAGCCGTCAATGCCCCCTGGGCGGTCGTGACTTCCGGCACTCGAGCGTTGCTGACTGGCTGGATTGATGTGTTGAAGCTCGCCCATCCTCGATGCGTCGTAGTAGCAGAGGATGTGGCGGAGGGCAAACCACACCCAGACTGTTACCTGCTTGGACGTCAGCGACTCGGCCTGGGCGAGGAAGCGCACATGATCGTTATCGAAGATGCGCCATCGGGCGTCCGTGCAGGCAAGGCCGCAGGCTTCAAAGTCGTTGCCTTAACCACCACCCACACGATTGGCCAGGTCAAGGAAGCGGGGGCGGACTGGATTGTGCAAGACTTGAGAAGCATCACGCTCAAGAGCTTTGCGGAGGGTATCGTACAGATCGAGATCACCAATGCCTTGGTCAGTGCGTAGCCACCGCTCTCTCTGGTGCGGTTTTCTCCCGGTGCACATCTCAGCATGGCGCCATGGCGTCCGGTCAAGATGAGGATGGTTGAGGTTTCCAGGCTAGACGTCCCCATATAGACCACGGATAGAGCGGACGATGGGAGAGGGCGCCGTTGCACCCCATCGCCCCCCAAGGGAGAGGAAAGGGCCGCATGACCTTGGCCGCAGAGCAGCCACAGCCGACTGAGCATAAATGGCGACATACTGGAGATCCAGTCCACTTTTCTGGGAACATGTAGAGCTCCAATCGTCCGTAAAACATGCCCGCTGTACAGCTCGTCAGTTTGCGAGACATTCTCCCCGGAGTGATAGTCAGAAGACAACTATGATCCGCTTGACGGTACCTGCAGGAGGATCTGTCTTCTGGGTTCTGTCACACTTCCGTTGATGACTGCTGCAGGGTCTCTACCCGTGGCTGCGCAACGTGGAAAACATAGATGTGCCGGTTGTCAGCGGTCGACGGGCAACAGAGACCAGCAAACAAGGCCGGGGCCAAGGTGCGAACCACTCTGGCCAGAGCAACATGTCACTCGTTGGTTGATGAGGTGATGCGCAAGATCAAATGGACCAAGCGTTGACCGTCGTGGTCAATGCTGCCGCTCAGACTGCGGGTAAACATAATACTAAATGATACCTTTGCCATATCAATTGCGTGACGTTGACACAGACCTGCTCCACACCTTTACAAGAACGTCCTAGGTCGTCCGAAAGCGAGGGGTTCTTGCTGGTGACTTTCAGGGTCACACAGCGGTGACCAAACATAGCGAGTGTCCTAGATCGACCTGTGGGCTGCCGACGACTTAATATTGTGGTACCTACCAAGATCTGACACCCTGAACGCAATGAGAGATAGAGTTCGAGTATAATAAGATGACTTTTGCAATCAAAAACCAACAAGTCTGGGAGACCGGCGATAGGCGGAGCGGAGTCGAAGTCGATCAAGTCTCGCTGATAAGCAGATCGTCGACTTACACATGAGAAGTCGTCAAATTGACATGTGATTTGTGGAAATAAAGCCGAGGAGTCGAGACAATCCTGGCGGAAGCGGCGGCAATCCAGCAATAACTGCTGCTATAGACCGCCAACCTCATCGGCGGTCGCTAAAGCCAGGTTTAGATAAGATAGGCGCATGTACTGTCGGTGATGCCTATCTTGGTGGACAAGGGCGCTCGGCGAGACAGGGCTGTGGGACGCTGGCGACAACTCACAGGATCGAGAACAACGTACCTAAACCCGAAACGTGGACAGAGCTGGAACTTCGGAAGGGGAGCTGAGTGTCGGTCGTTTTTTCGGATGCGCTAAGATAATGCCCCTATGGCGTATTTGAGATTGCTGTCTCTGATTTCGTGTAGCCAAATCCCTTGCCCGTTGCCAGTTGCCCATTGCGGCGTTGCCAGTTGCCAGCGGTGCCAGCACCAGCCTGGAGGGTGTGCCCTGTTGTGCAATCAAATCAGCTGTACATGTCGCACCATAATCTCTCGACTCGATGATTCCCAGCTCTCCTTACAAGGGTGGCCGATATACCCCCTGCATAACTCCTTCTTGTCCAGTGTCCATTGCAAGAGGTTTGAGAAAGCAGTATCTTGTCGCGCGTCTCGACCGAAGAACAGGGGAAGCAGTGATCAGGCTGGGTCTTTTGTGATGAAAGCAGCGTAATGGCCTGGATTTGGGGATGCAGGACGCTGCTAAGTGGACGGGAGCGATCGAAAGCGGCGTGCAGGGGACAAGGATGGACTGCGCTTTAGTTGTCAGTCGGAGCTGGAATTCCACCGCCACAGCTGCAGGTACCAAATTGTGTTTTGCTGCAGACTGCGCTTTTCTGGGAGGATCAGATGCAAGGCACCGTCGGCAGTGGATACAGTCCGCAGTCTTGACTCAGACCGGGGTGCTTCCCCATACAGCATCCAAGAACTTCAGTGTCTGATATACCTAGGAGAGAGGACTCGCGCCGGTAGCCTGATGCATAGTAACGGAAGGACTGAATATCAGATCGTTAGAGGAGCCCAACTAATCCGATACAGGAGGAAGCAGTAATACTGTACATCAGATCCGCAACCACAAGGCTGCTTCAGGGCCGGCAGAGACACGATCGTGGTTGATAATGATGATGAATACATTAGGCCGATGGAGCTGGCGAGTCAGTATACAGAGTAGGCGCCCACTGGTCGACGCCTGATGCCCAATACATTTCCTGGGTATGCAGCTGCGAAGTCTACTGTGTCTACCTACCTTTGGTGCCCAACCTGAACGGTGCACTGTGGTATGGCTCGCGCATGATCAGGCCGTTTTCATCGATGTTGAGCAGAGCAGCCACCGACAGAGAATAATGTATGGGCGCAGATTGCCGAGTGCAAATAAGTTGGTAACGGACAGTGCAGTGCATGGGCTCGATGGGTTCCACATTAGATAGAGTTCCAGCTGGATGGAGATTATTCGCGAGGAGAATTTCAGGCGGAAGGAGCAACAAGCGGGCACGCCATTTGCAGCGTTGACATCAGACGGACACAACGGCAGTCAAGTCAGTGTCGTGTCCGAGTCAGATTCAGTTATTTGTCCGTGTTCAAGGTTTCTATGCTCGCCATGCCCTGCACTGGCAGTGCATATCAGGTAATTTTGATGATCCTAGACAGCCGCCTCAAATTGCCACACCTCATACCCCTTCGCGAGCGCCTCGTTGCAGCATGAACCAGGGTTCTCAGACCTCAAAGCGCAACCAGGCTGGCCCGACCCAAGGCCATCTCCACCAGGCCTTCTCCTTCGGTGCGAAAACTGTGCCACAAGACGCCGTTTGGGCTGAGACCGGCGCCGAACGGGTTAGATCTGGGCGACCGGGTGGCCTGAGATGGCAAGGATAGTCTGGCCTCCGGGCCTGCAATGCACTGCAATGAGGTCTTTGGCCCCTAAGCCGTTGCTGCATTGCCCCTGGCTGGATGCCTATTCCGACTTGTTTTAAGCTGCGACCGATGTGGTGTACCTTTGTATGCAGTTGCCAGCTGCATCCTCTACTGGGTGCCAGGGCGTCTGTTCCTGCATTGGCGCCGAACATCACAACCAGAACCCCTTGGAACACGGCATGCTCCAATCCGCCATCATGACGCCCAGAAGCATGCATACAAGGTACCTACCGTCGACAAGAGGAGAAAGACAGGCCTAGCCAAAAGTCAGGAGGCGGATGAAGGATAGTACGTACAAGAATATGGAATGATACCTCAGGTGTGCACCTTACTGTGATACTGTAGCATGCCTGAGGCCTAGGCATCGGTGGTGCTGAGGACCTCAGTTGGGGGTCCCAAGGGTGCCGATTTGGTAGCCATTCATAGCTGGTACCCTTGGTTGGCTCCCTCTGCACGTACCGAGTCCCTCCACCCGCGGTGACTTGTGTCGTTGGTAGCCGAGCGCCTCTTCCGCGGCTTGTTCGGAGAATGCCTTGGCTTTTCCCTTCCAACGTCCATCTAAGACACCCAGAATAATCTCCTGGTGTTTACCCTCCCTGCGCCTCGCCTCGTCCACCATTAGAACTCAACCACCACCAGCTCCCCGCTGCATCTGGCGCTTGACTCATATCGCGAAACACGATCAAGAGAGGGCATGCCAGTGTTAACTCGACGGAAGCGACTCCTCAACCAGGAGCCACCGGCTAGAACAGACTCCACTGCTCAGTCAGTGGCTCGCCTGCTTCAGCGCAGCCTGTCCTATTCGCCTGTTCGCCTACCACCGTGTATGTCACTGTTGGTACTAAGGACAGAGTAGGCAAGGTAGGTGGTGGTCTCTCCACCCTGAGTGGATGTCCCTGGAGCTCTTCGTACTTGTCAGTCACTGTACCTGCGCCCGGCCGACGTCCAATGTCTGTCACCCATTTGCCCAGCTCCACTCCCTCTGCGCTTTGGCTCGATACCGCAGGCTCACCAGGCCTAGAGGCTACAGAGTACAGGCCTCATCCCACTGCCAACTGCTCAGTGCTGAGTCCTGTGTCCTGTGTCCTGACCCTCTCTCTCGATCGGTCCCCCATCCCATCTTACGACCTCTCAGAACGTCGGATGACGATCAAGACCGAGCCCAGCGTGCGCACTGATATCTTCTGTGCCCATCAAGCCCTCGAGGGAAGAGGACGTGCGTCTCTGTTGCTCCAGCTGTTTCCCTGTCACCCATCTGCATCATCATCGTCAACTTGGGAAAGCCCTGGGTACGATCACACCGGGCTGAACCTTTCTTTCTCTGTTCTCCATCTCCCTCGAGACGGATCCCTACCTCACCCCGGTCCTAGAAGGGCGTTAGTCCTCGCCCGATCCCTTGCGACGCCGCCTCTAAGTCTAAATTTCCCGACCTCGCCCACCTAGCTTCACCCAGATTCCCATACTACTACCACTACTGCCTGCTATCTCGTCCCTCCTGTTTGTATCACCGTCACATCATACTTCAACCAGGTCGGCTTCCCTCGAGGCCGTCGACTCGGATTCGATTTCGTTTCTCTCACGGTCGCAGCTTGTTGCGCTCCTAGAGCTCAGTTTCGCCCGCCAGTCCGATCTGAAATCGCGGACGTGATTACGACAAGTCCCTTGTCCCATCTCTACCCACCACCGCTTTCCTTGTTGCGCCTTCTGCATCGAGCGAACAATCACCTCCTGTTGCGCTCCCATTGCGAGTCTGAGTCCGTCTCCTCCCACAGTCCGGTCGTCAGAAAGGAAAAGAACTGCTTGGTCTGGTTGCAGGACCATCTCCACGCACGAGGCCGGCGATGCTCAGATGTCTAACCGACTACATACCCGCTCGCTGAGCATGCACAACGAAGACCCAGCCCTACAATACTACAACATGGCTTCCTACCTGCAAGACTCTTTTTCCTTTCCCGTTCAGCATCAGCAACAGATGTACTATCCAGGCGTTACTTACCCGGACTACCTGCTTCAGCCTCAACACCCGCTGGATGACTACCATGCTTCCTTCGGTATGGCCGAGTACGCCGACTTTATGGCGCCCGGCATGTTGAACGATGAGTTTGGAGAGGGGGAAGAGGTTTCGACGCGGCCAAGGCTCACCAAAGAACAAGTTGAGATCCTGGAGGCCCAATTTCAGGCCAATCACAAACCCAACTCCCAAGTCAAGCGGCAGTTGGCGATTCAGACCAATTTGAAGTTCCAAAGAGTTGGCGTACGTTCCCGATAAACTGACCAGGAGTTGACAAAGCAGAGCTGACTGGATGACAGAATTGGTTCCAAAACCGTCGTGCGAAGGCGAAGCAGCAGAAGAGGCAAGAGGAGTTCGAGGCCCAGAATGGATCACAGAAGCAGCCCGAGTCCAAAGAGACCCCATCCGCCGGTACACCAAAACGAGAGACTCAAGCGGAGACTAGGGCCGAGGCTGCCTCTCCTATGCGATCAGTGCCTTCGCCGAGTAAACGATCTCAATCGAGCGCACAGAACTCGCCGTCGCCAGTCAGGCTCACCGATAGGTTCAAGGAGGCCAGCTGGGCATCGCTTCAAAGAGCGCTGGGTCAAGCAAAGGCGGCACAAAACAAGCAGCCCACGCAGCCCAAGGTGACCATGCCTCCTCCGGAGCTCCCTCCACAATCGGTGCCAATGCAACTTCCACTTCGCATGAATGGGCATCACCCCAGTTTCTCGGCTTCCAGTCTACCAACCTGGCCGAATCAGCCTCCAAGTGCGGCGCCATATCCGTCGCCAATGACGTTGCAGGACACATCGTTCGATTTTGGGTTCGACACCGAGCCATCAAACACGTCGAGCCAGGGCACGGACTCCAACGATGCCATGGCAGACTTCATCCACGATTCTTTCGTCGTGACTCCAGAAGATTGGCAGGAGCCCTTGGCCACCCCCAAAGGCATGCCTCAACAGCAAAATGACCCCAGCAACACCTTGCCTTCGCCGGGGTTGACAATGCCATCGTACCCAAGTTCACGACGAGAGTCAGCCACGGACGACCTGTCCAACAACTTTGGCAACTTCGCCTTGGTGAGCAGCTCACCGACTGTGCGGACACATCGGCGTGCTTCTGAACTCATTCGTCCTCCGCAAAGCGGTGCGCTGGACATTGCCGCCCGACGCAAGCGACCTCGGCCAGCTGCTCTCACCTCTACTTCTCTTCGGAGTCGGTCGTACGGTGCCTTGACGTCTGTTTCACCCACTTTCCGACAAGGCGTGATGAACACACCCCCCGTGCCCCATACGGTTCGCCATGTCAAGTCCGCCGGCCACAGTCTGAACTCACGATATGCTGGCGTCCGCAAGTCCAGTTCGGCTCAAAGGTCGCCCATGTGCGTTGCGAGTTTTGCGGAGGCCGAAGCATTCAATCAGTTGATGGCGCAACAAGCGATCAATGCGCAGACTCTTGCCGAGTTGCCAGCCCCGTCGCTGTCACCCGACCTCGTGGCCGACACTCAAATGAATGACCCAGAAAAGAATCCGTTTCGCGCCCGTAACATAAATCCGATGCTGGCAACACAGAATCTTTCCGGCACGACTGCCTCACCTCCTGGCTCGCCGATGATGGGAACATCGATGATGCGAGGGCTGTCTCAACAATCTCTGTGTCCACCTGCTTCTGCGCCAGCACACTATTCATCTTTCCAAGACTATACACCACCATATTCTGCAGGACCTCTCACCAACAGCAGTTGGTCTGATGCCGCCCTGACTTCCCCGGAGATGCCATCGTTCCCGTCGGTAAGCTATGTGCCTTCTCTGGGATACGCCGGACTCTCTGATGGATTGCACGGGCAATATCATCATGCTGTCCTACCGTCCGATCACAAGTCGGATTTGACCTACGACGCTCAACTCGACCGTAGGCAGACGGAGTTTTACATTCAGGAATTCCCGAATCAGAAGGAAGAACATGCGAACATTGCACAACACCTGTCTCAACAGAAACCGCGAAACTATGTGTTTGCCAACAGTGCTCCACAAGACTATGCGGGCCCTTGACTGCCTCGCCAGTTGTATTCTTGACTTGATTCATTGTGTCTGCTTGGGCCCAAATACTGATACCACTTCTGTCTTTTTATTTCTGAGCGCTTTCTCTTTTGCCCTGTGGAAGGGTATGGTGTTTTTTGGGGTTGACAGCGACCCACGGCTGCCGCGATGGATGGACGAATATGCATGAAACAGGTTCGATGCTGGGCCTTGTCGGCGCGGACATGGGGTTGGTTATTCAGGGACCACACAGAGTCCGGGTTATTGTTCTTGCAGGACTTGGAATACGCGGATAGAAGGACCTGGGTATGTAATACGAGGCACCTACGGGTCGCGCATGAGAGAAATGCCTCTGGGAGATGAAATATCAGGATAATATGTGTATGACTTGAGCTCGTGAAACAGAGCGACGTATTCATTCGCTGGGTTTCATCATCGTTAGACAGTCGAAGAAGACAATTCAGTTTGAAAATGGCATGCTCCCTTCAATTGTATTGATCCATCTGCCGTGGAAGTGGCTGATGCTTGATCTGCTGTTGTCATGTAGTAGGTTGAAGGGCGGTGTGGTGTCATATAACCAGCAGCCCGCGGCCAGCAATCATTCATTGGTGGCTGACAGCAGCCAACGAGGCTGAAAGGCACGATGGCCACAGAACCGTTTTATCTCGTCATGACTTGGTCCCTAATATCCCTCTTCCATCCACACAATCAGCTTGCCTCCCAGGGGCTCCATTTGGACTTGACAATCCAACTGCTTTTCTGGATAGCTACCCCATGTCATGGCCATCGATACTGTCAGAACCATCTTTTCGGAACATCATGACACATTCCTTCCCCAGATCCGGGGTACTGTTGAACCACATCTGCCAATGTAAATGGTGATATAACGGCCGATTTCCAATTCATTCAATCCATCAATCACGTCTTCAAACCGCCCGTGATCTCATGTTGAGCCATCTCGTCATTTCTGCCTTGTGGTGACGTCTGGTTCTGCCCCGTCCACATATCAAATCGACCAATATACGAAGACACACCCGGCAGCCACTGGAGTCTGGGGCCACGGAAGGAGCCGATCGGTTCTGAGCGTCTCCGTTCTGGGGATCTCGGCTGATTCGATGGAGACTGAGATCTTGAATGCCTGGTCGGTGACTTCAGCCGAGATCGCGCTAGTAAGGCGTATATCCAAGGTACATTGCTCCATTACTGATCCGCAAGACCTGGGGAGAGGGGGCGCCCGGCGGTGAAGGACGGGATGCTTCTTTGTTTGTTTCATCCCATGCAGTCGACCACTGGTTGCAGGCAGCCAGTGAGCTTGTCAGATCTTGCAGTTGACCCAACATGTCCAATGTTTGTGACATCTCCAGGAGGCTGGTGCCTGCCATGGCTCGTTGATCCGATGCAAAGGGATCGTGCTCAAGGTACCAGGTAGCTTTACAATGCAGGAACAAGCAGGTAAGGGAGTATGCGGTGAATGATGATTCATGACAGTCACTTTTCAGGTACAGATCTGAGAGATGTATGAGATCAATCATCAAAGCGGGGGGTGGATCGAGATACGATGGCAGAAGGCTTGATCCTTGACTGAAACCGCAACTACCGGGTACCTTACTACTAGTAGGCACCTGAGGCAGTTGCCAGCGAGTGATTGAATGATGCACTGGCAGTGCAGTCGTGAATACTACTACCGGCAGGTAACTGCGCAGGCAGGACAGGCAGCAATGACGACAGAAACAGTGACTCTCTCGTAGGCAGGCAAGAGCGTCTCCTCTATATAACCAACTTCCTCCTCCTTCCTCAAAGACGAGATCTCTCTTCAACGCACACACACCACAACCTCAATCAATCATCTCACTTCCTCCCAAACAATCCAATCTCAACCAAAACAACCATCCATTAACATGTCGAACTACCAGCCAACTGGTATGACTCTTGAACTCCTTGTGCCCACCCAGACCTGGACTTGTGTTTGAGTTACGAGCTCACTCTATCTGTCTTGTCTTGTCATACTCTCACATTCCGAACAGCTCTTTCTCTTCCATCACTAACATCTTATTTCAGAGCACGACGGTCTCCGCAAGGATGGCCAGCCTGACGGACGTGTCGGCACCGGCGAGTTCGCTCACGGCCAGGTCGATCCTCATGACGCCGGCAAGCAAGGCGGCAAGACCAGCGGCAGCTCCGGCTCTGAGGGTGGCAGCGACAACTCCCAGGGCTCATCCAACCTAGGTGGTGATGGACTTCGCAAGGACGGTCAGCCTGATCAGCGATTGAAGCAGAACCAGTAAATCTGGGTCATCACACCAAATCAGAAGTGCCATGCATGGGTAGCCATAGCTTTGGGGGGTTGAGGATGACATGCTAGGCTCAATGGCTGTGACATCAGAAGTTTCCCAGGTCGAGCTGAAAATAACACACGGATGGGATTCAATCACAGAGGTGAAGAACTGCTGGTGAACATGGCATATCACAGTGTATCCTGCGACTCAGTACTTCAGCCAAGATACATGAAAACTACAAGGGAATTATGCCCACAAACATAATTCTTCCCCAGTACAATTGTGTCTTCAATCATTGCGTTGACTTACTAGTTTATTTTGCAAGCAGGTCAGTGGTAATATGCCTCCTAACCAGTAAGCCATGACGAATATATATACAATCATGAGAGGAAGAATGCATGGGAACGTAGTAAATAACCATAAGCTTGGTGTTCAGCGTAATTCACTCCAAGGGTTTGGAGAGGGAAGAATTTATTCATTTTGGGCCATAAAGGAAGTCGAGAGGTGAGGTAATCGTGGATAGAACAAGGGCCAGAACAGGACCAACACACCTTCCAAAGGCTTTAGGCCAGGGCGATTGTTCGAGCGGAGTGATGACAACAGGTTTTCGATGAAACAGGTGTGAAAGAATCATTACATTGCAATTACTTATCACAATCACTAACCCCAAGGCAGGTAATGTCCTAACGAACCGGAACTACCAAAGACAGACAAATCGTTCATAAGCTGAGGCACATCAATTCATTATTCAGATACCATTCCAAGGCCTACAGTTCGGAAACAGAGAGCCTTGAGCTGCTTCTTTCCGAAACCTCCGAGTGCCAGAGGTTCCAAACCCGATATACCCCGTACTGGGAGAGTCGACACAGCTTACTTCTCTTGATCTGCGTCAACCTTTCAAGTGAGGTGAGACAATCTCAATCTGTTCCTACGGGTTCCGCTCCGCCCAACCCAGCCCGAAAAGGCCTGTAGCAGCCAGGGAAGAGAATAGAGAGAATAGAAGGGGGCATAGGTAGATAGCTTTACCACCGGGCTGACCACAGACACGCCCGCCCCCTGTTCCTCGATGAGTGAGAGTGAGAAGAAAGGAAGGTCTCAATAATCCCCCGGCTTCGACGATCAACGTGATTGTGAAAGAAGATGTGATGGGCGAGCCCTCCCTGGGAGTGGCTAGGGAGAGAGAGAAAAGTCGAATCCTTGAAGCTTCGACGCCTGGGGTTTATTTCGACTTTCTATCTCGATACGACTGGTCGTCGACGAAGAGGAGAAAGGATGGGAGAAAAGGAGAAAGGACAATGACACCCTTCCCCAATCACATGCGCTTTTGTATGCTCGTTGTTTGGTGGGGCTGTCCTGGATGGAAGGCGTTTTTCCCAGCCTTGGGCTTCAAACCGCTCACCTCACCTCGTTTCCAGACTTTGGTCCTGAGGCACGGGTTTCCGCTTGAACAGTTTGCCGAGACCCCCCGATTTGTCCTTGTCCTTGTCCTTTTCGCGCGATCGGGTTCGTGCGCCTGGGACTGCTGAGGTCATCGTTGGTGCTGCTGCAGACGTGGGTGGCATTGGGGCCGTTGTCGGTGGTGCTGTTTCATCAAGCTCGTCGTCATGGGCCGGCCATCCTCCGGGGATTCCTTCGATCTCGGCACGGCCGCGTTCCAAGACTTCTTCGTTGTGGGCGTTGATGCGGGCCGCCTTTTCCGGTTTTTTGGACGGGAAGCGGCGGTCGATGGTGGAGTTGAGCGTTCCGCGGAGGGTTTCTCCTACGCCCTGTGTGAAACGACAAGATGGATTAGTTGATCATTCAATCAAGCAGTGAGTGAGTGAATAAGGGAGTGAATAAAAGTGAGTGGGTTGATCAGTCAGCAAGACTTGAGATCTTATCGAATGAAATGGGGCCTTGATCAGGTGGGCAATTTCGAACTTCAAGTCTCGACTTACATGAATCCCCTTGGCCGCAGCCTTCAAATCATCAATTGTGGTTTGATTATGGCGCATGGGTTGGTCGGCCGTCCTCAGTGACGATCGGCTGGGATAACTGAAGTTGGGTCTCGACGGACTGGATGGAGGTGTCACGCCCGTGCTCATGCCTGGACCCGTGCCCGGGCGGGCCGTGGATGGTGCGTCAACAACAGGACTCACGGGCCCATGGTTGTTGTACCCACCACCATGGTTATGGTTGTCAACAAAGGCGCCGGGGCCGGGGCCAGGACCTGTGCCAGCGACAGTCCCGTCTCGAGGTGTCTCTCGTATGATTTCACCGGACCTGCGCAGGGCACTTTTGGCTGGAATTGGCGGCGACTCGGTCCGCAATCTTTCTCCTGTTTTGATCGGCGGCAACGGCGCCGGTCGGCCGTCTGCAGAGGTACTGATGGTGGAAGAAGTGACTGCAGGTTGTGTTTGTGGTTGCGGTTGCGAAGAAGGCACAGGATCCCCTCCAGGCATTTCCGACAGAGGAGGTCGGCCTGACCCCGGTTGGACTTCTCGTCTCACGTCCTTCTGCACGTCTTGCTGTTGTTGTTTCTTGCCGCCTCTTGTAGTGGTGGTCGTGGTCGTGGTTGTGGTTGTCGTCACCACCGTCACTATTTCCCCGGTATCTTCGTCAAAGACTTCTCCGGTCGAGGGCCGTAGCGCAAGGTTTCGGTCTTGGTCGATGTTGGCAATTTCACTGTCCTTCTCGGCATGCACCATGTCGGGACTGCTTCTCCCTTGGGCCCCGTCGGCACTGTTGGCCTCGCTGCTGCCATAGGCGGAGTCACTTAGATTGGAGGGCCGCTCTGGAGTTCTCTCGCGCTTCTTGAGCAGCCGGCTCAGACCTCGGAGCCGTTTCTTGTCTTCGGCGGACGGTTGTGAGGATGCCATGACGAAGGCTGAATGGGACATTCCTGGACACACCAGAGACAGAGTATAGTCAAATATGTGGATGGAAGAGGGCAAACGGCAACTCTGGTAGAGCTGAAATGGCAGTGGGTGGGAGCAGCTCCCCACCAATCTACTTCCTACGTAGGTGGTGGTATTTCAGGGTTCGGCCCTGCCACCCTTTCTTCCTTTCCACCCTCCCCCATGCCGTGGGCAGGCCACGAAACCAGGTTGATGGTCAAGTCAATATGATATGATGTCATTCGATCGATTTCGTGTTCAAGTTGGGGTCCATAGTGTTGATCGAACGATACGCCACACTTTGCACAGCCACAAGGTTGATAAACGGGAAAATGGACCAAGGAGATGCGAGACAGCCAGACGTCGGTATGTGCTAAGCAAGCGCGTACAGAGTGGCCAATCACCACAGAACGAGAGGGCTGTGGTTAGGTTGGATTGATGGCAGCCAGCGCTCTTCGACGTACCCTCGCATACGCAGCCTCTAACGTCATCTCGATGTCGCATCGGCATCGCAGTTCGCAGATATAGGGCCAAGTGCATCTCTCGCCGCGAAGAGTCCATTCTTGCAGCCTGGCCTCTGTGGGCGTGTCGAACAGCCTGAACACGTCCCCAGGCCGAAGCTGTGGCGTGATAGATATCTTGGACCACGAGGCGAAGCTCGGGACCACCTCGTCCATCAAGACGCGTTGCAGAAACGTCGGCAACAGGGCGAATGCGTTCAGAATCTCGAGCCAGTGTAATGCCTCGCCTAGACAGAATCGCACGAGGACACCGAGCGGTTGGTGGTGGTCGGCGGCTCTCTGCAAGTCAATGAATGGGCCCACATATGGTCGTGTCTGGGAGACAATGAAGTGATTGACATTGAACAACTCTCCGATTCGTTGCAGAGGCGCTTCCGGATGGACTGAATCCGGGCGCCGGCTTCCTTTCACCGAGCAGTCGGCGGCAAAGTACAGCGTGATGGCTCCTGTGTCGCTTTTGCAGAGCAGGTGGACGGGAGCATACATTTGCTTGGAGGTTGCAATCGATGCCATGACCGCTGACCAGATCAAGACGTGCGGTGCCGTGATGTAGTTGAGCAACTGGGGAGTGCCGGCCACTTCTGACATGGCAATGGTGATGTTCAGGATCCGACCGGTTTTCGCATAGGCTTCTTCGAACGTGATATCTCCTAGATTCTCCCGCGCGCATTCCTGAAGGATGTCGATGTCGAAGAAGTGCTTTTTCGTCCGATACCGTTTGTACCGTCGTCTGATGGTGGCTATGAAGGAAGTGCCCAGCCAAGCGGACAGTCGACTAGTAGAGCGTCGCATCCGAGCACGAATGAAAGCATCGAGCTTGATATTCGCGCCGCTGAGAACGTCAGGCAGCTCCTCGTCCGGTGTAACACACGCAAGAGCGGCAATCAGAGAGCCGGAGCCTGTTCCCGTGATGATCTGAGGGAGAAGTCCTTGAAGATAGAGCGCCTTGACAACGCCGAGATGACACATGCTGACCATTGCTCCGCCCTGCAAGACCAGCGTGGTCCGACCGAGAGCAGTCCTCATGTCGTTCAAGACCTGGCGCTTCTCCTGGGACGAGACGAACGTGGTTCCGCCGCTGCCGAAGGAGTGGCGGTCCGCAATGTGGGCAATGCATTGACGGACTTCCCTGATATACTCATGGATCAACCGTTTGGTCTGAATCTGCGATTTCCGGTACAGCGCAGGCGACAAGATGCGGCATACATTTCGAGAGCTTTGTGCTCTGAGCTGATTGCATAGCCCGCGGTCGTCTCCGAGCCTGCGGCAGCGCTCGAGATCTCGTTTCAGCGTCCGCAGGATTTGCCAGTCGTAGTTAGAGTCCCGGTCGAGGTTGAGCCAGTCATCCACGCCGTGGATGGCATCCCACTCGAACTGCCAGTTATACCACTCTTCGTAGGTCAGCGCGGTCTCCTGGGATTTGACCGAGTGATTCTTGGTCCAGGGTTCGATCCAGATCAACAGAAAAAAGACGCGGAAGACTCCCAGAACTGTGCCGAAGAGTTGAGACAGAAGTTCCATGGCGGAATGTGTGTCCTCAACGTCGGCAGAGCGAGCATTCTCGGGGATTCGAGTCTGAGATGCTCGCCAGGTCAGAAGAAAAGCAACAGATCAACTCGGCCAGACATGACATGAGGCAATTGGTTCAATAACAATAGTAGAACCTCGATGTATATTACTACCTAGGTCGGTAGTAAACGAAGCATGTGCTGCTCCAAGACATGTTTGTGATGTTTGTTTTGGTTTGATATATTCGCTGCTTTAACTCACCGATCGGATCTCTTAAAGCAGCATTCAGACTCACCTCTTTCCATCTCTCGATTAACTGCCGGCAACTTGGACGTGGAGAGCGACCAACAGGTACCTATCTGTCCATGTATCTTCTCTCCTCCATCTCTTCGCGACCCAGTGTCAGAATGATCGACATCGGCTCAATCGAGAGCGGAGACTCACATTTGTATCATGAGCCCGCTCATTCGCCGCAGCCAACTCCAACTGCGGACAATTAGATGCCGTTGTAGCGAGATACCCAACATTGGGCCGATATCGGCAGCAATGCGACAACCACGACCATCTTAACGACGTGATATATTATACATATGTTGTAGCCAAACTCCCGTGAAGGCGTCCAAAGACTTTTGGAACTTCCAACATCACTGACTTAGCACTGTGAAAGCAAAAGGGCTGGCCCTGAATCAGAAACGACCTCGATATCAAAAGTACCAGTCACAGGTGACCAGACCCCAAACTTTCCCATTCCTTGCAGATTAGATCATATTCCTGTGGAATACAATGCCGAAAGAACAAGCGGTCTACTCGCACGGCCACGGCGCGGCGACGCAAGACCACGCGCGCCGCACCGCCGCCGACTCAGCGGCCTTCCTCCTTCCGCACATCAAACCTAGCGCCACGATCCTCGATGTCGGCTGCGGACCGGGCACGATCACGGCGGACCTAGCGGCACTCGTGCCGCAGGGCAAAGTTATTGGCGGCGACGCGGCGACAGAGATCCTGTCGCAAGCCGCCGACTTCGCCTCTTCACGCGGTTTGACGAACATCACCTTCGAGAAGATCGACGCCAACGACCTCCCCTACCCCGACAACACCTTCGACATCGTCTACTGCCACCAAGTCCTGCAACATGTCAAAGACCCTGTCGGCATTTTGCGCGAGATGCGCCGCGTCGCCGCACCCGGCGGCATCGTCGCCGCGCGCGAGGCAGACTACAAGTCCTTCGCCTGGTACCCGGAGCCGCCGGAGCTGGCGCGCTGGGCGGACCTCTATCAGCAAGTCGCCCGGGCGAATGGCGGCGAACCGAATGCCGGCCGGTACTGTCATGTCTGGGCGCGACGCGCGGGGTTTGCCGCAGATGACATCGAAGCTACGTGGGATACGTGGCGCTATGCCGGTGAGAGGGTCCGGCATTTCTCCTTGAGTTGGACGGGGAGGATCTTGGGGCCGGGATTCACGGGCACCGCGGTCAGAGAAGGATTTGCCACGGAGGAGGAGATCCAGAAGATCTCGCAGGCCTGGAAGGATTGGGGCGTCCAGGAGGATGCGTTTTTTGCTTTTGCTCATGGAGAGATCTTGTGTCTGAAGACATAGATGGGAACGAGACAGAAGAGAAAAGTGGCCGTGTATGACGCTTTGATTCGCGGTCTGTATGGAATATACAACATGGTCCTAGGTAGTGCTTGAAGATGAATGGCGAAGATCTCGTTCGGACTGCTTCGAAGCATCGACCAACGGTTTACTACTTTCACCCTCGATACTTGCTACGAGTCCAGCTCAGCCCGTCTTTCGAACACATTGGTCCCGGGTTTGTCCAAACCAGGCGTATGACATATACAACACCCGTGAGATTGATACCTGGAAATATCGCCAGTAATATACAAAGAGTCTCTGGGACCGGACCAAAAGCCCCGTTTTTCATCCCTGCTGTTTTAGCCGTGTCAACCTTCCAAGCCCGCCCTGTCTCGATAAACTGGACCTCGTCTGTCTCATTTTTGGGCGTTTTCCCACTTTTGGCCATGCCTTCTTGGTGGGTTGCGGCTACAGGGAGATATGTGATCAAGACGATCAAACCGGATCGACTCAACCCACTCCAACCCATCTCTTGTTCCGGGGTAGTCGTCTTCTTTTTGAGCCCGTGAATCCAACTCCAAAACGTTTTCCGATTATATATATTGAAAGGTCTGAAGGAACCCCCTTCTGCCTTCTGCCGTGCCTCTTGCTTTTGCTTTTTGTTTTCACTGCAACCTTTCTTCTGGCTAGCGCAGTGTATTGACCTGGCCCTCCCAAAACCCGTTCGGCAGTTTGGGGATGTTTATCTTTGGAAAGCCGATGCCGCCTCCGCTAGACGACTGACGCTTGATATGCCGTTGTTGACGAGGCGGCGTGACCGGCGGCGTGCTGGAGCTCCGAGGACTAGCATGATTGCTCATCCTCTTTTCTTTATAGTTGTCGAACGTGGTCAGACTTTCATCCAGACCTTGTTGCAGCTGAAATTGCGCTGCTTGGTCAGATCCCGTATCGGATTCTGGATGTTGTGTAGCACCGGGAGTCGAGTCCGGAGTCTGATCAATGGCTTGCTGTGGCGGAGTACCGGCGCCCGCATTGGAAGCAGTGTTATCCTTCCCTATGTCGTCCCCTTCACCACTGTCTGCATTGTCCATCTTCCCATCTTCGATGGGGGTGTGTTTGGGCGTTGGGAGGAACGCTGGGATGACGCCGCCCGCCATCCTGGCCCAGAATAACCGTTCTCTTAGCCGGACCAGCTCTTCCCACGCGTCCTCTTCATCCTTCCTGTCTCCGACTTTTACCACCCCTTCGCGTACCATGCGTACATAGGCAACTAGGTCGCCCACTCCACGCACCTTTTCCAGACACAGCATGCAGATCGACCACTTGGTTGCACCCTCGCCTTCGCGGACTCTCATTGCGTGCGTGCGCGGGTTCTCACCTTCTTTCCTGGCCTCGCCACAAAGCGCACAAGGCGTGAACCTCCCATACAGTTTCATGGAGTGTTCGGGTATAGGTTCCACAATGAGTGTCGAATCACCAAGTGCGGAAAGGATGCTGCGACGGTTCAACCACGACAAGGTTGGGGAAAGGTCCAATCGTAGTGTCGGTTCGATATCCTCGACCAAGATCCGCTTGTAGAAACGCGTATCTTTGAGTTGTATAGGACCTTTGCTATCGGGAGTGGGACTGAACGACCCAGGTAGATTGGGAGAGTTGGCGAGCTTCGATGTTGCTGGTTGAGACGTTTGTGGTAGATTCGTGTTCGAATTATTGTTCAGCGAGCCAAGACCCATCATATTGAGGCCTCCGTATGAGCCTGACCCAGCTCGAGATGCAGCGTGAGATGCATTGTGCGAGCGGAAATGCGAGCTCTGTACAAGGTTTCTGAAATCCTCGTAGGCAGGAATATCTGTCCGGCAGATAGGTTTGATCAGATAGGTGAGGTGCGTCGACGGGCCCGGGACAACTTCGCCCTGCTCCACCTCGGCAGGCGACAGATTCATGGCCTCAAGAAGCCGAACGAGGTTGTTGTCTTCTCTTGCGACACCTGGACTCGAAGGTGCTAGAGACACTCGAGGCGAGTCAAGCTCTCTTCGATAATCTTGGGCTGGACCGATTTGCTGCATGAGTTCCTTGAGTTCTGCCAACTGCTCACTCTGAGATGCAATGACGGCCTCCCCGTCCTTGAGTTTATCTCGAAGTTGCTGGAGTTTCTTCTCGGTGGCATCACGATCCCTGTTGGCAGTTGCCACCATTTTGTTCGCCTCATCAAACAGCGCCGCGGTCAGGTTCTCCAGTTCGGACTCGATGCCACGTTTTTCCTGTTGGACCTGTGTCTTTTGCCTCCGTTCCTCCAATAATTCGGCCCATAGCTTGTTGTTCTGTTCTTCAACGCTTTCTTTTGGGACCAGATCCCCACGGGCGAGCTTTTCTTCATACTCTCGCGCCTCGACTTCCAGCTGCGCGATCCTTGCCCTGGACGCTTCTAGTTCTTGCTTCGTTTGTGCTAGTGTGTCATCGAGGGTGGTCTGATGGTTGATGGCACTGATGAGCCTCTCGCTCAGGGCTGCAACCTCGCTGTTGAGATCGGGATGTCTCGAAGATGCAGATTCGGATCTGGAGAGGTCGGTGTTGCTCGCATTTCGAGGATCGGCTATTGTCCGAAAGGATTTTCCGGGAGAGCCTTCTTCACCTTTCGGCGGATCAGGAGGAGAGGCTTCAATGGTGGTCATTGTGCGCAGGTTCGAGATGGATTTCGCCTTGGACAGTTGGTCTTGTTGCGACGGAGCCAGTGGCGGTCCGAGTGATACGGAGCGCGAATGCGAAGGCGCGCCTGCTCTTAGAAATGGGCCATGATAAGAGAAGGCATGCATCGAAGGATGACGTCCAGAAAAAGATCTGAGCTCCGGCTGTCAACGTCTGTGGGGACGGCGACGTATCTCATGCAGCTGTCGTGCAATGCATGCTTATATCCGCGGTGTCTGTGCAGAGGGCAGGTTGAGGTTTAAGCTTGCTGTAATCGTTGTGCGTTTGCCAGCGGTCCGCAATTGTAAGGAGAGACAGCTAAGTCCTCGGTGAGGAAGAGACTCGGACAGCGTGCAACGTATATCGGTCTCCTTGAACCAAAAGGGTCCAGATGAGAGATGGGTGATAATATTGGGACCAAGGTGGCTCGGTGGCTATCGGGCAGCCCCGTGGATGTTGACGGATGGATATTTGGACGGAGTTCCTCCACCAATTTTTACTGGGGGATTTGGAGCTTGACTTATGACCGTATATACCGTACCCGTACACAGTATAGGTACATCGAGGTACTCTGTAGGTATTCCACAGACGAGACAGGCCACACCGAGGAACTTCTATACATATATCTTCATTAAAGAACAACCATCGCACCCCAGTGTTTGACTGTCTTTTGGAAAGGGGAGAGACTAACAGAGTTGAGGAGCAGTGCCGCCCTAACCGAAGCTGAGCCGAACATGACCTGCAATGGCAGACTCTCAGAGCGGCGAGAGCAGTGGCCGGTCGAGGATGCGTGAAGATATACTGTGTGCCACACTGCACAGACAACTGACCCCCGCCACGACTCGGGGTTTGCTTACCTAAGGCCACGCCCGAATCTCACTGCAGCCCCCGCGCAGCGTTTTCGAGACGATCAGCCGCGAAGTTCGTCTAATTCTTTGACAAACACAACTGCAGTAATTCGCCATGGAGGACGATGATCTAGCCAAGGTAAACACCGCCAGATCATTCGGTCAGATCAAACAGTGCAGTGGCTGACAAAATTGTAGATCAGAGCAGCTCGCCTCGCGCAGCTCAAGCAACAGCAGGGCAGAGGTGGAGGAGGAGGGTCAGGCGACAACGGCGAAGACGACGACCAGAGAAGGTATTCCAAAAAGGTCGCGACCCTCTCACAACCACGGACCTAACCAGTGGTGTGCAGGAAACAAGAATCAGAAGCACGATCATCCATTCTCAACCAGATCCTCGAACCCGAAGCCGCGGACCGGTTGGGCAGAATCCGGATGGTCAAAGAGTCGCGGGCGACGGACGTCGAGAACAGATTGATCATGCTGGCCCGCTCAGGGCAACTACGCTCCAAAGTCACGGAAGCTCAGCTAAAAGACATGCTTGCGAGTTTGTCAGAGCACGAGAAACAGACGGGCCACACGGTAGAGAGCGTCAAGGTCGTGCGCAGAGGCGGCTGGGACGACGACGACGATTTGGACGACCTGCTGAAAGACTCCTGAAGCAAGGAAAAGAGAGCATGAAAGCATGAAACGATAATTGTTTAGTTGTGCACGACTGGCCACAACGTGCCTACCAACGCATATGATACCCCCGACAACTAGAGTTGTCTTTCTATCCATGCAGGCTCACACAGTGGCTTGCTGAGAGGCAGTGGGAGAAAGAGTAGCAGCAGCAGTGGTACTAGTGTTCTTCATCCAAGCCGCCTCCTGTGCAGCCTTTGCAGCTCTGCGTTCATCTCTCAATTTCCGCCTAATAGCCCGCAGATCCGGAGGCTGTTCGATCCCCAGACGACTGCGCAGGTCTGCGACGTCCGTCTCCAGCTCTTCTTCCCAATATACATTGATCAAGTCTTTACTCCGCCAACCGTTGGCAAAAGCCCACGGCAAGAAAATCTCAAACATCCTCTGCCGCTCCTGCGGCTTGAGTCGGAGAATCGCAGCCAGACTGAGCCCGGTCATAGGCAGGCCCGTATTTGCGAATTCAAACGCCTTCAGCCCGACCTCGCCTTCCACCCAGACCGGCAGACCTGTCACGGCATGGTAGAAGTCGTGGCACTCACGATACCGTTGCATCACGTAGGCCTCCTCCTCGTCGTCGATGTACCGCACCGGATCCCTCGTGTCGGGCGTGACGCCTTCCCGGTCCAACCAGGCCGCATATGTTCTGCCCACACTGTTCTCCGGCAGTTTGCGTAGTTTCTCCAGCGACATGGTCGTCGACGTGATCCGCGGTCGGTCCCGTAGGATCCGTCGGCCCGTTGGGTCCGACAGCATTCGGTTCCGCAGCCATGTGATGAAGAATGGCTGTGCTGTTGCCTCGCCCAGTGCAGCGATCATGTCATGGCGGTACGGGTTTAAGAGTGAGGTGATGGCACTGCCCACTGCTAGGCCTAGACGTTCCACACGTGTGAGCGGGACATGGCCGGGGTAGTTCGGTGGAGGGCGGTTGAGGATCGAGAAGGAACGGCGCGCGGGGAGGCTCGAGGGAGATGTGGTCTGTGGTGAGCGATGGAGAGGAGGACGGCCACAGCTGGCGCATAGTGGTTGGGATAGTCGAAGGATGGATGACAGGAGGAGCAGGTCCTGTTGTCTGCTTGGAGACACCTTCATGTTGCGCCTGCGGTTGAAGTCCCTTCTCAGAAGGCTTTGGCGTCTGCTCAAGGATATCCTCAGTATAGATCTCCTTCTCTCCTGCGACTCGAGAAGCTTATGTCGAAGTGTAATTTCTAGCGGAGTTCTGTGGTCAGGTAGGTAGTGGCCTGACACATTCCAGGTTGGTAACGATCACAAGTAATAGGAGCAGTGGTCCACAACCGATCGATGGGGTCCGCATCGGGGCTGGAAGGAAGCATCACTCAGCCTTGCGGTGTCAAGCCAAACGGGGGTCTCTAACCAATACTCATTGGGAAACCTCGACGCCGCTTTAAAGCCAATCCGATGCCAGACCGACCAGTCTTCTTGCTTGGGGTAGAGCATAACGCGGTAGATGTCGGGTTCTTATGATTTATTATGGCAGAAAAGGCAAAGGATGTGACAGTTGTGGCGTATTCTTTGTGAGTCGCCCATCAAAACTGACGACTACCACGACCTTCTACGACTACCAATACCAATTTTAGTTCACAACACGTACAGCCTGGGCTTCGTCTCTCCCTCCGGCACCTTTGCGGTGCCGTTCTTGACATTGCGATTATGGTGCCAATAAATGAACTCCTGTAACATCGCCAGCGCGATACCTGCCGCCACCAGCGCAATCATGATCCGCAGACCGTTCGGATAGAACGCCTTTGCATCATCCGCCTGGAAGAACTGTGTGCCTTACATCAAGCCACCAATTGCAAACATGACCCACATGGCGATGGAAATGCTTCTCTCCCCGGGGTCATGGCAGTTGAGCTGCACCCATGTATCGTGCACAGGATGGTAGCCGACCGCGACTGAATTGACGACGGTCCAGAGACCCCATTTGGACCATCGGCCGACACCGTCTTGCACTTGGCGATAGATGATCAAAGCTACCAGGTAGACCAGCTGGGCGAGCATGACTGCGAGACCGCGTCGGCCAGTACGGTCGCTCAGCCAAGCGAAGAAAAAAACGACCCCCAAGGCAATGGTTGCACCGACGGACGCCAGGGCGTTGGCGGCCACTCGGTCGAATCCAAGGGATACGTATATTGATGGCGTGTAGGTGATGAGTGGACTCCAGGTCGCGAAGACCACTGAAGTGGAAAGAAGAGATGGCCAACGCTTGTAGTGGAGGACCGCCTTCCTCACTGTATGCCAGGGGATGTCAAGGCCTTGAGCCCCGCCACGTTTGTGGACGTCATCTCTTTCAAGTCGTTTAAGCAGGACGGATTGATCTTCAGGTGTAAAGCGGACAATTCCTTCCGAGAGGAGCGGCTTTGGTTGATCAGGAGAGCCGGGAAGGAGAAAGATCAGCAGTGTGCCTATTGACATGGTGAAGACACCTTCGACTGTGGCCTGTGAGTAAAATGAAAAGCACATCCCTTTGAGATATGGATCGATGACTCACGTAAGAATAGCCATTTCCAACCTGAAAGTCCTTGTCTGCCGTCCAACTTCAAGATGCCGGATGCCAGGATCGGGCTTAGGGCATTGCCACCAAACATCCCGAAGAAGAGGATGGCGACACGTTTGGCAAGTTCCTTCCTTGTGTACCAGGTGGAAAGAGTGTAGGCTGCGCCAGGAATATAGCTGGATGGCGGTCAGCAAGATTGAATACTGACTGGCCCGCTCTTTGAGTATTTACCCTGCTTCAGCGAACCCCAGAAAAGACCGTGAGACCAAGAAGCCTGTACGATCGCGAATGAACACTTGGAGCGTCGCGACAAACCCAAAGACAATCACTTGCGCCGAGATCCATTTCCGGGGACCGAGCTACACCAGCAATGTTAGGTCTGTCTTCTTCTAAGCCTGGCCGTAGTGCACTGTTGCCTCTCACCTTCTGCAAAATCAGATTGGCCGGGATCTCGAACACCACGATGAACAGAAACATCAGTTGATTGCCCAAGTTGATAGTGCTTTGATTGATCTTGATGGCTTTGGCAAACCCTCCAGTCAATGCACTGGCCAAGTTCATTCGGTCGAGCTGGAAGACGAGCAGGCCGAGAGAGAGTAAGACCAAAACAGAACGGTCGACCCTGCTTACAGTCAGAAATCGCATTCCCCCCAAGTAACGAGTGTCAAAACGTACTTTGCCCGAGCGCGGTGCTCATCCTCTCTAGACCATTGTCGTGACTGGGCAATCTCCTCTGAGGAGGAGACTGCTGTCGCGTAATTTCCATCCACTTCTTTCTCCATGCTTCCCGATGTTGACATCGATATGTAGGGAGCGAAAAGAACAGGAGAAACAGACTTGCGCCTCGTCCTCTTGGACACTTTGAACGAGCAAGCTTTTTCATGATTTCAGAACCCCGTCCAAGCACGTCAGTCCTGGATGGAATTCAGCGTCCGCAGCAGGCATTCAAGCGTGCGCGACGAGCAACGTATTGGTTACTCGATGCGCTATAGTTTGCACCCCACTACACCCAAATGACGGGGTAAATGGGTATTCGCGTTATGCATGTGCACCGTCTGGGTAAGATAATGAGGACCATGACCAATCTGGTGGGCCACGTTCCAGCATCTCGGGACGGCATGGACTCAGCGAGGCTGGATTCGGCGACATTGTTAAAGAGCTCGGGAGAGCTGTGCGAATAGCATGTTGAGTGTCGTTTGAAGTATACAGGCTCCGGTTGTTAGTGGTTCGTTCATCTGGCAGGTGTTAATGTGGATTTGCTTGGGAATTCGCCATACTAGTCTGATATTGCGTGACAGGGACGGTCTTAGCGCTAGATCGTGATACCGCAACAGGAATGGATTTCTCCTGGACCATCGGTGTGCTCGGAACCGAATCAAGAGTCTTGAACATATTTTCCACCCATATTTGCCTAATTATACCACGTACCTGTTTGTGCGTGAGAAAGTGTTGGAAGTACCATTGATAGAGAATGGCGAAATTGACAGTCAAACGAGTCGCCATCATTGGTGCGGGCCCGGCCGGGGCGATCGCGATTGATGCCTGTGCGCAGGAACAGGCTTTTGATGTGATACGAGTTTTCGAGCGTCGAGAGAATGCCGGAGGATGCTGGTGAGTTCTGGCATTGGCGAAGATTGATTGACCGCTCGGAGGATTCACACGCTCCAGGCTCTACGATGAGAAGCATCCCCGCGTTGCGGAAATCAATCGATTCGCCGACCGTCAAAAAGCAGATCCTCCAGTAGAGATACCAGAGAAACTGCCGGCACAGGTTCCTAAGCAAACCCAGAACCGATACATTGAAACATCGGTCTATCCGTATCTTGAGAGCAACGTCGACGCCGAGGCGATGGAGTATTCTCAGGAGCCCGTTCCAGTCGAAAGAAGCCAACGTTCAATTGCCCTTCACGGCGTGGATACTCCGTACCGGCCGTACCAGGTCTGGCAGAAGTACATCCAAGACCTGGTGAACAGGAGAGGCTATCAAGACCTTGTCGAGTATAACACCACTGTAGAGCGAGCATCCAAGAAGAATGGTGAGTGGGAGCTTGTCCTTAGAAGAAGTGGCAAAACTACCGACTACTGGTGGACCGAGAACTTCGACGCCGTGGTGGTGGCAAGCGGTCACTACACTGTACCATATTTCCCTCTGATCGAGGGGTTACAAGAATTTGAAGAAACGTACCCTGGGTCGGTGATACACACCAAAGCCTACCGGGGCCGTGAGAAGTATCGTGGCAAGGTACGTCGAGGCTCTCTTTTGCGCCGATTGTCGCTGACACTTCGTCAAGAGAGTGATTGTTGTTGGCGCTTCAGTGTCGGGTGCTGATACGGCTGTTGATCTCCTCGGTGTTGCAAAATCACCGGTGTACGCCGTCGTCAAGGGTCACAAGGCAAATGCGTATTTCGGTGACCACGCTTTCAAGCATCCCAGGATTAAGGAGGTTGCTTCGATCAAGCGCATTGATTCGGCCACAAGGACAGTCTTTTTCGTTGATGGAGAGACGGTTGCAAATGTTGATGCCATTATCCTTGCAACTGGGTATACCTGGACGCTGCCCTTCCTGCCACAGATACCTATCAGAAACAACCGTATTCCGGACCTTTACCTGCATGTATTTCATCAGAGCGACCCTACGCTTGTCTTTGTTGGAGCGGTAAGTTCATCAGCCATTCTCGTGACCGGCAAATAAAAAAAAAGAAAAGACTGACAAAGAGCCTTGCAGATCGGCGCCGGGTTGACATTCAAGGCATTCGAATGGCAGGCAGTTATAGCTGCACGTGTACTGGCCGGACATGTAACGCTTCCCCCGCTGGAACTGCAACAGGCGTGGGAGCGCGACCGAATTGCGAAGAAAGGTGATGGTGTGCCATTCACGATTCTGTGGCCAGACTTTGAGGAATATTTTGAGACAATCCGCAAGTTAGCTGGAGAGCCTTCACCCACGCAGCCCGGGAGGAGACTTCCACCTTTTGATCCCAACTGGGTCAAGACATTAGTCGACGGTCATCAGAGGAGGATAAGAATGTGGAAGCGGGCGAATGCGGAAGCGGAGGACCGATGGAATGACGCCGCACAGGTGCTGGCGAAGCTTTAGACTAATGAGTATAGATGCCCAAATGCTCGAAAAGCTGACATGAAGGTTGCCTTCCCGTTATTGCGTCCGCCGATTGTTGAGCGGAAACCGGGGGATCTTGATTCTCCTTTCGTACGTCGCGGTGCACTACTTCAGGATGCCCGACGTTCGAATGACTGTCAGAATGAGGTGCCTACGGCGTGCGAGAAATAGGGCACCTGCAGGTGTATGCTTCGAGGGGGAGCCTCACATCGAAGCTTCAAGGTGCGAACAAGCATCACCGTTGATGAAGAGGATGCTGGTTTGAGGAGTTCAAGTTCTCAGGGGTTGCCAGCGAGGAAGTGCTGGTGGCCCTAAACAGGACAAAGGTGACGCCGCCTTGTGCACACCCGTTTAGCTTGTCCACTAACCGGTATGGATCTAGCGTGTGTACTTTTGTGCCATTTAGACTACTAACGTTGGCAGCTTGTGGATTCTGCATCATCCAATGATATCCAGCTTATTTCGCACCGACGTAATCATGAGATGGGAAACTGTTTTATCACGGTCAAAAACCAGATGTCAATAAATGTTGATTGGAATCTCTTTATATATTCAGGGCTGTCGAGGTACACAGTACCAAGAGCCAAGAAGAAGTCACTCATCAGTTCTTGTCTGGGTCCAAGTATAGTCTGTCAAATTCCGTGGGCAATGCTGGTTTGAGTGCGACATAATGAGCCTCTCCAAACTTGCCGAGTTTGGCACCCGCCATGTCGCCCGAGGAATCGGACGACTGGCGACCGAAGTCATCGAAAGCGGCTCCGGCAGCTATGTGACAATGGCGAGCGGACGCAAGATGCTCGACTTCACCTGCGGTATTGGCGTCGCCAACCTAGGCCATTGCCATCCTGCCGTGACCAAGGCCGCCCAGGCGCAAGTTGCCAAAATGGTGCACGCTCAGGTCAATATTGCCTTCCAGAGGCCATATCTGGAACTCATTCAGTCGCTTCTGCCCATCATGCCACACAAGTCGCTGGACACGTTCTTCTTCTGGAACTCCGGGTCCGAGGCCGTTGAAGCGGCCGTCAAGCTTGCACGACATGCCACCAAGAAGCCCAACATCATCGTGATGCAAGGGTCATATCACGGACGCACCTTCGGGACCATGGCCATGACACGGTCCAAAACCGTCTACAGTGAGAACTATTCGCCGCTCATGCCGGGGGTGTTTGCCGTGCCTTTCCCCTACTGTGCACAGTGTTCGATCGCGAAACGATGTGACGGGAAATACAACTCGGAGAACTGCTGCATGGATCCGGTCGAGCAACTGGAACTGCTCTTGAAGCGAGAGACTGCCCCCTCCGACACGGCAGCGATCTTCATCGAGCCTGTTCTCGGAGAAGGTGGGTACGTCCCTGTGGTGCCAGCGTACCTGAAGCGGGTGCGTGAGATCTGCGATAAGCACAACATTCTTCTCGTCGCAGACGAGGTGCAATCCGGATTCGGTCGAACGGGCAAGATGTTTGCCATCGAGCACTATGGCGTTCGACCAGATATTTTGGTCATGGCAAAGGGCATTGCAAATGGATTCCCGTTGTCGGGGATCGTCTCGAGGAAGGAATTGATGGATATGCAAAAGCCCGGCTCCATGGGCGGCACGTATGCTGGCAACGCCGTATCATGTGCAGCCGGCATTGGTGTGGCGCAGGCGTTCAAGGATGAAAACATTCTGGAGAACGTCAATGTGCGAGGGAAGGAAATGATGGACATGCTTAAACAGGCCAAAAAGGACTTCCCGGATGTGGTGTACGATGTGCGAGGATTGGGCCTGATGCTGGCCTGCGAGTTCGTGGGGGGCAAGAGCTTTGCATCGAAAGTGCAAGCGAAATGCATGGAAAACGACATGCTGATCTTGACCACATCCATTTACGACACTTTGCGCTTCATTCCGCCCCTGAACATCACCAAGGAGGATATGGCCAAGGGTTGCGATATCATTCGAAAGGCAATTGAGGAGGTGGCGGCGGGTGAGAATCCCGCGGAGACCAAGACGAAAGGTCAGGCTCCTGAATAGCTTGATTGAATGCTGGAGATGCATGATTTGCAGAGGTTGTCTTTCCCCGTTTACAACAAGGGGAGGAGTGCCACGGTCGGAGAACCGTCCAGCCTTGTCTGAGCATCTCGGGCGAAGATGTGTATATAAAGTTATTATACAAATATCTCGACGAGCTAATCCAATAATCATCTACATATTTCTTATTTTTTACTAAACGACTCTAAGTTCCCATGCGTACTGATCTCTATTCTTCTCGCTCGGTCCTATATAATCCAAATTATATACCCTATCTACTCCGCTCTCTAAGCCCAGAAGGTTGTCACGCGGGAATATGAAGGACTGTTGAAACGAGGTTCGAGTCGAGGGAATAGTAACATCAGTATCTGGGCCATTTCAATGAGAACGGTTCACCTCCCCATTCTCTCCCATTCGGACCCCAACGTCCGTCGCTTCGTCCAAGTCCTCCACCGGCAACGACAAAAGGCCATTGTGGAGCTCTCGCCTGGACTGATAGTCCCCGTGACTGCCATTGGCGCCAGGAACGAACATGCCGCTGTACAGCATCTCGGTAAACCCCATGTAGTTACCTTGCCTGACTTCAGCCGCGCCCTTCTCCCATCGCTCCCTGGCCAACGAGTGCGTGATAGTCCAGTCCGCATCGGTGGTCTTTGTGACCCGCTTGACGCCCTCGAACATGTCCAGCTGCGAGACCCGGAAGCTGGAGATAAACTGCGACAGAAGCGGCTTGGTCGCCGTGTCCCCAGCGAGGAACGCACGCTTGATCATACATGACCAAGACCAGGGAACATCATCACCAGTGATGCCGGTTAGAAGGGGCGCCAAACTCCCGACGGTATACCTACGTACAAGTATGAGGTATATGATCCAGCCTACAATATGAGTGTAAATGAGAGAAAATATTGTAATAGACCCCAAAAAGGCAACAATGCCCCCAGATCCCAAATGCCTCTCGACTGAGGTCCATTCAGTAAAGCTCTCACGCATAGTTGCAATGGTTGACGTCGTCAATGTCGAGAAGGGTGGTAGGCACCAGTCCAGTCGACGCGGCAACCCCAAAAGTCACATTCTGCAAATTCCTGAACCTAGTAGGAAGAGTGGCCACTATCATGGCCGAACCCAGAACATTGGTCGGTGCATAGGAAAAGGTGGCTTCGGCGATCTGGTTGTCATCCTTATCGAATCCCGTTACAGAGATGTCGCAGCCGAGATATGCCTGGAAGTTGAGGGTTGGCCTGGAGCTGACCGCAACCGAAGGAGAATGAGATGAGATTGAAGGAGCCCGACGGGGAGGAAATGATGTTGCCGTATGGATTGAGTGTCAGAGTGCCTATTTGAGTGACTGTCCCTAAAAGGCTTGCGGTCGCGTCATTTTTGCCGGATTGGGCAAACACGCCGTTTGTGTAGCCGGTCAAAAGACTTGCGGTCTGCATGATTGATAGAAAGATGTCAAGAGAGGTCATGTGTGAACGAGGGAAAACGAAGAGAGAGGGGAGGGCATTGTGCTAAAAGGAAGACGAGGATTGGCCGAGGGAGGAACTTGATCGTGGTACTGACGCTGAGATCCCAGCCTATGTATGTGATTCCGTTGTACGTGCCGACTGGGCTTGTGGAGGGTTCAAATGCGAACCCGAGATCGTCAAACTCTGGTGAAGATGCAGATTAGATTCGCTGGTCTCCTGGGCAGAAGGCACTGGGCAGGCCGGATTCACTTACATTGTCGGTATACTCAGTGCAGCTTCCCGAAGTCCCTGCAGCAGGCAATGCAAATGAGGAAGAGGTTAGTGCCAGAAGAGTGGCGATAGCTCGGGGACCCAGCATGTCTCTGAGATGGGTGTCTTGCTGATCCTGGAAAGAGAGCCAAGGGAAGGACTTGGAAAGAGGGACAGAGGGGACAGGAGAAGCTGTTGGGATCACTTTCAACAGGAAGCAATAAAGAAACCAAGTGTATGTTTGGTGAGCACAACTTCAACGTGTAGTTGTCTGCACACCTCTCAGCGATGCATGTGGGATATGAGCCTCTTATACGTCTGTCTGCTTCCTTAGGGCGACTTGTCCCACTCGTGCAGCCATTGTTCTCCACAGTCTTGGGTATCACCATCACAGTGGCAAGAACAGGATTTTCAAGCGAGCTGGACTGTCTGTATCATGAGAGAGAGCGGATAGCGATGATCTGGTGTCGGGTGTAGCCCCCTTCGCTGCCATGGACCGTATTTGCAACCATGGAGCCGGTATATGGGAGTCACCTGGACCTGACGGGACGAGTAGAGCGATGTTCGAGCTCAGTCATTCCCGACGAGTGTCTGGACGTAGATGATGGCGCAGTTCAGTAGTGCATTGAGTAACCATAAGTCAGGGGGCCCGACTGTCAGCTGCTTCTGAAACGGATTTTCCGAGACACAACTTTGATGGGTCTCAAAGGTGAAGACGCAGTGTTGGACCCAACATCTATGCTCAACGGCTCAGTCGATCAAGCAGGGTCTCGGGCGTCTCAAGTACACCTTCTCATGTACGGACATGGAACAAAGCCGCGATGGACTGGTTCCCGTGTGGGCCGCTTCTGTAGAAGAGCGTGCCGGTACCAATGCCATCAAGTAGATGTGGAAACAACTTACCGTGGTTGCGAGATATTGATGGCTCTGGTCTCCAGTATGCCCAGGGGCTTCACTTGCGAATGACAATCCATGCTGTCTTGCTTGTAATCTTACAGTAGGTATAGTTGAACCGACAACTACCATCTCCCGCGTTGAACAAGCCTTTGTGGTTCGAAGGGCACAACTGGGTACAGAACTGTTGTTCAGGTACATCCACGATTCGCTTTGCGGCCGCGCTGTTCCTGGGCCACCTTTTGAGGCACGTGTCGGACGTATCGCCAAAACAAAAGCTAGTATCTCGCTCGGCAACCATGGATAGAGACAACGGTCGTCGACCTCCACGCTAATATCCCAGTCGCAGAAAGACACTTGGAGTCGGAGGTATTGTCGTACTTGACCAAGCTGACGAGTTGCCTTCAGCCATGCCAATCTTTTCCAGGTCCAGAAATTCTCCCTCCTGCAAAGAATCAAGATTGCATAGGTAGATCCACTGTACTGTGAGCACGAGGAATTGTGATCCCACGATCGACAGAAGAAGGCCACAAACCACGTCGTGTGGAAACAGTTGTTGTCGACATACAGATCACGCCGCTCTAGATTTTCAAAGATGGAGTCTGATCACGTGGAAATGACCCACTTTAATAGGGAATTAATGTGGAGTCCAACTGGCAGCCAATCACAACAAATACGCCCCTGAATCTTCACCTCATTCAGCTCGATTTACAGTGATGCCTAGCCAGACTCTGTAACTCTGTTTCAACGAGATATGTTCCACAAGTTCAAGATGTTAAAGCCTTGAAGATGGATGGCTTCGAAAGACTTCGGCCCGTTGGTATAGTGATCTACATACAGTTCTCTTCAGAAGCCTCGGCTGGCTGACTGACTGGTCAATAGGTAGACTGGAGCGCTGGTCAACAGCTCAACATGGCCTGAAGTTCTATTTCAACGTTGCATTGACGGCCTCATACCAGCTTCCCGAGGGCTGCTCCTCACCCTTGAAACACTACATCTATGATGCATGCCGGGTAGCGGTGGGACGACATCCCATCCTCTCAGCCATCCCAGTGGACGAAGACACCAACGAGCCACACTTCGTCCGTTTGCCAAAAATCGACCTTGACCGCTGTGTGTCCTTCCACGAACGTCAGCATGAGGCGCTCCAAGGACCCAACGACGCTGCCGCTGGCCCAGGATCGGACACGAACAGGGACACCGACCTGGATGCCCTTCTGACCACGCAGCACAACATTTCTTTTGCACCACCGCACCCATTCTGGCGCCTATGCGTGTTGACCGACGCCGCACATCCGCACAGGCTTACCGCGGCTTTCGTGTTCCATCATGCTCTGGGCGACGGGAACTCGGCGGTGGCGTTCCACCGAACTCTCTGCCAGGCATTATCGGAAGCTGTTTCCACCGTGTCGGACAAGACCGTGCCAACAATCATTCCATCGCCTTCAACTGCCTTACTCCCAAATGTGGAAGCCCTCCATCCGATGCCATTATCGATCTCCTATCTCCTCACGGTTCTCTTCAAGGAGAAAATCTGGTCGAGTCGCGACCCAGGCCTCTGGACCGGCTCAAAGATCCAATTGCCGCTCGTGAATCGAGTGCACCATCTCGCTTTCTCCCAACCTAGCACGACTAGTTTCGTCAACGCCTGTCGTGCAAATGGCACCACCGTCACGGCTGGCTTGCAGACGGTTATTGCGGGTGCCCTGTTCGCTCATCTTCCAGATACCTTCACCACGTTGAACTGCGGCGCAGTCATATCTACTCGTCGCTGGCTGCCCCCAGATGTGATCGATGACGACTCCATGGGTGTCTACTTCCAAGATTGTACGGAGGATTACCGACGACAAGACTTCCGCACGGAAATGCTGCCTTGGGATGAAGCACGAAGGTCTCGAAAGACGCTGGAGACCGTGTTGAGTCTGAAAGGGAAGAATGCTACCCCAAACCTGCTGCGCTATGTCAACAATTATCAAAAAGAGATTTTCCTGCCTAAAATCAGCAAGGACCGAGATTCCAGCTACGAAGTGTCCAATCTGGGCGTGGTCAAAGGTACCAAAGGCAAAGAAGAGGGAGGCTCAGGTGTCGAGATGGGCAGGATGGTGTTCACGCAGAGCGCAGTTGTAACAGGGAGAGCCATTGAGGTCTCTGTTGTCACGGGCCAGGATGGTTGTTTGGTCCTGGGCTTTACCTGGCAGAAAGGCGTGGTTGAGGATACCTTAATGGAGCAGGTCATAAGCGGCGTGGAAGAGGAGGTTCAACGTTTGGCACAAGTATGATATGGGTGAGGTGAGCTGGGCGTGTGAGAGGAGATGGATGCCAAACAAGATAAGTAAGACAACTACATACTACTAATTGTATCGATATTGAGAAAACGTGCTGGTCTACTGTTATCCTCGACACGCAGTCAAAGATACTAACAGCCTAATTGCCTTATGCCATATACGAAAGGACAATTGAGCTGTAGTAAGTGCCAAATCAATAGGTGAATGAATTGACCTCATCCTTATTGGCCAGAAGGACCGGGACCTTCATGCAAGGCTGTCCTTGGCAGGGGGGGGAAGCCTTGCAGTGGTCGTAGTAGGGACTGCTTTCCTGCATTATTGACCAGCAGAATTTCAGTTGGTAAGGCCTCCATATTGAAGTGTCTTGACTCCATCGTGGCTGTTTGACACGTTTACTCGGGAGCTAGTAAATGCGCTGCCCTCCGTCCAGCTCCATATCAAACTTTGGTCGTCGTGGGTTTCCCCCTGGCTAGCAGTATCTACGTGCACATCACAACGTGATCCACCACCCCGATAAGAGCATCCTTGTACCGTAAAATGCAGCCCAGTCTCTGTCAGACGTCACGATTAGCGGGTTGCTATCAACATTCTGCTGACACTCTGGAGAAGATAAGAGTATTGAATGCGGTTATCTCTGTCTCCTTCTGTAATGAGCATCCTTCAAGTATGTTGACCCTCCTGGGGAAAGTAGCAGGATCTGAGGCTTGAGGGAAATGGTAGGCCATGACGAGCCAACCCAACAATTATAGATATGAATAATGGATATAAGTTCAAAGTCAAAGTCCCCTTATCGAAAGGTGGTGGTCAAACCCCTCGACTGATCAAAGACGTAGAGTGAACAGAGCCCCCAGTAAGCACGAACCATGGCCAAGGTGAGCTTCTTTGTCAAGAAACCTCCGTACGTATCGCCAACCTCTTGAAATGCTGACGAATACCTTCTTCGATGCAAAACAGTCCATCTCTATCGTCGAGGCCACCATCGACCAACTCCAGGATGCCCTGTCTACCGGCCAGACCAACAGTGTCGAATTAACAGCGAAGCACTTGATCCGGATTGCAAAATACGATCGCAGAGGCCCACGCCTCAATGCTCTGCCCATCATCAACCAGCATGTCTTCAAAGATGCCCAAGCGGCAGATGACCGTCGCGCCGATGGAAAAGCGGACGGTGGTCTGGAGGGCATCCCTTGCACGATCAAGGACAGCTACAAGATCAAAGGCTTAACCGTGGCCTCCGGGTCGCCTGCCTTCCAGGACTTGGTTGCGACCACCGACGCATTCACAGTTGAGCAGATCAAGAATGCCGGGGCGGTGATCCTGGCGAAATCCAACATGCCGCCCATGGCTGCCGGTGGGATGCAGAGAGGAGTCTACGGACGAGCAGAAAGTCCATACAACAAGGACTATCTCACGGGTGCATTCGCTTCGGGGTCCTCGAATGGCTCAGGCACCGCGACGTCTGCGAGTTTCGGCGTCTTCGGGATGGGCGAGGAGACCATTTCGTCGGGGAGGTCGCCGGCATCGAATAATGGTTTGGTCGCATACACTCCTTCAAGAGGACTCATTTCGATCCGTGGAAATTGGCCGCTTTTCCCGACGTGCGACACGGTAGTTCCGCATACAAGGACGGTCAAGGACATGTTCAGACTTCTTGATGTGATTGTTCGCGAGGATGGGAACAGAAATTGCGATTTCTGGAGAGGCCAGCCGTTTGTGCCTCTGCCGGAAGTGGATGCTGTTCGTCCGAAATCTTACCAGGAGCTTCAAGATCCCTTGGCCCTGGATGGGAAGCGTATCGGTGTTCCGAAGATGTATGTCGGGAAACATGATCCCAACGCTCTGCCTGTGCATGTCAACCCGACGGTTGTGAAGTTGTGGGAGAAGTCCCGAGCCACGCTGGAGTCTCTCGGAGCCACTGTGGTTGAAGTCGACTTTCCGATTGTGAACAATTTTGAAAAGGGGACCAAGCATGACCCGGCGCAGGGGCCTTATTTCACTCCGCTTGCTAGGAACGATGTCGATATGTGTCAATTGATGGCATATGCATGGGATGACTTCCTCGTCGACAATGCCGCCTCGCCGAGCACCCTCGCAGATGTCGATCCAGAGCTGATCTTCCCGCAGCCGCCGGGCAGCCTGAAGGACAGATACGGAGGTGATGATCCGTTGGCGCAGCATGCTGCGGTTGTTGCTCAAATCACAAACGGGCGGATCGGTACTTACGACATCCCTGGGCTCAAGGAGGCCTTGGAGTCGCTCGAGGCTCGTCGCAAATCTGATTTCGAACGTTGGCTCGACGAACAAAATCTTCATGCGGTCGTTTGGCCGTGTGCCGGCGATGTCGGCCGCGCTGATGCGGATGTCAATGAAGATTCGGCGCGAGAGGCCTGGCGCAACGGCGTCTTGTACTCGAATGGGAATTGCGTCATTCGCCAGTGCGGCATTCCCACTGTCAATGTTACAATGGGTCTGATGGAGGACACAAAGATGCCGGTCAACTTGACCTTCGCAACAAAGGCATACCAGGACAACGATATCTTGAGGTATGCGTATGCGTTCGAAGCGGGATCCAAAGCTAGAATACCACCACCGCGTACCCCTCAGCTGGAGACAGATACCGTTCCGTTGAAGTCGAGAGGCTCGCTTGCCAAAGAGCCACCGACTCTCACCGCACAAGTAGAAAGTAGCAAGGTGAAAGGTGGGGAAGGTCTCGCAATCTCCGGCTCTGTGAGTTGCGACTGCGCGGGTGGACTAGAATCCCTCGAAGTATTTGTTGACGGAGAAGCGGTCAGCGACGTTAACGTGGAAGGCTCCAAGTGGTCAGCCAAGGTCGAGAGGCCTTCAACCGTTGAACTTCGAGAGAAGGAAAAAGCTGTCCCAGCTCTCAACACGGCCATGATAGTGGTGACAGCGTCGGCCAAGAACGGCAGGTCCGCAGGACAATTGCTTTTCGCCTAGATATTGTCCGGGAAGAGAAAATTGATCCGGGGTATCGAAGAATGGCTTGAAATTTTAGCACCAAGGTTCTTCTAGTTGAATACCAGCGGGCGGTCCGCAGACGCGCCAGTTCCGACACGGGCCTGGACACGCATAAACCGGGTCCTAACAAACACAGTGACAGTGTACTGAATGCCGATGGCGGCGTGTCTTTGAATCACAACAGTAGAAATACACTTACCGGCGACACCGTAACTGTGGTTCGAAGCATTGTGGCAAAAGCTGCCAAGTGTGTATCAGGATGTTGGCCCTAGGCTGAGTCAGAACCGAAGCTCGTTGTTGTTAAGTTTGGATGAGTTGCGGTGCCCAATCTGTTGCGCACAACCAGTTGACACTGAGACCCTCCATAGCTTCAGCTCCTCTTCCTAAATTGATGGCATGGTATGATGCGGCTCTGGAGGCCAGGGTCTGAACGGCGCATGTCCGAGATTTCGTACTTGTATCAGTGACTGCCGTATCTGCACTTCGGCGTGCCAATCTGAGGGAACCAAAAAGTGGTGAAGACCTGAGCTGACATTCATGGCAGGCAAAATCGTTTTGTCGTTGCAACTTGATAGTCCTGAAGAGCCACCCTGAAATTCCTGCCACATTAGTACGCTGCTGTGCTTACGTCTCGCGATGCAGACCAATTTGACATGTCTTGCAGCGTTCAACGCAATCTCCGCGACTCCGCTTCGAAAATGGACAAGTATAAGGGATGAGCGTCTCGGCGAGTATCACAACACTCAAACGACGCCCGTCTCAACACGATTGGATGGTCTGTAAATGCTTGATTGGTATTGGCGCACAATGACTTCTCTTCCCTCCGAATATGTACAACTCTGGGAGAAGTCTTCCCAACCCTTACCGCATCCTGTACCATGCGCTTGGGAAAGCGCGTCAAGGCATCAGTTGCATCTTTCAGTTGATCAGTAACCTTCCTTTCCCCACTTGTTCAACTTGTCATGCACCGCCTATAAGGCCGTTAGCTAGGGCTTGTAACTGCGAGAAGAGCGGGTCGGAGCGGCGGACCTTGGGTAGCGTCACGTCGGGAATGATGACTGTGTTCAAAGCACTGGGTGCATTCTTGGGAGCTTGGCTTCGGTCTCCCTTCGGGTGGTACTGGTATTTGAAGTCTTTTGAGTCTTCCCCTTCTCCATGAGCGACTTCCCAGGGCATGGAGCTGTTGGCAACCGAAACGTCGGCTTCTGAGGTTGCGGAGGTAGGCTTGCGGCCGAAGTAAAATCCAGCGAGAGCAAAAGCGCCGACCATGATACCTCCCAAGATCTGATAGTGGTCAGTAAGTACTCATTGCGGCTCCGGGGGGGACCGTACGTAGAGCTCAGGATCTCGTCTGGCGCCCTTCTTCAATGGTGCCGGGGTGTTGTTGGCTGCCACTTGGCCTGCCTTGGAGGAGGCTCGACGAGCGAGAGTAGCGACGAAAGCCATTTTGAAAGCGCGGAGAGAAACACTGGTGATCGGGAGGGTGGTTGTCGAGGTTGCGAGAGGAGTTGAGAGTCAGTGGTGTGAGAGGTCCAAACTTCGATGATGTTCAACCAACTGCGGCGGGTCCATTTCAGAAGCTCTGGACAACCCAAGCTTGGCCCTGGCACGTGATTGCCCAATTGAGATTAGGTAAGCATCGCAATTGCGGCTCCTGTTCCTGGCGCAACCCCTAAAAACTGGCTCCGTCGGGGTTGCAACGCCGTTCACGTTGATTGATGATCGCAGCCTCACTTCTTCAACTGCGCGACTCACGCTTCACTTTGATGATCATGGGCGATCCCTTCGTTCGAAATCAACACCTACACCCGATGTCGCAACAATAGCGCCGTTGAAAAAGAACCTCAACCCACACCGTTGTCCCCTACCTGCGGCCTGTCTCCAACCTCACGTCGTGAATCCATTCTCGCGTTCCTCAGACCCAGCGGCGTTACCCTGTCCTGCACGAACAATATGCGCCTGATGTCGCACTCGTGACGTTATTTGGTTGCTCGGAATTACAATTGAAGGTCCTTGCTGCAAATGGCTACCAGACCTACGACAGCCCGCAGCGAGATTTCCTCAGCCATTTCAGAAGATGGGTATGGTTCAAGACCGCAGTCCGGGGCGACGCCGCTTCCTGCTCTACCAAATCCGCCGAGTTCGCAGCACGGATATGCTCACCTGAGAGGCATCACCCAGCCGACGAATCGATCAGCGAGGAGTAATCCTGCGCCATCAAGCAACACTGGATCCAGCAGACCGCAAAGTCCTGTCAGTCAGGGCAGCCGAACTCATGTTCCTTCGTTGACTGCGCAAGGCTTTTTCAAGCCAATGAGCTCTCAAAGACTACAGGCGCAACGATTGAGAAGACCATTGGGTGCGAAGAGTATGCAGCCTCCGGCACCTATCCCTGATGGAGATGGAGACGATGATACCCGCAGCATGGCATCTAGTAGACAGGGTCCATGTCACGCATTGCCCAAGAATCACCGTCCAACGCAGTCTATCACCACCGACTACACCCAGTCAGAAGTTCCCGACATTGTTGATGCTCAGTTTGCAGATTACAGTCCTCACAATGACGTCGAAAGTCAGCCTGCCAGCGAGCCTGAAGCCCAGGGGCCCCAGCGACCGTCTCGTCTCAACATAGCAAGCGCTCACAGGTCCGGCGACCCGCTTCAGAAATCACCTCTCTCATTTCGCTCGGGACTGAGTCTGGGAAGTAAGCACCGATTTGAAGCTGGACACCAGCATCTCTCCTCAAATGCGACTTCTCCGCGGTATCCGCAAGACACCAACACCGAAATTGCGACCAAGAGTGCTTTGGGTAAGAACTATGAGTATTTCGAGGGCAATACGATCTTTTGGTTGGGTGGTCGAATTCAAAATGCGAGAGACCGGCCCATTAACATAGCGACTGGCGTGCTATTGGTTCTTCCAGCGGTTTTGTTCTTTGTATTCTCGTGAGTGACCCTTGGCAAATGTTATACCGGACCTGACTGAACGCTGTATAGGGCCTCATGGTTGTGGCATCACGTGTCTCCAGCGATACCTATCATTTTCGCCTATATCTTTTTCCTTTGTTTGTCTTCTTTCGTTCATGCGTCGCTCGTTGACCCTGGGGTGAGAAGCCAGCCATAACTCAAGGTCGAGCTGTACTGACAGATCACAGATTTTTCCTCGCAACATTCATCCCTTTCCACCCCAGGAGACTGATGACCCGCTGGCCATTGGTCCGCCCACCAACGACTGGATCATGGTACGACTCGCGACATCGCAGACAGCAGCGATGGATATTCCGGTGAAGTACTGCAAGACTTGCAACATTTGGCGGCCACCACGCTGCTATCATTGCCGAGTTTGCGACAACTGTGTCGAAAACCTGGATCACCATTGTGTTTGGCTGAACAATTGCGTGGGGAGACGCAACTACCGCTACTTTTTCACCTTCGTCAGCACAGGGACGATATTGGCTCTTTTGCTGGCGTTTGCTAGTCTAGGTCAAGTTATCGCCTACCATGACCAGAACCATGTGTCATTTTCGACGGCGATTGACAAGAACCGGGTTCCGTTTGCCATGTTCATCTATGGCCTGTTGGCGTTTCCATACCCTTTTGCTCTTTGGATCTATCACCTGCTGCTTGCTGGGAAGGGCGAGACAACTAGAGAGTATCTCGCTTCCCGCAGATTTCCCAAAGCGGAGCGACATCGACCGTTCAGTCAGGGCAACTTCATCAAGAATTGGATTGCTGTCCTTGCTCGACCGAAGACCCCGATATATCTTCACTTCAAAAAGAAATATGAGGAGGGTGACCAGCGTTTCGGCACAACAAGGGGCCGGCGGCCAGACCATCTGACTTCGGAGGCACAAAACGGAGGACTGGAGATGAAACCGGTTCAGGGCGCACAGAAGTCGTTTGAAGGGCCGACGGGAAAGAAGATTCCGAAGCAGTAGGCCAGGCGACTGACCGAGGATGTACGAGTAATAGGATCTGCCACTTGGTGCAAACCAAATAATTTGTAGTATATCAGCGAGGAGCCTGGAGTGTCAATACTTACAGGGTTACCTTAAGGTACTTTATCTTGACATCCACCCTCGTCAGGTCAGAGCGGAACAGATTCGTCACAGTCCAAGAACACTCTGACCAGCCGGGCATCAGTGTGGGACGAGTTGCCTGGTGTGCAGGTTTGAGGGATGGAGAATGTTGTTTGTCTTAGGTCAATCTGTGGTCTGTCCGCAAGCGACGACGACGGTATTGGCTGCGTAGAATTAATGATGGATACAGGCGAGAGTAGATGCTAAGGATGCTACGAACTGTCAGGCGCCTTAGGCGGTGTCTAGGTGGTGTCTAGGGGGTATTGAGGCGTGTTTAGGCGTCTATCTCTCACCTGCTAAATACTAGGAGATAATCCAGGCTCGTCTCTCAATCTTGCATCCCTTGTGATTCCAGCCTCCTCGTAACAAACAAACGACGAACTTGAACCTGCCACGGCCACTTCTTGATATTCTAGGAACGACGCGTTTTCTAGATATCTTCTTCGCTCCAGCCTGTGTGCAGTCTTGTCCCACGGTATTACACATTACTTGTGCAGGCACACGACGCGTTAAGCTTCGCCCTCCTCGCGGTCTACGACTGCATATTACTGACCAACATGCCCCTCCGGCAGAGCCTCTTGAGTTTCTACCGGACGCATACCTCAAAGAATGAGTCTGAACCATTCACCTCGTCCAAGACACGACCGACCTTGACTCGTGCAGCCAGCCCGTCGTCGTCAGACACAGACCCAGACACCATCGTCGTGTCGACGTACTCGCAGTCACAGCTCCCTACGCCGTCAGAAAGTTCGCTTGACGTATCTATTGAAGATGCTCGTGCAGTGAGCATGAAGCAAGTGCCAAAGGGTCGGGCACGACGCGTCAGCAGGCGTCTTGCAAGGGACGAACGTCAAAATGGACTGATTGAAGATATGGAGGATGAGAGCATCAAGAATAGAACTGTTAGTGGCGAGACTCTTGTCAACATGGACAACACAAGTCAATCAACCCTGGTGAAAGAGAGTATTGCTGCTTTAGATCTCGCGTGGAACATGAGTGAGGTGTTTGCGAGAGAAAACAAGACTGGCTTATTGGACGCAAAGGGTCAAAAAGCCTTGGACGACAGTGATTTCGCGGATACTACCCAAAATGCCGATGAGGACATGGTCGACGAGGAAGAAAACAGGCTGCAAGAGGAGAAAGCGGCTGCGAAGAAAGCAAAGATGGCAGCAAACAACAAACTGTGGGAGGAACGTCGCAAGACCGCAGAGAAACATGCCACCAGAAGATCATCGCGGATTCCAGGATTTGACAAGGCAGGAGAAATTGCGTCCATGTTCGCAAACAGTGTTCTTGGAAAGAGAAAGGACCGAGGTTCGGAAGTGGAGAGTCGGTCAAGGAAGAGCATGGGCAGCTTGGCTACAAGTTCAATTCAAGAGCCGGATAAGAAGAAGCGACGCGTCAGCGAGGGTGCTACACCAACATTGGAAGAACCCATTCAACCGAAATCGCAGAGACGACGAGAAAAGAAATGGCTGGCATCGGGCCTATACGCCGGTCAACCTAGAGTATTTGATGGCCGCCTCAACGAGAGCAAGAACAGACAGAAGAGTGCGCCTGTTCTGCCTTTCAAGGAGAACACGGTGTTGCCACTGCCCATGTATGCAGGGGAACGGTTGTTGAAGCAAGGGCGGGATTTCAAATTGCCTTTTGACATCTTCTCCCCTCTTCCGGCCGGCCAACCGAAACCTGACGAGTGGAGGAAGGTCAACAAGAATGTGTTTGTGGGAGATGCCGCACAGTCCTGGCGAGTGTCGAAATACGACGAATATTCCAGCTGCATGTGCAAGCCCGAGACCGGGTGTGATCACAACTGCATGAACCGTTGCATGTTCTATGAATGTGACGAACGCAACTGCGACCTCACAGCTGAGCAGTGTGGAAACCGCCAATTCGAAGACCTTCGCCAGCGAGTGAAAAAGGGCGGCAAATACAATGTCGGCGTCGAAGTGATCAAGACCGCGGACAGAGGATACGGAGTTAGAAGCAACCGTACATTCGAGCCGAACCAGATCATCGTTGAATACACGGGAGAGATCATCACTCAGGAAGAGTGCGAGCGTAGGATGAAGAGCATGTACAAGAACAACGAGGTGAGTACTCCCCAAAGGTGTCAAGACTCCAACAGCTGACCTCTTATGCGCAGTGCTACTATCTCATGCTCTTCGACCAGAACATGATCATCGACGCTACTCGCGGATCAATTGCACGCTTCGTCAACCATTCCTGTGCTCCCAATTGCCGCATGGAAAAGTGGACCGTCAACGGTAAACCTCGCATGGCTCTTTTCGCGGGAGATAGGGGGATCATGACTGGAGAAGAACTATCGTACGATTACAACTTCGACCCGTACTCTCTGAAGAATGTCCAAGTGTGCCACTGCGGCGCGGAAAATTGCCGTGGCGTATTGGGACCCCGACCAAAAGAGGAACGGAAACAGAAGAGTCCTGAAGAGGAGCCGAAGAAGCGCTCGGGCAAGTTGGCGGGAGCAAAGAGGAAGATTGCAGAGGTGATCGAGGAGGGCACCATCCGTCTCACGAAAAAGGCCAAAGTGGCACCAAAAGCGAAGGTCTACCGGTCCAACAGCAATTTCAACAGCCCGGTCACGGTTCGCAAGCTCAAGGTTTTGAAGAAGACCGTTCTTCACAAACAGAACACCAGTCCTTTGAAAGGCCTCGCTCGCCAGCCATCGAAGCTCAAGAAGATTGTCGCCAGTGCTAAGGTCAAGGCGGCAAAACAGCGAGTTGTGTCGACAACATCTTCCACGGCCTTGATCGACAATGATGATAGGAAGCCAGGGGCGAAGCCGGTCAGCCGGTCATCCAGTCTGCGAGAAAAGGCATCGAGCGTCAAGAGCCGTATGGTTCGAACGGTTCGAGGAGCGCAAAGTGGGAGAAGCCGAACCATTCGACCTATTATGGACGAGATGGACGAGAAGAACGATTTGTGAATGACGGGGTGGTGAACGGATTTTTTTTGTAGTTGAGCATTTGTTACACAGGCGGACGAAAGACGAGATACAGAAAGGAAAGACGAAGGACTCAACGACATGATGTGCTGTTGCTGGGAAGAGGAAATACGACTGCTATGCAAACTACGGTCATGGATGGCTGGCAATACTGAGGCAGAAGTGTGATGTTGTTTATGTTGCGATGTTCCATCTCAGGCGATTGGGCGAACTCGAACTCCAACTGGATCTGGATCTGGACCTGGAACAGCAGCTGGAGCTTCAAGCAGGAGATTAAAGGCGGACTTCTCCCCTTGTACGATCGACCGGCGTCATAACGTCGACCTTCCTATTCAGTTCAGTCCAACTCAATCCAAATCATATCAAATCAAATCAAATCAAATCAAATCAAAGCAAGTGTTTAGAGTCATGTTATCACATCTATCTATCCAACCGTCAGTGTGTGTTTGTCTGGGTCGAATACCTTCTTCGCCATCTACATCACAAAGATTGCGGGTTCGCTTGAAACTAACTACCCCACAAAAGGAATAGACCATGGCCACCTCGTCGTCCTTCTCATCCATCATAGACAAATACCGGCCGGACCTGGGACCGTATGAAGAACTATACAAGCACTGCCACGCCAACGGCGAACTCTCGACGCAAGAGAAAGAAACCGCGGCTCTGATCACATCCCGCCTCCAACAGATTTCCAGCGACTTCGACATCCGCACAGACATCGGCGGCCATGGCCAGATCGCCGTTCTGGACAACGGGCCTGGCCAGACGATTCTGCTCCGCGCCGACATCGACGCGCTGCCGATCAAGGAGAAGACGGGACTACCTTACGCCAGCACGAAGATGATGCGTGACACGGACGGGATCAAGAAACCGGTGATGCACGCGTGCGGGCACGATTTCCACATCACGTCGCTCCTGGGCGCCGCCGAGACGCTGGTGGCGGCGCGGTCGACGTGGTCCGGCCGAATCGTGTTTCTCTTCCAACCGGCGGAAGAACGCGGCAGCGGGGCGCGCGCCATGGTCGACGACGGGCTCTACGACGGCGGCAAACACGCGTGTCCCATCCCGGACGTGGTCCTGGGCCAACACGTGTTCCCGCTCCCCGCGGGCACGACAGCTACGCGACCGGGTCCTATCATGTCCGCGGCGGATAGTTTCAAAATCACCATCTACGGCAGCGGCGGGCATGGGTCGATGCCGCATCGCACCATCGACCCCGTCGTGATCGCCAGCCACGTCGTCGTGCGGTTACAGACGATTGTGTCGCGCGAAGTCCCGCCGGACGAGATCGCCGTCGTCACCGTGGGCGCGTTGCAGGCGGGAAGTACGGAGAACGTGATTTCCGATGAGGCCGTGCTGAAGATCAATATCCGCACCGTCAGTGCGGTGTGGCGCGATCGCATTCTGGCATCGGTGAAGCGAATCGTCAAGGCCGAATGTCTGGCGGGCAATTGTCCCAAGGAGCCGACGTTTGAGGCGACCTCGTCGTTTCCCCTGACGATCAATGATCGCAAGGTCGCGGAGACGATCAATCGGTCGTTCACGCAGTATTTTGGGGACCGACATGATCCCGAGATGGCGAATGTGTTGGGGAGTGAGGATTTCGGGATTCTCGCGTCCGCCATTGACCGGCCTTATTGTTTCTGGTTCTTTGGAGGGCATGAGAAGTCGAAACACGATGAGATGGTCCGCAGAGGGGAGGAGGATAGTCTGCCGGTCAATCATAGTCCGTACTTTGCGCCGGTGATTCAGCCGACCCTGACGACGGGGGTGGATGCGTTGGTTGTCGCCGCCTTGACATATCTGGGGAAGGAGGAGGAGGAGGAGGATTGGGAGGATTGGGAGGACTGTCAAGTTGATTGATATCGTTGTTGGCCTGGAAAGAGTTGTTGTCTACCTTATGGAGGAGTAGAGCCAGTATGCCACAAGTATTACGACGACGTTGATGGGTATCAAAGTGCTGCGTGATGGCGATGCGATGGCTGTGTGTCTACAGAGTTCTGTATCTCAAGTGTTTCCCTTCACTTCCCTTCCCTTCATCGCCCGCTTTACCTCTCTCGTCATGCCAATGGCCGTATACTAGGTACGTATGCATGCATATTGGCCCGGAACGAGATGGATCTCGTATCTGTGTCGCAGCGCGTGTATGCGTAATCAGCACAACAGCCACACCACGTCTCTGAATCCTGGAATCCTAGAATCCGACATCGGCAGAATGTTATTGGTATGGGCGGAGAATGGCCGAGAAGAGGAAAGAGAACAGAAGAATACCTAGAAAGAGGGCAACAAGATACAGACAGACACAGTATATACTCTGGAAGCTGTCAGCCGTCGACGCCTGCAGCTGAGCGAGCTTCTTCTCATCGATCCTCCATCCAAGATCCATCAAGCTCGCTTCGGAATCCCGGCAGTGACAATGTTCAATATTAGTTGACGACGGGCCGCCCGTCTGATCCGAGCACCAGCCACCAGCCACCAGCACGAGCACCAATGATTCACATCAGTACAAGATTAAAGGATCCAGTCAATGTTGGTATCCTCCAGGCTACCTACCTCTCTCGCTATATGATTACGTGCCCTGCCCGTGCCCGTGGCTAGCCGAGCTCTACAGACAATCGAATTGAATGTCCATCGCGAACATCAATGAGCAACAGCATCAGCATCAGCAACAGCTACAGCTACAGCTACGTCGTCGTCATTGACAGGTTGCTCTTCTCCTTGTCGAACGCCTCTTGACAATCAATATAACATATACCTAGGTATATATATATATACATCCATTTTCGGACATACCCTAAGACCAAGGTATCTCGCACTTGGATGTACCAAGATACCAAGATACAAATACTGGTACCATCACATCTGAAAAAAGGAAGGGTCGCTGTTCACGACCACATATACTCGGTACTACCTTGAGATATATATATATATATATATCATCAACATCACCCAGTTTCAATTCCAAGCTTGAGATCACCCAGCAGAGGCATTGTTCCACCATGGCGCCGTCCATCAAACTCGCCATTCTCGACGACTACGCCAATATTGCTCCCGCGCATTTCCAGCGTCTCATCTCGCCACAAAAGCAACAACAACAACAACCAAACAACACGTCCGAATCTCAATCCGAATCACAATCACAGCCCCCGTTTGACCTACAAATCCGTTCATTCCCAGAAACCCTTAACGCGCGTCTACCAGTTGAGCACGACTTACTGGTGGCCCGTCTGTACCCATACACCGTCATCTCCTCGATGCGCGAGCGCACGCAATTCCCGCGCTCCGTGCTCTCGCAGCTGCCGAACTTGAAGCTACTGTTGACGACAGGCCCGAAGAACGCGGCGATCGACGTCGCCGCGTGCAAGGAACTAGGGATCACTGTGGCCGGGACTGGACCGAAACCGAACGCCGTGCCGGGGTATGATGCGACGAACGAGCAGACGTGGGCGTTGATTTTAGGCTTAGTCAAAGGTGTCGTGCAGGGCGACAAGAGGCTAAAGACGACGAGGGAGGGGTGGCAGGTTGATATCAAGCCTCCTCGTAAAAGTCATGTTGACAAGGATGTCGACAAGGACGATGCTGGCCTTGACACCGACACCAACACTATCGACATGGACAACGACACTGAAGATCCAGACTTACAACCCACCACCACCACAACAACCACTATTTCAGAGGATACCTTCACCTTCAACGAAGAAGAAGACGACGACCAACAAACAAAACCCGACAACAGATTCAATCCAGCCCTGGTCTCGTCCCTAGCCGGCAAAACGCTTGGTCTCCTCGGTCTCGGCCGGCTCGGCACCCAAGCCGCCGTGACCGGCCATCTGGGATTCGGCATGAAGATCCTCGCCTGGTCAAGCAGTCTGACGCAAGCGCGCGCCGACGAAGCCGCCTCTTCGCGCGGCCTGCCCGCGGGCGTGTTCGAAGTCGCCGCCTCGAAAGAAGACCTGTTCCGCCGCGCCGACGTGCTGAGCATCCACTACGTGCTGGGCGAGCGGTCGCGCGGGATCGTCGGCAAGAAGGAACTCGAGCTGATGAAACCCACCGCGTATCTGGTCAATACGTCGCGCGGCCCGCTGGTCCAGGAGCCCGAGTTGCTCGAGGTCCTGGAGAAGGGCGGCATCAGAGGTGTTGGGCTCGATGTCTTTGACACCGAGCCGTTGCCGGCCGATAGTCCGTGGCGGAGGGAGGGGTTTTGGGGAAGACAAGGTCGCAGTCGTGTCTTGTTGAGTCCGCATTTGGGTTATGCTGATGAAGATACTATGCATGCTTGGTATGAGCAGCAGGTTGAGGTTGTGAGGGCGTGGATGGCTGGAGAGGGGGTTAAGGGGGTGGTTCTTACTTGAGAGATGGAATTGAAATTGGACAGACAAGGGATAATATACATATATACACACACATACTATATATTACATGTTTCTATTTAGTAGTAGTGAAAGAAGAGGAGGGATCTCTCCAAGTCTTAGGTATGTTGCAATGGAGCAGATATATCTTCTCGACGTGAGATACTACTTACTAACTTAGACATTTAATATACTAGATGAGTTATTTTGTTAGGATTATATACATTCTCAGCGAAAAGAATAGGGATTGTTTACATATCGGAACTTAGATTCGGTTGCCAAAAGAGTCTTTTAATCTCTTCATTGGCTTGTTACCGCAGTCTGAGATGCTGGGACATGCGACTCCTATCTCCAATCCCCTAAAGACTATCATCATTCTTAATCTGCACCTTGATCGCTCCGCTCTTGGGATCGCTGGCCGCCTTGAAGGCCTCGGCGGCCTGGCTAAGGTTGAAGCGATGCGTGACCAGTCTGTCCATATTGATGACGCCACTCTGGACCAGCCGAATAGCTCTGGGCCAGGTGTTGCAGTAGCGGTATTGATACTGCAGATCGATTTCCATGGTGCTGAGGCGCATGAAGGGAATCTTCATCTCGTTCTTGCCCACCCCGATCACAAACACTTTGCCGCCGAACTTGACGCTCCAGATTGCACTGGCCACGCTGGACTCGACCCCTGTGCACTCCATGGCCACGCGGGGACGAATCCCTCCCATGGCCTGGATGATGCCGTCGGCACATTCTTCCGCAGACTTGCCCATGGGCACCTGAAAGGTCTTGACCCGCGGGACCAACGACTGCGCAAACTTCAGCCGGCCCGCGTCAATGTCGGTGATCAGCAACGGACAGGCTCCGGCGGCTTGACAGCACAACAGCGTCACCAGCCCAATAGGGCCAGCACCGCATATCAGCACGGGATCACCAAGGCGAACGCCTGCGCGCTCCACACCGGCCAACGCAACCGACAGCGGTTCCAGCAGACTTCCATCTTCGAAGCTCATGTCCCCAATCTTGTGGCACCACATGGCGGGATGTTTCACGTACCGTCTCAAGAGGCCGTCAACTGGAGGTGTGCTGAGGAACTCGACGCTCTCGCACCCGTTGTAACGGCCCGTCAAGCAGGGTTCGCATTTGAAACAGGGAATATTGGGCTCGATGGCCACGCGGTCGCCGGGCTTTAACGTTGTCACGGACGGGTGGGCGGCTAGAACGACACCGGCGGACTCATGGCCTAGGATGTGATCTCCCGTCACTATCATCGGTCCTATACATCCTGCGTGCCAGAAGTGGACGTCCGAGCCGCAGATGCCGGTCGATTTGACTCCAATGTAGACTTCCCCTTCTTTCAGATCTTTGCCTTGTTGCACCTCTTCCAACGAGGGCGACGCCTCGGCCACCCATAGATCGTGTTTCGGGTTTGTGAAGACGCCAATGTTGGACTTTGTGATCTCCGTCGTCGTGGAGGCCATGGTTGCGGCGGTGCTGGAGGAAATGCTGCCGGACGCTGAGGGAGGTAGATGACCAGGTAGGGGAAGATAGAGAGTGACGCCTCGAGGTCTGGAGGCCTTATACCGTCACCGGTGTGCGACAGTGACCACAGCAGAGTACTAGGTACCACAGTCCTCCGTAGGTATCGAATTGCAGTCTGTCGCCGGTTATATTGCGGTGGTGCGGGGTATCTATCACCACAGGATCAACACCGTCGCACAAGGAAAGGAAGGTGCTCCTCGGAAAGTGGAAAAGAACATGAAAAAGAGAGACTGCGTCTGATATTTCAAGGTGAAGGATATGAGGTACTTTATTTATACCTGCGTGTACCCAAGTTCATCCATCCATCCATCCATCCATGCTTTTACTCCCCGTCGAGGCCGTCTCCAAATATTGTCCTCCGGAGACCTCCACTGTTCGACCTCTGCATCCCCACACTCCTTGACCGCCGGAACCTGTCCTCTTTGGGTGCCGAGGCCGTTGCAATGCGGATACTGTTCCGTTTTCGGGTGAATAAACCTCAATGGCCAAACTGGGGATCCATATTCGTGACACTTTAGACCCGCACAGCCGCCATGTAATACAATGAACAATGTAGTGAAGGGGACTGACCCCTTTTGAGCTCCCGTAAAGCGCGCCATAAACAGAGTGGGCGCAGCTTTCCACCACCCTTCCAGCAGCTTTGCATCCTGGACCACGGTACCCGAGGACCCTTCTTCTCGCCAATGTGTTGAATCTTGCAAGGCATGTAATTGCCCATGATGAAACAGCTATTTGCGTTGGCTTATAACCATGCTCACTGGGACGTGTCGAAGATCCCTCCAGACGCGGGCGCATGTGCGAGAATTTCGCCCCGATATTTTGGTATGCGCTCTTTGTGGTTCTTGGCCCCTCAGTACACCTTTCGTGATCATTGCCCAAATAGACTCGGTAACGTAGGTTGGGATGTTAGATATAGGGAGGCTTTCGGGTTCGAATAGGCCGATCTCGACCTCAGGAGGTCCGTGTACAATATCGTCGGGAATCGTGTAGGTACGCGGTTCATGATCAAGATCTTCGTTGATTCTGGCCCGGAAACTGGTATCCTTTTCGTCAGGCTGTTGTAGGACTTGGGAGAGCCGGTGCGCGAGGCGCATATCTCTTTTCGAATTCATGGATGGAGCGTTCTTTTGTCACGAAAAGGCCCACGATTCGCCCAGGGGGGCCGCCCTGGCTCTAAAAAGGACTTTGATCCTAGGTATTGTGCCTAGAGATTCTGGACCTGGAGTTGATATCTGTTGTGATCGGGGCGCCCACCGGATCATGACATCTTTCGTACGCCGTGTAAAGGCTTCTAGGTGGGAAAAGTTAGCCTTCAAGAATCGGCGACGTAAGATAAAAGGCTCGAAGGATATATATAGTACTTACTGGCTGTGATGGCGACGCTGGAGCACTCCCGGCTCGTTTCTTGAAGTCCCGGGGCTTTGCGTGAGCCAGTGTTTCCGGAGGTGGTCGTCGGACCCTATCATTCGGGTGAGTCAACGTTAGTCATAGTACTAAGGATCGACAGGCATCTTCCGCCCGAGTATTGAGTAGGGTACGAACGTACCTTGCCTTAGTATCGCAAAGGTGTAACTAGCTCGCTCTTGGACGTACGATCGCCCTTCCCCCGGCGCTTCGGGAATCCCATATTGAACTGCGCCCAAGATGACATGATTGTCACGAACAGGCCGACGACTCGCCCAGGAGGCCGCCCTGGCAAAAGGGCTTGAATCCTAGGCATTGTGCCTAGAGATTCTGGATCTGTAGTTGATATCTTGACATGACCGGGAGTCCACCGGATTCATGACAATGATACTATCATCGATGGCTTGTAGCAGTGGGAGTAAGGTAACGAATTTGCTTTCCTTGGGCAGACGAAGAATCTCGAGGATCGGATCTCGAATGTTCGATCTCGATAGTAAAGTAATCTGGTGCTCAGGGGTAAACGGATCAACCGCGTCGTGCGTGCTTTATCTGTTTAGAGGCAGAAAGGATGTGAGTCTGCGTGAAATACAGTCAAGGAGCAAAAGAACTTGCGTAGTATGGTGATAGGAAAGTTGTCACAAACGGGCCCACGCTCACCTAGGGGGCCGCCCTGGCAGAAAGGACTTCAACCTACCTACCTAGGCATTGTGCCTAGTAATTCTGAGCCTGGAGTTGATATCTGTTGTGATCAGGGCGCCCACCCGATCATAAAAAGAGTGGACGAAGTTAGGTAAGGCTCCCTTCGAATGCCAAACTCTGTGGCAACTAGATTGTAAACATATCTCGAGCCTTCCGAAGTAGGTGGACAGGCCCTTGTTGAGGCTGAACAGGCTGGCCTATGGTGGTAGGGATGAAGAGCAGGCGCCAGGAGCAGCTGCGAGGGATGGATGGATGAATGAATGGATGGGCCCCCATGTCGGCGTTTGATGTTCAAAAGCCGAATACTAGTGAGAATGGCCAATAAGATTGCCAAGTTGCCCAGCAGCCGGTGTCATCGCCGCAAATTACTGCTTTGGGGTTCCTGAAGATCACGATTGGGGATACTTGATGTGGGATTCATTAATTCATTATTTGATTCTCAGAAGACTACACCTCATCAAGGTGTGTGGTGAGTCGTGGTTACTTGCTAGATAATCTCAGATCGTTTGCATTGTCACCTTGAGGGGCGTCTACAAGGATTGGACGCATTTACTGATCGACCGCCAACATGGACGCATTAACAAAGATGTTCTCGCTAGCTGGCAAAACGGCCGTGGTTACAGGTGGCACAAGAGGCATTGGCGCTGCAATGGCCCTGGCCCTGGCTGAAGCGGGAGCCGACATCATTTTGATACAGGTAGGAAGGGCCAACCCAACCAACACGGAGGGCCGTGACAAACGGCTGAGGCTACGTGGAGTCTTGACATACCGACATCGAATTCGAACTGACATTTGATCATTCGAACCCAGAGAGATGAAAGCAACACGAAGACCTACAACCAGATCCAGGAACTTGGTCGAAAAGCCACAATTGTCACAGCCGATCTGGCAGACCAGTCGTCGGTGGAAACGCTGATCCCAGGCCTAGTCAGGGCTGGCCACGACATGCACATTCTTCTCACTTGCGCCGGCATCCAGAAACGGCATCCAGCTCACCAATTTCCCCTGGACGACTGGAACTCGGTCCTACAAGTCAACCTTACAACCGTCTTCACCCTGTGTCGCGACTTCGGAGCGTACTTGTTGTCTAAACCCGACCCGGCGCCGGGACATTCCCGAGGCAGTATCATCAACGTCGCTTCTCTTCTTACATTCCAGGGTGGAATTACTGTGCCTGCGTATGCGGCTTCCAAGGGCGGCGTGGGCCAGTTGACGAAAGCGCTGAGCAACGAATGGGCCGGCAAGGGGATTCAGGTCAATGCCATCGCGCCGGGATATATCGACACGGATATGAATGAGGCGTTGATCGCGAACGAGACCAGAGCCAGGCAGATCTTGGAGAGGATTCCGGCTGGACGCTGGGGGAAGCCCGAGGATTTCAAGGGCGCAGTGGTGTTCCTTGCGAGTAATGCTAGTATGTATGTGAGTGGGGAGGTGTTGACGATTGATGGAGGATGGATGGGACGGTAGCAACACCGTGTGTTATCCACAGACTAGGTATGATTCGCACTGGAACTGTTTGATAGAAGCGGTTCATTGACATGCGCAGGCCAAAAAGCATCAGAGGGGAAATGAAAAGACAGTATTTTGCAGGAAGGAGTTGTCATTTGAAAGTCGGGGAAGGTTTGCCGGTGTCTGTGTCAACCTCGATGACAACGATATTATTCAAAAGTGTTCTGATTCACCTTACTGCCTCTGCCAACTCGAGTCCTGGTGCCGGGCAAGAAACCACTGGTAGGTAACGAGCTGGTCAAAGATCACAATTCAGTCAGTTGGGGCAAGCTTTCATCTAGAGTCGTTCCCTGAGCCTGGACCGACGGTATGCCGACTTCGATCTCACCAATTCCGGCCCTTGTCTGGGACCAGCAGACAAGCACTCCTTGAGCTCTGGAGATGCGATGCGTTGCGCATGGCGGCCTTCTATGGCCGGCGCAGGTAGGTCAATGGGGAACTGGTCATGCAAAACGATCCAGAATCGTCGATGCTCTTGCGCTGGTTCGACAAGTCAGGTCACAGCCGGTGACGACTACTGGCTGTTTGCCCTGCTTCGCTGAACTTGCAAGTTCTTTATTGAGAGAGCTCTCAATAAACGGCGGATCTTATACAAGATCCCGCACTCTGCTGTTGCCGTCCAATGCCTATTTTGGTTATTGAGTGGGTCACGTGCTGTTTGTTGTTTATTGAGGCTCTATTCAGCCATGCTTTTGGCCCTGTTATTGACACACCATGTCTCTCATGATACAAAACCTCCTGTTCTTTCTTCTCTCTTTGTTACGTCTGCTGTCTCGGTCCTTTTCAAAAGTCTATCTTTGCCGACAAAGCGCCCTTTGTTTTGCATCTTTGTTGACAGTCCTAAGCAACCCTCCAGGTATCAACACTACCTTGAGACAAAGAACCTCTACCTTCACCCACTCGACTGCAGCCAAATAGGAGTTTGCCGTCAGGTCAAACATGCATAGCCTGTTGATCCATTTTTCGAACATTGGAACCGATCCCGTTGGGAACGAAACTGGAAAAATGGGAACCCCAATGTCAGTCGTGCAGGACACGGTTGTCAAAGCAACCCAACATGCCGGATTTCATGCCGGCAAGCAAACAAATCACTACCACCTCCATGATGCCAGGGACCTGGCAGATGGTAACCTACCCTTCAGCAGCTTAAGACTCCAACCTCCCGGAAACAGCACGTTTGGAAATCTGACCTTCTCGAATGTTGCAGGCGCTGGCCACAATCTGACCAACACCCCTCCCTATTATACCGGATTGCGTGGCGTCAACTTGAAAATGGACTCCCGACTAGTCAGACTGTTGTGGTTGTCGATATTGATCGCCATCAGCATAGTGTTAATCCTGCGGCTGGTTCAACTCTTCGTGTCATACATCCGGAACATCTATTGCATGACGGTAACCCCATCACAACAGAAATATTATACCATCGACCGAGTCTGGATCTGGCCGTGGCTGAAGAAGCACGTCGTCTATGCGCCCCTTGTCAAGAAGCGGCACAACCGTGAGTTTCAGATGTCAAGCGCCGTCAACTACGGTACCCTACCAGGGCGCATCCATTCGATACTCCTCATACTCTATGCGCTCTCGAACCTGGTGTATTGCCTGCTCTTGGACTGGAGAGCGCCGGAGAAAGGAGCGGTGTTTGCCGAACTCCGAGGTCGAAGTGGTATTCTGGCCACCGTCAACCTGATTCCTCTTGTGGTCCTGGCCTCCAGGAACAACATTGCCATTCCGATTCTCCGGGTCAGTTTCGACACCTTCAACCTATTTCACCGCTGGATTGGGAGGATTGTGGCCATTGAAACCATGATCCACTTCTTCGCGTGGATGGCCGCGTACATTCTTGCCAAAGGGGATGACGCGACTCCCAAGATCTTCAACCACAATCCTTTCCTCCAGTTTGGTCTGGCGGGTATGGTTGCCATCATAATCATCCCCTTCCATTCATTCTCCGTCATCCGCCATGCTTTCTACGAGACATTCCTGCACCTTCACCAATTTCTCGCGTTCACAGCTCTCCTGGGTGTTTATGTCCATTTGGACGCAAAGAAATTGCCCGCTTACCCCTCAATCCTGACGGCAGTACTCTTGTGGATGGCTGAACGCCTTTTGCGTCTGGGAAGGTTGGTGTACCTCAACTATTCCCGAAAAGGCGGTATCACAACAGTGTTTGTGGAGGCTCTACCCGGGGACGCGTGCCGAGTCACCTTTCAGCTTCCGCGACACATTACCATCCGCCCTGGCAGCCATGTCTATGTATACATCCCAGCAATCTCGCTGTGGATGTCACACCCATTCTCAGTGGCATGGACCAACATTGAGTCCGAACCACCTGTGGGCCGCTCTCCTCTGCCTCTGAGCCCAAAGACCCCGACCACGCTGGAAAGACAGTCGTTCGGTCGGAGATTTTCTGTTTCCAAGGCCCCTACCAGCGTCTCTCTTATCATGGTGGCTCGGACAGGCATGACGAGGCAACTCTATCAGACTGCCCGACGGGCCCCTAACGCGAAGCTCTATCTGAATGGGTTTTTGGAGGGGCCATACGCCGGTCACGATTCCCTCGAAAGCTACGGAACTGTCGTCATGTTTGCTGGAGGTGGTGGCATCACCCATCATCTTGTCCAAATCCGCCATCTACTGGCAGGAGCGCAGGCACAAACGGTGGCGACGCGCAAGATTGTTCTGGTCTGGTCAATCCGCGATGTCGACCCCATGGAATGGGTCAAGCCGTGGATGACGGAGATTCTCCACATGGAAGGCCGGCGAGAGATCTTGAAGATCATGGTTTGTGTCAGCCGACCCACCCACCATATCAATCCAAAGAAGAGCAAGCCGACGGTACAACTCATTGAAGGTCGAGTAGACCCTGGAAGTATCCTAGACGAAGTGCTACCGGCGAGGATTGGGGCGACCATGATCAGTGTCTGTGGACCGGGCGCATTGGCGGACGAGGTTAGAGCAGCGGTGCGCAAGAGGATGCACAAGGCGAACATGGATATGAACGAAGAGAGCTTCACGTGGTGATGGAGAGCTGTTCGAGCTTAGGGGAGGATGGGCGCCCCTAACGTCGAGTATTACTGCCGTGTGCTCGGACGCTCACACGCTCAGCCACTCAAGACAAGACTGCGACATTTTTGTATCGCAGAATTCATCCTAATAATGTATGCCTCATACTCCTCTGAACCATGTAGAAGTGGCAACAGTAATGACGATGACTTGCTGAGTTCAATACACGTACAGAGTAGCTGAATAATCATGTGGACCTCCATCTGTGCTGCACAGCCTCGTCACCAAGCCGGATGCCGCGCAAACCATCGTGAACGATCGAGGTGACAGGGATGGCGGATGACGAGGAACCGCAATGCAGGATTGGCGTAGATGTCATTCAGGCAATGCTAACCCGGCCAACTTGTCGATTCACTGCTGACGAGCGACCAGAGCCAAGCGAAGCAGATGCGTGGCTGATTCACGTTCGGGCAACACTCGTGTCTTTGTACAGCGTCGATTTCATCGCCAACGCATTAGTAGTTGGATGGTTGCGCTGATGCCGCAGTTCAAGTTGTCGGAACGCGCCATCTTTGCCATCCTCGACCAACCTTTGCTCGGGATGAAAAGGAGTGTCCGATGCTGATTTCTAGACCAGATCGAATCTTCCTCACCGACACCGCAATCACTCTGTCTCCGCCGCTTAAAACGACCCTGGTCTTTACTGGTCTGGAAGAACCGGAGATCCCCAAGCTTCCTCTCCATCCTCTGCGAGCCGCCCCTAGGGTCCTTGGGTCCCTGTTTCACCAACGGACCGTCTCCCCGCCGATCGCATAGCCTGCCTGACCAATTTATACGCGCCCTGGCCATTGAGCAATATCCCTGGAGTTCTCAGTTCTCAGTTCTCACATCGGGCTGCGGCGGATACTCCTGCATACTGACAGCGTCTCTTCGGCGCTTCCGACACAGGAGCGAAGATGAAGAAATTCCTAGGAAACATCAAAAAGAAGAGCGGGAGTATGGGCAATGCCACTATACATGATTGCGTACAAACAGGCTGATGACAATGTAGGTCCCGACCGGAATGCAACTACACCGGTTGTCTTGCCCCAGGGCGATTCTCCTGAAGCTGTCATTGTCCGCGAAGTGGTGAGTGCGCCGCTCCAGGGTATGAGACGTCGCAAGGCTGACCGCAACTTAGACTGCATTCTGTGAATCAGGCGCACCTAATTCAGCGGCCGCCGGTGACGAATACCTTCATCTCCCAGCCATTGTTGATGCAGCCGAGTCGAGTCCTACCGCAGCCAAAGAAGCTGCTGCGACCGTTCGTCGCTACCTGTCAAAAGACCATTACCAGAGGGGATATGCACAATACAATGCCATCATGTTGCTCCGCATCCTCACCGACAACCCTGGTCCCGGCTTTACTCAGAACTTCGATTCCAAGTTTGTGTCGACGGTCAAGGAACTGCTTCGGGATGGGAAAGACGGCAGTGTACAGCAAATCCTGAGGGAAACGCTGGATTACATCGAGGTCGACAAGGCTCCTGGCAATGATACTCTTGGGCCGCTGGTCGAAATGTGGAGGAAGGAGAAAGGCAAGCGAAATACTCTTCGTCAATCGGTAGGTTCAGGATCTCTGGAAGCCGCGAGTTCCGATCGTCATACTGAACACCAACAGCAACACCGAGTACCTCCTCCATTTGCGGGACAATACCAACACCCAGGTCCAAGGGTAGATCTCCTTCCACCTCCAGAAGAACTGGCCGCGCGGATTGAAGAAGCAAAAACTACTGCTCGACTACTCGTCCAGACGGTTCAATCAACGCCACAATCGGAACTGTTGGCCAACGATTTGGTACAAGAGTTCGCGGGCAGAGCCCAGTCTGCGCAAAAGAGCATCCAAACGTATATGAATTGTCAGAACCCGCCTCCGGATCCGGACACCATGCTCACTCTGATCGAAACCAATGATCATTTGAATATCGCCATGTCGAAACATCAGAGAGCAGTGCTACGGGCGAGAAAGGCCAACGGGACGGGTACCCCCAGTCCTGGACTTCAGACGGACTCCATGCCGAATCCGATTTCTATGCCGCAACATAATCTGGGCCAAAATGTGTATAGTTCTGGCGCTCGACCTGATAGTGCCGCCTATTCGGAATCGCCTCCCGAGCGACAGAACACCTTTCCAACCCCTGTCAATGGATCCCGGCAGGAAGAGCGGTATACTCCTCCACCAGGCCCTCCTCCCTCCGCTCAAGGAGCTGCCCGAGATCCGCCTGCTACAAGCAGCTACGATTATGCGTACCCGTACACCGCTCCCGGAACAGCACCTCCATTGCCGACCAGACTTCGGCCACAGTCACGAGTTGGGGTGTACGGGCACAGCGAAAACCCCTTCGCAGACGATGCATATGGGTCAGGTTCGCCACAACGACATGAACCACGCACATCAACATATGATCGCACCCCTGATACACCGTCCACCGAGCCACAAAGGGGCGCCGGACATCAATACCCTAGCGAGCTCAGCAGCGGGCAGGAGATTTCAAATCCTTATGAATCGGCGCAAGGGTATATTCAGAAGCCAGATTCTCCTGCTGCATATGACCCATCGTCACAAATACACCATGGTCGTCAACCTAGTGATGCGTACGGAAGTGATACATTGAGCCCGGTAGACGACACAGGACGACGAATGAATGACATGCATATCTGATTAATGGAGCAAGCGTCACGGGGTTGAAGTAAGGCTTTGGGGCCTTTACATGTAGCGTTGAATACTGGCGACAAACTGAATTGAGATACCCTCCTGGCTGAATCTTTTGAACCTCGTATACCTACTAGGTACCAACTAAATGCCAACAGTCGCGTGAATTGAATATAACATGCGGTATCAACTTATGCAATTGTATCCAGCGCTCGTCCTTATCGATAACGGCGTAGTATTTAATTATTGACGTTCTGCCGAAACGAGTGAAAGTAGCCGCTGGGATTCCCAGATTCCAGTTGATTGAGGGCTTCATCCTCGGTGACTGACTGCCCTCTGCACTTCGACACCACCTTTTCTTCGCTTCAAGTTGTGTTGGACTCTTCACTCCCGCATTCATTATCCTGGGTCATCCTCACCTAACCTCAGAGCTCCTCTTCTCCTGCCTGGCTCCTACCTATGACAACTCTAAAAGGATACCAGTAATCGGCGTGGCAACCACTTTCGCAACATGACATCCATCGACTTTCGGCCTCCTTACTCACAGGAAGAACTCGACAAACTGTACCCCAAAGATCTTGAGCTTCGCCTCGTACAAGTCCTTCTCCGCCATGGTGAACGTGCTCCTGTGTCTGCCCGGTTCGGCAATGTAAGTCTAGCACGGTCAAATGGCATGGGACACTACTTATCATACCCTCTCTCTTCAGGCAGGTCTCCCCGCATACTGGCCCTACTGCAATGCCGCCCAACGACTGCGATCGGTGGCCCTGACACCACAAGATGACCTACGGTGGAATTCCTTACAATGGCGAAGAAGACTGGAAAGATTTGGCCACGACGACGGTCCGGTCATTGCTGCAGGACCGGCGGGCGAGGTGGATGGTATTTGGTAGGCTCAACTCCCCAAACTGCAGGCAAGATTGAATACAAAGACCAACACTATATCTCCTTCAGCCAACTGGGCGAACTCACAGATAAGGGAAGAGAGACGACCTACGAACTGGGGAAACGTCTGCGCCATCTCTACATCGACCAGCTGAAGTTTATGCCCTCTTTGATCGCCAACGCCGACTTGATCTACCTTCGAGCCACTCCTCTCCCTCGCGCCCTAGAATCCGTCCAGCAGACTTTCTGGGGAATGTATCCTTTGACCGCTCGCACTGCTGCCTTTCCTGCTCCTACCATTGTCACCAGAACGCCCGCAGATGAAACCCTCTTCCCCAACGACGGCAATTGTCGACGCTTCGCCCAACTGTCTCGTGCATTTGCGCAACGCACCGCCGATAGATGGAACGACACCGATGATCTGAAGTACATCACCAAGCTGATTGGCAAGTGGATGCCTGAAAACTCCAACAAGCAAGTCGCCGTCGACTCGCATCCTCGACTGTCTGGCATAATGGACACGATTAATTCAACACTCGCTCACGGTCCGGAGACCCGTCTTCCTAAGGAGTTCTATGACGCAAAGTCCCGGGCCATCATTGATCGGATCGGTGTCGAAGAATGGTTCTCGGGGTACAACGAAAATCGGGAATATCGCATGCTCGGGATAGGAGCCTTGATCGGCGATATTGTCGAACGGATGACTTCCAAGATTGAAGGTGCCGGCCTCAGTATCAACGAGATCGGTGGTGAGAATGGCCGTTTAGGTATCGGTCGAGGTGGTGAGAAGGGTATTCGATTTGCTCTGTCTGGTTGCCACGATACTACACTCGCTAGTGTCTTGACGAGTCTCGGAGCATTCCAGGAAGAGAAGTGGCCTCCTTACACCAGCCATATCGCCTTTGAGCTGTTCAGAAAGAGAGGTCCGAATGAATCAGGTCTCAGTGCTGACGCGAACGTACTCCTGCCTGCAAGTCCGCCGTCGACAGATTCTAAGTCTGAGACGGACTCGATGACACGACCTGGTCGTTTCGCCTCTTTCCTGGGTCTCCGTTCTCCAGCTTCCTCCCAGACTGACTCTACGTCGTCATCGCCATTGTCCAGCCCACTGTCATCGCCTTCTCGGTCACTTCGGTCGACACTCGCCCCCTCACTGCCTCCGAAGGATCTTATTGCCCGAACCCCCTACAATGAGCTTTCGGAATCGCAGAAGGACCGACTTGATTCGTACTATGTCCGCGTTCGGTACAATGATCGAGTCATGAAGGTCCCGGCGTGTGCGAAGCCTGGAAACAATTATCAAGGAGACGAGACTATCTGTACGTTTGAGGCGTTCAAGCGTGTCACTGATGGCTATGTGCCCAAGAATTGGAAGGCTCAGTGTGGCGAGAACCTGGACAAGCCCATCGCCTCATTGGACACTCCTCCGCAGATTGCTGGGCAGATTGAGGACCGGTTTTGAGTGGTTGACCAACTCCACGCGGTGAGGGATGTGTGCCTCCGTGGAGATTGAAGCATATTCTTACGAGGTCATCAAAAAGACCTCTTCTTCTGGTTCCACGCTGGATGTCGACCGTTGCCGGAGCCATATCGAGCTTATTCTTCCGACAACCACCTGAAATGCTACCCATTGTCGGGTAGAAGTTGAGCTTCATGCAACATTCTTTGCCTTTTTTCAGGCATGCCAAAAAGCAACGATTGATCTGTGCTTGTTCTTGGAAATGAAAGTATTCTCGATAGCATGGAAACCCCGGGATGGCCGATGACTATTTCTTGCTGATCGCGAGCGAGAACCGAACGCAAAGCAAGCGAGAAGCGGACGACGGATGGATTGATGGAGGTATGATGACTCCTCGATATGGGTGACCCGTACACATCCGAGTCTTCGTCAAAGAAGAACTGCGTTGGACGGAATGTCTCCCAAGCACAAATGCGAACACCGTCTGAAGCATGTCTTTGCTCTGCGCAGTGCTGATAGGGGATCGAGGATGGGCTAGGGGAGATCAGCAGGATATCTCTTCGGCCAGCTTCAATGGTTCGAGGCGACAAACGATTCCGCCATCAGCTTCCCTTCCGCGATTCCTGGTCTGTTTGCTTTTGGATGATTGAGCGAAGCCTGTCTACTTTAGACGCCGCTTGTGTCATTTGCCTACAGTCTATCCTCGCATTTGTTGTTGGCTTGCGGCTTAATGCACGTTTCAAAAAGTTATCGTTCTGAATTGCGTCTTCCAACCAGCGAGCGGAATGTGGGGGTTTCGGTTGGTTGGTATGGAAAACGATCATGAACTTCTCTGAGCGATAAAAGTCAAGAGCGAAACGACTTCCTTCAGGCATAAGCGAGGCTTGATAAGTACTTGAGGTACTTTATTAAGTCTCTTAATGAAATGTATCAGTCCTTATCAGTCGATGGGTCGTTTATTGCGCTCGTCCTCTTCCCAGCCATTAGGTGAGTAAAAGGAGAGTCGGTTTCTCCGCTTGCCGCTGCTTTTCTTCACGGATGAGTAGTTCCACCGAGAGGTTGAAATCGTTTTCCTCAATCCTCGTTATACCTCGAGTCTTGTTATCCCGGGGTACTCTAGGAGAGACCACCTGAGTCCTTTCAAATCGGGTTAGGGCTGGGTATCAGTATAACATATCGTATAGGTTTCCATTCCACATCTCGTCTCGTCTCGTCTCGCCTCATCTTTATATAGCCTTCATTAAATGACTGCAGTTGAGTTGCGATGTTAGATAAACGTCTCCGGGATCTGATTTCACCAACAGTGACTCTTCGACCGAGTCTCAGCGTGTGGTATTGGATTCATCGTCTCGATCTGTCGGCGAATTTTGAGTCGATCAGGTCTATCCCTGCCTCTCTCCCCGTCGAATGCATCGGGTCTGTTCTCTTTTCTGATGCAGTGATGGCCGATTTTTGATATTATGCCGAGTCTGCTCGTTCTTCTAAAGGAAGCTTGTTCTGGTCTTTTGCTAGGTCTGCTCGTTCTTCTGAAGGAAGGTCGATCTGGTCTTTTGCTCTATCTTCTCGCTCTTTCAAAGCTCGGTCTGGCCTTTACCTCGGTCGAATATGTGGAAGACGGCTGGGCGTGTCGATCATCATCACATCTGTCGTCTCGGTATCGTCACGCTTCCCGAAAGCTTGAAACACATCCGAACGAGACGGTGAGGAGACGGTGGGAGAAGTGTCAGGTCCATCTGGGCGATTGAGAATGCTTTCGAAAAAGAGTTGATTGTCGGTAGTTGATAGAAGGGCTCCGGCTTCGAAGGCTGTGGATGAAGAAATGAGGATTGGACATTGCTTGTTATGGTTGTGGTTGTTGTCGTTGCTGTGGTGGAAACTGTTTGAGGTGTCGTTGGTGTTGTCATCGGCATCACGACTATCATGCCTGTGGGTGTCGATATCGATACTAGTACTGCACTGCGGTAGCCAAGCGGCCGTGAAATTTGTCGACGACCTGCTCGGAGTCGGAGTCGCAGTCGGCGTCGTATCTAGTGGAACGAGGCCACTGACCGGAGCAACAGTCTCCGTGAACCACACATACACGCGCGGAGATCTGCTCGTCGTCACGATCAAAAGCACATTCGGCAGCCATGGGTGCCATAGAGTCTGACGGACCGCGTTGCTGAAGATAAGAACGGTATGTGGGTGCGCTTGCTGGGCTTGTCGGCTGTCCAGCCTCCAGAGAAACAGAGTGCGAGGCGCAGAGCGAAGACGTGTAGCCGCCATAGTCTGATCCGAGTTGACTGCGATGGTGTCGACATGGTGTTCCTTTTCCTTTTCCTTTTCTTTTTCCTTGTCCTTATCATTTTCTCTTCGGGCGTGGACTTCTCTCGACTGAGTCTGCGCTGTGCTGTGTGTTTGAAAGTGGGAATTGGAATGCGAGTCTGTGACTTCGAATGTGCCCATATGTCGCTTGAAGGTCGGCGGCGCCATTGCGGACGCTGCCGTACCCAAAACTTCCTGCCATACAAATGCACTAGAGCCATCAATCAGGTCAGGATGGGTGAATTGGGCGAGCATTTGCGTCGCCATGCCGGTGGTCGTGTCCAAGGATCGGATGACAACTCGCTTCTGACCGTCCGCGACAGTCTGGATGGTTCGTTTGGTCCGGCCAACGATGCATGACTTAGTCCATTTCCAAAACATCACACCGACACCTTCTACCTTCAATGGTTCCAGTCCGTCCTTGGGAGGGGGAGGAGTGGGGCTGTTGATGTGGATGGAAGTGAACGTTCCCGTCGAGATATTCAGCTGTTTCAGCGCGTGACCTTGAGCCGTGAAGAAACATACTCTCGTCCCATACGCTGGAGAATCGCAGATCGCCAGCACCGGGCTTCCATCCGGACACCACGTCACGCTCTGCGCGTCTGAGGTATCCACGTCGAAGGATTTGTAAGTGATCTTGTCCTTGGTTTTGTAAGTAATCTTGTGCTTGTTCGTGGTGTCGGCTGTGCTGTTGTCGTCGCCGTCGTCCATTTCGAACACAGTGACTCGGTCCTGGCCCCTATCGCGTCGGAGTAACGCAAAATATCGCATGTCCGGAGCTGCAGCGAAACTTCGCGCGTCGGCGAATTTCACATGTGCGATCTCGTCGCGCTCCGGTTTGGTCAGGCTGAGAATCGCGGCCGTCGTGCCGAACTCGAACAGCACCAGCGCGTGGCGGTGGTTGAAGACATATTCCACGAGAGTGGCTTTGCCGTACTGGTTGCCTAGTTCGTAGTCGGCGAGAATGTTGGATCTGGGCTTCGAGAGAGATCTGGAGTTGGACTTGGACTTGGGGAGGTCGGTGCGCAAGGCCACCAGTCGGCCGCCGTTGCTTATCAAGATCCATGTCGTTTCTGGTTCGTGGTCTGACGTCGGTGTCAACGTTGATGTCGTGTTGGACAAGCCTTCTGCGTCCTCGACCAGTTCATACACCGTCTCCGGCGACCAGCGTAATATATTGCATTCTTTCAAGAATGTCCGTATCGACTTCGGTAATTTGATCGTCTTGCTGATTGCGTGCCGATGGACAGCTTCTGCGAGATTGATGATGTGGATCTGCTCATCCGCTGCAATGACTGCGAGATATTTCCCATCGGGTGATAGCAAGGGCTTTTGGAGGGCTTTTTTTCCGTCGCCTTGAGTCAGTATAGTGCTTGGCCAGAATGTGCTTGTCGTGACTGAGATAGTGGACAAGCCAGAGAAAAACTGTACCTACTAGCCAATGAGGGAGAAACATGCAGGAATTGGAAGGACTTGGACAATAGACATGGGATTGATTGTAGAAGGTTGAAGGGGATCTCACTGTTAGTAATGATATCCTGTTGCAAGAACTCGTCCATCATGCCCTTCCAAATCCGTTGATCCTTACTAGTATTGTGTTCTGTTCTGATTGACTTCCCTTGTATAGGACAAGAATCTGGCGATATAGTGGGCGTGGTTTCAGCAATTACTATAAGGTCGCCGAACGATCGAGACGCGTACTAAACGGGCGAACCGCGTCTAGTATTGGCTTTGAAATCGCGTGGTCACATGATAAGGCTGTGGAAGACAGGAAATTTAATTATCGCCCATCGACAGTTTCCGCGCAAACATGAAGGGGAAAGGGACAGGAACACATCGACGTCATTGCATCCACAAATTCATTTTGTCAGACGGCCATTTGTTTTTTCATTTGGAGAAGAAATTCTGCAGTCGACTACACCTTTTGCCAAGGGATGGTCAGACAACGCCCATTTTTACTCGGCAAGCCAGGACGCTTGACCACGCGCAAGCATTTCGTCCATCGAGCCTCCATGCTTGATGGGCAAGGCGTGATGGGTGCTATTGGCTGTAGCACACCCCCTCGAGCGACCACGATGGAAAATACTAGTATACGAGAGGTACTGATCGGTTCACTCTGTCTCGGATGGTAATGGAATGGCTGGGACTGGAATTCCAACACTCCAGTACGCGATATAATGGGAGATAGATACCTACAGGTATTGACAATGGTTCATTCGGCTTTCTTGCTCATGACACCAATCTACAGAATGTCCACGGCGGAGACTCCTCCTTAAAAATGCTGACATCAACAATCTTACTACTCATTTGGGCGATATTGATTTTACCATCCATCCATGTTGCCGGCCTGCCTGCGCGAGATGGAAAAAGCCGGTTGCTAGATAATCTATCACTGCGCCTATCCCATGCCCCGCCAACGTAGTATCTTGATATCTTCCCTTGCAAAAGCCCCAATCGGTGTTTATCTTCCAGTTCTGTTCATGCCTCTATCATCCGTCGTGTCATGATCGTGATCATCAAGTAGCCGCCAGGTCCCAGTTCTTTTGGTGAATCCCCAAACTCCCGCCATGAGACAGCTTTTAGTAAAGAAAATAGGAAGGGAACAGCAGACGACGCTGTGCACCATCAAACGCATTGATTGCGTTCCATCCATTTGCACTGCGTTTTCATCCGTTGCCTGTTTCAGCATCGACAAATTGTTCGTCCGCTGTGGTTGCGATGCTTTGCTTACGGCTCGAGTTCAACGACCCGTACTGATACTCGGTTTGCCTCGAGACATTGCTGGCTGTTTCCACTGCTTCCTCGTCTTCGTCTTGAACCGTCGAACGCATCTCTTTCTCATCTCCGTCACGCATGGCTTTCCTCAATAATAAACCGTCCTCGTTCGACAGGGTCTGCCACTCCGATGACATGGTGATAACGCTAGCTTTCTTACCATGCAGAATGAAACTTCCGGTACCCCGTTTGAGTTCCTCAACTTCGCTCTGCACTGACCTTCCGCCGTCGTCGGTGCCAGTGAAACTGGATCCTGACTCTCTTCCCTTCCGGTGCCGATGGATGCTCGGTGAATGGTGGTGACCATCACGCAGAGGACCTTCACGTAAGCTGCGGTGGAGACTTCTTCGAACACTGCCAATCTTTGATCCCTCGGTCGGAGTCGCAATAGCAGCTAGACGATCTCGTTCCGATTCGCTTGTGTCCGGCCGCTTCTCCTTGGAAACATGGCTGTCAGTCCCGAATAAGCCTGCTTCACGCCAGGCTTGTTCTTCACCATCCTCCGCGCTTCTGACCAAGTGTTCCCTATCTCGGCTATGATGCGAGCTTGTCATGGATACCTGATGGAGTAGGGAACGAGAGTCTGCATTGCTCTCTTGTCTCGGCAAAACATGCTCAGACACTGAAGGGCTCCTGGTGGACGAAAGATCATGTGGGCTCGTCTCCTGTTGGTGGCCCTCGCTCTCCGAGGTCTTGAGTCTTTCTATAAGATTGACAGGCTTGGGAGAAGTTGCACTAACTGGAGACAAAGTCATATGACTCGTATCGGTGGGGTTACGCGCCAAAATTTCCGGGCCTGTTTTTAACGGAGTGGTCTTTTGAGGCGTTGACGTTGACAACGTACGAGGAATTGGGAAAGCCGTTACTCCCTCCTGCTCCAAATCTTTGGCCAGGATATCACGATGAGTTCTTGCTCTCCACAATTCCACCCTCGTCCACTTCAGCTTGGCTGACATGCGGCCAGCAGCTAGGACCAAAGCCTCCCGCGTCTTCTGCTGGATCGGCAAGAGAATAAGCAGATGTCGGGCATTGCGGAGAAGGTTGTCCAATTCCTTCTGAGCGACAGAAACCTTGTCGTCAAAATCGCTGATTCTCTTATGCAGAATTTGCCGGCGATAGTACTTGATTTCCCATGCCGCTTGAGGGTCCACCCTCAGGTCCTTCTGATAATAATGTTCGCTTTTGGTTGGAAAGTCGGAGTCATTGCGGACGACCTGTCGCGCTTCATGATTAGAGCTGAGCAGGCCGCGCATCCTGACGCCTGCGGTGCGAAAAGCGGCAGCATAGTTCAATTTGCCGATCCAGTCGTTCATCTCGGACTCGGTGTTGGCGAGAAACACTTCCTCGAAGCCTCCGTGCTTGATGAAGACGAATGCGTTTTTATGCTTCTTGTAGCTTGTGTCTAGCAAAGCCACAGCGTCGTCCATTGACATGAGCGCATCTGGTTCGAAGGATGACATTGGGGGCTTGAAGACCAAAGGCCCGTCATTGTTGGCCGACTTAGAGTGGGCGTCATATTGACTGATCAGCTTCTTGACCCAGCCCACGTCCTTGAAAAAGTACAACTTGGAGTCCGTTAAGATGACCCCCCATTCTTGCCATGGGCGCTTCGCCTTTTTCTTCTTGGGGTCTTTACGCCACAGCAACCCAACTTTGGCGACCTTGATACTGACCAATCCGGCCTGTGCCTCTCCTGGATTGCTGATTGTAGCTTGAGTTGAGAAAGCATCGGGCCTGGACCTTGCAGATACAATCTGCAGCACGGCAGAATTGAGGAAGGCGTTGTGGATGTCATTTGTCTCGAGGCTGCCAACCGTTCCCGTGGAGCAGTAGCAGTCTTCGGTTTCCATCACGTCTTTCAAAGAGGGCCGCAACACATCCAGCTTGTTGTCTAGGATCAGAATGTATGGGTCAACAGGCCCACGCAGGTTGTCCAGACTCCGGGTTCGAATCAAGCTCTTCTTCTGTTTGGGGGCGGCCAGGCGGTGGCTGTTGATAGCGATTTCGTCCTCAAAATGAATAAAAGGAGTGTAGCACACATTGTCATAGAAGCACTCTAGGATGTCGCTGGAGATATGTACCGGGCCTTGCTGAGTATTCTTGACGTAATCATGCTTCTGCATCTTCCGCTTGTTGTTCTTGTTGTGTGTGTCTGAGTGTAACAGCAGGATGGAGAACGCAACAAAAGCCGTCTCATCGGTCGAAGAAAAGATCCCTGGGTTACACTCGTAATAGCGGTCCGAAAACCCGGCCAGCAACCGGTCGATCTGTTGGGTCTCTTTAGGCAATTCTACTTCCATCAGCATTTTCCGAATAGCCATGTCAATTGAGTCGCCAAAATATGAGAAGCCCCGCATATACTTGCGCAGGCATGTCTTGGAGAAGTCATCAGCGCTTTTGCAGAGAATAGTTGCCATTGCACCTCTGGGGACGGCAGCTTCAAGCTTTTCCACGTAGCTTGCAGGAGTGTCGTCGTCCTCCCTTCGCGGGTAGACCCGTTCGGGCTCGGGTTCTCGGGGGATGTGCAGTGAATTGGACTTTGAACCTGGCGTGCCAGGATATGAGGCCGGCCCGTGTCGGGGAGGTGGGGCAGAATTCTGACGGAGCCGATGAGGTAGCGATAGAAGATCACCAAAACTCCTCCTTCCACTTGTGGACGTTGAAGTCCTTGCCGATGCCGTTTGGGGCACAGCATCTGGCAATCTCTCCACAGACTGTCTTCCGAGCGAGCTCAGGGTGGAGGAGCGCCCCCTGCCACTCGACTGAGGAGGCACCAGCGTTACGGACGGAGTAGAACGACCGGAATGGGTCGACCATGTCGAGTTTTGACGCATGATAGTTGGGCCCGGCGATCCAAACGGTGCGTTTGTAAGCGCAACGGTCGAGTGAATTGGCGAAGCCTCTGCGGAGCCTTGACGACTCTGTGCGGTGTCAAATCTGACTGTTGTTGTGGATTTCCTGCTAGGCGACATGGATTTCCTCTCATGTTGAGGCTCTTGGTGGGTATGAGAATTGTTCGTCCGACCCATCGTAGAGTTTGCAAATCTTTCTGGCAATGGAAACAGTGGACCCTTGTTCTTATTCCGCCTCTTGAGCTTGAAGAAGGTCGTGGTGGTCGAAATCGTATGAGTCGTGGTAGTCTTAGCGTAGACGTGGTGGTCTCCAGAACTGTCATCGGAACGAGAGGAGTCGGAAAGTCGGGTCACTGGAATGGCCAGCGAGGAGGAGGATTCATCACCATAGGCAGGGGGTGCCATGGCTCCATTGAGTGCCGTTGGTCGCGGCAACCGCTCGTAGGAACTCGACTCCGGTACTGAGGGTGTGTTTGTAGAACTTATACGATTTTCCCCGTCGGCGGTCTTTTGCGGTTCCTCTTGGATATGCTGGTCGCGGAAAAAACTGGGTGATCGGCTAAACAACTTGCGTTTGGGTCTCTTTTGGGTGGTGTCGTCGAAGTCATGAGTTGGGGCTGTGGTGATGATTTTCGGCGCTAAAACAGTCAGCCTCGATAAACAGACAGGTCCACGGCAATATCACGTACGAGCAGCGTCTTGCGAAGCCGGGGGCTCTTGTTTTCTAAACCTCATCGACAATTGCGAGTCTGAAGCATGCCTCGTACCAAGTAGCGGAAACCTCTGTGGTTTGAGCGCAAGGGCATCTCCGTCAAGACCGTCACTCGTTCTGGGAGCTCGTGATGGTGCAACTCGTGCCCTAGAGATCGCAGCCGGGGTACTTGCGCTTTTGGACCCGGCTAAATGGTCGGATGCCTCGCCACCTTGAGGGGAAATGGGGCGTGGATTTGTCTCTTCTGGTTCGTGAGTGAAGAACGGCTGAAAGGGCTCTTCGTTGGTGCGAGATAAACCCAGACTCAATCTCTTCAGCGAATCCCCACGGCTGTGAGCCCCAGCCATGGTACTTTCGGAGTCCTCGTTGGCATCTTCGAGAATGCTGCTGTGTCGACGATGAGCGGTTCGAGGACCTGCCTTGGACAGGAGCGTTCTCAACGACATGATCAACGATCGAAGGGGCAGGGGCCGCGTGGTTCAGGTCATGTCGAGACCTTCGTGCAGATTGTTCGAAAATGGAGGTTCGTGGCTATCGCGAATGTGCGTGCGGCGACGAAAGGCAGAGGGACATTGACGGCTTTGGCGGACGGTTCAGACACTCGCGGTCAGCAGGCCAGCTGCGAGTGGAACACACGGGGTCGATGTTGGATGGACGCAGGGACATTGAAGCGAGCGAGGTTGAAGAGAAAGGAGCATCGGGTCGAGGGACGCAAAGGACGCAAGATGAACGTGAAGCAACGGTACAGTTTCCGGAAATCGTTCGTACGCGAGATGGCTGAGTACGTGAAGCAATTGATCGATCGATCTAATCAAAGGAGAACGAGGAGTGGTTGGTATTGATAGTAGTGGTCCCAATCGCAAGTGGAGGCTGAGCTGCTTCACTCCCCAACTTCAACTGAACCTGGACCTGGACCTGGACCCGGACCCGGAACCTTGCAAAATGGCCGGAATTTCTTGATTATTATTATTATTATTCTGCAACAGGGCCGCCACGTGCTCGTTGGATGGACAAGACTATCCACCACTACCTGTCCTCTGTTCATCCAGGCTGCGCACTGCATTAGACAAAAGGTACTCTGTACAATTCAATCGATCGAGACAGCATTTATCATGCTTGCATAAAAGACACAACCGCTGCTATGCTTACGTGTAAGCTCTTCCCTCACATAGACACCAGTTCGTCCTCATCATTATTTTCGCTTGCTTCTATCTCAAGTTCAGCCGGCACAGCTGTATATCTTATAGTCAATATCATAATCCATTATCACCATGAAGACCACATTCGATCTGACTCATGTCCACCTCAATGCGAAAATGCAACCTGGACGGTTACAGGGTCCTGAATGCAAATGGTTCCACGCACGCCATGCAGTTTTTGATACAATATCTCGTCTTGGTCAGCTACCTCATCACATAACTCCCCGGCGGCGACGCAAATTGCCCATCATATGGGGGAGAATACCCTGAGTCCAGATGCATCTGCTGTACCTGGGGCTGTGATAATTGACCAGGACCGTGAAAAGCGCCAATCAAGGGGTTAGAAGTCTGCGGGGTTGTCCACTGCCCGACCTGTCCGGCATCTATGAAAGACTGGTGTCCAGGATACTGCGGGAATCCATACGTCCTTGCTGCCGCTTGTCTCTGCACAATAGCCGCTTGAACCATATGGCCGGCAACTCCTTCTCTGATATTCCTCTTCTCCTGTTCTCGTGCTTCAATAGCGCCAATGAGGCCAATGGACGGATCTGGCGTCTTACTCCTCTCTGTCACCTGAATGAGCGGCCCTCCTGTCATTCGCGCCACATGTTCCTGTTCTCGCGCGGAGAGATGAGAGGAATAGTCCATCAGGAGGGAATTTTGCGAACTGGGTCGGGCCAAGGAGTCCCTCTTCTTCGGGAGCTTGGTGGGAGATCGCTCGACTTGGCTTGACGAGAAGCTCCGGTGCGGAACGTAACCATTCGGCATACGCGCAGCCGCAGCGCGTTGCTGGACAAACTCTTCGGCAGTCAAGCCGCCGCTCGGACTATGCCTACCGGTAGTGGCGGCAGGGTGCCAGGCATAACTACGAGATCGTGAATGGGTGGGTCGCGGGCTGGACAGCGTTCTGTCCTCTCGAGGAGTTTGGCGGCCCAATGGTGCTCTCTCGTCGTGAGGTGACCTCGTGAGTGGAGTCTCAGGAGCCGTGGGAGGCCGATCGAACGGAGACTGCCGGCCCGTAATCCCGCTCGCAGTCGGAGGACGACTATGAGCCGGTGTCAAGCTCGGGGTGAAGGTTGTGCCAAAGTCCACGTCCGGTATATCCACCGCGATGGATCCATGCGAGACGTTGCCAGTTTGTCCTAACTTAATGTCTCCCACCGTCTTGAGCACACCCGTCCGCCTTCTTTGCGGGAGGACGTCGAGGTTAGCATCCTCAGAAGGACTGTCATATTCGGGGCTCCCGATGGATTCGTTGTCGTAATCGGAGGCTGAATATGGTGACATGTTGGCTGGAGACCGAGGTCGAGATCTCTGACGTGGAACCTCGAGGGATGCGTTGGGAAAGGGAACCGGCTTGCGAGAGATCAGTTTTCGAGTTGACGAGTGATCACCGGGCTGTCGAGTCTGTCCTGATCCGAGATCAGCAGGGCTCTCTGCATATGCACCATCTGCTACCACCCCTTTGGAGGCACGTTGATTAGCAGATGTTTCTCTTTCGTCGTGAGGGGTCTCAGTATTTACCCCTCGGAGCCCCTGATCTTCCGCCTCCCCTGGTCTTCCGGTCTTCCACGCCACCATCGCGGCATGCCCCGCCGCCCCACTGCTTGCCATCTTGTTCACATCAGCGATCTGAGACAAAGTTGCATTTGACATGCGACTTTTTTCACGCCTCAAATCCGGCCTCATGTCTGGTCGTTTACGAGGCACTTGCCCAGCCTGATGCTGGAAATCAGGCGGCGCTGCCACTGGTGCAGGCGGGGTTGATCCCCTCACATCTTCCTGTATGTCTTCTGCATGAATCCGCGGGCCTTGACCGTCACTGTCGGAGCTATAGCGGCCGTCAGAAGCCTCCAATTCCGTATAAACAGTCCCGTTCTTGTACTGAGGACGATACCCTGGAGGTGCCGGTTGAGGTGGGTTAGACTCCATCTCAGAGAAATCATTGGACATTCTCGATTGATTGTAACTGTCTTTCGCGCGACGCGACTTGGTAGGGGACACGTATGCCACGGACTCGGATACAGACCTTGAATGCTGGTTTTGACCAGTGGCGAGATATGCAGCATTGGCTGGTGCTGTGGTGGCTTTCTGAGGGGGTGCAAAGCCAGCATCCGTTGGCTGGTCATGCTGGTGTCGCGAGGGCGTCGAGCGGATGGAGGCGCCATCATCGTAGTGCACACCCTGTCTGGAATCTGAAACAGCGCGCGCTGTCCTCCTTCCTTCCAAATTGCTGCTCGATCGACTCTGCGCCGTCATCGCCATTCTCTTGGAGGTCATGTCTTTCAGTTGCTGCCGCCACTCGCGCTCGCTCCACTTTTCGCTGCCTTGAGTATGAATCAGAGCTGCAACGTCTATGATGTCCAGGTACCCATATCTCCGCTCCTTGGGCATTGCGAACATGAGTCCTCGTGTGTCCAAAGTGTCCGCAATCAGTCGTTGAGGACGACCATATAGATGGAAAACGTCGAAGACAGGAAAAAGCCACCGCAGCATCATCTCGAACCCGGACACGGCGGGATGTAGCTCGGGCATAACGAAGACGAAACCTTCTGTCGTTGATTCGGGTTTGGAATGTATCGTGATTTTCCCCTCCAATTTGACCAGAGTCGATTGGTCGATCAGCGGCTTTGACTGAGGATATATGGCATATGCCGAATAGGCGTCGGTGATTGTCGCTATCGGCGTAGCCTTCTTGGTCTTCCTGGAATCGTAGAATTTGAGTCTTCCTTTGGGGAGAGCCGGTCTGTCATATGCGGACTTCTTCTTCAACGCTTTATTGGACTTATGCAATTCTTTCTCGTCGGGCGGCTCAATCACACACCAACAGCGTCTCCACGGTGTTCCAGCGCCAAATCGCACCCGTGCCCAGTCTTCTTGTTTGACCTTCGTTCTTTCCATAATCGTCCGTATATTATTTAGATGCTTGCCTTTTCCAGCAATCAAAGAGCCCGTGTACAGCTCGTGTAGCGATGCGTGCTCAAACATTGCTAAGCGTATGCCGGCTGTCCACTGAGTCAAAGAATGTAGCGAGTTGAAGTGGAGCAGATAGCGGTTCTTCCCCGCCGTGGAAATTGAGAGGACATTTTGCAGAGGCTGCACATCTGGATTGCGGGTCGGAAGGGTTTGTATCTGGTTGCAATTTAGTAAATCAAGCCCACAAAGTCATCAGTCCTCTTCCGTTGGCGTACCATCTTGATGGAAGCATCTGCCAGGTTGATAAAGGTCGGGGCAACCTCTCCATCTTGGCCAGCTGCATCAAGAGCAGCTGCATCCCAGAGTGACAAAACTGTTCCGACCAATTGAGCGAAGCATTCGGTCCAATTCCGATCGACATAAGGGCGTCCATCTAGGAGCACAGAGTTAAAAGGTGTCTTTAAGGTGGAAGATGGTCGCCACTTACGTGTATCAAGGTCGTTGAGTTTGAGGAAGTAGCCTGTCCAGTGATATCAGTATGTTTGTAGCTCGGACAACGCTGGCAACAGACCTTCTTGATAGAGCTTGTTGGCATGACTCGAGAGAAAACTAGCGGACATGGTCAGCTCTAGAGCCAAGCAAAGTTTTGTTTAACATCAATGCCCACCTGAAAACGGGTACTAGCTCTTCAACATGATTGTCCTTCCCCAAGTCCATTGAGGGTGGCGTATACACCATTGATGCGGGACGAGAGGCTGGACGGTCAGGGCGAGGGTATGGTGCAGGAGTGTCGGCGTACGGCGGCGCAAGCGGAGAATTGGCGGTCGGAGCTGGTGAATCTTTGTCGACTATCTCAGTCTGGCCATTGGGTGAAGACCTGGAGAGCGAGGAGGTTGATGATGAGGCATTGGAGGAATGCAATGCAGCGGCTTTGAAGCTCTCGGACAAGTTTCGAAGTCGATTCATGTTGTGCTGGCACGATTCCACCGCGACTTTGAGTCCAGACGCGGCGAAAGAGTCAGGAACGAACAGGACCTTGTGCCCACAAAGTTGTCCGCACCACTGCGACAACCACGCACCAGAACCAGTCTACCTCTTTCCACGACGTTATTTTCGGCCGGCCATGGGATAATGACGGAACGAGTGTCCAGAAAATATTGGGCGTGGCTTTGGGAGTGTAGCCAAGGGCAATTGGCGGAGGACTTCGCCAAAATCTGGGGTTTACCGAGTGGGAGGTAGTAACGAGGCTGAGAAAGCAGAGTGGGAGAAGGAAGCGCAGTCACTGTTTGAACCATCGCGGACAGAGAAAGGAAACAAAGCGGGCGAGCCGACGTACTGGCTTCCCATCAGATGGTTGTAGTGGTGTGGTCCTCTCTACTTTTCCATCCACTTGTTACTAGTTGATCAGTGCAGCCCGCCGCTCGGGCGCAGGAAAAGTGCGGAGCCACTATTACCAACATACAGAGAGTACAACTACCTACCTAGGTACGTACCTACTACCTGACAGAGTACGACATGCGGATGCAGATGCTACCCAGTTCAGGCGGTAATATCAATAGCAATTTTACCTGCTAGGTACCTACCTGAAGTATTGTTCGATGAGTGAGCGGTAACGTTCTTGTGCCGGGTCGTCATCGAGCGGAAACCAGTACGGCAGTACCTAAGCTACACACCTGCAGCTTATGCGGCCCTTACAGTTGATTACGGCCTCGCACGCGGCAATGTGGCTTCTGGGACCCTAACTACCTTTTTCCATCCGTCCTCATGAGCCTGAGACGTGGTCTAATTTACAAGCAGGGAATAAAATCACACACGTACAGAGTGTGTACGAGAAACATACCCTATGAATATACCAAACAAGCAAAATAGGCGTAGCACTAGAGCCTGAGGCTGAGATTGGCGGTGTCCAAATCAAGAGATGGAGACGCAATCCATTGCAGACGCTGACGTCTCGGCGTTCGGAGGTGGAGGGTCGCAGGTTGGCACCGGCCGCTCTGGCAGGGAAGTGAAGTCTTTCACCCCAGTCGCCTGGCACCCTTCGAACCGCAGTTGCAAGGGGCCATGAAATCATACCCGAGTCTCGAAGATGTACGTGCCACACCTGGTACGTGACTACCGGGCAAGCCGGGGTACCGTAGGTGATGTTGTTCTAGCGAGCAACCTGTCCGATCTAGAGGCCTCCTAAGCCCGTCTGGCTGGAAGTCGTGTCCCAGAAGTTCTACTAGGATGCCGGTATCGTTCTATCGTTCTAGCTGCCCGCTTGCTCCGGAGTGCCGGATCTACCGCAGTCTCGCTCTTCAAAGTTATCATTTGCGGCCCTTCGTAACCGATCTCCACCTGTTTCGCCTGCTGCGTTCATCTCTGTTTTTAACGTTACAGCAGCGATTGACCCTTATTTCCATTATTGCCAGTACGTGCTTGGAACCGACCCCATGTTCCATTTTCTGTCTAATTCTGCCAAACACAGCGACCGAGTCACACAACTGTCAGGACGCCTAAACTGTATGCCAACCTGCGAGTCACAGGCGACTTTTCCAGGTATTCTGGTTGTCATGCTAGCCAGTTGATGATTCGGCATTCACCGGCGAAACATGCATTCTGCCATGCGACCTGTGTGATCCACGGCTGGGACTATAGGTGGATCATCGTTTAATTGTCAGCTTTAAATAGCCAGTCGTGTTTGTGTCGTTCGAAAGAAAGGTACTCGTTTGAATGCAATATACCAACGAGGGACGTAGCCAGTCGTAGATCCAAGGAGCTTGCTACTGGGTGCAATGATATGGCCATGGAAATATAACTGGGCAAGAAACAAAGTGGAAAAGGGACCTCTGTTCATAGAGCGTAAGTGAATTGAGCCTTTGTCAAACTCAGCTAGACTTCGCCGAGTCAGCGATCCTCATCACTAAAAGACAATATGCTATTTGTACAGGGGATCTCGCGTCTCTGCATGCTGCAAAGAGGATAAGAGGGCGTCTCATGATCATCATAAAACCCTCCTTGAAAAGTGCCTTGGTATTTCAACTCCGATGGAAGACTTCGCCAGACGCCTAATTCATGCCCATCCCATATGCAAGATATCACCATGCGTGAGCGAGCGTGTATGAGTGCAGTCATGGTGCTCGTTAGGCCTGTGCTTCGTTGTATTTCCTCAGCATTGCAACATCGGAATCGCCCATGGCTTCTTCCTGGTGATCGTGTTGTTCTTGCATGTCGTCTGGATGCTGTATCTCAAAGTGGTCTTCTGCCCTGGCGTTGCCTTTCATATCAATCGCTTGTTCAGCGGCATGTGCCACGGTGGCCTCGAGATTGGGGTCAATCAGAGAAGACGGAGTCTGTCCTTGCGGGTTCAGTAGGAGATTGATCTGGTTGCCTTGTCCGCCATTTCCATTTGCTGACTCGCCTCGAACAAAAGCATAGTCAGGGTGCGCATCCTGAGAAGTCACTGATGTGTAATATGCCGTCGCCTGAGGCGGGTACGAGATGTGGTCAGCGGCGGCCGTCGACAGAGCTTCCAATGTGTGCGCCGCGACTTGCTGGTACGAATCGGATGGTGTCTGCGCCTGCGGTGGTGGTGTTGTCGAGTCTTCCGCAGTCGGGTCCGTCACGTAGATCCAGGTCACTGCGCTACGTCAGTATATATCAACAGAAAGAAATGCATTCATTCGTCACTCACAGTTCTTTGGCACTGGCAGGAAAGTACGCACTTCCTCCTCTGTGTACGACTGCGCGTACTTGTAGAAGCTGTCGAGGGAATGATCTTGGCCCTCTCTGGCAAAGGCAGCGTTCTGATGGTGGCGGAAGGTAACGCCTGTCCAAGATTAGTTCGAAGAAGCCTCATCTATCAGTCTATGACTCACCCTCCGAGCGTATACACTCACGGTGTGATTTCTGGCATTGCCCGCAGACAGGTCTTGCCTGGACGTGTCTTGTCAACAACGGATCTCAAATCTGCACAGATCTTACTCACCTCATCACACTTGAGCTTTCGGTTGCGACAAGTTTGACAGCCAGTTCGGCTGCGTTGTGCCACGCCTGTGGCCTTGGGCTTGATGGTTTTGGTTGCCATCTTTTCGGATTGGATTTGTTCTGGTCTCCCAGCGAGAGTTGAAGCTGTGAAAGGAAAGTCAGACGACATGCACTTCCGGCATCGGACTAAAGTTAATCCGATGCCGAAAAGCCGCCAAGCGAGCTTCCATTATCACGGCTTCACTTTCGCTGGGAGACCAGCACCAGTACCAAACTGCAAAAGTATTGCCCTGTGATCCCTCCACGAGTTTCATGACGAAATATGAGTGAGTAGATAAGAAGAGAGAGTGCAATTACGTGTTGGGAGAAATACTTATACCTCCTGTGTGCTGCCGAGAGAGAGCTCGGCACTGGCGCTGACCTGCTCTAGTACGTAGTACTACTAACAGTTGCATTTCTCCATACTCACCTGTAACGACATTCAAGCTGTGCATACAGGCATACGGACGGCTGGACAAACAAGCAACTTGATCACATTTGAGAGCTGACATTATCTAATTTCAGCTCTGTGATGGTAGGCAAACCGTCAGGCCTACTTCTTTGCCTTCTTCTTAGGCCGTCGGTCTGCCTCTTCTTCCTCCTCGCTAGCCGCATCTTCATCATCTCCTGCAACATCAGCCATCTCTGCATCGCTACCTGCATCACTGCCACTGCTTTCGTGTGCTGAATCGTACTCCTCAGCCACATCACTCTCAGACTCATCTTGGAAATCTTCATCGGGCGAGTCTTCGTCCTCATCGGCTGATCCCCGATTCACGCCGCCATTGTCATCATCATCTGATGATGCCAGATCCTGATCCTCCAGGGCTGCTTTCAACAGTGTGGATGAATCATCAAGCATCTCGTTCTTGAATCGAATGCCCTTGGCCTAAAAGACGTATTAGATGTTGGACTGCATCGCGCACGACGAAAATAACTTACTTGGAAAAACGCTTCGAGTGGCTGCTGTTCTTCACGGTTGATGTTGCTGAACTGATGCTCTCCTTGGCCGCCTTTCAGTGTCATGGTAATATCAAACGTGCGACTAGCCGCTAGAGCTCCTCCAACCCTCGACATAGTGATGCTCTGTATGGAGTCGATCGGTACGTAGGTGGCAGGCTTGGGGACAAAGATGAAACTCTTGTCCAGGCAGAAAAGCAATCCTTCATTGGCCTTGATGGAGCACTTAACCCCATTCATGTTGTGATGACTGACAAAGTCCTTGGAGGGCATGATTATCTTCTTCCCAGATAAGCCTTTGAAGACTTTGGCAATGACATGATGGATCGGTGCTTCGTAATGTGGTTCCAGCTTGTCTTTGTACTTCGTTTCGAGGAGCTCTTCTGTCATATTGAGATCCAGGTTCACCTCATCGTCGAGTTTGAGCTGCATCACGATAAATGGATATCTCGTTTGTCCTTGGCGAAGAGGTGGATCCAGTCCCAGTGTAATCATCGTGTGCATTTCGTCGTTCTTTGGCAGGATGAAAAACTTCTTTATCGACTGGTACTGGATCTTGTAATCGTATGTCTTACCACGCAAGCGGAATGAATTTTCGTACATGTCGATATCGAACCGTCCTCTGTGTGAGGTAGTTAGTATATCCCCGGCTGTCTAGAACATCGTCAAGAGCAATGGGCAGCAATGGGCACGTACCTGGGGGTAAGATGCAATATGTCCTGGAAAGTTGCGAACGTGGCACCGGCAACTTCCCCAATCTCTGCCTTGTCCATGAGGGTCTCATAAAACAAGTTGGCGGCATTCTGTTCCTCTTCTTCGTCCTCTTCTGCGCCACTGCCTTCTTCGCCATTGACTTCTTTTTTGGACACCGTTCCGGGAATATAGAACCGCATCTCGACCAGTTCGTCTCGTCCAGCTGCTGCTTTGCGACCACGGTTCTTAGTGCTGCCTGCTTTGTGACCATTTGTGCCATTTTGAGCTGAGTCCGCATCCAGGTTGAATTCGACTGCAATCTCATTCTTTCCTGCCAGATTCGTGTTGGAAATTTCTGAGTAGGGAATCTCGAACGCCGGCCTGTTCTGGACATTGAATGCTAATTCTGCGCGCCCAAACTCGGCTTTACCCCAGTTCCAGCCTCGCAGCGCATGTTCCTTATGTTCTAGGTTGATGCCATAGAATATCTTGAAGGCTTTGGCGGCACGATCATAATCCTCCTGTTCAAATCCGTCGAGTTGGATGACCGCAGCATCTCGCGTGATGATTTTAATCTCATATCCTTTCGATGCTCTGCTCCATTGCGCCGCACTGATCTGATCGCCGTTAAGCGTGAATGGTTCGCTGCCGCCGCTGGGTTTCCACCCTAGACCACTTTCTGCAAGTCTACACCGTCCGGACTGTTTCGACAGGTCGAGGTAAATATTCTCGAATGTCTCCCTATGTACTTTGTTAGCAACGAGTTTACGTTTTGTTGACGCAGGACATACATCGTATGTCTCGCTGCGCCGAGGGCGACAGCAGGTCTTCGGGGCGCAAAGGGGTTCGATGGAATTGAGCTCTGCCAATGCTAATCACAAGGATGTTGACAGGCAAATTGACGAGAGGGAGAGAGATGCAGGCAACTATTTGTCAGAGGTTGGCAGTAGTAGAGATGAGGATTGATCCAAGTCCGGATGCTACCTATAGATGGACGAGCGACGAAATCCACGTTGTCGCGCCACTGGCACGCGAATAGTGAATGCAGCCTTGGCGCGTTCTCCTTACCACTAGTAGTAGTAGTATCTACATGCAGTTTCACTACTGACAGTAGTGCTACATGTACCTCACCTTATGTTCTTCACACATTCAACCCTAACGCTTGATTCATTCAGAGCACAATACTCTAGCGCAATCAGTCAGAGCACATTGATGGCGTCGGACACGCTACAGGTTACATTCTTTGCTACCAAATACTAACAATATCCAAAACAAGTACTCGTTGTCTCCCCAGCAGCAACTGACCTCCATCGGCAACAACCTGGCGGGCCTGCCTTCCAGTACCCAACTATGTTTCTCTGCAACGAACCTGTGCCGAACCATCTTCCAGTCACCTACCGACTTGACCTTGCTCAGCGCACAAGTCTGCAAGGTCTGGGACAGGATTCTCAGCGAATTCTGTTAGCAACTTCTCTGCGCCCTTGCGAAAGTGCTCAGTTGAGGGCAGTAGCGGAAGACCATCATCTCCATCTTGGACATTGCTTGCTTCTTGCTCGCACTCCTGCTCGAACTGGCGCATCAAAGCACCGTGAAACTTGATCGACCTCAAGACTGCCACGTTCTTCACCCAGAATATCACGCGCCCAAAATCGGAAGCTGAGCGAATATGGAGCCAGACTTTCGTTCCGCCGGGACGCCCTGCAATGTGGACAGCGTATCCGTGAGCTGGCCTCCCTCGTCCATTGTTCTCCCCTGTTCCGGCGTCCCATGAAATGAAGCTAGGCTCTGCTGCAAAAGTCAGATCGAGCGTTGGCACTGCTGCTATTCCATGCCGCCACTCGTCACAATCTGGTCTGACGCCGATCATCATGGCGTTGCCTACCCGAACCCAGTGGTCAGATTGTTGTGGTGCCATTATTCTGAATACCCGAACCTTCTTGGTCGTCAAGGTCGAACTTAGGACGATGCAACGACTCCGAACTTTCGAGAAATGGTGGTTACGACAGCTGTGCTAAGCTAAAGTCTACCAGAACACAGTCCTGTTGGTGGGTGCAATGTTGGTAAAGCTGAGTCCGTCTTCATTCGTAGTAGTTGAAAATTTATATTCTGAAGAATACTCGGCAAGTGTCATTCACATTGTTCGTGGACAAAGGCTTCTCAGCTTTCACAAGAAAGCCTTTGTGTCGAGGCAATGCATGATACGTAGGAGGCGATCAAAGAACTAGCTGTGCTGTGAGATCCACGACAAAGCGCCGGGAGGGAGAAAGAGAGGAGGCTTGTGCGACCCATTCAATGGAATCACCGACCTTATGCTTTTTGTTCAAGGGAATTGGCTCCGATTTCCGATGTTCCGCGGACATGGCCTCACCGTCGTAGATGTATTTGAAATGAGGGATCCAACCATTGCTACCAAACTAGAGCTTCGAGTCTCGACCAATCTGCAAATCGTGCCTGCTAAGGTCTCTTATCCTCTTCTTACCGACATTCCCAAGCATGTTATCCGTATCTGCCAACAAACATCGGAGGACGTGTTCAACCCCTTGCTCTCCTTGGATTGCGAGCCCATACATGTACGGTCGACCGATACATACGGCTTTTGCACCTAGAGCCAACGCCTTCAGCACGTCACTCCCGGTGCGAATGCCGCTGTCGAAGATAAGAGTCAGCTTGGATTGCTGAACTCTTTCATCCGCGGCGATTTGGGCGAGTGCATCAAGTGAAGCAATGGCACCGTCGCATTGCCGGCCACCATGGTTCGACACAATGATGCCGTCCATGCCATAGTCGATGGCTCTGTGGGCGTCATCCACGGTTTGGATTCCTTTCAAAACAATAGGGCCGTCCCACAACTTCTTCAGGATTTCCAGGTGTGGCCATTCACGGTAAGTCCCGGAATTCATGACATCCAGCCACGCCCTCGATCGTTGCAACATATGAACATTCATCAAGACCCTAGCTGCACCGTAGATTGAGCCTGGCCTTTTCAGCATTGCCCAAAGTTCGGCCAGTTTCTCGCTGCTGGTCCTTGGATCCCGCTTCTGCATCTCCTCATACCTCCTCTGGAAAGCGGGATCGGAATGGCCTATCTGACAGCCGTCACCCCAAATGAAAGGTAAGTAGGAACTGTCAAGGTCTGTAGGTCTCCATGCAAGATTGAAAGTGTCCAGAGTGACAACCAAGACTTTGTACCCATTGGCCTTTGCCCGGTTCAACAAGCTTACCGTGACCTCCTCCCATTGAGGTCTGGGCCAGTAGAGCTGATACCACCGGTCGCCGTCCGCGTTTGCTTCAGCGACCTCCTCGATGGTACGAGTGGCGGCAGACGACAAGATCATTGGCACGCGCACTTTCTGACACGCTCTGGCCGTGGCTTCTTCGGCATCCCGGTGCATGATCTTCTGGACACCGACCGGGGCAACCAGGAGGGGAGTGGGATAGCGGGTCCCGAACAGCTCGACACTTATATCTCGTCGAGTGGCATTGACCAGCATGTGCGGGCGAAGCCGGTAGTGATCGAAAGCGGCGATGTTGGCGGCATGGGTCTGTCCGCTGCTGGCTGAACCATAGACATACCCAAAGTTGGCTGCGGGGACTTTGGAGCGGGCCAATGCTTCCCACTCAGCTGGTTTGGTCGAGAAGAGAGGCGCGCGCAGGGATCCATATATGTCTCGCTGGTAAGCAGAGTAGTTGTTCGAGTCTGGTTCGATGTAGGGTTGGTTCCATGTCTCTGCCTCAGCCTTGTAGGCCATGATGGTCTCTGCTTTGATTATAAGGATCGAAGTTCAGGTGCGCAAGGGCCGTGGAACACAGTCCGAGGAAAGAGGTCTGAAGGAAGTCTGTTGATGCCATGGAGTCGATCACCAGAGTATATGAAAGCTTACCTATATTGACCGAAGCAGGACTGGTAGCCGGATACCGAGGTCTGTCTGTCTGGTGTTGGTGGTGTCGAAACATGTGTATTATCGAGGGGATCTGCTGCATTGATTGGCCGATCTGACGAAAGACATCAAGTGGGTCTTGCACAGCTTAGCGACTGCTATCATACAAAACTAACCCTATTTGTACTAAGTCCCCTTTAGCAGTGACCCCCTGCGATGACGTCGAGGTTTAGATGTGGGCTGCGTGTGCATCATTTCGTCCTCGACATCATGTTCAGTTCCAAGTTTCAGCTCCAGCTGCTGTACTTGTAGAAAGTGAACCCTTTCGGCTGCCATAATACCCTTCTTTACGTTCTAGCACTCGTGAATTGGCTTCCATATCACATGAGATTTCTCCCTGCTTGATCACCTCTCTCTACTCCCTACGTCCAACATGGCGTCGAAAGTGTTGCAGTCAAACTACGATGTTGACTATGTTATCAGTTACCGAATCCCCGAAGATGGTACCGGCCTGGCTCCCACCGTCCAACTGGCTCTGTACTAACCGCTGGCAGATAAGGAAGCTGCAATAGCTCAATTCAAAAAGCTCGTTCGAGCCCTCGCCGAAACCGGGCTGACCACCGAAGTCCGCCGCGGAGACGAAACTTCCCTTCTGCTCTTCGTCAAGATTTCGGATGAGAGGATCTTTGCACAGGTTGTGTACAGATCTCGTATCAAAGATTGGCTATACGGAGTCCGCCAGATCCAACCGCGTGGTGATCCAGCTGAGGCACTGGGGGCTGAGCCATTGACGGACGCCGAAAGACACAGACACGTTCATCATATGATATGCTTCTCCCGTGAAGAAGGAGGTGCGGGAATCACACCCAACCATGGTGAATGGAAGAATGTCGAAGCCGTGTTCCCATTGCAGGATCATGTCAAGAACAAGAAGTGGTTGACCGAGTTCTCCAGCAAGACATTCCTGAACCCGGAGGACCTGGACGACATCAGGGACACTGTAGGCGAAAAGGTTAGTCGCCATACTCACTGGAATATTTGTTGTTGAATATGACTGACATTACCAGATTGGTTACTACTACGCCTTTCTTCAAACCTATTTCTCATTCTTAATATTCCCAGCAGCCTTCGGCTTTTCCTGCTGGGTTTTGCTCGGCAATTTTTCTGCCGTCTACGCTGTCGTCAATGGACTATGGTGTGTTGTCTTTGTTGAATACTGGAAACGTCAAGAGCAAGAGCTGGCGATCCGATGGGGCGTCAAGAACGTCTCTGCCATCGAAGCCAAGAGGAGAGAATTCGAACCTGAGAGAGTCGCAACAGATCCCGTCACCGGCGAAAAGGTCGCCTACTTCCCAGCAAAGAAGCGGATCTTAAGACAGCTACTTCAAATCCCGCTGGCGTTGCTCTGCGTTGTGGCCCTTGGAACGGTCATCTGCACTTGCTACGCCATCGAGATCTTCATTTCGGAAGTCTACAATGGCCCGCTCAAGTCGATCCTCGTCTTCACACCTACCATCATTCTGACCCTGGCGGTTCCTGCCATCAGCAACTATCTGACACAGTTTGCTGAGAAGCTGACGTTTTATGAGAACTACGAAACCCAGGAGGCACATGACCGCGCCATGATTTCCAAAGTTTTCGTTATCAACTTCATCACTTCCTACACAGCAATCTTCCTGACATCTTTTGTCTACGTCCCGTTCGCCTCACTCCTCGTACCATACCTCGACGTTCTTAGCCTTACAGTCAAGCCGTTTGCCGAAAACGAGAAACAAATGCAGACACCTTCGCCCGCCGCTTTCAGCATCAATCCTAACCGACTCCGAAACCAGATGATCTACTTTGCAGTGACCGCTCAGGTTGTCAACTTCGCCATGGAGACCGTGGTGCCGGTACTTACGCAGAAAGGGACCAAGAAGTACAAGGAGATGCAATCCTCTAGAGCCGAGAAAAGCGGAGGCACGGCTCCATCCGTATCAGCGAATGATCCGCCCGAAGAGAAAGAGTTCCTTACCCGGGTCCGCGAAGAAGCCGCGCTTCCGGAATACGACGTCACCTCAGATCTGCGGGAAATGTGCATCCAATTCGGCTACCTGGCCTTGTTCTCCGTCATCTGGCCTCTCACACCAGTGTCGTACTTCTTCAACAACTGGCTCGAACTCCGCGGCGACACGTTCAAACTGACTGTCGAATGTCGGCGGCCAAACCCTGTACGAGCCGACAGTATCGGACCTTGGCTTGACAGCCTCGAGTTCCTCGCATGGCTCGGCAGCATCACGACCGCCGCGCTCGTGTACATGTTTAGCGGAGGGAACGGACCGGACGGCAAGCCGCACACGATCAAATTGTGGGCGCTGCTGCTGAGCGTTTTCTTCAGCGAACATATTTTCCTGGTTGTCCGTGTTCTCGTTCGTTCAGCCATCAGCAAGCTGGACAGCGCCGCCATGCGTAAGGAACGCAGCGAGCGGTTCATGGTCCGTAGGAAGTTCCTGGAGGAGGCCGGTCTCGCCGACGCTATCAAGCCGCTCACCGCGTCGCCAAACAGCCCTCTACAGGATGAGTCCGGGTCGCAGGCATTTGCCTCGATCACCAAAGAGACTCTAGAGGACGATGCTCGACGAGACAGTCTCTCGTCATCAGACCCGGCGGATCGCTTCTGGAGGCGCCAACGCACCTGGACCGAGACGGAGAAGGTCGGTCTGACGCTGATTGAGTTGATGGACGTGGGTGGTGCCAAATCCAAGAAGCAACAGTAGAGAGGAGAGAGTATGTTTTTTAGCAAGCACTTTCGATCCTGATCGTTGGCGATCAGAGGAGTTGAGGCCACCAAGCAAAATGCACAAGATTATGGCAAGCACTTGATTGGAGTAGGCTTTCGGTTGATGGAAGGCGGCGGTTGATGTCCTGTTCCTGTCTATGGTTTCAATCCGGGCCCTGAAGAGCCCGGTGCAGCGCGTTATGCAGTGAACACACTATATTGCAGCGAACCATGCACCCAGTCATGGAAGGAAAAGGATCCTGAACACGACTACAATGTATGAGTAGCTTCATGGTTGAAAAACGGCGCCAGTAATCCAGGCGCAAATGATAACGAGAACGAGACTTGAATGACTTCGTATTGCCTCATAGATTCTAATGACATGAGGACTGGGCAGGTGTCAAGCTATAGGTAGCCGCTCCGGAGAATCGGAGAGCACCGTGGTTTCAGAGAAGAAAGATCGACTGCATCGTACAGCGGTGGTCAATCCGCCTCGAGGCTATTCTGGCTTAAGGACTGACTTCTCAGCGTGGGCACCGTACTGTATATAGGCATTTGAGCAGCGCTGGCGGCAGATCTCGTTGATCATGTTGGATTGAAATGCTATGCGAATGCTCCATCATGCCGCAACGAGGACTTCGAAGAAGTGGATTCTTGCTTTCTTTCAAGCACATGTGCGAGCGGTGATATCGGGATTCCCGGGTGACCTGAATGAGGAACAGCGTGCGATAGACTCGGAGTTGAATGCAGTTGTGGGATGTGGTTTGAGCAGACTGAGGTGACAGTGTCCGAAGGCAGGGCATGGCAAACACTCCGATGTTGCTGCTTGCGCCTCTTCAACACGGGTGCACCGCATCAGACCAGCTAGCCGTTGATATTGATAGGACAGGATATTCCATCCATATCGTCAATATAATTCCCTTGTCCGCCTTCCGCCCCGGAACATGCACCAGTCACACTATCATGGAAAGAAAAACGGAAAGGAATCAGCCTGTCATTCCCTACAACACTGATCGGACTGGCATGGGAAAAACCCCAGATACTTACAATCTTCTCGTCGCAACCCGTGTTATGTAAGACGCAGTAGCTGCTCTTACATCGCGTGCAGATTCGCGTCGACAGGGGTGCGCAAAGACCGCAGACGCGGCCGCATTCGAAACAGTCGCGCGTGACGGCCGCTTGGCCGTGGACGATTTTGATTTGTTGCTGTGGGAAAGAAAACAATGGGAGAGCGCGTCAGCCAGGTGTATCAGCAGACATGATAACAGAGGAGAAAAGGTGGATGATGCAGGGGGAGAATGGCCGGGGTTGCGGGCGAATGCATGTGTAGATATGGGAGGCAGGATCGAGATTTGGAACCTGTTGTCTTCTTCGTGGCGGCGGCGGCGGTGGCGGCGGAGGCAGATGGTGAGATGTGGATGTATACGCATCCCTCTCTATTATACCGACAAAATAAGATGTCCCTGCCTCTTGCGAGGTGCTGGACCTCCGACTCCGGGCGATTTCTCGTCTCGACCTGACCAACTATCCCCACATACCGCCGCCGCCAGCCCCGACCATCCACTCATCGACCAGACAGTATTGAACACAGAGGCGATTAAATACCTTGATGTGGTCGCCACGTTCACCGCTCGTTGCTCCATTGTCAAGCTCCTCCCTCGAGGGCAGGTACGACAGTCCGGCTCGACTCAGTCTTTCCAGATCGCTCAGCTTCTTCGAAACCGTCGGATTGTAGCAGTCGGCGCACCACCAGCGGTGGCAACTCTCGCAGTGTCTGTTCGTGAGACACCATGTGCAGGAGACGATCAGGCGCTGGGGCAGGGCCTCTCCATTCTCGCCTAGGCGGAGGGGTGGCCGGACGGCGTCAACGACTCTTCCGCTCGAGGGAGGCGGCCAGAGGAGCGGGAACTCAGAAGGATCGCTTTCCCCCCAAACCGGTGCGCCGGCGGGAGGTCGACCGCAGCCTGCACACCCACTGGGGCCGAGGGCGATTGTGGCCAGCGGTGGGATTCCCGCCTTGTTCTCGGTCAGATAGTCCCGAGACGCGACATGTAGCACTGGAGCCATGTCGGCGTGCATATGAGTGCACAGGACGGCGTCGAAGCTGATGATCCCCTTGCATGCCATGAGAGTTTCCTCCCAAGAACTTCGCTGCGCGTGGCCTAGCGTAATGACTTGCCCGCTTGGTGCGTACCAAGGATCGATCCCGCTCACGCCAGGCTCTCCGTGCGGCACGGCAGCGGCTCCGAGCTGCACCCCTTGTGAACCGGTGACACCAGACGCCAGAAAACTGGAGTCAGACGTTTGCTGGTTGATTGGTGCGGGTTGCGTGAAGACGTATATGCCTTGTAATCGTGGAGTGCCCTCTGGCCTGCTCGGCCGACAAATGTGGCGTAACAGCTGCTGCAGTTTGGAGTGGTTGAGGTTCAGACATCGTCGAACACTCAGAATACGCACGTTGTACTCCGGGCCGAGGACGATGTCACTTATCAGATCGTGAGTGACGGAAGCTAGCTCGTCCAGGACCAGAGTCTGAATATTCTGGAGAACCTTGATGCGAGCTAGCTTCCCCAAGACACCGCGCAGTGGGCCGGCGTAGAACTCATCCTCAGTGAGGTTTTCGTCCATCCGTGCGGCACGCCAGGAATTGCCGCCGGAGTCTATTCTGGTCAACAGGTTGGGTGGGACGTACGCTCCTCGACATCTTGACAGGTCGACATAGCGGAAGACACTATTCGTGTGCAGGAGTAAATCACGAATGGAACGAGATGTCCTCGCTAATGAGAATATGGAAGAAAGCGATAAGTAAGATATGAGGTTATCGAGGATGAGTGAATTCGATAGAAGGTCGAGGAGGGACGGCGGCAAGATGCACGAGGAAGATGGGTTCTCGCTTGACATTGCCGCCCGTTTGGTTGGGCTTCAATGATGCGCACCGATGCGAAAGAAGTACAGCGAAAAGGGCAAAGGGTCAGCAATGATGAAGAAGCCAGATGAGTGGCATTGCTTGCTCTTGAAGATGGACTACAGTGGATGACTGATGAGTGATGACCGATGAAGTCAAAGTGAGGTTAATGCCAAGGCTCTAGCCATATAAGGGTCCACTTGAGTGGGAAGATCCGTATGCTAGAACAAGTTGGGGTTAGATCTGAACCTTTAATGAGACTCCACTTCTCCGCCCTGACCCTGAATTTATGTGTATTGTACAAATGAGTCCTCGGCCTCGTAACACGTTACCAAATAGCAGCGGGAATGTATCAATATCATCAATTAATAGGTGTAAGTGACTGGCTGTCGTCACCCGAGAGGCGCCTGTGCTATGAAAATAGTTAGCATGTACGGAGCAAACGCTGTCTCGAATGCCTCTACGCAGACCCCACGACGCGTCTCTGGTTCTGTGCTCGAGCCAGCGGTCTGTCACGTATATGACTGCTTGCTTCAGACGCCAGCGCTGAATGCAAAACCCCAATCGACCGTCCAGTATTTTGCGCCTTCTGAAGACGGCCCCTACAGTTCTCTTCCGCCAACCGCCCCTGTCAACTGACTGGTTCTTGGTTGACTCTGTTGCCATGCCATACTCGACATGATGGATAGTGTATCGGTCGGGTCTCCTCCCATAATGGTCATGGTGGTGAACCCACTGAAGTAAAAACCAAAGACCACCACAAGGTAGGTCAACACCAGGATACTGCCCTTGAAGTAGTTGCTCTTTCCCTCCCCTGCAATATAGCTCAACAAAAACACACAGAGGATGACAGTGACCATATCCCACTGTGGGAAGATGAGGTTAAAGGTGTGGTCAAGGAGGTCGCGTGGGTCGATGAACTGGCCATGAACTGCCGAGAAGAGGACGAGAGCTGGAATCTGGAGCAAGCAGACCTGCAACGCGTACGCCAAACCGATCTCCATGCTCAACGCAATGTTGCCGTTCATAGCGAACGAGATGGCGTTGAGGAATTCGGTGGTGTTCGGCACTAGCGCAAACAAGGTAATTCCCAGGAACTTCTCATCGATCTCGATCGAGTTGAGCACAACGTCAACAGTGTCCACCAGAATTTCCGCCACTATAGCGTAGGCAACTGTTGCCGTCAACAGGATCACGGACGACTTCATTCGCGACCAGTTGGGGGCGTCATGTCCACCGCCTTCTCCGTGTATCGCTTGCTCCGCGGCGGGATTGGCAGACGCCTCCTCCGCCACAGTACTACTGCGGGTGATTGCAGGCCGGGAGCTTCTCACAGTGTCGGTTTTGGTCGAATGTGTCGCCTGATATGAGGCAGCTCGTGGATGGTTGACCGCGTCCCGCGCCGCAACAGTCGCAGCGGTGGCCGCCATTTCAGCGACCTGTCGAACAAGGTTGTTGTTATCTTCCTCGGACAGTCCTGGCACAACAGGGCGCAGCGCAGGGCTTTGAGGCATGTCAGATCCATGACTCGACTTGGGGGGTACCACATGAGGCAGATCATGTTTGTTCTGGTGATCAATGCCACGAAATTGTGAGCCAACTCTGGATCCCATAGCAGGTTCATGCTCAGAAGTACCATCAGCTTCTGCTCCAAGGCCTGCTGAGCGCAGAGATTGCCCTAGAATTCGTTTGTATAGCTGAGAGTCTCGAATGGCTGCTCTGGGAACATAGGAGCCATTCTGGTGGTGAATCTGCTGCGAATTGACCATGCTCTGTTGTCGAGTATCCATGGGGCTTACATCAGCCGTATTTGCTAATTGAATCTTCTTTTCCTCGATCTCGGTGCTCCAGATGATGGCCGCATGCGTCCGCAAAGTGAAGAGTAATCCAATGATGTAGGAGGAAAACAGAAAACCGGCAGCAATCCAACAATACGGCCTGACAGCTTTGACGAAGAATTCGTCACTAATTGCTGGGACCTGTCGGAAATAACATTGTCGGCAATCGCGTGGGGTGTCCAGGCCGGAGGCCGTGCAAGACTTGCAAACCAACTCATGGCTTCCATAGATCTTGTAGAATAGCGTCGGCCCAAAAGCTGCAATCACAGCAAACAGCAACATCGTCGACGTCGCGCCGGCGGACTTGACATTGAACCGTTGCGTCTTGCGTCGGATCGCTCCAAAGCACATCGACAGTCCCGGTAAGAGAAGAATACCTGCAAAGATACTGCCAATAATGCTACCTTCCACAAGTGGACCCTTGCCTTCGTTAAGGGCAATGCAGTACAGGTATACTTCGACAATCGTCGAGAAAAAAGCGTTGACGGCGGCTCCCATGCCCATCGAAGACTGGGCGGAGATTGAAGCCACCGCTTGTCCGATAAAGTAGGCCAACGGAATGATCGATATCAATGCCAGTGTGAACATCAGCGCCGGACTGGTCAACCAGATTTTCAGGCCCAAGGCTTGCTTGAGGATAAAATTATCGAGGATGATGAAGACGACCACAGCCAGGAAGTTGATGAGGAAGATGTTGGTGCCATCAACCGTGTACTTCCAATACTTGATTCCGACCGCCCGATATGTGCATAGCAGAATGGATGACGGTCTGGTCGAGCTTCTAGCAGCCGACGCGTCACGGTGGAAGGTCAATGACAGCGGTCGTTTGCGCAGATGGTAGAACAGGATGAGCGTGACTCGGCCCATGGGAATCCAGAAGACCATGAACCAGCAAATCATCGAAACCGTCAGCATCAGTGGCGCGACGTAGAAATAGAAGAAGATGAAGAAGATGACTCTCCCAGGGGTCCATTGGCCCCGGCCGAAAAGTCGTCGCTTCGCTTTGAACTGTATGACCGGATCTTCCCGGTCGCTTCTCCCACTCCGACCGAGCAGACTGTCCGTCTCGCTAGCAGAGTCGATGCTGTTGCGTCGGCGTCCAACGATCGAGCCAGATTGAGTATGGTGTGGCCCGAACATGAGTCGGCCATATTCCAGGTCCCCACTTTGCCATCGCTCGTATTCACTGATACTTCGACCTTCTCCTTCGTCTTCATCCGCGTAATTCTCGTCTTGCTCGAGTTTGACGAATTTGCCGAATGGCCAGAAGAGGTAGCCAGCGAGACCCCAGAAGACTGTGCCATATGCTGCCGCACTAGGGTCGAAAGCAAATAGATAGCAGACCAACGAAGCCACGGCGGCTGCGGCACCCAGCCACCAACCGAAGAGGATCGTCCATAGGCAGTTAAAAGTCCAAAGCCACTTGCTGACGATCTCACTGGGAGAGGAATGAATGTCTTCTTCTGCCCCCTTCTCGACTGATCTGTTCTTTTTGTATAACGCGGGTTTCCATATTCGGATACCGAATGGATGTGTTTCATTGATAGCCAGCTGCCGGTCTCGCAAGGTGAAACTTTCGGCGTCGCTCAAATATGCATCGTCTGAATCTTCTAGTCCTTCTTCTTGGTCCTCCTCCACGATCTCTTCCACAGGCGCGGGAAGTGGCTCTTCCAGATTCAACCTCTCCGCCTCTTCTTCCGCAGAGTCCACACGGGCGAGCTGAGGAACGGCAACATGCGTGCGTCGGCGGACAGTAGAGTGTTGTCGGCTAGGGGTGGGCATTATCGGTGTGGAAGGGCCAGGTGGCACTCGAGCTTCCTCTACCTCGGCAGGATCGTCGTCGACGGAGAATTGTTCGCCGCGATGAGGGAGCTGCCTCCGCGTGGATGTTCTTCTTATAGTCGCAGGTTTTCGTGGCCTCGTAGATTGCGGTGACAAGGGTGGCATACCAGAAGGAGGTTCGGGGCCATCTTCGGATCGGTTGGCACTTCGGGGCCTGTGGCTGCTCGTTGTGGGAACGTTACTGAGCGTTCCTGTGATCTTGTTAGGCTCAGCACTTCAACGCATCAACACCGGTGTTACCATAGTCTTTCCGAACGGTGCTGTCTCTGGCAACCGACTCATCGACATGCTGAGACTGGCCATCTTGCGCTGTTTCCACACTAGGGGTGTCACTGGACGACATTTTGGCAGGAGCCTCCAGTGCTCATGGACTCGTCGAAGCCTTTCTCGGCCGCTGCACAGCGTCCGAAGTGTCGTCGTAGTTGCGATCAGAATAGTTGAGCGAGGGTCGTGGAAATCCAGGCTGGCGGATGCCTGGCAAAGGTCGGTCGGCGCATCAGATGGGCATAGGATACCGAGTCAGATGATGGCGAGGACGAGTAGGAATAACAGGTGGGGAAGGGAAGGAAAGTTGTGGACGTATGTGGACGTATGTGGATTCTGGGGAACAAGGCGATAACAAATCCACGAAGCAGGTGAGAGAGATCAAGCACACTGGAGGCCAGCGTCAACACGTCAAAGCGATGCACGTGCACCTGGTGACCACTGACAGCAAATAGGGGAGAGAGGTGATGGTGTGTGTACACAAAACACCATGGGATGCTTCGGAAGGATAGGTTGGGTATAGAACACACTTGCAGCTGACAGACAGGACACAGGGTCGACGCGAGCTGAGATGGTTGGTGTTGGTGTTGGTGTTGGTGTTGTGGTTGCGGTTGCGGATGCACTACGGATAGAAGGTGGATTCTCATAACAGGGTTGACCTGGGAAGTTTACCACTAAATCACTAAAATACCGTAAAAGACCGTAAGAAGGAAGAATTTGTTCGTCCACGGCCTCAGCTTTAAGCAGAGATTATAACAGGCTGTCATTGGGCTTATGCCCCTTGATTGAAAATGCATTCCAAAGACTTAGAGTGCGCGGTAGGCTTGTGAGTTCTATGCTCATACGCAAATATACCAATGGAATATTGGCCTTAACAGGAGAATCTAGATCTAGTATGAGCTAGTATTACACATGTTTCCAAACAGGGAACTTAGCCTGCCGCTTAGCCTCTGCCCTCGACTAGTACTAGGTTACCGATTGTCAATTGTTCACCGACGCAGATTGCCAGTCATACTACTAGTATGGCCAGCAAACAGCACGTGAGGGAATCACAGTATACATTAATGGCGATATCATCCCAACAGAGGGTTCCCTTCCTCCAAACAAAATCTGTACGCTCAGTCAATGATTGTCCAACAGCTGCGCAAGAGCTCGTGCAATGCCTTCGGTTCCGGTTCCAGAGGGTAATGCCCAACCTGAAAGACAACCAACTTCGCCACTTAGCACCACTTTGATGACTCAAATCGAATTTTCCAAGACGTACTTCATGCCAGGCAGCAATGAGCCATCACGGCCAACAAGATTATGACTTTGCCAGGTGCGTTATGTGAAGACTTATCATCACCGACAGGAGCCCACCATGCGCGGACTTCAAGCACACGCTTCTCTAGAACAGTTTGGGCATTGAGGTTGTGCAATGTGGCAGTCCCAACAAAACTTCGATGGCCCACCAGGGGTGTCTGACGAAGCCCATAAACACAGTCTGGTGAGCCTGGAACGATGTGGGAGAATCTGCTGATGCTTGTCTTCGACCTGAACCTGCTTTGTCTGTACGGCTCTGACGAGACCTGCAATGACTTGCTGCTTATACCTGGAGCCATAAACCTCAACACGAGGCTCTCTAGCAAAGACGGCCCTGGAAAACCCCAGTACCGAAGAACCAGATCGGACATTGATGCCACAGACGTCGACCACAATGCGCTCCATGTTCAAGCTGAATCTGCCACCCCACCTCAACACGTTGACCGTAGAGAATCTGTAGGTACCATCATATTGTTGGGCGGCTATGTCTCTCTGATGGATTCGGTGGGTATCAGCCTTTGAAATCGGCGTTCTTCGACCCTGACCTATGAATAACACTGGGAGTTTCAAACAGCAGAAGGCAGCACTGAAGAGCTTGACGCCAGCAATACAAAGGCAGCAAATACAACCTCAGCAACATTGACTCGAACGTCAAAACGATTACTGAGGAAAACTGTTTGAGAAAGTCTTCGGAAGTAGTCATCAAGGCCATTGTCGCGCACAGTCATCCAGCCGAAGCGCGGAGCCTCGTCCAACCACTTCTCCTCAGCCAATATCAGCATGGTGCATCATAGAAGGAGCCGGATATCTTGCTGAAGTTATATGAACAAGAATGAAGTCGACGACGTCGACGCAGCACAGGGCAGGGCATTATGTCAGATAGCCCCGCTCCGCTCCGCCCCGCTCCACCGCTGGCGGACCTTGCCGGCGATAGGAGGCTTCTTCCACCAGTACTAGTAGGTAGTAGTAAATAATAAGGTACTAATAATGATGATGCAGAATACGTCATACGCCCGGAAGGTTATCCGGGCACCGTTGGGATGATTGCAATGTTACAATTAATGTACCTGTAGAATGCTGTGTTATCGCATCACTTTCATTCGCCAAAACTCTCACTTTCACATGCTCTGACATTTTTCTCTTCATCCTCATACACAGTACTCTGCACAAATACACCCTGTGAGTGACGAGGCTCTGTGCGCCGTGACGAAATCGACCAGGTCTGCCTTGGTTGAGATGACAAAACCACCTTAGGTAGGTAGGTATTGTAATTTGTAGGGAACAACCACATTCATGAAGTAGGTACTTAAGCTGTGCTTGTGCTCTTCCTGTAACCTCTCGAAGAAGTTTTGCTCCTCCTTCATGAAAATGGCAAAGCATATGCTCGGCCTGACAAACAATGTTGATGTTGACTTGTCCGTGAAGCGCTGCCCGCCATCACAAGCCCGAGTTCCTGCTGCCGATCTCGACAAATACATCGACAAGCCTGGACTTGCACGCGCAAATCTAGCAGTATCAACTGATGTTCCTCATGGCTCGACGGCTAATGGATATGCCTCCAAGTACAAAGACTACGTAGGTATTGGCTCACTGTCCATGTTTGCTGAAAGTGGTTGCGCTCTGACTAAACACCTTTCTCCTAGACCGTCCTCCAGCAGCACGTCCTCTTTTGGGATCGAGATGGCGACGGAGTAATATGGCCGCATGACACATACATCGGGTTTCGCGAACTCGGGTTCAGTATATTGTTTTCATTCCTGTCAGTCCTCATCGTCAATGGCAACTTCTCTTACCCTACGCGGCTTGCGCACTCCTACATCCCAGATCCCTTCTTTAGGGTATACGTGGACAGCATACACAAAGCAAAGGTAGGAGCTTCCAGGACTACCGCTGCGGCGGCTTCTGTCTCCTGCGATGCTGATGTTTCTGCTAGCACGGCTCCGACAGCGGTACCTACGATCCAGAAGGACGTTTTATCCCTCAACTTTTCGAGAACCTTTTCGCCAAATGGGACAAGGATAATGACGGAGCGCTGGGACTGGGTGAGCTGTTCAGTATGATGAAGGGTCACAGGTGTGCAGCAGACCCTTTTGGCGTAAGTTCCCCATTTCTTCCCTTTTCCCACCTCCAAGCGGGAGAACTTTACTCACCCGCAGTTCAGTGGGGTGCCAGCTTCTTCGAATGGGGCACAACATGGCTTCTCCTACAGAAGGATGGTAAGGTCTACAAGGAGGACCTCCGTCAACTCTATGATGTACGTCAGCTTTACCAATATTCACTCCACATTAATTGATAGATTCATGTAGGGTTCGCTTTTCTGGCGCATCAGAGAGCAGAGACAGGGCGGCAAAGGATGGAATCAGGGGTTCGGTCTCGGAGGAGACTGGTTCATCGGCGGTACAAAGATATAATCGCCCAATGTTCGTCGGGTCCTCACCCCATGTTGTCACTGTGGTAAGCGTGGCTCTGATCTGAGAAAAAAAGGAACCCACAATACCTTAATCGAAGACGGATACGTCTCTGCAGTACACGGTGCAGAATGGACGGCATTGAGACCTCATGAGGACGCCATTGCCCTTCCATGCGCATCACGCTCTTGCAGCCAACTATCGGTCATGCTTCGTACGAAATTTGACCCTTGTGTGTTCTTAACCTTCCGTGGCCTAGTAGAAAGATGATGGGAGAGGATATCACAAATTAGAGTAATCTCGCATTAGTCACACTACTAGCCACATACTGTGTCATTAGCCCTCTTTGGTTATGCTCCTTCAGGTGCCCGACTGTGTTAGTGTGGCACCGTAGTCGCTTGCCGCCAGCCTATAAGCCTTTCGTGACCTCCAGTGCGAGGCAGCGATTTGGAGGCGCGTTCGTCTGTCTTCATCCCCATCCACAGTAGTCCATCGCAGTATTCCATCCGCAGTCGCACTCAACTTCTTCGATCACCCAGGCTGAGTCGCAGTGACTGTTATCGTCGTTCCACCGCATTCCCTTCGCCATTTACCCTTCATCATGGCGCTCGACAACTTCTACCGAAACAAGATCGAATCATTAAAGCTTGAGATCATCCAAGGCCAAGCTGTCCTCCGACGATTAGAAGCACAACGAAATGACTACAATTCAAGAGTACGGCTACTGCGGGAGGAGTTGGGCCTTCTTCAACAACCCGGATCATATGTCGGCGAGGTGGTGAAAGTGATGAGCACCAAGAAGGTATTGGTCAAGGTGCATCCTGAAGGCAAATACGGTAAGCTCTAGCTAGGGCTCGACGACGTATTGGCAGGCAAACTAATCGAGTGACCAGTCGTCGACATTGCGGACAGCGTCGACATTAGCAAGTTAACCGTCGGCAAACGGGTGTCCCTCCTCTCCGATTCATACAAACTCGAGAAGATGCTGCCTTCCTCCGTGGATCCCCTGGTGTCTCTCATGATGGTCGAAAAAGTCCCGGACAGCACGTATGACATGATCGGTGGACTGGATCAACAAATCAAGGAGATCAAAGAGGTTATTGAACTTGGTCTGAACCATCCCGAACTCTTCGAATCATTGGGTATCGCTCAACCCAAAGGCGTGCTGCTCTACGGCCCACCTGGAACGGGCAAGACCCTTTTGGCTCGTGCGGTTGCTCATCACGCCGACTGCAAGTTTATCAGGGTCTCTGGTTCGGAATTGGTGCAGAAATACATTGGTGAAGGTAGTCGAATGGTTCGAGAGCTGTTCGTTATGGCAAGAGAACATGCGCCCAGTATCATCTTCATGGACGAAATCGACAGTATAGGCTCCAGCCGTGTGGAAGGAAGCAGTGGTGGAGATTCCGAGGTGCAACGGACCATGTTGGAACTGCTGAATCAATTGGACGGGTTCGAACCCACCAAGAACATCAAGGTCATCATGGCGACGAATCGACTGGACATTCTGGATCCCGCTCTACTTCGACCGGGTCGGATTGATCGCAAGATCGAATTCCCTCCGCCAACCGTGGAGGCCCGAGCGGATATTCTGAGAATCCATTCTCGCAGCATGAACTTGACCAGAGGCATTAATCTGAAGAAGATCGCCGAAAAGATGAACGGATGCTCTGGTGCAGAACTGAAGGGTGTATGCACAGAAGCCGGTATGTTTGCGCTGCGGGAGAGGAGAGTGCACGTCACACAAGAAGATTTCGACCTGGCGACCGCAAAGGTGCTGAACAAGCACGACGACAAGGAAGTCTCTCTGGGCAAACTCTGGAAGTGAAAGGTCCTCTTCCGGGTTGTGCTCTGGTCAGCGGCTGTCTTTGTATAGGCCAACTGTACTGTTACCGAGATAATCGAAGAACTGATAGACTTTGTCTACATCTGGTACAATGAGAGCAACCTCTCAGCCGCACAGTACTCGGCCCAAATGCTGGACTCTACTGCCCCACATGATATACACTTCGTTCACTTTTCGTCTATGGTGTCATCTTCTACGCCCTTTTGGATGCATTGCACCAAGATGGCACTCTCCAATGCTGTCACTGTTTTCGTATACAGTCTGACATGTGCTTCATGACAGTACATTGCATATTCCCTTTTTTTCATGTCTTCTCAAGGCGAATCTGCGGAGCAAGCCGTCCATCTATTGAAGAGAGTCGGTACCCTCTTTTGCCCTTGGTTTATCTTGACTCTTGTAACCATTACTTCATTCCAGTCAAACTTCGCTTGAGCTTTCTGCGGACCTAGCCTGATCAGCTCCTTGCTTAAATTCCATCCATCGCTTTTCATTTCAATTCTCTCAAGCGGATTCAATGCTCGTACTCCAAAGTGCCTTCAACATTTGTCCAAAACTCCTCCACCAGCTCCCTCTGCCCAGCCGTCGCTCCCCTGACAGCGAGATACTTACGATGGTCAACAGGGATAGGCACCTCCCAATCGGCTGGATTCGCATCGACCACTTTCCCACCAGCCTCGGTGAGAATGACCCAGCCGGCACAAACGTCCCACGCCCAGCACCCTCCTTCCCAATAGACATCGAGCGTGCCCTCGGCGACGGCACAGAGGTTCAAAGCCGCACTACCCAACGCGCGTGCGGAGTGAACCATGGCGCCTCCCTCGTCTTTACTCCTACCCAGTCGGGCCCAGGTATCGCATTTCGTCTTCCAGTTCGTGCCGGAGCGATCCGAGCCGAACTCGATGACCACAACACAAGAATCTAGACCGGTAAGAGGCTCTGGATCTTTCAGCGGAAGTCGGTGTTGTTGGTGGAGGTGGTGGCTGTCGTTGTTGTTCTGAACTCCCTGCCCGTGGTGGATTTCTTGGAGAAAACTCCCCTGGCCCCGGATGCCGGAGTACAGTTTCCCAGTAAAGGGATTATACACGACGCCCACAGTAGGGATTTTGCTCACGGCGAACCCGAGACTCACGCTGACGTAGGGATGGCGGTGGACAAAATTGGTGGTCCCGTCGATCGGGTCGACCACGAATGTGGGCTCGTCGCCGAGTTTCTGGCCAGGCTTGTACGTTTCCTCGCCCATGAATGCGAACGAAGGGTAGAGCCGCTTCAGCTCGGATGAGATGAATGCTTCTACGGCCTGGTCGGTTTCGGTGACTAGGTCGGCCGAGTTCTTCTTCGTGCCGGATGATGTCGTGCTGGGTTTGGCCGCGGTTATCATCTCTCCGGCTTGTAGGGCGATTGTGACGAGATGGTCCCGTAGTTGAGGGAGGTCGATGTTGGTGCTCGTAGAGGCCATTGTGCCTGATTGTCTGGTGGTTTGACTCGAGCTTATGGAGGAACGTACAAGAGTGGTCAAGGATGTAAGACAGACAGGTAAGGAGACGAGAATGATACGCTGCCAATGGAGGAAGAATATTTCCTGGCGTTCAGTGTGCAGGATCGATAGAACGTGCTGAAAAGGAGCGTCCGTGTGTGTATGCGTGGATTTACCCGCTATGTTGCTTTCACTGCATAAGGCACGAGGCAATGATATATTGGTTGTGTTTATAATAGTCGCAATATGGTAGACAGAAAGAGGTGGAAAGTCTCGGCACATATCTGTCCGAAGCATTTGCATATACTGGACTTGTAGTCCCCCAACACACGATCTGGTGAGGACACGGGTATCTACGTGCAACAAACCCCAGTCTGTATACATTTCTATCTATATGTGTCGACTAATGGACACAAAGTAGCATACTGACCACTCGCTCACCGACAGCGCAGACAAGTAACCGCCACAAACACCAGAACACCTGAGCCAAAGATAGATTCACCAAGCAATTCCACAGTCATGTCTGTTCCAACCGGGCGTCCTCGTACCTCGAATCGTGGCTTCCTTCCGAACTATCGCTCTCTGTCCTCCTCTGCTCGCCCAAAGGAACAGCCATGCCAATTCCAGATATCCCATCCGCACCAACGCACGTGGCATCCCAATTCAGGGATTTCCGTCTGATCCCCTGCCGATGGGGTTTCTGAAAGCCAAATGACAGCGGACGCATGATTTGCTCGACGTCGCCGAGCCCTAGACCCTTCTCGCGGACTCCAAATGAAAGTACCGGGTCGTCCAGTGCTTTCCTGTATGCACGACGTTCGAGCCTCTGTTGACGCCAGTTTGTGTAGCGTCTGTGCAGTGAGGGACCATTGCGCCACAAGAAAAACAGGACCATGATCAATGCGAGGATCGGGAGAATGACTGTCACAGCTCTTTTTGCGGGAGATAGACCTCCAGATGTTTGTGAGTTGGCTAATGAGCCAGAGCCAGAGCCAGAGACGGTACTGGAACTCGAACCCAGACTCGTTGCGCTACTGCTGCCAGTGGTTGTCGGGACTACAGAAACTGCTGCTGTACTGCTTGAAGTGGCCGATATGGTTTCATTATTGACAGATTGCGTAGTTGTTGTACCGAACGACCCGGTAGTTGAGCCGGGAGTTGCAACACCATCTGTAAGCAGTTGAGTCACTGTTCTCGATAGTGGTATGCTCTGTGGTTGGCTTGTAGTCGTCACAGATGATCCAGTGGTTAGTACCGAGCTCTGAAGAGCAGGTATCTCTGCGCTGGCTGCTGACTGCGCTGGAATCCCGGCTGAGATCGTTGAGGATGTCGCTGCAGACGGCGAGGGTGTCGTTACCGTGTTTGCCGAAACTCCCAGGCCAGCCAATGCGGTTGGGATGCCAAAGATGTCGCTGGCCACACTCTTCAAGGGATCGAGATGATCAAGGATGTTCCCCGGCTCGATAGGAGCAGCATTCACAGAATAACGAACGAAATAAAAAAGGACCACGCTGTTAAGTCGACGCATCTTAGCAACCGCGCTGCTTTTTGTATGTGAAAGATCAAAATATAGTATCTGGGCAAATGAGTAAACGACGCCACGCCGCAGAAACCAACTTGAATCCCGCAATCACCAAGACAGAGACAGGTTAATTGAGAGAACATCGGCGTTTTCATGCACACGGAAGACACATGGGTGGAAAACAATGCAGAAAGGGCCATACATAGTCTCCAGAGCAACAAGTATCTGCATTGGGCTCACCTCTGGCTTCGTTGTGTGAAGCAAAAACAATTCTTGGGGCTGTGTAGCCGCGTAGTCGGAGGTGTCCCCAAGATGCATAAAACGTGTTGCGTTTCAGGTATTTTGGGCAAGGCAGAACACATTGGTGAGGCCAGGGTCGCTGTCAATCCCAAGCTTATACCGTTGCCGCGGAGAGAGCTTAGTATAATGAGCTAGAAGTCGGCAGCTCTATGCAATGATTGCTTCCCCCGTAGTCCCACTCACCTGACTCTCGAGATCATGTCGGGCGAGGCTGGATGAAACGCGTGCTGGATAAGGAACAACGGTATGTGTCCCCGCCATGATTGAGAGCTAAGCTGATATAAAGGAGGTAGAGCAAGTGTTTGTATTCGTTACGACCGAAGACTCGTTGATGATTCCAAGGACGATGTGATTTTTGAGATGCAGGTTGCAACGTGGCGGGCGGTGTTCTGACATTCAAGTCGTCAACAGATTGACCTCTTGTAAATTCCGTACTAGCAAATACCTGCTGCTTTAATTGTGCCGAACTGCTGTCGATAATTCGTAGCACCAACTTAAAAGCGGCATGGCATGTCAAGACCGCGGTCGCCAAAGGTCGGTTGGAGAACCTGCTTCGAGCATTTCGACCTCTGATCTTACATGATGCATTCTGCCGCCAGTGATGCTGCGCATTTCCTCGGCAGCATGTCAAGTCTTCCGCCATGGTCGGCTAGCAAGGCGCGACGCCATTCACGGCAGAAATAGACCGCTGCTCTGTTCTCGAAGGCCTGTCCAACCCACGGTCCTGCGATGGCTGTCCTTGTCCTCCGTCGAGCCTATTACTGTTGCCAATAACAGACAGGAGATCACATTTCGCCTGCAAGATGGACGCTCCATTACACAGAAGATCTCTCCCACGCCCAAAGCCAAGCTAGACAAGCTCGCTGGAGCTCTTGCTTCGTTGCTCTGCACCCCGGCTTCGAGTGCTTCCACGCACAGCCATGAACCACCATCCTTCGGGATCCATCAATGGGAACTCGATCCGCTGGGAGATGCTATACATAGGCACATATCCTTGACTTCGCCGGACGAATGCGACCAAGTAGTCCAACGGATCATGGCCGAGGCGGAAGAGATGCACCATCATCCACACATTGCCCGAGAAGATGGAGAGAGCTACTTTACCGTCACATGCACCACCCACAGCCCTCGAGGGCTCAGTGTGAGGGACACCAGACTCGCGATGAAGGTGAATGAGGTGTTGGCCGGGCTGCCAGCGACACAGCCCGCTCGACTGTCAGATCCCAGTTTGGATCTGGACCAGTTGCAGGAGCAATTCGCCCAAGCGCGCAATCGGCTGATTGCGATCAATCGACGGAAAATAGAAGATGCTCTGGAAAGCTGCGGTTGTAGCACAGCAAAGGCCTTATAGGATATGGTTCTCAAGGTGCTTCAGCACAGTCATTTCATATCTACCACAGGTATCTGGATAGGGATTTTCTCTGTCGAGGTGAAGCGCCAGTAGTGTACGCCAACCCAATTGTACCACAACCAATTCATTGTCAATAGGATATGGATGAGCCTGGCTTAATTGAAGCCGAGACTCCAGAACCAAAAAATAGTTCGGTATCCGCTTCTAACCGTTGCCGGTCTATGCTTGCATTTCAAACGCCGCCCATGCTCCAGTCTATGCCACGTTGCCAGTCAGTCTTTGCGACTTCTCAAAGTCGACCACATATGTACAGCGAAGGTGGTCGAAGCTTCGCTTGTCCGAAAATCTGAATCTCGACGGTCTGATTTACTCGTTCTTCTTGACCGCCGTCTTCTTCGCTCTCTTAGCTGCAGCCGAGGCACTTCCGGACTCGGTGTTCATCATGGCGTCCCACCATCGAAAAGAACTGGCGTAGTTTCCAAGGAATTTCTCGTGGTGCACGTCGTGGTGGTCGGCTCCAGCCCAGAACGGCAGGAAATGATGCAGACTCCAGGGGAACTCGTACCCAGAATGGGCATCGATCGCCTGGAAGAGTCGGCCGACGATCCAGATGTACATCGTGATGATATGCAGGTCTCTGGTGAACGCGCAGAAGACGATTGGGATACCGACAGTGCCGAAAGCGAGAATCATGGTTTCAAGTGGTGACGCATACTCCGCGGCCAGGCCAAATGGCGCGCTGTATTGATGGTGAAGCTTGTGGATCATCTTGTACAGACGAGGGGTGTGCAGAGCTCGGTGAAACCAATAATGCCATGCGTCCTCAAGAACAAAGAAAAGGGCGATCTGCCATGCCATCTTGTACCACGGAGGAAACGGGACACTGGTTGACAGGCCGAAGTACTGCGCCATGGGGTGAAACAGCCAGATCTGAGGGAGTTCGACGGTGAAATGAGACAGCAGGACGAGCCTTGCGCAGGCCCATTGTTCGGAAAGGGTGGGCATTTTCCCCTGTTGAGAACGTTAGCCTCTTTGTCGTTGTTCCCCGAGATACAAGGCATGACACCTACCGCTTGAATCTTGTATTTCCGGAAGTATGGAATCTTATCCATCACCATGAAGGGCAAACAGCGACCGAAGTAGATCACCTCGTGCATGACAAAGGACATGATGCCGGTGGCCAGGACATCATTTTGCATGTAGGCGTACCACGCCGCCCACGCCTTCTCGAAGATGTTCAGGTGGACATTGTATTGGGCGATATCGTGGAAGTAGTCGGTGTAGGTGACCGGAGAGCTGTAGGTCGAATTCCTAGGGGGGCAAAAGTTAGCAAACAAACTCCAAGCAACGGAATTCGTTGAGCCTACATCTTGGGACAACGCCGGAGTGGCAACCGACCTCTCCTGGAAAAGACTGAATGAAGGACGTGCAGGGGAGGAATGAAACAGTGCAAGGCCCGGGCTCAGGGTTTTAAAAAGAGAGAATAGGAGAAGAGTGAAATCAACAATAATCAATTCATCAGTTAGTAGTCGATATGAATCCGATGAATTGCTGGCTGGACTTTTCGTTGATTGGAGGTGGGTTCTGGCTGAATGTTTCTATTGGGCCAGTAGTACTACAGGGCGAGTGGCATCACTCGGGAGCTTCTAGGGACGAAGGGGGGTTTGAACGTTCCCGGAGAGCGAAGCTTCACCACCGCCCAGTAGAAATACGGTGATCCTTGCAGCTCCGAGTGTCCCAGACAGCTGTTGCACTGTGTAGCTGTCACCGTGCTTATCATCCCTGCTATTTTCCCGAGCTTCCAGGGGGCTCGGCAGGCCCGGAGTCAGTCCACGGGTGGCGTGAATCAATCAAATTCCGTCCCTGCGTCTGGTTCCTGCAGAGCCGAACAACGCCACGACCACGTGACTACAAACTATGCAAACAAGGCAAACACCGCAAACACAATCAACAGTTAAAGTGGCGAGGTGGTACGTAGTTACATTATTAAGACCGACAGCTCTCCGAGTGAAGAAGGTACGCCGAGAGTGAGTAAAGCGGCGCAGTGACAACATGAAACAAGACATGATTGATCCCTCACGCCTCGTCGTATTGTATACGATTGCCCTCGCACGTGGGCCACATTGGCCACGTATTGGTCTTACCATCTATGGTGTTCCAAGTACCTAGCAGACTGGTTGCCATGCCTCTTGGGCCGTGAGTGCATCAGTGGCCATGAACCATGTTCTCAAGGGTGATGCAGCACGCAGGCACGACGCCGAGGCCCAGGCATCTTATCTACGTAGGTATATGCTTCTCCATAATGATGAAAGGTGACATTTGCCGAACCTGAGGTTCTTCAAACACATATCTTTTTGTTGACCCAGAAGTTGAAAAAGTCGCTGCTTATTACCTAGTGATTATGCCGATGCCCAGTGCCAGGCCAATGTCTCAAGCCTGCCATGTCCCTGCCTCCTCTTCCTCACGGCCGCCCAGCGTCTTCTCCGCTGCATCAATTGACACACTTGTTGCTGATCAGAGTTATCGAGGATTTCCTTCTCGAGATGCCTACTTGACAGCGCTGCGAGACTGGGCCGAGTCCAAGATGTATTACGAGGGGAACGAGCAGTTACGTGGCTTCTACGGCACCAAGACCGTTGAGAACTACCTTACGGGCCCTGGCTCCAGAAATACGCATAATAGGAGCACCAACAGAAGGACCACCCTGGCCAAGCTGCACACATTGCCAGAGACCGAGTCTGCCACTGTTCCGGAGGCGACAGCCGATCAAGCAAAACCGAGCAGATTGAAGAGAGTCTTTAGTAGGCGCAAAACTGTGGCTTGATCTACTAGGCAGGGTGATGGATGACCTATGAGAGTGGAATGGATGATGCTCATGTGAATTTTACTGACTACTCGACTACATATATCAAGTGGAAGATGGGCTACAGTATATCAAGAATGCCATGATGCAGCTTTATTCCTATGCCACAGCGCTTATCCAACGGAGACATAAGCATACGGTGTGGGTGCTACTCAGAAGCTTTTCAGCACACTTCACTTGTAGTCAAATGGTATCCTTCATGTCACTCAACGACTATCTTGCAGCGCAGCAATAGCTGACTTGCAAGCTCTTGCGCTGGATATTTGTCCGGGTTTCTGATACCCCCGTGGCAAACGGTTGCCTTGAGCTGTCGAGCAAGGCTAGAAGCTCGCCTTCACATTCTTTGCTGACGACTTCACAACCACTGCACCCCCTTTTGCTGACACTTTTGCCCCATCGACGGAAGCGTCACTTACGGTATGGTTAACAACGACCAGCTCCCAATCGCTGGCAAGCTTGCCTTTCGAGACCTCCACGGTAACGCCTTCTTTAGTCCCCTTGACAGTCAGCATTACCGCTATCCCGCCCGGGTTGGTGTGATCCGGGATCTTCACCACCTTGTCAAGGTCATCAGTGTGGTTCACCATGATCTTCAGCCCGTCGCTCCAATCATGGACGGTTTCTCCTGTCACTTTGCCCATCGCAATAGCAGAGCCTGGCCGGAGTAGAACTGGAATTGAGAAGTAGTCGTGTTGTTCCGTGAAGTATCGGGGGCCGCGGCGGATCTTGCCATCAAGCATGCCATAGAATTCCCCTTCAGGGACATAGTAAGTGACATTGCCCTGGTTGTTGAAGACTGGCGCGACAAGCAAACTGTCGCCTAAAAAGTATTGTGTCTCAAGAGACCAACTGGCAGGGTCGTCGGGGAATTCCAGAAACGTCGCTCGCAGCATGGGAACGCCAGTCTCGTGGGTTTGGATTGCCTGGGAGTACAGATATGGCATCAAGGACTGTTTGAAGCCCACGAACTTCTGCAGCACCTTATCGGCCTCTCCGGACTCGTCGATCAGCCAGGGCACTCTGAAACTGCCGCTTCCGTGGAGGCGCGAATGACTCGAGAGCAGACCGAAGGCAATCCATCTCTTGAAGAGACCTGGATCCGGCTTGCCTTCGAACCCGCCTATGTCGTGCGCCCAATATCCAAACCCGCAAAGAGCGAGGCTGAGACCACCCCGCAGTGTTTCAGCCATTGCTTCATACGTGCTGTATGGATCTCCTCCCCAGTGAACAGGGAACTGTTGGCACCCAGCCGTGGCGGACCGAGCAAACACTGCCGCCTGATTCTTCCCAAAGTTTCGCTCGAGGACCTCGAACGTCGCCTTGTTGTATAGATAAGCATAATAGTTGTGCATTTTCTCCGGATCCGATCCATCGAAGTAGACGACGTCGCCGGTGGGGATTCGTTCACCAAAATCAGTCTTGAAAGAGTCGACGCCCATGTCTATCAACTTCTGCATGTTGGCTTGCCACCACTTGACTGCCTCCGGATTGGTGAAATCGACAAAGGCCATTCCAGCCTGCCAGAAATCATACTGGAATGGGGCACCGTCGGACTTGCGCTTGAGAAAGTAGCCCTTCTCGACACCTTCGTCAAAGACCTTGCTCTCCTGAGCTATATATGGATTGATCCAGACACAGATACGCTGGCCTCTTTCCTTGATCCGGGCCAGTTGCCCTTTGGCATCTGGAAACATATCCTTGTCGAACTCAAAATCGCACCACTCAAAGCCTTTCATCCAGAAAGAGTCGAAGTGGAAGACACCGATCGGGATGTCGCGGTCCTTCATGCCATCCAAGAATGAGTTGACTGTCTGTTCATCATATTCCGTCGTGAAACTCGTGCTTAGCCACAAGCCAAACGTCCAGGCCGGAGGAAGAGCCGGTTTGCCAGTAATGAGGGCATACTTCTGCAAGACCGCCTTCGGCTCGGGGCCATAAATCAAATACATGGACAGCTTCTCTCCCCTCACGGCGATGTTGACTCGGGTTGTTCGTTCAGATTGCACCTCCAAAGAGATGAGCGCTGATGTTGGAATGAAGACACCATATCCGTTGGAGCTCAGAAAGAAGGGCACATTTTTGTACGTCAGTTCTGATCCAGTGCCGCCGTCGTCGTTCCACAGTTCAATGGACTGGCCATTCTTCTGCAAAGGGCCAAATCTCTCGCCGAGACCGTAAATCTTCTCCCCAACACTCAGTTGCAGTTGGTACGTCGTCCATCTCTCTCCTTTATTTGGATTTGTATAGTTGGCCTTGGGGTGGAGGGCCGTTGTGTTGTGCTTGACGTAACCTACAGACCTCCAGCCAAGCCTCGTCAGGAACTTGTCTTCAGCGTGGAAATCGACATTGAACGATTTCGGCCTGGTATCCACCGATGCCCTGAGCTTTCCGACCTCCAGTGACAGGGTTTCAGTGTCTTTGATGGCCTTTACCGGCTGTGTATGAGATGGCTACGTCTGTTAACAGGAAGTTCGATGGGACTCAACGTTGTCACGATAACATACCTTTCCCTGAGGGTATAACTCGAAAAATGGCCCCTGAGTGACACTCTTGGATGCCTTCCAATGAGTCGAAGACATGTAAAAAACATCATCGATAGGAGAAGACAGCTTATGGGTCAAGGTAGGATTGTTCAGGATGTCGCCTCGAAAATTGATGGGTTTGGATGCCGAGACGAAATGTAGGTGGTCATCTCGTGCTTCAGCCTTGACAACCTCCACAGCCCAATCTATTAAAGTGTCTGGCGCTGGATGCCAGCAGCCATGAGAGAACTTGACCATGTTTGCAACAGTTGACCCTGGGAAACTGGACGGGGGACTGCACGCCGACTCTTTCCCTTATGTACAGCGCCGATGTATCAATAGTATATTGTTCATCAAAGATCGGGGTCCTCTTGCTTCACACTGAGACCAAATAACAACAGAATGTGGAGCAATACCTCGGTCCACGGGTTGTCATGAGTGAATTGTAGTCAAAGTGACATTCAGGATAATAGCCGACCCAGCTTACGGGTTCAAGTCAAAGAAAGAAGGGCTCAATATACCGGCCTGAGTATGGCATATACAGAACATTTAGCCTGTTTATGCATCAGGTCAATCTGGAGTATGACAACAGTGGCAAGCTGTGGATACTGGATCGAGGTTTGCAACGGTGGCAGGCGCCGAAGCACAATCGGTAAATGGCACAGAAGACCAGAGCACTCCGTACCTCCGCGTTGTTGTTCCGTGTGGATCGTGAAATTTGGCGGAGAGGCACGGATGTACCCTTTTTGCCTGTTTACCTCTGTAAAATACCTATGTTATATCGGGCACCGTTCGGTGTGTTCCATGGCTAGCACGTCCGTCTCCAGTCAGGGGGATCACGAGGTGTGAAGAGGTCTCCGTGAAAGGCTGACTGTCAGCCTCACTAGTTGTTTAGTGCCCCATTTGGCTTCTATAGTCCAGAATATGATTGTATGTTTTTCATCTTAAACCCGCCAGATCCAACACAAACCCTCATCTCGGGACAGGGGAGACCCACTTTTTCTCAAGACTCGCGACCATTACGAGACACTGTTGATGGTCAGACAAGACGGCACCAAAGTTGCAAAGAGGCTTCTCCTCGCCAGTAGATACGATCTCAGCCTCTCTGAGCGTCAATTCCCACGTCTAAAGATCACCTGTTCATCGGTCAAGATGCCGACGATTAATTAAGGACAAACACCTCGATGCGAGCCAGAAGGAAGGCACTTGTCTACCATGCGACTAAACGGCTCCGCTATCACCAATGGGAAGTTCTCCGGCGGAGCCCCTAAATAATGCGATTGGCCATGAACACGACACTCCACCATTACGAGAGCCAGTCAGGCCTTGGTGAATATTCATTCCGCTATGGGACCGCGCTCATACGGACTGTTGTAGTGTGCACATGACTAGCCGTCACGGTTGCCTTTCTGAGCATCGCCCAAGTTCCCGACAAGCTACAACGATCAAGACCTCTGAGAAAGGGCCCTCTTTTCACCCAGGCGATGGACCAATCCTTTTGCATGCGGTTAAAAGCAAATGTCGGGGGTAAATTCTCTCCTCGATCCCCATTCTCTGGGCAGCGAAATGTGGGCTAGAACCCCGGATGGGGCATTCTGCGTCCAGGGGCATACTCACTCACCGAGGCTGGGAGCCCTGCCTCAAGGCGATATAAGCTCACTTGAAATGCAGTTGGGACTGCAGAGTGGACAGCCCTTCTCGAGAAAGACAAAGACACTCTCAGGGAAGAGCAGGAATTACAGCAATGTCGAAGCAATCCGTCAACCTTTACACCTGGGGCTGTTCCCTATTCGCTGCCGTGAGTAAACCAAGACTATCATCTGGGAGAAGGAAGCCGAAGAGACGCTGACATTCCTCAGGTGGGTTCACTCCTGTATGGTATCGATTCGGGTATCGTCTCGACGACGATGGCCCATGACAGCTTTCTCGAGTATTTTGCTCCATTCACTCCCGGCATCAAAGGCGCAGTGGTGAGCACATTTGGAGCCGGCTCGGTTTTTGGCGTTTTCTTCGCCGGCTGGAGCGCCGACTACTATGGAAGAAAAAAGACGATTGCCATTGCCGCAGTGATCGCGTTGGTCGCCGGCATCATCCAAGCCGCATCCGTCCATGTCGGAATGCTTATAGCCGGGCGCATCATCGGCGGCTTCGCAGTCGGCATGATGAACATGACCATCCCCATCTACAACAGCGAGATTGCACCGCCTCATAAGCGAGGCATGATCTCAGGACTTCACGCTCAGTTCGTCGGGTTTGGCTTCGCCATGGCCAACTGGATCGGATTCGCCACTGGATATGCGAAGAAAGGTGCTTTTCAGTGGAGGTTCCCACTTGCTTTCCGTATGTCTCGTCCTTACACCCCTCTATGGCGGTTTTCTTTCGGTTAGCTTTTTGGATAACAGATGCTGATCAATCCATTCACCCCCAGAATGCTTGCCGGCCTCTATCGTCTTGATGGGCATCTTCTGGCTTCCGTATTCTCCTCGGTGGCTGATGGAGCAAGAACGCGATGATGAGGCCTACACCGTCATTAAACGCTTACACGGGACTATTGGACATGATGAGACCTTTTTCCGTGCAGAGTTCAACCAGATGCGCGACCAGCTACGCTATGAGAAGAGCATCACCGTCTCCAGTTGGCGCGAGCTATTCTCAAAACCCAGCAATAGGAAACGTTTGATGCTTGCTGTGCTCGTCCAAGCCTTTACGCAGCTTTCGGGTATCAATGTCATCAACTACTATCAGACTGATTTGTATAAAGGTCTCGGTATGACGGGTCATATGGTGACATTGCTGGCTGGGTAAGTTGAGCCACCTTCGCTCTCTCCCTGTGTTGTTATATTCATGAAAGCTGACCAAAACAGTTGCTACGGCATGGCTGGGCCCATTGCCAATATGATTTGTCTCTACTTCGTCGACAGCTGGGGCAGGAAAAGAACTCTCTGGATCAGCGGAATCATCATGGCCATCGATATGTCTCTGGTCATGGGCTTGACCGCCGGCTACGCCAAATCAGACAACAAAGTCGGCCAGGGGTTTACTATTGCCTTCATCTTCCTGTTCTCGGTAATGTAAGTGCGATGACAATGTGCTTTTCTTATTTCTCGTTGCATTTTTCTCAAGCTGACACTTCGATCCTCTCAGATATTCTCTGGGATACAACTCCATCCACTACATCTACGTCCCTGAGATCATGACCATGGCCATCCGTGCCAAGGGCAGCGCCGTCTCAATCATCTGCAACGTCCTGATCAACATCGTCTTCAACCAGATCTCGCCCATCGCCTTCTCTGAAGTCGGATATAAATACTATTCGCTATTCATCGCCACCAACGTGACGGGCGCCATCGTCGTGTTTTTGCTCTTTGTCGAGACCAAGGGCAAATCGCTCGAGGAGATTGCAGCCATCTTTGGCGATGAGGTCATTGTCCCCTCGCTGGCCGCGGCTCAGGAGAAGTTGGACATGATGACGGATGAGCAGGTTCATCATATTGATCGGGTCGACGAGAAGGGCGGGGAGGAAAATGTTGAGAAGAAGGAGTAAAAGTACTGAAAAGAATGCAGGTCTCACGAGCACCACAGGGGCGGGCAGAGGTTTAGGTTATGTTTTGTGTTATATAATTGTACAAAAGCGATCCTTGGGGCTGCATGACTCAAAAGAGGTGCTGCATAGTAAGGATTCTGCATGGATACTCTGTTGGTCTCATTCTTCAGGATCAGCGCGGTGTCATCGAACACAGCCTCTACCCCTTGAGTTACTGTGTCACATTGACACTCGGCTACCTTAAGCACCCTTGCTTCCTAGCCCCTCAATGCCTGGAAGATAGGTGTTTACTTTGTGAAATTGGCCTGTGGGTTTCGAGGAGACCAGAGTGTCTTGACCCTTTTTAAAGAAAACCCACCAGATGTTTGGTCTCATGAACAACCGGATTGACGATCTGCCGTTTAAAGCGGTCGGAATCTTCTCTGCTACGTAACCCATGGGAGTAAGTATATCGCGTGATATTGCAGTGACCGGCAATACACTATCCAAATAAAATCCTCAGTCGACCGTTCTTGACATGTCCTCTATACTTAGGTATGGGCCGACGATTTCGGGCTTCGTGTCGAACATAAACCCAACGTTACTTGCGTGGGTGAGGTGTCCCTACTTATTCCCGTATAATACTGTCAATGTCAGCGAACGATTCCAAGTAGTGTTAATCTGCCAACATTCTCAAGTATTGAGCATGGTAATACTATCTTCAAGGAAAGCGTTTCTGTACGAAGACGATTTAATGGCTGGACATCGGCCGAGACTGTAGATTGTCCGTGCGTGGCTCGAGGCTGAAGCCTCAGGAGGTGTCGACAAGGCTGAGAATCTTGGCGCCCATCACCTCCGATCCGACAGGTATCGACAGGTAGTGGTGGTAGGAGCTGCCTGGGAGCAGCTTTGTCATATGCAAGCTTGAGTTTAGTGGTGTGCTACCATCTATTTGCCCTGTGAGTTCACTTGAGGACGAAGCCACGCCTGGAAGTAAAACAGGAGCTTACTCAATGCCTTTTTCGTGGTCAGTATTCTCCTGTTAGGCAATATGAACCATAAGATTATCGTGAAAGTGTTTGAGGATTGAGATATTTGAGCTTATCTCTGCACTTCTGATCCAGGTCGGAAGAGCCGAGTTACACCAGAGCGGATCACGCTAGATAACCCATGTCTTTATTCTCAACCCCAAGTATGCCAACGCACCAAGTTAACGGGAAGTTCAGCTGCTTAGGTCGGAACACTAGCCATAGATAGCCGAGGGAAGCAGATATTAACGTCGCCGTGAGGATCTTCTTATGTCATACGCGTATTCCCCCGCCCTTTCCGTTGATCTTGAGCCTCGAACATACAAGATGAGTGGCTGCCGCGAAGACAATATTGATTCCAATCTTCGCTTGTGGCCTGTCAAATCGCTAAGTATTTGAGCAGGTTCCCTTGCCGCGTCGTGCACCTTGCGTAAGCTGGGCAAGCCATAGACGCCTTCGCTGGTAAGTGTGTTCTGAAGTACGCAACAGTGAAAACCCTACAACTCGATTAGGCTCTCCTCCACGGCAACCGGTTGAGATTGGGGTTGCTGCTGCTGCGGTTGCTCATATGCAGGCGCATGCTGTGGTGCTGGGGGAAATTGATCTGGCGTGTAAGTTGGATAAGGACCATACGAAGAAGCTGGTTGCTGCAGCTCTTTCTGTTGGAACTGTGGTTGCTGCTGTGGTGGATAGTGTTGCTGGGGTTGGTACGTTTGAGGCTGAGGTGGGGCTTGAGATGCCGGTTGTTGTTGATACGGTTGCGGAGCGGTAGCATCGGGAACCATCTGCGCTGTCTGTAAATAAGGTGTGGGCGTCTGTTGAGGGTCGGGAGGGGCGATCTGAGGATACATAGAGGGAGGCTGCGATGATTGAGGTGGATGTTGTTGAGGAGGTTGGTGCTGCAACATTGGCGACGACGGTTGGTTAAACTGAGGTTGCTGTGGCGGCGGCTGGCTTGCGTATTGATACGGCGAAGCTGGCGCTTCCTGGGGCTGGCTAGAATATGAGTATGATCTCTGTGGTTGTGACTGTGGCTGTGGCATTGGTATTTGCTGGGGTGGACGAGAGTAAGGATCAACGGCGGCATCGTTGAAATAATAGTTCTCTGCGTCCCCCTGACCAGTCGCCATCTGTGCTGGTGGTCCTGAGGTGGCTAGCGAAGGGTACATGCCTGTGGAAGGGGGTAGAACAGGCGTGGCCATCCCATACGCTCCATAACCAGGATTCCGCTGGTGATATGTATTGTTCAACCTCTCCTCAAGCATCCGATCGTAATATCGCACAACAGTGGACAACTTGGCATGCAAGTCTAGTAGCGCATCATGCTTCGACATTGTCTCACCGAGAGTCCTGGCCAACTTCGGGCGGAGTTTTCCAATGCTTTCGTACAGTTCTTGGATTTGTGGTTCACGGAGTATCGTCCCTGGAGGTTGATGTTGCAGTCGGTCTACCAGCGTGGCAAACAGATGAATATTTTCAGTCTCCATCATTGATAGCTCATAGTCGTTCTTGGGCATGATGAATGGTTGGGCTGATGTTGCTCCTTCATTGGCGGACTTTTTCATCGACGCAGCATGTTTTTTGGCCTGCTCTTCTGCCTCCTTCAATGACAAAGCTATGGCAGCTTTGAGATCAGGATCATCCTCTTCTTCAGCGGACGCGCCATTCGCCTTGACCGGTTCGGGTGGAGGCTGTGATTGTGGTACATATCCCGAGTTAGATATGCCCTTTGCCTCTTCCAAGCTCATCTCAAGAGCCTTTTTGAGGTCCTCATCAAAACTGCTTGCTTCCACTCTGGCGCTGCGGGGTTGCATGGTGCTGGGCTTTGGAGCAAACGAGACGCGACGCTCTGAACCACCGGACTTTTTGGTCAGTTTGTCATAACATCCATCATCGACGCGGACCGGCTGCATGATGCCCAAGTGGGGAAGAGGAATTGACTTGGAGGAGCACTGCTGATCGAACACGTTTCCGCAATTCCTGCAGTGATGTTTCCTGTTCGTGAAGGTAAAAGCTGTTCTGCATCGCATGCATACATCGCTATCTGTCCATTCTGGCGGCGCGCTGCTGTCCAACATGGTGCTGGATATCTCGATCTTTGGGGGAAACTTGAAGCCTTCGCTCTGCAAACTCTTGTAGACTTCATAGATGTAGGATAACTCGTGACGACCTTGAGTCGCACTAGCCCAGCTCTGGATCAACTCGAGGATCCGTTGCTTGACATCCTCGTTGACGGCAGCCGCGCCATAGGCTTTCAATAGAGAGACCAGATTGTCCATGAACTCCCGGGAGGCAATCTCCGTCAAAAAATGAGATCCGCCATTCTTGACACAGGTATCCGTCAGCCTCAAGGCAGAGATTTGTATGTTGGGGTTTTTGTTGCCTATCCGCCTCTTTAGTGACCGCATGGCGTCTTTAGGCTGCACTGTTTTGGATCTGATCAGGTCGGAGATCTCAAGGCTGGTGGCAATGTCCTCCAAGCTGGACGAAGTGGCCTTTTCGATCTGCTCGTCAAGAGCAGACGTCCCTGAGGAGAACCATCCAGCCATGGTTTGTCTGTCCTGCAAGCGCAGTGGATGTGAGGCAGGCGGAGGAGGGCCGCGGGAGGATTTGTGGAACAGAGAGGTATGCAGCAAGACCACGCCAGAGTCGCTCAACGGTGACAGGTAGCGGAAGCCTCAAAACCGCCTAAACTGATGCTGTTCGATTGAGGAGAGGGATGTATTTGTATGGTTGCGAACATGAAACTGGGGAGAGTCGCGGTCAGTGCCTAGTAGTACGTATTTGCGATGTTGTAATAATCCATCACGTTGCTTGCCACGGTAGCTCCCTGATCATCTTGTTAGCCTAGCACCTCGATAGGAGGATTAAGGCGGCAGCCAAAGGTGCCTAACTTAACACAGCGTAGTAGTACGTCTAACTTAACATCTGCCCCCCGCAATCCATGTGCAATTATTCAGGTAGACGGGCGGCACTCCGAGCGGCTGTCACGCCCACGCCGCCCGCAACATGCTCCTCCGTTTGGTTAGCGTTGTGTACCTAGAGCAGGTAGTCGTCTGTGGCGCCGACATCTTGATCAGCAGTATGGAACCACCTCGACACTCTTCTCATTCTTACCACCACTACTACTGACTGCTCAGTGAACTCGCCAGCTGCAACGGGCAACTTTTCCCATCAACATCCTCCCTGGCCCGGTGTCACCTGCCTTCATTCCACGACTTCGCATCTTTCTCGAAACCCATCGTCAGCAGCCGTTCACTTTCTCTTCGAACAGACCATGTTTTAGCCCGGAGGATGACCTTCGCGCGCATCGAGATACCAAGCCCAGACAATAGAAAGGACGTCAACTCCGACCGGATTGGATGACGCGATGATCCCCCGGTAACATCGTTCTGACTCCGCGATGGCGGCCTACGCATCACCTTCGGCCAGCAACACTACTCCCACATCTACCTCCGCAACCACTCATTCCTCCTCAAGAGAGAGTTGGATCGACCCGAAAGACCATAAAAAAGGGCCTGGTTCCGAAAGAGTCTATCCTCATATCAAGGACATCATTCAAGATGCCACAACCTCGGTCAAGGCTGATGGATCACTTATACAATACCTGAACGAGGTTGAGACATGCATTGCAACTGCCAGGAACGCTGTAGATTTCCTTCGGCGGCCCGATTTGGCTTACAAGAACTATGTACTCGCCTACGAAATAGCCGTCAACTATATCCCACATCATAAGGAGTATGGTTTCTGGGATAATAATCATTCTTGGGCGATGAAGTACAAGGCGGCGCGGAGAAAGCTGAACGAGATGGAGAGTCAGATGACTCAAGTCAAAGCAATGATTGAAGAAAACAATGCCCGATACGGTACAAACCCTCGAACGGTGTCAAGGAAACCGGTGTACTCAAGTGGGTTTGGAGTGCCACCGCACACTCTGAATGCTGGCGCCGAACGCCCGCCCTCTTCGAGAGGCACGGATCCCTCAACCCTGCAACAGGCGCCCTCTCAGCCATCGTATCAACTGCCCTCGCCTCTTCGGATAGAGCGCGCCCGTCCTTCCAACAAGCCAAAGCCGGAAAGCCTCCATGGGCGACCATTAACCGACACATCTAATGATCTCAGCCAGAGGTTTGCCCGCCTTAGAGGTCTCGGGACGTCTTCCGAGGAGCCCTCTCTGTTGGCGATGCCTAAAGCAAGTGATTACCAGGCCAGCGGGAACCGTGGACCACGGCCTCAGTCGTATACTCCGCAGGCGTATCCAGACGTCAATGGATATTCCAGTCAGCGCCTGAATGGGCCGAGAGACATGCCTGGCTCCATCAATAATGGCCCTGATCTACCACCCAAGGTGCCCCTTGCGACATCGATTGCTCTGCCCAAACCACCTAGTCCGACGTACAGTCCTATATCCACCACAGCGGGAGGATCGCATGCAAACAGCAATCGTCTGTCCGCAGAAGGTGGCCGCCCTCCCTCAGACAAAAGGCAAACTTATTACAACCAGTCGCAAAATTCGTCTTCCACATCTCTACATCTGCAGAGGACCCGCGATGAGCTCCTCTCCCCCTACCGGCCGACCACCCCAAATGGAGTGAATTCTGCCATCGTCCCTAAAAGCAGCACCAGTGATCTTCCACACAAAACTTCCATCGACGCACCCACTTTACACGAATACATGAGGAAATACAACGTCCTCCTGATTGATGTCCGCGAGAGGGTTCTGTTCGATGACGGACACATCATGTCTAGTTCAGTCATCTGTATTGAACCCATTTCCTTGAAAGAAGGTGTTTCGGCTGAAGAGCTTGAAGATCGACTTGTCCTTGCCCCTGACAATGAGCAAGCTCATTTCTCCCGCCGAAATGAGTTCGATCTTGTTGTGTACTATGACCAGGATACCAATGACCACTCTTACCTGAAAGGCCCTCCGAGTATGACAAAGGCTCCAGCGCTCAGGGCTCTCTACGACACTCTGTACGAGTTTAACGACACCAAACCACTAAAGGACGGTCGCCCTCCGGCATTACTAGCAGGTGGCATTGATGCTTGGGTCAATTACATGGGGGCACAGTCCCTTGCCCGATCGAGAACAGCCGCCACACTTGGAAGTACTCGTCAACGAACCGCGGTTCTACCAGGCAGACCTGTCGCACGCCAGCGCCTAGTGTCCGCCAATTCACGGTACGAAGTCCGCAACAGGCGGCTTCGCGACCACAAATTCTTGGATGAGAGCGAGCAAGAGGCATGGAGACAACAAGCATTGCAAGAGGCGGTGACTCCAACTGAAAGGTCAGAAACGGTCAGCGATGAAGAGTATCCCGGGGGGGAAGGAGAGCAGTTGCCGCAAGCACCCTTCATCCCGGACTATGAAACTTTCCTGCGCCGCTTTCCCTCTATCAAACAGCAAGAATCCATGGTCATGCCCGCTCGGAGGCCTCTACCTTCGCATCCGGCCGCTTACTTACCGCAGGCTGCTCATGCTCCTCCCGCATTACCGGCAGTGCCTGCTAGACCCCCTCCCGCAATCCCAAGACCTAGTTATTCGGGCCATGCGGACATCAATGCACCTCAACCGGCACTGGCAAGGGTCACCTCCGCTACTCGCCCTCCCTTGTACTCTTCGGTCACGTCTATGCGGAATAGGAGGCTACCGAAAACTGGTCTCACCAATTTCGGAGTCACATGTTACATGAATTCGACTCTGCAATGTTTGTCAGCGACCATTCCCTTGTCCACCTTTTTCAACGAACGGGTATACGAGGGCTATGTACAGAGGAATTGGAAAGGCAGCAACGGCATCATGCCCAAGCTATATGCCAACTTAATCCAAGCAGTCTGGCAAGGAGACAATGAAGTCATCAAGCCATCCACTTTCAGAAACTTTTGTGGGCGCATGAACCGGGAATGGGCTATTGACCGGCAGCAGGACGCAAAAGAATTCTTTGACTTTCTAGTTGACTGTCTGCATGAAGACTTGAATGTCAACTGGGAGAGAAATCCACTTCGGCCCCTGACCACGGCCGAGGAAATGCAAAGGGAGAGGATGGAGATCGCCCGTGCCAGTTCCATCGAGTGGAAACGCTACGAACATCGTGACCATAGTTTTTTGTCATCGCTGTTTGCAGGTCAGCATGCCTCCCGGTTGCGCTGTCTGACGTGCAAACGGACGTCTACAACATACGAAGCATTCTACAGCATCTCCATCGAGATCCCAAGGTCCGGCACCGGACACATTTACGACTGTCTGAATTCCTACTGTCGAGAAGAGAAACTGTCGGAGTTGTGGAGATGTCCTTACTGCAAGTGTGAGCGCGAGGCGACCAAACAGATCATTTTAACACGTCTTCCCCAATTCCTTGTCATCCACTTCAAACGGTTTGCCGCGTCGAAGCACGAAAAGGCCAAAAAGATCCATACTCCAATCGAATTTCCCTTGTACGGTCTGGCCATGGACGACTTTGTCATCCCTCGCCCCCCGCCCGCTCCCGATCAGGATGGACCTGTCGATATGGCGACCACAGCACCATACACTTACGATGCGTATGGTGTGCTGAGACATTTGGGAAACAGTGGTGACGGAGGACACTATATCAGCATTGTCAAGGATCAAGGTCGGGGCTGCTGGAGGAAGTTCGACGACGAGCGGCATGTCGATCTGGATCCTAACAAGCTGGGACATCGGGATCGACTGCAAAATGGCGAAGCTTACATTGTGTTCTATCAGCGGGCGCAGGCAAGGTGAAAGTACGAAAGCGGGTTGTTGTATACCTTGTGTCAACCCTTTTCTTTTGGCACCTTGTAGTGTTTTGTAGCCATTGGTGAACGGTGAGGCTTGAATGAATGCCGTTAATGCCGAGCAAGCCATTTCCTGGAATGGAGTCACATATATTTTTTGGGTGTCAATCTGCACTTGCAATGTTTGGGATGAACTCTTTGATGTGCATCTCTAGTTGCGCTGCTTATCGTATGGGCCACCGAAGTGACTATAGACGTCTTCAGTCTCTTCCTGATAGCTTAACTAGATGGTGTGTCTAAAGATGGTATCGGACGAGGCCGATTTCGAGATTCGCCGGGCAGATTGAGGCTAGTGGAACATTGCTCAGGGAGGTACGTACGTACTAGTAGTACTCATTGGAATCATGGAACGGCTTTGTATTTTACTGATCACATCAACACTATCGAATTTTGCTCGATTTGGAGTCTCAGTATGACTTTCTCATGGTCTCATTTCGTTCTTCTCTAACAGGCCAGCCGCGACAGTTTCTCCATTTGCTCTTAGGACGACACGAGACGGGGGCTCCAATGGCACAGGCTGATCCAGCTGGACGACGACGCGAACGACGTTTCCTGGCTGCACGATCTTCGGCCTCTTCTTGACGACCATGCCTGTGGATTTGTCCAGGACCCCAACGAGCTGACTGATGCGACCAGGAACGTGGAGTCGGCCTTTATGCACGTCGATGTTCATGGGCGTCAAGTGCTCAAAAGCAAGAACCTTTGCCCTGAATTCGCTGACGTTCTGAATCGGTGAAACGGCACTGCACAGAACGTCTCCCGTTTTCAAGTGGATAGGGTCGATGTCCGTCAAGTTCAAGACCACATTTTGTCCTGCCACTGCCCAGTCTTGTGGTTCATCATCGACCTCCAAGCTTCGAATCTGTGCCTTTTCACCACTAGGCATGACGACGACCTGCTCACCGACCTGGACGTTACCTGCCTCAATCCGTCCCGATACTGACAGAGGATTCAGCACGCTGCCTCTGAAAACGTCGTTGATGGTCATTCTCAGTGGCTTGTCGAGTGCGTAGGTCGATGGTTCTGACTGGTCCAGCTCTTCAACCAGCGTTGGCCCGGTGTACCAGGACGCCTTTGGATCTGAGCACTTTGCGAGGATGTTCCCGCCCTCCAGACCTGAACAGGGAACAAACGTAACGTTCTTCGACTGAAAGCCTGCGCTGGTCAAGAATGCTGACATTTGTTGACGAATTTCTGCGAATCGCTCTTCAGACCAATCCACTGCATCCATCTTGTTGACAGCGACTATGATTCGCTGGACACCAATGGATCGTACCAGCAGGGCGTGTTCCTTGGTCTGACCTTTCAGACCAGACTCGAAGTTGCCCATGGACGCATCGATCACTAGAACTGCAAAGTCTGCCTGACTGGCACCAGCAATCATATTGGGCACAAAGTCTTTGTGGCCAGGAGCGTCAAGGATGGTGAAGCTTGTTCTGTCGGTCTCGAATTTGTTTGTGGCAATGTCGATGGTCACCCCACGCTCCCGCTCTTCTGTACCTTGATCTAGGACCCATGCAAAGGCAAACGAGCCTTTGCCGATACGTTCTGCCTCCTTTCGATACTTGTCCATTGTGCGTTGATCGACCGCTTTCAGATCGAATAAGAGTCTCCCCATCAGAGTGCTCTTTCCCGCATCAACATGGCCTTCGTCCAATTAGCAAAGACACCTTCCGATTGGAATGACCGGGGATCTACCGATGACGACAAAATTTGCTGCCTTCTTCCGTTTTACCTTCTTGTATTCTGCAAGCACATCAATGTTTTTGCTCTTGACCTTGGGGGTCTCCTGAACAGATAGTTGCTGAACGCCATGAGCGAGCGAAGTGGTTTTCGTTCTCGCTGATTCCTTAGGCTTCGTTTTGGCCGGTGCTGCGACTGTACGACGACCATCGTTAGCCCATCTTTCTGATGAGTCATATCTAATGCCGACCTTTTGCATTTTGCGCCTTCATCACGACATCGTCTGGGCTTGGTTCTGCAAAGTCGAATGATTTAGCATTTTCTCCAACAGCAAGCAGATCGGGAGACGTTGGGAGGAAGAGGTCAGCATCGTGGCTGGTCATGATGCTGGCAAAAGGTGACGGTCGGCCCCTGATGCACGGTTCCACCGAAACCGATAGGTCAGGAGTGGATGTTGTTTGTCCGTGGCTTAACGGATCCGGTAGGTCTTGTCGAAGGATGTCTGCGGAGACTCCAGAATCAGATACAGCTTTGTCGCCTTCCCTCATCGGCGTGTCCGCATCTCTGCTGGTGTTCGACTTTGCTCGATTGATTTCCTGGAGCCGAAGTTTGTTAAGGCGGGTCGTATAATCATCCTGTGATTCGGAACTGCCTGTGGCAGTTGACTCAGAACGCTCGCTTTCCTTTTGCCTCCGTTTGGCGGCCAGAGCAGCTAGTTTGGACATTTTGCCACCTGCTGAAGCACCACCAAGTAAACCTAGGCGGGGATAGACGGGTTCGATGAGAATTTCGGCTTTGCGATGTTCTGGAATACGCAGCCAAGGGCAGTCTTTAAAGAATTCCGCAGCCGAAAACTCGGTTGAGTAGATGGTAGAGCTGATGCACTCTTGACGCCCATCAGCATCCTTTTGAGGAATTGTCGCTTGCAAGCCATCTTGACCACCACGATCTGATCGGGATATACCAGGCAGTGCTGTGGAACAAAATGAAGTGGAAAGCTTACTCTTTGGTTCATCCTTCTTGGCTTTTGTGGGTGCAGTCGAAGGCTTTTGTTTATCTGACTAGATGAGTAGATGAAAAGGACTTCGGATATTGGAAAACGGTACTCTTCAGGTAGGCAACAGTCTTGCCCACATCGTAGTAATAGTGCCAGAGAGCGTCATGGATCTCCTTGTCTGTAGCTGGAAAGGCTGACCCTACAGCTTCACGGACTTTGGTGGTGCCCTGACGCATCTGTTCCTTGTCTTCCGGGGAGAGTTCCTCGTTGCCGCCGTCTTCATAGTCGTCGTCATAGTTGTCGTAATCGTCGTAATCATCCTCATCAGCAGCTAACGACTTGACACGGCGGTTGGACATGTGGACAGAATTAGAGAGATGATGGGCGCAATGCTAAAGAATGATCTTTGTGCAGTGTTCAGACCAGCTGCTATGCCCTAGTCGGCGTTTGGAGCTGAATCGTGAGTCGATGGAGTCTGCTGCAGCCACCACATCGATGAGGACCAGAAAGCGGGGGTTGAGTCCTCTGATTGACCAGGTTGATTTCGTTCGGTCGACAAGACCTCAGTGCTGCTCTCAAGCACTGTAAGAAGGAAAGACAGTGCCAGGGAGATGAAAGGCAGGTAAAACAAAGATGTATCAGGTCAATAAGGTCTCATCCAGTTTCTTGACCAGGGCGATGAGGTCAAGCATCGGAGAAGTTGTCCGCAGTTGCGCCGTTGAAAGTGCCATTCACTGGACTGTGGACCGCAGTATTAGTTGATTACCTAATTTCCTCAACGATGAACGAATGGCCGACAAAGTGGAATTCGCGCCATTCGTATCTCAGTCGAACCTCAACTCTCCCATTCCCCGCAGCCGCCCATCTCGCGATACGACACGATCTACTGCAATCCCTCTCTGTGCTTTCCATCGAGGATGGTTTCATCCCACCATGTGAGGCTATCATCTCTCGCGCCGTCATGACAGTCATGCATGTCATATAGCGACAATAGCCTGACATGTCGACATCTATCATGCACCCGCCTCGGGTCGGCAGGCCAGACTCGCCCTCGAGCAAGTCGACTCTGACCCAACAGATCGAGCAGAGCGAAGGCGAACGTACTCCCAGATCCAAGGCAGCTAGAAGCTCGCCAAAACCTCGATCCCTCTCCGACGCTCCAAAGCCCTTCCTCTCCCCATCTCCAGCCATTCGAGAACCTTTCCGCAGGGTTTCCAAGGATGATTCGACCATCTCAGGCTCGTCCACCCCTACTCGACCCCCCCCTTTTCACATCAGAGGCCTATCCCTCCATGTACCTGCGAAGGACTCTTTGGAGGGGGCAGCTGTGGCGAACATCCCTCGAATCCCGCTCTCGCCTAAGCTAGACAGCTCCCAGATTTATGGTTCGCCGTCGTCTATGCTTCCGAGAAGATCAAGAGGTCTTGACTACACAAGAGCGTGTACAAACCTCCACCATTCAACACTGGCAGAAGCCTCTCCAGACGCTTCGCCAATTGCTGGACGAGGTATCCAAATCCCACCCAGGAGAAGCTTTGCGAACAACAACGTGCTTGACTCACCAAGCAATCAGTCAAATCCTTTATGGACTTCTTTGTCGAACGAAAAGACAAACTTGTCCAGTTCTGTCAGCAGTGTCAACATGCTTGGATCGGATTCTGATTCTGATTCTGATTCTTCTTCAGAGGACATGGCAATTGATCGGGAGATGGAGGACGCCATCCTCAATACGCCTGCAGCATCCAGGATGAATGGAGGAATGGTGCCAGGTCTCATGAACAGCCCAGGTCTGGAATGGATGAGCGCCCAACCCTCTCCCGCACAAGCAAGTTTGATGAGTTTCCAGCCGAACCTGATGAGCTTTCGGAGAGCACGAACGCGCAAGGGCAAGAGTCAACACAGTTCCAGCAGCGTTAGCATGAAAAGCTCCAAGCCTTCACCTGGGCCATTGTCACCTGGCGTCTTGAAGAGTGTGGAAAACGCAGGTAGCGGCTACTTTGGGACGGGACTAACAAAACAACAAGTCCAGTCGAGACGTGAAAGTCTAAGCCTGGGCACAAACGACCTTCATCTCTCCGACAGCGAAGATAGCAGTACCAACAAACCGGGCACCGGGCACACTGTCTCCGACATGGACGGCCCAGGCAGCGAAGGCCCTAGAGGCGTGATCCGAAGAGCGGTGACTCGTCGTGCCAACCTGCTTCCCAAAACCAAAGGTTTCGCCCGCATCCGAGCCCAGCTCCTCGAGGAGTCTGCGCCCATCGAAAGTGAAGCTCGACGTGAGGCAGAAGTCATTCGTCAAGTGCAGGAGAATGATCCGACCGCCCCCCCCGCGCCATCACCCATCCTTCAAGCCACCACTGCATTTGCAGGCGAGCTAGTAGAGGATTCCATCGAGGACATGGCTGTCGACACCGCAAGTACCCTTCCACTGGAGAGTTTCAGTCGACAAGCCGAGAGAAATTCTGCCGGGTCCGCCTTCTGGAACAGCTTCGATGGACGCTACCGAACACCTCCCCCTGGTCTGCTACCGCGCGACAGTATTTCGGCCGCTAGCGACGACGCCATGGACACTCCAAGCTCTGCTCTTGCAGACAACCTTGCCCTCCGAAACTTTAACCGACGGTCCCGATCCAGCACTCCATTAGCTTCCAACCCGCCTACCGCCGGGGATGTCGCGAGACGAGTCAACAACAAGCGGCGACGCGAAGAAGACTTTGATGAGGCATACACCAAACGCCGAGCAGTCTCTCCTGGCATGAGCGTGCAGAGCAGTCCCCTTCTATCACAGAGTCCCCTCCTCAATGGCGACAAAGCTTGGCCCAAACTCCCTCCAAAAGCGAATGGCCAAGCTCAAGGTGACCGCAGCAACAGTGGAGGAAGCATGAACGGCGCCAAGAAGGTTGGCCTACAAGGCATGACTGAGACCAACGAAGGCTTGATGAGCATGACCATTGATTGAAGAGTTGCCAGCTTTACAATCCCGGCTTTTTAGTCCACTTGAATTTGCAAACTAGCGAGGCGTCTACGGGTTCGATGGCGAATGGGATGAGCACCAGCTCTGCGGCATTGGTTGGTTTGGGTTGGGTCGGTTGGTTCCATTTGGCTCCATAAGCCTGTGAATCTCGATGTTTCAGACGCCCGAGGCATCCTACCTTGCCTTCTGCTGATATTGGCACAAAAATGCAATCCTTTGGCAATTCCAACTAATCGTATTTCATTGATCGTGTTGTAGACCAAGAGGGTGGTTTTGCCTTCTTTGGCAGTGCCATGGTATCTAGCTCGCTAGGTAGGCTCTTACCGGGTTCAGCCTGTCCTGCTCGATGTCGCTGTTTCTTGTTCCATTTCTTCATCCACTACTGGCACAGCCCATAGATGGAGGCAGACAAAATCCACTAAAGCGGCGTGACATGGGGACATAGTACAGTAGTAGTACTGCGCGTTCCCTCCATCCCCAACCTTGAACCGACGTGCGGACCTGCGTGCGATCCGCCAACCACGAACAACAACCAACACCTGCCTGCACCCGACGCCGGATACAGAGCCTCTCTGGAATCTCTCTCTACATCTTGACGGGCGTCCGACCGACCGTAACGATGACTTCGGCAGTGGACATCGCGTCCTCATTCATTCAAGGTGCACCGCCGGGGGAGTTGCAGGAAGTGGTCAAAGACATCAAGACGCTCACGTCCGACGATGATCCAGCGTTGATTGCGAAACTGAATCCCGCTTTCGAACGATACAATGAGGAGCAGATGGTTACAGTGAAACTGCCAGGCTCGAGTGATTATGTATGTTACACTCCCGGTCCGGCTATTTGAGACATCAAGATCTGTCTGCCTTGGCTGCACAGACGAGAGCATCCCATGGCATGCACATCATACGGCGCTGACAGCACCAATCTTTGGACCCGTAGGTATTAATATCGAAACACAACAAACTTTCTTCCGCTTCAAGTCGATACTACGACACTCAGACATCCACCTCCTTCGAATTCGACCACACCTCGAGCAAAGCCAGTGCCGCGCAATCATACACGCACGAAACCCAACATAGCACATTGATCCAATCGATACTGAAATCCCTGGCGGCCCACTTCGCTGATCACTACCCTCCCACTACGGCGTCAGCATATACAGTCTGCGCGACCCCCGACGACGACAACCAGGTCGCTGTGCTGCTGTCGACCACGAAAGCGTCGCCCAAGAACTTCCTCAGCGGGCGTTGGCGGAGCGTCTTCTTGTACGACCCGTCAACGGGGACATTGGGCGGTGAAATCAAAATTGATGTGCATTACTACGAGGACGGAAACGTTGCGCTAACGACGAGCAAGAAGATAGACTCGGTCTCTGTGGGTAGCGGGGCTGACGGCGCGGCCATTGTGCGCAAGATTGCCGCCATTGAGAATCAATACCAGGAGGAAGTCAATCGGGCGTTTGTGGGTATGAACGAGACGAGCTTCAAGCAGCTGCGGAGACAATTACCGGTTACTAGACAAAAGGTTGAGTGGGAGAAAGTCAAGGGATATTCTTTGGGAAGTGATCTGAAGGGAGAAGCGAAGAGATAGAAATGAGACTGGCGCCGGGATGCTCGGAGGGAGATACATCTCTGGCAGAGAAGGGAAGGAATCAAGTACGTCTGTTTCTTGATGGGACCTGAAGGTCAAACTGCAACCTCCGTCGAATGATCTGATAAGCATGAGCATACGAACTGCTAGCGAGGATATGCCGGAGTCGAGCATTTACACGCATAGGGGGGCCATTACAAGCCACGGATATGCTCAAAATCCCTTTTGGCGCAATGAAGCGATCTGCGCTGTGAATCCTCCTTGAGGATATGTAGTTACGTTCTATGGCAAGCGTCTCCCGGCCCTCGTCGCCCGGGCCACTTCACTCTGCGTGGTATCCTCGGCGTATCGCCTGTAGGCGTCGATATACTGCCTGCGCTCACTGAGGGTGTCCAACACGCTCTGCCTGGCTTCCGTGGCCTTGGCCCATTTCCTCCAGCGCTGCCAGACCTGTTCATCCTCTCCACCTTTTCCTTCGCCCGGAATGCCCAGACCGCCTTTATACACGTCGAAGAGGAACAACCTGCACAGCCAGGGGGCTAGCATGATATCAACCATACTGAACTGCTCGCCGAGAAAGAATGGCCCGTCTGGATCCGCTTCCTGAATGAAGGTCTTGATGTGATGCAACAACTCGGCCCGCGCCTCGTCCAGACTGTACGGTTTAGAATCGGAATGTTGCAGGAACCGATAGAACGCAGGCACTATGCGGCCGCTAATATGGTCGATCCAGATTCGACATCGGGCTCGCTCGTATGCGTCCGCCGGTAACAGCGGCGGGCCGTGTTTGGCTGGGTCGTTGTACACTTCGTCCAGATACTCGCAGATGACCGCGCTCTCGTATAGCGGCTTCTGCTGCTTGTTGGCCCTGCCAACAGGCACGGCGAGCGTCGGTACCAGACCACGTGGATTGAGTTTCAGGAACTCCGGATCTTTTTGGTACGGATTGATCTCGACATATTGGTGGGGAATGTTCTTTTCGTGCAAAGTGATCCAGGTGCGCTGCACGAAGGGGCAGAACCAGCCGCCATATAGAATCAGTGGGTTGGTGGACGAGTGGGCTTTAGCGTACTCCGCGGCACGGCCGCTTGTGTGCGGATGGAGAGATGTGTCGACTGAGCCCATCCTGAAGGGTGTGCTATGGTATGATTTGAAGGCAGGGATAAAGGAGGATGGAGAGTGACGGAAAAGACGGACTGTTCGAGGAGTTTGACAGGGTAGGGTAAAGGGGTTGAGCATAGCACCACCCCGACAGAATCAACGAGGAGCAACTTGATGGTTGATATACCAAGAATTGTTAAGGCTGTTGAGTTTCGGTGAATTGATGGATTGACCTTGAACTGCTCTAGATTGCGGAGATGCAGATCCGGATCACGACACGATCATGATGACGTCCGGAGGTATTTTTGCCTGAAGTTATTTACACAGTACTAGTAGGGTACACCTTACCTTCCACCAAGTCTCATCCCCTGGCATGCCCTTGCTCAGCGACAATAAGAGACGGAGCATTGTCCTTTTGCGGGAGCATGACCACATAGCAGCAGGGCAGTATCTTGTTCTTCTTGAAGAGCATACTGCTAGCGGAAGGCCTAGAATAAGGGCAGATCACCAGTGAGACGCTTGGAAAGGAACATGGTGGTCACGTGACGACTCTAGAGACTGCGAGAACGCGTCGTGTCAAGAATGGTAGATGGCGACAATGACAATCTCAAGACTTAACGCAAATCCTAAGCAGACTGAGAAGCGCATGATCATATAATTTGCCCTCTGGATCAGACAGAAACGAGGCAACGCAGAAAAATCACGAGTTTGATGGGATGGAAGGCTCTAGCAACTCCAAGACGGGGCAAAGAGGCCAGGCTGGCATTCAGGGGCTTGAAGAAGGGACAAAGGGGCAACCAAAAGGCTGAAAGGACAGTTTTTGTTTCTAGCTTAAGCCGCCAAGCGGAAACTGCGGAGTCCACGGGGGCCGCCCTGTAGAAAGTCATGGTTTGTCCCTTAGTAAAGGCTTCTTAGGTGCCCATAGTAGCAGTGCTATAGGTGGCCATTATTCTGTAACTGTCCCTGAGACTGCGGGTAATCAATGAATGAAGTGTAAACTGCGGCGGCGACTCAAAAAGGACAGCGTATCGATAACTCGCGCCATAAATATTTCCCATCACCATCACTCTCTCCGTCCTGACCACCTGCATTTACCATTCTTTACTTCTCTCCCTTCCTCACGACGAACTTCAACATGGCGCGCCGGGCGTCCAGATCCTCCTCTGCTTTGCAGTGGACCACCCTTTTCTATCTTCTCCTCATTTTCGTTTGTCCTCTCGCATTGATCGGCTCTGTCAACGCCAAAGATCAAGCACCTTTAAATGAATCAGACTCCAACTATGGCACCGTGATCGGTATCGATCTGGGTACCACCTATTCCTGCGTCGGTGTGATGCAGAACGGAAAGGTAGACATCATCGTCAACGACCAAGGAAACCGAATTACTCCTTCGTATGTCGCATTCACCGATGAAGAACGGTTAGTAGGTGACGCGGCAAAGAACCAATATGCTGCGAATCCGACACGCACTGTTTTTGATATCAAGTAAGTATTGTCTTCCTTCCATCGTTGGCGGCACCCGCAACAGCACACTAACTGTCACTCTTCAGGCGATTGATCGGTCGAAAATTCTCAGACAAAGACGTCCAACGAGACATCAAACACTTCCCCTTCAAGGTTATCAACAAAGATGACAAACCTATGGTCAGTGTCGAGGTTGCCGGTCAACCCAAGGTCTTCACTCCCGAAGAAATCTCCGCAATGGTGTTGGGCAAGATGAAGGAAGTCGCAGAAGCGTACCTGGGCAAGAAAGTCACCCACGCGGTTGTCACGGTCCCGGCCTACTTCAACGATAACCAGCGACAGGCGACGAAAGACGCTGGAACAATCGCCGGTTTGACTGTTCTCCGCGTTGTCAACGAGCCAACCGCCGCAGCCATTGCGTACGGCCTTGACAAGAAGGGCAAGGAGAGCCAAATCATTGTCTACGATCTCGGTGGTGGTACATTCGATGTCTCTCTCCTCTCGATTGAAGACGGTGTTTTCGAGGTTTTGGCTACGGCGGGTGACACCCACCTTGGTGGTGAAGATTTCGATCAGCGAGTCATTGACCACTTCGTCAAGCTGTACAACAAGAAGCACGACGTGGATATCCGGAAAGACCTCAAGACCATGGGCAAGCTGAAGCGAGAAGTTGAACGAGCCAAGCGAACCTTGTCTTCGCAAATGTCAACTCGCATCGAGATTGAGGCCTTCCACAACGGCAACGACTTTTCCGAGACCTTGACTCGAGCCAAATTCGAGGAGTTGAACATGGATCTGTTCAAGAAGACTCTGAAGCCAGTTGAACAGGTCATCAAAGATGCCAAGGTGAAGAAGTCGGACATTGATGACATTGTTCTTATCGGTGGTTCAACTCGTATTCCCAAGGTTCAAGCCATGATCGAGGAATACTTTGGTGGCAAAAAGGCTTCCAAGGGCATCAACCCTGACGAAGCCGTGGCCTACGGTGCGGCTGTACAGGGTGGTGTTCTTTCCGGCGAGGCTGGCACTGAAGACCTCGTCCTTATGGATGTCAACCCCCTCACTCTTGGAATCGAGACCACTGGAGGTGTCATGACCAAGCTCATCCCTCGCAATACCGTCGTTCCCACCAAGAAATCTCAAATCTTCTCGACCGCGGCCGACAACCAGCCAGTTGTTTTGATTCAAGTCTACGAAGGCGAACGATCTCTAACCAAGGACAACAACCTACTTGGCAAATTCGAACTCACCGGCATTCCTCCTGCGCCTCGTGGTGTCCCACAAATCGAGGTGTCATTCGAGCTGGACGCCAACGGTATTCTTAAGGTTTCGGCTGCCGACAAAGGTACCGGCAAATCCGAGGCCATCACCATTACCAACGACAAAGGCAGACTGTCACCCGAGGAAATCGAAAGAATGGTCGCCGAAGCCGAGCAGTTTGCCGAAGAAGACAAACAGGTCCGGGAAAAGATCGAGGCTCGCAACAAGCTTGAGAACTACGCCGTCTCACTCAAGAACCAGGCCAACGATGAAGAAGGCCTCGGCGGCAAGATTGACGAGGAGGACAAGGAAACTCTTCTGGAAGCTGTCAAGGAGACCCAAGACTGGCTCAACGAGAATGCCGACACGGCGGAAAAGGATGATTTTGATGAACAGTACGAAAAGCTGTCGAACGTGGCATACCCCATCTCCAGCAAGTTGTACGGTGGTGGTGCTAGCGGTATGCCAGATTATGGCGATGATGATGAGCCCGGTCACGACGAGTTGTGATTTCCGTCTCAGGGTTTGTCGGTTGGCATGATTCCTTTTTTTTTAATGAGTTTGAAGAACTTGCATTTAGACTCCTCGACTGGGTAAAATGGTCGAGGGTGCAAGGCGAGGCGTTCTTGTCTTTCAAGTCCGTGGAAGGCGGTGACTAGATACCACAAAATCGATTCAAATGTTCTCCAAATGTTCCCGTTCAATTTTGAGGCCGGAATCCTCTTTGCGTACCAGGAGGCTTGGGGATCTAGGAATGCACACAGTACTTCGTTGTAGGATTGACTACTACCTAGGCATCACCGACCGATTGCGGGATCTTACTGTACCATGTCCATGAATTTACCGCATTTATTCCGAGGGTTGTGTAGCACATGTACGGTCAGTGGCTCAAAAAAGGGGTACGACTTAAGAAACAGCATAAGCTGGGATATCACCAAAGTTAGCAGCACCAGAACAGGAACAGTTGCCGTGCCTTTCAACCAACAACTTGCACCACAAAACATTCGAAAAAAGGCACATCAACTATATCGACGAGACTTACAGTCAGCACTCCCACGAAAAGATCCACCGACTCGACTAACGACATCACCATGAACAACACGAACGACATCACCATGATGAACAACAACAACAACAATACCAGTAATACCAGTAATACTCAACTCTACCAGCTCACATTCTACGTCCCTCAAACCCACACCAAGCAATGCATAGATGCCCTCTTCTCCGTGGGAGCAGGGACCTGGCCGAATCCAAACCCCGATGTCAGCGATGACGCCGACGACAAGTCCGGGTCTACTTCCGAAGCAGTGAGTCTGACTGTCGTTGATCAATCGCAACCAAAATACATAAACACCTGCTTCGTCTCTTCTGGGACCGGCCAATTCCAACCCACCGCCGCAGCGAATCCGCATATCGGCACGGCAGGCGGACAGGTCGAATATGTCCAGGAAGACCGGGTCGAGATGGTGATCAGTGGAGGGAAGGGGAAGGTGGAGAGGACAGTGAGGGCGTTGAAGAGCGCGCATCCGTATGAGGTTGTTGCGTTCTTTGTGGCGAAGAGTGAATTCTATTGATTGGTTTGATGTTATCACAGGTACACTGTGCCAGTTTGTCTTTGGAACAGGAGGGAGAGGGGAAGATGTTGAGTTGTGTTGAATCATCTCATTGAGGATATGCTCTCTTCATACAATGGGAGCCCCATGGAGTTACAGTACGTCTGGGGTAGTGGCAAGGACCGACCGGGAAAATATGTATGAGTGATTGAGTGAGACATTTGCTAAGCGGTTGGCAAGGTAGGAGATTGAGTCCGAGAATGAGCATGGCCACTGATATGTAGCGAGTTCTCAGGAATGAGTCTTGCTCCACGAGGTCAAAGAATCTCAGGGAATCCAGCGATGCCTGGTCAAGATCGTAGATATAGAGATTATAGCTCTGGCAGGGAGAATGGGCTGCCCATGGCATCGAAGACGAACAATCAAATCCCCTTGGCTAGATGAAGACATGAGATGTCCATGTCGCCAAATTTCGTCAATTCTTTCACATCATCAAAACCTTCAGCAGTACTCTTCATCGTAATGCTTGACATCTCTCATCAATCAATAATCGAAATTCTCATACACGAGAGCCTTGCCGGGCAGCCAGTCCTGCACGATCTTCCGCAGCGCTGGCGCCGTGCAGAGATACCAATTGTCCACCTCATCCTGTGCGCCTGTCAGATCTGTTTGTTCGAGCCTCCTCCGCTTGATGGCCACATCCGTGTCGATGAGCTTTTGCAATTTCACCTGTTGTTCCCTATCACTTGCCAACCACGCCTCGTCTCCGGTCAGGTAGATGGTCAACGCAGGCCTCAGGTCCGGATACTGTGTGAGTATATCCAGCGGCAATCCCACATCTCGGATCCCAACGCTCCACCAGACCTTGAGGCGCGTCAGGTCCAGAACACCAGGACCCATCTGTCCAAGCAACGGCGTGATTCCAATGCCGGCGGCCACAAAGCCAGTCTTTTTACCACTGTTGTCTTGTGCGAAGGCGAACTCGCCGCCGAACCCGAGCACTTCCACCTCGCACATCCCTGGACGCTGCCATTCGAGCCAAAGGGTGACACTGCCGACCGTGCGGATTGTGGTTTCGAATTCCTCGCCATGCACGCCTAGAGAGTTGGGGGCCGACGAGACGGTGAACGACCGGATGAAGTCGTCGTTTAGGCTTGTCGGGTCGTCGTCTCGCATGTGTGAATAGCCCATGTCCAACTCGTCGGCGAAATCCATAGCCACGTATTGTCCAGGCTTCCACGGCCCAAACGTCGTAGGATCCGTCAGTGCAAACCGGTACCGCGTGATGGTGGGCGTGATCTTTGACTTAAGCACCATCTGTGCGGTGATTGGAGCTGTTCCAGCGGCGGATGTGGCCATGCCATCGGCCTGCTCGCTCGCTAGAAACCGCACGCGCGGATTATACGGTGAGCGACCTTGCGAGGCGTCACCCATCAATGTCCCGCGGAAAGGCAGGCCTTCTTGGACAAGCCTTGCCCCTGTGACCTTCAGCCGCACGGCGAGCTTCGTCTTGGCAATCACGTTGCTGGCTTCCGCGCCAACCAGCGTTTCTGTGTCTCCTGTCACATATAGTACATCGCCCGTTGCGAAGTCTGGAATGGCGAGTCCCGCCCGAGGCGTGGTCTCCAGGTTTCCCAATGTCTGGTACAGATTGTTCCCACTGTACTCGGGCCAGACGATCGTACTTCCTTTGTTGGGATCCTCCGGTTGATGTACGCGAATGAAGCCTTGTGGGCCACCCCGATGGTTGGTATCCATGTCCTCGTGCTCATGTGCAGAGGTGATGAAAAACAAATCCGCTTGGTGAACGAGGTCAATGGCTTTCTGTGTGAGATGGGGCGAAGAGGAGAGAAGCACTGGTTTCGGAGCCGCAGAAGTGATTTTCTTCCGGTTGAGGTATTTCGGACAGTTTGCTAGACTCTGGTCAATCTTAATCACCAACTGGACCTCGCCTGATATTCCTGACGGAATATTGCCTTCGTTCCTTGTCTGCTCAGAAGACTGCGCGCCAGTGTTGAGGGCCCCAGCGATAATCTTTCCGGCCAACTTGACTCGGCCTCGCTCTTCTAGTTGAATGCTCACTCCGGCCATCATTTTCCCATCACCTTCGGGTCGGAAGACTTCCCCATTACCTTTCCCCTTCCATATGGCTTCAACCACGGGGTCAAAACTGGCGTCTACGTTGGTTCGAATGCCCATAATGCTCTGCCCAATGGATTGTGCCAGGGGAGGTTTGCCAGAACCCCAGACTGTGCACCAAGGCCGGTCGTTGTCGTCCAATGTCCCAAGAGCCATAAGTTGGTAGCGCTGAATTTGTTGCGCTGCCCGGGGAGTCAAGAAAGGTGAGGTCGGGTTGTCCTCGTCGTAGCGTACATGGGTACGTTTATGGATGGACTTCTCTCCGTCATGCCACGGAGGAGATTGAAAGAAGGCCATATTTCCGCAAGCAACTGGGTTAGGCTGTTGAGGGCTCCACGTGTAGAAGGGCTGGAATATGAAAGAGTATGTGTGCTAGTGGCCGGAGCGAAGTACCAGGCTGGCTGTTAGTACTTATATGGCCATGCACACCTTCTTACCTTCTGCGGCCGTATCTCTGACTTGTCTCGAGCGGACAACAGGCATTGCCCATCATCACGAAAGGCCATGGACAAACCGCCCAGGTCGGCGGGGCTTGGAGTGGCCGCTTCACCCTCCACCGTGCATAAGTATGCTCCTATACGAGGTCGGACCGTCCGTAAGCAGCACGGGTCCCGTCTCACTCCTCGCTCTGTTAACAGTTTGTTCAAAGCGGCGGGCAATTCTGACCATGTGAAGGAAGGCGTAGCAATAACTAAACGGCCCATGCCAGTGTGGACGAATGGAGAAATCACCAAGAAGTCGCTTTCTCCACGCTTTTTCGCTTATTCATCATAATCTTAAACGCCTGTCAAATCGACATGGCGAGCTGAGACTTAATTGCTGACCGCTGCTGCTGCTGCTGCCTGCTGACTGTGATGAGACGAAGCTGGTGTGGATGACTAATTAGGTACCTAGTAGGTACTTACCTACGTACGAGCAGGCATACCTTAGGAAGAACAGAAATAGGCACAGTTGAAGCAGCGGCAAAAGGTAGAGTTGTAATACTGGTATGACGTCACGCGAGGGCTCCCACAACGCGTCCACGCGTAAAGTGCTGAGCAGATCAACTGGGAGTGTGGTTCAAGTTCTTCGTGCGCTGGAAGATTCCTTCGTCAAGCAGCAAACTTCACGCCTACTTTATCGCCGTTGCGCCCGCATGGTGGACTGATCATATTACTACCCAAGCAGCCTAACACGCAAAAGCGACGGCAAATCCACGCTCGCTCGGGGGGCCATCCGAAAAGTACTTGAATACAAAGGCTTGGAATCAAGAAGTTCTGCATAATACTTATCCCGCGCTATAACATGAACTCCTGCGCTCGCTTCAGCATCAGATATAAGCATAGCGAGCCCCGCCCCAACCTTGGACACGTTTGTACCTATTTCAGTGGCCAATCCCTCTTGCATGCCAAACTGATTCTAACTCGGCCAGAAACAGCAGCTCTTCCGACGAGTACAGCTTCTGAAATCGTTGTTGCAAGTCACTTCTGATTAGGGCGACCTCCTCAGGCTTATCGACTGCATATCCAAAGATCAACGACGGCCATGACCCGAGATAGCATCGTAACCAGTCTTCATTTGCTTGCGGGCAGCGCATAATGTGCAACGCTTTCCGGACTTGCCACGAGTTGCAAGGGGTCGGAAGATGTGGCTCCGCTCCACACGGAACCTCGTGACACCTCGAGACCCAGTCTAAAAGCAGAGAGGCTGCAAGAATATGAAGACTCGTCGAATGTTGATAAAAGACACCTGCTCTGTCTGACGGCGTGGACATGAGGCTGGTATGGCGCTCTTGTTTGATGCAGTGTCCATCTTCCAGGATGGTGCCCTCCCAATGCTTCATTCGGATTTCAAGATCTCGCAAGACCTCCGGCCTCGGCACGAATGGACTCTTGCAAAGCTGTACCACCTCGATGATGAGTTTCTGAAGATCCAAAGGAATTCCAATAACAGGACTATTGTCAGCAGGTGAGGCATCCGGAAATGTGAGAGACTGCAGAACGCCTTCGGCTCTTGCCACAAAGTCGAAATCTGGCTGGAAGCCGACCGAGAAAGGCCGCCGGACCGTCTGGCGAAACATCTGATAAAGTATGCTCTCCCAAATGATCCGGTGTATTGGTCGGGCCAAGGGCGGTTTCCGTGATTGAGCGTATTGGAGATTAATGAGTTGCACAGCACCCATCACATGCTTCGGAATGTCGCCGTTGGTGTGGAGTGCGAACGCCTGTGTTTCAGATATTGTCAGCGAAATCCGAGCAGACAATAACCGCCGGTACCGATCTGCTTGCGGGCCACTTACCCCGTGAATGTATAGAAACGTTATGGCCAGCAGAACCGCGACATTGTAATCGTCTCGGCTCCAGTCAATCTTGTTCAATGCTTGATTTACCTTGGAAACAGCTCGGGAATAATACACGAGTCCAGATTCGTTCATCTGTGGACTTCCGGTGGCAAGATGCAGATGTGATGCTCCACAGGCCAATGCTACATCTTTCAATCCGTCAAACTGTAGCAACATGTCGACCACCTCTGGAACGTATGCAGAATAGAAACCAGGGTGAGCATTTGACAAAATGAGCAACGGTAGGAATCCATCGAAGAAATGCCGCATACAATCAACCTCAAGATCCGACTTGAACATGGCCGAGTTGAAGAGATCGGTCTTGAAGCAGATCTCACGACATACGAGGAGAGACTGTCCACGCCTATTCGTTGCTGATTGCGCTGTCACTGATGGCTTTCTACCGGTCTTTGTGAGCTCCGGCGACTTAGGTGACAATCGAGGCGACTTGGACACACGACGATGGCGTCGGTCGAAAAGATCATCCTCGTCAGGCCATAAACATGCACGGTTTGACTTGACGCATTTCTCACACCGTGGCCTCTGCTCGTTGCACTTTTTCCGTCGAGCACGGCCTGGCAAGATACCAAGTTAGCTGTGTCTCTCGCTTTGCCGGCAAGATTCCAACAGGACAAGGTACTGGGCTCCAGACTCACATGTCATGCAGCCAGTCTTTGTGCGCAGACTGGCATGAGACGCACCCACCATCACCCAGTTACCCGAAATATCGTCCACCGCGTGCCGAGTGGTTTGAGCAATGGGACGAATGTTCGATCAGATTGTTTCAACCCATGCTCCATGCGCCTACAACGGGAATGTCTACGACGGGGTACTTCCGACTAGGTCGGGAAGACCTTATCAGTTGCAGCGGGGCCCCTTGGCTTATCGTGTCTCCGATGTCGACATACACTAGCACTAGGCATACGGACGCCAGAGATACGGTGTGGACTCCTTAGACCCAATCCATGAGCATATAACAAACCATATCAGATAAGACTGACTGCCAGAATCTCGCCGAATGTTTTTATTTTATCAACAAACTCCAACTAATATGGTCTTATGGACACCCAGCCACCGATCTTGTCAGAGTAATTCATGTAGCAATGGTGTGGGAAGACTAGTCAAAATGACCCCTGACGTCTAATAAGGTACATTAGTTTGGATGCTACAGGTATCGCTAGAGGTGGGCACATAGAAGGTACCTAAGGTAGGACAAGGCTGTACAGGGATGACGAGGCTGCGCTAGTCTTGAATAGTGAATCCGGATGCGAAAAAATTCCTGAGGCTCGCAACCATTGCAGCAAGAAGTCGGTCGGGAAAAGAGCATCACTCCCGTCGCCAGATCCGTCAGTCCTACTATATTTCCTCGAGAGAAAGTCAACGGATACAATTCTGTAAGATGATGATTTAACTTCTGTGCTGTCTTCGACGCCCCCCAAGTCTCAACGACGTGCCAGTAAGAGGTTCAATATGCTGAGCCTTGTGATTGCATCGTTCATCTTCAGCCTTTGTGTCACATCTTCTCGGAGGCTCTCGTCTTCCTGGCGTCCAGGTTGAATTCTATTTCCTATGCGATTGCAGTTGCCTCGTCTTCTCCGCTCACCAAATTTGATATTTCATTCCCATCCAAGAGTATACAGACGACGCTCGACGCATCCGACACACCCAGCAATCTCAGCCAAGCCAGGATCAACATCAACTTTGACATTCACAATGGACACCATACAGCAAAACCGGCGGCACCTGGCGTCCATGCCCTACACGAACTGCGACACGAGGATTGTCGGCTTGAAAGATCTCCACCTCCCCGAGACAGCATCGGACGAGGAATACCGCCAGATCTACCTCCACTACATCCAAGATGCCGCCACAAATCCGAACGCCTCTCTTCTACGGGACGCTATCGAGTCGATCCGGCACGGGATCGCTCCACCAGTAGCATTTCCCACGGAGACGGTGTACGGGCTCGGGGCCGACGCGACCAACGAAGCTGCCATCTCCGGCATCTTCGCAGCCAAAGGCCGACCCAGCGATAACCCTCTGATCGTGCATGCCGCATCCATCGCACACTTGGAGCGACTCACAGGCGAACCTCTACCGGAGATCTATCGAGCGTTGGCCGAAAGATTCTGGCCTGGCCCGTTGACCGTCTTGCTGCCTGTACCCAAGACCTCGCGATTCGCCGCGAACGTCCATCCCGGCCAACGGACGATCGGGTTTCGCATCCCGTCGTCCAAGTATGCGCGGTTTTTCATCGCTGCGACGGATCGGCCTATTGCTGGTCCTTCGGCAAATTCGTCGGGGAAACCGTCGCCCACGACCGCGCAGCATGTCTTTGATGATTTGAAGGGCAGAATCAACTTCATCCTCGACGCAGGACCTTGCGATGTCGGCGTCGAAAGTAGTGTGGTTGATGGGCTGCATGATCCGCCGCTGATCTTACGGCCCGGTGGGGTGTCGCAGTCGGAATTGATTGCGCATGGTCGCGAGGCTGGGAATCGATTTGCGTACACTGCTATCGGGTACAAACGGCATAAGACCAGTGACTCGCAAAACAGGAGCAAAGACAGCAACCAGGACAAGTATGTTGTGGACGATGTGGATGCTGCCCCGCGCGCCCCTGGGATGAAATACAGACACTATGCGCCGCGAGGTAGGCTTGTTCTGTTCACCGAAGCCGCTGTCGCTGCGGGCAAAGTCGAGGCGAAATTCAACGACCTGGTCCGCACGTTCTTGAGCAGCCAAGGAAAAGACACAGCCGCAGTGAACGGGAAAGGAAATGGACGGGTCAGATTGAATGTCGGCATCATCTCATGCCACTGGTCCGCATTCGCTGGCTTGCCTGTTTCCTCCAGGTCGCCAATATCACTCACGTCGTCAGTGGCCTCCGAATCCATTTACGCCCCGATAACTTCGGTGGCGACATATACATTTCCACCCGCTTTCTCATCCTTGGACGAGGACCAAAGTATTACATTTGAAGATGGTCGTCAAGCTCGAGTCGAGGTCCAAACTACGCTGTATAACGTCCAGATCGGCCCGACGATCACAGACCTGGCGCATTCCCTATTTGGCGTATTACGACTCTTCGATGACCTTGACTGTGATTTCATCTTTGCTGAGACTGTCAGACGTGGAAGGGACGCGATTGGAACCGGAGAAACAGAGAGGACCACGCATGAGCGTGTGATACCAGATGCTGCAGCAAATGGCAGCGCAGATCCACATGCGAACAAGCAACATCAGGGACATCAAGACTACCTCGCAGAATCAATCACCCAGGATATTGAAGACGCGGTCACTGACCGGATCGAAAAAGCTGCGGCTGAGAGAGTCGACTTCTGAGGATGTGGACGACAAGTTCCCGTCAACGAAACATGAACAGCGGAGGAGGAAACGCCGCCAGCTTAGGAACACAGTCCGGCTCGCACAACGAAAGAAAGAACCTCGATCGTGATGGTTTGATAGGGCCGGCTTCTATTTTGGTGGCTTCTTCGCCCGAGAGACGACTAGAATTTCGAATGGAAGGAGTCGTTCAGCTGCTGGTCATTTTAGAAGTGGTACAAGCGGTACATGTTGTCTCCGCGGCGACCGCGCAAGATCGACGACGACCTATTGCATGGGACAGTAGAACAGTGTCCCAGAAGGAGCAAATAGAAAGTTTAATCATAGATCCGTCACATCCTATTCTTTGCAGCCGGTGTGGTTGTATCGTCTCTCTTGACCTCTTCACTTGACATCAAACGGACCTAACTTGAGACGGTCACACTTAGGCAGATGGTATATCGCCTATGAGAAAGTGTGTATCGACTCAAGGTACTACACACACACAATCTCTCTGCCATTGGAAGAGGCCATGCTATGCATAGCCTTGCGAGGTCCTTTTCCATCGTCGCTGCTATTCTCTCTTCTCTCTTGCTGGCGATTTTCATCTGCCTTTCTTCCCACTGCCCCCTTTGCCCTTCCCTCCTTTCCCACCACCACTAGCCTTTCCCTTGCCGGCCGCACCACCTCCTCCACCCCCTAGTGCACCAGCCATTCCACCACCTTGAACAATGCGACACCCCTTGACCGGAATGGAGCCGACAATTTCTTCGACACGCCACTCTTTCAGCAAATCGACCTCACGTCTCCAGACACGCTCTTTATCGCGATTTGACTCATCCACCACTTTGGAGCCTTTAGCCCCCAATGAAGTCCAAAAGCCTAGGATCTCTTTGAGAGCTTTGCCTTTCTTCATATTGCCAGGTTGTAGCTTGACCTTGTATTTCTGGCGTGACAGAGCTGTCCAGGGCGCGCACACAGGGATCGCTGCAATCAGCTCATCTCCAGGTTCGGGCATAGGCACTAGTCGGTCAATGTTGAGCAGCTCGCGACGTTCTTCTTCCAATTGCTCACGACTCAGCTCATCATCTTCATCGAGTTCCGGAACAGCAGCGCCGCTGCCACTCTGCGCTGCCTTCTCGAGTCTCTCGCGTCGCTGACGTTCCTTTTCTGCAGCTTTAGCGTGTTGCGCTTTGCGTCGTTCCCGGTCGGCTTGGGCTTTGGCTTCGCGTGCTGCCTTGTCGGCTTCTACGGCCTGTTTTCGTTCTTGACCGCGGTTCGAGCCCAGTAATTGCATTGCAAGGGCGCGATCCTCTTCATCTTGATCTGCATACTTCTTCTGTGCTCTCTTAGCTTTTGTTCTCTTACCGCGTGCCAGCTGGGACGGTTTGGACTGCGACTGCGACTGCACATGCGAAGCTGCTGGGGTGGATGGACGTGTTGACATATCGCCATCAGGTGTCCCGTTGTTGAGGTCTCCTTTCTCACTTCCAGCTTCTGACTTGCCGTCCGACTCGGCCTCGACATCGGCGTCAGGCTTGTCCTTATCCCCAATTTCTGCATCGTGCTGGAGGCTTAACCCATTATGCTGTAGTGGGTTCGAGGGCTTGTCATCAACTTCAGAGTCCACAGCTGAACCGTTTCGACCGTCCTCACTGTCGCTACCCACTTCTGTCTCTTCATTTGGAATGCCGAAGGCCCCATCTGATCCACTGTCAACCTCGTTATTTTCCTCTTCCTCCTCCACAAAGTTTGCGGCATCTTCCACATCGGGTACTGGCTTGCTCTGCTCTTGTGCTAGGTCTTGCTCGTCTATCGATATACCTCTTGCATCGTTCGCCAGAGCCTCTGCTTCACCGGGCAGCATGCTCTCAGATCTTTCCAACCGATGCTTTCCATGATTGGCTCTGCTCTCTTCACTGATCAACCACAAAACGCCGAAGCCCAACAGCAGCTGACTTGGAGGTAAGAGGTTTTTGTGACCTCTAATGATGAAGCCACCTGTGGTGAGATATTCTCCGGTCGGTGCGGTCTTGCTCACTTGCTCTGCGTTCACCCACCATGCGCCCATCACGGCTTTCGAATCCCATGCACTGCTTGTACAAACAGTAAGAGCACCTGCCTGGGATAGTGTTGATGGTGGTATGGGGGCATCAGGAGTCCGTGGATTGTTTTTTACGATAACACTAGATGCGCCCTGAAGGTCAGCATGCACATAGACATCGCCCTTCTTCAGGTACCGTCTGTACAGCAATTCGTTCTGTTGTGCATCCTTCCCACCAATGACCAGATACCCATCACTGGAGATGAAGTAGAGAAACTTCTCGAACCAGAATGCCTTTCTCGCGGGTCTGAGGGCAGCCTTCTCCTGCTTAAGACCCTTTTTAAGGTCGCCTTCAATCTTCTTCTCTGCCGATCGGAGCGCCATAGCGGATGCTTCCTTTGTCTTCGATTCCTTGACTGCTGCGGTCTTCTTCTGTTCGTAGTACTGTCTGGCATTTGCCCACGGTGAAAGAGCGAGGTCAATATCGATCGCCAGTCGTTTATCTGCAGCTGGTTTGCCCGGGGGCTTGCGGGACTCTTCGTCCGAGTCTTCGTCCGAGTCTTCTTCCTCGTCCGTCTCGTCTGCCTCGCTCTTTTCATCTTCCTCGTCGAATCCAGGCTCGTCAAGCAGGAGAGTCACTGTGTTTTCGTCCAGTTTCAACGGTAGCTTGATAGTTTGTGCCACAACGTTGCCGCGTTTCTGCTCGTTCTCGATCAACTTTCCGATATCAACCCAGTCCATGCCTTGCCCAATCAATCCGTTGACGGCGGCACATGCCTCTACGACGCGATGAGTGTTTGCCTCAATGGCTTGAGCCTTTCGGACATGGAGTTCTTGCACTTGCTTAAGTGCACCAATTCTCTTCTCCTGTTCTTCTTTTGCTGACTCCAACTTCTTCTTCGCAGCCAGCTCTCGTTCTGTGAGCCGGGACTCCAGCTTTTGCGACTCTATGGAGGAATAGAACTCGTCAACTGTGCGATTGAAACCCTCAAACTCCAGAATTTGTATACCAGGTTTGTCTTCAAACTGGCAAGGCTTGAATGGGTGAAAATCGTCATAGAGGAGATTGGCTCGATCGGGGGATTGTATCTCTGAAGCTGGGCTCTCTGCAGACGTCTTTGTCTTCGCGATAATGTAACCCTTAGACCGTCCAGTACCCAAGGTCGTAAAGATCTCGTGAGCGCGATCCAAAGCCTTCATAACTAATTGCATAGATTGCTGGTTGTTAATGACATCTTCTGCCTTTGTGCCCGCATCCACGCCGGCTTCCTTGAAGACATGTTCCAACAGATGAGCGGGAAATTCTGGGAAACCAGCGCTCAGAGCCTTTCTCAGATCGTCTCCTCCTTTCGCTCTTTTGGCCTTTTTACCTCCAATTTCGTTTGCCGCTTTCGTTCTCTGCACAGCATGCTCAAGAATCTCCTTGACTCTGTCCGATGTGATGGGAGGAATGCCATGAAAGTTCTGTTTTACTTCTAAGGTGTATCTCCCACCCAATTTCACGTCGACATCTTGATCACCTTCACTGACCTGTCGTAGTAAAGCAAGGACGTTCAACTGTGCGTCTGTGACTATTATGTTTCCGGCGGCGAAGAACTCCAAGTATAGCCGATACTGACCGTCACTGAAGGTTATTTCGATGACGCGATCTGTGCCTATTTGTGCCACATTTGTGACCCGCCTGCTCTTGAGGTACTTCCGCAGCCGACTGACAAAAGCTGATGGCGCAGTCGCCGCTGTTCTGGAGAAAGACGTAAGGTGACATCGGAATCCAGAGTCAACGATCAGCTGTTCTCGGCGGCCAGGTTTGGCGAACTTGAAGAGGAAGATTCTACTAGAAAGGTCGTAGATATTGGAGACACGTAGAGTCGTAAGTGATGTTGCTAGTTCAGCCGCAATAACCTGAACAATAAGATTGTAGTCAGTCGCGACGAAATCACCAGGCGGGGACAGGGCTTGGATTAACCGACCTTTACGTCGAGAGAAGAGAAACGCTGCTTCATAATGAGGACTTATCCGGTAATGGAATGAGGTGCGAAAGTTCTCAAAGCAAAAGAAAAGGGCACAAATACAAACTAATAAGTCGCACTTTTCGAGTACCTGGACATAACTAGTGGTGAGGAGAGAGACATGGAAATACAGTCGCAGGCACTTTTTGAAAGCCGCCCTAAATGACGTCGGCTTGTCATTCATCAGACACATTGATTTTTGGTCCAGGATCTCCATTAATCAGATACTCCACGCTTGCAAGGCTTGCCTCCTTGTGACTTCGGCTCATAGCTGGCACATTGCCAGTCACGACAGATTGCTTCTGTTTCATGAACTTCAGGACAATATCGCACCCATGATAACGCCATAGCCTGCGCCTAGCGCCAGCCCAATCATTGCCCAATAACGACTTTCATACATGCCTGCACTTCCCACGGCCACAATGGTCATAAGTTCCTCCGGACAAACTCCATCCCCTGCTTCTTTCCAAACTCCCAAAGATTCTGAATACCTTGTTCGCTTAGGTCGATGTTCTTCATGTTTGGTGCGTCCTGCGCGGGAGCCTTGGTCACTCTCGATGCCACCATGACCGGGTCGGTCTCCAGCACGATGCCGTCGTCCACAATCTCGTCAATGGCGAGCGTTACTAAGTCATAGTTCTCCATGATTGTCCGCTTATCCGTTGAATTCCTGCAATAAGTATTGTTAGATACCCGCTCGCTATGTTAGGAGGAGGCGAACCGTACTTGAGTAGAATGCTGAGTGTATCCCTCAAAGCCAAAATCACATTGTATAGAAGGATCTCGTTCTCTTCAGGGCCTCCGACCACGTATATCATAACATCGCTTTCCATCTTAAACACCACGACCTTATTGTCGTAGAGGATAACGTCCGAGGTCTGCTTTGCGGTCTTCTCTAGCAGTCCCTTCTCAAAAGCCTTCTGCTCCTTAAGTGTAGGGTAGGGTTGAGGAGACGCAGGTAGCGCAGGTGATGTGTGAGGGGGATTGTAGTATTTGGCAAACAACCGAGAGGACTCAGGGGATGTGTCGGTGGAGAGGATCAAGATTGCGATCACGCTGTGAAGCGACATACTGGGCGCCATGATTGCCAATGCCTTCGTTCAGCCGTACCGGGCGCGCGTCTGGCCTGAGCTTGTTTGATGAGAATAAGATCGCGGTCAATATGGTCTGAATTGGTGCCGATGCGGTACGCGAATGCCCTCGTGTCAACTTGAGAAAGGACACCACATTGGATGTAATGCTTGTGCAGTAGCATAAATCCGCCGTATAATCTTGGCGCTCATCTGCGGATGCGACAAGGCTGAGAACGGCGGAGTATAGCGCAAATCTTCCCTTATACTGAGTCCTGGTTTTCACCCGTCGACCAACGTGAAATCTGGAGTCCACCATCCAGCATTCGCTATACAGCTAACAATCGCGATGGGAAAATCATCCAAGGACAAGAGAGACGCCTACTACAGACTCGCCAAGGAGCAGAATTGGCGAGCACGGTCGGCATTCAAACTCATCCAGATCGACGAGCAGTTTGATCTCTTCTCGTATGCAGAACCATCCCAGTGTACACGAGTCGTTGACCTATGCGCAGCCCCCGGCAGCTGGAGTCAGGTCCTTTCGCGCATCCTCATAAAAGGTGAAAGCTTTGGCCGGAGAGCATGGGTGGAGAAGATGGAGGGATTTCGTAAGCAAGCTGGCGGACCAGTGGGCGAGAACTCGAAGGACGACGACGTCTCCGGTATGGGCGCCCTGGGAGTACAACCTCCTAGTGCAGAGCTCAAGCCTCGCCCTAACGTGAAAATCGTCGCGATCGACCTTCAACCGATGGCCCCCTTGGAAGGCATCATTCAAATGGCGGCCGATATCACCCATCCTTCTACAGTGCCGCTTCTTATGAAAGCTATCGACCCGGACTTTGATGAGCGCAACCAAACGCATAAGGTTGACTTGGTCATCAGTGACGGTGCTCCCGACGTGACAGGTCTTCATGATCTGGATATCTACGTACAATCTCAGCTACTGTACTCTGCGCTGACATTGGCGATGAAAGTGCTCCGACCGGGCGGCAAGTTTGTGGCTAAGATTTTCCGCGGGCGCAATGTGGATCTGATCTTTGCACAGCTCAAACTGGTCTTCGAAAGAGTTCACCTTGCCAAACCCCGATCTAGTAGAGCAAGCAGCGTCGAGGCTTTCGTGGTATGTGAGGGATACCGGCCCGTCAAAGACTGGACTCCTGAGATTGGAGACGCACTAAACATCCCGCAACGGGCTTCGCAGCAACCAGTGCATTCAGAAGCGCAGACGAGACATGTGCGAGAGGATGGCATTGTTGAGCTTCACTTTGAAGACGAGGAGAGCGATCCGCAAAGATGGATCGCGCCGTTTCTCGCTTGCGGAGACCTGTCCGCATGGGATGCTGACGCCACCTACAGGTTGCCAGCAGACTATGTGAGCCTCCCACCAGTACAGCCGCCCACGGCACCGCCTTATAAAGAGGCAATTGAGCGCAAGAGAGCCGAGGCCGGTGCGTACGGCAAGACTAAAGATCGACTTCGTACGTCACATCGTGACGGGACTTGAAGCACCTTGACCAAGCTGTGCTCCGCAGACGGGTTGGTATCCTCCGACGGTACGTCGGGAACACTCGCTTCCGTCATCAGGCCATATCTAGGAAAGATGGCATCACTGCCTTACCCAGTGCCCACTTCTGCTGTCCACGACAACCGCGACGAGAGCCTACTCGAACATGGGAACAGGGCGTGCAGCACGTCAACAGTGGGCAGCGGGGGAGTATGCCAACCAGAAGGCGGTTCAGGTCTCCCGCAGCCGGCGTCGAGACGCAATATCTATTCATTCAAGATCAATACACCGCCCACGCTTCCTACCTGTGCGATAGGAATTCGCCATCTCTCGTCCACTGGGAGGAGGCACGCTTGGGACCTCTCGAGGCATCTACTGAAGCAGCGAGCGGTCTAGTCAGACAGTCGCAACATCATTTGTATGGCAACCAGGATCAGTGGCTCCTCGTCGCACCACTTGTCTTAGATATGTGTTCAGGGTATAGCCTTGTGCAGCCGTCCTATCATGATGAGCGTTTGATCTAAAGCTTGATTGGCTGCTAGATCCCAAGATGAATTGGCGCAGACTGTGTTGCGACTTCGGACATTCGCTGTTCCTTTCTGCCTGTCCCCCTACGCCGTGTCTGTCGATTCTTCCGACAGAATCTGACGGAATATCTGCCGTTGGATTGATTGAGATTGTAGCCGTTGTCAGAATGTACGAATCCCGTTGCGCAGCTTCCCAGCGGCTTGTCCTCGTGCTTGCTGTTGCCGGGAATGTCTATATGACGAAGTCGCGAGGATATGCACAAACATGTTCGGGAGTGGTGATGCCTGCCTCCCATCAATGAAAAATGACATCGCAACTTCCAAAAGATGCAAGTAAGAGGGTTCATTCTTTCCTCCTTTTCGATGAGCCCGCACAGCTCATCCCTATAAAACTGTGAAAGCCCCCATCTCTCCCTCTCTTCACACTCTCTCTCTTCCACATCTCATTTGAAGACCATCCCCAGCATTCCTCGATCACTCATTTGTACCCATTCAACTATTACCAAGATGCATTTCTTCAGTCTCGCTCTTCTTTTTGCTGGGGCCAGTGCGGCAGCCATCAAGGGCCGCGCTGAAGATGGTCAGCTCGACTACCTCACCGTCCGTCAAGTCACCTCTGATACGGTATGCACTGCTGCTTTTTGAGTTCTTTCGATATCCCAGCTGACGGTGAAGCAGACGTTGACTGCCACTGTCACAAACTCGGACGGTTCAACAGGCACCATCACGGCAACCTTCACCAACACTGTCCCTGCCTCAACCGTTACCTCTACCGCCCTTTCCACCCAGACCGTCAGTGACATCAGCACCACGACCGAATCGGTAACCAGTATCCAGACTGTCTCTGACGGGACCACCGAGACCATTACATCCACTGAAACACAGACCCTGATCGGCGATCCAGGTCAAATAGTCACCAGCACTGAGACTGAGACCATCACGGACGGCAGCACTCAGACGGTCACTAGCAGTGGGACCGAGACCGCCACCAGCACCGAGACCGCCACCGACACAGAGACCGTCACCCTCACCGAGACCCTGACCAGCACCGAGACCATGACCAGTGGCTCTACATACACCACCACCCGAACCTCCACGGAAACCACAACTCAGACAGTGCGACGCCCACGACCAACCTTTGGAGCTGGACCACCATTCCGCCGCCCCTATCGGGTTGCTAAGTAGGTCAGCGAGGCGGCCCGTATCTGGAAGACAAGTGGAAGCAAGGGTATACATGAGGCAGCTGGACAGACAAGCGTGCTGGTTGACTTGTCGATCAGGTCCAGAATGAAGTTTCCTTTCTGTACAAGTCAAAAATGGGGAGAGAAGCGATGAACGTGGACGAGATCAGACACCTAACTCTTGTGGGAGAGGCCTTTGCATGAGCCGGCTGCCGGGGATTGAAGAGTGGGTGTGTCACCAATCCTCTATGTCCGTATCATTAGGCAGCAGCTGCCGGAGTAGCCTGGCTGAGTTAAGGCTTCGTGCCATGGCCTGTAACAACGCAAACACGCTGGTATTGTCTACCTAGGTGCCTACTTTGATTTTTTGTCCTTGTCCTTGTCCTACCTACCCAAATGGACTATATTTTGCCCACTCATGATATGTCTGCTGGCATCTGCCGTGCCCACGTTTGTGCCTCGTACGGCGAAGTTGGCGATTGAGACGAAAGAATTCTAGTACAGCAGATACATAAGACACCGAGAAGACCAGGGATGCTGCCACTTGATGCCGCTGAACGCTCAGTATGGGAAACGAAACCACTGAATCGAATGCCTAGGTAGGTAGTTAAGGGCCACCCTGCCTAGATCAGCTAAACCTCTTCGTCGCAGCCCGGGTTTCCACGAATCAGCTTGAATGCAGTGAAAGTTGCTCTGTAGTGTCTCAGCGTTCAAGTTGGCCATCACCACTTCACTCCGGCAGGCGCAATCTGCGGAGCAACCTTCGAGTTTTGACCAACCCTGCCAGACTGCTGACGACTTCTGTCGAATTCTCTCACGACGATTTCACACTTGACCTCCCTGCAAAGCTGTTTTCTCCTTTCCGCCGGTAGCTTTTCGCCGAACAGCAGTCCACTCGCCCGCTCCACAGCTTCGATCGGGACTTCAAAGTCGCCCAGGCTCTTTTGATTGGGGATCTCTGCGTTCGGTAAGACGAAAGCACCCAGTGCGACCTTGCCGATAGGGCTTTCGGCGGCCTCCTCGGCGAAGATGATTTTGAAGAAATGGGTCGGCACCGCCACGTTTGGCGGATTTCCGATGACCTCGTAAGACACCCGCCATTTACCATCTTTGTCGTCCCTTTTGGGCAGATACAGAGGTCCGGTTACCACCCTGACGCTGGGATACTTCTTGACCAACTCTCGACAAAAGTCCTCGAAATGTGCCCAGTAATCTCGGTTGAAGCCTTCCCCAACCTGAGGACACATGTTGCTCAAGACAAAGGTAGAATCCATCGCCTCTTGTGACCATTTTGCATCTGCCGCCGGCATTTGGTGTCCACGATCATATCCGCTTCGTGCGTAATCCGCCAGTTTGGCTCGGAACATCGGAGGTACCGTCAAGTCTTCGTGAAAGACGCTATTTCGCCGAGAGGCATTGTTCAAGAGCAGTGACTGGGCCGTGAAGTGTTCCGCTACCCAGTGAGGATTTCGAGTCGCTCGGTTGAAAGCGGCAAGGAAAGACGGCGTGGACAAAGTGTCCGCAATAGGTCCAGGGAACCCATACCGCAGAATTCCAGACGGGTCGACAGGCGGGAGGAGTGTAGTGGTAGGAGCAGGAGTAGCTGATACAGCGACCGGTACAGGAACCGGGACCGGAACGGGAGCAGCAGGTAACGAGGGCGGTTCCTTTAGTGTCGATGTGGGCGTAGGGGCAGGGAAAGGTTCGCGTTGTCGAGATCTGGACAATAAAAGAGCTGTCACCGATGCCCCTGCGGCTGCAGACGCCGCTGCGACGATGGCAAGGGACGTGTTGGGCATGTGAGTGATTTTCGACACAAGGCTCTTGGGCCCATAATCCGTCGTTCTACGTTATCTAGCAATTATATTGAGGGATGAACAATTCGTGTCTCGGGAAAATTGGAGCGCGGCACAAAAGTCCAGTTACCGGCGAGGCTCAAACCCTGTGCATTTGTGCAAGGGAACGCGTAAATGGTTAGCCTCCATACTACTACTAGTTGCCCCGAGTGGTTGACTAAGCGACAAGGCTTAGGGGCGCAAGGACTCTGTAAGTACCTCATAAGGTACCTATCCAAGGGACTGCATTTCCATTCCAATTGTTCGGGGCGTGCCCAGATCCCCCGTTATCGGCTACTCATGAGCCACTTTTCTAACAGGTCCTCCTAGTCGCAGAAGCAGCGTCATACGCATCATATGCTGCAGTCGCTTCCTCTTCCCGCCGTCTGCACTTTCCGTGCCTGCGACCCCAACTCCTTTCAAAGTGACAATATTTCAGCCGATCCACCTCGTCGTGTCCAGAACCACGATGCATCAGAGTTGTAGAACTTAAGACGCATCTTCCATTCTACACAAGTAAAGTGTATATTTTGCTACACCAGTTGTGCAAGACTTTACCTACCTCATACATATTCCGCCGTACCTCGCCTCCGAGGCGAGACCATCAAGATGGCCATTGACAATGATACTCGGGGATGGATCATGACATGCATCAGTGGGATCGGTAAGGACCCTGGCTTGCTTCTGCGCTTTTGATACAGCGATTGCTAACACCTGCAGCCTGCGTGCTTGGTGCTACGATCATCTGCGTCGACATAGTGGTCCGCCTGTTTCCACGTTGGCATGATTTTTCGATCGCGGAAAGTGATGGCTTCCTTTCAGCATCGCTAAGTCTGAGCTTTGGTGTAATGGTAGGGAACGACTCCCTTCTTTCTGGACAGGCTAGTGAGCTGATATCATGCCAGTTGTTCTCCTCTTTGTTCTCGATGCTGCCGCAGTCGAAGACCTACCTCGAGGACGCAGGATACCCACCTCGGACTGCCTCGTTCCTTCTCATCGGCCTGTTTTTAGCGGGAGTCGTGGGTATCCAATTTTTGTCGCGCGTCATTCATCGACTATTACCGTCGCACGTTGTGGACTGTGACCATAATCACGATGATGAGGAGAACTTAAAGAAGCAACGTGAGGAGATGGCAGAGCAGTTACACGATGAAGAACACACCAATGGACTTCCCATTCCAAGATCAGGCGCCGCACCAGCTACGGAGGAAGATGAAGATACACCGCTGCTTACACGCACGGCCAGTCTCAGCCATCTGAAGCATAATCATGGAGGCAACGGGGATAATGAAGCCGGTCGCAAACAGTCATTCCACACCGCGCCCAGTAGTCGAAAACCCTCCATGATACCTAACACATTAACGAGGACGTTCTCCAAATATGTTGTTGGACAAAAGGAAAACTGTGACGAAGAAGGCCCTTGCATGGGCTTCACAGATCCTTGTGGGCAGGATTGCTTCAAGGTGGTCCATCGACGAGTTTCAGTGCTGCCAGGCCACGGCGCTTTGGCCAGACATCAGACGTGGCAAAGTTTTAGCAATGATGGGCGCCCTGCGGCGCCTTCTTTAGAAGGCGTTGAAGAGATGCCTACCGAAGATGAATCCGGACTGATTCATTCCCATACTCACAGCGGCTCGAAAAGTGTCAGGCCGCCTGCGGGGCGCCCGCGATCTGCCATTCACCATACACATCACATTCACCATCAAGACCACGAACATTCGGAACTAAGCAGCGACAGCTTGCGTCAGGTGTCGGGAGTTTCCCACTCAATCGGACGGGAACATCATCATCATGTTCCCACCAACGCGTTCATGTCGATAGGGCTTCAGACGTCCTTGGCTATTGCGCTGCACAAGGCTCCTGAGGGCTTCATCACATATGCGACCAACCATGCCAATCCGCAGCTTGGATTCTCCGTGTTCATGGCGCTCTTCATCCACAACATCACGGAAGGCTTTGCAATGTCTTTACCACTCTACCTGGCGTTGGACTCTCGCTTTAAAGCGATCGCGTGGTCGGCCTTCTTTGGAGGAATATCGCAGCCTTTAGGAGCCGGAGTTGCAGCCTTGTGGTTCAAGCTAGCCAAGAAGAGCAGTTTTGGCGCACCTACCGAAGGCATATACGGTGGAATGTTTGCAGTGACTTCGGGAGTCATGGCTAGTGTGGCACTATCATTGTTCTCGGAGAGTCTACAATTGACTCATAACAAGGGGACTTGTATTGCGTTCGCTTTCTTGGGCATGGCGATTCTGGGATTTAGTTTTGCATTGACAGCGAGTTGATTTTTTCCTCTAGGAGGCAGTACAGGTGCATTCTTTGAGTGGGTTTGAACCGATGGTATTGTTATGATGGGATGACAAGGCACTCCATTGTGAGCATATACAACGCTGTTTGTTGCCCTTCTCTGCAAACTTGGTGTTGCTTACCCCCGAAAACTCCCGGGCTCTTTCTTGATCAGCATTAATTCCGTCCTAATCGTTCTCCATAACATTGGCAGTTCAGCCTACAAGGTACTAGGTAGGTAAGGTACCTGTAGATACATGTAGGTGTACTTTATCATGTCCATAATGCAGCCTGATGTTAGTACCAGGGGCAGGTGCTGAATCATGACGATGCCAAGCATTGACAATTCCCGCCGCGGAATATTGAACATGCACGTGACCAGTATCTCGCTGCGAGGTCCATCCCGCGCAGTTAGATGTGAGTCTCTGATGAAGTCCTACAAGCTATACCCACGGCGAGAGGACTCAAAGTCTTTTCACATTTGGACTCGATACTCATACGAAGGCGCGCAAGCTTGCACACCGTACCTTTCATCACAGCCCCAACCTCCATTGGAAAAGGAATGGGTCAAGTGTGCCTCCTCGACTCGGACCGACTGTCTGCGCTTTTACGAGAGGCGCTGTCCTGGAACGAGAATGTCTCGTCGCTCATGGTGTCTGCAACGAACGGATCGATCCTCGCCTACGCGTACAGAGGTGCGACGCCGTCAATCAAGGCTATGCGCACCCAGTCCACGACCATGACGGCCGCATATACTGTTGCGTCCGAGGACAGTCTTGTCTTCGAAGCGCAGAATACCGGAGCCATTTCTGTTATCACACCGATTGGGGACCATGTATTGCTGGCTGTGACGGGGCCGGAACCCAAGCAGAGAATTTCGAATTCAATGCCTAATGGGCATCCTGAAGAAGAGGGAGACACTGCACAGCAACGTGTCGTAAACGGGAGAAATGGCAGCAGTATTGGAGATGATCGTCGGCGGGAAGAAGAAGAGCAGGAGGAGCAGGAGGAGGAGCGCAACGGTCACCACTATGAGGAGGAAGGCGAAGACGATCATCAGAGGCAAATACGAACGGATCTTGAAGTCGTCGGCCAGGAGCTTGCTAGTGTGTTGAGGGACGAACTGGCGGCGATGAAGTGGCCGGACGATATTTGAGAACGTTGTAAGATAACGGGTGGTGATGTTTGTCTTTTTCGATCTTCATTCGGCCCGGCGTCATCTTTCTTCTTGATTCTGCCAGGAGGCCTTGCACAGGTAGCGCATCAGCATACACACCACGGCCATCCGCGAGTCTTTCGCTGCAATGGTATGACAGATACTGCCAATTGAGGACAGACACTACCATCAAGCCGGCGGGGGGGGGGGGGGGGGAATGCGTCCAGACATGCATACCGTTGCTTGCGCTGTCTTGGAGTATGGTGAACGATGCTGCCGCAAGTACGCGCCTGGCTATTGTGACAGTATCAGACGCGTCAGAGCCATCGCCAATTTGCCTCATTCTACGTGTCGGGGATAATGGGTCACTCTGTGTTACATTAACGAGGCTGGAAATCCTCAGATGCATCTGTCTGGACACCGGACCCAGATGCCACCCCCGCACTTGGCCTGAACCACTCGTGGCAGCTCGACCCACCGTTCAAGTTGTGAACCACTAAAGATACCGCTTTCGGAGTGGCAGCTCTCGACACTTCTGCCGACACGAGACAACCATCGCTCACACCCGCTCTTCCATGTATGGTCTCAGGCTTCGCCTCACTTCGACATTCAGCCTTCGCATTTGAGACCTGACCTTCCAATCTCAGGCGTCCAAGCTCAGCCTTGGCTGAGACGTCCTCTACTTCCGCGGCGCAGTCAAATCGATAGCGATCAGCCCAGCTGCGCACCGAGGTAGACCCCTTGTGAGATAGAACGATGTTGTATGTTTAGCCGCCTCCCCATCCATGAAATCTCACTGATGTCTCTGGTATAGTGCAATACCGCCTCCCCCTCGATACCCCACAAACAACGGGCTGATCACCGCCACACTCGAGACAGCCAACACCTTAACCCATCGCGAAGGACCAGAGTACACTTTTCAGGCTGGCGAAGGTGGGTGCGCAAGTCTCAGGAGGCGCCTCAAAGACGCTTATCCCCAAAACTAGGCACATATATCTTACGAGACGACCTGCAACTCGCAACGCCTCCTCCTCATCCCTCCGAGGCCCCGGTAATCAATCCGAATCCCTTGGCGACGAGCGTCGTTCCTCCGACCAGTGGGGTGAAATTATCGCTTGTATCGCTGAATCCCAAACAAATCAATCATGACCTGTATAAAGCTCCTACTGCCACAAGTAGCCTGTTGCGGTGGAAGTCACTAGGGCTGAACAACATCAAGGAAGGCAAAGAGGCAAAGGAGAGCAAAGAAAATAAAGAGCCAGAGAAGGAGCCAAGGATATCCATTGAGACGACAAGTGACATAAGCAATCCCGCGATTTCAATAAACGGGAGCAATAAATCAAGTACTGTCCGGGCGTTTGGTGAGGGAAACGCGGCACTATCGCCAGTCATCAGCAGGGGAGATGGCCTCAAGCGGCGGAAACCAAAGAACAACATCATTAAAAGCAACTCTTCGTTTGTGTCTCGGGTCATCCCGCACGAGGGCCTGGTCAAGAAGCTGGTAGAACGAGACCCAGGCGGTACTTTTGCGTTTGCGAATATCAATCGAGCCTTTCAGTGGCTAGACCTGTCCTCAAGCTCCAAGCAGGATCCAATGACGAAGATCCTCTTCACAAAGGCGCACATGCTCTGTCATGATGTGAATCCTCTCACGAAGCATCCGACACATATGGATGTTGTGATGGGCTCTTCGGCCAGTGATATCATCTGGTATGAGCCCATGTCTCAGAAATATGCCCGTATCAACAAGAACGGCATCATTAACAGCTCTGCTGTTGCGAAGATCAGGTGGATTCCAGGCTCCGAAAACCATTTCCTTGCTGCACACATGGATGGCACCCTGGTGGTGTACGATAAGGAGAAAGAAGATGCACCGTTTGTCTCTGAAGAGCTGGTGGACGAGGGCATCAGCATCGAAGACGAAGAACAATCTACACTGGTCATCACCAAGAGTGTCAACTCATCAAATCAAAAAGCCAATCCTGTGGCCTGCTGGAAGATCTCAAACCAAGCCATCACAGACTTTGCCTTCTCACCGGACAGTAAGCATTTGGCAGTGGTCGGGGATGACGGCTGTCTTCGAATAATCGACTATTTGCAAGAAAGGTAATGCCATTTGGACTGCTGCATAACGATGGCTTTGAGACAGAAAACTGATTTCTCTCAGATTAACCGATATATACTCATCCTATTATGGTGCTTTCACCTGTGTCTGTTGGTCTCCGGACGGCAAATACGTGCTTACTGGTGGCCAGGATGACCTGGTCTCTATCTGGTCGCTTCATGAGCGACAGATCATCGCTCGATGTCATGGGCATGACTCGTGGGTGGCGGCAGTGGCATTCGATCCCTGGCGATGTGACGATAGGAACTATCGCTTTGGCAGCGTCGGGGAAGATTGCAAGCTTTTGCTATGGGACTTCAGTGTCGGTATGCTTCATCGACCGAAAGGGGCGACTGCGCGGACGAGAGGTAGCATCTCGCAGCAGTCAGGGTCACTTCTCCGACAACGGACAGAGAGCGCAAGCGTGATTAACAGGATTCGGTCCGACTCAAACCGAACGGGCAGTATACAGCAAGACATTGTCGACGAATCCGAGTTCATCAACCATCCTGTGGAACCACGGGCGCGGACTGCACAGCTACCTCCGGTCATGGTATGTCTTGAGTTCTGAACAGTGTCATCACATTCTGACGTTGATCTACAGTCCAAGAAGATTGATGACCATCCATTGAGTGGTCTGGCATTTGAGCAGGACTGTATCATCACATCTTGCGTTGAAGGTACGTCGTCTGACCCAATGTCCTTCGTCAACGACCCTTGGAGCTTACAATTGACTCAGGGCATGTGCGTACTTGGGACCGGCCTCGAGAAGGCCCGAACAGTAGTCAAGTCGACTTATCGGAGAAGAAAAGACCGTAAATGAACTACTGGCGCATAGTACCCAAGTGGCACATGTGCATATATGTTGGGTGCAACGATCAACGGCCAACGACGAACAGCCAGTCTTCCGATAGCCGGCTTCGCATGCGGATTCTGCCTCCAGCAGTCCACTCTGTGCAGTAAGTGTCTTGCCTGCGTAGTTCGAACTATGAGAGAGATCAGGCTGCTACCATCCCCGTCGTAACGAGTCGGAACGGGAGGAGACACATGCCACGACTGGTGCACATGTGCGGACACCGGCGTGATCCTTGGTACCACGACACGATGACAAGTTGCTTGGCCCGCCTGGGTTGATAATGCCATCAGCCAATGAAGAAGGCAGCGAAGTTACCAAATACATGTACCTTTGGCCAGGTATTCATACTATTGCGCAACTTATGGTGTCACTGGAATCAAATACGTACTACTACACCGTGGGTGCCATGTCCGGGTGGAGAAACAAGCAAGCAGATCAGGCAAGGCATCATGGATTGATATCCAGGTAGTTATCAAGGTGTTTAAACTTAAACATAGTGCCCAGCTACAGCCAGCCATGAGGCTTTAAGACACCTGGACAGAGACCGGTTCATGGTCAAGGTGTTGGCCAGTGAAAGTCGAGGCACAACTTGTTGCTGTTCACTTCTTCTGCGGCCATTCAGAGGAGACCATCGAATTCAGTGGAAGCGTATTTTCTTCCGGAGCATGGTTGTCGTGTTGGAGGCAGGATAAAAAGCCATCCTGCGGTTCAGGCCAATGCCATCGTGGGACGCCTGGTTAGGCTGCGGCTCCCGCTGAAGCGAGCTCCCTGGGATATGAGGATCTTCACGTTGTTCCTGGTGCTATAGTATATAATCGAGGAACCCCTCCTGGCATGATACATCAGTCGTGCATATATCTCAATTCTCGTTTGGTCAGGTCGTGCTGTCTCGATTCCCAAAGTGTCCTGGCATATGCAAGGAAGCCCTCAAGCATTGCACGATGATAAGAGACTGTTGCAGTCTCTCCTACCCGCAACACTAGTTTGCAGTACAAGCTGTGGTTCAACGCCGCTGGCGAGAAAGGCCCCGGGAATGTACGGCTACTCCTTCAAGAAGTCGGAGAGCAATCCCATACCTACGCGGTTCACTTATTACGACTAAATGACCGACTACCATCACTGCATCAACTTCCAGACGAAATCGACCTCTATGACCTACTAGTGTAGGGTGTTTTGCCCTCTGCAACTCCCGAGCCTTTTGAATATCAGGTTCCCGGGAAAACTCGCCGACGGCCGACGGGCGATACTAGTAGTAGGTGGTCACAGAAGCTGGAACAGGCTGAAAGAGGTATAGGAGATAAACAAGCGAAAAGGACGATGACGTTAGGGAGCGGTCGATCGGCAGAAATGAGGGCGATCTTGCGAGATCTGCCAGTGGGAGATAGCCTGGGACCGTTCATAAATCCATCACACATAAGGGCAGAAAATGGTGAAGTGAAAAGGTTGCGGGTACGGACGCAAAAGCAGACCATGAGGCCAGACGGTCAGGAGCTGGATAAGAGACAAGGACAGGCTGCATTGTCACGACTGCCATCTCCAACAAGAGCATCATTGTTTCCGGGAGAGGTGCAGGCAGAAAGTGTCATTGAACGAGACTGCGACTGCAGCTCCACCAAGGGCACCAGGCATAGCGGCAGCACCGGTACCAGCGTCAATCATGTCTGTGCCAGCCCCAATATCGATAAAGCTACCACTGCCACTGCCACTATCACCACCTCACGGACTCATCTTCCAGCCATCACCATTATCGGCTGCTGCAATGGGTTGAGTCAACACACATATCAGTCGACGTATCACCAGGTGCAAAGCGAGGCCGAAGCAGATGAAGAAGAACGCCGTGAAACACATGCCAAAGAAACAGAGATAAAAGAAGGATCCACTGCCGCCGCATCGGTGTCAGCTACTACGGCGGGAAGACGCAGTGTGAACTCGCTGGCAGCGGGGCCGAAACCATCAGCAGCAGGACTAGAGATCCCTAGCCCGCCGCTGCCATCGCTGACGCCTAGACCATCTCTCATCATTTCAGGTACATCAGCAATTGCACCTAGAGCAACCGCGCCGACTCCCAGCGAGAGCTTGACTCTGACTCCTCCACGGGTATCACCGCCACGAGCGTCTGGGCCTAAAGAGCCTGTAGCTGCAGTTGGAGGGGACCATCGCTTGATAAGAACGACGGTATGTGGCTTGTCACTGTTTCCATATTACGATTTCCACCTTTTTTGCCCGATGCCCAATGCCCAATGCCCGTTGCCCGTATTACCAGGTATGCTAGGGCATATGGATGGCCCAATTTGGTATGCCGTTTGAGCTCTTTACTACCTAGGTACTAAGGTACCTAAGGCCTGAAAGGACGGCTCAGGCTGTTCGTGCATCGCCGACGTACCCAGCCTGACCGATTCACGCCTAACCTTCCAAGCTTAATTGTTGCCACCATGACCCATGGCAGTCCACTCACTCTGCGTCCCTCACTACGGTGTTCTGCAGTGTACCTCATCATCCAATCCGTTTATCCATTATCCTCCATCCATGTCATCCCATGTCTTTTTTGCGCAATTAATCCACCTCAATTCTCGGTGTGCCTTTTCGTGTCCAAACTGTCATATGCTGCTTGCAACTGCACAATCTGCTCTGCTCTGAGGTCTTCCTTCGCCCAGATCATCCTCCTTCTGACGGTTCTAATGTTGTCTGGGTACTCCAATAGCTTCGGCCACTGCTCCGTCTAAACCGCAAGCATTCGCCCGAATGCACCTCCGTCCAACATGAGCCAGTCTCACGTTCGTTCTTGAGTCAACGCCCCTCTAGCTCTTGTTCGAACGCTCCAGCGAACCGTCACTTCGTCGCCAGCCCTCGCTCCAAGTCGCCAGCCATGGCTCTCAAATTCCTGAGCGGCCACAGTTCGAATACCGGTTCGAGCAGCAGCGTCAAGTATTTCGACATCCGCCTGGACAATGATTATATTGTCTTTCGGGGTAGTGAGGATGAGGCCTCGAGCGCCTCGCTGTCCGGCACCGTCGTTTTGTGCCTGACTGAACCTCTCACCATATCGCATATCGATTTGACTTTGAGTGGCATCCTGCATATGTCGTGAGTACCGCTTCAAACATACACCTGGTCGTGGCTAGCGTAGGCATAATCATGTACTGACTGCCCACGTGTACAGATGGCAAACCACTTCCACTTCCTCCATGTCCGGCCGACGGACCGCATCCAAAGAGCGAACATTCTTCGAGAAGAGTTGGGTATTTCGAGAACCGGGGAAAGGAAAGACGGAGGTCCTGCAGCCAGACAACTACGAGTGGCCTTTTCAATGCGTTCTACAAGGCTCTCTCCCTGAAAGTGTGGAAGGACTGAAAGATGCTTGGATCATATATCGGCTCAAGGCACAAATCAGTCGCAAAAGAGGCCGAGATATCGTGGTCAGGAAACCCTTGCGTATCGTCCGGACTCTCGATTCCAATGCTTTGGAACTCTCTCACGCTATGGTGTGTAACCCCCGCAGATTACGCCTCGCCAGGCTTCATGACACTAACTCGTCCGGCAGTCAGTGGAAAACATCTGGCCGAACAAGATTGAGTATTCTATATGCATACCGAATAAGGCCGTGGCATTCGGGTCTTTTGTCCAGGTCGATTTCAAGCTGATCTCGCTGCTCAAAGGTCTCGTCATTGGAAATGTTTCCACTCAGGTCAAGGAAGAGCAAGAATTTGTCGTCGACCCAGAATGGGGCATCTCCGCCCTCAGCAATGGCCACATGAAAACGGAAAGGGTCATAGTCGCGGACGTCTACCGGATCAATCCCGAAGTGGACGAACAAGTTATCGACGAAGTAGCAGAGGGTTATCAGTTCTCTCGCTATCTGGAGCTCCCGAAATCGCTCAACCATTGCCTTCAGGACTGTAACGTCAAAGGCATCAAAGTGCGCCACAAGGTGAAGTTCAATGTCCAGCTGCACAACCCGGATGGTCATATTTCCGAACTACGAGCCAACCTTCCAGTCACCTTCTATATTTCACCTAGTCTGCCAATCAACGAGAACAATGACCTCATCGATCAAACACCACAAGCATCAAGAGCCGCAGTAGCGAACGACTTGGCCAATTCTGCGCCGCCGGTTTATGGCAAGCATACGCTGGATCTGTTGTATTCCGACGTGGATGGCTACAGGACTCCGGGGACGGCTCTGTCGACTCCAGGCACGCCTTACTTGCACAGTCGCCACACCTCGTCAGAAAATCTGGCCAGCCTTGCCGCCATCACGAATGGGACATATGTTTCACCCATAGCTCTTCAGAATAGGCTTCAGAATCTACGCGGTGGCCTTTCGGGTCCTTTGGTGGAGGATGAGAACGATCTATATCGGGGAGACCCAACAGCACGTTCCAGGAGGAATTCCTCCTCTGCTCATTTGCAGGAGGATTATTTTGCGTCTCAAGATCCCCGAAATTCTGCGACACATCCCAGAATCAGCCCCTACGACACCGCATTTCAATCCGGACTTCAATCAACGACGCCAAGCCAACCAGGTAGTAACCTCATGTCGCGGCGGACCTCTGAAGAAGACGAAGGACATCAGTCTGGTACTCGAACACCATTCCCTCAGTTCGACCACATGGAGGACTTGGCAAAGGTTCCTTCTTACTCAACCGCGGTTAAGGCGCCTGTCCCGAGATCGGATCTGTCGAGCTCCCTACCCACATACGGAGCGGTTGTTCAAGGACCGAGCGCTCCTGCGCTTACAGAGCCTCCGACCGCTTACATTCGCAATTCTTCTAGGGTCCCGGGAAGCTTGGCATCGAGTCCTCCCGATGCGGGAATGAGCAATTCCCGCTCGGCTTCACACAGAAACCTGAGTTCGATCCAAGATGACGAGCGAAGGATTAGGATGATGCAAATGCGAGGCCGGTGAAAGCCGGGAACCTTGATTTCATTTATTTCAAACGTGTTAACGAACCATTTGAAGAGCATTTTTTCTGGCGTATAGAAACAACGATACCCGATTGCGAACACCGCCGCAGAGCACTTCCATTAGGGATTACGCATCTTTATTGATTGCGGCAACGCTAGGATAAGAAGACGATTGGTCGAGAATCACCACTTTACAGAGTTTACATGCTCGTGCGCATACGAAAGATTGCGTTGATGGATCGAGACGACTATGATGGCAAGCGTTGGGCCCATCATTTGTGTACTTGTTGGGGACTATTGGTAGAGTTGAGGTGGATGACGTGAACGATTTGGACGATTGAATGGGCTTAGAGCGCATCACGAACTCCTTGAGCCGCCCTTTGACTCTACTCGAGGTGTATGGTCTGGTAAAAGATATTGCCTGGGGTTGGCCAAGGGATGAACGGGCTGGGAAGGCCCGAGCAAGGCATTCTAGGTGCATTTACCTTACAGCGAGGTGGTATGACAGAGGAGACTGCCTCCTTGGGCAAGTCACAGAACACTTGGTGTGCTGTTATATACATACGTGCCTAATGCGCATACCTATACGATGAGGTGTTTACCGATACGTTTATGTATAGCCTTTTTCTCTGACCCCTGCACAGTCCTCTGTTACCATCACAGCCGGTGTGTTTCAGCGGATACATTCTGTCAAGGTTGTGCAGGGGCCGTCTACTCAGATTACACCGACCAAGAATGAGATGAACCTGGTCGATGGAAGTAAATACGTTAATGAGCCATAGTAGGTTTCCTCAAAGTTTCAAAAGGGCCAACGTTCAACGTTTGTGTTCGTGTCCACGTTGACTAGATGTAGAAGAGGGAATCGAATCGAGCCGTTCCGCACCCTTCCGTTTTCACCTTTCGCGTGCCAGTGGGAAAATGAACACCTGGGAAATCTTTGGTTAGCGGGCCCATTGGGTCCAGCCTGTCACTATGCAGGAAGACAGTGTTCACTCTCTTTCCATTCTCTTCTGAGGTGCCGGTTGAGGCTGTTGGAGTCGGTGTCCTCGGCCTTCGGTTGTTACCGTCACGAGTCATTTAGGTTGCATCATTCTCAAGGGTATTTTCAAACCCGGTCGGTTTCCCTTCCTACCAGTAACAACCCTTCTCGCCCAAGAGCTGGCGGAACTGGCTGCCCATTGCATCAATGACGATTTTCAGGTCCTTCTGTCTTTCCCTCACTCCGAGTCCAGGGCCTGCGGAGTCCTTGCTTTTGAGGTTGGTATTATCTTTATTGCTGTCTTTGTGCCCGGCTTGACCTCCGGCCCGGATCTTCTCGCCCCTTGCCTCCTGTGATCCGAATTTAACCAACCTCCTTCCGTCTACGTCGGCGGAGCTGGCTTGAACCACTTCAGGACTGCTTGCTGCTTGCAACGGGCCGGATTGTGTCAACGGAGTGATGGGTGTGGCGTCAAGTAAAGTTTGCCAGCGAGCCAGGAACGCCCCTGGACCTGGGGAAGACGAGACTTCGGGGATTGCATCGTCGTTTCCGTCTGTCCCTTCTCCGGCCAATGTGGGCGTCGATGCGCTCCGGGGATCAATCCGTGGGGGAGGACTCGCAGATCGAGAAGGCGGACGGCTGGCTGCGGAATTGGCAAAGATCTTTGCAATGGCGGGATCCCTGGATGGCGGGGATCTCAGAACACTTGCTAGGCGGGCCACCGATTGGCTATGCATCTTTTCAAGGAATATCGAATGAGAGTCGAGGATTGGGATGATGTGCGATTGTGTCTCTTTGGGCAATGATTGGAAGAGCTCGTGGAGTGGCCGTGTCAGCTTCCCTGCTCCCTTGCTGGTGATCTCAGGATCGTCAGGATTCGTGTCAGGCCCAGGATCTCGTTTGAACTGCGATACCGCTTGCTTTGACCACTCCAGATACCATCCAGTCAGTTCCTTGTCATTCTTACAGCATTGGTGAAGGAAGGCATGAGCGGCTCTCTGATGTTTCCGCAGCAATTGCACAAAGTCCCCGACCGTAGGCACAATCGATTTACCCGACTTGTCTGTTTGGACCTTGGCCAGCTTGATCAAGTCCTTGAGGAAGTACTCAAAGTCAGACAGCGTCGATGATAAATCAATGGCATTGTGCATTCGTCGTATGACAGGCTCGTAAGCCTCGATCACTTCCCTCACGGAAACGGTCAGGTGGTCCGGTGTGCCTTTGCAAAGGCACTGTATCAACTGCTTTCGATCACGGATCGAGAGGTGGATCGAGAGGTATTCGAGGGCTTGTTGGTGATGGAAATCGGTCAGTTCGGTCGACGAGCATTTGCTCTCCTGCAAGATGGCGGTGACGATCGACATGTGCTGCGTTTGGCTTTGTGTTCGGATGCGATCCTGCTCGTGCTGAGGTTTGTTGGTGTAATCTTTCAAGGAACGTAGTTGCTCTTTGCCGAGTTTGGCTCGTTCTCGTTCGATCTTGGACGCGCGGGATTCGAGGTCTTTGATATCCCAGTTCAGGACGGTGGAGATGATGCTGATTGACGTCAGTGACTATAAAGATCACGTCTTCCGGGCAAGGACAGGCCGTCTCACGTTTGCATTAGATTCATGCCTTCGTTTGGGTTTGACGTCAAACCCATCCAGTTTGTTACACTGGTCACGCTCATTTTGGCCAGTCCAATCTTGACTATGCCGTTGAGCATGGATGCCACATTTCCGATCTTCAAGGTCTGCTTGAGGACCATGTATGGTACCAGCCTGTTGGCATTGTCGACGAGCTTCAGCAAATACTGGCCCTTCGGTGACAAGATGAGCGTGTAATGCATCAAAGACGCAAGGCTGAGTGCCCGGTTAGCAATTTGCTCCATAGACTGGAAAGCTAGACAAAGCAGGCTGACAAAGTGGCTCACTTGACAAGCACGAATTCGTGCACCGCCTTCGCCTGCGGTCCATGGTCTTCCAGGTTGCCAGTTTCGGCAGTCTTCTGGACGAGCTCATCCAGGACATTTCCATAGACGGCATCGCTCAGGAATTCTCGGAAGGCTCGATTAAGGTCGTCTGCATTGCGGATGTCGTAGTTGTAGTCATGATTCTTGATCTCAGGAAAGCCACCATAGACACCTCGAACGGGATATTCAATCAGGGCGGAGATGGCAGTAGAGAGCGTTTTGCGACTCCCAATGACCCCTTTGTCGTAGCTCTCGCTGAGGTTGGCTGCTTCAAGGTTCTCGATGATATCATGACATTGGACCTTCCACCACTTTTCAGGCAGGTTGTTCAGCCCCGGTAAGTTCAACACAAATTTCGACACCAGAGCCTGCAAGAAAGGGGCATTGGATGGCTGTCCAGGTCTGGCCGTAAACGGCGGGCCATAGTGGGCGAGGGTGCCGGGCTTTCTGAACTCGCGGATCTGTGCGTAAGTGTCATGGTGGGTTAATATGTCAAAGAGCGCAGCCGACTGGGCGGGCGACAGGACCTCACCCATACTGTTAGACACATACAATACCGCTGCTGATGGTCAGAAACCGAAGACGGGCGAGATTGCTATCACAGTATGCAGGATACTCTGTAGAAGGAAGACGACGTTCTCCATGACGTAAGCTGTTGAGGCAACCCAATGGAGAGACACTCGGGGCGGCGAGGAAATTCGCCTAGGCGCCTAGGTTCCCAGCTAAAGTAGCCTCCTCAGCCCAGCATAGGTACCTACCTTAAGGTCCCTACAAATATCGCACTGGCAGTGGTGATACCCGTCATGCCTTGCCCGTCCGACGCCTAACCACCCTTGCCACATAGGCGCGACACGCCCGGCTGCACAAGTTGACGTGCAATGCCTCGGCGGGCTCCCGCTTTCCCCGCCCCGTGTCCGACGACTGCATGACGAGCCTTGCAAGAAGTCTAAGACTTAATCTCTTCAGCTGCTCTCCGTCCTCACCATCCTTAGCATTCAAATCGTTCCATGCCTCTTTTATATGGACGTAAAGGATATGCCCTAGCTTTGCTATGAGCTGAGGGGAGATGATCCGCTGGTCAACAGTCCATCTACACACAACCCCTCTCCGCAGTCCGAACAGGCCGATACCCACTCGGGCCCTTCTCGGTCAATGGAAATGGAAGCTTTCCTCTACGACTCCGCTCTTCTTGCAGCGTCGTTCGAGTGCTTTTCAACCCTGGAAACCCCAATACCAGCCTTCGGACCCCTTTCCGCTTGGTCCCTCACGAAAAGTCCGCTTCTTTAGGTCCCTGATATGGGCATCTGTCTTTGTCACCGTGGGCACCATCGTAGCCCTACGGTACCGTCTAGGGGCATACGTTCGACAGGGCAGAGTAAAGGTCGACTCCGCGGCTGACGCCCAGCTGGTACTTGGAATAATGGAGCAAATCAACCAACATCCTGCGGTCCAAGCTCTTAACGAGGATCCCGAATTTGAAGAGATATTTCCCCTTGCAACATCTCTTGAAGTCACCAAGGCAATACAGGAGAACGTTCCCGGGAGAAAGATCCACCATTTCATATACACTGCTCTCCGTGGTGCCCGCGGCGTCTTCCCCCGTGCCTTTTATTGTCCCTCACGTGGTATATTGGTCATGGTGGTCGGGTTTGGGTATGGCACCGCAGGGCCGCTGGACACCCTCCATAACGGGGCTATGGCCACGATGATCCAAGAATCCATAAGGCTGCTGGCACAAGCCTGGTTCCCTCCCGAGGTGGTTTACAAACTTTCAAATCTCCATATGTATTTCAGCATTCCCCTCATCGCGAACGGTATCTATTGCATATCTGTCGTGCCGGCTTCCACTGTGGCTGATCTCGAATTGACGGTTAACGAGCACAGATGTAACCGGCGTACAGGCCCGGCCATGGACACGTCGATCATCTGGCCAGAATGGTTCGATCCCACGGACCGACGGGAGAACTTCAACACAATGATCGCCCGAGTCTCGATGTATGACGGTCATCCCTTGGACGAGGCCAACGCGATTATTGTGAACTGTGTTGGGAGGTTCGAGGTACAACAATCCGAGCATTGGCCTCCTATCAACCAGCTAGAGCAGGTCGAGGATGATAAGGATGCTACATGAGAATTGAGTTACGATTACTCAATGTTGCTCCCCTCCGATTTCGAAATGCGCCCGGACTCCTTCATCAGAATGTGCAATCAGATCCCTTTGAAGTTGAAGGTGATGAACTGGAAGTTACACGCGTTGCTGGATGACTTCGCAGCCTACTGGCAGTAATATTGACAGTTGAGCCAAAAGTCCACACGCGTCCAGGCAGAGTCGGCATCTACTCCTCCGCGGTTGTCCTCCGAATGAGGTAGCTAAACCAATCATGGCCATGCAAGGATTAGGACATGGGCCACCAGAAGGCTCAGGTACAGAGCGAAGTCCCCTGCAAAGAGGTGGACGAAGACGGGAGGTTTCTCCTCAATCCTTGTCAGAAGATAAAAGGCGGGATTGGTCACGCACGGCGCCGTCTAGTGCATCGGACTCGGTTGATCGTGTCGTGCATATGCATGGATGGGACCCCTGGCTGCTCGAAAGTATATCAGACCAAATGCAACAGTGCCTCCTCTCTACTATTGAAGGGAATGGAAAGAAAAAAGATTTAATCAAGTGGAGCACGCTTGACCTGCGATCTCCTTGGAAGTCCAGAGTGCACAGCAGCGTGGTGTTAAGCATTAGGGGTCCAGACGTCCAGTCATCAATTCTTACCAGATAGAATATGGTATCATATTACATCTTCGATTGACTATAGTCTCGGCAGATACTTGAGTCTTGAAAGGTGTAGTAGAGTATTGGTCATCGAAGAAAAAAGCCTTCCTCCCAGTGATCTTCTTTTCTCTCCGATCTTCTAGGCTGTATTCATGTCGTCCTTGATCTTGAGACTCTTTCGCTTGAAGTTTGATATGCCTTGAATCTGTGGATACATGCTCAGCTCGATCTTGGAAAGAATTCCCCCAAAATTTTTTCCAAATTGTGCTCATCGAAGAACAAAGTTCTGCCCAAAGTGGTTCCTTAGTGACTCGATGCGCTCGCGCTTCTTGCAAAGGCTCGAACGAAGGCAGGACTGCCTGGGCCCCTCTGGGGATGTGCATGGTTGTTCTTCCAGCCTGCGGGATAGGTAGTTGGTTCAAGACAAGTGAACGCGCCACGTAGGTCGTTACAAGTCACTGCCACTGCTGGTAATACCTTTGCGGCGACACAGATATATTCTCTCACAGACGGAGCTCCACCATGGCATAGACGCGTAGATGACCTTTTCGTTCCCGGCAGGCAACGATACGCGGCACAAACATTCTGTTGTTCAGGAGCTTTCGCGTGGGCCTTCAACGCTAGACTGCTTCGGAGAGTTCGGGCTCACTGAACGGATAACCATCTCCTTGCCCACGTCAAGACTCCTGACATTGCAGGTCCAACCTCTTCCCTGCAACCACTTACCGTATTCGCCTTCCCATAGATACTCTGTCGCTTCGTCGGCTGTGACGCGCTTGACGCGCAATTTCTTGACGCTCAGACCATGGTCGTCCTTTACCTCGTCATGAGCGCTGATCCAGCATCGCGCCATGAGTGAGCGAGCAAGTTCAGCTCCACCTTGTACGCCCGTCATGATGTTGCCTCCGAGATACCATGGATTCTGGGCATGGTCGAAGGAGTGGAAGAGTAGGGTTAATGGAAGGGCCCCCGGTACCCGGACTAGGTGATTCTGAATGTACGGCTGGAGATCCGTGAGAGGAAGACCGTGCGGCGAGTAAATGATTGATATGGCCTTTGGCCGAGCGGGCGTGACTGGAGACAGGCCCGACATCGAAACGAGAGCGGTCACGGAATTTTGAAGGGCCGGGCTGGTTGGATCGGTTTGACCGCTCGCTGGACTCAAAGGAGACAACCGAGTCCCGGCGGAACAGCACTCGCTCGAAACTGCCGGCATTGTGGCGGGAGAATCAGGAGGCGTCGGTAAAGCGTGTCCAGACGCAGAAGGAGCGTGACCCAATTTGAACTGGGAGCGAGAGTCCAGCCGCGGTGATTGACTTGGGATTGTAACGAATCGATCCACGATCTCTCCAGTCTCTGGGTTTGGAACGACCTGGATGCTGGGTTCATCGGAACCATTCGGCGATAGGTCGGAGGTCCTGTTCCAGTCTCTGGATAACCGTGGCCGGTGTCTCCTAATCTGCGACAATCGAGGACTCAATGCAAGATCGTGGTTGCGAGAAGATCCATCAAATGACATGGGTCTAGCCACGGTAGGTGACATGAGCGGAGGAGGGCTTGAGGGCGGCATTGTCGTTGGAGTCAAGGGCACATGAAAATATCTTGTCGTCCTGGGAAGATCGACCGTGGAGACGGGTGCAAATGCTCTGGTGTGCGTGGGAGGCTGATATGTGATCCCGAACGCGTTATGCAATCCAGTCATGTAAGACTTGGCTGGAATGAATGCGATATTGAGTTCGCCAGGGAGACCAAGAGGAGAGAGCGGAGGGATTCGTATCTGTAGAGACCGACCAAATTTGGACCTGGGGTCGTATTTGAGGATGCCACGGACATTGGTCGGATCAAAATAGTTCCAGCTCTTGATCGTTTTTGCAGCACTCGGCTCGGCTGCGATGATAGTCTTTCCATGAGGGCGGAGTTGGAGGAGGGTTTCCTTGTGGCAATGGTCAGGTTTGTTCTGCGAGACAATAACCACATCAGGTTCTTCTATCTCGGAGAGATGCTGGATGGCACTTGTGATTCTGTGCTCTGTCTTTGCAAACCAGGGTGCTGTGACAATGGACGGCCCAGCAAGCCAAGGATCAATGAGAACTGATAATCTTCCATTGACAGATGGGAGGTCTGTAGCGTGAGAAGTCTCTTCATGCGAGAAGACAAGAAGGAAGGTCGAGTCAGCATTCAAATGTTTCACCACGACGGACATGAGGAGTGGCGACGATATCGACCACTGCAGGCGTAAGTGTTTCGTGCGTCAGAGTAAAGAGCTCGCCAATATCATTCAGACAGAATCATGATTCAAGAAGAATCGCAGACAGTACAGACAAGGGTAGACGAGGATTTAAATTGTGAAGCGACAGGAGCCTCTAAGACTATGCGTAGTCAAGGAAAGGAAGAGCCTGGAGATGCTCATGACTTTGGTACGTACTCCTGTACCATATCACAAGCCAGACAGCGGCTAGAGTTGATGATCTGAATGAAATCATCAAGGATTGTTGTGTGCTGCAGTGTGCAAGATGCCCAACTGGGATCATGGCGACGCCGGTGGCTGCACAGGATGAACGTTGTATGTGCAGCTTGAGGCTCGACTTGCTTCTGACCCAAAAGCCAGACATCAAACTAGCAGCACTGACACCACGCTACCCTTTGACCCTTTTGATACGCACCAACTACCGCTCCTCTATCGCCTGCTCCCCTGCTGATATTCCCCCCCACATCGCACCTAGAGCCACCGGATCGGCCATTTATCGCCTCGAGTTTCAATTTTAATCCTCTTCCGCCACTCTGGAGTTGGTTCCTATCGAACAGCGACAGCTCACCCACCTCCCTCGTCTTCCCTCTAGCTTATGCCCCAAGCGGCCTCCGAAGACCGAATGAGCACAACAGCAAGGAAGTCAATCAGAGAGATGGCTGGTTCTAATGGCAGCCAAGATCTGCCGTCAACACGGGGGCAGCTCTATCTACAACCGATTCGGAAACAGCGGTGCATTTCTCCCACCCCGAAATAGTCTCAACATCTCTTCTCCCATCCATATCTTTCTCGAGGTGGCAATACCTTGTTCTACGTCCACTGCGCGACCGGCCTGGATCAGCAACCCTTTGCCGTTAGCCTCCATCCCCAGGCTCATCAAATGCACTACATAAGCTGCGATCTCCGAGGGGTCATTGATGGGAACTCCTAGCGCCCGCATCCTCTTTGCCCAATCTGACAAAGACTCTCCGGATTTTCGTCCCGCAATGATGTCCGTCAAAGTGATGCCCGGCGCAACGACTGAAATAGCAATTCCTAGTTTGGCGGTGTCGTTTTTCAATGCCCGCATCAAGCCTACGATACCTGCGGACAGAGTTAATTGTAAAAAAAGGGCAGGATTGGCATCGAGAGCCTACCGTGTTTGGCAGCGCTGTACAGGGGAGCCCCGGCGCTGGCAAGGTAACCTGCGAGGCTAGCAGTCATGACAATGCTCCCTCCATTCTTCTTTTCGGGCCCTTTCTTGATGTAGTGGATGGCCAGCTTTGTTGTATCGTTGGCGGCGTGCATGTCGATGTCCAACGTCCGGCGGTCGGGCTCCTCGAGTAAACCGTCCTTGTCCATTCCATCTTGGAAAAACTGATCTTTGTATTCGGCAACCCCCGCATTCACAAAGACGCCGTCGATGGAACCAAACTTTTGGAAACCGGCCTCAAATGCCGCCCTTTGCGATTTCCACAAGGTTATGTCGCACTGCTGGTACAGGAATCGAGATGACGAGGTCAGTGATTTCGGTGCAGACGCATGAGGTTGCGCGCGATCCAGCACGACAACATTGTTGCCGAGGTCGTGGAGGAGAACTGCTGTCTGCAGTCCAATCCCGCTGCTACCCCCAGTGATGAGGATGGTGCTGTTCTTGGGCCCGGTCAGTTTGTCCCCTGAGACAATAAAGCTCTCGGGCGCCATGTTGTAAGCCTCTCTCTCAGAGATTGAAATCGGATCCAGGATCGAGTAAGTCTGGGGAAACCTGTTCCTCTTGGTGGGTGAAAGGACGTGCCGGTGCTGTTGCAATGTTTCCCCGCATTGTTAGTACTGCAATGCAACGACTCTTTGCCTCGGAACTGAGCAAGCAGACAAATTCAGGTTTCTTCCTTGCGTCTTCTAGACGAAGCAAGCAGTATAGCTTAAGGTCAGCTAGCGGTCAAGTCTCTGCCTTGCCTTCCGTTCTCCCAGCACAGCAAGACTTCTCCGAACCTTGGCTTACTCGAGTCGACTGCAGCGGACCTCGACCTGTTCATTCAACAGTGGCCCGATCGCGTTTACGTTCCCCGGACATTCCAGCGACGACAATGGCAGGGATGCTTCTCTAATCGTGTTCTTTGCCAAGTTCTCATGACAGCCTCTCGCCATGGACCACAGACTGGCTCGGACCAGCCATGTGCAAGCCGGCATTTGGCTCATCGGAGGGTTGATCTTCTGCCGCCTAATGTGGTTATCCTATCAGCATTGAGACCCGGCTGTCCAATGTAGCCCGAAAGTCCAAAAAGCAGCACTCAGAAGTGTTCGAATATTTCCAAGATCAGATCCTTGTACAAACTACTACTTAAACAGTCCATGTGTGCACAGCTCCACAGAGGTGAGACAGGAAAAGTGTCAAGAATGAGGGCTCCGGCTTGTTCTGGTTAGGATCGCATGAAGAAGGTATACAGGCAAGGGATCCATATACGTGGTACGACGGACACGTGGCAATCCGCCTAGGTTACCTTATGTTTTGAGTAGTTCGGTCCTGGGCTGAAACGTCGAAGACATGTAAAATGGGCTGCAAGCATCCGGTCCTCATCGTCAGTGTGACAGCTGTTGTGCTGCGTCGTCCAACGTGGCGTTCCCTGCCCGTTGGAGTTGGACCGACTTTGTTGTGGAAGATTCACGTTTTCACCTACCGTGCTTCACGGAACTGATTGATTGGGACGTCCTGAACCCGTGGGAATTGCTTAGCTTGCAGACTGAATGAAGAGTGGCAGACATAACTCGAGATGTATTCCCATCGTCGATTGGAAGGCAGGCGAAAGCAGTCCTTCATTTGCATCTTATCCTTGCAGTGAGTTAGCCACCGTGAGATGACTATCCTAGGCGTGCTTTCCCGGTGTTGTCGCCGGCACCCACAATCGCCGGTCTGAGGATCCTCAGTCCTTTGCTCGAAGCCGAATTACCGACACCGTTGTAGATAGAAGATCAACTTGCCGAGCCCGGTTCCAGAAACAGTGCAGCCTGAGCCCTGGTGTAGCACGATGGAGGAGGATGTCACCATTGCAGTAGACTGCCGGTAGAGAAGAACCCTGCTGTGGTACGATTGGCACCGGAAGGACTGGGTCTTATGGCTGGCTGGTCCCTTAGCCCCCTTCTGAAGGAATGAACGATATCGAGTTTGAACTGTCAACCGTCAACCGTCAAACATGGGGCTCCGACTGGCTTCTTGACGAATTATGACCCAGCATGAAGAAAGGCGCCGGCACAGTGTGCCTATGCCCTAGGGTCCCAGGTAGTTAGTTACGCGAGCTCAGCGACTACTATCCGGGGGCATCGAGAGGCACTGCAGACAGCTTTGGATCCCTAATGCAAACCTACTTAGAGGCCGCCTGTACCTAAGGAGCACTTAGGCATTCAAGTGGTGACCGATCAAGCCCAACCGACTCAAGATGTTCTCTGGATCCGTACCTCATCCGAACTTTGGGTTTCCAGTTCCCTTCGCTTCATCCATCCCAGCCACTGGGAGAGGTCGATTGTTCCTCCTTTAGGCTGACATTGCCCGATGAAGGCACAAAGATCCGACACTGGATGTCCTTGGGCGTCAAGGGTGAGATGCAGACATGACTAGGTACGTATCTCTTGCATAGAGACGCGGCACCTATGAACGAGGCATGAGAGAGCTGAGCAAGGGTCACCCCTCAGTTGAATCCCTCCCACCTGGAAGAAGCCGAAGGATGCTTGTTCTTGTCGTGGGCTGCGAATCGTCCAGCATGATATTTTGACACACGATTGTTGTGGCTACACCTTCAGACTTGTCCAACAGATACCATTTCGACCTCGCTTCGTCCAATGCGATGGGCAGCATGCATTCACATGTCCTCTCAATCGCCTCTCTCTCGCTAGGCTTGCCTCCAGAGGCCTCACGATTGGCGACCAATTTCCACAAGCGGCGTGAGCTGGATGCCTGCATCAGGGAAGCGTGGGTGAACCTGACAACATGTTTGACAGGTGTCAAGGGGGCGACCAGGTTGGGTGAACGGTGGCGCTGCTGGGTGTACGTAAATGAGTTTCCCTTGGAACTTTGGAAGATTTCCTGTGGCCCTTGCTCTGGCGATTTGGCGAGGTGCAGTCGTGGATGACTAGGATTATCTCTGGGAGCGCGCGAACCTCTCGATCAAATTGATGAAAAGCCTACAGGGGTCTACCTGACAACAACAGTTCAGCAGGGTTTGCTTTTGGGACAGGAACCAGGCACAATCACAGCTGGGACGCCCCCTCCTTACAGAAGAGGAACCAACTCTAGTGACGCCGACCCCACCTGGTTTCTGTGTCCTGCCTCGACAATTGGACGTGGACTCCGACGGACAGTTCCCAAAGAGGCGATGAGAGACATGGAAACATACCTAGTCAGCGACGACCTCTCCACGACAGCTATCAACGTTGTCCAGCAGCCAGCAGCCGGCAGGAAGGTTTGAAGGACCACCACTGGCGGTCCGAAGATCCAGGGCCATGTACGTATCCTGTGGAAGTTGTTATATATCTTGGGTGCTCGTCGTCCTACCGGACTTGATCGACCGTCCATCTGTCCTTGCTGCACTCGCCGGGTAGATCTCCATAACAAAGCCAGACGACTTGCCCATCATGGTGCGCATTCTGCCCGCATGGCTACACTGGTACCAAAAGCCTTCCTATCGCGACCCCAAGACTTTTACCCAGACGGCCAACGCGGCGATCGAGGATAGCCATGGATCAAGAGCGCCGTCCATTTCGTCACAATCCGATACTGCTATTCCCGCTGACTTGTCCCTTGAGCGTGTCCTTACCAATCGGACATGTAAATGATCCAATCGATGATGCGTTCGTTCATGGAGTACTGACAGTCCGATTTACAGGCAGTCCCTTGTCGTTGTATGATTTCTACATGTACCTGAAGCATATAGAGTTGTCGCCGGAGAACCTCGAATTCCTGATATGGTGAGTATCTTCATTCAGCAGAGTCTTTGTAGGCCTATCTTCTCACTCGCTCTATAGGTTCCGTGACTACCAGGCTCGTTACGATGAAGATAAAGAGGCTGGTGTATCCGACCCGGCAACGCGGCTGCTCAAGCTCTCGGACGAGAAGTCGGGCACGTACACCAGCTATGCGGGTGTCGCACCTGGTGAGGAATCGGATCTGGAACGAAACAACGAAGAAACCGGTACTGCAACTCGCCCCATACTAGCCAGTCTCGTCCATACTAACAAAGCTCTCCAGAGTTCGTGCGGTACATCGAGAGCCTCGTCCCGTCGCAGGACCTCAGCGTGTGGAAACGATGCCGTCCCTTCTTTTCACGCCCGTCCGAGACCTCCGACCGTACTTTGGCCAACTATTCAAACTTTGAGGAGCTCCAACAAATGTCACTGCTGTTCCTTGTTCCCGGGGCGCCCAAGGAGCTCAATCTCCCTGCGAGTATGAGGACTCGTGCTCTAAGTGATATGCAGAAATCGGATTCCCCCCAGGTCCTAGCCCCCATTGCCGACCACATCTACTATCTTCTCAAGAACTGCTCGCACCGCAATTTCATCCGACTTGGCGTCAAGAATGGTACCTTTGAGACACTTTGCATGGTCACCATTGTCGGCATACTCTTCACCACGCTGGGGTTGCTCACCATGCTCTTGCTGGCTTTTGCATCGCCTTCGATCCACCACTCTGTCCGCTGGCGAGGGATTGCCGCTGCCCCATTCTGGTTCGTCGGGGTCTCGTTCCTCTTCGCCGGCTGGCGCGGATCCTGCTTTCTTCTTCTCCTCTTTTCTCGTCGTCAGGAACTACCTTGGGAGCGCGTTGACAGTCTTGAGCAGGGCGCTACGCCTAAGCGCCCCAATGCACTGGTGCGGTTTGTGCGGAAGCTGATGTTGTTCGAACGCAAGATTAGAGTCAAGGATCAGGGGCTGCGCGTGTTACAGCGCAAGATTGTCATTCAGAGTATGATTGGGGCCTTGGTCGTCACGATCATCTTGGAGGTGGTGTTCCTCTGCCTGCCGATATGGAAGTGACCTGTTGCATATCATGACCTGCGTGGAGCAAGCTATTCTATTTTTTATGCGTCCATAGTTGAAATAATAATGATGGCCCCTGCCCCCTGCCCCCTGCCCTCACTTCGTGTGAAGCCTATTTCGAGCTGCATAGGCGACCGTGGCGCAACAGTCTGACTGGGCTATTCTTCTGCCAGTTTTCTCTTGCCCAAGGCTGATTTGACTGAGAGCATTTGCAAGCCTCTGAAAGTGTCGTGTCCTACCAGGTCTTGTCGACATTGTGATGGCCCGGGTAGTGCGTCCCGTATATGCTGCTCCCGAGGCGCAGGCTGTGTGATAGTAGAAACGTCCCCATGTTGAGTGACCCTCCACCCTGCTTTTCATCGCCCTAAATTGGCAGCACCCTTTGAAGCAGTTGAGTTATACTTGTTGTAGGAGACCTGGTAAGGGGTGTACATACATGTATATTCGGCATCGCGAAAGGCTTGGCAGTTGGCGATGGCGTCCCGGGTCGAAGAAGCGACGTCAACGCCAGCATCGTTCCCCGTCGTTCGCACTAACGAGCGACCGACTTCCTTACCTCATCGTTTCAAAAGCACTTCTGACCGGCCTGAAAGTCTAGTCCGGAAGTCAAACTCAAGATGGACAACTGAGAATGTCCCGACGAATAATTGTCGGACCGCACGGTCGGTTCGCCAGATGCTGGTTAGGTCTCCGACCGTCTGGCGCGAACTTATTATCACAAACCCCGAGACTGTCACAGCCACCTCTGCGCATTGGACACCCGCTGATCGGGAAATCTGCGTTCACGAGATTCTATTCTCAAACTGGCAGCCTGTCCAAAACCGCCAAACCAAAAACAGAAGATGAAGCCGATGAAGCCAAAGAAGATGATCCCGACCCTGATCAGCTCCTCGAGGAGCCCGCAGCCATCGAGTCCTCCCAAACGCCGTCTACCGCCAACGAGAGGATTTCGTGCATCTACTTCCAAAAATCCGATCCCCTGGCGTCCAAGTATGCAGAGCTCACCAAGACGGAGATCGCAGCACAGTTCGACCTACGGTATCGAGATCTGCGCGATATCGACTTGCGCTCCGAGGCGGTGACGCGGATCCTGGTCCGGCCCGCAACCATCTTGGTGCAGTTCTTTGATTTGTGTATCATTATCCAAGCAGACGAGGCGTTGCTCGTCAATGGTATAACGAAAGATACTACCAACAGCAACAGCGCCACCAATAGTGCCGGTACTGGTACTAAGTCCACCAGTGTTCTCGAACATGATTTCAAAAGGAGACTAGTCGGTTTCAATTCCAGCGAAGCAACTCTGTCATCGGATCTTCCATACGAACTACGCGCCGTGGAAGCCGCGCTGGTTGCCGTCCTCTCCACGCTGCGTGAAGAACTCATCGATGCACGCAAAAAGGCCGAACACAGCGCACGTGAATTACGTCTGGAATCTGGTCTGGCCGCTGTCGGGATTGACCTGCTGTTCGAGCGTTCACGACGCCTGGGCCAGATCGAGCAGAAAGCCCGTCTGGTCCGTGAAACTATCCGTGAAGTTCTCGACACCGACGAAGATCTGGCCTCTATGTACTTGACCGATACGCGCGCCGGGAAACCTCATGCCGTAAGTGATCATCAGGAAGCAGAGTACATGCTAGAAGCGTATCACAAGGCAGCCGATGCACTGGTGGAGTCTGCAGCGGGGGCCATCGGTGTCATTCGCAGGAAGGAGAACACGTTCCGCTCGGCTCTTGCTGTTCAACGGAACCAGATCATGTTCTTGGAGGCCCGGATTGCCATCCATACTCTGGGATTGGCTGCAGGTACTTTGGTCGCGGGGCTGTTTGGTATGAATCTGGTTAATCATGCGGAGGATTCGACTTGGGGATTTCCTGCCGTTACGAGTGCTTGTATTATCCTGAGTGCTTTGTTCTCCATCTACGGGGCGCGGAAACTTCGCAGGATTCAAACTTTGAGGGAGATACAAGGGTATAGAGGGGGCAGACGATAGCATCGCTATGCTTGACCATATAAAGAGTCTTAGAGTCGCGTGGCCGTCAACTATCACCGAGCGGAATGCAACCAAAGGGAAATACCAATGAACGTCACTACGACCCAAGTCATCGGCTGTCGAGCGTGTCATATTTCATCAGAAACACAACTTGAACCGGGTCAGAAGACCCATACCCGTACCCTGGCCAAGGATCTCGTTCGTCTAATTTGTCGTGCTTGTCGGAAGCCTACTCAGCCTCGCGCTCACCCAGGATAGTCACCTCCAAGTCACCCCCCATTGGCTGACCTCACAAGGCTGAAGTATGATGTCACTGTCATCATGTTGCAAAAGGATTGGTCAAAGATATAGCGGCTACTAGCTTCCCCGAGAACACTGCAGCCAATCAAACAGCACAATACCTGATACAGACGACTGACGTCAAATGGCAACCGACCGAACCTGATTCTCGGGCAGAAATTCGTGCCCTTCGTCTTCTGGTTGGCGAGACCCTCGTTTGTCCCTGGTACTTCGGTATATGGTATTGTGCAATCTCTCTCCGTGAGAGAAAATTCTGTCTTCCAGATCCTTCTCAGCCATTTTGGTGTGTACCGAGTACTGCCTAGTCAAGTAGCGTGAATTACATGCTGCAATAGGACCAGAACCTTGAGGACTGGGACAGATTAGTAGTACCTAGATTCAATGTACGACACTACTGCGTCTGTTACCGTGATTTTGTTCAAAAGTAGCCCTCCCAGGAATTTGAAGCTTCCTCCAGGTGTTTCTGAAGGCCCAGCGGCTTCGGGGACCACTGCGCAAGGTGATCCCACCGACTCTGGAATCGATGTCGTCCCGATCCAACCCACTTCCCAGAGACATCAGGATCCTGTGTCCGCTCGTGGGGCATGATGACCAGCGCGCGGCTGTTGGCAGGGACCAGCAGGCTGAGCTCAAAGTGATCGCCATCCCGGATGGACCAATGGCATTCGACTCGGCCATAGGGCGTCTCATAGCTTGCTTCGGCGTGGTCAATCGTCCCGCCCGGGATTGGGGCGGCGCGGAAGGTCTTCCACCCAGGCTCGAGCGGACTGACGCCGGCGACGCACTCGTGAAGCCAGTTGATCACGGATCCCAGAGCGTAATGGTTGAAGCTGGTCATCTCGCCCGGGTTGATCGACCCGTCGGGCAGCATGCTATCCCACCGCTCCCAGACTGTGGTGGCCCCCATGCTGATTGGATACATCCACGAAGGTCGGTTCTTCTCCAGCAGCATTCGGTAAGCCATCTGGTGGTATCCGCTCTTGGTCAGTGCATGCGTGATCACCGGTGTCCCCGCGAAGCCGGTGCTCACGCGGAATCGGGCGAATTGCACCAACTCGGCCAATCGCTCGGCCGCGCGCGACGCCTGTTCGCGCGTCTCATGCAGGTCAAACACGAGGGCCAGACTGAGAGCTGTCTGGGTGTCGCCAACCAAGAGTCCCGATGGGGCAATGTATTTGGCTCGGAACGTGGACATCAGTTGCTGGGAGTCGGCGGCATATCGCCTGGCGTCCTTGACCTCCCCCACGATATCACTGATCTTGGCCAGGACTGACGTGACGTGGACGAGGTACATGTCGGCGACCAAGCTGCCGCTCGTGCGAGAAGCCCCCGGCTGGTCTGGCGGTGCGGTGGGGTCGAGCCAGTCGCCCAGTTGCCAAAGTTGTGAGTCCCATAGCCGATCGGGGCCCCGACGGACCCCCCGGTCGAGCCAGGCCACCATACTCGGGTATTGCTGTCGCAAGATGCCCACGTCACCGTACGAGCGATACAAGGCCCAGGGTATCAAGATAGTCGCGTCGTCCCAGACGGCCTGGGGCACTACAGGGAAGATACCATGGAGAACGTTAGGCACTGCAAAAGGGGGGACACCGTCAGCCACGTCCTTCAACTGCTCCACGGCCAGGTCCTTCAGCCAATCACTGAGCATCCCAGCGGTATTGTACAGGAAGTTGGCCGAGGGCGCGAAGACCTGGAGATCACCCGTCCATCCCAGTCGTTCATCTCGTTGAGGGCAGTCCGTCGGGATAGAGAGGAAGTTCCCTCGCATGCTCCGCCAGGCATTCTCATGCAGTTGATTGACCTTGGCATGCGAGCACGAGAAGTAGCCCGTCCGGACCAAGTCCGTTTGAAGAACCAAGGCGCATAGGCTGGTGTCGAGAAGCAACGGGCCGTCCGAGTCTTCTGGCGACCAGCCGTCCACCTGAACATAGCGGAAGCCGTGGAAGGTAAACTGAGGAGACCAATTCTGCAGTGGCTCGCCCGATGAGACGATCGTGTCAGCGCATCGTGCATGGCGAAGAGGACGAATCCCCAACTCTCCATTCTCCAGGACTTCGGCGTGTGTGAAAGTTACCTCGTGTCCACGGGGTTTGTGAAGAGACCGGACCAGTAATCGGCCGACCAGATTCTGGCCAAAGTCGATCACGGTCTTGCCTGTGGGCGTGATGATCAAGGCGACGGGCTTGATCACCTCGGTGACCCGCACCGGCGGCGCATCCGGAGCGACCAGCTCCGCTTGAGGCATTGGCAACTCGCGGACGGCGTGCCATGTCTGGTGGTTTTGTTCCGGCGCTTCCTTCCACCCCGGGCATTCTTCTCGTGCGTCGTAGACCTCCCCGTCATAGATCTCGCTGCGGGTGATGGCACTGGCATTACAGGACCACGACTTGTCCGAGACCAACACGAGTCGCTCTGTGTCAGGGCCGCCGATCTCCAGTTGGACCAGTAAGCCCAGCTCGTTGCCATAGATATGCCTTCGACCTCCGCTGAAGCCCAGCCGGGTGGCATACCAGCCCTCGCCGACCTCGACCGCGATGACATTGTCTCCGCTTGGGTTCAGTAAGGGAGCGATATCGAAGACTTGATAGTTCAGGCGGTGGTGGTAGCTAGTCCAACCGGGTGCCATACAATGATCGCCGACGGGCCTGCCGTTGACAAATGCCTTATATACGCCCAGACTCGTGATGTATAGCCGAGACCGTGCCGCCACGGCGACGTCAGGTGATACGGTAAATGTGCGTCTAAACCGTATGGGCCTCAAGGGGCCAGCGACATCCGAATCGAGCGGGCGAGCGCTGGTAATGGGTCGAGCACTCCAGTCCCCACGCTCCAGCAGTGCACATTCGACCAACGTCCAGGGGGACCAACCCGTGGGTTCAAGTTTCATGTTGCTAAAGGCTCGGACACGCACGCGCGCCTGTTCGCGCGATCGCAAAGGCGTACTAGGCCAGGGCACCAAGACGGAGGCGCTGCCAGGCACTCTGTACCGCCCGCGCCCGCGCTCTTCCGCCGCTGATGCTGCCGGACGGTCAACTTCAATCTCGTAACCTGCTGTTCCCAGTTCGGCGGCGTGCCATCCTGGAGCACGAATCGCCATGACAGGCGAGGCGAAGGCACCCCAACACCGAACCCCGTCGGGTGCTGCTCGATGGTAGGCGCGCAGAGCGTAGGCTGGACGGCCACCATTACTGTATGCGCGTGGCTGAAGACGAGCAAGGCTAGAAAGTCACCACCCTTTCAGGGGGGGCTACACCGACGAGGCCAGTCGCTTCTTCTCCAAAAGCCTCTCGCTTCTCTTTCTGCCGAGCCTGGTGTAGAAGTTGACGCAGAAGCGGACATTGCGGATAGCAAATAACTACATAGGTACTTATCTGTTATCTAGGTGAATAGAGCCTCACGTGCCGGAGATTGCCGCGTACTGGGTCTAGATTCTAAAGATGATAAGCAGATTAACATGTCAGGGACACGCAGGGACGCTCGCATAACCACGCTGACGAACCAACGACCAGCTCTCTAGGAGAGGTGGGAGGGGGTAGAAGAAGCGGGCTCGGAGTAGCAGGTATAGTCAAGTCGGGACACGATACTTGGACTGTACGACCGACTAGACCCGGAGAGCGGTGAATAGTATCTCGATCAGTATTAAGCTTATGAGGCTGAACCCCCTGCACAAGGCTGATGCCGCGCCGCACGGTACTAGTAGATGCTTGGATGCCTACGGAGTACTGCCACTGGCTGGCACAGCGTCACAAGCTTCTCTTGGTAGCTTGGCGGCTCTCACACTAGAAATCATACTGCAACTGCATCACTCCTGTTCAGGTCGGGCCGTAAACACCTCCGCGCGACTTTCGAATCTCTAACAATTGCCGGCGACTCGTCCAGCCGCACAAGAGATACCTCACTGGACCTACTGTCGTCGATAATAGATATCTTCAGCTGCACCGGCAGAGTGGTTCCCTGTCACCCCGGGCTATTCTCCGCCGATATCTACAGCAACAATAACCATGGCCCATATATTCTCTAATGGTGATATCTACGTGGTCCCTTCGCGGGCACCGAAAAGGTCTAGGAATCAATCAATCTAATGGTGATATCCGCATCAACAATCAGTCATCTTCGAGCTAACGATTGACTTCGCGCAAAGGCTTCGATAGCAGTGAGTATGGCCCTCCTTTCTTGGTACAGCCTTGCGGGAGGCGTGGATCACGAGCCGTCTATGGTCAGGAGCAGCTACGCTCTTCGGTGGAGAACGACAGATGCAGTAACCTCGAGAGGCACCTGAGAGGGTCAAGATAAGGAAGACGGGTCGTCCGCCCGAAGCCCTCGACGTGAATCTTATCAGCGCCCAACCCCTTCGTTCTTTGCTGCGCCGGACGCCCGCTCCCTCAACCGTTCCCCCCTTTATCCAAGTCTATGCAGGAAGAGATAGCCGTACTCTCCTGCGCACGGAGATCTCCAGTTGCTCTTCTCCTACTTTCATCTACCATCCTTGGCAATGACAGCTTAGCTGCACCACGGGAATGCTAAAGCAAATAGGTCAATGTTTCTCGGCCCATTGACCGCCGACAAGACATCGCTGTGACCTAAGGCGAGAGCCATGGTCTTTACAGCCTTATCATCGCTGTCATGTCCATGCTGGTTGCGTCGGAATATAAATATAGGCCGTCGCAAGTCTTTGAAACCGTTCAGAAGTCTCCAGTGTTGCTCTCCTGAAGGCCGATTTTGGGTACTCGACATACCGACAAAGCTCTCCTTGACACGTAGGAAAGGGCAACAGTACCGTACTTATTGAATCTTTACCATGGAGGATACGACCATGGAGGATACGACCATGGAGATCAAGACGGAGGAGCTGCGCGTGGTCGCAGACGACCGATCGAGTATAGTCCAATCCAAGGGCGAGATCCACGGACGCGCCATCCAGCAGCAAGAACATAATCGAGGGTACCTGGAGTCGTTTGGCAAGGACCCCAAGCTCTTGTTCTGGGTCGCACTTCTTCTCTGGGCGCAGGTCGTGCAAGGCTTCGAGAGTCAAGCATCCGGCACCGTCATCGGTATTGGCGTGTTCAAGCGCCGATTCGGCGTCTATTTGGACGGCGAGTACGACGTCGCCACTAAGTGGCAGTCGGCCATGAGCGGCGGCGGCACTGCCGCCATCATGGTGGGCGCATGGCTCGGGTCCTACATCGCCGACATGGTCGGGAACAAGCCGGTCATCATGGCCGCCGCGGCGCTCGGCATGGCGTCTATTGGCATCGAGTTTGCCGCCACGTCAATTGGCATGTATTTCGGCGGCAAGTTCCTCAACTTTGTCGCCGTCAGGGCCTTCATGAACAACTGTACGACCTACATTGCCGATATCTCGCCGCTGACCATCCGCGCCTCTCTCGTCGGCCTCAACAATGTGGCGCAGTGCGTGGGTCCCTTGATCTGTGCCGTCATGGCCTACTATACCACGAATTGGACCGACGACTGGTCATGGAAATCCTTGATCTGCACCCAGTGGGGGTTCGCCGGCATCACCCTCATCGGGAGCATTTTCATGCCCGAGTCCCCGGTCTATTTGCTCGAAAAGGGAAAGGAGACGGCCGCCCGCAAAGTCCTGAGCAGCCTCTACAGCAAACCCAGCGACGCCGAGGGACATTTTGAAAGCATCAAATTGACCCTGCAGGAGGCCGAAACCCAGAGCTCGAACCTGATGGACTGCTTCCGCGGCACCAATCTGCGCCGCACTCTCATTGCCATCTTGGTATTCCAGGCACAACCCATGTCTGGGCTGGGCTTTGTCTACAACTATGGCGCCCTCATGTACCAGTACCTTGGGATCAGCGACCGACAGTCGTTTTTGCTCTCCATCGGCGGCCAGATCCTGTCCATTTCCGGCGCATTCATCGCCGTTCTCGTCTCCGATCTATACGGGCGTTGACCCATGTACGTGGGCGGTTGTGTAGGCATCACAATCTTGCTGCTTTGCATGGGCATTGCCGGCTCGGTCCATACGGATGCCGCAAATACGGCCGCGATCGGCTTCTACACCATGTTTAACTTCTTCTACAACGTTGGAGTCGGCTCAATCGTCTACGCCATTGCCGCCGAGGTCCCAACCTCGGCCCTGCGTAACAAGACCTTCGCCATAGCCATTGTCACCTCCAACGCCATGAGCACCATGTGGTCTTTTGTCTGCCCGTACATGTTCAATCCGGGCTACGGCAATCTCAAAGCCCGCATCGGCTTCGTCTTTGGCGCCCTGATGCTCATCTTTGCCGTCCTCGGATGGCTCTGGGTGCCAGAGACCCGAAACCGGACCTACGAGGAGCTGGATGAGTTGTTCATGAACCATGTTCCCACCCGCCAGTTCACAAAGTACGTGACCCTTGCCGAAGGGCGCGCCGCCGAGGCCTACAACGCCGAACACAATATCTTAGAAGACGACAAGGTGTGAGAACCGCTTGGTTGCCATCAGACGGCAGTAACGGGTGATCCAATACATTTGAGCCCATCAAGGTGTCAGCCAGGTGATGGACACTTGGGCGGATTTTTCGGACGTGCCAGTCTTGATTCTCTTGGAGAGTGCGTATTGGAGTGTGAGTGTTATCAGGGTGCACGACCTACTAGGTAGAATCTCTATATTCTCTATTGGCTGTACTTGGTCTAGGGACCATTAGACGCTGACTCGATTGACACAAAGTATAGAATGGATTTTCATCATGCCCAGAATGATGGGTTTATTTCTTCCAGTCTTCGCCATTTCTAATATCTCTAAGTATTCGTTCCATAGATACTTGTGAGGTCTAAAGAACTGGATCTCTGACTGGATGGACCATCGAAAGCTGAGAGAATCACGGGACAAGGTAATAGAAATTCTGAGCCTTGTAGCAGAATTCCTGTTGGGCGGCCGCCCGTACACCGTCCCTTTCAATATTCCAAAGAACCTCCATCTGTGTTTACGGTACTTTAGTATACCGCTGTAACAGAAGTTCTTGAAAGCCATTTACACAGAGATAACTGTCAGAAGGCTGATCGCGTTGAAACGCTAGCGAGAAAGGATTGAAGGAGAAGCAGACATCAATGTCAGAAGAAAACTGAATCACAATAGCGATTGTTACCTTGATATTGAATAAGTCAAACTCACACATGCTCTGACGGTCCGAAAAGCTCAGTGGTCACTAGTTCGCAACATACAGCCTCATCATTTTAAGGATGTGCAACAAGTTGTGCCTCGACGACCGATCATATTCCTCCTATAAGGGGAGGTCCTGGCTCTGCCAGCTTCGTATGAAACACCCGGCCTCCGCGAATATGCAATGCGGAGATTGGATGCCCCGTGCTACTAAGTATCCAGCGCTTCAAAAGGGGTCCTGTCGGAAGAGACATCTCGAGCTTGGGGAAGTGTGGGAGGACAAAAGGCTGCTGTGGAACACATGCATTGCTTGTTGCGAGTTGACGTGGAGAGACTGTCGTTTGGTCAGGAGGGTCGACCTTCAAGACCCATGGCTGCAGACGAGATAACGTATATTCTCGATTTCAGAAGAACATGATCCAGAAACAACAAATCGGGCGGAGAAAGATGAAGACGGCAACAGTGGTGTGATTAGGGATACTGAAACCATTATTTTCGGTCTAGACCATGCAGGAAAAAGACATGGCAGATGAGATTAGGACCTGAACGATGGATACTGGTCGTTCATGCAGCTGCCATTGCCATGTTCATCGCACATGGAGATGTCACTGCCCTTCGCAGTTATGCATGTTCTTGCACTTGGAGGAGAGAGGTGCTGTCAATACCTGGTATTCGTGCCACAGCTCCGTCTCAACTTGCAGAAAGTGACAGGTGCCGTGTGACAAAGACCCTGGGTCTGCTGAGTAGCATATTTTATAAACAATGGTTGTGACATGTTGACACGTTTTCTATCGCTTCCCCGGGGCTTTTCGAAATAAAGGGAGCAATCGCTCGGATAGCGATCAAGCGTGCGTGAGAGGCGATGCAAAAAGTGCAGAACTTGACAAGCCACCACGATGCCCATTGAGTGTAAATCCACTAGGGGGTTTCCTGCCTGTGGTCCATGGAGGTCGGATGTCAAAGCCTCGGTCCTGATGTAGAATCTCCGGCTTTCCGAGTCTTAGTGTTGCCAGAGGTCTGTGAAGTGGAGGTGGCATCGAATTGCGCCCCAACCTGTGCTGCCATAACTTGAGTAATATATTTCAATGTCGATACGATTGACGTACCCAACTCGGCCTCCATGGCGCTTTCAGGTTTGTTTCTCACCCCTGCGCGTGACTGATACGATTTGTTAACCTTCGCCAGTTTGCCTGCGGCCGTCCCTGCCGATTTGGTCGTTGGAGGATAAAGGCCCATTCTCGAGAAGATAGGCAAACACTGGCGTATCTTGTTTTGCTTAGCGGAGCAGACGTGGCTGAATGGGCAGTGGTCAGTGGTTGACAACAAGATATGTGTGGCCGAATTGGATGGACTTGCAGTATTCTCAACCCAGTGGACAAACAGCAGGCCCAAGGAGGGCGAGCGGACGACTATTTATACCGGTAAAGACTGGTGTATGCTTGCAGCTTGGAAGGCCCTCCATTGTTTGCACGACGATCTCCGATCACCTTTTGAATCTCGCATCTCAATGGCCAGAACGCTGCAGGAATGATGTGCTCATTCTTCCGGAAAGACCTTGCCGCGGATTCGGGGAGATTGCAAGAGCAAGGAGCGCATGTAGGTCGACAGATATACCACACAGAACTCCCACATAACGGAGTGATAGTGATGTCGCCGGGATGTTATTCGGAGGACAGAACTAGAGCCTGCCGCATGTAGAGGAGCATTCTCCCGTCCGACAGATCATGGGCCAGCATGGATCTGCGGAGCAACACGCATCATTGACAAATTCGTAAGTCCAATTCCCAGAAGGCTAACTCACAAGTACTGATCTCCTGTGGGTTGATGTCTCTGACGATTGTTTCGAGACGAATAAGAGAGGGCTCTGGCGATTGTTCGTCTTTCTCATCAGGCGTACTATGAATGAAGTTGTACCGAAGTCATGAAGTGTTCTCGAACTTGCAGGCCTGCCCCTGTGTCTCAAGGTTGAAGGCGGTACGCGAAAATGTCAAATCATCAGAGAGACGCCATTCCCGATAACTCTGCGTAAATAGTCGTGATGCTGGAAGTTGTAAATTTGTGGTTTCCACCGCTACCCTTGCAAACTGCTACCCCGGGCGAAGCTTTCTTTACTCCCCGACGATTTCACGACGACCAGGTAGCTGACGTTATCGACGAGGTCTCTGAATCGTCAACATTGTTGTACGTAGCAATCGTCATCGACGCCAATCAAAGGATCCCCAAGAGGGGTATCAAGACAGGCATTCTTGAAACATGTCCTCCAGACCTTGTTGTAGCCTGTATTCCATACTAGGTCTCTGTATGGTCCGGGGAAGCCGCTTAGCGTCAGCCTAGGATCAGACCTTGCAGAAGTAGGATCGAGATTTGTAGGCGACGTACTAGTAGGGACTGCGCCTGGTTTTCTTCCTGAGGCCACTGGGTCCCGGGAGTTGGTCCTTCACCTATTCCCCTGGCCCTATTGAACGGAGCGTCCAAGCATGCTCTGGGCTCCACAAGACCTTAGATGTCTACAGACTGGAAACGCCTGGGTGACAGGGGAATCTGGGGGGCTTTCCGTCCAAGTAGCATCCTCGCTCCATTGACACCAGCTGGCCGGTACTTGATCAAGGATCATGACAAGAATGTGGGTCAAGCATGAAGTAGAGACCCGATCTGGGTGGTAAGCTGATTGCGTACCTTGTGCCCTGCCAGGATTCCACAACCTAACAGGATATCTTGGCTGTCATGAACTTCAACCGTTGCAATAAGGAATACATTAGCTTCCATCGGAAGCCATCAAGCGGTTCGCCAATCCAAACCAAGCCATATTGGTGGTAGGGGTCTTGGAAAAAGTGCATGTGGTTTCAGGACTGTACTCTCTTGAAGGAAGTAACAAATTCATCTTCCAGCATGCTCCTTTTTCTAAACGCTGCAACACTCTCAAAGCCCATTGACGCTCGCTGAGAAGTCGATGAATTCAGCTCCTTGAAGAGACCCTAGATTTTAGGGATTCGGATCCTGGCTGCATCACGCTTTCCGTCGGGGTCTTGAGGCGGAGGTTCGATAACACGTTCCTCGGTGGACGTGCCACAAACATTTGGGCGGAAACAATACATTGATATCCTTGGGTGGCGCAAAGTGCTCGTTGGGAATTGACAAGCTGTGTGACATGCAGCGAGTGACCTTGTTGCGTAATAGAACATACACCAATAGCATCAGAATGCTTCCCAGACATCTTCAGTAGTGGGATTCCTCTTCATTTCAAGGTCCAATCGTGCGGTATGTAGTCCTGCGGTTGCATCAAGAAAAGGCTTTGGTTCGATAGGCCATTCGAATGTAGGACAACGAGCAATGTATTTGAGTGAGGTTGTATTTTAAGAGCTTTTCCGAGGTACTTCATCAGTCTTGTGACACCGACGCCCATGTAGTAGGGGTAGGAGTGCAGGTAGAGACGGAAGACAGTCGAGACTGCGACCCATGCCCACCACTGATCCCCCGATTTGCTGCTGTACGACGGAATGTCAACCAGAGGTTGGTGCATTTGCACCTCGAATGGAAAATCATACCTACTCTCGGAAGAAACGGCAGAGTTGTCAAGCGACAGGATTGGGGAATTCCCTATGAACATACTTCATTTCAGAGGCTCGAAGTCAACGCACTGCTGTCACAGAATGTGAGGTCAACTGCGGTTGTAGGACAATGTTGTTGATGCAACCCTTAGGTACCAGGTTGCCGTGGTGGTATATCGCAAATGGCCTGTTGGGCGCTTCTACCAGCTTGAATATAGCCTGATAGGCTGCGTTGAGAGTTCCTGGGACGGTCGTGACACTCGACGTTTCTTGCCCGATGTCACTGAAGAATACCTATAGGACAAGGGGAGATTGAACGGGAAAAGAGATTAGGTAGGGTGTTAGTAAAAATTAACGACACTTAGGGCTAGGGAGGCCTAAGTACCTAAGGAGCCTCCCTAGACTGCTCGACAAACCACTTACATGCGCTTGTGAGCGCTATTATTGGTGGCCAAAACGACCCTCATAAGCGCATACAAGCGATAGCAATTCAAGCTGCTCGATAGCACAAGCGCTTGTGGCTGTTTGTTGCCACTTTGGCTGAGGAGCCTAGGGAGCCCTACCTAGCGCCCGAGTAGAAGTTAAGGAACCATTCATTAGCAGCGTCCAGACTCCCCTGTAACCGTGCTCTATTACTGTACCTAGTCCCAGGGACCCCGGGGTAGGTGCCTAGAGCTGGTAAATACCAAGTCTTAGTCGCTTGCCGTGTCCAACTTGAAATGGTCCTCTTCCCCGCAGTCAACTCGCCAGAAACAACCCAGCTATTTCTCGCATCCCTCGTACAAACAGCTGCAAGACCCGTTGGCTCCAGAAACGCTGGCAGAAGCAGGTCATCGAGCGAGTTGTTCCACTCGACGGCCGGTGTGACTCAACTGACCAGCTATCTTTCATGACAACATGGCCACCTCTGCTCCCGCGACCAATCGGCCGGCCTTCAAACGCCGTGGATCTCGCGACTCGCTAGGAATGTAAACCCGTGGTTCCTGCTCCACTCTCTTCCGCAGCTCAAACCACTGTAGTCAAAAAGCAAATTTCGACGGCATCGCTCTTTCAACGCCCCAAAATTGGTCTGAGAAAAGAGGAAAGAGAGAAGAAAAGTGAAATGAACTGTTGGAGGGTGAGGCCTTATGGATGAAATTGTTGACCTGCGGGCCGCAAGCCCTGTTGCCCGTAAGAAAGGGTCATGCATAGCTCGCTCGCCATGGAACACCCCTCGCTTTCTGAGCGGCCCGCGCCGCGGTGAGGCAACCTAACCACTGCAGCCTCAAGGATGTTAGTGAGGATCGGCCCCATATGCGCTGCTGTCACGAGCGCGGCCGATGCATGAGGTATAGTACCATTGAAAGTTGTGGGCTTTAGGCTTGGGCGAATTGTGCTCCGACGAAAGCTGAAACTCATGAGCCACAATGTTACCCTCATAGCGAGCGTGTTTGCCCCTTACCAAGAAGATGCTCTTGAGAAGAATACTGAGTTGATGCATCGTCAGGCGATGTCGAGTTGTGGTCGGAGTCCATGTCCAAGTCAGCTGGACCGCTTTCGGCGGAGCCACCCGAGTCAAGAACAGCGAGAATGCTGTCAAGAATGGAAATCAAGCGTGCTTCCCGTCGCCGCCGAATATGTGACTCGGACCTTCCAAGACTTAAGAGCTCCGAAGAATTTTCAGTGCGAAGAAATCGGCTGAGAAGAATCGAGCTCGCAGAGCGCCGTGGGCTCGTGACTAGAGCTGTTCTCGGAATTGGCGCGTTTGTCCTCCGAGAGGTATATGCTCTCCTAGCAGGCATGATGGTCAAGACTGGTTCTGAACAAAAACAGATAAAACTGTTCAATGACAAGACCGCAAAATGTGTCAGAAGTATTTGTGATCGGGGAGGAAACCGAGATCATATACGGAATTTTATCTGTCGCAGCACCCAACTTTGCTGAACAGGGAAGCGTCAGCCATTATGGTTCCTTGTCCGCAAGGTCCGAGAACGCTCAACGCACAAGAGGAATGAGAAGAAGCGGTGAGCAATGGTCTGTCTATCGCATGAGCCATGTCCAGCACCAGGCAGCATCGCGCGCGAGTAATGATGCCCAATGTGTGGAAACAAGGATCGACCCGCACGGTTGTTCATTAAGCTACCCTGCCGAGTGGTTAGTACCGAAATGTAGGCCAGACATGCCTTCGCCACTCCCGACCAGAGACGTGAACCAAAACTTATGAAGGCGTGGGAGCAAGGAACCTGACAGCGGATGTCTGCACCAGGATGTCAACTTTTCGGTCCCAGCCTGAACTACAGCGCGGATCCGTCTAGGCGGGTGGCATTTTGAGCTCTGGCCCGGCGAATCCGGTGCAACGTCTGTACCTCTTCTTGACTATGTCGCTCTGGCGGAGAATGCGGCTACTGGAGCAAAGATCGAAGGACTGTTCCTGCTGACTAGAGCACGGGCAAGGCATGGCTTTCTACAATCCAAGATTCACCCCCTTTGGTGGCTAGTTGCTGCGGCCGGTATCAAGGGGCATGGGACACTGAAGAAAAACGGCACTCTTCTTCATCCTGAAGGGCGGAGTCGGGATTTTGCCTTGCTGCTACGATAGTAATGGCGCAAGCGATGCTGTTGGCTGCTTTGCTTCATGTCCTTGCCGCTAATTGTGTAAAAGGGACGTCGTCATGGACTCGAGCGTGCTTTTTTGGAGTCAGTACCTAAGCACTTGCCCGCGATGGTGTATGGAAGTGTGATCCTAGAAACCAAAAAAAAGAGAACAGCCCATAATCCGGCAAGCCCACAGCGGCCGGGAATGCCATGGCCTACATTGAAGGCGCCCATCTGTACGAAGACGAGCTCAAACTGAACCGCTAAGATGAAGTGGGGGACTTGGGAGACCTGTTGCGGCAAAAGGGCCCGTGAGACAACGATGCTCGCCCAGCGCCTGCAACCTACCGCCTGCCACAATGCTGCAGGCGAACTACTCGGACAAAAAGGCATGCGATGGGCATTCTTGTTCGCTGAGGGGCCAATGCCAACTCCTCTTGCCCGTCATCAAACCCCTGGATACCTACTATACAGGGATCTATTCGACGTTGGAGTTCGATCGAGTCGTACGCAAGTATCGGACCATGCAGCCTGTGGGCCAGAAACTCCCGCTGCGCATTTTGGCTAAGGTGTCCAGCTACTGAGTACGCACCTATATTCCCCGCAGTCCCACGAGTCCTAGAACAGCACTGCCACATGAGAAAGGACTTGCATGGACCAGAATCTGGTGGTGGCTCCCTCCTTTGCTGCTGGTGCTATACGAGTAGACATCTTTCGGCCAAGTGGATGTGCTAGGTGCATGTATAGCGACCGTCGACTCAACTGGCGAATGCAGACCTGCAGCATGCTTACCACCTAAACGGTGAAAACCGGGAGTTCCAACCTGAGATGTGCCCAAGGCCAGCGAGCAAGATTCTCGGCGCTGAACCAGATGAGGTGTTCGGAGCCTAGAAGAAGCTTGCATGAAGCCTGTCCGCCTTGCCTTGGAGTTCGACTCGCCTAGAGCGGAGCCGCGAAGGTGGACTTGACAAACACTGCCGAAGCTGCCGAAGTCAGTGTTGTTACTCTTCAATAAAATATCGTCAATATTATGCTGACCATACAAGGTGTCCCACAATATATGATCGGCGTGAGCAATCGATCCCCTAGCTTTGCCATCGCGGAGGCCACATAGACATCTCATCGAGTTGCTGGAAGTGATACCGCCCGAAGGAGTTTCCCCGACGGAAGCGCCCAGGATGGCGACTCACAAATCAGGTTCACTCCAAAGGACCACTTGGAGTAGATAGTCAATACGGGTAGCCGTGGTTGTTCTGTTCGGCAACATGCAAGGGGTTTCTGTAGCTTCACAATCAGAGGAACAAGTGGGCCGTCGCCCAAGAGAACCACACCGCTCACCCAGGGTTGGTCGTCTGCATGGCCCTTAGAGTTAGCTTGCAGTCAGAAAGAACCGAACAGTTGAGTCGACTTTTTCTCTGCTACCTGTGGGGCCAGTGATAGCAGTCTGGTTGGGCTTCTGTCCCTCACCTTTGAGCCTCATGGCCTGAATAAGTCCAGTGTCTAGTGGCCACTCGCCGGCTCGCGAGGACAGTACGAAGTAGTATGGTCTGAAAGGCGGGAGTGAACAGGAGGGTCGGGTGCTTTGCCGAAAGTAGCATCTTTCCCTCTCAGATATGGATATAGGCCGGTTGCCGTCTTCGAGTTCGAGGCTTGCCCGATCATCTGTCCATGTATCTGCTCAGTGGCATTAACGTACGTCTTTTGTTATAGGGAGAAAGAAAAGGCGACGAGCGGTCTGAATGTACGGTAATGTGCCCATGCTCAGATGTCAAGTGGTGATATGAACACGTCAATAATAATGCCACTGTGCCAAAGTTTGGCTGACATGTTCGCAACCATCTGTTTATGTGCCTGCCGAGTAGAGCATTGCTGAATTGTTGTTCGACAGAATAAGACTCACTGGGGGATTTGCCCTTCTTCTTTTCTCGATCAGGCCGGCTCAGTATCACATCCCCTTTTCAGAGGCATCATTTCACATTTGCCAACATCGGCAAAAGCAAAACCTTGGATTCGCCTCAGGAGGGACTCGAGCCCTCAACTTTAAGATGAAGAGTCTTACACGATTGCTAACATCTGGTGTGGTAGTGGCACGAGAAGCAGTAGTACTGTAGTAGCTCTAAGAAATTGAATTCTATAAGCCGCCACAATCAGCCACAGGGACCATCGCGTGAGCTGCAGTGCAGCATAACCAGCTTCCTTTCCATTTCCTTTCCAAAATGTCCAAGTTGTTCACGTTGATCGCCCTTAGCTTCGTCTCGGAGATCATCTAATCATCGGCCTAGCACCTCCGGATCTGCAGTTGTAGCCGACGCGGAGTATGTGGATCGTCACAGCTTTGACCGCGCCAGTTACTCGTCTAATCTGGGGAGGGCAACAACACCAGCTCAGTCTGCATCTGCGGCTAGGTCCATAACGGCATATGTCAGACATATTTCTCCAGAGCTGGTCCGAAACCGTGGCCTGAGGATCGCCTGGCGTTTTGCAATCTAAACCGCCCCCAGCGCAGTCGATCTCACAAACGCGGGAGTCAGAATGGGGAGCAGGTGAACAGCGAGAGTGGCTACCACCCGACCGCAAGGACCGCATGCCAGAAGCTCCAACACACCTTCCCATCCCCAGACTGACATTCAGATGAAGCTGTCAGACATGTGTTGTTCAGAGGACACTCTCAAACCTGCAACTATTCCTTCCCTAGTATTCTGCATTTGGACCGAGCGCAATCCTCATTCTCCCGTGTTGTTGGTCCTATCATCTTTTATGCTATACATTGCTCCCTATGTCGCATCCTTCTCTCCATGCTTCTCCCCACAGGGACTCTTCGAACCATCAGGACAAAGGGATGTTACAACCGAAAGCCGCCCACGCTGGTAACAGTCCTCGCAAGATGTTGCCTTCATCTCCTGCCCACACGGCTTTCGAGACCGTACATGGTGGAAACATCGGATGGAGCTATTCGAGGACCCCGGGAAACGACAACAGCCTCTTTGACGAATTCCGTGCCACCGTTCGCAGGCTGCTCCAGCATATTGTGTTTATCTCTCTGCTCACCCTGAGGCTGTACATGCTCCCTCTGCTGTACATGTCCCGCAGACTTGCCATAAGCGACGAACCCTGGTACCCTACAGCCTGGCAGATTGTGCCGCACCCAGGCCGCGCATTTGTCCACTGCGCCCGTTGTTGCAAGACAGAGGGGAATCTGACACTCGGCCACACATGGGCAAATGTACGTGGGAGTTTCTCCACCACTTTCAAAATCATCAAAGCTCTGTACTCGTTTGGAAAAGGCGTTGGCGAAGACCGAAATGCTCTGCAGCCGGATCCCGCACTCTTGCTCGATCCGCCTGGCAGTGCAATAGACGTTCAATGCGAGCACGAATGCGACTCGAAAATCTTCGACAGTAATTGCGTTGACCCTCAACCTGAATCATCGGCGAGTGCTTCAGAAATATATCATGCCGCGCTGCACAACGGTAGCACCTTGGACGACATCCTCGCCGCGTTTGAGAGGAGCAAAAAGGCGGGGGCGGCTCGCACCGATCGTTTTGTGATCGGTCAGGATCTTGTTGCTGTTACCGAGAGAGAAGACGCAGATCCCCGGAGCCCACCGAACCAGCCTCCCGAACGTGGTTATCGGACCTCCAGTATCCAGACCACACCGGAAAGAATGTTGTCGGGTGATGAGCCTGTCATATTACATGACTGCTCTACACGGGAAGACATCAACGATGACATGGACGCTGCGACGCCTCCGATCCCGGTCAACAAGACAGAGCAAAGCCAAAAGAAGGTAGAACTCGAACTCGAGCGGACTCAGTCTAACGAGAACAATGTGGCCACTCCCACATCGCATGCCTGGCACCATACATCAGCAGAGCAGAGTGGGGAGAAGCGTGTGAAATCCACTGCGCGGAAGCGCTGCCCAACATTCGTCAGAAGGCAGACGCAGGCTGCTTGTCCAGAAAAGCATGTCAGTGGTGAGAAGCGATCGTTAACAGTCTTGCAAGAAAGAGCCACGAGATCGAGCCCGACCCTGGCCATCGATTCACCAACAAAACGGGCTAGACTTCAGCGCAAAGTCAGAGTTTACGAGGACCCTAATTGCGGCCCAAGATCGTAACCCACGAGAGGCAATGCGGCACTTGCATGAATGTTGAGAAGGGGTCTCTGGCTGACTTATTTTGGGACCTCAGAGTCGGAATTTATTTGTGGTGCTTCATGTGTAGGTATTCTTCGCCTGGAAAGGCATTGGCGTAGGGTAGGGTGTTGGGTGTACTTGTATTGACCCCCTCGGACTGCGGGCACAGATTAGGTTCGAAGCTTTCTCCTCCGGTTTTCTGACCGCCACAAGAGGCCCGTTAGTTGCTTGACTTGTCTGTTATCAGTATTGTCTACGAGCTCGGACTGAAGCCAGCACAGCAGACCGTCAGGGCGCAACTGGGTCTGATGCCAATGCTATCTCTTATTTTCTCTGCACGACCGCCTGCAGCTGTGAAGCACCAGCTATTTAGCCTCATGTCTCTCAAATATGGGCAGCGCGAGTGATGGCGTAGCTCCAGACGACCTTAGTTTTTTGGTGGATAGCAGCGAGGGAGTAGGTAGTCATTTTGAGTATACCCACTGGAGCGTGCAACTGCCATTGCATAGGGAGTGAATGTTTCAAGGACTAGCGAGGTCCAGACAACAGTCCTGGTGCTAAGGTTGACAAGACACAGAAGCCCGAATCCAACAAAGAATGACACAACACGAGGCACATCAGATAGACGAAATGTGTTCATTCATTGACTTTTTAAAGGTGGAAAACAACAAGAAGCACAGCAGGAGGGGTTGATATTGCAGACGCTGGTTGATGACATCATCCTCAACGCGTCCACTGTCGCGTCTCGCGTTTTGATTCTCAATCAATTAAACAAATTCGGACCAGCACTGCACGTTCTTCCATCATCACGTCTCACCACCCAGGTCGTCCAACGTCTCGAAAATGGCACCCTCTGCAGTCGATGTCCCCAGCGTCTCCCCTCCCGGCAATTCTATGAACTTTCTGAAAGAAAATGCCAAAGCGCAACAAGATACAAGATCATCGATGAACGGCTCTTCAACCCTGCCAAAAGCATCCGCAACAGAACAACAACCAGCCGCAGCCAACATTACGCCTCGCCACGAAGAATATCAATACCTCGACCTGATCCAAGACATTCTGCAGCGCGGCGAACATCGCCCTGACCGGACCGGCACCGGGACATTATCACTCTTCGCCCCGCCACAACTACGATTCAGTCTCTCCAAGCCGGATCCCAGGAATCCAGCCGAACGCATTCCCATCCTCCCTCTCCTGACGACGAAACGAGTATTTTTGCGCGCCGTGACGACAGAACTGCTATGGTTCGTGTCCGGATGCACGACGTCCAAGCCGCTCTCTGAGGCAGGGATTCACATCTGGGACGGCAACGGCTCGCGCGAGTTCCTGGACAATCTGGGCTTCACTGAACGCGAAGAAGGAGACCTCGGGCCAGTCTATGGGTTTCAGTGGCGCCATTTCGGGGCCGAATACAAGGACTGCCATGCAAACTATGATGGCAAAGGCGTGGACCAGATCAAAGAAATCGTGCGGAAGTTGAAACATAGCCCTTACGATCGACGTATCATCCTGAGCGCGTGGAACGTTGCCGATCTGTCGAAGATGGCCTTGCCCCCTTGTCACATGTTTGCGCAGTTCTATGTCAGCTTTCCCGATGCTCCGAGGGGAGAAGCTGCCCTGCAACAACAGCAGCAGCAGCAGCAAGCCAATAACGGCTCCGAAAAGAGTCAAAGCGAACAGTCGGCAAAGTCAAAAGGTCATTTGTCGTGTGTGCTGTATCAACGATCCTGTGATATGGGACTAGGTGTCCCCTTCAATATCGCGTCCTATGCGCTGTTGACGCATATGTTGGCCCACGCCTGCGACCTCGTCCCGGGCGAGTTGATCCATACCATGGGCGACGCGCATGTCTATCTCGATCACATTGATGCTCTGAAAGAGCAACTGCTTCGAGAGCCACGAGAGTTTCCCACGTTAAATATCAAGCGCGACGACAGAGGGAGTGGTGAGATGGATGGTTGGAAGCTCGAAGAATTGGAAGTCGTGGGGTATAAACCGCATGGCGGGATCAAGATGAAGATGAGTGTATGATTGGGTATGATTCGGAATCCATATACAAATATCAATGCAGAGCAGAGCGGAGCAGAAGTGCTTTCTGGTTTCGTGATCATGTACGCAGAGTGTTTCTGAAAGGATTTGTCTGGAATAGTAGTATTGTTTCCTTCGGTCTATCGGCGCCGAGACGACAGATGGATCGAATTGCCTGATATAAGGTATACACATGAAGCCATCAAAGGGTATCATTAGATTTTGAGATACATATCTCTCACATCACAACCGCACTTTCCAGCCCCCTTGGGACGGGTGTCCGAATCTCTAGAACGCCCTCGCCATGCGTTCCTTCTCCCAACCCATGGCACATCGAGAAAGGCGAGACCAAGTTCCATTCCAAGGTGCCTCACATCGGATCGTACCAGACAGCAATTGTCGCTGGGCTCGCGAAATTGTTCCCATTTATCCTTGCGTGTAACATAAATGCCCCGGTTTCTCGCGACCAGGGAGTATTCATGCCCTTAGACATCCATTTCAAGAGCATCCAGTCCGAACAACGGCATGGCACGGCCACTGTTAAGGCCCATCTTATAATAAGCCGACATTCTTCTTTCTCAAACATCATGCCTGTTTCGGCCCAACGCCTCTCAAGAGAACCACCGTGTTCCCATTGATCAAGACCTTTCCAACCCTCTCGGAGAACTCCAACAACCTCCCCCCTTCAACATGATATACTCTGAGGCGCTGGTCCTCCGAATCGACTCGATTGTTCACATTGGCAACCTGCAACCTCTTGGCCGCCTCGTCGAGCAACCGACCCACACTCCAGTCCTGCGAGAAGAACAAATCCGCACTGGGCAATTTACTCGACGTGCTCGCCGCCTCAGCCTCGACGTGCAAGTAAACGCGTTTCGCCGGGTCGAGCTTGTCGTCTCCCTTGGCGTTCTTCTTGAGCGCATTCAAGGCAACGACCTGGGCGGCGCGACTGGTCGGCTTCGGGTTCGGCACTGCGTCTTGCTGCACTTTATTTCCCCACGCTTTCAGCCGGCCGAATCCGAGACGCAGTTTCTCTTTGTTGCTCTGCAGAGCGATATCAAGCGGACGCGCGCCCAGCGGGACGAGGTGGGCACAGTCGTGGTCTTCGCGCATGCGATGTTTGAGACAGTACGTCCGATTGCAGTTCGGACAGTGCACGCCTGTGTTCTGCAGCGTGTGCACGAACGTCTTGCAGCTCGGCTCGCTGCATTGTGTGGCGTTGGCGTGGTTTGGACGACGACCGGCACCAGAGGCCGTACTGTTTGTAGAGTGGTTGGATCCCGAGGACAGTGATTGTGATTGTGTCGGTCTGCCCACGCTATTCCGCCGTCTGTTTCTCGCCCATTCGCCGGCCCGGGGGCATTTATGTGCGGTTTCGCTTCGATGATCGAGGCAGAACGTGTGGTGGCACGAGTCGCAGCGGAATGGGAGAAAGTCCAGTTGGTGGCAGTAGGGGAATTCGCAGTGCGAGCCGATCGCTTCGACGTCGTGGTCGTGGTCGGGGGTCATGGCGGTGTAGGATGATTCTGATTTAAAGGGAGTAGATGTCGACATGTTGGGCGGGAAATGCAGGCAGAGGGAAATGTCGTATATAAAACCGCTCGCTAATAGTACTGGACGTGAGGTTGACTAGAACAAAACCAGGCCGCATTTGACCATGTCGTATGGCGGCCGGAAAGGCAAGCAAAGCATTACTGCCGCCACTCAGGGCAGGCTGGCAAAGACTTCGTCACCAAAAGGCTGATAGTGTGATGGAAGCTGGGTTGGTCTCGTAAGCAAACTGCTCGAAGAGGATGGTCGTGGATGGCGCACGGCAATAAGGCTGAGGCTGGAACATTCGCGATGATGCCCGGCGCCACGTCGGGATGACTAATCTCAGAATTTCCCCACGGCGAGGCTGAGCGTCGGTTTACCAAGTATACCTAAGGTACCTAGGTAAGGTATTATACTACTATGACACTGCTCTCTACGGGGATACTAGTGGAGCGTATCTGGCTCAGCCTCGTTGATATGTACGGCCGGCATATCAGCCTTCATTCCATGGCTTTTAAGTTCATTAGTGCTTCGACACATTATCTTTCATTGTGTATGTGGACGCCCCTTTTGTCGAGTCGATCAGCACCAGCCCTGAAGGATGACGGTCACCTAAGACTCAGAGTAGCGCCTGAATGATACCGACCTTAGGCCAGCTCCTTGTCTCATACGTACCATTGATGCTTTCCCTCTCCTCAGTCCCAGAGTAACACGGCCTTCACCGTCTTCCCACTCAGTACATCCTTCGCGGCCTTCTCCACCTCTTTGGCCGGATACGTCTTGATTAATCGATCGTAGGGAAATTTGCCAAGCTGCCATGCCGTCAGAAGCTCCGGGAGGAACTCTTGGGGATAGCAATCGCCTTGGTTACACCCGACATAGCTGCACCCGGCATTGACCATCTCGAAGATGTTATGTGACACTTGAGCAGAGAGCTAGAGGGAGAGCAGTAGTTGATCAGCGCGCAAGAAATCGGAGGCGACACGCAGCGTTCGAAAAAATCAAATATGACAAAGTCTCGGTGCGGATGGGACACTGGCAGTACCAACAGCATGGGTGGACGACATGACATACCTCTCCTACACCCACGGTGACCACCTTTCCTTTCCTGGCGGCGCTGTGGATCAGGGATTGCACAATCTCCGGCCTTCCTGTAGTGTCGATAGCACCATCGACGCCTCGTCCGTGCGTGATGGCCATCAGGACCGCCATCAAGTCCGGGCGGACCTTGGAATTGACGCCGTGCGTGGCGCCGAAAGAACGCGCCGTCTCGAGCCGCGAGGGGACGACGTCGACGGCGATGATTTTCTTCGGAGGGTATTCGAGCAGCTTCAGTGCCATGACGGCCGAGAGTCCGACCGCTCCCACTCCCACGACGGCCACGGTCATGTCGTGGGTTGGGTTGATGACGTTCAGCATTGCTTTAGCAGATTGATGTCAGCGACAGTACCGGTGCAAATGAGAACACATTCTTCACCAGAACACTGTGTGACATAGAGGCTAACGGAATGTCCAACCAATAGAAAAGTACCAGATAACTCAAGGCTCACCAACAAATATAGCATGCGTACATATGATCCAGAGGGGGTCTCCCAAGCACGAACATATGACATATCGAACAAGCGAAAAGACATCAACAGAACATAGAAATCGCAACTCACCTCCAGCACCAGTCATGACACCACAGCCCAAAGCCGCCAGCTTCTCCCACGGAATATGCTTGTCGGCCCTCACCAATCCGTTCTCCGAGACAAGAATATCTCTGGCGAAACTGCTCTGCCCGAAGAAATGCGACGTGATCCTCTTCCCATCCTTAACGGACGCGAACGTCTTGGAGCCGTCCAGCCGGCCCACGCCGAAATTGTACTGGAACCACAAGTCGCAGTAAGAAGACTCCTTGCGTAGACAGTACTTGCATTCCCCACAGCACGAATAGCAGACTATCACATGGTCGCCCGGGGAGACTTTTGTCACGGCGGAGCCGATGCGTTCGACGATGCCGGCGCCCTCGTGGCCCAGCACCGCAGGGAACAGTTCAGGCATGGATTTCTCTTTGGAGAAGTTGAGGTCCGTGTGGCAGATGCCCGTGGCTTTGATGCGGACGGCCACTTCATCGGGGCGGAGGGTTTCGTGGAGCTCGACTTGTTGGTAGCGGAATGGGGCGCCCGGTTCGGAAACGACCAGCGCTTCTGTTATCATGTTTGGAGTTGTTGTTGTATAGTTGTCATCAATGTAGCCTTTTTATATGAAGCGAGCGGTTCCGATTGGGAACATTGCAAATGTGGCTTAGAAGTTCATCTGGTGCTGTAAGGATCGTTTACCAAACAACGTCGTGCGGCCGAGGTCCCGTTGCGAGCTTCGTAGCTTCCCCCTTTTCCCTTTTGCGTGGTGTGATATCGACGGGAGGCGCTCGAAGAACAACGTCGCTGTATTGACAGACTGGGAGCCAGGAATACACAATCCCTCTGGTACTCTTGGATATCTACTGGCCAGATCCCTGCAGCAAATCAAGGATTTCGTCCGAGCTGAAAACATACACGAGTCGAGAGAAGAGCGAGCGTCGGATCCAGGCGGAGAACTTCCCAACAATATCTTTTCCCGGATGTCAACTCATCCACATGATACCCAAGTCACTCGCGACTTTTGCCAGGACGATTCCCAAGCTCATACGCGCAAGCATTTTGGACTTTGCCACAGGCTACGCATTATAATCCCGAGATCTTAACTGTTCTTTGATCGACTCAACCGCCCATTCAGTCTGGCTCTCTACAATCCGAACAAATGCAACAAAATCGTCCTCGAACTCCAGCCCCAACTTACTCATCAGTAAGTGGTGAACATGCCCCGGCCCGCGGTCTAGACGGTGGCAGGGTGCAACTGATTCCACAGATCCGCTGCAGAAGACTCGATGTCGGCATTCGTTTCCGCCCGAAAACCCGCATTTCAGGCGCCATCCCAACCCCAGATGAACATGGCAAGCCTGAACAGCAGCTAAAAGTCATCAATATGATCTGTGGCATGTCACGTAGATTGTTCGTGGTCGATACCCCACTCCCGAGTCCTCTCCTTTTCTCTGACGCCCATGCGTGCTTCAAACCAATCCTCAATGGTGACCCAGCCCTGCCTCCTCGCAAGCACGGCGTTCCAGATGGCGGACTGCCACTCACGCCACCACTCCTGTGCAATGAGCGCGACACGGCGGTTGTGCTCGGTACTCGTCGAGGAACCCTCACCTCCGCCCAGGGGCGACGTCGCGCCGGCGTCGCTTCGCCCTTCACCAGCAAAGGCGCCATTCCCTGCCGACCGTCCATTTGTACCGACAACATCCCAGACCGACTCAACCACATCGTACCGCTTGGTCCGATACAGCTGCAACATGTTGGTGAACCAGTTACCCGACTGGCGCAGCACCGTGACATCGGCGTGATGGACGGGGAACTCGACGGACACTTTGCCACGGTATTTGGTCGCCGCGATCAGAGTGCGCACCATGCCCTCCAAGATAGGAGTGGGGAGGTTGTTTGCTGAGCGACGGATCGTGAAACTGAACAGGTGCCGAGCAATGTTAGTCAACGCAGTATAAACGAAATATGTGGTGAAACAGAGTGGCAGGAGGGCCAGCTCGGGGGTGGTGCTTCCAGTGCCCGGGACGACTGCGAGACTGGTCTACCGTGCTTGATGACTTGAAAACCAATGACTCACCTCCTGTTCTCGGCTTTGTCTTCGCAGAACTTCTTCACCCATTGCTCCAAAGGACTCAACGTGCTTTCACGACCAGAGCGACTTCCACTCGCCGGCTTTGGCGAGGACGAGGACGAGGAATGCTCAGGAGGTTTCACACGGATGCGATTTGATGACCTCGACGCGTCCAGCCCTGCACCATGGTCGATTTCCAGTAGGCTCGTCAGGTTGATCTTCAATTCAAAGTCCACCGTAGGCTCACCGTACTTTGCCGACCCGGCCAATCCACTCACATGCGTCCCACGGATCACCATGAGCGGCTTCGGCGGCAAGGCAGCTTGCTCGTGGATGAATTTGACCAGGGCATACTGGGTCAGTGCCAGTTCCGGCTTGGTTGTCGTCACGGTCGCTAAGTCCTCGGACAATTTCGATTCGGCGACGCAGTATTTGGGAAAGTCAATGGCCGTAAGCCGCGACAGTGCCTCAAGTGCGTTCTGACTTGGTATAGGGACGGCAAGTGACGGGGTGCTTGGGCCCGGTGTATGTATCGGGAGGATGATATTTTCATATGACGGAGGAAGATCTTGAGGCGTTGTTGAGGAATAGGCGGAGGCTTGAAGACTGGCCTTTTCAGTAGGAGGCATTTTGATGAAACCTACCATACAAAATGTAATTCCTCCGGGCACCCAGTTGGATTTATCGGTAAGAGTCCTTCAAGACCCAAATCTTCTTGAGCTGATTCAGTCGGCTAGGTTTGCAAGTGACAGTATTATTGAGTCGGCATGAAGTCCCAATCCATGGAGAACGAGGAACACAGCAAGCTGGTGCGCAGACAAGAAGTAGGAAACAAATTCTGTGCAGGACGGTCGAGGTTGAAATAGGTTGAAAAGAGTCTCTCTTGCCCAGGCATTCATATTCATATATCATCTCCCGTCCCTTTAGGTCATGCCTTTCGCAGAATCAGCTCTTTGCAGTAAGGCCCCTCTCTACACCTGACATCGGTGCGGGTGTCAAGCACAGCCACAAGCTCGACAGGGTCAACAGCGGTTACAAGGGTGTCGCTCAGGCATCCATCAATTCCGCCAACCAAGTTCTTTGGGCGCCCTGTCGAAAGCGCGCTTTGGCGCTACAGGGGCGACGTCTGGCCGATTGTCATTCGAGGGCCCAGGATGTTTACCTAGATGGATATTACTAGCAGTAGTGTATGTTTTCATGGAGAGGCGACAATTGGGACGCCACGAGCAGACTCTGTGTGTACAGCGTGTACCACTACCTACTACGTAGTACGTCGTTCAAAGTGGTCGTTTGGTGCTTCGGTGCTTGCTGATGCTCGGCTTCGCTCGGCTTCGCTCGGCCTCGCTCATAACGAAAAAAGTTCAGATCCGAGCTTGGGAAAGGATCAACGCAACAACAAAAATTGATCAAGGCTGACAGGTGACTCCTCGGAAGGTCAAATGCTGAATAGCGAAGAACAATTGCTGGATGAACTCTCAATCAAGTCTAATATACCTACCTGTAGGAGGTAGGCCACACAGTAGTACTAGTGGTAGCAGAGGTCGCTGAGTTTCTTAATTGAATAAAGTAAGCAGGATTTGACCCAGCTTGCCTCAAACGTGTCTCAACTCGCCTCCACGCCGAAAATACCCAAATCGCACTCGAAATTCCAAAAAAATTTGACCAACGCAGGGATCGAACCTGCAATCTCTTGATTCGTAGTCAAGCGCCTTGCCATTGGGCCAGTTGGCCTGGAGTCGTGTTAAGACCCAACAAGTCGTGTGGAAACCCGGCTCATTTATTGGGAGCAATTTTGCAGATTTTAAATATATCTAGTAAATAAGTCGGGCTAATCATGGATTTAGCTAGTGCTATTATACGCGCTACTTATTAGCTTAATTATAATACACTGCTTTAGATTAGTAGTACGTAGCCAAGGATTAAGATAGAATATTACCACCATCTAAGTCCCGGACGGGCGAGGAGAGCTGCTTTTACAACTTACCTTACCTACGATACTTATACTAGTTTAAGCCTAACATATTCGATACCTCCCTAGGTATGTATGTACTAGTAGTACTAAGAGGACAACTCAATAGATAAGTAGGCTTTGTCTCTCTCTACTATTTGCGTCCATTACGAAGAGCACTTGTTCGCGTGGAAAGTACTTCATTCAGAATGTCATCTATGGAACATAGAGCTATGGCAGTGGCCGGGCTGGAAAGACCACCATGCTTTCGACGAGAGAGGAGTCCCCACTGATACCTAATTCCCGGTAACAGTATGAATGATCTCTGTCTGCGTGGCGGCCGTGCCTAAAGTGCTCGTACGGATGGATGATCATCGCCGGTCTGCGTCTCCGTCTGCGTAACCATACATCGGTCCTCTGCTCTCTCCCCTTTGCGGCCCAGCATTTGATAGATATCGACTACCATCGCTGCTCCAGCACGTCTTGGATGCAATCAAACATCACCGTCTCCCATTGTGTGCGCGAATCTCTCTGGTGGGACGAGTAGTGTGGCCACTCCTTCACGCATCCTCACTCTGCTCGTCAAGGGAGCGCTTCCTCCAATGGCTCGCCAACATCGACCCAATGTCCAGCGACACTCGCAGGCGTGATGCCGTCGATGCCACCAGTACCGAGTCCATCGCCGTCATGAATGCCATCACCATATTCAACTTCGTCTTCATCTTCATCTTCATCTTCGTCCTCTTCTCCGTCTCCACCTTCGTCCCCATCTCCCTCTCCCTCTCCCTCTCCCTCTCCATCTCCGTCTTCACCTTCGTCGTCTTCTTCACTGTCAGAATCGAGCCCTTGAAGTAGGGTGAATGCCTCTTCATACGTCTTCATGTTCAGGCGGAAGACTTCAGTCAAAGTAGCATACCATAGTGCTTCTTTTCGGTATTGCCTCTTGACGCTGGCATTGGAGTTGATGATTGACTCTCTCGCACACGCACTGATCTGTTGGAGATAGTACTTCCTGCCTGCGAGCTGCAGATAGTTGAGCGACGGATAATCGTCTGTACCAGTTTCATCAGGGACAAATGCTCGAACAGCAACCCCTAGGCCGCCTTGGCTCATTGCTTCGCTGACGATGTCGGCTGCACTGAGCTCGGTAGGAGCAACCAATGCCACCTTCCCTTTGTCCTTGTCTGTGTCGTTGTCGCTGATGCTCTTGTGGGTGCGGGCCCAAGTTCGAGTTTTGGGAATGGGAATCATCCGAAACTCGTTGTTCCCCCAGTCCAGAAGCACGTATTTGTTGTAAACGTGGTCTGGTTCTGGTTCTTTAACGACTGTCTTCTCCTCGCGTTTTTCAGGTTTGGTAGAGTCTGTATCCTTGCATTCCTTTCGGCCTGGGTCTGGCTCTGGGGCATTCTGCTTTGCTTGCTCCGAGGTCTGCTTTAGCTTCGACTCAACCCGGTCCTTGGGGGCCTTGGTGACGACTATTCGGTCAATGTCCTCGAAGAACTTCGCATTCCGGCCGAACAGCGGAAGCTTAGCCACTTCAGTACGATCCAGCACAATGAAACGCTTTTGCTTTTTCTCTCCCAATGCCTGGCAGCCATCCTCGACAAGCTGTGTTTTGCGCCAATCTTTCACATATTCCGGACTGGCCATCACGATTCGGAACCACGCCGCAGGCACGAAGTCGGGTCCTGGATTCGTGAAATCAAACGTCATGGAGAGGCGACGGTTGTAGAACTCATGTCGACACATCGGACAGCGCAGGAACCGAGCCATGGGCCGACCCATGTGGCCAGGGCGATCCATTTCGAGGTTGACCCATTCGATAAAACATGATAACGGCCATGCATTGTGGCATGCTTCGGTAGTGATATTGGCCACAGTAGGAACAGGTACCGCTGCTGTTTTAAAGATGCCGGGAAGCTTTGCCCATGTCGCTACTGGTGGCGCAGCCACGGTCGTGTTTGTAGTAGTATTTGGGGCTGTGGTCGCTGTAGGGGTTGTAGCTGCTGCTGGAGGTACTTCCGCCCACATGGCAAGCACGGAGCTCACGCCATGGAAGCCAATCAACTGGTCATCATGGGCGTAATTCCGAGTGTGGACAATGGTTTCAGTAGAATCGCTCATGGGCCCGCGACACCAAAGGCAATATTCATGCGCCCGAGGCCCGCGACCGTGTGAGAGCGTCCAACCGAGTTGAAGAATAGCAGCGAGGCGTGTGAGGTTGACCGGGATGGAAATGTCCAAGTCGGGATGCGCATCGTCAGGAAGACTGAGCTCTCTGATGAAGGCGGTGCTGAAGCTCGAGGAACTGGGAGTGTCAGCCATGCTGCCGCTTGCTGAGGCTGCTGCCAGGAGTGCTGAAGGCCCAAGTAAGGCTGCGCTTGTGGTTTTGGAGGCAGGTCAGAAGTTGAGCTGGCTTCTTTGCAAGTTGCGCCGCTGCCGCTAATCCGCTGAAAAGTTGATCGCTGCCTAGCATATCGGAGAGAGAAAGAGACAAAGAGAGCGAGAGTCCAAGTGATAGATAAATGAAAGGAAGGAGGAATCGTGGGATGGACCAGGCCCGGACCACAGGCGCAGCGTATACATTGAAAATCAACGCTGGAAGCCCGCGGGAGGCACAGATTTGCACGCAACTGGGACTTTATACAAACCAGGCAGGGCGCGCATGGCGCCTCAAGACAGGCGTTGGGTTAGAAACAACCATCTAGGAGCGGCGTGCAGCCAATGGACCAGATACATGTATGTTCCATGCAGGTGCAGTGCAGGTTGGCTGCCAGGGTTTGTGACACCATCCGCCCGCCAATTCCAGGCAACCGTGGTTCATTGGCAGGAATCTTGATGCCTGAGGCAACAAAGAAACTCGACACACTGCACTGTAGCCTGAGAGCAGGAAATATGCTCCGCGCATCGATTGCTTATAACAAAGAATGCCTGTATTTCATCCGGCAGGAGCATTCTCACCACGATTATCCCACCATTTCTGCGACACGAGGCAATCCGCGAGCCCTTTTCCCCATCCAGATGCGCCTTTTCCAGCTGCTTGAAACAGCAACAATGTTTTGAGATTAGGCCCAAGCTTGGTCAAAGGATTCCTTGACCTGTTCATTATCTTCAGCCCCGTTCAGCCAACGTCTACCTGGAGAGAATTGCAACGTGTGAGCATTTGTACCTGCAGTTAAGCATTGCCAAGTTGAGATGCTCCAAAGATGATTGACGTTGTGCTTGGGATGTTTGCTTGCTGGGTATCCCGATATCCGTAGCCGACTGTTTTACTGATCGTTCAACAAGGGAGCTCGTTCTCGGTCTTCGCTGACAATTGCCCCTTCTTGGCGGATGCTGTTGTCCTGTCCAAACAACTTTGGAGCACCAATGAGCAGTGACAGAACCAGAAGACAACCAGAAATAACGAAGGCGAAGATCCACTGGACAGCGATTACATGGCTTGTTACCTGACCCAGGCCCAATGCTGTGGTGCAGTGTTAGTGCCATCTTCACGACCAGAAGCGGGAAATACTTACATAGCGAGAGAATTGCCAATTCGAGGCCCATGGTGTAGTCCTTGAAGGTCAAAACGAAGAAACCACCCAACACCAAGATGCCCCAGATGAAGATGTTGGCGACAATTCTGGCAGGTAGACTGTGGGCGTGCACCATGGCGGCACCATCCCAAAGAATAGCGACGTAGTTCCATGCCAAAGGAGCAGACACGATTGGGACATGGATGAACAGCGGCGTGGTTGGGTGTCCAAAATAGAGGAGAGTAAGGTTGAAGAGGTTGATGATGAGGAGCAGTTCGCCTTGCCAGAAATGGCCTCGCACCCAGAGCATGATAAAGCCAAAGGTGAGAAGGTTATGCTATAAGCCATTGTCAACCACCGAGATCCGAGCTAGGATGGAAACAACTTACGAAGATGAAGTGGCTACCGACATTGGCGGCGCTGGTCACAATTTGCTTGTCGGAATTCCACAGATACCGAATGTAATGTGCCTGCAAGATCAGGATAACAACCCAGTAGATACTGGTGAGAACCGAGTTCAATGTGAAGGGCGTCACCACATGGTTGTTCTGCCCCCATATTGTGTGGCACCGGTGCTTGTGTTTGCAATCTTCTGGATGGTCGAAGGTGTAGATGGCTCCGACGACCACCAGCAACAGCCAGGTGACGATGGTGAGGACCTTGTAGGCGATGAGATTGTTCCGTGTGAACTCTTCGCGTTTGGCAAACGGGTTGTCTAAGAGTGCCAGTTAGCCAGTGTGCTCACCGCAGGCACCGAAACGAAGACCATACAATCAGCGAGAGGCATCTTGAGAAGAGTTGAACTGCCTGTTCAAAAGTCTTTGCAGAGAGATTGTGTCGTTGAATGTGCTTTCTCGAGTCAGGAGGTGTGAAGTAGTATGCTGCAGTAGAATGAGGCTCAACAGACGTGAACGGAAAGTTTCTCCTCAGATCGTGTGGAAGAGAAGGATGAACAAGGCAGAGGATGCTGCAGCACAGAGGACGTAGTAGTACTAGGTGACCCGGGCAGTGATTTTATTATGATGCAACTGGCAACTTGAACAAGTCTGGTGACTGCGGGTGTGACCGAAGTGGAGAGGAAGCAGGGCAGCACCATGATGCCCCTAAGCTGATCTAATTACTACCACGTAGTACCACCACCTGTGCCACCACCACTACTACTAGGTCAGCCACCCCCGAACTTTGAACCCCGCACTGACGTGAGACCTACGGGCGTGTCGAAAGGCCGGACAAAAGACGGCCGAGATCCGTTGTCAACAAATTACAGTACTGATTATGAGGTAATCAGTACTGTACCTAGGGAGTCCAGAAGTACTCTCAGCCTACTACTCAGGTACTAATGTATATCACACAGCCATTGTAGGGAAGCTACACATACCTTGCATTTACACACCTCCCTTCTACCCTCACTCTTGATCCTTGAATTACGTTTACTCACCTCCTCCGTTCCAGCACCCAATGTCACCCATCCGAAAGGTGGCCGTTATAGGCGTACGTATCCCATATCTAGTCACTGACCTTCTTCTTCTCGAACCCGTCCAAATGATTTACCCATCACTCTCGGAGGAAATACATAGGCTGGAGGCACAATCGGGACATCAATCACCTCTGCGCTCGTCGCGGCGCCGGACGACTTCGACGTGACGATCATCACACGTCCAGAGTCTTCCGCAACCTTCTCCTTCCCGGCCGACAAGGTCCCGGTGATACGCACCGACTACACCATCCCCGCGCTGACGGCTGCGCTGCATGGCCAGGATGCCGTCGTGTCTGCCGTCGGCGTGGCCGGAATACCCAAGCAAAAGGACATGATGGACGCGGCCGAAGCGGCCGGCGTTGGTCTGTTCGTCCTCAGCGATTTCGGCTACGGGCCTGAACACCGCCACCTGCCCGATTTCGACGCCATTGGAAAACCACGCCAGGATGTCCTGTCCTACGCCAAAGACAAGGCTGCACGGTCAAACGGGCAGTTCAGCTGGTCGGCTATTGCCATTGGAAACCCGATAGATTGGGTAAGTAAGATTCATCCTCACACAAGAACCCCCTGAGCCGAGACCGAGACTGGATCGAGGAAAGAAAGAAGACCTCCCACTAACAATTGTCAACTATGGCGGATCAAAACCAGGCTCTGAAAAAGTTCCCGACCTTGGGATTCGACGTTGTCAACCGGAAAGCCACCATCTACGATTCGGGGACGGAACGCTTTACGGGGACGACCCTGGCAGGTATCGCCCAGGCAGTTGTTGGCGTCTTGAAATGCCACGACGAGGTGGCGAACCGTCATTTGCACGTCCGCTCCGTCGAGACATGCCAGAATGACTTGTTGGCCGCTTTTGAGGAGGTGACGGGCCACAAGTGGCCGGTTACACACGATACCACCGACAATCTTTTACAGAGGGGCAGGGAGAAGCGGGCCAGAGGGGAGAGTGGTTGGGTTTTGGATCTTATCGTTGCGCAGCTGTTGGAAGAGGGCACCGATCGTCGCTCGATTGTGGTGGCCCAGGACAAGGCAGACAACGATATCTTGGGCATGCCGCACGAGGATGTGCCAGGCATGGTCAAGCGGATTATGATGAGTGTATGATTCCAATTCAAATACCTATACAGTATGGAACTTGTGAAATAGAGTCAGAATACCTAACAGGGAAAAGAAAAACAAAGATCGAAGTATTGTTCATTTATTGCTGTTGTTGGTGCTGGTGTTAACCAACGTAGGTTGTACATAAATCTGTTGTTACACACACCTGGTTCAGGTATGGGATCCTACCATCCTTTTATAAATTGGAGTGGGAGGCAACTTCCAAGGCAGTAAGGCAAAGAGAGTATGCGAATGATCAAATGTACAATGTAATGGTAGGTACTTTGAGTAGGTACCTGGGCTATAAATGCAATACTCTCAGGGAACTTCAGGAACATATTAACGTGTTTCGAGTCGTAGCAATATGGTGACAACCAGAACTCCTAACAATGCATATCGTTCTCTGTCGTCCCTAGAACTTGGCAAATGCAGCCTCGTATGCAAACCCCAAGGTCATCTTCGCATGTTGCAACATATGATCAAAGCTCAAATATTTGATCAGGTCGTCCGTGCTGTGGATCTTCTTGTCCGAATACTCAAAGTCCGACTCGATCACAAAGGCCGACGGATACCCATACTTGCTCGCCGATGCATGGTCCGAACAGGCATAACCGCACTTGGTCAGGGTATATGGGATATCGCAATATGCCGTAATGATCTTCTTGATGAATTCCGTCAGGTCTGGGTTGACAAAGTCGGTGATCACGCCAACCGACTCGGGTTTCCCGTGGGCGAGTGTCTGCTCGACATAGCCGGTCATGTCTTGTTGAATCATTGCTTTGACGTCCTTCTCATTCTCATGGTAGGATTTGAAGATGGCCTGACTGCCCAAAAGCCCACCTTCCTCCGCCGAGTACCAGTGGAACTCGACCGTATTCTCCGCCTGACCGCGGACAATGTCCTTGGACTGAAGGAGCGCCGTGAGAGCCTCTAGGATGGTCACGGTCCCGCTCCCATCATCGTCCGCCCCAGGTGCTGCAAGGATCGATGGTAGGAAGAGGTTGATGCTGTCCAGGTGCGCCCCAATCACCACGGTATGGTTGGTCTTTCCCGGGAAGCGTGCAATGATGCTGAACTGACCCCATGGATGCGAGAACTTTTCCAGGCTGGCACCGTGGTCAAACGCCCCAGATGCTGATATGACACCGTCGATCTGCTCGTACAGCCACGTGGCTGCGTCGATACCATACTGGCTCTTATAGTATCGAGTGTGGAACGATGTGAGTCCTTCCAGGTGCTTCCGCATGTTGTCCTTGTCCAGACCCTTTGCGAGTGACTTCACTGTCTCATTGTACTCGGCTTTCACAGGGTATTTGACGGCAGTGGATGCGGATTGCGAGGTTACGACATATGGATAGGTGTGGCCATTCTCCGTGATGTCCATGAAGTTGACGCCGTTCTGTTCCCGAGTTAGCAGGATCCTGCGCAGGACAAAGTGTTCCATGCCCTCTTCAACTCCCATTTCTCCTCCTCTGACACCCATCTCACTTTTCCCGGGTTCAGTTCGATCAGATAGATATCATCCACCAGTGGCTCTGAGGCTTCAAGTGCAACTTGTTGTTGGTGATGAGGGTCGATGGAGAGGGCGTTGACCAGGGTGCCCGCACCGAGGGCAAGAAGCGAAAGGAGTTGCATAGCTTCCCCAAACCAAAGATTGGGATAGACAAGCCGAGTGTTGCACAGTAGTAGTAGATATGATGGGGAGGTTTATAGATGTTGTAGTTGTTGACTCTGGTGCTTGGACCTGGATACTACTACTAATGGCGGGGAAACCGCCCTGGCAGGCAGACACTGCAGGACGACGTCTCACTGTTCAACGGGAGCCTTCCATGCACTTTCACACCCCGTGTTTATTCCTATACTAGTATATTATTAGTTGCACAGTATATATACAGAGTCTTGAGTATCGAGGGCATCTTCATCAATAATTGATCCAATCTTTGCAAGACATTGTGTACTGTCGAGATCTGATCCTCGTGATCGATCAGTCGTCGCATCGTTGACTCACTCTTATCGCCGCATGTGGCAAGGATGCTGATTGTCATTCGTTCGCTTAGTTATGACTCCAGCTTCCGGTTCCAATCCCGAGGCGCCGAAGCTCTTCTGTCCTCAACCAAATGCACTCTGCCCTGCTCTGCTCTCCCCACGAACTCGTAGACTCGTTACCCTTCTTCGTTGATTCTCCCCCTCTGTCGCTCACTGCTCAATATTCTCGGGTGGACAAAACTTTTCCATTCGTTTCGTGGTAGTGCAGTATATCTGACTACGGGTTCTTTGTCCTTGTCGCAATTTCATCTTTATCCATACTTATCGTGCCAGAGTGCGCCACAGAATCATCGTACTGCCGACCATGGTCATCGTCCCGATAATGGTAGCCCCGGAGGCTGCACCTCTTCAAGCAGGGCCGAGTACGGAAGGGATCACGACGCAGATGGACAATGTCTCGATGGATCCGGAGACGCCTCCGCGGCCAACCTCAGTCCGCATCACGGTGCCTCTCGACGCGCAATCCAGAACTCCCGTGGTCACGTCGACCATCCACGCCCAGCGGAAGCTTCTTCGTCGCGACAGTATGGAGCGTCGAGACGCACTTCTGAAGGGCAAAGAGGGATCACGCCAGCGACGACGCTGGGAGAACGGTACTTGGCGCGACTTTTCGGGCTCTCAATAGGGGCTAATCAAGGTTTACAGATCGCTTGTTGTCCAATCCATGGGCTGAACCTCCCTTGCCGTCTGACTGGGAAGTCCGTCCCACGTATCCGCGCCGTGCTGTGCCCTACTATCTCGCCCCTCTCTGGGATGCTGCCGAGTTCCAGCGAGCGGTCGAGGCGAAGTTGAAAGGCCGTAAAAATAGTACAAGATCTCGAGGGAAACGGGCTCACAACACAGGGGTAAGCCCGATGGAGGAGGCAGCTTCCAGCATCCCCAAAGAGGTGCGGGCCAGACTCAAGCGCGCCAAAGCTGCCAAGTGTCTGCTCCACGACCTCGAGGAGCCAGTGCGGGCATTTGTGCAACAGTGGAATGAGAGGGAGGCTCGGCTGCGGGAAGAAGGGTTGCACGATGTCCCCCTGACCAGCGACAGTGAAGAAGACGAAGAGATTGTCTTCATCGGCAGAAACGGCGCCATGCACGATTCCCCTGGGCGAAAGCTGAGACAAAAGGAAGAGGGTTGGGATGAGACGATCAGCACCGAGAAAATGGTCTTCGAGAGCCTGGACGACGATAAGGGCGCCGCATTCACCCGGTGGCTTGTCCATTGCGTTGGGAGCTATTACGGCCTGAGGACCTGGAGTGTTACCCGTGATGTTGAAGGTCGGGGAAAGCGAAGATTTGCCTATGTTGGTGTGGACACCAGAGCTAGAGGGTTCATGGGTCGCGACGTTGAGGTCGGTCGAGAATTCGAGCTGCCTCGGCCTCTGTGGGGAATGGTGTGACCGATAGATGAGAAGGCCATGTGTGAAGTATGTTGCTCGTCACTCAAGCATTGGCTTACTATATTCGAACGGGATTGGAAAACCTGCCATGGTTGCATGCTGATATCATGCGTGACCCCTCTGTGGTCTTTCTCGTTCAAATCGGCAGCTGCAGGAGCAACTGGTGTGGGTCGACCACCCAAGCAAACCGGCGACCGTGCTGCTGCTGCTGCATATGTGACAAGGACCACGCTATCGGCTGGCCGGACCGTCGAACAGGGGGCAGGCTATGTTTATCTCGGGCATACTCAGACAATATATGACCAAATTTTGTCATAGCCACGGTACTTGCTTCAATCGGACGTTAGACAGACTAGACTGAAGGAGATTCGAGCGGGGTTCGGTAACTGCCCAACCATGAATAGCGACCTTGTGCTCACTCGTGGGAGCTTCTGCCAGGAAGAGGCTTCTGCTGGCAGTGGCGCTGAAAATGGCAGCTATTGCTGATAGCGAGGGAATGAACGCGGAGCATCACAATTCCGTTGGGGATGTTGAGTAGCGATTGGCCAACATCGGCCATGATGTCGACTTTGTAAGGAAGGTCTTGTCCTCAATGTTTGTCGGTGTGCTTTGGAACCTTAAGGCGGCCGCATCGGCGTACTGTCTCGAATGCTCTTGCGCAAAGTTCCAGCGACGTCGAGCCATCTTGAGAAACCCTGTTTCGTAAGGAGTATGGAAGGAGATGAATTCAGGAGTTCGGCATTGCAAAAGATCCACCCAGCCGTACTAGCCAGGAACGTGCGATAGGTCTGGGAGGAGCTCCAGCAAGCTTGGTGACCGGGTCCGTTGCAAAATTTCCGTGGTTGGAGCTGCAAGCAGCGGGTTAGTAGCGGTGCTCAAGACGATCCAACCTATTTTCATCATCAGGCACAAATTTGTTGCGACTCCGTGAGCGTTGCATGGCTTGAAGCAGGATTCGTGCTAAAATGCCTCACAATCGACCGTCGTAGTAGTGGGAAGCCTGCCCTGCCGTCGAACTCAGACACAACCATGACGTGTCGACCGTGCTTGAAACCAGAGCAGGAGAACAGTTTAGGCAGGACAAGACCCAACGGTGCAATATACTTGAAAATGAAGCAAACATCGCTGCCCAAACTGAGGCCATCACTTCTGAGGCACAGCGGTATCAGGCTCGGACCCGAAGCCTAATGTGTGGTACGGCAGTGCAGGTACAGCATCGAGCTGTGAACACATGTTCATGGCTGGCGGTAATCCCTGTTGAACACCCACGGAATCGAAGAGAATTAGCGAGCAACTGAAGCGACGTATGAAAGGATGAAAGCCGGTGATTTTGCCGTAGCATGCCAATGAGGTGATGCCACGCTCATCAGTGCAAGAGATGGAAGTATGTAGATGGGGGAAAATACAGAGAAGGATGACAGGCTCTATTTCCAGAAAGGATTAGCGCAGGTTGTTCTGGAGACCTTACACGGCCGCTAGACCTTATCAGGGACTTGGCAGCGGCAGTCCCGTCATGCCGTCGAGCTTAATAGAACCAGCATCAAACACCAGTCGTCTGACCCACAGGACAGGGTAAGCAGTCCTTCGAGTCGGGCTCAGCTCGCCGCTGCCTTGAGTCTTTTCTTCTTCGGCCCAATACTGCGTCCGTCAGACAGCCAAATTAAATTATTCTCCCTTGTCTGACATATGAACCTTCTTCTCATCACACTGCACTCATGCTGCACTGCCACCAACTTGAACCGCGAAATCTATTTGGTCCTTCAATCACCCCTGCTCTCAACCAACCATTATTCGGCAGCTCGTGCTTTTTCAAGGAGGACGGATCTTTCTGCTCGACTTCCCAAACTCTTCGTTGCATGTCTGTTCCAGAGCTGAAGCTGGCAAGGGGGAGACTGCATTAGCGAGTTTGTTGAGATGCGAACGAGTGATGCTCTAAGCGACGACAGCGTCTCATTTGATTTTCTTCGGCTGTCGAACCATGAGCCACTAAAGCAAAGTGACTAACCTGCGATCACTCAGATAAACCGTCTAGAAGAAAGACAATCCAACGGCCGCTTCCGGCCAGTCCCGCCTCGCCTGTCTTCGGCCTTGGACTTGCAACCTTGGGAACGATAACTGTCGCACCATTCACGCCATTATCGGCGCGGCCCTCCCTCGTGGTATTGGGAAGCGAGGACGACAGCTTCCACAAGTGCAAATCACCCGGTGGAGTGATCCTGGCGAGGTGAGGTGTGGTTTGTTTTCCGGGCTCAACACCAATCACCAGAATGCCTCTGATTGCTTTTCAAATGCTTTGGCTCATGCTCCCTTTGGCCGTGCTTTTCCCCGTATTCATGAAATTTACTTATCTACCACGACTGTTGAAATCTCTTCCCCATCTTCGTTTCAACTCAGTCTAAAATTCACATATTCTTTTGCACAATCAACATAGCAATTCCACACGTGCTTTTGTTGACAAGGTCAATATGCCCCGACATACACTGGGCCGGGCCTGGTCCAAGGGGTCGCCGACATCGTCTGCCAGTTCCGCTTCGACCCGCAGTAACGACTCCGGCCATTCCGGTCACACCCAATATACCAACCTTACCTCATACAGCGACACAAAACCCATAGTCACACATTCTCACAATTGTGATGATGAGATGGTTGTCGGGCCTTGCAACTGCAGAGATGAGCAAGACGTCGATCCCCGAGCGTCCAGCGAGACCTATGCTTCCTCCGTCGCCTCACAGGAAGCTGATTCGAAACCGACGACCCTCTGTCCACCGACAAGGCGGCTATGTTATAAATCCGACGCCGTTGGTACCACGCCTGCCGAGTTTGCAGAGCTTTTCCCATCTACCAGACGACTTCTTATCCAACACGACGACAGCACCCCCGACGGCAATCTGAATGTTCGGGTTGACACCGAGCTGCTTCTCTCCAAGGGTCGAAAGCTGAAGTTGACGCTCTTCCACCTGCGCATGTGCGACCTCGGTGAGCGTCAATTCTCACTCCGTCGATATCATCGGCAGTCGGGTCGGGAAGTCTGCAACTCAAAGCGAAAATATCTGAAGCCTGCTGCCAAGCCATCGCGGCCAGGCAAGAAGCTAGGTGGTGCTCTGAACATTGTCAGTCTCAAGACAGTGGGCGTGAAAGGGAGACCCACCAAGATCTCTCACGAACATCAAGAAGATGACTCCGACGACGATCTTGATCTCTTCACCGCTCAGGTCGGTGTGGAGGCCACCATCCCCACCGATACTATCAGGATCGAGTTCGCAAATTACGCGCAGGTGGAGCTCCAGCGGTCCTGTGGAGAAGAGGGGGAGTCATACGATTTCGAGTATTGGGGAGAGAAATATACCTGGAGACGAAATGTATTCGAAGATGAATCCGAATCGGTCTTCACATTCGAATTGGTCAACTTAACCACTGGCGCTTGCCTGGCTCATATCACTCCCGACAGGTTATCACCGAGGCAGAGTAGGCATGAAGCTACTCAAGGGACTTGGGTGCCGCCGTGTAGCATGCGAATCAAGGAGAGGAACATCTCGAGTGACCTGGGCGATGTCATTGTCGCAACGGGACTGATCGCGCTCACCGACGATTGTATCCGACGAACCTGGCCTGAGACTCACCGCAACTAACTGATGGGGCGCACAAGTCATGTTGCGTCCATCTGATGTTCTCCAGATTGCCCCAGAGATCAGGACGAAGTTTCCTGTTGAAGTTGCGTTACACAACCCCCATTGGCGGTGTAGGATGCTGCGCAATGAATGATTCGAAACAGCCTGATGGCGGGGAATGCCGAAGAGGTTCTCAACGATGGAGGACACTCAGAATTCTTTGTACAAGGTCTGCATTTTGGCAGGTCATGGGAGATGAGACGAAGGGAAGGCTATCTGCATGAAAGTTCTCTATGCCATATGGATCGCATGGATTGAATGGCCTGGGAACACGGGTTTGGGGTCACGGCAGCAAAGCATGATTGAGTTCAACAGATATGATCTGGTGTCTCCAGAAGCAGAGAAGAACGAATATATTGGTTCCTCGATGGGTTTCATCGATGCAGACACTGACGTCTTGAGTTCGCTGGATGTCTTGTACCCGTACAATTTTGCACATTTTTGCTTGCGGATCGAGAAACGCAAGGAACCCGGAGTCGGGCCGAAGAATGGGGGCCTATTAACCTGGTATGATATGTCGCGTAAAGGTTAAGGGGTGGTATGATTGTGTCCGGTCTACTATGTGCCAACCTCGCAGCTCCTCGTCACGATCCAGGTCATTCCGAGGGAACGGATCATCGAGCAGCCAAACAGCCAGTGATGAGCTAGGTCTGGAGTGTTGGATGGAACGTACTATACACTGCAGTACTACTCCCTACATCGCCTAGTAGTAGAACTCCTTCCAATTGTGAGTCCATGTTTGTGGCAGCGAAAAGCCATATCAAGCTAAGCCCGATTGCCATCTAGTGGCTGGGCACGGTGGGTGTCCGCAATTTTGACAGGTTGACGGACTGACGGTGAGATCCGCCCCGAAGACCCGTTGAAATTTCCCGCCGCCTCCAAAAACTGCCTGCGATTCATTGATTCTGTTCCTTCTCTGCTCTGCTGTGCTTTGCGCCCTTGTCGTCTGTCGTCTGTTTCTGCATCTTGCTTTTCCCAGTCTCCATCCTCCCTTTCGCTCTCCAACCACCGTCCGGCGTTGTCTGTGCACGGCTACACAGTCCACCTGCTCAACGGCCGCCACTCGTCTCGACCTCAACTGCGACTCTCAGAAGCTGCCGGGCATGTTAGCAAATCATCTGTCGTGCTGACTCGTCCACGCCTCCACCAGTACCATACCACTCACTGCAATATCCTAATCCTCTTACTTTCTTGCTTACAGCTGTTTCCCCTCCGTGTCGCTACCTACTCGAGGAGGTACTTACCGGGGCTCCCACTCCTCCCACTCCATCCTACCCACCCGCCCTTCTTTTCTCCTTCTGAGGCATGGGCGAGGGTGTATGGTCGATGGACTGCGAAACGTGGACCGACGATATGCGTGTCCTCACCCTCCGTTGACGTTGCTGCCCAACGGCCATGCGCACCCCCTAACAGCTGAGGTAAAGCATCCAATCATGCCTACTGCCCTGAATTTGGGGCCGTAGAAGAAGAAGAGAAGCAACGAAGAAAGGAGAAGCGTTGATCTCTTTGGCGACCACCGCCGTCGGCCTGACCTGAATGAGAACCAAGCTGGTTCTTTGGGCCAGATCCCGAGCATGCCGAACGCTTTTCCGCGCTCTGTACCTCGTCACAAATGGAGACCGGGTTAAGCAGCTTTGCTCTCTGCCCCACCTCCAAATACCCTGGCCACTCCTCGCTCGTCCAGTATCCGCACGCCTTCGAGCAGCTCCGGGGGATTTCGCCAATCCTTCTAATTGTCAAGGTCCCTCTCCGCCATCATGCATATCATTGCTTGGGTGCGGACCAACCCACTGCTTTGCGTTGCCGGGTCCTGATGTGCTGGCAGTTTGCTGCCAGGTGAGGCTGGTGCTTCAAGGGTTCTGCTCTACTGTTTTCGCCATCCCATCGTCTCTACCCACGTCTGGACACCTCGCCTCTCTGCATGCGTGCTCGCATCTGTGCGACGTCAACAGCCTTTATAGACATGTCAGGGCGGCCTCCACTGATCGATACAACGTGTCACCAGATCTCAGATCATGTTGCACGAGGAAACAACCTCTATTTGTTATTTTTCGCTGTTCTTGGTGCCTTAGATGACATGAGGCAAGCGCGATAGAGGGAAGCAGACCTGTCATCGAAGTCGATGTTGGTATTGCTGCAGCTACCCTTCGTTCCATCGTTGCGTCCACTCTAGTTGCTTGCTTTGTTACGCTGAGCCGGAATCTATACTGTCGCTTTAGGTCGCTTGGGTATAAAGCGCATCGATATCTTCTCTTGCATTGACTTGTTCAGCATTCAACTCATCGGGTCTTGGTCAACAACACAAAAGTTTCTCCAAAGTCACCGATCAACCACATCTAGTGGTCTATCTCTTATTCATATCAGTTGGTAGAATTCCCTTCAGAACATGGCTTCCAAAACCCACAAGACCTGGCAGGAGGAACTTGCTGGTGAGCTTTGCCGTCCCTTCATTGACATGGAGCTATCTCGTCTGACGTTCTCGCTAGCTGAGTGCCGAAAGCATCGGCTTCCGACTCCCATCTTCAACATTGTTTCTGATCGCCGCGGTTCGTTACCTTGGTCTCCCTTTTGCTCATGGGTATTGTGCCGGCCAAACACTAACTCGGCCTTTGCGATTTCAGGTGGCCGTACAGCCTGGTCTGCTACAGTGACCATTCAGGGACAGAATCTCGCGGCCAGATACTGGTACGATGGTCAATACCTGCACAACGCCAAAGAAGATGCTGCCGAAGTGGCATGCACCAAACTGCGCAACCCCTCAATCACTGCTGGTCATCAAACCATCTATCGCGCTGGACAAGGCTACGCTCAGAGCGGTGGTTGGGCCCGTTAGTTGTATGGGACGCTCGAGTCGGGATTGCGAAGGAGGCGCACTATTGCCATCTATCGGCTTCTGGTCGGCTTCTCAAGGAACGAGAATCTTCGAGGCAATGGGTACATGTGCTCTGGGCTGCTCAATCCAGCGGATGTGTGGATGGCTTTTTAGGGGGGCATAGCGATGGCGTTGGAGGTGACGAGAAGTACAGGAGGACGCTTTTCTTGGGACCGGGTATCTACCTTGTCGTTTTCCCCTTTTCCCCTTCACTGGCCGCAGAATCCTGGGAATGATTAGAGCGACTCTGTTCGGGTATGTGAGAATGGTTGCACCCTTCACACGGGCAGTCGAGCGGCCTCAGTCTTTTCTGGAATGTTTGACCGCTCTTTTTGTGTCAATAGAAGAATTGCAGAAATTTTCCGAATTGGGTGGGTGCTTCGTATTCGTGCATCATGTAGTGTATATTGTTGAGGTACTCTTGAGGATCTAGGTCACAAACAAGATCTTGTATTTCAAGGCCCCTTCCCTGCTGTGTGCCGTGACATGTCGTGCAACAAGAACACCGTAGGGAGAATTCTGATGGCCCGGTGATGTGGGCGCCAAATCAGGATGGACGAAGGAACACGATGACTCTGGCCAGTAGAATAGAGGTTCGTTGGCCATGATGATACTTGTAGGAAGTATTTTTTTATAGGTACGACGAATATTTGGCGGAGGAGACCCTCAACCCTCCTACCGCGGACCGGATCAAACCACCAGACCGAACACATCCACCACACCAGTCATTCAGGTCTGGTCTTTTCGTGATCTGTCCTACGTGTCTCTGACTCGCCTGAGAAAAGTTCGAATAGCACATCTGACGCGTAGAGAATCCATCCCGGTGCGACATCCGGCCAGGCGCATTTCCGTCGCAGATTTCACATGCACACGACCCTCCGAACGACCAGACGACGACTTGACATCTTCACCGCCGCAACAGCGCGATACATCGCCGGCGCAGGCAGTCCCCATGCATCTGGACCATCCGCAGACATGTCGACTGCGGCCGCGAACACGACCTCTACGAAGCCCTCGGCGCTGACCTTTGACCTTCACGCCCGATGTTCGGTACGCCCCAGTCAAACCAGCTTGATCTGACTCTCGTTACATTTCTCTCCCACCGAAACCGCAAAAGTTGACAAATGTTGTTCCCTTCTTCTACTTTAGACCTCCAAGGCTCGAGCCTCAACGCTTCACCTGCCACATGGCACAGTCGACCTCCCCATGTTCATGCCCGTGGCGACGCAGGCATCTCTGAAGGGCCTCACGCCAGAGCAGTTGGAAGAGACAGGCTGTACGCTATGCTTGAACAATACATATCACTTGGGTCTGAAGCCCGGCCAGGAAGTGCTGGACACGATCGGCGGAGCCCATAAACTCCAGGGATGGAACTACAATATCCTGACCGACAGTGGCGGGTGGGTTTTGTTTTCTATATTGCAACGTCCTCACTCCCTTCCAGCGTCTATGGCTGTTCCAAGCCACGGCGGGCATTCCTCACACTCGGGAAAGTGGACTGATTGACTGACTTTCTTTTCTTTCCGGCACAAAAGTTTCCAGATGGTCTCGTTGCTCAAGTTGGCAAAGATTACGGAGGAGGGCGTGCGGTTCCTAAGCCCTCACGATGGGACTCCAATGTACGTTTTACGAACAGAGATTCATGAAAAAGATGGACCTTGCCGGGGCAAGGCTCAGTGCCGGCAGAGCGGCAGGTCCTGGGAAACGTGGAACGCAAAAGGCTCATTGGGTTTTGTTCGTTTTTCAGGCTTCTCACACCAGAACACTCCATGTCCCTTCAGAACTCGATCGGATCCGATATCATGATGCAGCTCGACGATGTCATCCAGACCACGTCGCCAGACCATGCGCGGATGAAGGAAGCCATGGAACGCTCGATCAGATGGCTGGACAGATGTATCGCGTCGCACAAGTACCCGGAGAAACAGAATCTGTTCTGCATCATCCAGGGCGGGCTCGATCTGGAAATGCGTCGACAATGCTGTGTCGAGATGGTCAAGAGAGACACGCCTGGCATAGCCATCGGCGGGCTCTCCGGGGGTGAAGCAAAGTCGGATTTTTGCAAAGTGTACGGAAATACTGAATGCCTTGACTCAATTCCAAATTCCGAATTCCTTGGGACAAGACGCATACTTACCTTTTCTGGTTGATCCAACAGCGTCGATACATGCACCGATATGCTTCCGGAAACCAAACCAAGATATGTCATGGGAATAGTACGACAAGCCAGCCCCTGATTCTTGTTTCGTGGCGACCTTGGAATCGCCATAAGGTAGCTATGGGTGCTGATTCAGGAGTAGGGCTATCCCGAGGACATCGTCGTCGCTGTCGCTCTTGGAGCTGATATGTTCGATTGTGTCTGGCCTACCAGGACAGCGGTAAGTCGGAGTCCCCCTGGTTGCTTTTGAGCTGTGTTCTTCGACTTCGACATCGACTTTCTCCCTGTCTCGCTCTACGAGCTATATTCGATGTCCTTATGCTGGGGAGGTATCTCATTGCTGACTTTCGGTTGGTTATACAGCGCTTCGGCAACGCCATCACCTCCGGCGGAGTGCTCAATCTCAAACACGCCCGCTACTCCAAGGACTTCGGCCCCGTCGAACCAGATTGCACCTGCACGGTCTGTCGCTCGAAAGAGGACGGCGGCCTGGGCGTCACTAGAGCATTTATCTACCATCTCGCAGCCAAGGAGACGGTCGGAGCACATCTGTAAGCTTCTACCCACCCGTCGTTTTTCTTTCTGTTGTTCTTCCGGGCCGTGTCATGAACCTGGCCTGGCTTGGCCTGGTTTTCTAGAGTGTCTTCCGCCGAATCTTCAGCGTCATGGTCATGGGTTTTGTCATGGTCATACTGGTAGCTTTTGTCAGGAGTATCTCCGTCTATTGATATAGCATTGTCTTGAAATGCGCCCGGCTAACATGACCCTCCCCGCCGGGTGGACAGGTTGACAATGCATAATGTCCATCATCTCCTCGCGCTGATGCGCCGCGCCAGACAGGCGATTCTGGCCGATCGGTATCCGGACTTCGCGAGGGATTTCTTTGCCCGTTATTTCGCTGGCAAGGCGACGCCGCAGTGGGCAATTGATGCGCTGAGGGGCGTTGGCATTGAACTTTGACGATGACGATGACGAGGGCTGTGTGGGCTTCCAAGATACAAAAACCATGCCTGTGGTGGACAGGCGAGAGTGCTCTGTTGGGATTGACCGGGCTGAGGCGAGAGAGGGGGCTTGTCAGCTTGTACTGCGGCCTATACTTGTTTCTGGACTTGTGTTTGTTTGTGGGCATGGCAGCGAAATGTGGGATAGAAGAGTATCATTGAAGTTTTATCTGGAAGGGACCTTTGCTATGAATCCGGCTCTGAGTATGGATCCGCTTCTAGTCTGGGATCACAGAAGGTCGATGATAGAGGATGCCTCAGTCTTCTAGTCCATTGTTCAGAACGAGAACAAGACATCATCTATCTGCTTCTACGTTATCCCATGTAGCCTGGTCAAGGAGTCTAGTCTTGACTTGCTATGTATCTCTCAGCTGCATCGGTCTGTCTGGTCATCAGATATCGGTGGCCTGTGAACTTCTCCCTTGTCCATCGCGGTTCGACAACTTTAGAGCACACTTAGTCATAATTTCTATCGCCTGCCATTCTATAGATCTTAGCATGGGCAATCCAACAGCACAATGCTGGGACCAAGGATGTCTAGAGCTGGTAACGGAGTTCAAAGTCAATTGTGGTCTTTGTATTTATTTGCTCAACCCCGACTCTGCCGCGCTCGGGTAAAGCTCCCATCGAGGCCACTCAGGAGAGCGTACACCGTCTTCAAAAGTGGCGTGTCGACGCCCTTCGCCTCCGCTATGCGCAGCGGGTTGCCGACTATCGCGTCGACTTCCATGTTTCGCCCGGCGGCCGCATCCGCCAGCATGCTGGGCTCGACACCAGGCAAGGGTCGCGCAGTCGCCCGACTGATCTGGAAATCGACCACTTCGGACGAGATGGACGGATAGCCCGAAGCCTGGGCGACGGCGGCGATCTCGAGCATGACGCCCTTGACCAGGTCCAGCGCGTACGGGGAGGACTGAAGGAACTGCATGTCCCGACTGCGGGAGAGAGCACAGATTGGATTCCACGCCGCATTGACCAAAAGCTTGCTCCACCGCGACTGCTGGATGTCGTCGTGGACTTCGGCCGAGGCACCTCCGGCGTGCAGCAGCGCTGCGAGTTTGTCGGCAGAGTCTTTGTGCGCCGATGGCGCCGTCGAGGGATATGTGCCGATGTGCAGCAGCTCGACCTCGCGGTGTTCTACGGTCCCGGGTCGGACCTGTGTCGCTGGCAGATAGACGACACAGCTTAGAATGGGGTTGGACGGGAAGGCCGATCGGTAGATGTCTTCGATGCCGATGCCGTTTTGGATCAGTGCGATTGTTGTGCTCTCCGACACTGCTGGGCGGAGTTGATCCGGTATCGAGGGCGTGCTGGCGATTGCTTTCGCAGTGACGATCACGTAGTCGAAGGGTTTGCCCTCGGATGCGGCCACGGCTTCGTCAACGGTGCGGACGACTTGGGGCCGTACGTTGAGGTTTTGGCCGAATATCGTCGAGTTGAGGGTTAACCCTTGTTTGGACACAACGTCGTAGTTCGATCGACATACGGTGAAGACGTTGACGGGTTTAGTGGCGCGACAGAGTACGTATGTGTACACAGCGCCGATGCTGCCGGTGCCGAAGATTAGGATTCGTGGAGACATGCTTCTGAATGTTTTGTGAATATCTGTTTGCCTTTGACTTCAACTTTGTCAAGTGTGATGGCGATGGAGATAAGTGTACGTGATACGTGATATGGCTAGGAGTACTGGGGATTTGATACAATATGGGTGGGAAATACAAAGGAAATCTGCGGTATCAAGGCGGAAGGGGTACTGGTGTCGTTGTCGATTTGACAGAAGATGGGGAGATATACGGCGAAAAAGCCGAATAGCCGATGAGTTCCAACCAGGAGTCAAGAAACCCACTCCACAAGTTCCGATGAAGTCGAATCAGTAGTCAACCGAAGACGGGACCATTGATCAACATTCATGGTAGCGGTGTAATTCCTTGAACCATGAAAACAAACAAACTGACTGCGACCTACCCGCTGGTGGTCGGTGTTGAGTTATTTCCCGACCTGAGTGACCTCGAGGTCGACAGAGGTCGCAGCGACTCTGCACTCCAAACCGTACGTGCGCGGAGTCCTGTTGATGGTCGAGTGCCGATTGATCGCCAGACATAGTCAACGCTCCGTAGGCCTGAAAGTCGCCGGGCACTTTGCGTGAGGTTCAACAATAATAGGCTTGTCCGCCGTGAGGAAGAAAGTCGATGGGCTGATCGCACGATCAGCTCCGTTGGCATCTTGTACTCAGGTAGAGGCCGGTGGCCATTGACATATGTTGTCTTCAGTCTTGATAGATCAGGGCAGAGCCAATAGGCGGTAGACGTCGATGGCTAAATCGCAGTTTGACCGACCCCGAGGATCAGGGTGAAAGCCGTGTTTTCTGGAGATGGTGAAAGACAATACACAAGGAGAACATCTTCCAGGAATGGGAGGGGCTCATAAAGCTCATCAGCCGGAGGTTCGAGGAATAAGCGTCTGGCGTTACGGGTGGTAGCTCTGTTCGCAAGACTCCGATTCTCTAGCATATTGGCTTGTCAGGGGAGGTCGAGCTTCGGGGCATCTGTCGCTATTTTGGACGATAAGACTCGTTGGAGAGGGTAGGGAGGGGTGGCTGATACCCACAGAGCCCGAGAAATCAACCACTGAGCAGTTGATCGCTAGCAATGGATGCCGGTGGTGGAGTGGAGGAAGAAATGTGGTCGATACACAGTGTGAACGGGGAACGCGTTGTGTTTGGCGGGCGCAGACACCGCAGACGCGCTTGGAAGAGGAAAAAGGCCAGAGACGCAAATGACGTGCATCAGACAATTGATCAATTGAACACCTTGACCTTCACTCATAGATACCTTATACCTCCAGGGCGACATCTGTTTGCCGTTGCATATCATACGGCTACAGTTGTATGCTCTGTTCATTGACAATCTGTGCGTGAATGGCATAGACGCCGTCGTCTGCTCAATCTGACGACAACAACCATGGACCCCGATATACCTGCGCCCTCGGTTGAGCACGACACCCTCCCGGAGAACAACAACATCAACACCAGCGATGCGATCACCACCCACGAAGATGCTACCCCTACTCCGCGGCTCTCTTCGCCATCGGTCCAACTCAACCGTAACATGCCTCTTCACTTGGCTTCTGCCGCATCAGTCCCACTGCCTCCATCTTCGCCTATGCGTGCTCCTCGAACACCAGCCGCGAGCGCATCGAAACCTTCCTCCCCCAAGCCGCTGTCGCGATCGCCATCGGTTGCAAGTCCTCGTCAGGGTGAAAGACAGACCACCCCTACCCTCCTTTCCAGAAGATCGACGTCCAATCTAAGTGTCTCAAAAGGCGGAACAGGAACACCACAGAAGCCACAATACCGACGGGCATCTTCTAACCTAAACCCTTCATCCCCCGCGCCAAATGGCAAGATGGCCTCTACAATCTTTCAGGAACGTCCCCCGGTGACGGCCAGCTCGGTCAGCAAAGACTACTTTGGGATAGAACTAGCAGCGCATGCCAGCTTGCAATCACCCGTCGCCGTGATAGTCCACGATTCATGCTATGGCCATCGCTTCTCCCGCCCTCGAGCCTCCAAGAATGCCTTGGCCACGATTGTTGAACGACCAGAAAGAATCCATGCCACTCTGCTCGGCGCATCCGCCGCGTATGTGCGCTTGGGAGGGCGACATGCCGAGGGTCGATTCGCTCCGCGCCTCAAACACCACTCGTCAAAGGTGCAGGAAGTTCCTTTTCAGATCCGCAAGACTACTCGAAGCATACCGCTCACACATCCCTCGGTCGCATTTGTACATGGCTCGAAATGGATGGAGGAACTGCAGATTATGTGCGACACAGCGGAGGGCAAGTTGGCGCTGAACGGCAAGGAGTTGGTGAGGCCCATTGGCTACGGCAAGGATGAATCTGGCAACGCTCTACCCAAACTGCACGAAGGCGACCTCTATCTATGCGCTGAATCATTAGCTGCTCTTCAAGGGTGTCTCGGTGGAGTCTGTGACGCTGTGGATACAGTCCTTTCCTCGTCCACGACAACCCGCGCATTCGTCTGTATACGACCTCCAGGGCATCACTGCTCCTCCAATTACCCGTCGGGCTTCTGCTGGCTCAACAACGTCCATGTGGGAATTGCATATGGGGCCATGAATCACGGTCTGACGCATGCGGCTATCATTGATTTCGACCTGCACCATGGTGACGGCTCCCAGAATATCGCGTGGGACCAGAACCGCAAAGCGCAGGCCGCGGCGAAAAATTCCGCCGCGCACAAGAAGACTCCGATCGGTTACTACAGCCTTCATGACATCAACTCATACCCTTGTGAGTGGGGCGACGAGGACAAGATCCGTAATGCAAGCTTATGTATCGAGAATGCTCACGGTCAATCGATCTGGAATGTTCATTTGGAGCCCTGGAAATCACCTGAGGAGTTCTGGCGCTTGTACGAAACAAAGTATATGATCCTACTCGAGAAGGCGAGAATTTTCCTACGGAGCCATACGGCAAAATTGCGTGCTTCAGGGACTCAACAACCAAAGGCGGCCATCTTCATATCTGCTGGTTTCGATGCCAGCGAGTGGGAAGGAGCGGGTATGCAGAGACACAGCGTGAACGTGCCCACTGACTTCTATGCACGTTTCACGGCCGATATTGTCAAGCTCTCGCACGAGGAGGATCTCGGTGTTGACGGCCGAGTTATCAGTGTCCTTGAAGGAGGCTACAGCGATCGTGCACTGACATCGGGGGTGTTCAGCCATATTTGTGGGCTGTCCGGGGACACTATAGGAAAGGGTCCAGTGACCTCGCTGATGGCAGACGCAGGCAGCATTCGGACAATCAACAACTGGGTGCCCAAAGAGATCCCGACTCCTGTGAATGGGGATAACATCTCGTACTCTCCTGACTGGTGGGCCCTTCACAACTTGGAGGAGTTGGAAGCGGTGGTTGCCGGCCGCCAGCCTCCAGAATCAAAAGCCTCGAAAGATAAGTCTGCAAACTACTCATCGCCTACTCAAGCCTCAACACTCAAGATGACGGAGCATGCGCGCGAGAGGCAGTCCCTCAGCGCCGTTCAGGCCAGGCTCTCCCTGGAGTCTGAATATGAACCGCCACCGCCTGATGTCGACTGGGCAGTGGCATCCTACGAGCTCTCGCGGGTTATCATTCCTAGCGACCGCCAGACTGTAAGTTGTACGCACGAGGAACTGAACGCGGAGGCTACCAAAGCTCGTCGAGAACGACTGTCCAATGGTGTTTCGACAGCAGCGCCAGAGGAACGAATGCAGCTGCGGGGTCGCAAACCGAGGGCACCAGCAGCAGCTTTGCCTACAGCACGGTTATCATCACGCAATAGCAGCAGGCGAACTACCATCGCGGCTGTCAATGACCTGCCCGATCCGTCGTTGCAGCAGCAGGAACACAGCGGTGGCAGACCTCGACGACGATCCAGTGATGCATCAAGCATCTTGTCCGGGTTCCAAAGCATGAAGATTTCCGAGGAGGGCTCAGAAGGTCCTGCCAACCTGCCGATACACCGTCCAGGAAATGTGCCAACACCGCCGGTTGCTCCGGAGAAGCCTACGAAGGCAGTCGCAGTCAAAAAGACCAGGACAGTGCCAGTCACAAAGGGTCCGCCAAAACCAAAGACGAGTCCTCGTAAACTGAAGGCCATTACTTCGACTGTGGTAGGTGGTGCCCCCAATACCAACGCTGGCACACCTGTCCATTCAGGACACACAAAAGTAGATGTCGACAGAAAAAAGAGGGCAACGCCCACTTCGTCTCAGGACGAGAGCGCAGGAACGTCAAGGCCGGATGAGATGGACAGCTTGACCAACGGACTCAAGAAGATCAGCATCAAGTTGAAGGTACCGAGTCCGGAGGAACACGCTGCCAAACAGCAACAGAAGACGTTGGAAGACAGACAAAAGAAGCCTCGCGCGCCCAGGAAACCATTGCTACCCAAGCCGACGAAACCGATAAAGGCGAGCGCAGCCGGAATTGATGAAAAACTCGATCCGACACAGCCAAAAGCTGTACAGAGAGAGGAGTCTCTGGCAACAGCCATCACCAATGGATCGATCCCAAATCTGAAAGCGGATGACAGTCCTCGGGAAACGGGGCCTTCTCTAGGTTTAGGCAATGTGAAGGAGGAGCAAGCATCCAGCACTCCCTTGGGTAATCAGCACCCTCATCAGGTTCCGTCGACGTCGTCCAACTGGGCGCAATTCCAGACCCCTGCAGAGTCCGGTCCAGTTGCCACCAACCCTGCCGACAGCATCCAGGGCAGCAGCTATGAGCCCATTCGGTTCTCCACGACCCCGTCGACCACCGATCAGACCCAACAGCATGGTTACCCAGTACCAAATATCAATTCAGAGCCTGTCAAATCTGAGCTGACGTCGGCTGGACTGAATGCTCCTGTCCAGAGAACCAAGCAGGATTTGCCGGTCTTCACTTCGCAGTCGCCGATTCCGTTTGCTACTCCTCCCAGTGTCCTCCACAATAGTGTCAAAGAGAATGACAACGCCAGTCGTGGACCATCTGTCTGGGATGTTCCCCAGATGCCGCGACAAACGTAGATATCCTTTTTGGATACGAAATGGTTAGGATATGAAGGCCTCGCCGCCGCCTCGTCTATTTTCTTCTGGACATCATGGATTGGGAATGGATTATAGATGTGCCTTAGGAGCGTCTGGTGGTTTTCCTTTGTTTGCCGATTACTTGGAGATACCCCACATAGCAGGAAGACTGGAGTTGGATGACGAACTCGGATCTGGAAATAATGACAGATGGCCGTACTTTGACGGATTGTGTATGAATGGGGAATGTGAATGCCACTTCTCTGGAAGGTCGAGGATAGCAAAAGCGAGAAGAGGTGCGAACTAGCACGTAGATACCCGAGATTTCATTGAAAGAGATCATTTCAAACTGCGATCACTACACGTCTCTATATTACCGAGTACGGACATATTACAAACTATCCCTGGAACATCGACCTAACAAACAGACGGGCATGGTTTCAGACCAGCCACTTACCATGCACCCGGCAGCCATCTTGCAGCTCTTCAAACATGTGGGAAGGGAAAGGAAGTTATCTCGAACACTGGGGACGTCCACTGCTGTAACAAAAATCAAAGTAGGACAAGGGATCCAAGGACGACGTCACTTACCTTTGACAACTGGCGACAACGACCATACTGGCATTGCTGGTGCTGGTGCTGGTTCTCCCGACTCACCCCGACTCACCTTACATGACACTGCATCTATGATGATCTTTCTTCTTGCGCTGCTGCTGCTGCTCAAGAGAATGTCGATCATATCTCTGTTCCCTCCTCTTGCGCGGTCTCAGTGCCTGGGGATCATTTGCTCGCAATTTCGCCTCGTGTCTGTGGAACAACAACTCCTGCTCCTGTTCGGGGAGTTGCTGGATCAAGTGATGGCGGAGCAGTTCTTCTTTGTTGTAGCGGCGCGAAGCCAGCAGTTTCTCGCATTCCTCGTACAATTCACGACGGCGGCGGACTTCGAGTTGTCGTTGCAGGTGGGCTGCCTTTTGCGCTTCCGAGTAAGTGGTGTTGGCGGCGCGGCCGTTGTAGTCGTTATAGAGCGGCAAGACTGGAGACGGCGAAACGAGGCGTCCATTGCGCGATGGACGACGTTGCTTGGAGATCCCGGAATCATGGGCCATCGGGGACAGCGGGGTGGATCCTCTCCGTCGCCGAGCTGGGGGAGGAGATGCGGGCAGTTGTGGGATATGCGGGATCTCGCGGAAGTCGCGTACGTTGCCGCGGGCTTGGAATCGCAGGTTGTTGGGAGAAGTGGTGGAAGCGTCGATAAAGGCCGGCATGTCGCGCAGATCGCGGGCTGGGTTGCGCATATTGGCGGAGGTCCTGGCTGGAGAATATGCGCTGCTACCATGACCGCCGGTGGATCGTTTTCGGCGTCGGTCTGGGTCGGGATAGGAGGATGGAGATGCTGATGACTTGGTTGTGCGCATGGGTCGGTTCGCCATCACCACATTGCTGCCTCGGGGAGGCTGGACGGTGGATTGGGCAGTAGATTGCTGTGGCCGTGATTGTGGTTGTGGTTGGAATTGAGGTGCTGATGGTGTTGGTCCGTTGCGAAATGCTGGGTGGATGTACTGGCTGGGTGTGGACACGCCGAAGGACCGTCGATGGTCGGGGCATGGACCGTCGAGGTTCTGACGGGGCGAGTTCCGTAGCGACTTGCGGCACTCTTCGGTTGGCAGTGCGCATAGGTACTTCGGCACTTCTTGCGTGCAGCCGCACGTGAAATGGAAGATCGTTCCGTGACACATTTTGGCTGGCTGTGCGGAGTTTGGTGAGGCTGGGTTTCGGGGGTATGGATTCGAGTCTGGTCCTGTTCCTGTGAGTTTGTCTTGGAGAGTGGGCAGTTGTTGCGGGGGTCAGGGAAGAGAGTTTTGGATGGGGCCCTGTGTTAGCGGAGATGTAGATGTAGGCAGACCTGCTTGCCTTTTCTTGTATATACTGGCGAGAAGTGATGGTAATGGTCTCGCAAGGGACTGGATTGTGGGCGCAAAGGGTGGAAAGGCTCCTACCAGAGGGACTTTGCGCGTGGTATGGAAGAGAAGGAAGATGTTGGGGAGGCGAGGACAAGGCACTCGATGGTAATGAATGGGTTTGTCAGGCCGACTTCTTGACAAAGGAGAGCAAAGAAAGTACAAAGAGGATTCGAGCGCCTTTGTTCGTCTTGACCGGATCCGGACGAGGCAAGTGATCAAAGGACTGCTCGAGAGCCTGCCTCGATTGTGATAGGCATTTGGAGTCGGGCAGTTCATTGTCGCCTGGACCTAGCTGGCGTCTGACCTTTGTCCATTTCCATTGTTATGATTCGACGGTGCTTCGAGGCGGTCGATGGAGTACGGCTGCGTAGTAAGCGGAGAGAAGTGTGTAGGGACCGCCATGTCATTATGGCAGGCAGAGGAGTCTTCAGTATACTGGCTCACACCAAACAAGGTCGAGATTTCAATGTGGTCATTGTTGACACTGGCCATGGCAAGGGTTGTGGGTATGTATGAGTGGTGAAGGAGTTGAGAGCATGCCATGAAAGAAAGGGGTTCGCAAGGCTGAAGCAAGGCTGAGATCCAAGACCTGACGAGGCTGAATGCCAAGGCTGGTTGGTTGCTGGGGCAGAAGGTTGACAGTTTCCGCATTGGGAAAACCCGCAAATGTATCATCATCAATGCGGCTGCGAAGGAAGTTTCCATACCACGAATCCAATTCTATTCGATCGTTTATTCTCCGAGTGAAACACGGCAGACTGTGCATTTGTTCTCCGGCTGTCTATATCTGTATCACTCTGCGCATGGATTAACTTCTGGTCTGATCCCAACTTTCACCCTCGAGTAAACAAAGCTGGCCGCCGCCAATTCCTTCACTATGGACGGACCCCATTCCCCTACTCGAGGACGTCCAGGCTATACCGACGGACCTCCTTCGTATGTTACCACTCCCACCGCCGAAGACGACAGTATGAGCCTGCCTGGGAATCACTCGTCTCTGAGACTGCTCCCGCTGGGCCAGGACGAATACAGATCATCGTACGTGAAAGCTCCCAGTCCCAACGGCAATGCTCCCCCCAAGCGCAAACCTGTTCCCGGCCCTCGTTCACCAAAGGTGTCGCATGTAACGTGGAGTGACTCTCCAAGCGAGTCGCCCGCTCGAGGCTCTCCAGCAAAGTCCCCGGTATCATCGTTGATAGCTGAGGCGGAAGAGAGTCTCAACCGCAGTCGAGAGACCCTCGCTTTTGTTGGCCGCGCGCCTACCCTCAAAGCTACTGTCACCCTTAGGAAAAGCCCAAAGACTGACCGAAGTCGTTCATACAGATTACCCGCCTCCAGTCGAGTCTCTCCTGACCGATACCACAGACCGGCCGCTTCCACGGCATTCAGTTCGCGTTCGGGGTCAAGCCTTGGACGGGCTCCGTCAATACCGCCTTCTACCATCAATCCACGCTCTCCGATTCGACCCACTACACCTTCTCGCGGATCGACGGACTGGACAAGACCTCCTCCTTCGAGTGTGACCTACGAACCTCCCGATATCAACGGCAGTCCTCGACCAGGCACGCCCTCATCGCAATATGGCGGGAGTCCACGGAGACCTTTGCCGCCGGCACCATTGTTCTCGGCAAAGCCTACTGCTGCCGAAACCACCATCCCCATTCCCGATCCCGAGACAGAGAACGACGTGTTCGTCGACGGCTATCCGGTAGTGCCTGATCACGATCCCAGAGCAAGCTTGAAATCGGCCCACTCGTATATGACGGAATCGACCTTCACGGAAGACGACGATATCACAAATGAGAAGTTGAACTTTTACGGTCCAGCTCCGGAGGGAAGACAAGATCGAAGAGGCCTGCGAGAAGCCCAAGTGACGAAGAAGGAGGTCAGATTGATCAATGGAGAGCTCATCCTTGAATGCAAAATTCCCACAATCCTACACAGCTTCCTGCCGCGAAGAGATGAACGCGAGTTCACGCACATGCGATACACTGCGGTGACCTGTGACCCGGATGATTTTGTCGTCAAAGGTTACAAGCTGCGTCAAAACATCGGGCCGACAATGAGAGAGACCGAGCTCTTCATCTGCGTGACCATGTATAACGAAGGCGAAATCGAATTTACCAGGACCATGCACGGCGTCATGAGAAATATAGCACATTTCTGCTCGAGAACAAAATCTCGAACATGGGGCAAAGATGGCTGGCAGAAAATTGTCGTCTGTGTGATCGCGGATGGAAGACAAAAGGTCCATCCACGGACCCTGAACGCGCTAGCGGCGATGGGTGTCTACCAAGATGGCATAGCGAAGAACATGGTCAACCAGAAAGAGGTCACTGCTCACGTCTACGAATACACCACTCAGGTCTCGCTGGACGAAGGTCTGAAGTTCAAGGGAGCAGAAAAGGGGATTGTCCCATGCCAGATGATCTTCTGTCTCAAGGAGCAGAACAAGAAGAAGCTGAATTCCCATCGCTGGTTCTTCAATGCTTTCGGGCGGGCTCTGCTGCCCAACGTGTGTATTCTTCTGGATGTGGGCACGAAACCCGACTCCAAGGCACTTTACCATCTCTGGAAAGCGTTTGATCAAGACTCCAATGTCGCCGGAGCGGCCGGAGAGATCAAGGCCGACAAAGGCAGGGGATGGATGGGCCTCCTCAATCCGCTGGTGGCTTCACAGAACTTCGAGTACAAGATGAGTAACATCCTCGACAAACCACTCGAGTCGGTGTTTGGTTATATCACCGTGTTACCGGGCGCGCTTTCAGCATATCGATATCATGCCTTGCAGAACGACCCCAGCGGCCACGGTCCTCTCAGCCAATACTTTAAGGGAGAAACACTGCATGGCCGTGATGCCGATGTCTTCACGGCCAACATGTATCTGGCCGAAGATCGAATTCTTTGCTGGGAGCTCGTGGCCAAACGTGGTGAACAATGGGTGTTAAAGTTCGTCAAGAGCGCCTATGGCGAGACTGACGTACCAGGTAAGAGTCTCTGCAACGTGGAAAGAGGATGTATGCTGACAGAATGTAGATGCTGTACCGGAGTTCATTTCTCAACGACGACGCTGGCTCAACGGTGCTTTTTTCGCCGCCGTGTACTCCCTCGTCCACTTCAAGCAGATCTGGAGGACCGACCACACCTTGACCCGCAAGATACTGTTGCATATCGAATTCGTCTATCAATTCATCTCCCTCCTCTTCACTTTTTTCTCGCTCGCCAACTTTTATCTCACCTTCTACTTCATCGCCGGCTCATTGGCGGATCCTCAAAACGACCCGTTCGGTCATCACATCGGAAAATACATCTTCGTCATCCTACGCTATGTCTGCGTTCTGTTAATATGTCTCCAGTTCATTCTGAGTTTGGGAAATCGGCCACAAGGCGCAAAGAATTTGTTTCTCGGCACTATGATCACTTACTCCATCATCATGGCCTACACCACGTTCGCCTCTCTGTATATCGTCGTCAAACAGCTCACGGCGCACTCGGTGGAGAACACCAATCCCGACAACCCTTACAAGCTGGGCAGCAACATCTTCACCAACCTCATTGTCAGCACCCTCAGCACCGTCGGGCTGTATTTCCTCATGTCGTTCTTGTACCTGGATCCCTGGCACATGTTCACCAGCTCGGCACAGTATTTCGCCCTATTGCCATCCTACATCTGCACTCTGCAAGTGTATGCATTCTGCAACACCCACGACGTGACCTGGGGCACCAAGGGCGACAACGTCATGCACACCGATCTCGGCGCCGCCAGGGCTATTGGATCCGGCAACACGGTTGAGGTCGAAATGCCTTCGGAACAGCTCGACATCGACTCGGCATACGACGTCGCACTCCGCAACCTCCGCGACCGGGTCGAGGTGCCCAAGCCGCCCGTCAGCGAGAACCAACTGCAAGAGGACTACTACAAATCCGTCCGCACGTACGTGGTGACCTCGTACATGGTCTGCAACGCCATCCTCGCCATGGCCGTCTCCGAAGCCTACCCGGTCGGCAGCCACTTGGGAACCAACTACTATCTGACCTTCATCCTGTGGTCGGTGGCGGCGCTGGCTCTGTTCCGAGCGATCGGGTCTTCCGCGTTCGGGATCATCAACATCGTCTCCGCCATTGCCGAGGGCAGGATCCAGGCCAAATTCGAGCGCATCTTCGGCGGCGGAGATGAAAAGGGTCGTCATCGATCCGGGCTGGGAAGTGCGTTCAGCGAGTCCGGAAAGACGGGAATCACTGGTGGCAGCGGGATGAGTTTGAGCGATGTCACGAGTAAGATCAGTGAGAAGTTCAGGTGGATGGGTGGGAAGTAATCATGACTGACTACCTACCTTACATTGACATCCCTTGGGATCTCAGATGAGCGATCCTTGGAATCGGGGTACAACTGGAAATGGTGGGCCTGGTACTGGTACTGGTACTGGTACTGGTACTGGTACTGGTACTGGTACTGGTACTGGTTATGTACTACTCTGCTTCGCTGGAGAGGATGATGTCTGCATGTTGGTTGTTTAATGACTAAGTACGAGAGAGAGATAGAAGATCTTTGGCATTACAGGTGTTGCTGCCTCTGCTCTGTCTTCATCAATTCGTTGGGAATCTGGTTGGACCATGAAAGGAATGAATATGGCGAATAGGAGGAGTTTGGGTCAATGGAGTTCAGGATGTCCCGAAAAGAGACTTGTTAGATAATTCATGATGATTGATCACCTGGATCACGTTGATATTGACGTTGATATTGACCATTAACCACCTAGTGAACCTGCTGTTCCTTCTATCTGCGATGGGTATGGACTTGTCATTTTGTGGTATTACTGTATATCTTATCCTGTTGTTTCTGTGACCCGTTACACGTACCTTGTTTCGATCACTGTATTAGGTAGGCAGATATCCTAAGGTGTAGAGTATTGAGCATAGGAACTGACTATCCTAAGATGTAGACTGTTGAAGGGTTATTGGAGTCTGAAAGGGAAGAGAGAGAAGGGAAGAAAGGGATCATTCCCGTTACTTGTCGAGTCATTGGGGCTTTGATGGAGTTTCTTTCATTACCTATTTTATACCTTGGACATTGGAAACCATTGATGCTATAAAAAACCATTTACCTTGTTTGTAACAGAGACTGAGACCGGTCCTCACCGCTCTTTTCGGTGCTGCTGCATGTTAAAAGCTTGCACAAGTTCTTCAAACGCCAGGACTGAAGGACTGTTTGGACTTTTGACACGCAAGCTTGTCCTTATGGTTTTCAGTGTGTTTTGTGATATTTCTCCTCTTTTTCTTTCCTTGCCTTACCTTTGTCCTAGCCTTTGATGGAACGAACAGGAGATGCCGCCCAGGGGTAGAAAGGGAGGGGCAAAAGGGAATGGTAGGAGAGTTTGGAGAGATCCATCTGGGGGAGGCTCACTTACCTTGGGGAGTGTTTGGCTTACCTTTGGACAAATCAGCCACCTCTGGTGGGTTGATTGTTCGGCTGTTGACGGAATGCTGGCTTGCAGTTCTGCCAGCCTCGGGAGCTGATCAATATGGCTTGCCGTGCCGCGTTCCTGCTAAACCAATGGTCAGTACACATTCAGCCATGTAGATCACTTACCTGATCACTTCACCAACGTCGAGTCGGTCGTTGCAGACGATCAGAACGGCGCAGCGACGACAGAGTTGACGGTGGAGGAGATGGGGATGGAAGTCTGACAACGATAGCGTTGTTGGCTTGTCGCGGGTGCATCAGTATGGGCTGGGCATGGGCCGGGTACTCGCGAAAGTATCCCACAGTCCGACCGCGACGGGTCATACGATACCAAGTTCCATTCTGTGAGGAGGCCTCGCTCGCTGAAGCCACCGCACTGGAATGGCGTGCGCGGGTGTGTCCCGAGACGCCGGTGGCAGTGGACGGGCCAGGGCGAGGGCGAGGGCGAGGAGATGGTGTAACAGATCTGTCCCGAGCTGCGCGCTTGCGCCGATCCTCACGATCCGGATCATTGCTTGACTCACGCTTGCGCTCGGCACCTGTCACAGCTGCTTCGTGAGTAGCAGTTGTAGTGGGTGTGCTGAAGATATCACGGATGGATGGGTAGACCGATTGCATGCCGGGACCGGGGTATGCGAAGGTGAATTGGCCATCGTTCGGCATCGTCTGCACTGGCTGGAAGGCTGGTCGCGGGAGTTGGGGGATCGAGAGGCCCGCTACTCCACCCAGATGCATTGGAGATGCGTTGCCGAGAATGCCACCCGTAGCCGTAGTCATGTTTGGGGCTCGTCGACGAGCAAAGAGTGGCGCGGGAACCAGGCTAGGTTCTGCAAATCCGTCAGCGGCGCCATCCAGGGATGAGGTTGGAACAGCCATTGATGACTTTTGGTGATGGTACGGTTGAGGTTCACGCTGCGAAGTTGGAATGTACATGTCCATGAGAGCAGGGGTTTCAACGTTAGGGTCGAAGTCGACTAATGCTGCCACGTCGGCAAAGGCTCGATCCAGCTCCGACTGCGACTCATAACCCATTTCTGCTGCCAGAGTCCGCGTGGCCGGCAGGTCGAATTCGTCTGCCAAGTTGTTCCAATCGAAATCGGTTTCGTAGTCATAGCCATAACCAGCGACTTCGGAAGTGTCGGCAGTCATAAACAGTGAAGAATCCTCCAGCGGACTGAGAGGGCCAACATCATCCGGACATTGTGTGAGGTCGATGTAGTCCTCCACAAGGAAGTCATTGAGTGTAGAGGCTTCACTCTCAAGAGAGGGATTGGCCGACTCGAGCGACGCCTGGCCGGCAGCGAGGAAATCTGTAGACTCGCCGACCCAGCTGTCCAAATCACCGAGACCAAGGCCGACAGTTGCCTCCGGAGAAGCAGCCTGCGGAAGAGGTAGCGGAGATTCGGTCAACTGAGTAGCACCAGATACAGTGAGAGATTGGGGGGTGTTGTCGGAAGAGTCCTCCGGATGCAATCTATCCGAATGATACCAGTTCGGGATGTCGATGGCAAATTGCGCAAAGACGGCGGGCCAGCCTCCAGGGGGGAATAAGGGTGAGTTTGATCCTTCCCGGGTATCCGCCATTCGTCAGGTTTGATCGAGGTATTTGCTTTCTGCCAAAGGGACCGAGAAATAACGATTCTTAGGAAGAAAGCTGATACCACGATCCGGTGAGTTCCCTTTCGAAGGCGAACGAGGATTGTGATCGAAGGATGGAAAAGGGAATACTTGTTGGGTCGATTCACTCGTATTTATGCCTTGCTCTCCGGACCGCCAGAAGGACTTGCACACAATGCCACAGTCATAGCAGTTTCCAGAGAAAGACATATGCACAAAGCGGATCTGGTTCTTGTGCGAAGGGAAAAGGGAAAAGGGGTATTGGGTGTGTGATGCACAACGGTGATTGTCCAGAATTCAACATACCTGCCATTGAGGTTGATTGGCCTAGGCTCACCCAAGGTGGTGCTTTGTGATGGACACCTTTCTTCAAGGTCGTAGCATTGTTAGGGAAACTGACAGTTGGCTCAATGGACTTTGTGCATAGTCCTTTATCTCCTTTGTGCCGTGAACTTAACTCTCTGCCTTGAGGTGACGCAGAACAGAGATCCATGTTCGGTATAAAAGATCAAACCTTAGGGCAGGTGTAATCCCTTAGACTGTGACGACTTGGTACTGTGCAGGGCAGTGTTCCATGGCAGGATAAATCTATCCTTCGGAGCCAGCGTTCCTCAGAACTTCGTAATACTGAAAGCTCTCTCTGCATTTGCACCCCAAGACAACATGGACGATGGTGCTGCAGCCACAGGGATTGTTGCTGGTGTGATTGTCATCCTGGCGATGGCTGCAATGATCTTGTTCAGATTGAAGTATCGATTGAAGTATCGATCCAAGAAACAGGGACTGCACGCTGGACGTATCCGTCGCCACAACTATGCTGATAGTTGGCCTACCGGTGAGGACTATCGATGTGATCCGCGGACTTTGTCGCGCCGAGCCAAGGCTAACACTGTATGTGGTAGAAAGGTCAATCAATATGCCATGAAAGACCTGGAGGCAAATCGTCCGTCTGCACGAGGAGAAGTCGATCCGTGGCTGCTTGGAAGCAAGGTGACTCTGCAGCCGATTGAGCCGGCTAGAGTCAACCCGAACATCCAAGCACGAGAGGGTGACATCTTTTTCGCGCCGCGCCATGGTGGGATACGAGGTGGTCAGAGTTGGGTGTGAGCCAGACGGTGAAGGGTAGGAATTAGTGTGATAGATCAGATTGATGTGCTCAGTAGAATCGATCATAAATTGGCCAGAATGCATGTCCATGTGACGGAAAAAGCGTATGTCTCGACGACACGACTCGATGGGATGAGTAAATACCTTAGGTACTGTGGTGAGTGAGGTTGAGATAGAATATGGAAATGTCTTAGAAGGGGATCTTGCGATAAGAAGCGCGGTCACGTGATGAGCAAAGGGCGCTGAGTCACATGATCCAGTAGTGGACACGTCACGTGCAACGCAGCCTTGCTCTTTAGATCGGAGCTCGGTTATAATCATTCGGCCGAGCCCCTCCCTCGGCCGATTCAGTCCAGATTCCCTTCTCCAGCCTCATCGGTCAGTCACCGCGGGATGTCTCAAGGCGGACGTGTCCCACTTCCTCTCAGGAAATCCCCCGCGTCTGACGCTACAGCGCAAGATCAGCGCAAGACTCAACTGTTCTGCCTACTTCTGAAATTTCTCTGGAAGATAGAAAAAGCTGCTTTTCTCATCATCCAAGCGTATTCGCTCCTAGCCATATCTATCTCCTTGGAACCCATCGGCTGTACGGCCGTGCACTTGCCACTGGGGGCCAACTTGGACTTTGAACGGCGAGCTACTCTTCAGACAATTGATTGCCTGGTCCAATACCCGCTGTTTGTCGCGCGAAACAAAACAGTCCGCCGAATCCGGAACCGGTTGAGGGTGCTGCTGTACCGACTGATTGCGGCCGATAGTCTCGACTCGGCCTCGGCCATAGTATACGGCCACACACCTGATTTACTATCCCCAGACATGGGTCAGAAACGACGTCGCTTGGCTCTGTCCTGTGTTGCTTGCCGTCGGCGCAAGGTCAAGTGTGACCGGACTTTCCCTACCTGCGTCCGATGTCAGAAAGGAAGCATTAATTGTGACTATGTCACCTATACCTCACAGCAGAACACCGCCTTCCCAACTCCATCGGAAGAAAGCCCACAACTTGAGAGAACTGGGTCAGTCGACTCTTGGGCCGAGGAAGCGAATGAATGGCATGAACGTTCAAGGCAGCATGAGAATCCCCGGCCACAGGAAGACAAGTCCGTCCCCCCGGCTCCGGCACCTGTTTCTCGACCACCCACCAGGACTTTGCAAGAACTCCAGGAAAGGATCTCCAGCATCGAAACCTATGTGAAGGTAGCAGGCTCACGGCCTGTGTCTTCCGAAACCCATCTTCGTACAAGACGCGTAGGTGCTCACGAAGATTCACCGGATAAGGACGCACCGCAGAATCACGATCGGGCCCTGCTTCGGGGTAAGGGCTTCAAGACGCAATACTTCGGCCCAAGCCATGCCGCCAGCCTCCTTCTGCAGTTTGAAGAACTGTCTTTCTTCACCAAGGATATCCTCCAACGTCTGCCCACCTTTAAAAAGACAAGGGAGATCTTCAAGCGTCATCGGCGAGAGACCAGGCAGGCTTTTGTGTTGCCAGACTCTGAGACCCTAGTATCGTTGATCCCAGATCGGCCCAGCACCGATGCTCGTGTACAGGAATACTTTGAGACTATGGAGACGACATATCGTGTCCTCCACGCACCAACTTTCTTTCAAAAATACAAAGGGTTCTGGGCGTCCTCCAGTGACACCTCATCCGATTTCTTGGTTCAGCTGCTCCTTGTGTGCGCGTGTGTCAACTGCATCGTGCCTGATGGTCCAACCGGATTTTTCGGCACTAATTCGGTCAGGCGCGGCACTGCGATCAAATGGATCGAAGTCTGCGAGACCTGGCTCGATTTGCAAAGCCAGAAGCACATGACGCTCGAGATATATCAGGTTCAGGTGCTGCTCGTCATTGCCAAAAAATTCAATTGCGTTAAAGTGAAACGCGAGTGGACTGTGGCTGGTCATTTGCTACGACTGGCCATGTCTAACGGACTGCATCGAGAACCATCGTACCTGAGCACATCGATCTCGGTCTTCGACCAGGAAATGCGCCGAAGGTTATGGTTTACGATTCTTGAACTGGAGGTGCAAGCTAGTCTCGATCGTGGGATGGGAGCAAGCCTGGGTCCTTTCGACTGGGATTGTCTGGCACCTTTGAACATCCACGATGAGGATTTTGACCAAAACACGGAGAAGATGCCTGATCCTCGACCGGTCACAACTTTCACTCGCACCTCATTCCTTTGCCTTGCTCAACAGCACTTGCCTCTGCGGTTGGAAATCTTGTCCAAGATCAACAGTATTCGGGCCCCTCTTGATACCGACTCCGTCATCGAGCTCGATCAGAGACTACGGCAGATACTCGACGCTCTGCCTCGATGGACCGACCCTGCGGCAAAGGCGATGTCGTGCGATCTGTCGGAATTACTACTCTATGAACTCCTTCTCCTGATCCACCAGCCATTTGCAGCACAAGCCAAAGGACAGACGCGACACTTTTACTCACGGGTTGCCTGTCGCGGTGCAGCATTGACAACTCTAAAGAAGTACAAGGACATGCGCCCTACCAGTACCCTGACCTTTAGTGGCCTCCGCAGCGACCTGTTGCGGGCGAGTCTCGCGCTCTGCCATGACATCGTCCTCTGCACGGCATCAACCGAAGATCTCATGCAAGACAAAAACATGCCGGTGACTTTGATCGAACAGGCTGTTGATATCATGGAGGTTCGCCTCCGACGTCTGGGACAAGGGTTCCATGCATTTTGGCTTACCTGCAGTGCACTAGCATTGATTCAAGCCAAGATGTGGCCGGCGAAACCAGCAGAAGAGCGTGCACAGGAGACTGCCGACCGGGTGGTCAAACTTCACGACTATATGATGGAACAGCAGACGCCTCCAACCCCGCTGGCTTCCGGCAGCGGCCTCGAGGATGCAGCAATGAGCACTGCAAGTACCCTCATGGGGTTGAGTGGTCAGCCCGTTCCTGCACAAGTCGTGCCTGAGCTTGATCCCTTTGCACCAATGGCGGGGCATTTCAATGTCTTCTCAGATACCTTGTTTGATTTTGACATGCCCGATATCTGGGGGATGGGGGGTAATGCCCAGCTCCAATGATGGAGACCCGTGGAAGCCATACGTGGACTCTCGCAAGGTGGGCGATGCAGACCGAGAGAGGGCTACCAACCATGGTATCTCAACTGAATTTAGACGCCTCTCCTTATTCAGATAGAAAACTTCGTTGCGTGGCTCATCGATTCACCGTAACATATATTTGCGATATTCACGTGACCACGATTATAAACCAAGCTTTGCCAAGCGTCTAGAAAATTCTTCCTCGGCAAAGTTTCCCAGCAGGGCCAGCGCTTATCGCCTAGTGCCTCAGGGTGCCTCTTTCTGTCCCTGATTCCAAAATTTCTCTTCGCCCCTTCTTGCCTACCTTACTACATAACAAACCCTTCAACCTCACTTCTTTTTCTCTGCACATTGCACTTCCTCTCATCACTTCAACTTCTCCTCTCCCTTTAGATCCCTCTGCGACATTTTTGAGACGCTTTATTGCCCTCGTCTGCAGTCCCCGACATACTCATCTCTCGTCAAAAAATCACGACCTGATTCCATCATGTCTTACGGCGGTGGTTACGGTTCGTCAAGAGACGGCGGTCACTCCAACGGGTATGTGGTATCCTGCATAAGATCTCTCTCCCTTCTTCCATCAAGCGCTACCCTCCGTTCACGCACTCAGTGCTGCGAGCGATGCGGGTCGTGTTCGAACTCGGCAACTCAGCCTAACGCTTCACAAACACATTGCTAACATGGATTCATAGATACGGCGGCGGCGGTGGTGGCGGTTACTCCAACGGCTACTCCAACGGTGGCTATGGAGGCTCGAACGGATATTCTGCTGGTGGCGGTGACAAGATGAACAACCTGGGCGCTGGACTGAAGACGCAGCACTGGGATCTTGCCGCTATGCCCAAGTTCGAAAAATCATTCTACAAGGAGGATCCCGCAGTTACTGCCCGGTCGCAGCGCGAAGTCGACGAATTCCGCAAGAAACACGAGATCACAATCCAAGGCAAAAATGTCCCCCGCCCCGTGGAGACCTTCGACGAGGCTGGATTCCCTTCTTATGTCATCTCTGAGGTCAAGGCTCAAGGCTTCACGCACCCAACCGCAATCCAGTCCCAAGGCTGGCCTATGGCGCTCTCTGGTCGTGATATGGTTGGTATCGCCGAGACGGGATCCGGCAAGACCCTCAGTTACTGTCTTCCCGCCATTGTCCACATCAACGCCCAACCGCTTCTTGCACCAGGTGATGGCCCCATTGTGCTTGTCTTGGCGCCCACTCGAGAGCTCGCTGTCCAGATTCAACAAGAGATGACCAAGTTCGGAAAGTCCTCTCGTATCCGAAATACGTGTGTGTACGGGGGCGTTCCCAAGGGTGGCCAGATCCGTGACCTCGCTAGGGGCGTGGAAGTGTGCATCGCCACTCCCGGTCGTCTCATCGACATGCTCGAGTCCGGCAAAACCAACCTGCGTCGCGTTACATACCTTGTTCTCGATGAAGCCGATCGCATGCTTGACATGGGTTTTGAACCGCAGATTCGCAAGATCATTGGCCAGATTCGTCCCGACCGACAAACCTGCATGTGGTCTGCAACATGGCCCAAAGAGGTTCGACAATTGGCTTCTGATTTCCTTCAGGACTTTGTCCAGGTCAACGTTGGCTCCATGGATCTGTCTGCCAACCACCGGATCACTCAAATCGTCGAAGTTGTTTCGGAATTCGAGAAGAGAGACCGCATGGTGAAGCATCTTGAGCAGATCATGGAAGACCGCAACAACAAAATCCTCATCTTCACAGGAACGAAACGTGTCGCTGACGAGATTACTCGATTCCTTCGACAAGATGGTTGGCCCGCGCTCTGTAAGCAAGTCCCTGATCCTGTATCTTCTGTACCCAAAGCTAACGAATGCCAACAGCAATTCACGGTGACAAACAGCAAAACGAGCGTGATTGGGTTCTGAATGAATTCAAGACTGGCAAGAGCCCAGTCATGGTTGCTACGGATGTCGCATCCCGTGGTATCGGTATGAACACGAAACGACCCCCCCTCCCCCTCCCCCTTTCCACTTGTGCATGATCTTCCATGCATTTCTTACCATTGCCGTCGTGTGATATGGTGCGCGCTCTCTTCGCTCGTTACGCGTCGACTCGACCTTGCGTAACTTGTCCCAGGCTCTATGTTCTCCCAGGTCCTTGTTTCGGAAATCTTGGATCATTTGATTTTGCAGTTTGCCAGGATCCAGCATTTTGACTTTCACGTCTGCTCCGTAAGAACGAGTAGGTGGTGGAAACACTCATCTTGACCTTGACCTTGACCAAATCAAGCTGCAAATCCAGGATCTCCTTTTCCAAGGGCCGTAGACGATTGCCGATTCCCGGACATGGACATTGGCCATCCCAAACGGATGATGCTCCGAGTTTCAAAAAAGAGAGAGTGATGTGCATCTCGCTCACACGACCACATATGGTCCCCGACGCCTCGTAAGATTTACCGTGTGGCTGTGTTTTGCTAACCTATCCTTCAAGATGTTCGAGACATTACTCACGTCTTCAACTATGACTATCCCAACAACTCTGAAGACTATGTCCATCGTATCGGCAGAACGGGACGAGCAGGAAAGAAAGGAACCGCCATTACGCTGTTCACCACTGACAGTAAGTGTCATCCCCCATTGGTCCGACTCTTTTTAATCAGACTTCTAACAAGAATTACAGATGCCAAACAAGCCCGTGATCTGCTCCAGATTCTGCAGGAGTCCAAGCAGAACATTGACCCTCGTCTTGCCGAGATGGCTCGCTACGGCGGCGGCGGTGGTGGCGGCCGCGGATATGGTGGTCGTGGCGGTTATCGTGGAGGCCGTGGCGGTGGCGGCGGTGGTCGCGGCGACGGTGGTTCATCTTCCAATGCTGCTCCCCTTGGCCGCAGCCGCTGGTAAAAGCGATCGAACGCCCACGGGATGGTCGAGTGATCTCTTCTTGCAGGTTTGATCACGCCCGCACGCACATCCTTCCTCATTTTCGAAACATGGAATAAACAGACCACGGGCGACATTTCATTGCCGGGTCAAGGCGTCATGGTGCATTTGGCAGCTAGACAGATTGTGTTGATCAAGCAGGATCAGTGGTCTTTTTCGCGATGGCTGCATGGGTTTTTATCTTGTACAGTTGGTACGATACCGGATTGAGGGTTTCATACTATGCCAGACTTTAAGACCTGGCATCGATGCCAGAGTCGCCTTTTGAGGTATGTCCAATGGCATCAGCAACAACACGAGCATTGCAGAAAAGAAGATAGAGATAGAGAATACCCGAGTTGTGTGTAGTAGCGCCATTGAAATGTTTAACCAGTCTGATACCTCCGCTGTCCTCCCAAGCCATCACCAGAGATGTTGTTGACGCTGACGCGGTCGAAGAGGCTGCCTCCAGACTACCACAGACGGTGGACCGATGGTTTGATTTACAACGTCAACTTCTGTAGGCAGCTGCGACTTGCCATATGTCGATGACCAGCTTGACCAAGCTGTTTCCTGCACGTGTATACGAGATTCCTTATTGATGTGTAGGAGAGCACCCGCACCCTGCTCGACTGTTGTTTTGGCATGTGTGTTAATGTGCACGCTGGGCAAGGGGGCAAGGCGCAAGGCTGAGTGGTCTACCATGCGGCTCATAGTCATTTCTTGCATGCGGCAGAAAGAAAGAAAGAGCTGGATGTTATTTACTATCGGTTGATAGGGTTTTCTCCTCGGAGTGATCTATCTAAAGAGAAGAAGCATAAAAAGGTAGTAGGATGGCCTCTGGCTTTCCAGAATAAACTTGTTTCTAAATTGAATATTTCTCCGACAATCACAATCCATCATCTTGGCTACCTGAGGGAGCGAAGTGGAAAAGACCAACCCACTCACTACCTTCAACCATATCCAAACAGGTCTAAGAAGGGGCAAAAGACTAGGTACTTATATCGAGAAAGTCGTTCCGAGAGTTAATGAAGACCTTTTTCTTTTTCTAATGCGCTCTGTGGACGGAGTAGTCTGGGGGATGCTGGGATATGGATATCTTGTAGTTCATATATTATGTGTTGTATCATGTGTTTATTTTCTTTTCGTTATTCCACTATGCCCACATGCGAATCGAGGTTGATATTCCAGTTTATGACGTATACGGCCCCTTAGAAGCTCGTGTTTACGCTGAGCTGGCTTCGGTGGCTGCAGCAGCCTGGGGTAGTTCTGGGTAGAATGGAAAAGTAGCATGTCCATCTGTCCATTCATGACTTGTCACGAGGTAGCAACCATATTCATTCGATCAGGATCAGGCGACACAGAGATACCTTATACTGGGAAGTAGATTGCTCGCCCTTCCAAGAAACCGTCTGTCTCCTCCCACTCGCTGGTGTTGATGATCACGGGCCCATATTATCTCGCGGCTTCCTCTCATCCTGCGAATGCCGCTCTCCAGGTGCCGCGTGCGGACAGAAAGGACAAGCTCTCCTTCAGAGGCCTAGCATGCACAGTGTTGAGCGTTCAACCGGTGGGATTTCGATATGGAGGGCATTGGAAGAGACACAATCATCGAGGCGATGCGTATGGAAAGCCGAAACAGACAATCCCAGAGTATAGTTTCGTAATGACAGCTCTATCTCTGATCAAAGCATGTTCTGTGGGGAGTTCGTGTTCAGTAGAAGATGCGGCGAGACACGGCAATGCATGCACAAGCGGCATTGCCTTGCAGTACAGCAGGACTGGGGTATTTGAAACTTGTCGTACAGAAGCATAAGTCACAGAGTCTTGCTCTTCTTGCAAGCGATGTAGGAAAAGACAACTGGACAACACCTCTTCTTTGCTCACACCATGTTCGAGCATCGCCTGTCAAGTCCGGCAGAGCTTCGCAGCAAGGGTTCAGTGACTGCTCAATTCACGGGACACGAGACTGATGCGGACTGCGCGACCGTTGACCTAGGAAGAGTTGCCTTGATACAGCGCAATCCTGAAGACATAAGATAGTTGGAATGGAAGAGACTCGGACTTCAAAGCTGTGCTGTAACCTGAATACACGCGTTGAGCACCTAGAGACAATTTTGAAGGGATTTGACCTCCCCTCGTGAGCACTTGTCGCCTCCACGCTGCTCTTCTCGAGGCTGGCTTCGAAGGTGATCCGGACGTGTCTGACATGGATGATGAGAAGATTGGCGTGGAAACACCGGTCCGAGTCAGAGCGATCCACGAACCACTCAGCAAGACACACGCTCCGTCCGGGTTTGGCTCTGATGTGTATGTAGTATCTATCCGTTGGCGGCCCATACAGATAAGTCAAAAATATGTGCCCGTCTTCACTCTGTGTAGTGTAGAAATGCCACAAAAGAAATAGGAAGTCGTGTTCATGATGCAGACGCAGGAGAGAGTTCACTCGTCAGCCTCGAAAAAGGGGATGACCATGAAACCTACCTGGTAAAGCCTGACATGATCCCCAATGTACTCACTCTGTCAGGGTGATTGACTCCTTTTCTTAGGAGGCGAGGCCTGACGTGTGTTGTCTGTCATCTCATTCAGAACGCTCTACACCCTCACTCACAGATGCCAGTGGTCTGATCAGCTGCTTGATTAATTCAAGCCGCGCGGAATGACAGCGTTTTCTGCTGCAGGATCGTGCTGAGCAGATGTAGCCCCCAATCTACTTTGGACAGAACAAATTCCGCAGAGATTCGGCGTGCGTACACATTGCCTGTTTTTGGCCTGCTCAGACGACCGCGGTCAATCAGCCGGCATACAAGAGACCAAGTCGAAGGCTGTCGTTTGGGATTCGTGAGTATCGGACGAATGATAACAGCGGAAGATATTCCCCGTCGGCATGTTATCAACATTACTGCTTCTGAAGTCGAGTCAGGTGGGATCCTTTCTGTGTCTTGAATCTCATAGGACAGCTATGTTTGTGGTTGTGGTGGCTGGGCCCTGCCTTGCATGTCCCATCGACGATGTACTGTGTAAACAAGTCGAAAGCTGATCATAGTTATTTAGCAGCGCAGGCTTTCGCGGCCGGACCCGATGTGCCCGTGCGACGAACAAGACGTTGGCGCGCATGATTAGTTCTTTGCCCCGAACAAGTCAGCTCCCAATCTATTTTTCTGATTAGAAGCAGTTGAAACGGACGGCAGGTGCTTTTCCGAGCTTGGATGAGCCCAAGCACTCCTCGTTTAGCTTCACCAACCTGGCAAGTTCCAGGGTGCTAATGTTTGGGCGAGGACATCATCTTGCCGTCTCCACTAACATTCCGTTTCGAGCCGATATTGCCCCAGAGAGGGGAGTGCTGTGAGTGGTATGATTTGACCTTCTGTAACAGCAATATTGCGAGACGCATTAGCATACGACAATATTGTGGGCCAACAGCTTATTACCGCTCGAGGAGCCACCGACAGGAACTGGAGCCTTCTAAGACATAGTCATGCTGCAGTCAATGATGTTGATGTTAGCGATCCTTTTCCAAGGGACGACTTCGTATACCTCTGATCATCGATCTCTAACAAGACAGCCAGGGGCTTTGTTGGCCAAGCGTTGACGACGTACTGGACAAGTTATGATCGAACGATTGTCTTGCCGGGATGGAGCCCTGTCCTATCTCGAGGTGGCCAATCGCTCACTTCTTCTCGAGGTCGGCAGGAGACAATTGAGCCTTGTCGCTGGCTAAACCGCTTCTAGCCGGCCATGTCTACTGCATGGCAATCCTAGTGGGCGGGACATCCCTGAATATAGCAATAAGATTGCGTTCCATCTGCAGGCCGGGATGGTGGAGAACGACGAAATGGCAGGGCGGAATCGTGGCCGCCTCAATCAGCCCGTGGCACAGAGCAGCATCAGCTTTCCAAGGGACTGCATGACACGACAGAGCCTACGTAAACTCCGTAAGAAAATCATGACTGCGTTGTCGGTGGGATCCTGGGTCCCCAGGACTGGATCTTGGACGCGTCGGTGGATCTGCGACGGAAACTCTGGTAGGCTCATACATACGTACGTAGATGGCGACCACCTCAATTTCCTAGATAGGTTGTGAAATGGAGAGGGATATCTGAAGCTTGGGACCGTCGAAAGAGGGTGCGTGGATCGAATCCAAAATCCCAGAGCTTGGGCCTGCTCTTCTTCATTATTCCTGCTGCCCCTTCGCATCCACATCAATGGACATGACAGGGGGACAGACCCTCATTTATGTCTGCACAGGGCGAGCACGCCACATGTATTGCTCCTCTCAACTCTTGAAGGATGGCGGCGACAGTGAGCGATGCGTTGACTGACGCTCTATGCTAGGCGCGTAGAACAAGAGCGGTACACACAGTGCAGCGACCCATTTCCTCGTGTCTGTATCTCTGACAAGAATAGTAAAAGTGATACGGAGGCGCCATCGATCAGTTGGTTTTAGGCGCGGCATCGGTCGCCGACACCTATCTTTCTTCCCAGCTGTCAAACTCCAGCGCCCCGGTTAATTTATATGCGAACCGAGGTTGTGGTTCTCCTATCCTCCTGATGAAAGTTTCCAATTGCATGGAGCCTTTGAAGCTGTGAGTGGCAGGCTACTTCTTAGAGCAACGTGCTCTGTGTTCGTCCGAACTCTGAAGGGCGAGGCGTGAGCATGTATCAAGGGCCCACCAGGACATCCAATAATCAACAGCGGCTTTTGTGAACCGGTGTGTCACAGACAAATCAGAAGCCTCGACAGATACGAGATTGAGACACTCCCGCAATTCGCACTGTAGATTGCGGCCTACGATTTGACTGGGTCAAGTCTCCATGTGTGGACGGCCAGGTTCTTGCTTGAACTTAGCATATGAGGGTTATCCGTCGTTTGCTCCGGTCTCCGGTCGACATCCTCACCGGAGGAAAGCGGATCGACGTACCGACTGTCTGTTTCCGGTGTATATACCGACGTCGCTTAAGTAGCAGCAGCCTCTATTTGCAGTCTTGGACTCCTGGTGTGGTTGTGATGGCAAGGTTGAGTTGGCAATGGACTTTACTCTGTAATGTTGGTACAGACGTTGTAGAGTCCACTTGACTACTTCAGTCCGCACCCCGAGGAGTTACCTTTGATTGAGATTGTCCAAGTAGCTAGGTATTCTTTGGTGTAGAACGGGACGCATCAAATTTGGTCTAGCAAGGCGTCAATGAGACGTGATGTTTGTGATTGGATACCTATGCAGGAGGTCCTTACCGATACGGCAGGCAATACCTCCACAGGATTCATCATGGCCTTGTGATTTCCAAAAAGTGAAGGACTCGCATGCTCCCTGAGTGGCAGTCTCCTGTGTCTGCGAGTTGTTTTTGGAGTACGTACACGGCGTTGACTGTTGCAAAGATGGGTTTCCTCTAGAGGTAGTTGTCCTACCGTTGGTGTGCAATCTGGGTTCAGACCGGGGTAGATTGTAGAGCAGCTGATCACCAGTTCTTGCAGTCTGAAGCGCATACATTATTAGACTGGCAAGGTCGACTATTTCGAGTCGACAGTCCACCTTCCCCCACGAAGACTCACCTGTTGCACCTGAGGGACCGTAGCATGGCAGTCAGTGACGACGTCTTATGTTGTGGGCTCGGGGCTCCCTCGACGCTGGCATGGACGCAACAGTCGCGCTTCTTGACAGAGGACGCAGATATAGATGCTGGAAAATTGGCGACCAAGGCAGCTCGAGTAGAATTGTCTTTCACTCGGGATATTCCTCTTTCGTACCAGCGAGATACATCTTGTCGTCCCGACGACTTGTACGACCATGTGACAAGTTGTCGCACAACTCGTCCGAAACTCGCATACTCTTCCTATGAGGAATAATGCGCAGTACCTATAGATCATTGACGGGATGGTTCGTCAGCATTGCAAACCAGTGTTGAATCCATCCCTTCCTGGTGATGAATCAAGATTGACAAGGCGCATCTGATCAACAGGTATCTGGGACTGAAAGGACAGACATAGCCCAGAGCCTCGTGCACTTTTCAAAGGGCAGTCGAGGCTTAGTTTTTCGTCACCTCTCCCACGGAGAACACCTCGCCCCAAGCCACGATTGGTCCTCGAGAGTCGCTAGCAGACTTTAATCCCTACTGCCACGGGAAGTTGCTTTGCGGCTTTGTTCCGAAGGTTGTGGGTGAGAAACTCTCCAAAGCTGGTCCCACGCATTTGTCGAACAAAACTTTAGAGGCTCAGATGTCATTGGCATATTGCACCATTTTTGGGCCTGTCGATCCACTCTCTTGATTGACTGCAGCCTCTTTTGCAGGCGGTCTTCACGCATGAGGCTGGGACAAGATGGGTTAGAGAGCCTTCGACGGTGACTGGCACTAGAAACAATTCGAGTAGCAGGATCAGAATCATTGATTGGCTTGTCGACCGTGACCCTGGGGAAAAGAGACCTAGACATAATTGGCGTGTCGTTCTCGTGGAACCCCTGGAGAGGGCCACTATTTGCTCCATAACACTACTGTGCGTTTTGACCTTCCTGTCACAAGAGGAACGACTGTCTCTTATATCGGCGTGGCATTATCTGATGAACCACCGTCATGCATCGGTGCCTCGTCTTGGTAACTCGAATTCTGCGCAATTCGAGGCAAAGCAACCCGGGAACACTCCTTGGGCCGGATACAGAGAGTGTATCTGCTCTAGGTAGCATTGTCAAAGTACGGGCCTGTTAGCCGGTGGATTTTGGTTCGAGGATGATTCGAAGATCCCGACATGAAGGTGGTGTGAGAATCCAGGCAACTGCAGGCTTCACGAGTCATGCTGCCCTTCTTGCAACGCGACGAAGCCGACGGCAAACAGGGTTGACGGGGGATGACAGACGGGTCCAATAGTAGAAGGGTCCCATCCGGACTTTGATGGGGTGTCGAAATTCGAGACGAGGTCTGGTATGATTGATGCCCCCGAGTCATGGGAGCAGAGCTTCGTTGTTCTATTCTCAATATTCCAGCGGTACTGGGAGCTTCATGTGCTGGCCGGCGTTGTGTGGCGTACTTGGATGGTTGCAGTTACATGAAGCATGGAGTTGCGGTACTCATGAAAGGACTCTGGAAACACCCTGGCCTTGATTGATGGCGGCTGACTTGCACGCGTGGACGCAGGCGCAGCCTGTGAAGTTGTGCAGATGTTGTAGAAAGTGTTATGAAGCGCGGCGGCACCGCAGGACAGCGACCCTGTCGTACTAACTACGTAGGTAATTAGTAGTGGGCCTCGCGAGTCAGTCACGTCTCGCTCACTCGTGGGGGTGATAAGGGCCAAGAGGAGCCTAGACAGCAGCAGCCTAGCGGCCATGTGCCACTAGTAGGCGCACCTCCCTTTCGACGTTCCCACTGCCCTGCGGTTTAACTAATAATAATGTGGTGCTAAAGCTACCTGGCGACAGGCATGGCCAGGAGTGCAGTGAGCTACTAGGGACTGCCGACCGCCGACCGCCGCCTGCGCAGTTCATCGGCGACTCGCTGCCAGTGTAATGCATCCTGCTGCAACCTGCAGATGCATGGGAAAGGGTAGCGGTAACGTTCGTAGAGCTAGAGCGATCCCTTTGATTGTCGGTGGTTGGTGGTTGATCCCAGGGGAGTGGAATCATGGTTGCTATCAGGCCAAGCTGATCAATGTTTTGACTGTGATCGCATATTGAACCTCGTTCTCCGATTATCAGTCACCGGGATTATTGCGTCTCTGTCACTTGCTCCGGCGGCGCAGTGTCAGCCACTGGCACCTTACGGCCCCTCCAGCAAATCACTGCCGGGTGAGCCTTTTCTTCCCTCGGTCCCTCTCTCTCTACCTCCAACACCACACAACACCGCACGCGCAGGCACATCGCAACCACATCTCCGAAACGCACGCTCTTCACAAAAAAGAGATACACAGTGGTAGAGGCAATCTCTGCATACCTCATCTCGCTCCACCTCACACAACCGCTTCGACCCTCGACCCATCCTTCTCGTACCTTGACCCTTGTCAAATACTACTAAGTAGAAGGATACCCCACCACGGCTTTCTGGCAATTCTTCCACACAAGCCGTGGAGCTCTCCAACCTTCTTCAAAGCCAACGACTGGCAGGCTGCGGCAACTGGCCAACCTCACCCCCGGCCCCGGTCAAATCAACCCAGCCATCTTCCACTCTCCTCCATCCCTCCAGTGGCAAATCAGCTCTCGAGCCAAAATCTTCTTTCCCACCCTTGGGTGCATGATTCACTCCTGCGCACGCTTTCCCGTCAGAGTGTCAGAGCACAGGACTGCACATCTCGCTTCTCGCTTCTACTTGTACCTTTGTCCCACTCTCACGCAGTGCTTCCGCCTCTCGAAACCTCCCTCCAACCCGGGCAGAGTCGCAAGTAGCAATCCGCAAAAGAATCAACCCGCAGATTCACCTTACTTTGACCTCACATTCCTCATATCGCCATCGCCTCTCCGTAGCAGCTACTCTGTCACGCTTCTGTGCGCGTTTACATAAGGACGTCAAAGGACGGCAGAAAAGAAGGAAAAGATCATCCGCGACGTTTACCGAGCCTCTGGTGGGCGTGGGACCTCCTGAGCAGACTACACCCTGTTAGCTGCCGCCCGTCGCGCCATTACTAGTCACTCCTCCGAACAGTACGCTATCACCATTCTCGACATCGCTCCACCTTAAAGTTGCAAAGTCTCTTTCCTTGTCCGATTTGGATCATCTGCCCGCCGGCTCACTAGTGTGTCCACTCACAACACGGTGGAGTCGCCAGCACCGTCCTACAACTCGGGCAGACAAGGCACAAAGGTGTCAAGGATACGCCCTTCTCCATCAACAAAGCATATATTATTGGCTGTGGGTGGTGAAGACACAAGTCTGACCGACTGCCACCTGGTTCCACTGCTAGCTAGCAGTGACCCTTCTGCATCTGTGATCGCGCAGGTCGAGGAAGGCAGGCCCTTGTCGAGTCTGGTATCGGTGCGGGAAGTCTGAAAAACTGCTGGTCACATCAACCTGGGACCGCGACCCTGGTGGAGTGTGCGCAGAACACGACGCAATAATAACCCAAAAGGCAACACAGTCGGCCACTTGTTGCGACAGAAAACGGGGATCCGACGACCGAAGGCAAAGCTCCCGCCCCTCCCTGGGCTCCAATCTTTCGTTTCTACTCTTTATTAGTCCTGGACCTCGCGCCATCTCGAGGAAGTAACGGTTGCTTTTGGTCCAGTCCAAGCGTCTGCGACTAGTCCATCAAGAACAGTGCTAAACCTCACTTTTCGAGCGGACTTTGCCCCATCGGTTAGAGCGATTCCTCCCCCTGTTCACAATCAACCCGGCACTCTCTGTTCACCTACCTGGGCGCCGGCCGATCTCGTGTCCATCCTCGTGCCAAAGACGCTTGCCGGTGCCGACCTATTCTGAGTCGTTAGCATCCTGCTCCACCCGCTGCTGCCGTTGGGTTGACTGGTGACTTGGATCCCTCGCCTGGGCAGCCTTCAAAATAAAGAATACGCCGGTTCTCGATCTAAGCATTGCTTCAGTCGTATCGTCGCCCGCTGCCGAGCTCGCGGCCTACTAGAGAGACTGCCTGTGCTGACTGCTGTCATCCACTACCTCTCACTCGGGTCACCACGCCAGTACCACTTGAAGTCCTCCCAACCACTGCCTCATCCATTGAAGCGCGTTCCTGGACTTGGGAAGCACTCGGGAACACCTTTTGATGGACAGGGGTGTACCAGAATACGCGCAGTCAGGTTAGCAACGACATCATCACAGACAAGCAGGTCGTCTTCACCGAGCAAGCTCTAAGAAACTCTCGTATCCTTAGATCAATCGTCTGTTGCGACCTACGCCACGCAAGACCCGCGTTCAGCAAACCTCTCGACCAACAACACCCCGCAGTCGGACTACGGTCTCACGCCCTCGTCGGCGCGGTCATCAGGGTTTCCATCGGACCATCTGCGATACAGCCAATACTCTCACGCGCCTCACCATCCAGGCGCTGTAGGAACCATGGCACAACCAACAAGTCCGTCAAAGTCCCTGCCAGATGGAGTGCCCAATGGCCATCCAACTGCACATTCCACCGATGTGAGGTCTAACTCGGACGTTCCTATAGATCCCTCGATTTCGCAAGCAAGCCCGACCTACCCTCCATACTCGCCATACCCGCAAGGGCAAGACATGCAGCATGCCTATCAGCCTCAGCACCCTCCTTACATGCAGCAACGACCGCCGCACGAGCAATGGGCCGGCTACCCTCCTCAGCACGGCATGCCTGGCCCATACCCGCACCCGGGACCCGGTGTTCAAGGACCGCCTCAGGCCACCACGGCTTCGCGAACCGGTCAAGTATGATCCCTCGTCTTCTCGATTCAGCCAACCCTCCGATCAGAACGGCCAGCTGACACATCTCTCGTGTAGGTCTACTCTTTCGTCCCCATCCCCGGTGCGCAGCAGCACAAGCGACCGCGTCGAAGATACGAAGAGATTGAAAGAATGTACAAATGTGGTTGGAATGGCTGCGAAAAAGCTTATGGGACATTAAACCACTTGAATGCGCATGTCACCATGCAGTCGCATGGCACAAAGCGAACCCCTGAAGGTGAGGTCCTTTTACAACCCAACTCTCGCATCATGTTTCTTTTGGCACTGGATCGATCTCCATGCCGCCCGTGTAACGTGCATCTGTGCTAGGCCTTGGTGGCGCATCTTAGGCTTGCCTAGCGCGATCTTTTGTACAACTCCTCTGGTCACTTGGCTAACTTGTGGTGCAGAATTTAAAGAGATCCGAAAGGAATGGAAGGCGCGCAAAAAGGAAGAAGAGAACGCACGCAAGGCTGAGGAAGAGCGACAGAGAGCAGCAGCACAAGCCAGCCAGGTCGACGGGCAGCCCACAGATGCGCACCAGGTGCCAGCACAAGGCTATCAACAGAATGGCGGCCGACCGTCGCTGCCGCCCATTGGCTATCAATCCGCAGACGGCCACGCTCAAGGTCAATACGGGCAACCACAAGCCGGCATGGTCTACCCTCAAGGAAATGGGCAGATGGGCACCTACGCCAATTACCCCAACTCGCCCTACGCCCAACAGGGTCAAGTCTATCAGCAACGACAGTACTAGACACGCAGCACAGCCCTTCCTGTGTGACTACTTCCCATATCTCACGCATTGGGGTGGTACCACACATTCACAAGATACCCAAGGTGGGAGTGGAGGAGGTAATAGGCGCGCACATCGGAGAACCACAAAATTTTTGAGGGACATTGCCGACCGGAGTTCGTGCTAAAAGCAGCTGGAGGATGCCTGTGCACAGTTGATGACTCTTTTGTTTTCTTGTTTTGCGCGTGGATTTTCTTCCTTTCTTATGGCTGGTCTCACCAGTAACGGCCTTGCACTTCCACGCTTCCACGTGATGAACGTTACGATCAACCGACAGCATGCGGTCTTTGAATGGTATGGGACACCGGGCCGGAGTGGAGGATTCTTGTCTGCACACACACCCCAGATTTCAGAGTCCATGGACTGAAGCGTGGGGAGCACTTTATTGGCCACCAGTCCAGTTTTCGTAAATGTTTTCAATCGAACTGGCCACGAGCATGAGCTCGATCGGGTGAGGGCAGGTCAGTCAGTTTTTGTACATTCACGGTACCTAGAGATCAGTCAGGATACGGTTTCGCTCTCTCAAAGAGCCCAACCCAATCACGCTAGTAGTAGAATAGCGAGCAAATCTGTCACAAAGTCAAGCACGGGCGAGCAAAGCGACAACTGACATATAGATATGTAACTGTAAATCTTTCCTAGGTCCCTGCCCACCCTGTTGCACGTGATGATACATCAATGTGCAGTGGTGGGTGAGGAGAGGTCGAACGGCGTTACTACTAGTACTAGGTTCCTGCAGCAGGCTTGCCGAAGCTTCCAAACAACAATCTGGATCAGGGTATTGAGTAGCAAGATGGGTGCGAGGGTGCCCACAACCGGAAGACCTATCGGAGATATTGTTCATGTTGTAAGGACGAAGTGGTGGCCGGGAGGAGAGATGGAAATGTGCAGTGTGGTTGTCGTGGGTTTAAGGTTGGTTTGGCTCCAGCTTAGGTGCGCGTCCTGCCATCGAAGAGCTGGAGCACGGTTTTACAGGTGTTAGTTAGCATGGTTACACACTGGCACAGGCTTATGGGAGCTAAGATGGTGTCCGCATGGTGAAAATGGGATCTGAGGCTGGTTGGGGAAGCAGATGCATGAAATTCGCCGGTGTAAGGAACCACTGGAGTCTAGAGGAACAAGTCTGGGAGCCTAGAGGTGCGCAGCTGAGGCGAAAGGGTCGCGGTGCTAGGCTTAGGGCTGCTAGCCTGGAGGCGGGATGGTGGCACTGGCGCATAAGCTAGAGGCTAGGGCTGGGGAGCTTCAGGCTTCAGGGCTTCAGGGCCTGGGAAGCTACGTGCACGGCGTGCGACGTAAGGGTTGACTAAGAGATTTCGGGGCAGCTTTAGGCGGTGTAAGCTTAAAATGCTTAACTGGAAGCACTAGCTTAGGCATGCCAGGTACGGGGTTGTTTTCCGTAGTAGCAAACGTTCAAGTTTGCCACAAGCTAAGAGGAACAGCTGCTTCTCTGTCTGACTATCTCCAAGGCAGTTTAGCCTGGACGCGCTGTCACACAACGAACCAAACACACAAACATCATGCGTCATTACTGTGCTACTGAAGATGGTTCGAAGCAAAATACCTTACCTTGTTAGTGGTACTAGCAGAGGGACACTTCTGGCTCTGTCTACTAGTACCTAAGGTCGATCTGACATCGTCCCCTTGGATCATCCTGTCACTTGGTCCGCTCCATGTTCCCGATCCCCATGCGCACAACACACAGGGCCACAGGGCTACCGGCCAAACTTGACAGGTCGATCCAGCACTAGATCTCTGACGCCGATGCGAGAACAACTAGCTCAAAAAAGGTGCAAGTCATGTCCGCCCGTTGGAACTAAAAGGCCTCCTAAGCCACGCTGCTGCTACTGCTGCTGCTGGGGCACATGACAGCTTGACCCAGGATACTACCTACTACGGTCCCTACCTAGTTACAGCACCTCTCCCGCCTCCCGAACCGGTCTGTCAGTCGACCGGATCAATCAATGGCGGTCGCTCTGATAGCTGCCACGAGGGTTTCCACCTCCCCTCCGCATTTTATATCCCTGCATTCGGCCCGCCGTCAGCCCTGGCCGGACTTCCTGTTCCCTGCGCTACATGCTGTCCGCGGACCGATCGGAAAGACCAACCGAGTGCCTCCTATGATGGGCCAGCTACTGAAGAACAAGTGGTTGTGGCACTGTTGGAGAACAGGCTGCTGTATGACAATGTACCCTTCGTGGCGAGGGACAAGTCAATACCTCCGGTACATTAGGTAGGTATGGACGCGCGCATTTAGGTTGCAGCCAATCATTGCATGAAGTATCATCGAGGAATATTGGGGATACACCGAAACGAGAAGGTTGTCCATCATGCATGGTCAGATGTGAACTACCTAGGTACAATCATCAGAACACGACGTTCCGCACACAGGCGGCACGTCCGACCAGCAGCCGAATCTTGCAGACGTGGCGTACTCGGTCGTGGATGGTCGTAGATGAGGCTGTAACGATCCCTTGTGGGATTCAGTGTATGATAGATATAACAACTGCTGGACAACCTGAGGCTGGCCCTGCCTTCAGTTACTGTCACATCACCGCCGTAGTGAACAAGACCCGGACACATCGTTCAAGTTATTCATCCTCAAACAGCGTTCTCTTATGCCACCATCTCTGACGGGAGCATTGCTCCGATCAATTCACGTAACGTCTGATGCTCTGCCAGACGAGTACCTGCCATCAATGAGACTTGATATGGGGGACTACTAGTCCGCTGTAAATATCACCTCTTATTAACGCAGGACGAATATCCATTCGTGGTTGGTGCATATGAAACCTTCGTCAGCTTACCTAATTAAATCACGTGTAGAGTGTTACCGTCTCTCGGAATACCTGCCTGTTCTAAAAAATTTCTGGCCCTTTGCGGCGAAAGTCGAGCGCAGTCTGAACAAGTCCGTGAAACTTGATGGCTTTCGTTTCTCTCGGTCTACATGAGTTTATCTGCTCTATGACAATCACTTCCTGATGTTCTCCTGCTCTGTTTGTGTGCGCCGTGCGTTACATTCTCTTTCCCACAACTCAAGCGTATTCGGTGCCTCATCGATCATCTCGCCCCCTCCACATGTCGTCCTTCCTTCGACTTTGTCTCGGAACCATGCCACTCTGCAATCCATACAGAAGGGCCACCACCGCCGCCTACTCTACAAAGCCTTACAGAAGAAGAAACCGATAAGAGTGTCGAAATTGTCCAGGGCGGGAAGTGTGCCAGCTAAGGCGCGCCGTAAAGATGGCCTGGCGCGAGAAGAGAACCGTGGCCGCCTCATCACCGAGTCCACTGGCACGAATTTGGATAGAGCCATGAAGCTTGAGGCGAAGTTCCTGGTTGATCCACTTAAACTGGCTCAGGCTGTGGTAGAGAAACTCAGGGACTCCGATTTCGACGCTGCTATGAGCCTTGTTCGTGCCAGTGAGAAGTCTCGGGACGGGATGGCAGTGGACAACATCGTTAGTTGGAATCATGTTATCGATTGGCTGATGAGCAAAGGGGAGCCTTCCATGGCATGGAAGGTCTATAATGAGGTAAGACTGCCGTTAAATATCAAGGGAATCCACTAACCGAGATGTTGTGTATAGATGAAGAAGCGAGGCCATAAACCTGACGCACACACTTACACAATCATGCTTAGGGGCTACCGAGACAATGTGAAGAAGCCCAATGCTGTCAAGCAAGCGGTCGCTGTCTACGACTCTATATCAGCTGCGAACTCGGTAGTTACGCCTACGACCATTCATACGAACGCCGTACTCAGTGTATGTGCTCGAGCCAATGACATCGAATCCCTCTGGAGCATTGCAGGCAGGCTTCCCGACAAAGGGCCTGGCGCACCTGACCATATAACATTTACCACCATACTGCAAGCCATCAATGCTGAGGTTCGCGCACGAGCGGTCGAACTGGGATCTCGAAATGGCCCCGATTATGACCCACAACCCATTTTTGAACAAGCGGTCTCTGATGCACGGAAGCTATGGGTCGATATCACGGGACGTTGGAGGAAAGGCAACCTCCAGCTTGATGAGGCTCTTGTCTGTGCAATGGGAAGACTACTGATGCTTTCAACCGACCCTAAAGCCTATGAAGACGTTCTTAATTTAGTTCAACAGGCCATGAACATCCCAAAAAGTCCCGATAACCTTGGGCGAACAGAGGACCCGAACGTCAGGGAGGAAGATGACTCAAGTGTGGGCACTGAGGCACACACAACTTCACACTCTGGCGACTCCAATAGATCCTTGGTTAGGTCAGGTTCCAGGTCAACACAATTGGTCCCCAGCCCGACATCGATATATGCCACCCCTGGCCAGAACACGCTCTCCATGCTTCTAGAGACAGCTACAGCTCTCCGGTACCTACGAGCGGGAAAGTACTACTGGGATTTACTGACCGCTCCGGATGGCCCCTACAAGATTATTCCCGATCACGGAAATGTCGCGGCCTATCTTCGTCTTCTCCGGGTATCACGGGCCAGCCAAGCCACCCTGGATGTTCTGCGCATGCCGCGGCCCAAAGAGATTCAAGACCGAGTGATGGTTCGAGGCACGTTCTTCATCGCCATGAGTACTTGCCTGCGAGACAAGAACAATCCAAATGTGTTCGACATTGCAAGTCGGATACTAGATTTGATGCAAGGCAGAGCGGACTCTTCCGATCAGGAACAGTCTTCGAGACCTGAGGGCCAGAAGCTTGAGATGTCCCCTAGAGTCCTGACCAAGTACCTGGAACTAGCACTGGCAACAACAAATGGCTTGAATGGCGGTCGATTGAACAAGACGAGGAATGGAGATTTGGATTTCGAGCGCGACCCTCACAAGAATAACACATTGAGAGCTCTGAGGAGGCTCGCTCCTGACATGCTCAATGTCAAACGATTATTGAAACTCCACATGACCGAACTCGAACAACAGGCCGCCGTCAAATCTCGGACAAGCACCGTGCAGAAGCTCCTTGCAAAGCGGGAACTCACCCACCTTAGCGTCAGTGAGAATATGAATGAGCTTGTCGACTTCTTACGCACGTTGATCGGTGCATACGACAAGATCCTTATGGTCAATGAACGGCTCGAGGACGAGGGATTAGGGCCTTTGGATCGAGACATCCTAAACGAGTGCTGGTCGCAGAAGCGCAAATTATCCGCGTTCCTCGGCAAGGTCAACAATGAACGCGGTATTCCTATCGAGGCTCGACGGGAGCGGGAGCATGGTTCCACTGCTGGCCGGGCCAAGGCCAAGACGGAGGTTTCTGAGGAGGATTTCGAAGACGAGGCCGGCGAAACTCTCGATGTGACGGTGCCGAATCAAAGGACGAAGACAATCAAAGAAATCAACAAGGCGCTCATGAAACAGGACAAAGCGAGAGAGGAGAGCCGGCTTTCGCGACGACAGAAGCGTGAGCTCGGGAAGGAGGAGCGTATCAGGAGACAGTTTCCCGTCAGCATGTTGAAACCCAAACCGAGTGAGCAGACCCGGCTCAGCAGGCAACGGCACGAGACTGGGAGTGGGGACCGCAAGCGTAGTACGACTTCGGCTTCACAGATGTATCGTGGATGGGGAGGTGGTTTCGAGGCTCTTGCCCGTGAACAAGGCCAGGGTGAGAAGGCGGGGTTTATCGACCTGCGACCATAAAGGTCAGGGTGTTTTCAAACCAGGAGGCTTGTCAAGAGATCACGGATTGGCATCTTTATCTTGCTTTGCATAGCGACGGTGTGTTGGGTCGGCTCTTTCATGCATCACGTGTTCGCGGGAAGGGTTTGTACATTTTCTGGGCGGAGCGAATGGACACTGTACAATATTGGGATTGGCCGCGGCTCAAAATCACGAATCTTACTCATGAACTCCTGAACTTTTTTCACAACTCTGTCTGCTACGGAGCGTAAGCGTTCAACCTGTTGTGTGTGTTCTCATTGCATCAGACCAACCACGCCCCGAAAGCCCCATGGTCGTCTGCTTAGTTCGCTTCTAAACAGGGCGTTCCCAGTCTAAAGAAGAGTTGTCACTGTTGTTCTCTCTCTCTCTCTCTCTCTCTCTCTCTCTCTCTCGCGTTGTTACTATGCTTATATCTTCGTGATGCGATGGTCCCGTGTCCCTGGTCTTCTGGTCGTGTTATGGCCGGTAGTAGTCAAATGCCTGCTGAGAGAGAAGAAAAGGATCTCGAGACTGTAGCGAAGATCTTTTCTGTGGAGGATAGGATGTCGTACAGAGACACTACAGAGTAATATGGTGAGCAGCCTTGCAGCCTTGCAGCCTCGCAAGCCTCGTATGCTCGGCGGTCGGAAGATGATTGTTCCGTTGGCGACATGACGGCGGGATTTCAAGTCCGCATGAATAAATGCACATCTTAGTCGCTTTCTTGACTTACTTTCTACTCTATATACCTTAGGCAGAGTACCTCTGTAATTCTCCTGTTGCGTCGAGCAGAGGCGAGAGCAGTCTCCCGCGATGAGATATGGAGCAGCCCAAGTTTCACAGCTGCTCCGTCCAACCCATGTTTGGGTGCCCTGTCCTCGAACAGCCCTGAAAGGCCCTGCGCTACACATTTACTCTCCGCCTCTCGCGTCCGTCCATCCTGCGCGCATACCACATCTATGTGCGAGGTACAGTGCGAAGTCTCATGACGAGACGAATGGCCTGGTGACGCAGTCACCAGAAGCGCAGCCTGCAGCGAGGCCTACACTCCCAAACCGGCAATGGTCGACACCTCTGGCAAAGACGATCGCCCAAGCGATTGAGGTAGGAACAGCCTACAAACGCGGATCTACCATACAAGAGAATATTTGCTGAGAGAACACTGGCTGCTAGGTTACTGGGCCGATTTCCATTGCTTCCTATATGCGCCAATGCCTCACGAACCCCGATGGAGGATACTACACAAGCACACGACCGTCGGCAGAGGACGCAGACCAGTTCGGCAAGGCCGGCGACTTCATCACTTCTCCCGAGATTTCTCAGATCTTCGGCGAACTGGTCGGAATATGGTTCATGACGGAATGGATGGCACAAGGACGGCCCCGACAGGGCGTCCAGTTCATCGAAATGGGCCCTGGACGGGGGACACTGATGAGCGACATTCTGCGGACGATCGGACAGTTCCAAACATTCGCACAGGCAGTGCAGGCCGTCTGGCTGGTGGAGGCCGGAGAAGGGCTCCGGCTGAAACAGAAGGATCTGCTCTGCGGCCCGGACGCGGAGATGAAAGAGGTTCGAGACAGCACAGGCAAGAATGTGTGGTGGGAGGCGATCAGCAAACAAGGCATCCCTGTGCGATGGGTGGAAGATATTGCGCTGTTGCCGAAACCCGAGGATGACGGCATTGACAAGATGCCGTTCATCATCGCGCACGAGTTCTTCGACGCACTCCCCATCCATGCCTTCGAGTCTGTGGCGCCCAGGCCGGAGCCGGACGAGACAACCCAGCAAGACCCGTCTGCTCCGGCCCTGACCGAATCAGGCCAACCTGTTCCCAAACCGTCCATGGCAAGCAAGCTTTCGCAATGGCGCGAACTCCTTGTCGCTCCCACGACACCGAAATTCTCGCTCCCGTTTCCCGCGGAGACCGAAAGACGAGACAGTCACAAAGATCCCGAGCCGGAGTTCCAACTGGTCCTCGCAAAAGCAAGTACGCCCAGCTCGCTCGTCATGCCTGAACGACCACGCTATCGGGCCCTGAAGAACCAAGTATCTTCCCGCGTCGAAATTTCGCCAGAGAGTGCACGCTACGTACAGGATTTTGCACGGCGAATAGGCGGAGATGCCGGCCCTGCTGGACGACCGAACACGACAGCGACGTCCTCCAGACCGAGCAGAAGCGAGGCCGGCCAGAAACAGAAACACAAACACATCCCAGCCGGAGCAGCTCTCATCATCGACTACGGACCCCTAGACACCGTGCCGGTCAACTCGCTCCGCGCGATCCGCAAACACAAAATCATCTCGCCCTTCGTGTATGCCGGAGACGCGGATATCAGTGCCGACGTCGACTTCGACGCCCTGGCCGATGCCGCTTTGGAAGCTAGTCCCGGCGTCGAAGTCCACGGGCCCGTCGAGCAAGGGATGTGGTTGACCCAATTGGGCATCAAGGAGCGAGCGGATCGGCTTATGAGGGAACTCGAGAAGAAAAGCACCGCTACTTCTCAAAAGAGCCGAGGTGACGAAGGGAACGCAGTCCCCGAGACTGAGCAGCTGGAAAGGAAGAAACGTGAGTTCGAGATGGGCTGGAGGCGGCTCGTCGAAGGCGGTCCGAAGGGAATGGGAAAGGCGTATAAAGTCATGGCCATCCTTCCTGAGAACCGAGGGCAGAGAAGACCTGTTGGGTTTGGAGGTGGGGTTGTTGCATGATGGCTTTTGACTTGTTGTCATGCTTCATCCTGCGGGAGATTTCCATTCCATTAGGTTCTGATATCTGCAGAGAAGATAGGAGAATCTGGGTGTGAAAATGCCATCCAATCATGTACTGTTGATCATGATAGCATGCATGCGATAAAAAGAGCAAGAGCAAGAGTGAAGGAAGACCATGATACCTTATACATGCGTGTATGAATACACCTACCTACCCACCCAGTGAAGGTGTATTGTCTGCTCTCTGTAGAATGCTGTATTGGATTTCATTGTATGGTGCCGCCGCACTGATACTCCTCGAGGGAAGGTACTTAAATGCTTATAAGAGAAGTGCCTTTCCTGTCCAGACACGTTGAGCTCTTTCTCCATCTCTCTTCCCCCCCCTCTCTCTTCAGAACGAACCCTTCAATTCGGGGATGTTCCAGATCACGTATTGTTCGTCATTTCTCCACATGGGCGTCAAAGTCCCAGAACCGGACTTCCATCTCGGTGGCGCGGACAAAGATGGCGATGAGCTCTTGGACCCGCGAAGGGGATTGTTTGGCGATATGCGTTTCGATCATATCTAATTCAACAGAAATAGGACGAGTTTGTCAGCTTTTCAATGTTCATGGTAGCGAGAAACACAGGGGAACGAATATCAGGGGCAGGTAAGCGAGCTGTGTGACTCTCTCTCTCTCTCTCTCTCTCTCTCTCTCTCTCTCTGTATGTGTGTCTGTGTGTGTGTAACATGGCAGCCCAGAAAGACATCGCGGGAGAGAGTACATTCGAGGACGCCGGATGCAATATCGACTGCACGGAACAACACTCTGTAGACACGACGCACATGATTGCAGCGAACAGTCATGGTAAGAAGATGGGGAGGGGGAGAGGGGACGGCCAACCAAAAAAGGGGGCTACAAGCACCAGGAAATGTGTTGTTCAGGATCAACAACAACAACACGCACTCACCTCTTCCAACCGTGATAGCCTCCTGATAATCATCCGCGACATAATTCTCGACCCACCGCCAATACCGGTTCCCCTGGTCTGCCGTACGACTCTCCTTCTCGACATACAGTCTCTGCGCGGCCTCGCCGTAGCCGAGCAAACACGGCGCCAGGGCCATCTGCAGCGCGAGCCAGTCCTCGCTCTGGCCCACGTCAAGCACATAGCGCGAGTAGGCGACACAGGCCAGGGACTCTTTGCGGTCTGGATGTTCGAGGTCGGCCCTCGAGATGCCGAATTCGGCACAGTACGACAGGTGCAGCGCCATCTCGCGCTCGATGTGCAGGATGATGTGCGCCGAGGCCGTGATGGCCGACATTGCGCGCGACTTGTACGCCGCCAGAGCGTGCGTGCGCGCGAAGTGCGTCAGGTACAGGTAGTCCTGCACCAGGTAGTTCTTGAACAGATCTTCCGGGAGCGTGCCGCGGGCCAGCTGGGTGGGGAACGGGTGGTGCGTGTAGTTGTGCCACATGGGCGCCACGGATGGGTGTGAGAGCAGGTATTCGATGAAATGGCCCTGCGAGAAGGGCAGGATCTGCATGTTGTGGAAGTGGTTGATGGGGCCGGAGCCGTGGCCGAGGCCTGGGTCGGAGGTTCGGATGCCGGCTGACACGTAGTAGACTGCTAGACGGGTCGCCGTGGGTAAGTCTATGGATTGAGGAGGTTGTAGCTGCTGTTGTTTTGACAGTGTTGTGGTTGTGGTTGTGGTTGCGGTTGTCGGTGTCTGTTTCTTCTTCTTCTGCATGGCTAGATTGGCGGCAATGGCGCTGGCCAGAGAACAGCCTGTTCCGTGGGTGTTTTTCACGACGAGATATTTCGATTCGATCAGTGTGTACGTCTCGCCGTCGAAGAGGATGTCCACGGTGATGGCCTTCTCATCGTCGCTGTGCGCTTTCATGTAGTCTTTCGTTAAAGGCATGTGGCCCCCTTTGAGCAGAACGGCACGTGGGCCGAGCTGGTGGACCATCTTAGCCAGCGTTTTCAGGTCCTCCAGGCCAGAAGGGGATTTGTATTGAATGTCGGCGTCGCGAAGCAGGAGCGTTGCTTCGGGGATGTTGGGCGTCAGGAGCGTGCTCATCGGAAGCAGTTTCTCGCGTAGGTCTCGGACAGCATCGCCGGGGAGGAGCTGGGCTCCGCTTGTTGAGACCATCACCTGTCAAGTAAAGTGTGAGTGATTGGAGATGGAATGACCAGAAAAATAGAATGATCGAGGTCAGCATTGAGACGACATCGAAACCAATACCGAATACGTATGAATGAGAAGCAACAGACAGTAGACACCCTTCGAAACACGAAAAGATGCATCACAACAAAGAACACAACACGGCTGCAGGCCAGTGGGAAATGTAAATGGAAGAGCAACCCGTACCGGATCCAACACGACAGTCGACACATGATGTTTCCGCAACGAGTCCGCGACGACTCTGATCGTCTCGGCTGAAGCAAGCATACCTGTAGAAACACACTGGTCAATACACTTCGTTCTGTCTCTCGTAAGAAGAAGGAGGTTGGCAGAACAGGCATAGGAAAGCAAAGTATATCATCAGGGGGCACAGGAAAGCAAAGTATATCATCAGAGTAGGGAATATCGCACATCCAAATATCAAAACACCCCATCACAAACAAACAAACCCAGACACTACTAGACCCAGGAAGTTCGGCACGGGAGGTAACATACCAATCTTGACAGCATCACACCCAATGTCCGCCAAACACGCACCGATCTGCTTCCCCACAAACCCCGGCGGCGTGATACACACGTCGTCGACGCCGAGCGTGTTCTGGGCCGTCAAGGCCGTCGTGGCCGTCATGGCGTAACATCCGTGCGCGGCGAGGACTTTTTGATCTGCTTCGAGGCCACTAGATCGCAGAACGGAAAAACGTATGAATGTTAGTGATTGAGGTTTCTTTTTCATTTTAAATTCTCATTCTGGCCACGGGAAGAGGGGAGTAGTCGCCAGAAAAGACGGACGGAAGAAGAACAAGTGTGTTATTCTTTCATATTCAGGATCCAGGATCAGGGATCTGGGACAAGATTGGGATTGGTATTGGATTTGGATTCCCGATGGAACGGGGATCGCAGGGCCTTGCTGGGTTGGACTTACGCTCCTCCTGAGCTGTCGGAACCAGCTATCACCAAGACTCTCGGAACAGGCTGCATGTTTGAATCTTGGTACTCTGGGGCTCTGGAAAGCTCCCTAATGGGCTACTGCTATCAATCAACGATCCGACAAAGTGAGGCAGCGACAGGTTTGTGGTGCGAACGTCGATGAGTAAGAATGGAAGAGGGACAGGAAATAGCGATAACAATATTGCTGCGACTCGTTGGAATGAAACTTGATGATGGGTTCGTTGATTGATTTCATCCGCCGCGATCGGAATCGGATGTCGTTGGATCTGGAGTGAAGGCCGTTCTGGCTTGGCCAATCAGATTTAAGTATTTGTTAACTTTAATGGATACCTTATTCTTAATCTTATTCTTTTATTCTTATGCCCCATCCATAACCTCAAACATAAGGTCCTGACGATTCGACTACCTAGGTATCTCTACTGAAATACTCTTAGTATCTAGATATAAATTCTTGCGTCTGCTGTGTTGGTCACATGTATACTCTGCGCGCAGTTGATAGAAGGAATCCTGTCAGAACCTGTCTCTTGTAGAATGTGATCTGATCATTCGTCTTTACTCCTATCCTATCCAGTCTGGTCTTACCCAACGAGCGACAGACAACCAGACAACCAGACAGCCACAGGAGAGAGCATCTCTTGTCTCTTCTCTCCCTATTTCAACGCAAACTTGAACAGAGTATCCATCTCGACCCATTGCCGCCCGCATTTCCTCAAATACCCATCAACCACACCTTTGACAGCTTCAAAGCGATCCTTATTCGTCTCCGCCAGCACAACAACCCTGTCCTTCTTCTCCGCATACTCCTTCTCCGAGCGAGCCTTGTTCTTGGCCCTTTCGACATCGAACAACGCAGCAAAGTACAGTAGCTGATTGTACAGCTTCTTCTCCGAATACTCGTACGACATGCGGCCCAGACATCCCTCGGCACGACCATTCGGCCCGAGACATCGATGGCCATACACAGACATCTGTCTGGTTCTGTTCCCACACGACGGGTCGTCACAGACCAACCAGCCCTCGTAGTAAGCAGAAGTCTGGACACGGATCTGAGACTCCAATTGCACGGCGATCGCCATTGTCGAGAACACCGTGCGACAGTCGGCGTTGCTGCACAAGATCCCCTCTGGCGTGCAGTCGTCTGGTGAATCACAAAGCCCTTCAAACACTGTCGTCTGTTTGCAGGCTCGGCACAAAAGACGGAGTCGAGCGGAATCTTGGAACCGCACACTGTCGGGGATCTGTGATTCGAGGGGGAAGATTTCGGTGTTTTGCTGGCTCGTCAAGCCGGATGTGTTGATTTGATACCTGCGCACATCGAGGCCCAGGCATTCCGCCAATCTGACCGAATCCGTGCCCGGGATTGGAGCACAAAGCCGTTCGATGGGTGGCAGGATCTGCTTGTACAGGTAGTATTCCACGTCTGGCACCAGGCTGGATTGCGACTTTAGCACGTCTTGCGGCGTGTATGATCGTTTGGGCGCCGGTAAGCCTTTGGTCTGTTCGTCGCCCATGGTGACAATATATGACATGACATCGTTGACTCGGACGGTCTTGCCGCGAGCAATCTCACGAAGTGCCACTTGCACCTGAGGCATCGAATCCGCGTTCGGATACTCTGTAGGGTTTTTACCGAGTTTCTATGATCTGTCAGTTGGCTTGTTCCACGTTTGAAGGGCATGGCTGGTAAACTTACGGTGTAGATGACATATTTCTGCACAGGAACCGTGTTTTCCCTCATCTTGGTGGCCAACTCTCTCAAATACTCGTGGATCTTCTCCAGAACCAACTCCGGATCCTCTCCGGAAAGGATCTCATTGAGAAGCCGCTGCGAAGCCTCTTTGGAAAGGGCGCAATATTCTCTCCTCTTCATGTCGAGACCCTTGACTTCGAGCTTCTCCACATACTTGCCGTCGACTTCGGCCATGTTGATCGCCGCATACTTTTTCTTCGCGTGGAGCAACAACCGACGGAAAATATTGTCAATGTCAATCTCCAGCAGTTTGTACCGTTCATTGACCGACCGTTTGAACTCAACCCCAACACTCAATGCTTGGGCAATGTTGTCGGCGTTGGTGTTGATCATGACAGAGTCGGTGTCACCGTAAATGACTTGAAGCTGGTTGCTCTCCGCCAACTCCTTGGTGCTTCTCAGAATCTCTCTTCCTTTGAACGTGGTGAGCATGGCTAGCGGTCGAGCATAGAACCGTGACTGAGTATATCCCAAACAGCCGTACATGGAGTTGGCCGTGAGTTTCAGAGCCATTTGTTTCGTGTCCCACAGCGCCATTTCTTCCGCTGTTGCTCGTTTGTCTTTCATCAATTTCTTCACTTCACGACGGCGCATGACGAGGGTGGAAATGAGTTTCGGTAAGATTCCCTGTGCTTGTTCGACTGGGACCTCGGGTACTTTCTCCTCGTTCTCGTTCTCCGATGTCGTTGTCCGATCGACAGTGGTGAAGCAGATGTTGTACTCCTGGATGATACTCGGATACAAACTGTTGAAATCCATCACGAGGATAAACTTGTCGTAGAGCCCTTTCTCCGGTTCAAACACCAGACCACCCTTGAATTTGTCTTTCTTCTTGGTATCGGCACCTTCGTCGCCGTCCTCGTTCTCCTCGGTCTGTTTAGCCCGACCTTTGCCATACTCCTTGTCGGGACAGATGTACTTGTTGCGGTGGAATTCGTGAAGCAGAATGTATTCATTTCGTTCTGCTCGCGTACCACTGAGAGTGCGAGCCCACGAATTGCCCGCAAGCTCGGTCAGCACCTTAGTCAGTGGCAACATCTGCAATTTCAGCACAAGCGCGGCGATGAAGAAGGTGTCGGCATGGCAATGGTTGACATAGTTGATCAGACCGTCCCGCGTAGTTGCCCAGGTCTTCAAGGCTGCTTCATTGTCGACCTCGCGTCTCGGATTGTCCGGTCCAAGGTAGAGCTCACACATCTCGGTTAAACTCCACTGCTGACATTTGGTCATCAGTGACTTGCCCATGTCGTTGGCCAAGTCACACATGAGTCGGCCAGCGAGAAGTTGTCGTTCGGCAAAGAATGACGAGCCGCCCTTCCCAAAAGTCTTTGGCCATTCACTTCGCTTGAGTCGACCGATTCGATGCCACCCAGGCGTCTTCTTCTCCTTGAGACGACTGAGGAGAATACTATAGTCGACCTCTTGCAGCTGATGTCCCATCAAGACATCCGGATCCACCTTCTCGAACAGAGCGAGGAACTTGCTGAGTAGAAATTGTTCGCTCTTTTCGAGCATGAATGTACCATTCTGTTTCTTGGTTTCGGCTTCAAACCCTAGTGGATAAGCTGATCCCGATGGTCTCATCACTGTAAATGTTCTCGAGGGCAGTTTCTCCGGTGGTGTGGTGTCGGAGAGTGACACATTTTCGTAGACTCGGGCGCTTGCAACCAAAATCTCCTGTTTGTTCTCTTTCACATTGAGCTGGGTGCGGAAAGCCAACGACATCAGAGTCAGTCGTGGAGTCTCAAGTTTGTCAGAATCTTGGAGAAGGGTGATTTTCGCTGGCTTGGTCACAGCACACTCGAGCTTGCACCAAGAGGCATTATTGACGGCCGTGAAATCCGCTTCCTCAATATTCAGCCAACATGGACCCATGATGTTCTTCCACAGGACAAATTGCTCAAAGAGAGCCGTATTGGTGCCGAAAACTCGGGAGAACGTCTCTCCCTGCAGATCCATTGGTAGAGCACTATTTTCGTAGGGGTACAGCAACTTGAGGTATTCGGCTTCCTTGGGAACATCTGGGAGTTCGAAAGCGTATTTCCGTGTGCATGGCTTGACTTTTCTCGTCGTCACCTTCATTCTCGACATCAATGTGTCAACCTCTCCATAGACGTCGTCAACCTCGACCTCCTCGTCTGTCTGACGTCCGTTGACGTGTCTGAACTTTCGCGGAAGAAAGTACAGTTTCCGGAGGATATTATCCACCTTCACAAACGCGCTGAGATATCGTCCAGTTGACTTGTGTTTGACCTTCCCAAAGAGACAGAGACTGCCGTTGACTTCCGTGTAGTCGAGCCAGAAGAACCGAAGGCTGCCGTCTTCTTCGACAGCATCCTGAGGCTTCATTTTGCCGAAGATATAACTTTCAGACGAAGGGCTGCTCTGGACGTTGAGCTTGCTGGCGATTTTGTTCCATGACGATGCGTCTACATCATTGACTGCTGGCAGAGGAGGAGACGAGTTTTGAGGCGTGGGCAGTTGTGCAGATTTGATCTTCGGTGGAGGTCGACTGCCAGCCATATTGACGCTCACAGTTTCAACCCCTTCGTGAGCAACAACTTGAGCAACGTCCATCATGTCATCATCATCCTCCTCGTCCTCCTCTTTGATGTTCACTTTTGCCTTGCGTGCCACGGCTTTGACCACTGGTGAAGAGGGCAAAGGATCACTCATGATATTATCATCGTCATCGAAATTGGGCAACACGTCGTCATCGCGAGTAGCAGCTTGCGGAGGAGGAGTATCGACAAGGCTTGTGGTCGGAGCTTGGTATTTTGGTCGAGGCCGTTCTTGGGTCAGAGGCGGAGAAAGAACCCTGACTTTACGACGGTTATCCGATTTGACGGGCTTCTTGGTGTATGTCCGGGCTGGCAGGATATTGGCATCGACTTCGCCAAGTAGGTCAGCCATGAAGGCCTCATCTTCGGCAGTAGTTTGGACCTAGCAGAGTCAGATTGCGTGAATCAAATATGTGGTGGCGATGCTTCTACCTTTGGTTTCGGGGCTGCAACAGGAGCATTGTTGAAGTAGTTCATAATTTTGTGATTCGTTCGTTCATTTTTCTCGCGGTCCTCTTCGCGCTTCCGTTTGGCAGCGTTCCCTTTTAGAAGGACATCCCCGTCATCGTCACTGCTGAAGTACTGGCGTTCGTTTTGCCATTCCTCACGGCCGTCATCGGCGTAACCTTCGCCATTGTCGTCTACAACAAAGTCATCCTTGTCGAGTCGACTGCGGACGACCTTCTTGTAACCATCCTCGTCGACTTCGTCGTAGATGGCACCCTGGTCCTCGATTTGGTATGTTTCAAGACGTGTCTTGCCAGAGAGGCGTTGAGCGCGGAGCTGTGCAATGGCGGCACGGTGTGCCATTGTGCTTGCAATGCCACGAGAAGTACCTCTTGTTGCAAGGGACCAAACTCGCGGATGGGTTTGTAAAGGTAAGGGAAAACACAGCTTGAAATGGAAGACTGGGAGACGAGCAATTGACACGGCGACACGGTCATTTACACGCGACGCGATTAGACGCGTAGAGCACGAGATCTCGCGCAAAGTGGGGGCGTGGGGACGTGGGGGCGCGGCGACTTCTCGATATCAATATCTTAGGTACAAATGTAACTGAACTGGCCTCGATCGTAGCCTTGTCTATTAGTTCAAGCTCTTCATTGCGGAGGTATCATATGCCTAGTCATCTTTCCTGCGAAGAAGCACAACGCGTATGCTGTTGATAATCCGTTTGCTCGGAACCACTACAAGGCCAACTGGAAAGGGGTTCAAATCTAACTACTATGCTGAAGGCCTGTCCGTGCGACGACTAATAAGGACGTAGAATCCATCCTGCCACACAAACCAGCCTCCTGAAATCTTCCACTCCAGGTCTGGGCGTGCAAAAGAGATCTGACGAAGCGTGAGTATCACTCAACGGGTAGTCGGACAGTACATTCACCTTATAGTGCCGCAGCAACTGAGGAACAAGCTTGCCAATCTCTAGCAACGAGATGCTTTTGCCAATGCAAGCTCGATTGCCATGACCGAACTGATGATCCCACATCAGATATGACTCCAAACAGGACCTTTCTCGTCCACTCACCACAAGATTGGCTCTCTCCATGGCCAGCAATTGCTCTTCTGACGCGTCAAGCCATCTCTCCGGACGAAAGAAATCTGCATCTGTTCCGTATACTTCTTTGTCCCGTCTGTCCACAGATTATAGTCGTCAGCGATTGTGGATAGCAAACCAAGTCGGATGCCTTACGCTGTGACCCAAGGATTGATACCAACGATGGTTCCTTCGGGGAAATAGTGACCCGCCAGCGAGATCCCATCCTTCGGCACGTACCGCTCGAGGATTGACCCTACGGCCGGGTGCATGCCTGAATGGGTGATAAGACTTTCATGCTTCTCGAAGTTGACGGTGACTCGAGACTTACGAAGACCTTCTTTGATACATGCTTGGAGGTAGGGCAACCTGGTGGATTCTTGCCATGTGACGAATTCGCTGAGCAGACCGTTATTAGCTGCACTGTCAATCTCGTCGACGAGCCTTTGCATGCTGGCCGGCGACTTTAGCAGATAATAAAAGATCTGTGAACATCAGCGATCTAGGTCGCTTGCTTCCGCAAGAGGATGTCTCGCTTACCGCTCGCAACGAGATCCCGGTGGTGTCACTCCCCGCACCAACGTTATCACTGTTGTACATCAATATCATCCTGTCTGTGACTATGTCAGGGAACTTGGTTTGAGCCTCGAAACACCTTGCAAGGAAGTCGCGTTTTGCAGTGGTTCCAGTTGTCTTCACGGAACCCCTTTCTTTCATTCTGTTCAAGGTGAAGGTGACGATGGGATGCGTAGGGACCATTTTGAGGAAGAGCGGATTCTTCGTCAAAATCTTGTCGACGATTGGGATTTGGCCCACCTAGATGCATGCACAATATTAGCGAGGATACCCGGATTACGGCTTGTCCTGGCCGGGAGCCTTACACGACCGAGATATCCGATCTTCGATCGGATATCCGCCATGATCCCTTGGATATCTGTCCCCGAGGCCAGGAAGCCTAGCTTCTGACTGAATTGGACTTCGCCACTGAAACCATTTAGCCGAGACAAGGCTTGCCAATGGACACAAGTACTCACATGACATCGAAGGCATACCGCTGGAGCCAGACCCCAAAATCCAATATGGCTCCTATGGCGGCAAATTCGTCCAACTTCGACATGAACAAAGATGCAGTCGAGTCCACCAGCGGCTCGTATTCCACCATGGTCGACATGCTGTAGGCGTGTGCAATGGGCTTCTTGTATAGAGCATGATTGTGCTCGTCTCGAGCCGTGAACAGGGCAGGCGTAACCTTTCCTTCAAAGGGCAGCATGGCGATGGTGTAGAACTCCGTCTTGGTGAATCCTGAATTGATTCCATAGATGGTCGGTATCAGCGTCGGGTCGGAAATCGAGATGGTTCGTGGTCCTACTCGCACGAAATGCGAGTTTGTCTCCCGATGCAGCCGGATATGAGTTTCATGAGGCGTGGCACAACACGCATCGAAGAACCGCCAGAGGTCGCTGAAGCCAGCGAGAAAGGGTCCTGGAATCGAGTTCAACTTTCGCCCATATTTGTTGAACAGCAGTCTGGCCAGGAGGAGCCCGAAGACCAAGGCCACCCAGTGTGTCTGAGCCAGGCTATGTACCTGCACGAACAATGCGATTGAAGCCATTGCCCGTCTCCCGAATTGTCGGGCGCCATCCTGCCCTTCAAATACCTGGTTTGAAGCACGTATTGGGGTGGTCAGGGGTCAAGAGTCATGGGACAGACGACAGGATGCTACACTCAGATCCGTGAATCGAATACTGGGTCCGTTGTCTTGGAGTACATTCCTTCCGTCAGACTTGACCGCACGGCGTCGATTGATTGATCGTCCCAGCAGTCCTTACCCCGGCATTGATCGTCCTGGAATGTAAGGGGGACGGCACATCGGTGTCGCTTCACAGTCAGGCAGCAAGTGACTGCGATGCGATGGCGCCTCATTCTGACTGGGATTTTGATACGAATGACAAGACTGGAGCAGTTCCAAGACGGGTTGCTTTCCCCCTCTGCAGAGTGTAGACTATCCAAGCCACAAGTTCTTTGAGCAGACGGTGAGATGACCCCTTCATCTGACTGGGCTGATCCATGTACGTGTCGTGTGCGGCATGGCTGTCTCGCACCAACAAGACTGTCTAGCTGCCATGCGAGTTTGTGCATCCCCTTGCATCCGTAGTTGTCTAGCTTGCTTGGAGGGAAGTCGGATACGGGCGCTCCGAGTCAAGCCAGCAGGTGGCTTGAGAGGACGTTTTTCGACCTGCCTTCAACGTTCCTTTCCATCCTTCAATCGGCCCGAGACTTGATTCTATGGCGGGAGCGCAGTCCATCGTGATCCCTAAGAATCGTACCAGGCCATACCTTGCCTTCCGTTGAAGCAATCTTATTTTTGGACGTCGTCGATGTCGCTCTGGTCACGAAGAACAATCGGAAGGAGTTCAACAAGGTGGCCGTGAAACCACGGCCATTCAATACGTCGCATAGTTCGCCTATCCCGGCAATATGGTCCCTGTCAAATCGGGGCTGCACACGTCCCGGTGGTGGGCTTCTTTCATCCTGTTGGGTTAGGCCGTCACATTGCCACATTGCGAAGGCAACCGATAAAATCCTTGAGGCCGCTTAGGGCCCAAGGAGAGCCTCGAATTGTCAGGTTCAGGGTCTGTTGCAAGATCACTCACCATCCAATACACGGTCGTCACAAAGTCTGTTCATTATTGTACCTCTCTCATCGATCGATGCGTGAATAGTAGGTACCTAAGGTGCACACGACGTGCAGATGGGGTGGAAGTCACAATTGCCTTGGAATGGGATGTAGGACAACTGCATTGATCCTGGCAAGCCTCGACGCAATCGACGGGCAAGTCTCGGAACTTGTATCACGCCTCAGGAACCTTAAATAGCACGTCGCTTTGTCTCGGAACACACGATCTGGAACATTGAATAGTTTGTATCTCATTGGCATCTCTGACCACATCCATTTTGGATCAATCGAGGTCATCACTAGCGCCTAATTCCCTACTTGACACCCCCAGCAACTTTTTCGCAATGGAGAACGTAGCTTGCGGTTTGTTGCATGTCAAAACACAAGCAACCATGCAAGCGAGCCATTGTGCGCACAACACAATGCTGATCACAAAGTCAAGCCTAGTTCATCTGTCGGATCAAAGCATTGATGTTCTCCTCCCGGTTACCGATGTCACCACCCTCGATGTAGTGCTTGAATTTCCGGGTGCGGAAACCACCGTTGGGGTTGGAGAGCTTGAAGGGCCACAGGAAGTTGTTGGCTTGCTTGAAGTTAGGTCCGACCGTGAAGATCTCGTGGATCAGATCCTCCACACACACGATGCCATATTTGCCCAGGTTGTCCTCGATCAGCTGGTTGTCGGTGAGAGCAATACGCTGCTTGTCGATCTTTCCGTATCCACGCTTGTAGATGAGCTCACGCACAGACTTCAGGTTGGGGTAGCCGTAGGCAATGTATGGGTTCACGATAGTGAGCATTTCTTGGGTAGCCTTGGTCAATTTGACGAAGACGCCGTTGTTGATCTGGAGAAGTCGGAGAAGCTGGAGGATCTTGCGAGGCTTGGGGGCAATCTTGTTGATACTGGTTGAGAAGTCAGCGAGTGTCACAGACAAATATGCTGCGGCTGCTGCTTACCCCTTGATTCTGATCACGAAAACCAGCTTGGCCTGGTCCTCCACGAAGAAGTTGCCTTGCTGCCTGCTCAGGCGGGCGAGTCTGATCTTCTCACGCTCGGCATCGCGGTACTCCTTGACGTAGGACTCGGCACGCTTGAAGATGACAGCGCGCTTCTCCTTGTTGGCCTGTACAATGCATGTTAGCGCATGTGCCATTGTAAGTGGAATCCATGATAGTAGAAGAAGGATATTGTTCAGCCCCGAAAGATGGTTAACAAAAGCGACAACATCGACCCGAAGGTCTAGTCGCGTAGTGTGGTATTTATCATCACCATAAATGTGTGTGTGGTGCAGGGTGTGTACCGACCTTCTTTTTCTTCTCGAGATCGGCAAGACGCTGCTCGCGGGCCTTCTCCTGGCTCTTTCTCTTCTTCAGGAGCGTCTCAGGGACGAGGACCTGGTCCTGCGTCGGGACGGTTCTGTATGGACGGAGGTATCAGTATAGTCCGCGGTTGAAGGATCGCCGAGTCGGAACTGCAGCTATGGCGCGGCATTCTCGATCTGGTGATTGGCGTAACTCGACGAAATATATTTCATTGGTGAGAATGGTGGAAGTCAAGACACAAGCAGCTACGCTGATCTGTGACAACCACCTTTTACTCTCAACCGACAACGCCCCGACCAAGGTCAGGAATTTTCGACTCCACGACAGCATTCTGCGTATTTCAGCATTGCATGCCATACAAGCCCATTCAATTTCAAGGGAGAGGGAGTGACTCCTCTATCCTCAACGCCCCGGTTGCAATTCCTCACGATGTGAGTGTCACAGTCGTCCGGCGCAAGCCATTGGGAAGATCGAGCTGGCGCAACAAACGCTAACCAGCGAGAAAGGTGCGGACCATATCTGAAGACTCCGACAATCAGCAGGACAGTGAGGTTGACTTACGACTTAACAGCTGGCTTCGACATCTTGTGTGGTGGACAGAGATCGGATTGTCGAGATGCTGGCCAGGAGGAGTGGTTGACTGAAGGAAAAGGCGCAGACGTTTCGGACTTTCGAAGAGTCCTGCGAAATTTCCACCTTGGAAGTTGCAGTGTGCGAGCTTCCACTTTGCTTGGCATAATCACGTGCTGACTCCACTCCCCAAATCAGCTTAAACCAAAAATGGTAATTCCCGGACCAACTGCGCCAAGCGTCGTAGTGTCTCTATTCCCGACTCTTCGTATTCGTCGTAAATTACAACTGAACGACATGATGAGTTAAGTCGATACCCTTACCATGGCAATGGCCATCGTCCAAGATTTGGCTCCTCTGGCATGATGATCTGAACTTACGAATCACCCTTCTCAGCATGTCGACCAGAAGGGGCGTGGGCTTGGGTGCATTCACCAACAGAAATGCCACGGCACAGTCCTACGCTGCACATGGCTCAAACTTGAAGTTGGCCAACGCAGCCTCGTTGCAAGCACAGCTCGAAGTCTTTCAGTCGCTATTGCATAACTTTGCCCTGGAACATGCGGCAACGATCAAGTCCAATCCCACTTTTCGGGCAGAGTTTGCCCGCATGTGCAATGCTATCGGCGTTGATCCACTTGCAGGCAGCAACATCAAGGGGAAGAGGGCCGACTCCCTCTGGGCAAAGGTACTGGGCCATGATGTGAACGACTTCTATTTCTCGGTGGCCGTCCGGGTGGTGGAGCTGTGCCAGTCCACCCGAGCTGAGAATGGAGGCCTGCTTGGGTTGAGGGAATGTTGCGAAAGTGTTGCCAAAGGCAGAGCTATCGGAGGAGGCCTGCAAGTGTCAGAGGATGACATTCAGCAGGCAGTGAAATCCCTCGAGCCACTTGGTTCAGGGTTTGTCATTCTCACCATCGCTAACAAGCGGTTTATTCGCTCTGTGCCCAAGGAACTCAACACGGATCAATCTACCGTCCTGGAAGTTCTACAACTACTCGGGAATGTTACAGTGTCTCTTCTTCAATTAAACTTAGGATGGGAGCGAGCACGAGCCGAGACTGTCATACAAGATTTGCTTGCTGATTCTCTGGTTTGGGTGGACTTGCAGTGTCGAGAGCCCGAGTATTGGTCGCCTCAGGGGCTGATCGACGAGAACGAATAGCGCGGGCTAAGAGATGAGAGCAGCGGAAAATCATGGAAGTGCTTGAGCGTGCTAAGCTAAATATGCCGACCATCACCCTTTTGGGCTTCATCAGCACCTGCTCCGACTGGAGGGGCTCAGTATCTACTTCTTGTACTCCTCCTTCAACACCCACCGACCCCTGCCTCGACCTGCCTTCTCAAGCGTGGCAATCACCTTCAGGGTCTCTTTGAACTCCAAAGTGGCTTGGGGTGTCGTACAGAAGCGATTGAAATGATCGATCAGCATCTGGGTGTAAGCGGCGCCTCCGTGGGCGGTGAGGAAGTCACGAATCAATTTGCCAAAGTCTTTGCCCTGCGGCAGAGTCGGAGTGCCCGCTCTGGACATGGAGGCGGCAGATCCGGTGGATCTCGCAGGACTGGAGGTACGTGGCGTTGCGTCACGACTGCCTGCCGCGTTCGCTTGACGTTGTTGCAAATTCGCAAGCAGACTTGAGGATTGCATGGCGCCTCCTCGGGAACGGGCAGGTGAATTGAAAGCTCTTTGGGCTGTCGTCTCTTGTGGCCGGCCAGACACCCCAAATTGTCCGGTCCAAGTAGGCGTGCCCACAGGAACTTGTCGAGCGACCTCACCTGCGCGCTTCAACTCTCTGGCCGCCTCTGCAGCAACCTTCCGAGCTTCCTGCTCCACCAAGATGGGATCCGCCGTCACTTTCTTACCGGCTCTACTGCCATCAATGATCGCGTCGTGCTCTACAGCAGAATGAATCCCAGACCGTGCAAAGATGCCTTCCATCATCCTGTCCTCTGAATTGGTGGCTCCTTCCTGGTTTGCCTTGGCTTCTTCCTCCACCTCTCCCGCGTATCGCTCCACAGACGATATACCAGGCAGAGCCACGACATTCGTATCGCCAGAATTTGAGGCTGCTTGTTTGTCGCCGTTGGTTCTGTCCGTCTCGAGCTCGCCGGCTGGCTTAGAAGAGTACTTAACCTGTGCATCCTGAAAGAGGTTGCTGGTCTCGGTAGGCGCGCCTTCATTGGCTAGGCTGAAGAGGTCATGAAGGTCGTTCAGATGAAAGGTCTGCCGCTGTTTCGGGTCTTTCAAGATCTTGTTGGTCAAGAATTGCTTGAATATCTGACGGTGATAGATCTTCTCCTCTATGGTTCCAGCCGTCATCAAGCGATAGATTGTCACTTCTCGCTTCTGACCCAGCCGCCACGCTCTCTCCCGAGCTTGGAGATCGGTTGAGGGATTCCAGTCAGGGTCAAAAATGATGACCCTATCAGCTCCAGTCAAGTTTATACCCAGGCCCCCGACTTTGGTGGTCAGCAGAAACACGTGCAGATTCGGGTCAGTGTTGAACTCGTCGACCATGCTCTGCCGGTTTTGTATGGGTGTATTGCCGTCCATACGTCGATATTTGAAGCCAGAGAGCGATTTGACGTACTTCTCCAGTATGTCGAGCATGATTCGGTGTTGGGCAAAGAGGAGAGTTTTGTGGCCAGTCTCCTTCCAGAGATCCAAGAGTGCGCCAACCACCTGCATCTTTCCAGATTTGGCCGGATCACCATAGTTGTAACCTGCTCTTACCGACAAATGTTTATGGTCGGTGAGATCTGGGTGGTTGCAGATTTTCCGTAGGATATCAATACCATAGAGGACCTGTCTTTTGCCAGTAATGATTGCCCCCATCTCATTAGAATCGAGGAATCGCTGATATTCGCGCCTCTGCAGCGGCGTCAGCTTGCAGAACAGCACCTGCTCGCTTTTCTTGGGAAGATCAGACGCAACGTCAATCTTGAAGCGCTGGAGTAGGTATGGACTGATCGCATCCTTGAGGGTCTCTGCGCACTTGAAAGCAGTCTGAACCTGCAGATTAGATGCATTGGCATAGCCGCCTTGACGAATGGGAATATCGAACTGGTTTCGGAAATTGACCAAAGTGCCCAGTCGCATGGGAAAAACAAAATCGAACAGTGACCACAATTCGATAAGGTTGTTCTGCATCGGTGTCCCCGACAAAATGACGCGGTTCGGTGTGCGCAGCTCTTTGCAATAAATCGTGATCGCCGTGTTGGGATTGCGGATCTTGTGTCCTTCGTCCAGGATGGCGTATTCCCAGTCCACCGGGATGAGGAGGGGAGCGTAGGTTTGAAGTCCAGAGTAGGTCGTCACAAGGACTCCTCCTTCCTCGAAGATGGGCTTAAGCATCTTCTGAGCCGCCTTCTGAGCTGGAGTCAGCGGTCGATTTCTGAGAGCGGGATCCCATTCCAAGTCAAGCAAATTGTCTTCTTTGCTTGACTCGTTGCGCAGGTTGAGCATGCCACTGCCGGAGGAGTGCAGGATAGTGACTCTAAACGGTGGCCACCAGCGATGGAACTCGTTGACCCATTGTTTCATGACGGTTGCGGGACAAACAACAATAATGGGCTTGGTCAGCTTTTTGCTGTAGTGCAGTCCGGCTAGGAAGGCAATGACCTGAATGGTCTTGCCTAAGCCCATCTCGTCACCGATTATGCCTCCCACTTGTTGTGTGTATAACTCGTACAGCCACTGCACTCCGGTCTTCTGATAATCAAACAAACTGGGGTAGATGTCGCCTGGGATTTTGTAGCCATCACTCAAGACGGTGTCCGGGATTTCTGGGTGCGGCAGATATGATTCTTCTCGTATGATTGTTGAAGAATCATCCTCATCCGTGAACTCATCCTCCTCAGCGCCGTTCTGGACTTGACGGGTCACGCGGATCCTGGCCCGTCGCCTCCTCAAAGCCCATCTCTTCAGCCGTGAGCGGTAGATTGTCTCATTCCCATCATCGAGGCCCCGGAAATCTTCGACATCATCGTCCACCTGAGCTGCTGCCTTGTGACGAGATCGGGATCTCTTCAGATCTCCAGTAGTAATGGGCATGTCCTCCTCTCCCTCTTCCAGGTCCGACAAGACATCATCGTCAGCAGAGCCCTCGTCGTACGAAGAGTCCTCATTTGATGCAACCTTCTCTCTAGTCGCAAGGCGTCTCCGTTTTCGTGGTTGTTCAGAGTCAAACTCTTCTTCAGCACTTGATTCGCCGAAATTGGAGGCAAATCCTGGTTGTCGAAGGTTTCGATGGGACATCAACGCGCCAGTTTCAGTGCCCGGTGCACTGTCCCCAAGTTCGGGCTCTTCCTCGGCGTCGAGCAGAGCGCCTTGCAGCGTTTCAGATGACTCGCCATGATTTGAGAGACCAAATTTGGAAAATGGAGTGATCTTGCCAGTTCTGATCAAATAATCGCGCTGCGTCTCGTTTGGTAACCGACCTGTGGACGAGGGTTGATCAACCAGGGTTGCATCTGTTTCTCTTTCTTTCATTCTCTCTTCGATCTGAGCAATATCATTGTCCAGTTCCTGAATTTGGTCCTGCATCTGGTCGATCTCTACACGCAGACGTGCTCGCCGTGTAGTCCCTATGGGACGACTCATCTCATCGCGTGTCTTCTGGATTTGGTTCTGCAGCTTCTCTTTATGCACCAGGGTCTTGTCCAGACGTGCTTTCTCGCGTTGATTGGCCTGTTGAAGTAGCAACCGATCTGCTTCCCGTCCAATATTGCGCTCCAAGTCATCTTGATCACGCACCTGGGCATCAAGATTGCGAAGCCGGAGTGTTTCTGCAGAATTGTCCTTGGACACGTCACCGTTGTCGTCGGGCTTGTCTGCCATGTTGGCGCTGGTAGCTGAAGCGGCTTCCACTTGACTTGCTCCTTGTTGGGCGTCCATCATACCGACTGCCTGAAGAACTTACTAGTGATTGCAGTCAGGACCTGTTGATGTCGTCATCACTGTTTAAAGCATTTCCCACCCACAGCAAGCACAACTGATATACTCTGAAAGGCGAGATACTGCAGAGTTATCAAAGCAAGGCTGGAGTGAAGTCAGGATAGTAGTAGAGTTTGCGCAGGCAATTGTTTTGTCAAAGGCGAATAGGGCGAGGTGTGGCGATTGATGGCGAGATGGTTCTTTCGAAGTGAAATAGAAGCAAGGCTAAAGCGTCACAACCTGCTTGTAAACCCTCTACACAAAAAGTATAGGTAAGTTCCAAGACGGTCCCACAAACTTCACAGATGATGAGGCTTTGTCTGCAGCAGAGACAGAGTGGACGTGTTACACTTTTGTAGGAAGGCTTGACGTGTGGAATGGACTGCTGTTAGGTGGCGGGGGCGAGAAATGAGGCTTTACCAAAGCATGTAGTAAGTAGAGAATGATTAGCCGCAGGAGAGTTACTAGTATACTAGCGCAGGCTGAACGAGATGCGGGACTGCTTGGTGGCCAATCTCAGGCACCTAAGGTATCCACTGCAGCCTTAGCCTTAGCCCTTAGAATCTGAGCCTTAATGGTTAAGCCGCTGTTGTCATAGGGGACTTTTAGGTGCGCACCTGGTGCCTAAGGGAGGCCCAGGGAGCCTAGAAATTGGTTTAACAGCCAACTATTAGCACTAAAGTGCCGCTGTACCTAGGCACTCTGGCTCGACACGTTACTGTGTTACTATTCGGCCACTGATCTGAATGTGCGCCTGAACTCATTCGTGCCCAAGGTGCAGTCTTGGACAGGTCTCTCACATAACAAGAGTCCTATACAAAGGCGTTCCCTACTTTATTCAGGTCTTCTTGTCTAGACTTGAAACTCTGTGACTACCATTGTCCTCAAATTGTTCGTGGTCTCAGACTCCAGTCGCAGTCATTGTTCTCAGCCGCCACCCTCCACGGTGCATCTTCACTTACCGCGCTTATCCCCCGTCCACGTCCACATCCACGTCCACATCCACATCCACATCCACATCCACGTCCGCATCCCACAAGCTTGCGCCAGCTCACTACAGACAATACATCACCTCTTCTCCAACCGCACGAGGCGCCTGCTACATGACCACGATTTAACCGCCTGGCCTCAATACCATGGCTTCATGCTGAGCCTGCGCTCCTCCTCTGCGATGCCTCCTCGACTCACACCGTCAGAGTCCCAGTCTTGCTCAACTGCGCTTACGAAAGTCGCCAACCCCCTCTGCCTGCCCCTCTGAACGCACTCCAAGTGAGCCGATCTGTACCTCTCACTTCGCCGCAATACAAAAGATACTGTTCTAGATCGATCCTGGGTATTAGCTCTGGGGACCACATGCGAACCACGTCACCATCGCAGCAGAACAATCAACAATTGTGGCTCAGCTCGGAGGCAGCTTGGCTTGAGGATAACGCCCTGGCCCCAAGTCGCGTTGACTACTTGTCTCAGAAATCAGTTCACAGTTAAGATCGGAGCCATGTCTCTGAATCCAACTCCTGCGGCGCAATCGCACAACTATGAGCAAAATGGTGAAGTCGATGTCCCCATGGAAGACGCCGACCCCTACAACCGAACCAAATACCCTACCCGCCCTGCTCACCAGCACCGACCGTCTTCGCAGTATGTTGGCGAAGCCTCTACTGCCGCACAGCGATACTCTCCGATGAACGCTCAACCTACAAACACTTCGTATGCCTCTAGCCCAAAGCTCCCGAGTCAAAACAACTTCCCATATCTCAACCAGCCGCAATCGTCGCGACAGTCTCCTCCGAACCAGAATCAGTCAGCGACATATAACTTGGAGCGGTATGCCGAACCTCCAACACCGACGAGATACACATCAAGCTATGGCTCCATTCTCCAAAACTCCGACATGAGTCCCGATTCGTACTATCCTCCTTCCACGGGCAATGCGCGTCCTGGTCCGCCATCAAGGCAGCAGTCATATGGACCAGGCCCAATTCCTAGGTTCAGGAAAGTCAACACAATGCAAGATCTCAATCCCAGAGTCAACGCACAGCCTCAGTACCGAAGAGCCAACCCGGAGGGCGGCTTCATCAGTCCGTTGCAAGCTCTCACTACATATCTTCCGGCCACATATCGCATCTGCAACCCCAGCTTCAAATATGAGTCATCAAGGAACCCGAGGCGAGTGCTAACAAAGCCAAGCAAGGGGACCAAGAATGATGGCTACGATAACGACGACAGCGACTACATTCTCTACGTCAATGATATCCTCGGTAGCGAGGAAGCGGGCCACAAGAATCGCTATCTGATCCTCGATGTCCTCGGCCAGGGCACCTTTGGCCAGGTCGTGAAGTGCCAGAACTTGAGGACGCAGGAAGTCGTTGCTGTCAAAGTCATCAAGAATCGAACGGCTTATTTCAATCAGAGCATGATGGAGGTGTCCGTTCTGGACCTTCTCAACCAGAAGTTCGATAAGAACGATGACCATCATCTGTTGCGCCTGAAAGACACATTCATCCACCGACAGCATCTCTGCCTTGTTTTCGAGCTTCTCAGTGTCAACCTGTACGAGCTCATCAAACAGAACCAATTCCGTGGGCTTAGCACGACCCTTGTTCGTGTCTTTGCCCAACAACTGCTGAATGGGTTAGCACTGTTGAACAAAGCTCGGCTCATCCACTGTGACTTGAAGCCCGAGAACATTTTGTTGAAAAATCTCGAAAGTCCCATCATCAAGATCATCGACTTTGGGTCCGCTTGCGACGAGAGGCAAACGGTCTACACGTACATTCAGTCCCGGTTCTACCGGTCTCCCGAGGTTTTGTTGGGACTGCCATATTCCTCGGCCATCGACATGTGGTCCCTTGGCTGCATTGTTGTGGAGCTTTTCCTAGGGCTGCCTCTCTTCCCCGGATCTTCCGAATACAACCAAGTGTCCCGTATCGTTGAGATGCTGGGCATGCCTCCGATGTGGATGTTGGAAATGGGAAAGCAATCGGGCGAATTCTTCGAAAAGACAACAGATGAATTCGGTCGCCGCACCTACCGACTGAAGAGCATGGAGCAGTATTCTCGTGAACACAATGTCAAAGAGCAACCCAGCAAGAAATACTTTCAAGCGACCACCCTCCCCGAGATAATCCGCAGCTATCCTATGCCTAGGAAGAATATGAAGCCAGCGGAAATTGAGAGAGGTACGATTCAAGAGTCGTGTATTAGAACCGCATACTGACAGCTAACAGAAATGAATAACCGTGTTGCTTTCATCGATTTCGTCCGCGGGTTGCTCACCATTAACCCACTCGAACGATGGTCACCTCATCAAGCCAAGTTGCATCCTTTCATCACGCAGCAAAAGTTTACTCAGCCGTTTGTACCGCCAATGAACTTGAAATCTCCTTCTTCCAGCAAGACTCCCGCGCCTGGGGTGCAGCAGCAGCAACAAGCCGAAGCATTGAGCAAACAGCGAGCTGCTCAGGCCGCCCAAGCCCAAGCACAGGCTCAAGCTGCACAGGCGCAAGCCCAGGCCCACACAGCAGCGCAAAATGCCTACGCAATGCAGATGAGTCCTTACCAACAGACTCAACCCCCACCAATGTACAATGCCATGTATCCGGCTCATCAACAAGGCGCACCTCCGCCCTATCCGACACATTCGACCAACTACGCTCCGCATGTGGGCATGATGCCCCAGCAGCCTGCGCAGATAAACCCTGGTCATTACAATCATCAACAGAGTCTGTATGCTCAAGCCACTCAGAGGGCGGGCCGTCAGCGGGCATCGACAATGGATCAACAGCAAGGGGGAATTCCTCCAGCTATCCAGCGAGTGACGAGTCATCTGGACCCCAACGCACCGATCAGACTCCAACCTAGTCCAGCTTACTACCCTCCTCCTGCAGACGGATACGTGGACTCCCCCACGTCGGCTAGGAGGCGTGGTAGCCGTACGCAGAGAAATCGGGATTTCATCCGAACTCTGGAAGATGGTGCCATGGGAGACCACTTCAATGCACAGTGGCAGTGAGATTGATGTGATTGCATCGCATACAGTTTCTCTTACTTTGTGAGATGAATGACAAGACCTCCAAACCGGCGATCATGGCACCAGGTGGAGATGCCGCAATGACTGCTTCTACTGTTGGTTGCAAACGTCCAGACAGCAGATTCGTGGCAGAAAGACATGTCAGATACCATGAGGTGTTCGGAAACCCTCGAGATTTCATTCCGAGTGGATAAATCCACAAAGCAAGGCCTGAGTCACGCAACAACGTGGTGGATGCTGAACTTACGATGGAGACATGGGCAATGATGGGCTGGGGTGGAAAGCTAACAACACTGACTTCGGAATACGGGAGCCACAGATTGAGTGAGCAAACAGAACAGAACTCGAACGGCCGAGAGTGTAAGCAGGGGACGGCCAGGAGACGGTGTCAAGTGCGCAGAGGAGCTCTATCGTCCTGTTCGGAGGTTGTGAAGTCAGGACAGCGCTGTGAGCGAGCTACATGATCTTGAGCGGTGTGTCGTTGTCAGCTAGACTGTCATAGAGACAATTGAATCCACACCATGTGCTGCCTTCCAAGTCCACAGACAGGCGGTAGTCATTCATAGAGTCATTTCTGTTGTTTCTGATGACTCTTGAGGCGGCCTAGAGTCGGTCTGCAGTAGCAAAGTGCTGATTGACCACCCTTTAGTACAGAATGAGTAGCGAATTGGCTCATCAGGCCTCTACTGCGGATAACCTCATGCCTGTTGCCTTGTCACCGTCACTGTGATATTGATAGCATATTAACTCGCAACTCCAGGGCTGCAATGGTAGAAACTGACACGTGACACCGCCAAGACCAACAAAAATTCGGGACTTGGCATTCAGTTTGGTGCGGTGCGGTGCAGTGGTCAGATCGATCAACTGCAAGTCGACGCCTGAACGCACCCAGACTTCGCCGCCCCGAGGACCAATTTGCCAATCTTCCTTCATCTCTCACATCGGTCATCATGTCTTCGCGATTTTTCCACGGCGGAGATTCCGACAGCGAGAGCAGCTCATCCGAGGAAGAGGAGCTTTACACCGGAGCGCCCGATGCAGATTCTGAAAGTGAATCCGAAGATGAAAGCGAAGCGGAGGACGAGTCCGAGGAAGGTTCGTCCGAAGATGAAGGTCGAGGAACGGGCGCCAGCCGGTTCTTGAAGCCCTCAGGACCAGGTGGCGACGAGACCGACGAAAGCGAGGACGAAGACCGCGAGAGAGTGGTCAAGAGTGCCAAAGACAAGAGATTGGAGGAGTTGGAAGGCACAATCAAGTTGATCGAGAACGCCACGAAAATCAACGACTGGGCTGTCATTTCTTCAGGTTGGTTTCCTCAATCTCTGGGTGGGAGTGTCCGCTGATTGCATACAGAATTCGACAAGATGAACCGTCAGGTGGTCAAGGTCGTCCAACAAGGTGCCACGCCTAAAATTTACATCAAGGCCATTGCCGACCTGGAAGACCTGATCAACGAGACGAATGACAAGCAGAAGACGGGCGGCAAGAAAATGAACCCGATCAACGCCAAAGGTTTCAATGCCATGAAGCAAAAGATCCGCAAAAACAACAAGGACTACGTGACGGAAATTGAAAAATACCGCCAGGACAAGGACGCGTTCATGGAGTCCGACGAAGAAGAAACTTTGGAGGTGGAACAGAAGACCCGGAAAAACAAGGTGCAGAGGTTGGATGCCATTGAGGCAGCCATTGACGAAGAAGGCTTCGCCACTGTCGGCCGAGGTGGAAAGGCTCTTGTCTACACACCGGAAAGCATCCTGAAACATCTGCGCGCCATTATCGAGTCTCGAGGAAAGAAGAACACCGACCGGTCGGAACAGATTCGAGTCATGGAACGGCTCTTGGAAGTTGCCAACACACCATATCAACGCATTCGAGTGCTTCTGACGCTGATCTCCACGAGGTTTGATGTCACCGCCTCGTCAGTCCAGCACTACATGTCGCAAGAGTCGTGGCGAGCGGCCGAGCGGGAGCTTGGTACTCTGTTGCAGACGCTTGAAGACGAGTCTGGATATATTGTGACCGAAAACGCAGACGAATGGGAGGACGACGAAAAAGCGCCTGCCCCCACTCCTGGCGAGATATTCAAGGTCCCAGGCAGCATTGTGTCCTTGGTGGAGAGACTCGATGATGAGTTGACCAGAGCTCTTCAGCAGACCGATCCCCACACAGCCGAATACATCGAGCGACTCGGTGATGAACAACTGTTGTACACCGCCATTGTGCGAGCTCTCATCTACCTCGAGACAATCGGCAAGTTGGAGCAGGCCGGAAGCCAGCAAGAGAACCTGAACCGAGGAGTCATCCGACGACTAGAACACATCTACTTCAAGCCCGTCCAGGTGGTCAAGATCCTCGAGGAAAAGACGTGGGCCGCTCTTCCTTCAAACCTCAACTCCGAACTCACTCCCCGAGGAAAATACACCGAGGTTGCACCTCTAGTCCAAGCACTTTGCACCTATCTCTTCGAACACAGCGAGGGCATCATCCGAGCCCGTGCCATGCTGTGTGAGATCTACTTCCTCGCTCTGCAAGACAACTATTACAAAGCTCGAGACCTGGCCCTCATGAGTCATCTGACGGAGAACATTTCGTCGTTTGACGTGAGCACCCAGATCCTGTTCAACCGCACTCTGGTGCAGATCGGACTTTGCGCCTTTAGAGCTGGTCTCTGCTACGAAGCCCAGGGTGTGTTACAAGAGGTGTGCGGCTCGGGACGACAGAAGGAACTGCTCGCCCAAGGCGTCATCATGCAACGATATTCCACCGTCACTCCGGAACAGGAACGTCTTGAACGGCAACGACAACTCCCGTTCCACATGCACATCAACCTCGAACTGCTGGAGTGCGTCTACCTGACCTGCAGCATGCTTCTTGAGATTCCGCTCCTGGCTCAGACGGGATCGTCTCCCGACGTCCGGAAGCGAGTCATTTCCAAGACGTTCCGCCGCATGCTCGAGTACACGGAGCGACAGGTCTTCCAGGGACCCCCGGAGAACACGCGCGACCATGTGATGCAAGCAGCCAAGGCCCTCGCCCAGGGCGACTGGAAGAGATGTCAGGAGCTGATCAGCAAGATCGCCATCTGGGACCTGCTGGGCAACGACAAGGACAAGGTCAAGGCAATGCTGGCCGAACAGATCCAAGAAGAAGGTCTGCGCACCTACCTCTTCACCTACGCCCCGTACTACGACACGCTCTCGGTCACGACGCTCTCCGGTCTGTTCGATCTCGATCCCAAGAAGATCGCCGCCGTCGTGTCCAAGATGATTTCCCACGAGGAGCTGGCTGCTGCTCTGGACCAAGTCAACGACGCCATCGTCTTCCGCAAGGGTGTTGAACTCTCGCGACTCCAGAGCCAAGTCATTGCGCTTTCCGACAAGGCAATGGGCATTCTCGAAAACAATGAAAAGGTCTTGGAGACCAGGACGGCCGGCATGGCCAATGCCTTCCAGCGCGATCAAGGCGGGCGTGGTGGCCGTGGTGGCCGTGGTGGCCGCGGAGGTCGTGGCGGACGTGGCGCGTTGCAGGGGTTCCCGCGTGGCCAGGGTGGCGAGAGAACACCTGGTGGTCAGGCGTTCGGCGGCGGTGCTCTCGGAGGAGCCATGAAAGCATGAGTTTTTTTTTCAAGTCAAAAATGTATTTTGTCGTCGATGAGGCTGGACTCGGAATGGCATATGAAGACAGCATTGCTCAGCCTCAGCCTCATGCTCATTCTCACACTCGCGACGAAGTTGAAGTTGAAGTTGTCTTATGTATGACATGGTTCTACTGGGCAGCCAGGAAGTAGTGGCAGAGACAACGGCAACAGCACGTATGTGGGCCAAAGAGACAAAATAGAGCCATTGGACTGTATCAAAACAGCACTGAACCGAAAGAAATCCGCTCCCTTTTGACCCCGTCACATCTTTTATCTCGGGTCTTGTTCCACAAACCAACCCCCTTTTGCACCGTACTAGTATTACGTCTATGTCCACAAGACTCAAGGCTGCAGAATACTGGTTTCTGGTTTGATATCAGAAACTCGATTATTGCTAAAACCCCCCCCGTGCGTGCTTGTTGAAACCGAAACCGTATCTCGGAGTCCACAACCGACATTCTCAAGATTGGACAGATGATGGTTAGCAGCAGAGAATAGGTGTAGTACGTACGACTACTCTGTACATCAAAGTCTTACATATGACACCCGTCACCAGGTATGCCGTGCTTGGTTATGCTTGTCTCCATCTCGCTCTCCCGCACAACACAAGGACCCTTTGAGGTTCTGCCATTGAAGCGAAAAAGGAAAGCGAAGGAAGCGATGATGGGTTCCGATTCCGCTTTCTCATTTCGAGTCCGCTTATGCTTCCGAATCCGAATCCCCTTCGCGAGTTTCCTGGTTCTGTCTGTTTGTTTATTCCTAGACATCCGGAATCCTCGCCGCCCATTGAATAAGTAATTCCCGACAAGCCATTGCATCTTCGTAACTATCATGGCCGAGCTGTGGTCGTTGTGGTTGTGGTTGGTACAATTGTGGTTGTGATTGTGGTTGTGATTGTGGTTGTGATTGTGGTTGTGATTGTGGTTGTGATTGTGGGTGTGGTTGTATCCTCGACCCTGAGACTGACCCAGTTCCTGATGCTGTTCCGGATGTTGATGCCATATCTGCCGATGAGTGCGCGTGTTGCTGTTTCTGACTGTGTTCCTGTCCTTCCAGCTGACCTTGTGTCTGTCCCTGATTCTGTCCTCGATTTTGTTTCTGTTTTCCCTTCTCCTTCTTTCTCTCCTTCCCATCCCCTTTCTGCACCTCAATGCCCAGCATGACACGACACAAATTTTTCAACGACCTACCACCCTCAGTCTTTGTCATTGGTCCGTCCAAATACGCCTGCAAAACACAAGTGTCGATGACCTTCCCATGGATCCAGCGCAGGGCACTCAGATCGTTCTGGCCGCCGTGCGCGACGACCACCGTGTCCGGGCCGACGTGGCGCCACAACATGTCGCGCGCGGCGTCGCGGCCGAAGATGCAGCGGCGGGTTCGCACGGCGTGGCGCATGTCCGCGGCCGTCACGCCCGAGTAGCGCGTGTTGTAGTGTTTCATGGGCACGGAGGGCTGGACGAGGCTGTCGATCAGGGGCTCGGCGGTGAAGAAGTCGATGGCGGTCAGGCGGATCAATTCGGGGTCGTTGAGTGTGGAGATGCCCATTTCGCAGTCCAGGGATATTGCTTTTGATTTTGTTGTTGCTTTTGCTTTTGGTTTGGAGAATGGTTTGGGAACTCGTTGCGTGAGGCTGGGTTGGGGGTAGAGGTTTGGATTGGGTTGATGGGTGTGGGTATGAGTATGGGTATGGGTGTCAGTGCCTTGGACGGGTGTTGCGCCATGGTGAGACTGTGGGATCAGGGTCTGATCGAAGGTCCGTCGTTGGGTTGGAAAGGGGGTGGATGTTGTCGATGTGGAGGTGTTTTGTTGGTAGTGGTAGCGTGGTATGTGATGCTGACTGTTGATGCTGCTGTTGATGCTGCTGTTGCTGTTGCTGTTGCTGACTTCTCGGGTCGGTATGCCCGTCTGCGCCTGCGTCTGTGTCTGTGTTTGGGCTCTTATCTGCATGTTCTCAACCCCTGCAAGAGACGAAGTGATGCCAGCAATGTCAACAGCAGGATCTGCAGGAGTGCGATGATACATCCAATACTGCTGGATGAATTGGTCGTCGGGCGGAGGAAAGGTATGGGTGAGTTCGGTGGTACAGCCTGGTAGGGAGACATGTTTGCCGCAGCATGTAAAGGTCTAGACAGAGGAGAGGAGATGTTAGGAGTGGTTGATAGAATGAAATATTGCATGACGGACAGGTCGTAGAGTGTCAGGGGGGCCAGGAGAAGCCTACAACATACCTTGTGAGAGACTCCGCCTGTGTGATATGCACAGACTGGACGGGGAGTTGTCTGCTGCTGCTTCTCTTGCTGTTTCTGTGGATGTGAAAGTGAGGTTGGCTTCCGAGAGGTCCTAGCATTGCTGAACGTCTCTTCTCGTGGATTGATATCGACCCTCTCACGCTCAGCCTTGTCAGAGCACATCTCATCATCCCGTTCAACTTCCTCCTGGCTGTCCTTTGGAGATGCTTTGCCCTTGCCCTTGGCCTTGTCCTTGTAGTCTCCACTCTCGATCTTTGTACCGTCGCACACCGTTCTCAATCTCTTCTCGTGACCTCCTTTGTATTTCTTGTCATCCTGCTTGCCGGCCGCAGATCCAGACTCGGTTGAAGGTTGTATTGATCGACGTGAGACTCGGGCTATAATCAACGCCAACGCCCGGAAGTCAGCAAGGATAGACCACACAAACAGAGCAGACCAGACCAGACCAGACCAGACCAGAGTAGCCAAGAAGATGATATTTCCATGCATTTCTTAGATCAATCCATGTGTAATGAACCACTTATCACACCTAGCATTGAACGTATGAACATATGAACATACCTCCACACTTCAAACACCTCAGTTTCTTCTCGACCTGCACCGCCGTCAAAGGCTCCAAAACATATCCCTCCCTCTTCAACTCCGCTGGACTATGGCACAAGAGATGGAGTTTTTCGAGATAGATTTCTGACTCGGCAATGGTTGACCAGACGATATTTGTTTCTGTTTTTGTGGCTGTTCCTGTTTCTTTTCGCCCTCCCATGTTGGGGTCTCTGTTCTGTCCGATATGGTTTCTCTGATGTCTACCGTTGGTTTCTGTCTGTGTCTGTGGAGGAAGCCATGCTGGGGACAATGGGTTGAGATGTGATCTCGACATAGTAGGATTGGCTGCGGAGTGGAGTGGAGGTGTCGTTTTGATCGAAGAGGAGGTTCTGGATCTGGATCTGGAGAATCAGGTACGCTGGCTGGGTCGTGTCCTCGGCTCTGTGTGATTGTAGGGTTCGAAGTAGTGGCGGTAGTGGTAGTGGTAGCAGTAGTATGTACCGGCTCTTCAGGAGGATCAGGATCAGGATAGATATGCAGTCTTGCGCTCAGGGAAGAGGGCGGATATCCTTAGAAGCAAGCAGTAGGAAGTAAGAAGCAAGTAGTGACTGACTGCGTGATGGATGGATGAATGAATGGATGGCGTGGCTGAAGTGAATTCTTTGCCTGCCGAGAAGACCAGTCACCAAACCGCGGTCAATTTCAAAGGATATTCGATTTACATAATAACAAGGGAAAAGGACAAAGGACACAGTGGAGAGTGAAGGTGGAGAGTGAATCGAATCTGGGTGGCAGCCTTGTTCACGACATCAGATTCATATCATGTATATGCGCGAAGTCTGGCATCTTGAATGGGGACGCCCAACTTGGATACAGAGCAGAGCAGAGCGAAACAGTAACAGTAACAGAACAGTAACAAAGGAGACCAGACCAGGACAGGACAAAGAGAAAACAAGACAAGACAGCAGTTCAATGACCATCAGGGTCAGACTTGACTTGCGGTTGCTTTTCCTTTCCATATGATCTGCTCACCTGGCATTTTGCAGACAACAACGCTTGTCGTTCAGACTCAAGTTACACCAGCATCCACCATCCACCATCCATGGTGGGAGTCGGTAGTTGTGTTTGAAATCCGTCCTTCGATGTCTGCTCGCTGCACTGCACTGCCTCTTACCTTTCTCATCCCGCTCATGCCATCCCTTTTAGTCCAGCAGCATCACGATTCATCACTCTCAAACACTCTCCGTCGTCAAGAACGTTCCGAAGTGTTTCCCCATCTTTTTTCCCGCGGTTCTCTGCGTTAAATGTTCCAGCGTTGTGATTCCTTCATTCCCTTATGCCTTATTGACTCTTCCCCTCAACATAAGCAGCGGCATTCTGTCCAGCAATCCGGCCAAAAACAACACATTCCAGCAAACTGCTCCCACCGAGCCGATTAGCGCCATGGATACCACCCGTAATCTCGCCCGCCGCCCAGAGTCCCCGGATAGGCATTCCCGTCGTGGCATCCAGAACCTCCGCGTTGGGAGTAAACACCACGCCGCCCATGGTGTAATGGACCACGGGTGTGACGGTGCCGACGTAGACAACGGAATCCAAAGTAGGATCAGACAGCTTCCACCGACCGAACGTGGTGCGTCCCAGAGGATCGACCGCCTTGCCCTGCACGACTGCCGAATACGTCTTGATCGATTCCAGCGTCGTGTCGGCATGGTTGAGTTCTCCCACGGTCGTTTTGCGCATCAGTCCTTTCCAGAGATAGAAGTCGACATGGGCCTTGGCTGCCTCATAGGCCCCTTCGTCCAGCAGTAGTAAAGTGTGCCACTGCTTGACAGGCACGGACTTGGACTCGGATTCGGAATCGTGCATAGACTCGCTCATAGACTCGTTCATGTCAACTGGACCAGCTGCTGCTGAGGTGATTGCTCCCGTGACGACTTTCCGCGTCTGGAGTTCGTCAATGAATCTCGACCCGTGTCTTAACAAAATCCCGCCTTCTCCTCTCAGCATTTCTGCGGCGAGGAATTTCGTGGCTTTATACGGTTCCTTCGGGTCGATGAATCCCGTAGGATGGATCTGCACGAGGTCCATGTCGAGCAGCTGAGCTCCGATCTCTGTCAACAGACCCTGGCTGCCTGGCAATGCTTCGTTGGTGGAAGGATACCCTGCCAGATCTGGTCGGTAGTGGGCGAGGATTCCTTTCGAGTCGCCGGCGAATCCACCAGATGTGAAGACGACGGGACCTTTTAGGACTTCAACTTCAGTTTCGACCCCAACTTCAGCTTCAGCTTCACCTCCAGCTTCGCTGCTGCTTCCGTTCCGTTGGACTTCGACCCCGACAACTTCGTTATTATCGGACTTGAGGACTTTCGTAACTGTTGTTCCCGTTTCCAGCTTGACCAGCGGATTCTCTTTGAGCTGCTTGAGGAGAGTCAAAACAATACTCGCGCCCGGCGGAGTAGTTCCTGCACCCCGATGTGTTCGTGCATGGCTGTGGCCGCCCAGCTGGGCCACACGAGACAAATCAATCCCCTTTTCGTCGACGAGCCAATTGATGGCCGAGGCGGAAGAATTGGTCAGCGTAGATATCAGACTCTGCCTGCGTGCCGTCATCGTCGCCATGACTTCCGCACTGACGGACCTCAAGGTGTCTTCGTAGAACGATGCCGCGGAATCCGACCCGGGCGGTTGATAGCGGGTCGGTGCGCCATTGATCCCGCTGGAGGCCTTGATTGAATTGCCTCCCGGCTTCTGCTGTCGTTCGACAATGTGGACCGGAATATTCCTCGACACGAGCTCCGAGGAGGCAGAGAGACCCGCGAGTCCGGATCCAACCACGATGACCCGAGCTGGAGCTTTGGGAGGTGTTCTTGTGCCTGTGCCTGTGTCCGCTGCCATTCTGAGGATGCGGCCTGGGAGCATGGAAATAAGAACAATAATGAGGGAGACTAGCGAAACAGTAGTAAGGAGTCGTGGACGGCGCGGTAGATGCAGTGGCATGGACTGCCCGGCTGTTCAACTCCTGGTCTTGGGGAGTTAGATCCGTGCAATCTGGATCAGCCAATTCGGGATAATAGACGATTTGGTATCATGGTAGCAGAGACGAAGTCATACATTGGAATGGAGACGACTTCTACTCGCAAGAAGCAATTCAATGCTGGCAGTGGTGAGAGAGAATCTGTAGCAGCTGGTCAACTGGTCAACTGGTCACGCCACGCCCACCAGATCTCGCCTTGTCACTCCACCGACGAACCGGCTGATCCAGTTGAGTGATTCTCGTCTACAAAGTACTCTGTAGGCATGTTTCTGCTAGACATGGCTTCTTTGGGTTGAGAACCGAGGCCGATGGTGATTGATAGACTGGCATCTCGAGGGCAATGGAAGTCGAGAACAGCAGATCCGAATCCGAATGGCAGAGGATTTTATTTTGCGGGGGAATTTCTATTGCTTCTTCGTTCAGCCTTGCGCCCCTGAACGACTTTTCCAACCATAACAACCAGAGATCTCGGTATATAAATATCTCTAAACGTAGAAGAAGCCAGCGACCACGCAAGTGAGCCGCCAGAATGTGCTTTGAACAGACCCTACGACCTTAACCGCCTGGAACTCGGCAACACGACCATGGTTGGCATCTACGTCCGGTCCCATCATCATGCTGTTCGGTAGACGCGACGACTCGCTCGCTATCTGGAACGCGTTCAGAATGGTCAATTGAGTCTACCCAATCCAACAAAGACCGGGTATGGTCCAGGTCCAGGTCCAGGTCCATATTGCCTTGTGTCTTCATCCTATGATCATCGCTGAACGTGACCAGCCACCGAGGGCGATACTCTCTCTATACAGCCACTCGAGTCGCCTCCACGTTTCCTGTGCACTGGATATCGAATTGAACATGCCAAACGAGCCTCAAAGGCAGCTGACCAGGAGAAGTATTCGAGTATACACACAACTCCTCTATGCATTCAACACCCATCTCCAGTCTTGAGACCGCCCGGTGGCCGTGTTGGTGGCTTCAGGCGACGATGGACCCCCTGATTATCTCTCTTCATTTATTGTTTGGCAGAGATACTGCGATCCAGAACCTCAATCTCAATATCACCGTTTGTGCATATCTTCTCATCTCATGAAGAGGCAACGAGACCTCGACACTCGTCCACCCGGGGAAGGAAATCGTCAATCATTCGTCAAAAAAAGCCTCCATCCTGTCCATCAAGTTCATTTGTTCTGTACGTGACACTGTATTTGCCTCTTCGATCACCGCAACCCCAAAAAGGCACGGTGGGAACAGAGACATGAAGACGCCTGGGATTCTCTCAAACATGCAGTCAAAAAGATCATCGTTTCTTCACTTCTGTCGCCCAGCCTTCAATTCCCTCGCCTTTGCTGCCGACCGGGACATCCAGATTCACATTTTCCATGCCTTTCGTACCCTTCAGGAACTCCGAGTTGGACATGCCTCCGGCGTTGGCACGCGCTTCGGGGGCCAGCTCCAACATGGGAAGGAGAAAATCACTAATTCTCTTCGCATCCTCAACCGAGAAATGGTACTTTTCTCGCAGAACATCGGGAAGCGCCCAGTGTCGCAAACGATGGATATTTCGCAATTCTCCTTTTCGGTTGAAGATCTCCTGGGACCATTTACCTTGCAGACATAACGACTTCGGGAACGGTCCGAGAAGCTCGATAATCTGGGCAATATGATCGTCGTCTTTGCCGTACTTCGTTCCCGATTGTGGATCAAAGAGGTAGTCGCCTGTGATCAGCTCAAACACCTAGGTCGACGCGTTAGCGGGTCACTGCATTCACCAGCTCGTTTGCGGTAACATACCATGCATGCCATACTCCACACGTCCGTGCTGGCGCCCCATTTGGCCCCCAGTATGACCTCCGGCGACCGGTACTGTCGAGTTTGAATGTCGTTTGTAAAATGATGGCTCACCCAGCAGGCATTTCCCAAATCGGCAATCTTGACAGATATGATCCCCTCCGCTGGCTCATCTTCGTTTCGCGCGGCTTTCAACACCTTCTCCGCGTCATTGCTCTTTTTGCTGTCAAGCGACACGCCGGCGAGATCTTTCTCGAGCGGGTCAGCTGTCCCCTCTCGGGCTTTTTCGTTGCCCGGATGTTCGTCATTCTGGTTGGTGTCCTTCGATTTCGCCTTCAATTGCTCCAGCATGGAGAGTCCTTCTGCGGACTTGTTTCCGGAGGACTCGGTCATCACCTGGTTTAGGCTGCTCGGCTGGTGGGAGTTGCCGATTTTGTCCAGGTTGGTGAAGCTAGCATTGAGCGGACTGGGTAGGGGCTGACTGCCAGTAATCAATGTTCGTCTCCGCCGACGCCCATTCCTGTTGTCATCTTTGGTGGATTCCTTTTCGTCCTTGACAAAGGCTTTGACAATTTGCTCGACATCACCGATCTCGATCAGAACATTTTCGGGCTTCAGATCCGTATGAATGATGCCGCATTCGCGGTGTAAATAGTCCAGACCGAGAAGAACTTGCTTCGTGATCTGTTTGACCAAAGGCATGGGGATGCCTCGATGATTCCATCTTTTGATCAACCCCAGTAAATTCTCGCCGAGAACTTCAAAGACCATACACACGTGGACGCCGTTGGGACCTTTATGTTCGAAGGAGTCGAGAAGACTGACAACGTATCTCCGACCAGGATGACTTGGGTTGGCTTGGTTGACTCTGTTTAGCAACTTGATCTCATCTATAGCCGTCTCCGTGTAATGCGCCGCCGATCGGACAACCTTCAGAGCAACGTGTTTGCCGGTGGTGGTGTCTCTTGACAACCACACGGTGGAAAAGTGACCCCAACCTAGCTTTCGCACAACAACATATCTGCCATTGTTGTATGTTTCACCGATGTGTACCGGATGGTATCCACCCTTGCAGTAGTCTTCAGAGTCTTCTTCGTCGGCGGTGGTTTCGGCGGCGGGATCTTCTTCGGATGAGGAGGAGGATGAGAATGATCTGTCAAGATGTGAGTGATTTGATGGGATTTTGCCGTGAGGGAGTGGAGAATCCATGCTTCTGAGGGATCATGATCAGTTGCGCAGATGAACGGAAAACAAAAAACGGCGACTCGCGATCTCATAAATACAACGCGGGCGCTGGAGCGCGATAATGGGGGAGAGGTGTCACTTACTCTGGCTCCGCTTGGGTAGGGCTTTCGTGAAGGCCAGAAGACGTGCTTTCGGTGGTGATGATGGGCTTCAAGTTATCGCCTTTCCGTCGTTTCTTCTGGCCGTTGCTGTTTGCCGCAAGGGCGGCGGTGGTCGCAACCTTCTTCGCCTGATTGATGGCGGCCTTCTTCAAGTCGGTGCCATTCATCATAGCAAAAGCGGCGGCGTTTGCGGCCAACAATCTGTTGGGGTGGACAGCGACTGGTCCCTTTGCAGGGCCAGTTTCCGATCGGGGAGGAATGGTGAAGGATTGTTTGAAGTTGGAGTAGAGTGGAAGTGGGATGGCTTTTGGGGCGGTAGTCTGACCGCAGCTGGGCTGGCTGGGCTAGTTGGCCTGGCCTGGCCTGGCTTGGTTTGACTTGGTTTGACTGGGTTTGGTTTGGTGTGGTGTGCTGCAGTGCGGTAAAGGCTCAGTCAAGCTTGACCTTGTGGACCTCGTTTGAGAACGTGGGCGTTTCGGATGTCGGACCAGTGTCAACGCTACCAACGGAGACAGGATGAGGCGCTGAGTGATCCTTTTAGGCTATGCTCCTCTTGACTTTCCAATCTTGCACCTCTTATCATCAGATTGCTGCTCCAAAGAACAAACAGTGTGATTTGCGCTTCGGCGGCTGGCGGCTTTGGCAGAGGAAGAGTGGATTGATTGTGCGCTGCGTGCACCGAGATCACCGATGCGATTCGTCGACGAAGCAGGGCACCCAACGGGGCGGCGGCTAGTAGATCGAGGGCCTGGAGCAGACTCGATCGGAGAACATTGGCTGAGTTACGGTACAGGTAGGTAGACGAAGGTAGACGAACGACTTGTATGCCAGTGAACTGGGTGACCGAATCGACTGGATTGAAGCGAGACTGATGAAGTTTGAACTGGAGAAGGACCAATGCGCAGTGAGAGGTTGCAGTTGACGAGACGGCGCCGTGTTGGCACTGGCGGGCGATCGACGGTGATATCAACTGCGGATGCCTGTGACAGCAGGTGATTTCCTGGACAAGGAAACCAGTGATACAACAAACTAGGAGGAAGGGAACTTGAAGACCACAGCCAGCAATACAAATGATCTCTGTGGCTTGCAGCCAAATAGGACGTGGTAGAATATGTGATGATCCAAACGATTGTCTGTCTCGATTGACGGATTTGATTGATGGATGGTGGCGGCAGCGTTTGAAAGGTCTTTGCTTCAACTGTGAGTTTTGTAATATAGCTTGCAGATGATAGCAATGAAATGGTTTGATGGAGGGGACGGATAGAAAAGCCAGATGCGTGACTACTGCATGGATTCTATCTACCCTTATACTAATAAATCATTATTGTAGAATAGTATCACGATACATGACGAACTGCGATAGTATTAGGTACCTAGTAGTAGGTACTTGAGTAGTAGGTAGTCACATCTACTATCAACATCTACATCATTGCCCTGTCGACAATCCTGTTTCTCACTCTCACTCTGTCCCAGCGACTCCGAGATCTTCCATGCTTCGATGTTTCGATGCTGTACACCGAATGGTCCCACGTTATTAGAGTCTCCCTCTTCAATATCGCTTCAAGTTTGCCGCCGCAGTCTGTGCTTGGAGCTTTTACTTGACGACATCCACACACACAACACACAAACCCAACACTATTACGCCACCTGCGCAACTCCGAAGATGCACCTAAAAACTCACTCTCCTCCCATTCAATACGATACAATTGAGACCCTGGACCTCGAATCGAGAACAGAATACATACAGTCCAGCCCATCTTAGACAGTACTTAGGCATTGAGAATTTCTGCCATCCCTCACGTCTGCTTCTGTACAGAGTAACCAGATCTACTGTTGGGTCCCCAGTCAACACGCAGCTATGAGCTCCAGCTCCAGCTCCACCTCCACACCACGTTCCTTACACCACCACGCGCTCCGATGACAATAAACAAGACCGTTCTGAGAGAAAAGATACCCAAACACCCTTCCCGAACCGAGTCCTAAAGAGTAGATATCTCAGCTATTTCCAATAATGGGCCTCCTCACCCCCCAAAAATCATCATTCGCGCCTCCGACTCTACTATACCAGCTCATCTACCACCCTCTAACAACATGGTTCGCCTTCCTCCACTACCTCATCCTCTACCTACGAGGCCGACCGTACGTGCCGCCGAAGAACAAAGTGCCCATCCGCGTCGTATGTCTATCGGACACGCATTCCAAGATGCCTCCGACCTCGATTCCAAAAGGCGACCTCCTCATCCACGCAGGCGACCTGACCAACAACGGCACCCTCAACTCCATTCAGCAATCGATCGACTGGCTGAAGACCCTGCAGAAGCCATGGCCCGGTTCAGCCGACGGGTTTCGCCATATTGTCGTCGTGGCCGGGAACCACGACAGCTACTTTGACGAGCGCAGCCGGAGTTTCCACGACACCAAGAACACCCGCCGCACCCTGGACTGGGGCAAGATCCACTACCTGCAGCATTCGGGCGTGACGCTGCCGTTCCCGGACGGCCGCGAGCTCAAAGTCCACGGGGCGCCGCAGATCCCCCGCTGCGGCGGCAACGAGTTCGCCTTCCAGTATACCCGAGGCCAGGATGCCTGGAGCAACACCATCCCCGACGACGTCGACGTGCTGATCACGCACAACCCGCCCAAATGGCACCTGGACATCCCTGAGAACGGCGGCATGGGCGACGAATTCGAGCTGCAGGAAGTCTGGCGCGTCAAACCTACCTTGCATGCCTTCGGACACGTCCACTCCGGCTACGGCAAGGAGCCGGTCTGGTGGGACGAGGGCCAGAAGTCCTGGGAAGAATTCCTGGCCTGCGCGTACAACAAACCTGCTGGGACCACGGCCAGCCAGCGTCTGCCTTTGACGGAGCTCGTGGATCCGCAGATCTGGATGCTGGGGGTCAAATGTCTGGTGGCCGATGTCAGGGGCATGCTTTGGAACAGGTTGTGGGGCGGTGCTCGACAAGGAGGATATATGGTCAACGGTGCCCTGACCTACCAGACCACGAGCAAGTTGTTGAACAAGCCCAAAGTGGTGGACTTGTAGATAGTTATGTCACGACTGAAAAGACACCAGGCAGGCATTCTGAATATTGGCAAGCGAAGGAAAAAAAAGAAAGCATTGTTCACACTCCAGAAGAAGCTCGCCTTTTGCAGATATGTCATTACGGCGTTGAATTCCTAGAGTATCTTTTCCATGCCCATCACACCTCGAATCCGATGCCGCTACCGGAACGCCGAGGTCTCTTTTCAATCCATGCATGATGTTCCGCGCGAACATGTTGCGCAGCAGGAACGGCGTTTGAAATTTGGCTCAGACTGCTCAAGCAAAAACGCCTCTTTACGCCAAAAGTAAAGACGGAATGATTGACATCACAGAAGATCCAATCACACACGGTGTCCTCGCATGTCCACAAGACCGCCATCCTCAGCACTGCGCACGCTTGGATCGATCAACAAGCGGAGGACGAAGCGATGAACCAAGAGAAACAAAAGTGCGCCCCGAAAACTTCTCACGCCGGAAGAGTGCTTGATGGCTTAGCTCGCTTCCTCGACTGCGGATTGCTGGTCTCATGCGCCATTGGAGATAGACATGAAATATCGACTCCAGAGGTCCAGAAATCTCTTCCCTGGCCTGTCACACACACTCTTTCCGTAGCCAGTCCAACATAGCCAGGCGCTGTCCATTAAACTCAAACGCTACTCAAACGCGCTTCAAATGCCCTCTCTAAATGCACTTTTCCTCGTACTCGTCGGACTCGAGCTACCGTCACCACTGCCCTGGGTATCCAGACTCTGACTCCCCTTGGCGTGACCCCGACCACTCGTGTCCGCCTCTGGTCGCGGGCTGACACTCCTCAAGCTCGGCGCCTCATTCTGGTCGCCGAAAGGATCTAAGCTCTTAGCGCTCACAGGGCGTCCTCGTGCACCGACGTCCACATAGCTTGGTGCGGCTCCGAGATAGTCGCCTCCGTCTCCCACCCCGCTACCCCCGGCGTATGGCTCGTTATGCAGGCCAGGTGTGGGCGCAAGTCCCAGTTCCTGTTCTTCGTAACCCGAGTATCCTGCGGGCCCAGAGACATAGGGGTCTTCGTTGCCTACTCTGGTGTCCCAAGCGTCATCTTCCACCCCGCGTCCCCTTCTGCCGGCGCCGCTGTAGCCGCCTTCACTGTCGGCTTCCTCGTAAGCACCCCGGGCAGTGCGCTTGTTGGTGAGTCGCGAGAATTGCTCGCGGATCCATTCCACGGGTCCGGCGTGGCGGGGGGCTGGATAGTTTGAGGATCCTTGCGCCTTGACAAACGGAATGTACGTCTTCCACGACTTCAGCGACGGAGCGGGTAGCCCTTGCTTGCGCGCATTATATTGAGTGAAGCCGATCCAGCCGACGACGGCGAAGATGAGGAGCAGGAAGAGAAGAAAGAAGAAAAGGCCTACATGCGAAAATATCATGTTAGCTTCTTGACGTTGCGAAAAGCCAGAAGACCAGAGCGAGGTAGATCTTACCCCAGCCGTGCATGGTGAGAGGAGGTTGTGTTTATCGAGGCAGGAATTCAGGCTCGTCGACAGTTCGTGGGAGACGCTTCGACGGACTGACTTGATGTACCGTCCAGAGAGTCGAGGGTTTACGAGACAAAGGTTGGTCTTCGAAGTATGGGTTCAGCGGAATGCGAGGGTGATCATTGCTGCCTCTCCTGGCTGCTGATGTCTGTGGACGCTCGAAAGAACTTCTCGAAAGGCGCGCTGCGAAGGTTGGCGCGCAGAACGAATTGTGATTTGAGGGGAAGGCCTAGTAGAGTGTGGTGTGGGAAATGCGGATGTCAATTTACCAGAAGGCTTCAAGGCTGACTTCGTTCCAGCAGAAACAGTGCAAGTGCCGGATGAGGCCGACGTCAATTGTCAAATTGTCAATTGTGAGTTGTCGCGGGACGTCAGCGAGGTGGGTGAGCTAGTGCAAATTGAGTTAGATCAATTCCTGTAGTAGTCAGCATCACCTGACATCACGTGCGCAGCCTCGCCCTCGAAGTCAGGTCAGGGGCTGCCTCTTTCTTTTTCCACCAACAGTCCTGTCATATCTACCTAATTGTCTGATCCAGGTCTGTATCGGGCGGTTATCTTCATGCTCTCATAGTCGTCGAGAATCGAGATTGCAGGAATCATTGAGTGAGCTTCGTAAGTCATATCTATGCCATACATCATCAGGACGAACTCTTCCGGCAGAGTCGCGCATCATGCTCCTCATCCCGCATTGTGTTCGCCGAGATTTGGAACACACCAGCCCCCGAGTGTACGGAGTCAGGAGCGTTTCGACGTTTGGATCAGCAAACCACCTCGATAACCCTCCTTGCATCCATGCCAGTCGCCGGAATTTTGGTGGCCTCCACCCAGCCTCCCTTCGCAATCGCGACAATCTTGCCATCAACACAAACCATTCTCCATCGCTCGTCATCTTCATCGAATTCGATTCTGAGGCTCTTAATATCCTCGTAGGTAACCTTTGGGTCTGTCACATGTTTACCAGACTGGTATGCCAGCCCAAGGAGCCTCATTATCTCATCAGCAGGCTCGGGGCCAATGGAGACAAGTCGTAACGTGCCGTCGACCGGCTTCGTAGCCGGAGAGATCTGAAAGTGCTCTTCCAGGTTCGATACCATCGTGGCAAGCACGTATGAATGCTCTGATCCAGGGAGTTCTCCCCAATCCCCACCCGCTTTCCGCCATTTGACCTTGCCTCTGTATTTATGGCCTTCGCTCAGTAGCTGACCTGCGGCCATTTTGAATCTCTCCAACCCATGTTTGCGGTACTCAGCGGTGTCGCTCATGGCAACCAGACTCGCATGCAGGCCCCAGCTGAAGACTACAGCGCCGTACATTATTCCTTCTTCGTCATCGGACTCTGTCAATGTCTCGCGATCTCTTCCCTCATTGACAACAAGTTTGGCGCCGGGGCTGAACTGGGCCTGGAAGGTGGGCAGAGACCTAGGCATCCCTTTCATCATGGATCCGATCGGATCTTGGGCGACTTTGCAACTCCACGCCAGCGCATTGGCAGTCCCCATCGGTATAAGAACCACAACGGGCTTGATGAAGATCGAAGGCGGCCGTGTGTCATCATTTCGTCGGTTTAGGACAGTTGTCATGGTGTTCACAATGTCAATGATGCCGCCATCGCCCGACAGAAGTATGATGGTCTGCTTCACCCCCTGTGTGGCGTTGACCACGAATAGACTTCTGGTCAGGTTGATGATCGACTGTGTGGAGGATGTCGTGTGAGTGCTGTGTTGGACATTATGGCTGTCGAGCAGAGGCTTTAAAGTGTCATCGTAGTACTCCTGAGCCTTCTTGTGGCCGGACAAAATCGAGATGACGACGTGGATCTCACGGTCAGGGAGAAGGTGCGGGGGGAGTTGGTGTTCAACTGACCCGCTCATGGTATGCATTTCCCTTTTGAATGCCGATGCGAAAAAGATTATATCTCCCCTCTTGGCTGTCGATGGAAGATGCTCCCACCGTTAAGACAGAAAGAGCAAGTGTTTCAGCCCTGGATACTGGATGGAACCGTTCACTCCTTGGGTTGTCTGCAGGTCCATGTAGCGCGTTGACTATGAGGGTGGACCTTCAGGCGCCCTTTGATATAGGCTCCTCGGCCTGAACTCGAGGATCAGATCTGTCCATGCACCACTGAATACCTGATCCAGGATGACCTAAGATTTCCTTGTTGACGGATCTAGAGACAGATCGAGGAGGACACAGTTGGTGAGGCAAGTAAGTCTGCGGTGCCGATAGCACTGCACTAGGACTCCATCTGCTCCTCCGAAGTTGATATTCCCAATTGGGCAGGTCAAACGGGCACGCAATCTCATCTCATCTCGCTCAACAACAACGACCAACCTCGATGCTGACAACAACAGTGACTTCAAACCCTCACCAGCGTCAGCTCAAGATCTTGTCTTGTCTTGCCATGGTATATCTTTCTATTATTTACAGAGTCATTCGTTGTCGCCGGCTACTGTGAATATTCGCATGGGCTGAGCACGCTTTGCTTGCAACGCTAAGGTGAGACCGGCTGATATGGAGAAGCTTTTCCCCTCTCCCATAACCCTGCTACATCTTTACCATGGGTAAGGTTCTGCAAGCGATGGTTGCCGGACAAGTATACGAATATACATGGTCATTCATTGGCGCATCTTATTTGAAGGGAGTGAACATGTCACTGCTGTGCCCTTAAAGTGACCAAAGATGTTGCGGCCATGCTGGCGACCCAGCAGCTCTGCCAGGATCCTCGTCCTTCGATCGAAATGGTCTGTCCAATAGAGGAAAGCCTGTACCTCTGTATGCAGTACCAAATATGGGCTGCTGTCGCACCTTGTGAGTAATCTGACTCCTTGAGTGCGGCCACTTGCTACAGATTCTGAAAGTGGGCATTTGCCTTCTGCTGAACTGCAAGGCTACCCCCTTTAGCTTCAGATCGATAGTCCTCTGAACTGCAATCTTCTGTCGGACGCCTCCATACAAATGATCTAGTCACAGATCCTGTCCTCAACTCCAAATCGCCCCCCTCACTCCAGGCCTTGCTAGTCTAGGTAGGTCGGCGAACTCAGTCCAGGACTCAGGGACTGACGCAGATGGTCCTGTTTTCGCTTGTCGGGATATCCCTTGAGTCGACCCCGCAAACCGAGGTCAAGATTCAATAGCCAGGTCTGCCCGCACTCGAACATCCAGCTCTATATACCAGGCAAAGGCCAGTAGCCCTCTTTTCAGCTCTAACTGTCTCTTGTTCCTGGACTCAAATTTGATCCCACTACTTTTGACCATCGCAGACGCAGAAAACACTCTTCCCCAAACATGGCTGCCACTAATGTTGTGGACGGTGCCAACGGTGCCAATGGTATGAATGGTATGAATGGCTCTCAGAAGTCAGCCCTCGTCTCCGTTGAAGAGTTCACTGGGGAACAAAGCTACGACTACCTCATCTGTGGTGGAGGTACAGCAGGACTGACAGTTGCTGCTCGCCTGACCGAGAACCCTGAAATTACGGTCGGAGTGATCGAAGCTGGGAAGAACAGACTTGGAGATCCCCTCGTCGACATTCCTGCCATGTTTATTCAGATGCTGGGCAACAAGGAGTATGATTGGGCTTTTGACACTGTCCCTCAAGTGCGATACCTTTCCAACTCCTATCTGAGTTTAGGCTTATGAAATCATTAGGCCGGGAACAAGGACAGAGTCCATCAGGTCGCACGTGGACGTGCGTTAGGTGGAAGCAGTGCGATCAACTACATGATGTATGTCGACTGCATCGACCTAACCCCTGGCCAAGGTGACATGCTGACTTGCCGGTAAGGTATGTCCGCGGCTCAGACCAGGATTATAATGACTGGGCGGAGCTTGCAAACGATCCATCCTGGTCTTCGAAGAGGATGAAGGAATACATGCGGAAGCACCAGACCTTGGAGCCCATTGACGAAAGCATCACCGACAGATCATCCATGCCGTTTGTCAGTGGGAACCACGGCACCAGCGGACCTGTTCACACCAGCTTCAATGACTTCCGGCTTCCAATCGAGGACGACATAGTCAAGGCAGCAGACCAAGCCTCAGGATTTGACAAGAAGCCCACTGACCCTTGGAGCGGCGATCATATAGGGTTCTACAATACTCTTGGGGCGGTGGTGCGGACGGGACCGGATAAAGGGAAACGCAGTTATGCGGCTCGTGGATATTTCCAACCCAACGAACACCGGCCAAACCTCAAAGTCATTACCGAATCACTGGTCTCCAAGATCATCCTCGAGGACAAAACAGCCGTAGGAGTGGAGTTCATCCACAACGGGCAGAAACATACGATCAAAGCAAACCGCGAGGTCATTGTTGCCGGCGGCGTCATCAACTCGCCGCAAATCCTCGAGCTGTCAGGCATTGGCGACCCCAAGATCCTGCAGGCCGCGGGCGTCGAATGCCTGGTAGACCTGCCCAGCGTCGGCAACAACTACCAGGACCACGTGGTTACGGGGACGGTGTACCAGCTCGCCGAAGGTCAGATGTCAGGCGACTCGATCTACAAACCGGAAGTGATGGCGGCGGCACAGAAAGCGCTGACCGAGAACCAAGGCGGGCCATTGACCGCGATTCAAACAGTCCAAGGTTTTTTTCCGTGCGCACTATTTCTCGAGGAAGGCGAGCTGGATCAGATCGTTGACTCAATCGCCTCGACGCAAGCCTCCGCCACCCCGTTTCAGAAGAAACAACTGGACCAAGTGATCGCGCACCTGCGCAACTCCCACTCTGCAAACCTGCAGTTCGTCTTCATTGGGGCCACGGGCGACTTCAAGCACGGCGTGTCGGACCAGAGCCAACTCTGGCCACCCCCAGCAGACACCTCGGCCCCAGACGGGATCTCTCTGGTCGTGTGTCTACAGTACCCCGCATCTCGGGGCCACGTCCACATCACATCCGCCGACCCAACCACTTACCCTGAAGTCGACCCGGCGTATCTACATCACGAGGCCGACGTGGCCGTACTCGCAGCAGGCATCAAGTTCCTCGAAGCTCTTGCTCACGACGCGCCCGCGCTGAAGGGCAAACTGGGGCCCCGTGTTCAGCCGGATCCAAGCATCATCCCGGCACTGGATACCGTTGAACAACGCCGCGCTGCCGTTCGCGAGGTTTGCATTGGCGAATACCATAGCTGCGGAACCTGCGCGATGGGCGACACCGTTGACTCACGGCTCAAGGTGCGTGGCGGAGTGCAGAATCTCCGAGTCGTCGATGCGAGCGTCTTCCCGAATCATGTCTCTGGGAATATCGTCAGCAGCGTCTACATGGTTGCCGAGAGGGCCGCGGATCTCATCAAAGAGGATTGGGATTATGGCGTGCTCAATAGGGTTAAGCAGGAGCAAATGAAGGCTAGTCTATAGTTAGGATAGGATAGGAGATGAAGGGAGGGAACAAGAGCCTGGGTTGACTCGAGATGAAAGGAGGAGGGTTAGTATTTTAGTGCAACTGAGGATTACTACTCGAATAACTCGGTTCTGCTCGGATGGCTGTTTTAGCGCTGATGAAGAGACTCCATTGGTCCCATAGTGTTGTGGACGAGAATGCCAGTGGTAAGAAATAATGCCGAACTTGAAGACACTGGTGTGGACGAGCTGTTAGGAAATACCGAGAAGCGAGTCACGTGAAGTCACGTGCAATCAATCGGCGGTCTTGGCAACGGACATTCACCGGCGGAGCAAATTATGTCAAGTTTGCTTTCTCGACTTCCGCATCCTCCTGCTCCCACAACCACTACATAAGTCCAATGCTATCACCACTTAACCAACAGCCTACAGTCCATGTCTCTCTGCCATGTACGACTCGATGAACCCTTGACTTAGTTCAGCCCTGAGATCTACTGAGCATCGCTGCATGCAAATATCATTTTGGCGGCCAGGGCGTGCTCTGTGTGCATTGACCGTCAGGTCGAAAGCGGCTCTCTTTGTCCTTGGTTCCCTTCGCCTGCCACCATGTTCATTCTGGCCACCATCTGGAGTGTCAGATCGGGATATATATCAGGTTACCTGTTAACCGCCTTCTTGACTTGATTTGCTTCATTGCCAGGCACAAGCAAACAATGTATTTACTGCATTCCGACTCCGGCAGGCTTGAACCAGGCTGGTCTCCCGGGGATTGATCGGCTCCACGGCTTCGACCGTGTCTGAGCTTTTGTCTTGTGTGACCTCCAGTATCATGAAAGCGGCTCACACAGTCCAAGATGCAATGTCGACGTTCCTTTGTTGATGCTTCCAATTTCGGCACAAAGACCTCTCACGCATCAATATTAATCGCCATGCCTTTCTGGATGGGTTCGATTCTTCCTCCCCACCTAGCTGCAATCTCAGACCTTCGTTTCAATCTGATCTACTAACCAGAATCCTGTCTTTCCTTGATCTCTGAACTTGCTTATAGTACCTGAGTCACCATGCGTTCGATCACAGCCTTTGTCCTTGCGGCCTTCATGGCTACCGCAGCTCAATGCTCTGCCGAATCGAAGCAGGAGCATGGTATGCTTACTCGATTCTATCATGAAAAGACCTGTGCGCCTAGCAAGGCTGGCGACTGCAGCAGCTGCGGTGCCGACTATGTCCAGTGTGGAACTGATGCTTGCTACAATCCCAAAGCTGGTGAGACTTGCTGTCAAACCCAATGTAAGTGCAACAAGTTCCTGTTCTCGTTCCCTTGCCCGCGGATATTTGTGCTGACTTGTAGTCCAGACGCCTGCCCTGCGACGTTCAAGTGCTCGTCCACCGGCTCACACTGCGTCCTAAACAATGGCTCTCGTGGCGGTCCGGACTGTGATGATGACGCTGCCAACCACAACAACAGCACAGTCACAACAACTGGTGTTGTGGTGTCGACGGCTGCTTCGTCTGCTACATCGATTACCTCTGGCCCCCCAGTCGCCGTCGTGATGCCCACATCTGATTCAAATACCACGACCTATACGACAACAATTACCTTGACTACCACCAACACTATTAGTGTCAGTGCTACCACGCCCGGTTGCGGTCTGAGTGCTGCCACCACAGGCCTCCCGGTCACGAGTTCCATGGTGCCCTACGGCAATTCCACCACCGTGGCCCTGAATACCACCACTTCCACAATGTCGGTCACCAATGTCACTGTGCATGCGGCCACCAACTACAATGCATCCAAGCCTACCTCGAGCATTAAACCTCCTATTAGTGGTTATAAGGGGGCGGCGGCTGATCTGCACGCCCAATCATCCACCTCTTTGTTTGCCCTGGGTTGTTTCATGTTTATGGCTGCTCTTTGGATATAATGAAGAGAACGGTTGGAACAGGGATGGAAGAAGCACATATGCTTTGTCACTATAGACTGGGATGTATCTTGATCTCGATTTTGATGGAGAAGTAGCGTCAGAACCTTTCTCTACTTGTAATTGTCCCACCGTTGAGGCTGTGTAATGAGTACAACAGTGTGTTCGTTCTACTTGACCGGCACAGCACGGAGACCCAAGCAGTGGTGCTTTCTCAATTGGGATGAGAGCTTGGTGGCTGCTTAATCAGCTGCGGGATGCTGACGGGATGATTGGTGTCCTGATGGTGGGAATTTACGTGCTGTGGAACCTATAAGCAAAAGAGAAGAGCAGATAGTGACAGTTGGCAGTGGGCCGGGACGAGAAGGAGAAAAGGATGAGAGAGAGAAGAGAGGAAGAGAGTCCACACTCTGGCTGCGTGGTTTTGTTACATCATCTTGTTCGTTGTCATAGCTGCGTCAATGTCAATCCCGCCGGCCGGTCGATCCATACACAAAATCTGCCCCTCCTCCGTGACTAGAATCTTTCTCAGCTTCACGTTTACCACGACTCGCTCCTCTCTACCGTACAACTCCTAAAGACATACATACGCCGGTCTGTCTGCCGCGCCAATCTACCTTGATCCATCTGTCTTGATCGTGAGTATCTCCCCTGCGAGATCCGTTCGCTTTCCGCATTGTTCTACTGCGACCGCAACTCCCCGCGTCTCACCGGCGTCGACGTCGACGTGAGACAGCTCACGAGTTACCCACTGCTCCTCACTGACTGCGACGCACAATTCATTGTGCAATGTCTTCCGGCTGGCTAACTGGTACAATATAGACCCAGACCGCATTACACCGTCGTAGAACATCCTTCAAAATGCCGGGCTTCTCGCAGGCCACCGAACTCAACGCATGGCAGGCTCTGGTTAACCACCACGACAAGGTGGGCCGCAACCTCGTCCTCAAAGAATGCTTCGCCCAAGACCCTCAACGGTTCGAGAAGTTCAAGAGAGTGTTCAAGAACACTGCCGACAACTCCGAGATCTTGTTTGACTTCTCCAAGAACTTCTTGACCGAAGAAACCCTCAAGCTCCTGATCGATCTGGCCAAGGAAGCCAAGCTCGAGGAGTTGCGGGATCAGATGTTTGCTGGCGAGAAGATCAACTTCACGGAAAAGAGAGCGGTCTATCATGTCGCCCTACGAAACGTCACGAATCAGCCCATGGCTGTGGACGGCAAGAGTGTGGTGGAGGAGAACAACGCTGTCTTGGAGCACATGAAAGAGTTCTCTGAACAGATCCGAAGTGGTACTTGGAGAGGTTACACCGGCAAGAAGTTGACTACCATCATCAATATTGGTATTGGTGGCTCTGACCTGTAAGTCAGGAGTGCCCCACCGTCGGTACTGTTTAATTGACATGTTTCCAGCGGCCCTGTCATGGTCTCGGAAGCCTTAAAGCCATATGGTGACAGAGCCATGACACTGCACTTTGTCTCCAACATCGACGGCACGCATATTGCTGAAGCCCTCCACGACGCCGACCCAGAGACCACCTTGTTCCTGGTTGCGTCCAAGACCTTCACCACGGCCGAGACCACGACCAACGCGAAAACGGCCAAGAAATGGTTCTTGCAATCTGCAAAGGAATCCGACATCGCCAAACACTTTGTCGCATTGTCCACCAACAAAGAGGAGGTGTCCAAATTCGGCATCGACACCAAGAACATGTTTCCCTTTGAGAGCTGGGTCGGGGGCAGATATTCCGTCTGGTCGGCGATCGGGCTGTCTGTGTGCCTGTACATCGGATACGACAACTTCCGCGAGTTCCTCGCCGGAGGACATGCTATGGACCATCACTTCAAGACCGCGCCTCTGGAACAGAACATTCCCGTCATTGCCGGTCTCCTGAGTGTCTGGTACGCGGATTTCTACGGCGCCCAGACCCATCTCGTCGCTCCCTTCGACCAATACATGCACCGGTTCCCGGCCTACCTGCAGCAGTTGACCATGGAGTCCAACGGCAAGGCAGTGACCCGAACGGGCGAGTATGTCAAATACACGACGGGATCCATCTTCTTCGGTGAACCCGCCACCAACGCCCAACATTCATTCTTCCAACTGTTGCACCAGGGCACCAAACTCATCCCGGCCGACTTCATCCTGGCTGCCAACTCCCACAACCCCGTGGAAGGAGGCCTGCATCAGCGCATGCTGGCGTCCAACTTCCTCGCCCAAGCCGAAGCTCTCATGATCGGCAAGACCCCCGAACAGGTCAAGGCCGAAGGGGCTCCGGATGAGTTGGTGGCCCACAAGACCTTCCTGGGCAACCGACCCACGACCAATATCCTGGCCGAGAAGATCACCCCGGGAACGCTGGGTGCGTTGATCGCTTACTACGAACACATGGTCTTTACGGAAGGTGCCATCTGGAACATCAACAGCTTCGACCAGTGGGGTGTGGAGCTCGGCAAGGTCCTGGCCAAGAATATCCAGAAGGAGCTTGAGACCGAGGGTGCGGGTGATGACCACGACTCTTCCACGGCGGGTTTGTTGGCTGCTTTCAAGGCCAAGAACGGTCTGAAATGAGTGGTGCGTCAGATGGTTGCGTCTGGAGTGTTGCGTTCTCGAGACTCTTTTTTCTAAGAATCGAGAGCGCTTGAGCCGAGCCAAGCAGATGAAGGGCACGGACATGGTAGTTCTAGCACAAACCAATGCCAACGATTGAGCGCAGGAGATTTCTTTTCTTTGGCTGGTTGGCGGAAGGACGATAGCTTCCAGGTATGCAGGTATCGATTCATGACGGCCTACCTAGGTTGGTACCTCAGGTAGATACGGTATGTACCTTACCTACCGAGGTAGGTCGACTTTAGCCTTCGATCCTGGTAATTCTACATTATTCCTACGATACGAATGAGTTATCAAGGACATGGATCTCCTTACTAATTTCTCCAGCCTTCCATTACATACATACATACATACATACATACTGACCTGACCTGACCTGACATGTATGGGTATATATAGGTATACCTATGTACATACACCCTAAGTACTAATCCCAGGCGGTGCAACGGTATTGTAGACAGGTAGTGTAGGTAGTGTAGGATATGTAGGATACAAGTACCCATTTTAAGTCTATAATGTACTTTATGGAGGAACATGACGAACATATTTGATTCTACCTATATGAGGCATGATCCGTGATGAGATGGATAGGTACCCCTTGATTCGATTGATGTATGTAAGATCCCGGGTGATGGCCTTGTCTCTTTTCAGTACAGAAGAAAGAGAGAGAGAGAGAGAGAGAGACAAAAGAATAAGAAGAGGCTGCGAGACTCTCCCATTTTTGCTAGTCTCACGTGCCGCGCAGACTATCTCTTGGGACGTCGGCGGAGGTATCGTTTATCGGTACACCGTCAACCATGCACCCCATCCCCGTCTTTGTCCCCGTCTCTGTCCGCGCCCTGGTGCCTGTGTCAATTGGTCCTACCAAGTCCATGTATATTCCCCTTATCCATGTTGGTGAGGGTGGTGGTTCGTCCATTGATGCTCGACGAGTTCTGGCTCCATCGGGAGTTGATGAAAGCTGCCGCGGGCGCGGGGGCGCGTAGTGCAGGCGGCATGAGATCGATGGGAAACGGGAACGGGAGCGGGAGCGGCAGTGGTGACCATGGTGCATTGGAAACACTCTCGGACGGGGTGATGGATTTTCGCATGCGAGGCTGGTACTGGCTTCTTGGAGATTCGATGGCCGAGGTGGGATCGATGTCGGAGTAGGAATTGGGGGAATGTAAAGGCACGTGCAGGGGCAAGGGCATAGGCTTAGGTATGGGCAGAGTCATAGGCATGGACAGAGGGAAGTATTGTGAGGCAGGCGTGGTGTCTGTGGTGTCTGGATGAGCAGGGGCTGGATGTGTCGAACGAGACGAGGGTGAGATCGAACTCGAAGTCGAGACCGGAACAGGGATGCTTTGGCGCGGCGGAAAACTAGGACTAGGACTAGGCACAGCAGCTGGTCTTTGTGGGGTTGTTGGGCGAGGTTGTTGAGTGCGGTCCAGAATAACGACTGTGGGTGGATTGTTGGTCAGGCCGCCTGGATGAGATCTTATGTTGTTGTCGGTAGTCCCGTATGACTGAGAGCGTGTGTCGGGAGGATCTTTCATCATTCCAGCGCGGCTGTATGTGGGTAGAGGGTTGGCGATATCGTTGTCGATGGCGCCGCGGAGAGGGCGAGGGTCGCTTGTCACGCTTCGCATGGTCCCGCTGCTGTTGCTCCGAGACAGAGACAGAGACGCTTGATCGGCGAAAGGGTCTTCTTTTTCAAGATCGTTGGCTTCGTCTTGTTTTTGTTTCTGGTTTTGTTTCTGTTTCTGCACCGGCGTGGCTGCTACTGCTTGAGCTCGAGTGGGCGCTGAGGGTAGAGTGGTGGCCACATCCCTCTCCCTCTCCCTCTCCCTCTCCCTCTCCCTAGTATAAGCCGGCGCTGGAGTGGTGGCGATGGTACTCGAAGAATTGTTCAGCCAAACTGAACCTTCCCCTAACACATCCGCCACGCCTGGATGGTTGGCTTGGGACATTCCCAGTGGCCCAGAGGTTCCGTCCTCCTCTTCGGAAAGACGCTGGCCTTTCCGGCCGCGGTAGATTGCTATCTTGGCTCGAAGCCGTGTGCAGTACCGGAAGAGGATATATGCAATAGCCGCAACGGAGACGGCGGCCAGAACTGACGCTATCACGATTGCAGACACGGTATAGGGTGACTTTGAATTCCCCAGTGTAGGATTGGGAGTGTCGGTGTTCGTCGACGCTGCATTGGTGGCGACCTGGGGTAGACGATCAAGCGTAGTCGTCGATGTTGTGACTGTGCCTGTGCCTGTGGCTGCAGAGGTTGCAGAATACGAGGGAGTCTCTTGGTCAGCTCGACTCGCAGACCCGGTGACGGTCGACTGGGGAATGAATGGATTGTCCGCCGTCGAGGTGGTCTGAGAAATGCTCGAGCTGGTTGATCGCATGGCAGCACCGGGATCGAATGGATTGATGTTATGGGCCTCTCCCTCTTCATCGGATTGTTCGTCGTCTGTTACAGAATCATCTTCGTCGGATGATATGTCATCTAGTTCCGGCGAAGGTGGAACAGGCCGTCCTGGACCTTGCCGCCTTGTCAACCTTGACTCTGCAAACAAGTATGTTTGTTCCTTGAGCGGTGCAATCTTGGACCTGTCGAAGTGGCGGGCCCGCTTGTTGGAAGACATGCTGTCCACGCGCGATAATCAACGAGGCTGAATGTATGTTGGGTTTCAATAGCGAAAGCCCGGCAAAAGCGGCACACAAAAACGTGTATTGGGCAGTATAGAGGTCCAGCCTCGAACGTAAACGAACAATCAATAAACGTAATGTCCTTCCGGACAAGTCGACCAGCGCACATGAAGAGAAGAACAAGACATTCAAGTTGCAAGAAGTGTCCAGTTAACTATTAGCTTGAGTCCCGTCCCGTGCCATGCCTAGCATCCCTTGGGTGCCAGTTCGAATGTTTAAACCTACCTTGGAAGGAAAGCTGGACTCTGCTTCGGTGGCATGCGTGGACCAAAACAGGTACGGTTTCGAATTGGGCTTCATGGCCCTACCGATAGACGCCCGAGGCGAGGTTGAAACCGCCCAGACGGCGATGAGATGGAGATCATGCTTTCGACACGCACGCAAATGTACTGCTCACCGTTTTTGGGAGGGCGACTCGCCTGTCTGTGTGTCTGTGTATACGTGTATACTGTGAGAAGTTGTACCAAGAAAGGATATTCTGAAACGTCCCAGGTTATGGCAGTTGAGGATCTCGCTTGGCAGGGGCGCGGGATGTGCCAGTGCGACAGTAGGGGATGTTGAACAACAAGGTCATCCGTCGACTGTTCACGTCAGAGGAAAGACCAGTGCAGCAGGGCTCAGAGTCCCGGTGTCTTCTGAGCTGAATGCTGCAGTATCAAAAGCAGTTCGGAGTGATGTAGATTGGAGACCTATCTCGTGGTTATCCGAGGTACAGATAACACCTCCTACTGTGTCTCTGTGCATGACAAGCGAAAGAGTCGAGGCATAGATGAACGCTGCGAGTGGTGGGAGCGGAAATGGCGCTTCACCCCCACATCAGGGCCGACGCAAGCGTGTGGACGGGGCTGAAGGGGTCGCTTAGGTGTTAGATGTGTTAGACACAGCAACGGTTTCGAAGCTGACTGGGGACCGGTGGGGGAGCGTAGACAAAGGGCGTGTTTGGTCTTTGGTGTTTCTGCATGTCGAAGAAACTCGAAGCGAAGCCCCTGAAAATGAAACATGAACATCAGGTGATCTGGTACTCGGTGGTGGATCATCATTCTTCCGGCGAGGATTTTTCGGTCTCACGTGCGCCTATAAGTCACGTGGTTCTTCTTCCTGGCAATTTGGACCCCGCGTCTCTGCGTTTCTTTTCCTCCTGCGCCTTTTTCTCTCAATCCTTCAGGTTCCTGACAGTAAAGATAGACTTGAAATGGCTGTCGTGGCTGTCGAGTCGACCTTCACACAATGTCTGACAGATCACAGACGCCACCGACCTAAATACCTCCAGTTCGACCGTCCGCCCACAGCTGAGTCTAGACCTCTCCATCCCTTCAGACTAGGGTGGTAGACCTGCCGCCATCCCGCCCGCCGCACGAGCTAATCGCTTTTTCTTCCGGCAATGTCCGATCGTCTTTGACCCATTTCAGACGCCGTGCCCTGGCGAGATGGCGGCGGTTACCCAACTGCTCCTTCTGCTCTAAGCGAGCCTCTGGCTTTTCCGTCACAACCAATAGACGCCGAGACAAATGGTCAGAGACCCTCCACTTCTGTCACGGGTCATCAGAAAGAGTGCCAACACCACGACTGAAGTTGCCGGTATCGGGTCGACAGCGAGTTCCTCATAAGGCGCGGGCATGTGCCGTAAGATTGGATTTCCCTCTGGCTCTCTTTTTTCTCGTTTTCCAATTTGGACCGTTCGTGCTCATTGTTTTCACTCAGTCTGTTCTCCAGTGCCTCTCCAACCAAAAGAGTTGATTCCTCCTGTCGTGTGACTTTTGTTAACAATCATCCTCCCTTCATTCCCAATCTATCTACAGTCCAGTAGAACAACTCAGCCGTCAACATGCCAGCCGTCGCTCGCCGTTTCTCCATTACAAATTTCCTGATTGCGACCACTGCGCTCGCATTCCAGGTCTTCGTCCTTTACCCATGGCACAACAAACTGGATGAAGATTTCATGGAATTGAAGCAGGAGAACATCAGATTATTGCAAGAGATGGAGAAAGGCAGGATGCTGGAAATCAAGGAGATCAAGGAAGCATTCAGCGGGCTCAAAACAAACTAGGACGAGGGGGAATCACGAAACTATAACCCGCTTTCTTTGACAACTTCGACAATTTTCTTCTTACAATGGCCTCAATCAAGCCCGTCACGAGTCCTTTACCGGACCGAACTGTGTCCATCCAAACCTCTCCCTGGCAGTTTTTGGATGCACCCTACACGAAATATGAATACTCAATCTCTACCTGAATTTTTCAGGGTCGGCCACGGCTTTCTGCTGCCCAGGGTCCGACAAACGCTGATCAACATCTCCCGAAACTCGCTCGCATGTCCTCTGGGAATTTCTCAAAGCGTCGATACCAAGCATGATCCATGCGACCAATTTTGGAACGATTCGTACGGTCAAGCAACCCACTGTCCAAGCTCCCTCGACACCGGTCCCACAGGACACAGTCACACGCGCGTGAAAACCTTCCAGAAGCCCTACGACTCGAACTCTACACCTGAGGGCGCGTCGCAAGACCGCATGAGGTGTTTCCGACCAACGAACAACACGACCATCGGTGGACGCTTACTATATTTGTCGACCTCGGAGCCAATCCCTGGGCATTTCGACTGCACTCGGTCGGCCAGTGCACAATACCAGCCTTGGGACATCTCAACGCAAACCCGGGGTTTGCACAACTGCTGTCCGCCCTTCTAGAGACCCGGGGTCCCTCCAGGGATCATCGGCAATGCGCACATTCAACGCTGAGGCCACCGAACGCTCCATCGACCAGAGATCAGAATCATGGACACGGCTCCGACAATACATAACAGACTTGGACCCAGCCCAATCCTAGGGAGATAAGAGGGCGACGTTTCCAAAGCCAACAAACAGAAACAAGATGAACAGAGCTCATCATTCATGGTCTCTACTGGAGGTAGCTGGTTGCTCACAGCAGATATCGTGGAAAACGATGAAGCATTGTCAGGACGGATCGGATTGGATCGATTATATTGGCACATTGTCCGGGGAAGAGGTGTCTCGAATAGACTGGTGAGGTGAGGCATTAGACATTTACAACAGTGCCGACGCCTAGAGGGGTGAATAAGACTAGAACTGCAACTCTAGAAAATAGATAGATTCATTCATATACTCAAGAAAGATTTGACATCAAATGGCATTTTCCACCATCTCCAGACTTCAATCTATTCATATCACCTTTATCTTTGCTCCATCACTGGCTGCGGGAGATGGGAAACCCTGTTGCACACGAGATACGTCTCCACTGTATCATTCTCTTCGTCTAAGAGGGTGAACTATCTTCATCTTGCTTGTACGTAGACCGGGGCATGTATCTAGTGATCAAACACAATGAGTTTCTCTATTCCTGCTTTCACTGGACATGCCTTGGGTGTCTTTATAGGTAGGTCTGTTGTATACACAGCCAGCTAAGACATCTATCTATCTATGCTATACTGTACGTACGTATACCCATAGCTGAATAAGTCTCAACATGCAGTACTGGATTTCGACCTGCCGCCCAGCAGCCCAGCCCAGTCCAGCTGGACCGGATCAAACATATCCCTCGTCAGGTCTGGGGATCCATGCTCATCTGTTCTTGATAACAACCCGTCAACTCTATACCTGTACAATATCAATCATACCAACAGACAGAAAGAGAGACAGCCAGACAGACCTCTTGTCTGGCATTGTCTTGCCTCTCCTTTGCCCCGATTTGTACAAAGCCATTCACGCACCATCTGATCGACTAATCCCCTTTCTTGCACGCTGTGTGGCGTACCGAAAGAAGGGGGGAGAGGTGATGAGACAACAATCGGAACATTCTTTCGGAAAGCGAGCAACCAACCAACGAACATATACATATACAAAGCAAGGTGTACAACGGGGAAGATTGTTCTGCGCGCCGCTTTTTCCTCTTCTCTCCAGCCTTGCAATGTCGAGTTCACACACGAAGCATAACTCGTTCTTCTTGTCCGTCCATCGCTGTTCGGGTTTTCGACACACCGCACCACCATGTCGATGTCGACGCCTAGGAAGGAGGGTTGGGAGACATCTCCACGTCAGTGGTTGTTTCAGAGGAAGGCAATTCGATCGGCACTGTATTCCCCGCCACCTCGTCCGCCTCATCCTTGGACTGATCATGGCCGACGTCTGCCATGGTTTCGTCTACCTGCATGTCCTCCTCACCTTCCCCAAGAGCCGCCGCCGCGGCGGCCGCCTTGGCCGCTTCGCCCTGCATCAAGCTCGCTCTTCTCTGCGCCTCCTGTTCATGCTTGTAACTCACATTGACGGCGAGGAACGACTTGGGCAGCTGCACGGTGTTGAATTTGGCCTTCAAGGTCGAAATCACCTCCTTCCAGTCCTGGTGGTCTGTCAACGACCGTCTCTGCGCGCTTCCAATGGCGTGCTTAGAGTCAAGGGAGACGTCGAGAGGGTCGATGGTGTGACAGCCAGGAGAGATGGAGATGCGGATCGAATAGGTCGATTCGTCCGTTTCGGCGTCTTTGGCTTCGTACAATTCAAAGCAGATTTGTGACAGGTAGTCGAGTTCGGGAATCGTGGACCGCTTGATCTTGGTGTGGATGCCGCCTTCCATGATGCAGTTGAGCAGCGTGTAAATGTGCGACTCTTTGGTGAAATACACGAAAAACTTTGCGTCCCCAGAGGCTTGCAGTTCTTCCAGGTCCGAAACTATTTCTCGGAGTAATGGAAGGGATGTCAGGAGTCCAATCTCCAACTTTTCGTCGTTGCTGATTCCATATTCCTGTGGGCCGATGTAGTCAAAGAGGATCTTACTGTACCGATAGAGCTCTCTCAGCCGGCTCAGTCTCTGGTCCACCATAGACCGACTGTCCCCGGAACCGGTGAAGAGTTTGAAGTATGAGGCACCCTGCTCCCACGACATGAGAGGCGGCGTGGGAAGTGGCTGCTTCAGAATGGATTGTCTTCTAAGTCCAATCTTCTGGGCGAAGCTATGCCGTTCATGAATGCTCCCACTAGACGAGACCATACTTTCATGACGACCAATGCCAGTTGAAGCAGAGGGTTCATCACTTCGTTCTGGTTCAGGCGGAGGCTGAGGATTCGAAGAGGGAATGCTATCGTCCTTCGCCATTTCCTCCAATAGTGATTGGCTTGGAGTGAAGACCCATTCGAGGAATTGTTTGTTGTGCAGGGCATCGTACTTCATGGTGTCGTACAGTTCCGAGATCTTGCTAGGATCGGCCTTTTCAGTGTCACAGAATTCGGAAAACAATTTCTCCCAGCGCTCCTTAAACAAGTCGGGATCCTCTCCTGTACACCACCTAGATTGGATGGAGGCAACACTGACATATTCTTTGGGCTGGCTGCTGCTATCTTTGCCTTCCGCAGAATCCTTCAGAGCAGCGAGGGAAGCGGTGGCTCCCGTTGCGAGCTTCTTGAAATTGTGCCGCATCACCCGCCGATGGAATCGGAGCAACTCAATGACGGTCTGCATCACCGCATACGGCTCGGGCACATCTTTCGGCCATGCAAACTCTTCAGGAACACTTCCTTCTCGTAGGAGATGCTTAAGCTTCTTTTTGACTTTGTCCATAACGTCCTTCGCCGCGTTCGAGTCGTCCAATAGGTCTTTCCGGACGGTGATAAAGTCTTCCGGAAGGTCCTGGCGATCGAGAAAGGCAGCGGCCCAGATCTGTGCGCTGGTCCGCACTCTGTTCTCGGAGCTTGTGAAGATGCGCACATCCTCGAGTAGCTCCCGATTGAGGAGTTTGAAGTCGTCGCGCATGTTGGTGCCCAGGTCTTGTGATTGGTATCGAGCGGAATGTGTAGGTTCGCCTCCCCACTTCATTACCAATTGTAATTTATCAAGGACGAGATCGTTCTCTGCTGCCGAGAAGCGAGAGAAGGTCGTCCCGGATATTGAGTCGCTCCTTGCCTGCATTCGCCCCAGGTCCTTGGAGTCCGAGATGGACCCTGCTCGCTCGGTGGAGGGAGATTCTGACAAATGGAAAGGTTCAGCTTCTGCAGCCAACCCGTCTGGACTGGTGGCTCTTAGAGCATCATTTGACGCCTGGGTCATCTCTTCGGGCTTTCTCTTTCGGAACATCGGTTTGATCTGAACTTTGGTTCCAGGCTGCTTGCCCTTCTTAGCAAGCGCAATTTGTAGATTTCGCAACTTATCCGGGTCTTCAAGGCCTTCTTTCTGTGCAATCTTGACCGCTGCCTCGACACTTGCCAGAGCCGCCTCGCCCTTGAGTAGCACCTCTTCGTGATGTCCTTTCAGAAGATCCGCAAACACTTGCGAATGGGCTGTAAACTTGATCTTCTGCTTTGGAGTTCTATCGGCATGTCTGATGACTGTGACCACTCCCTTCAATTTCCAGGAATGTTTCGATGCTGGCAGTGGTGCTACCTCCTCCGGCTGTTTGATGGGGACTATTGGCTCTGTCGATAGCCCCGCCGGGGCCGAGGATGCAAGTTTTGGGGGAGGAAGAAGATCTGCATTGTCGATGGTAGCCGGAGGAACAGCGGCATTCGAGTCCTTCTCTATGGTTGGAGGCGAGCTTAAGGGAGTCGTCGCGGATGATGTCTTTGTCGATGTCGAAATACTCCCTGCGTGATGCCGTGAAGAATATGGCAGGTGTTGGGAGAGCTTCGTCATGCTAGGCGATCTGAGGATCGTCTTGAGTGCTGAACGATGCGAGTGATTAGTACCGTGCCGGCGGTGGTGAGACCCATCGGCTCCTATCTCAGACGTCTGCTCGTCTAGTATGCCATTTTCCTTCTTGAACTTTTCAGCCAGGAAAATGCCTCTCAAAATTCTTGCGCAATCATTGTAGTAGTCCTCGTTATCTTTGACAAAACTCCAACCGTTCACGTCAATCACGTAGCTTGCGGTGCCGGTTCGCAGCATATCGAAACCGCAGATGCGCTGGCCGAAGGCTTGAGAAACTTTGGATGCCATTTCCCTCTCGGCCTCGCTGAGTTTGGTAACGTATCGTAGCTCCTTTCCATGAGTATTTCGGCGGACCAAACCATCAACCACTGGAGACTTCCTCGTTTCAGCATGGCAGTAGTTGGGACCGACGGTGTATGCCTTGACGTCCTCTGAGTTCTCCGTCCTCAGAAACTGTTCGTAGATATAACTACTGTTCTCTTCCGTGAGGGACCTCGGCACAATCAGGTTGGGATCGTACTCTGAGGATTTATTGCCTATCTTCCGGAACAATCGTCGAGCGCCGCCTTCCTGGCTCTTGGGGAAGTAGATGATGACGTTGTGGTCCTCCCCGTTGACCGGCTTCTCGACAAACGGCTTTTTGAAGTGTTTTCCATCAACGACAATGGTGTCGCCCTCGTCTACGAGCTCGACCTTTTGTGTCAAAGGAGCGCCTCCACCGGTACCGTCTTCTGGCCCTTCAAGGACCACGCCCGTCAAGGCGCGGACGTGCTGTGCTAATTCGGCGGATTCCAACTTTGGGCCGCCATCTCGGTTGACTTCAATACGCCTGGGGGTTGGGATATGCATCTGGTCCAGGATCTTCAAACAGAGTCTCCTGTCCCACAAAACCTTTTGCATGGGGAGGTCGTTCACCACAAATGGTTTGCGTAGCTTGGCATATGCAATAGCCTTATCGAGCGGGAAGCCGTCCGAGAAGAAGGATATCAGATAATCACTTGCTCACGTCAATAGGACGTCCTTGTCCGCCTCTGAATACGGGACTTACCATATCGGCCAGTTCTCGACGTCTGCAACAGTCAGTGTCTGTAATCACAATGGAGAAAAGTAGCAATGCCTACCTTCGTCGAGAATCGCTTTGTCGCCAAAGACGATGACATCAAACTCGCCATCTCCCTGCAGCCGGGTCAAGATCTGTCGACTGGGGCGACTCCGGGCCTTCACATCTAGCGCACACACTCCAATACGGCCAAATGGCGCCTTATGATCGGCACCCACGCTTTCATTTCGTGCAGATCCAGCGGTGCTCAAACGTCGATTCGAAGACGTGGAACGAGGCTGGGTGACTCGAGGGGCTCTCGTGGGCAAGGCGGTTTCGGTCCCATCGGGTTCAACTGGAGTCCCCAGCGTCTGGCCGGCGGGAAGCGAAGGCTCACTTTGTGGAACGACTGCTTGGGCATTACCGTGAGAAGCAAATCCTGACACTAGAATTGTTTGGTTAGGAATGATCGGGGAACTGGCGGGAGTCGAAAGCAGAGGCAAACCAGAGGTACGTGAAGTGGATGCGGTGGTAACCACAGTAGGATCAAGAGCAGTGGTGGAAGTTTGAGGTCCCGGCGAGGCCCCAAATGGGAGCCTTTCTACCTCAAAGCTCTTGATAGAACCAGGCGGGCTTCTAGGGCCATCCTCGGATCTCCTGAAGGACCGGATGGAAGAGATCGAACTGGAGAACCTTCTGTCTGTGATGGGCTTGGTGGCAGGGGGTGGCATACTGGTACCGGAGCGATCTGCGGAAGCCCGCGTGGTCTCAGCATGGGCGGACTTTCGACCATCGGTGCTCTTGTGGGCTGCCAACAAGGAATGAGTAGATGGGGTGCGACCAGTCGGAAGAGAGGGCCGGATTGAAGTCACGGAGGAGGCGGTCGATTGTACGGCGGAGAGAGAAGCAGCCTCGTCGAGGTCGGTGTCGGAGGTGTTCGTTGGAGCCCGCCGGAGAGGAGAGTGAGGATCCATCGTTGGCGGAGGACTCGAAGACGGCAATGGTGGTATGGGAGGATAGACGGCGATGCAGGTACCGCAGTTAAGCGGGACACAGAGTGTGTGGAGAAGTAACCAGGCTCATGTAGCCGGGTTCAGCATTGGATGGGACACGGTCGAGGCGGGATATCCTGAGTCGAGGACGGGGAAGACTGCTCCGGGGTCCGAGCCATGCAAACTGTTAGGTTTTCAAGACATTGTCTCCATAGCGATTCGAGAAGGAGGCATGCAACACGGGAGTCGGAGGGTTGAGTGGACGCGAATTAATGAGATAGAGACGAAAAGGGAAATCGAGAAGTCGTTCGAGATACGAGAATGGGCGAGTTTTGCTGCAGAGACGCGACGTCATGCGCAGTTGGAGACGGAGAGCATTTTGTATGGCGCAGGCAGAAAAAAATTATGGTATAGCGACGATGGTAGTAAATAATGTCCAATTCTTCACCACCCACAATTCCTCCAATGCAAACAATGGCAACTTTCCTCTAACCAGACCTCCGAGATATTGAGGATCCGGTGTGTCTCGTCATGGAAGATGCTGTTGAACTTCCTGTTGCGAAAAGGCAACGGAGGGACGACCTAGTCACGACCAGCAACAAAAAGCCTCCCACGAGTTCCCGACTTTTCGCTCCCTTCAGGGTAATGATTCCCCCAGTCCTGCTTTACTGGAAGTTTCCCACTGACCAGCTGTTTAAAGACCCTCGGGCTCGTCTCTCCCACGAGAGTCCCGTTCACATCGGTTCCTCTAGGGAAAACTACATTTCAGATCACCACCTCGGTCGGAAATAGTCTGCACACCTACGATCTGCGACGAGGCCTCAACCTTGTCTTTCTCAGCCGTCCACAATGTCCGAAACCAATCACTGCGACATGCGCTCACCGTGATCGAGTTTTTGCAGCCTGGGGCGGAACCCAGCCCCACGAACCCCGGGGATTGTGGGTGTTCAAACGCGGACATTTGATCGCAGAGCTAGGCCTCCATGACACACACCCTCAAGAGATTGTGCAAATAGTGATATTTGGACCGTGGGTGGTGGGCTGTGGAGCCGAAGCAATTGAAGTCTGGAAGAGTGATTCCTACGCGCATTACACGACGGTTCAGCCATCCTCGACATCCATCGATAGTCGAGTGGGTGGAATTTTCTCCGGGCCAGTCTGCACATTACCGACATTGCTGAATAAAATCTGCGTTGGGAGAAGAGACGGACTGGTCGAAATCTACAATGTCAGCACTGGTCGGTTGGTACACACCATCCTTGCTCCTTCTGCCGGCTCTGGCTCAGTGACGGCGCTCGCGCCCGCTCCCGCCGTCTGCCTGTTGGCGGTTGCATACGCCGACGGCTCCTTGGTCATTACGGACGTGGAAGCCGATGAGATTGTTCTCGAGCTGCATCAAAAGAACACCAAAAAGCCAATCACATCAATCAGTTTCCGCTCCGATGGCATGGGTGCTGGCGAGGACGGGCGCAAGGACGGTGTCATGGCAACTTCCAGCACCGAGAGTGGCGACATCACGCTCTGGGACCTGAACCGTGGCGGTAAAGTGGTCGGCGTGGTGCGAGGCGCTCACGAAACATCCAATCTTGGACAAGGAACCGGCGTGAACAAGGTCGAGTTCCTACCTGGCCAGGCTGTGCTGATATCTTCTGGCCTGGACAATGCTCTTCGGTCGTGGGTATTCGATCAGAACCCGTTCTCTCCCATCCCACGGCCGCTGCACGAAAGAAGTGGACATGCGGCGTCAGTGACGAAGCTCAAATTCCTCCCAGCCGCTTCCGATGGCTCGGACGCAACCGGCAAATGGCTTTTGTCAGCGGCCCAAGACCGAAGTTTGTGGGGGCTGAGTCTGCGCAAGGATGGCCAAAGTACAGAATTGAGTCAAGGCGCCGTGAAGCACAAAGCTCGGAAGGCCGGACTACTCAGCGACGACGCGTCCGGGGTGGAGGACTTCAAAGCTCCGCCCATCATAGACATGGCTTGTTCACTGAACCGAGACGGCGGAATGGGCACTGTCAATGGCCCCGTGTGGACGAATACCAAGACGGCCAACGCCGAAGAAGTCAGTATGACGGGCTGGGAAAGCATAGTCACCGCCCATGCCGACGACAAGTTCGCGCGGACCTGGTCCTGGGGCCGGAAAAAGGCAGGCAGATGGGCGTTCGAGACCGGCGACCACACCCCCGTGACGAGTGTGGCCATCACCGCTTGCGGCACCTTTGCAATTGTCGGGTCGGCAGGCGGCAGTCTCGACATGTTCAATCTGCAGTCCGGCGCGCATCGTCAACGCTACCCGCCTCGCCTCAAGCCCGGCCAGGCCAAGGAGTTGAAAATCCAACAGATGCAAACAGACCGGGCGACGACGCCGTCTGTACGTGGTCATCGAGATGCCATCACGGGAGTGATTGTCGACAACCTCAACCGCACCATGGTCTCGACCAGTCTCGACGGAGCGATCATCTACTGGGACTTTTCCAGCGGCAAGATTCTAGAGAAAGTCGTGATGACTGGTGCGACGCCGACAGCGATGCGCTACAACCCCGTCTCAGGCCTGCTGGCACTGTCTTGCGACGACCTGTGTATCCGCATCGTCGACATTGAAACTCGCAAGACGGTGCGCGAGCTGTGGGGCTGCGTCGGGCAGATCTACGACTTCTGCTTCTCCCACGACGGCCGCTGGGTCGTGACATGCTCGATGGACTCTGTCGTCCGCGTCTTCGACCTGGCCACAGGCCATCTCGTTGACGCATTCAAGACCGCCACGTGCACCGGCGTCGCCTTTTCCAGCACCGGCGAATTCCTGGCCACCGCACACGCCGGAGCGCGCGGGATCAACATCTGGACCAACAAGGCTCTGTTCGCGCATATCCCCACGAGACAGATCGACGATGTGAACGGCGTTATTGACTTGAGCGAGACCGCGGAATTCCAAGCGGCGAGCCAGTTGGCCATCGAGGCCGACCCCGAAGACGATGTCCCAATAGAGACCCTGGACGCCTCGTCCGAAATAGACCAACTAGACCAAAGCCTCCTCACGCTCTCCCTGGTCCCTGCTTCGAGATGGCAGACACTGCTCAACCTCGACAGTATCCGCCAACGCAACAAACCCATCCAACCTCCCGAGAAGCCCAAGGCTGCCCCTTTCTTCCTCGGGTCCAGTCTCACAAATGGCGTCACAAGCGGCGGCGACGACTCCTCTCAACAAGCAGCATGGGCCCATGAGAAGGAGAACCCGGTCGACGAAAGTGAGCGGTCACGCATCTCGCGATTGGCATTAACCGCGCAAGGACAAGGACCCGGACATTATTCTCAAGTCACCAAAATCCTCGAGGACTTCGCATCAGACCCTCGCCACGACCCGTCACTCCTGTCAGACCATCTGGCGGCGCTGCCTCCTTCTGCTGCGGATCTCGAGATCCGCTCTCTCACATTGCATGAAATGCCTATCTTTGTGCGCGCCTTGACCCGCCAACTCGCGCTGAGAAAGTCCTTCGAGCTGGTCAACACTTGGATGAGTGTTTTCCTGAAACTGCACGGCGACTTCATAGGTGAAGTCCAGGAACTCAACGACGCCGTGCTCGATTGGCGCGCCGTGCTGGATAAGGAAGAAAGGCGCTTGAGCCAGTTGGTTGGCTATACGCGCGGAGTGGTGGATTTTCTGCGAAGTGCGAGATAAAAGAAAGGGTGTCGCGTTATTGTTGACTTTCCAAGCAAGGATCTGCCCCGTTGGATTGTTCACCTGCGTAGGTAGTTACCTTCACGTTGGGCACTTATACACTCACAATAGACTTGTCGTCATCTACTGTGATGGATCGTGGCACAACGCTTCATCGGCTCTATAGTCTGAAGCACGACATGCTGGCTCGGGGCTTGCATTGATTGTTGAAGAGGAAGACAACCACGGCCGAAGAGATCAATCTATCAATCCACCATCTGCTGAGCGAGCGATCCATGAATCCGTCTGGCCCGTCGCCCCATGTCTCTTGATAGACGATCTCAGTCAAGCCGCCAGCTGACGATGCGGTCTGTCCACTACTAGGTCGGAGGAAGGTTCTTCGCCTGCAAGTCTTACGGGCCTTTCCTTTGGAGAGATAGGATTGACGAACGACTGCTTTGTTCAGCAGGATGTGGGTAATACGTATATCTATTGTGTATCTATCTGCCTGGCCAACTCAGATCATACACTGCACCCCAGATGTGCTATTAAGCCGCGAGCCGCTGGTCGCAGTCCTATTAATGTACAACGTACTATCAGAGTCCTGTTTGTGATGTATATGTATATATACGATATATGCAAAAACCCACCTGCTTTTCTGATCCGAGATGCATATTGAACATTAACCTCCACCTTAATCTTTCAAGGCTGGTTTCGGGTAATGGAATCCTTCCAGCACGATCCCTGTCAGGAGCTTCGCACTGGATGCATGGGACCATAGCAGACGTATATCATGCCTAATCCCCTGGGACATGCTATTCCCTTCCTCATGCATTTTTTCCTTCCCGCCAGTGCGTTAGACGCATCTGGCCAGGTTCGAAGAGTGGGGGAGGAGAGGAGATGAGGTTCGGAAATCCTTTCTTCTCTCCCATATTTAGAGACGAGAATGATTGCGAAGCCATGGGCTCGAGGCCTGACATGTGCTCAAATGGCGAGCTAAATGCCACAGCTGGCAACGGCCCTAAGTATTGCTTCACGGCTTGGAGCTCGCCGCCGGTAGTGAGATCATCCAAATTGCAATAGGGCCCAGGGACATATCTCGGAAGCTCACAAGCCTGGAATTCGGTCATAGTCGTCGCGATCGAGGTTGCCTCCTCCGATGTCCTCAATTGTCAGACATGAGCCCCTCTCACCCCGTCAAGCGGCGAGACTTCTTTCATGAAATCAACGACGATGGCCACCGCGGCCGCTCCCAAGGTGACATTTCACTAGCATGGCTCTACTTTTGTTTGGTCCAGTGCCAATGTGTTGTCGCCCCCTATCAGATGCCTCGGTGGTAAACGCTTGAACCTGATGACCGAGCGTCAGCAAAAGGTGGATGACAAAAAGGTCGTAGATCAATCGAAAGGGTCCGAAAACGTACCATACGGGGTCGCAGAACAAGAAGGTCGTTTGCAACCTCTTGATCTGCCCCTTAATCCAGTCCAGCTGTCCATCACGGAGTACCAGCGGCAGGGCGCCGTCTTCTGGCTCTGCTAATCGGTAGAGAACAAGAAGGTAGGTAAAGATGTTCCACCCGCCCGATGCGGCGGCACGACTCCGGTAGACAGTCTCCATACTTGGGATGCTTGTGGTCCGTCCCGTCTCTGGGTCGGTGATGACTTTATAGGGAAAATTGATCTCTTTGGAATATATAGGATTGGTGGGAACAACCGTGTCGCCGAGATGGAAGGGAACGGTCTCGCAAATCGCATCGGCGAGAGCTTGCATTGTCGAGTTGGTGTTTTCAAGGATCGAGGCGCTCCCAGGACTCTCACCAAGACTAGGCTCGTCGGCGTAAGCCTGCCGGATGACCTGCAGCGTCAGCAGTCGCAATTTGTGGTACAGATTCCACATGTCGGGGTAAGCCAGGTCGGCCCAAACCGCGCATCGAGCTCCGTAGAATCCGGCAGCCACTATTGTCGGCAAAACCTCTTCCCGCAGGACATACTGTGCCATCCATTCCGGGTTGGTGACACTTTGTTTCCACGCCCCCATCAGGTCGTTGATTTTCATCGCTTCGACAACGACTTCTGTATAGCGCCGTCGACGCTCGCCACAGTCGTCGCCGCTCGATGACTGCTGCTTCAAATCATCCAGACGGCATTGCACGTGGACGAGCATGATCGCAAGCTTGTCGAGTTGTTTCACAGTGCTGTTCATGACCGACGGGTGGTCAAAGTACTCTTCTGCGCCCGGGGGAAGAGGCTCCCGGCGTGTGATGGCGTACTGGAGAATATCGTGGCGGGTGGTAAGGACGAGTTCACGGCTGGACTCAGTCGTGTAGTTGGTAGCACCTTTCAGTCTCAAAAGAGCCAGGGCGCCTTGTTTGTGTCGGAGCGGATGGGGGAGTCCCGGCACATAATGGCTCTGAAGACACTCGTAGAGGTCGAAGATCAGAGTAGTCATGAGGAGTTCGTCTATGGTACTTCGCGAAGGAGTGGTCAGGGCTTTCCTGGTGGCAGAGATCGCTTTCGCGTACAGATTTCGTGCTGGCCGTGTGTCGCAGCCCTTGAAGCTCCACATCATGGCGACGTTGACCGCGACTGCAGATGTAGCAATGCGCAGAGGAGAGTTGGCTGATGAGCGGAGATACATTGGTTGCCACGTCGTGGTCAGACTCTTGTTTGCTCGAGGGTCCAGTATTGTCCCCGAATAATAACGGAAGAAGAAGCATATAGAAGCCTGTTCAAGGTCTGGCTGAACCACGTCTGGAATTGCGGACATCCTGTTGTCGAAGTAGGGTTCATTGCTGAACGTACCGCAAGCATATGCGTCCGCGTCTTGTGCCTTGTGAGAATCCGGAGGCTGGGCTGAGTAGTTGATCCATTGAAGCGGCTGACTGGTAGTTGAAATCGACGTGTTCCGTTCTATAGACGTTTCACTGCGAGGTGTGCTACTCTCCGACCGCGAATCAGACGCGTTGTGTCGACCAGCCATCCGCCGGCTGAGAGCATCGTTTTGGTTTCTGTGTGCCCCGTCGAACACATCGCCATAGCCAGGACAGGACTGATGTCGACGAGTGCAGTTGTTGCAAAATGGCTGAGTTTGATCGCACTGGACCACCAAACTGTTAGTCCCAGAAGAGTGATAGGCACTTGCGGCGGCTACAGACCTTAACACGACGGGTCCGACATGTCCTGCAACCTCCAGACGGACCGTGATAGACCATTCTCAAAGTGCCGCCAGCATCACAGTAAGAGCCAGTGGATGAGCGTTGGCCGACCTGTACCTGGACAAGTACTTGCGCCTAGCCGATTGCTGGGCTAGTCAGAGACTGGTAAATATATTCCCTGAAGTGATCCAGGCAGCACCATTCTGGCAGAGTGGAGATGGGCTTTCGCTGAACCGAGTCAAATCGAATGTGTTGTCAAGTCAGCTTGGCACAGAGAATAGACCTCTAGAATGAGACTCAGAAGGCCCTCGATATGCTGGGTGATACAACAGATCCCAGAATACCAAGAAGACTGCTTACGAACTCCAACACGGAATCCCGAATACGATGCACTGTTATGCTCAGCCCTGCCAAAGTGGATTGATGGAACGAATCGCAAGGGGGTCCCGTTTCGGGTTAGTAGGTGTTGTCACAGTTGGTCTGTCCTGAGTTCCACTGCGCCACGGAAATCAAGGCGTTCCACCTCGGACACGGAGACAGGAACTCGGATTCTCGGTCGCTTGGCTTTGAAGCAAAGAACATTCAATACGATGATTCTGGGGGCCGGGAGAGGAGCACTTCGGCGCTCTTGGGAAACCATGATTGAACATTACATACTATTAGGTGGGGAAGAAGCGGCAGCATTAAGGTATTGACTTGAGTGTCGTCCGAGGAAGCCCGTGTCCGACATCGAATTAAGGTAGTTTCGCACTTGGCAGGGGCAGTGTAAGCACAACCACTAAGCCAAATAAGGAGTAGTGTATGGAGTTGGCCCAGCTGCTAATATTAACCATATCAACCCAATATCGTTGTCGCTGTATCGCGACTCGCGGAAAATTCTCCCTCTCTCCACTCATCATTCGATAATACGATCCGTGCCCTAAGTAATGTTTCGTCCAACATGAAGGGATCAATCAACGGCAGCATCATCGTCGTCTATACTGTAGGCCAGGGTCCTAGTCGCCCTGCGACAACTGATCATGTTGATCTCCGGGGGCCTGATAGGCTTTGAGTTCAGCCTTACACGTGGCGTGCTACCCAACCGCGATGGGTGGAAAGCCTGATGCCTGGCCCCGTCGCCTGGATTGAGGGCTGCCTTGCGACTGAGATGCGCGTCCACTGCCCCCAGTCTCTTGGCTTTCTCCTGCGACGGCCCGACATGTTTCCAAAAGGACTTATATCTTGCGAGAAAAGGTGGGCGCAGCAGCCAAATCTATGTTGGTGGCCGCTCGCCAATACGGAACGAACACCCCGTATCGATGTGGGTACCTGTCTTTGCTTCGGGGTAACTGTTTATTCCTTTTATAAATTGTGGCTTCCATCCTCCCAATACCCAACACCTCATCCCTCGAGTCCTCAATTTTATTCATCAGTATATTGACTCTTATTTCCCACTGATCCGTGGCTATACACATCTGCTCTGTCCTTCGCTGCTGTCGATTCACGTTTGTGCTGCGATATCACCATGTCCTCAACAGATGAATGCGTCGACGTGTCGCCGGAATGCCCGGTCCAAGCCTCAATCTATGGTTATTATCCTAACCTAGGAGCCAATGCATTCTTTCTTGCCTTCTTCGCCCTCTGCCTCCTCCTCAACTTGGGGCTTGGGATTCGCTACAAAACTTGGACTTACATGGTGGCATTGTGCTTGGGATGCTTAACGGAGCTCATTGGCTACGTCGGAAGACTTATCATGCGCGGCAACCCGTTCGCGGATTCTGGCTTCATTACCCAGATTTGCTGCTTGATCATCGCGCCTGCTTTCAACTCTGCCGCCATATACTTGACACTCAAGCATATCACTCTATGCTTCGGTGCAGAGTTTTCGATCCTCAAGCCGCGCTTCTACACCTACATTTTCATCGTCGCCGACGTGGTCTCCCTGGTCCTCCAGGCGATCGGTGGAGCCCTCGCCTCTACCGCCGATGATGATCAAGACCAAGAAGACCTGGGTGACCACCTCATGATGGCCGGTATCGCGTGGCAGGTGGCTTCACTCTTCTTCTTCGCAGCCATGGCCAGCTACTACATTTTCCGGAGACGGAAGGCACTCCCGCAACATCCTTTGTCGCCCGAGGCGGCAGCCACGCTTGGAGACAGAAAGTTTCGACTCTTCGCGCTCGGTGTCATCACTGCCTGGGCAGCGATCTTCATTCGATGCATATATCGAATCGTTGAGATGGCTGGTGGTTGGGGCAATACTATCATGCGTAATGAGATTGGCTTTATAATTCTTGAAGGAGTGTATGTATATTTCCTTCTGAGCGGTGCGGATCAAAGCTGACAGACAAACAGTATGTTGGTGTGGGCGACTCTTGTCCAAACCGCCTTCCACCCAGGCTATTGCTTCCCTCGTCTTTCCTCCAAGTGGTCGGCAGATGAGGCTACGATACCCGAGAAGACTTCCCGAGACGTTTCCATGGAGAACCTCACGACCTCGCGCGAGGTTGCTTAGTCATATCAGTTCAGAGGATGAGGCATGCTTCACCCAAATAGAACATTTCTGGGCGTGACTACTTAAGAGCAAGGTTGAACTTGAAACGCAAGGGGGGTAACGAAGCGCAATTCATCGCGATTGCAGGATCATGATTTGGGCACTGTCTCCATAAGGAAGGGTTATATGGCGCACTCAAGGTACATGGCATGATATAGGAAGGATTGGATATAGATTGAGGTATTGGGAGCCTTCTGAAGCGTTGTTCTCTACCCAGGGCTTGAGGCCATCCATCACCTGCCATCAAAAAAGGACATTGCCAAACTATTTCCTGTGCTGTTCAGTGCACAACCTGCCATCATGTCCAGACAGACTGTGTTATCACAATATGACCAACTTAGGTATGGACAGCTCAATAACCTAGTGAGATATGTTTCTATCGGTCGGAGTATGCCGCTTCACAGTATCAAAATAAGACGATGATGGACAAATAACACCAATGGCGGGGCTGTATAAAATGTATTTGGTCAGACTACCCACATACATGTCATTTGAAACCTTCACGGTGCGCCAGGCTCGCAACCCCGCCGTCAGCCTCAAAGTCACAACGGACATCAAACACTCCGTCACCGTCACTGTGACTCTGGATTGCCGACGCTGCAGTCAAACTGCGGTAACTGACCCGTTGATCAACCAACACATCATTTGATCCTGTTCAAGTTTTGATTCCATCAGGCAGAATAGGACAATCTTCTCCCTTCGGTTCTAGCAACACCTACCAATCTCTCCTTCGCCTGCGTCGGCCAGCAAATTCACTCTCTCGCGCAATCGTCTCACCAGACCCGATTCGTCTCCAACCGACCTAAACTACCTAGTAATCTGCCTGCCCACCCACTACTGGTACTGCGGCTTCTCCGAGTGATTCCCCTGCCTGTTGTTTATTACACATCACATCTACCAAAACCTCAACCAGGATGTCGTGGCAAGGTAAGTCAAGTCGATCCTTCGCGCATTCTTCCCTATAGACGGACAGAAGTGCTAATAACATCTTCTACTTCTTTAGCATACGTCGATCAAAGGTACAGCTTACCGAGATCCCATCTTGATCCGCACATGCCGAACCGTTCTCGCTAACCGTCTATTTTATGTTCGCAGCCTCGTCGGCACCGGCCATGTCGACAAAGCAGCCATTTTCAACGCCGAGGGCACCTCCGTATGGGCGACGTCTCCCGGCTTCAACGTGACACCGGCCGAACTGCAGGAAATCGTTGGCGCGTACAAAGACACCTCTATGCCCAAGAAAGTCCAGTCCACGGGTCTACACATCGCAGGCCAGAAATATATCGTCATCAAGGCCGATGAGACGAGTCTGTACGGGAAGAAGGTGGGTTCAGGAAATTCTCTTTCTTTGCAGTTGCTCCTGATGATGCGACGTTAAAACACCCAACAAGCGCCGGAAAGGCGTATTTCACAGAGAAGGGAACAATAGCTAATATATTCTGCGTCTTGGACAACAATAGGGACGAGAAGGCGTTGTGATTGTCAAGACAAAGCAGGCCCTCCTTATCACACACTACCCCGAGACGATACAACCGGGCACAGCTGCCAATACTGTTGAGAAGCTCGGCGCCTACCTCGTCAGTGTGGGATACTAAACAAATAGATCGGCCTGCCTTGTTGAAGAAGGAAGCCGGTTCAGCAGCCACCAAACGTCTTGTGCTACTAAGCCTCGGTCTAGAATCGGAAAAGCAAGGCAAATCACCTGGCCCGAAACTCTATCAAAGCAGCGCAGCGAACACCTGAGGACAATTTACTTAAGGTCTGAAAAACGGTTGGGATTGGCATGACTCTTTGCAACGAATGTGGTTCGGACCAACCCTGGCACAAACAGCCCGGCGGCATTCTAAGGGGCGCCTGCGTCTGTCTTTGAAGGTGCGGTGGGGTGGTAATGTAATGCTGCACCTTTTTGCTTGATCTTGCCTAGGAGCGGTTCAAGATGCCCACAATTGATACCATACTCATGACAAAAAGGCCCTCTGTTTCTTGTTCCAGTGTTCAACTTCCGCTTCCGCTTGTCGTGCTTCGTTACTTTCTGCTGCTTCCTGGTGTTTATGACACCAAGAAGACACTCTTAGTCCCGTCTATTCGCCCTCTGTCCTGCCATCTAGTATTGACATCCTGGCCATATCTCTCCCTATATGTCTGGGCAAGGAGTCGTATCAGCCCTTGGTTTCACAGGACAGTGCACAGGACGCCCACTACATGATTGATACAGGAAACCTGTGCTGACAGCGACCTTGACGAGGAGACAGAAGAGGAACAAGGACTTAGATTGGCCAGGTCACCTCCAGTGCACGAAATCTGCGCTTGTTCAAAAGTGTCTTGTTGTCTTCCATGTTCAGGTCTGATATCTGCGCCTGTGACTCGACGTCGGTCGAGGTCATATTACAACTCGAATGAGCATCGAAAGGACGTCGAGGCCGGCGCAAAACGGTCCCTGCAAGGTAGGTGATAGCAAAACACCAGCCCGGGGCCCGTCAAGACAACTTAGACGTTCCTTGACGATGGCTCTGGTAACCATGCTCTCCCGTCTCATCCGTAGCACCCCGAACGCCCTGACCTTTGATGCATGATTCATCTAAGTAGACGCCCTTCAATCCCGAAGCACCACTGTCTCCTATCAATTGCTTCCCATCGGTCCTCTAGCAGCATTTGCCGCTTGCTCCGGCACCCTGGTTTTGTGCGACATTAACACCTCCACCCGAGTGCATGCCGGCGCCGGCTCCGGTGTCCTGGGAACTATCAATCAGACGCTTCTTGACATCCGAGGCTAACGAGTAAAAGGCCTTTTCGATGTTGATGTTTGCTTTGGCGGAGACTTCGAGGAATGGGATGCCCAGCTCGTCGGCCAGGGCTTGTCCTTGTTCCGTGGACACGACGCGCTTCTCTTCCCAGTCGCATTTGTTGCCGATGAGGATCTTGTTGACGCCTTCACTCGCATGTTGTTCGACATTGGAAAACCATGTGCGGATATCTGAGAGATGTAGCGTCAGTTTAAATTGCCCGACTCGAATGAAAGGCAGGTTGCATCCTTACTGTTGAAGCTCTTCTCATCCGTCACATCATAGACCAGCAATATGCCCATGGCGCCTCGGTAATATGCGGTGGTGATCGTTCGGAATCGTTCTTGGCCTGCGGTGTCCCATATCTGCAGTTTCACTCTCTTGCCATCCAAGTCGATGGTCCGGATCTTGAAGTCTATGCCGATCGTGGTGATGAAACTGGGCGTGAAGCTGTCTTCGCTGAAGCGCAGGAGACAACATGATTTGCCGACACCGGAATCGCCAATCAATAGAAGTTTTATCTAGAGTGCCACGGTTAGCGGTCAGCGGTCAGGACTGAGTCCCGACATTCACGGCCAGGAATGGTCGGGGAAGGCTTCGTACTAGGAAGTCATAGTTGCGTGTTCCAGCCATCGTGTTGCTCTGCGCTGGAGGCCAGGGAGGAGACGGTGTGGTATGCAACGCAGCCTTGCGCTTGTTCTCAGGAATGAAGCGGGTCAATTGGGTCTCGTGTTTGACTTGTGGGTGTGCCGACGGTGGGAGTTTGCTGTGGGAGGGGAAGGTTGGGGTGCGTGAAACTACTCACTACGGCGCTCGCGGAGGGCCGATAATGGAGAGAAGTGTAAGAGAAGAGTAAAAGCGTCAGGAAGGGTTTGGATGTTTTTAAGTGAATAGGCGACAACGAGGAGAGGAAATAATGTCGCCTGTAACGACAAGGAGGGTTTCGGCGGAAGTGGAAGTGATGATAGATACGTCGAACGATGTCGCTGAGTGTGAGTGGTAAGTGAAGTGGCTGGAGACCCTGTACTACTAGTATGTACCTACCTTATGTAGGTACCTAGGTACCTAATTAGAAGGCGAAGTCAGGTAACAATATTATTGTCTGTCATCCGCCTCTGATAAGCGGTGACCTGTGATGAGCGATTAGGGCACCACTACACGCAGAGGGTAGGGGACTGTGGTGTTGGAGAGCTGGGGCTGATCAGGCTTATTATTGGGGGTCACAGACTCACCAGATGCCTGCACAACCGGCGAGGGGCGTAGCGCAGGCGCCGCCGCTGCCTGGAACCTGGTGTTGAGCATCTACGGCCGCTTAAGCAGCTACCTACGCAGCCCGAACAAGCTCAGAGCGGGTACAACAATGTCCGGGGCTGATTACCTTACCCAGGTAGTTATACTATTTGGAGTTGCGAATCTCTAAGAGCCAGCGCACCATGAACAGTCGTTCTGCTCCCCTTCTCTCTATACTACAGAACAGGCGCAGGCATTATGTTCGACACCTAGTAGTGGTAGGTACCTTAAGGTAGGTATCCCCGGTATGTACCTCCTTACCGTGGACCTCTATTCCTGTGACGTCACCTGAGGCCGCTGCTTGACACCAACTTGACCTGCTGCTTTTTCCGCACCCTCGAGATGTAGTGTGAATGCACAAACCTGTTCATACTGGGCACCAGGATTGCTGCACTTGACCGCAGCCTTCATTTTACAGGGGTCGATTCTTCGAGGCTCTTAGAGGAGTTTCTTCCTGACGTGCAGAGAAGCAAGGCCTACATTTGGCATGGGTTCGTGACTGCTCGACTTCCTCCCAGATAGTAGACCAATCTTGGTCTACTCTGCGCGTAGTTGTTCAGCATGTCTTTCATTGATGAGTATGTCCCTGGTGACTTTGTTTGCACTCTGGGGTAGATTGTCTGACCTGCGCAAAGTGATATCCGTAGGGTTGATGTCGCCTTGGACAAGTTCCAACTTAGGGACGCCGAGGAACGAGCTGCCACCTTCAATGCTGCTGAACAGATCGCGAAAGCCGACGATGATCCTCGAACCTCTCAGCTCAAGTTCGTCATCCGATCCCTATCCACCACCTCGCGTTCCAAGCCATTGTTACGTCGGTCGAAAGTCCGTAATCTGCTGTCTCAGGTGGTGAAAAGGGATGAAGGACAGGCAACGACCGAGACAGCATCACCCGAAGTCTCCAACCTGGAATGGGTGGCTACTGGCAAGGCAACTGTCCAGGTCTACGGACAGATACTCGACTCTCTACTGGATAGGACCATTCCGTTGAGCGAATCGATATGGTATTGGGATGACTTGCTGGGGTCGTATTTCAATATCGCCCTGTACACGGTCCAGACATCCCCTTTGAGATTCTGGAAGCAGGCAAAGGAAGTCTACGCTGATGCTCGTCAAAGATTCAATGAAGGTCATGGGCTCAGAGCTTCCGCGCAGCAAGCCAGTTCTACAGTTTCGGAGAGCTGGAGAGAGTTTTATGGTCTTGTCCGAAAAAGCATACAAGAGCGGTCGCTGGCCCAGGCACAAACCAGAATACTATCCCCCTTCTCAATAGCCCGAATGGAAGCGCGTCGCAACCGGGAACAGATTCGTGACCTCAGGAAGTCTAGCTCTATTACAATAGGCCGACTAGTCCGTGAATGCTTGGTGTTTGAAGGACCTCCAGAAGATCGCAAAATCGGGGCCCTGCCGCAGATGATAGGATCACAAGAGGAAGATTGGCAGACCACTATTGCGAGGACTGTCTGCCTCCTCGAAAGCTTAACAAGGACCCAGCATGACGAGGACGACTATCTGCCAGATCCTGCCACAGCTTCTTCGGCTGAGATGGCGGGGTTATTGATTAAGATTCTAGATGAGAACCTCCCCAAGCACGAACAGGATGCGAACGGCCTAAGCTCAAAGTATGGCAAACCGCCCCGGCTGGTACGATACTGGATTCCTGCAGTTGCACTCCTTTTGTCGGGCAGCACACTTCTGAGGATCGTTGCCAACCGAAGAGCGGAGATCATTCAGTGGTTCAGAGATTTTGGTCAAACAACCATTGACTTCTGGACGAATTGGGTAGTTGAGCCTACCAAGAAGTTGATTGGGACCATCCGACACGATGAGCAGAGCGAGATTGCTATTCAAAGCCGGGAGAGTCTCAGCGCAGATCGGGAGAGTCTCGAACGCATGGTCGTTGATTTCGCTGTGCAGCATCCAGAGAATGGGACCAAACTGAACGACACCCAGGTTGCGGAACTCAGAGCCAAAGTCAGGGAGGGCGATCTGACTCCAGTCCTGAAAGCGTACGAGAGAGAGATGCAAAGTCCCATAAAGAATGCCATCATGGGGGATCTCGTTCGCACCCTCCTGATCCAAGTACAAAAAACAAAGGTCGATGTCGAAGTGGCCATTGGTGGGATAGACTCTCTTCTCAAAAGTCAAGAATTGCTCTTCGGCTTCGTGGGCATCGCGCCCGGGGTGTTGATCTCGTATGCTTTGATTCGGTGGCTGAGGGTTACATTCGGGGGTCGCAAAGGCCTCCAGCAAGGCCAGAAAAAAGGGGAAGCCATTCGACTGATCAGGTATGTGATCCGTCTCCGAGGCCAGAGCATAGACCACCACTGACTGAAGCTTTCCAGAAACATTGATCGGACCTTGACCAACTCGGAGCTAGACGAGGACGGAATCATTTCAGAAGAGAACCACGGTCTCTTACTCTGCGAAGCACATCTGCTCCGCCAGAGAGCAACTGCTGTCTTACCGAAAAACATCCAGAGAGAATTCCTCGAGGATCTTGACGACCTATTGGACATCAAGGCTGGAGTCCATCGACAAATCAATGTCTTGAGACGACTCGAATGGGCTTATGCAAAGTGGCTGAGATGATGCATCCTTGTCCGCGGCCTTCTCGAGACTCCTCATCATGAAGTCCGGGTCCGTCCGCAGAACAAATGCTTACAGCAGGTGCCACGATGCGTTATACGTGATCCAACGACGACCCGACACTAGGCGGCGGTGATTAGGTCTGAATCATCAAGAACTACGCAACAAGTGCTCAAGAGGGCAATTCGCGACTGTCCAATTGCTCCATCCACTGTGTAGCATGGAGAGCTCTGCATCAACAATATAGTATGCCGTGCTCGCAACTTCACTCCGCTAGACGTTTCTACAATGCGCAGCGTACAGTAACCGATTGACGGTAGCTCGTTGACACCTCGCTGTTCATCAGAGTCGGAACATATCTTCCTGCTTGAACACCCAATCAATCGTGCGACTGGTAGCGACCAGTGAATTGGGTCGACTGTGAACGTGAAGAAGAGCCAGACACAGGAGGATGGGGTGCTTCAACCATTGAACGGCGTCTGTCTTGTTCGAGACCGTCTCCCAGCCTTGGTTGCATTCATTCACATACCCCATACAATATATATGACTTATCCTCCACGAGTTTCCCAACAACGTCCTGTCCTGCTTCATCTAGTGGAGGCAAAGAGCAGCAGAGCTAACGTCTTACATCGCCAGCAAGCAACCTATGCCGTTGTGCAAAGCCAGAGAAATAGCTACCCTGGAGCGAACCCAGCTTGATATAAGTGAGGCTATCAACGTGTTATCTGCCTTTGATATTGACAGAATGGCTCTATGCTCGATGAGCCAAAGAGGTCCTTTCCATCTTTTTCGTTTGACGAGACCTGACACGGCGAAAGGCTGGTTCACAGCGAGCAAGGTCGATGTGCCAATCACACGAAACCCGATCTCTGCTTCGTGTCAGGTCCCTGCTCATCGGTGGATTCGCTGCTGAATACCTACAAGGATCAGCTGGAAAGACAGCGGATACGAACAGCCACCTAAAAAGTCTGGCAGGCGCGAGCCGTGATACATCACATTTCAGGCTCTGCATCAGAGTGAGGTACCTGTATGTCCGGCCAGAAAAGAGAAAAAGATCCCAGCCTAGTACAGGATACGAGGGATATCGATCTTCATTCAAACCGCGTCGGGTATCTAGCACGGGGTTGAGGATCCCTATGCGCCCTCAAGTACCGTTTAGAAAAGGGGGGAAGGGGGTTGGGGGAGAAGCAAGGCCTAACAAGAGCTGCCCGGCGTGGGTCTGTCTGTTCCCTAGGTACTGTTCCGACCCGGGGATTTCTGTCCCGTCACTGGCAACTTGAACCTGACTACAAGTATGGACTGGGCCGTTTATCCGATGCATAACTGCCGGTTGCTGCCGGTTGCTTTCCCCCGCAAAGTCGTCGACTATGAGGGCCCCAAAGACCGGCGTCAGCATGCCAAACTGATTTCGCCCTCTACCACCGTCGTTTCTGGCCAGACCCAAAATGGCCGGCAGACGGAAGCCTGCAAAGAGGGTGTCTCGCACCGGGATGCCCCTTGATCAGGTCGAAATCCCAGGGTTACAGTGACTTCTCCCATTTGCTGTGGTCCATGTCTGGAAATCGAGTCCTGGCACCTTGCAGCTGGAACACCAATCTATGGACAAATGGCAGGACAAAGCCTCCAACAAGGAAGCAAGAGTGGGCATGTGTTTCTCTGGAATGACCGTAGGATGATGGAGAGGACTCCTTAGGCTCGCCCTGAACTGCAACTTCGGACACCAGACACCGGACTTGTTGTCTCTGACAGCAACTAGTGGCAGGGTAGATGGGAATGTGACGATGATGGACCAACTGATGGACCAGCTTCGCCCGCCAGCTCCTCACTACCCACTGCAACAAGATAGGGTTGTGGTCATCTCATCGTATCCAAGATCACCCATCAACCCGCTGATCAGCCTCTGTCATTCATTAGTTCGACCGGCACAACGCTCTAGTGCTACGAAGTGGTCCAAGGCTACAGCAACAAGCTGCAAGCTGGAATGAATCCAACAATCGGACCTGGGGTGGCGGTCTCGGTCCAACAAAAAGGCACCCAAGGCACGAAGGCGTTCAATTAGACGGGCCCAACCTCGCCCACCATTCGCCGGCTGCCTGGCTTCACCCGTTGCACAAGAGGCTTCTTAGCCTATGATTTCGTCCTTGAGGTGTGTGCAGATCGCTTGGTGGTTTCCTCCCCGGACGCTTCCAGGCGGGCTTAGTCTTGCTTGTCTTGTCATGTGCAAATGAGACCTCACCTTTCTTCCTCCATCTCGACAGAACTGAATCCACAACCTTGTTGGGCCTCCGGATTCCTTCTACAACCTTCAGCATAGGTATTGACCATGTCTTCCCTTGTCATGGCTTCAACGGCTACCTCTCAGACCGAGCCTACGTCTTCTGGGTATTCCAAAACCGCACGGCGGCAATACCAGAGTTGCGATCAATGCCGCAAAAGCAGGCGAGCCTGCGATGCTGGAACACTGAGAGTGGTCAACTTCCCCTTCGCCGAGGACGACACTGTCTCGGCTACGTTTCCTACTTGTGAAGCATGTTCCAACTGTGCGAAGAGCGGGAAGAAGTGTTCTTTTGACTGGCTTCGTACTCTTCCGCTACATGGCCTTCCGAAGGGCATCAAGAGGAAGCTCGAGTTGACCGGCTTTCCAGAGCCGGCCGACGCTCGATCCAATCCAGCATCTGAGACGCATATTCGTCCATCGCTTATCGCTTCTCCTTCTCTTCCACGGGACTCCTCATCATCGTCGATTGAGTCGATACCGGCGTTTATTCCTGAGTCCAACGAGAATGTCGAGGGCCAGTCCCTGGCGCACGCGAAGTACACGCATTCGCCGTACTCCAGTTTCGGTCATGAGACAACTGTTTACAATCCGTCTCCCAACGTTCCTGATATTTACCTCACACCCAATGCTGCTCCCAATGGGCCTTCTCCCACCTCCCAGAAGACAGCAAACATTTCTCCTCATGCTCTGTCTGTATCGACCAAACCCAGCATCCGATGGAGCGTTCCTACTTTCAACCGCTACGACACGTCATCTTCCTCTGCAAGCTCCAGGTCCCTCGATTCTAGAACCACGACGTTCAGTTCCCAGGCCGCTCGCAGTGCGTCTTCAATCTGCTCAGATTCAAGTCGCGAACAGGAAAGCGCAGACACGTCCTCACCAAAGCAAGTCAGATGTATCGCTCAGCCTGGACGAACATGCGATCCTCTCCCCAAGAAGACATCCTCATCAGCATTGCCACCCAGCACCTCACCCGCATCGGCAGCCATTGCCACAGCATCAAGACGTCCTTCAATTAGTTCCGCGCTGCCTACGAACGGACGTTCGACTCCATTATCACCACACCAAGTACGGTTTGCTGATGGGGCCATGAAGAGCATGATCGCAACCGGTCTACTTCGCATCTACCACGACAGCTTCGAGAACGCATTGTCATGTTGGGTGACTGAACGGAATTGTCCTTACGAGACTGAACTTCATGACCTGATTGCCCAACCAAACGATTGTTCAGCAGCTGACGAAGCGGCTTTCCGACTGGGTGACAACCGGATCTTTTCCCGGGTTTCTCGACTGGACTCGGCCTTTGCCCAGCTACGAGGACGAGATCTGACCATGGTAGAGAACCGGACTGCTTCCAAGGCCCTGAACGCTGCCATCATGGCTTTTGCCAGTCAATGGTCGCACAGCTCACACAACAGTTTTTGGAAGAGCAAAGAGGGCAGGACGCAAATGAAGGCTTGGCAGAGCAGGTCGAGGAACGAAGTGCCAGACTCGGCCGCTGGAACGTCGGACCCTATCCTGTCGAGTGAATGCGAACGGCTGATCCAGAAGACACTATGGCATGAAGCGCGCACAGCCATTCAGGCCACCACGGAGATCGATTCGTTCAAAGTCATACTCGCACACATGATCTTTGCGCTTACACAAAGACCTCTTGATGACGGACCCCGATCGCCGAAGCCTCCGGATTCAACCAAAGTGCCAGATGGCAATACCGGCGGTGGTCGAGCCAGTCACGGGGGCCCTTCAGCAGACGGGGGATATGCACAATCCGTTGATTTACTCGTCAACGAGGATTGGGACCCGTTCTCCACCAGCGACCTTGAAACGATATCCTCGCCTGCTGTGTATCTCGAGACCGCGGTGCGCAATCTATTCTCCTGGAGACGCAAGATCGAACGACATCGAAGGAAACGGATGCGGTCATGCAGAACCCAAGCTGGCGATCCACCACGCTCCCGACCATTGGGCGCAGTGGCCGTGAGGGACCAACAGACGTTCAACATTCTATTCTGGCTTGGGATAATGTGCGACACGACTTCGTCGGCCATCACTAAGCGGCCTCTGATCATTCCTGACGAGGACTGCGCCATGATTCGAGACAAGATGCATGGGGTGGTACACGATGGCCAACACGCAAACAACAATGAGACCACCTCGGCTTCGAACCGAGGCAGTATTGACCTCAGCGATGACTTTGGGCTCGGACTCGGACTCGGCATCAACGTCAACGCTGGTCATGGTGTCAATGTCGGTGTTCTCGATGCAGAAGGCTCGATTGCATCCACGGAGCACTGTCACCCCAACGGCCCGTCTCCCACTGACAACGATCTCTGGGGCGACTACCTGCTAAAATTCAACTGGGCCGGCCCGCGCCCAACCCCACCGCGCTGGCCCTGCACGTTTGACCAAGCGGCGCTCGTGCTACAAGAAGCCATCCCGGTCAAAGTGCTCCTGTACCGCAAAGTCAGCCAGCTCCAAACGCTGGCCTACCGCCGCAGCCCGGCCCATCTACTGGAGAAGTGCATCGAGGAAGCGCTCGCCGTGTACCAACACTGGAATTCGACATATCAACCATTCATGCGCGACTGTGTGCACATGCACGACCAACTCCCTGCGCGCGTGCAGTCGTGGTACGTGATCCTCGACGGCCACTGGCATTACGGATGCCTGTTGCTCGCGGACGCCATTGCCCAGGTGGATCAAGACCAGCAGACGATGGCGCCGCAGCGGACCTTGCGCGCGCGGTGTGGCTTGATTGGCGAGCTGAGACGCGACAATGCCACTGCGGTGGCGGACATTGCGCGCGCCTCGCTGGCGGAACATGCCCCTGAGGTTCCGGACAATGCCGATTTTTCATTCGCCTGTAACGGTAGTGCGATTCTCACGGAACCGTGGACCGATGTTCTTGTTCGGGCGATGGGGAGTGCTTGTCAGGTTTTTATGGATGGTCTGGCTCGATGGGATGACAGGGCTCTCGATCGTGGGTTTGGCACGACCAGAGAAGCATCTTCGAATGGTGACTGGGTCATGGGTGGTACAGGTGGAGGTGGAGGTGGAGGTGGTGGGGGTAGGTCGGGTGATGTCGACTACGACGACTCGATCGCAAAAGCCGAGATCTGTATTCAAGGCATGGTCCTCCTGGGACGGAAGTCTGACGCGGCCAACCGCACGGCCGAGATCTTTTGGGCGAGGCTGAACAAGGTTGTTTCTGCTGGACGACGGTCGATGCCACGAGAGGACTATGTTCAGCAGGGGAAACAGCCTTCGAGCCTCAGAGAAGATCTAGTGGCAGGACTGGACTTGAATTTCTTGTCTACGCCACATTCGATCCGGTGTTAACACAAGCAATTCGAGCTCGAACCGGATCTTAAATGAAAAAGGCCATCGAAGTCGTTCAAGTTGCCAGCTTCGCCCTACGTAGGTCCAAGGAGAACCTTCCTTGTCGGTATATACGTCCGTCTGGAGTATATTGGAAGCAGTACATCTACAGCTACGGAATTGTGTATGTGTGTATGTATAAATATATCCATACATATATATCTTCTTGCAGCATATTGTCCTGTCCACATAGTCACCTGCGAATCCGGGTGGTTTCTTCTTGTTTGGGAATAGGACCGCGTATGATCGGCCTTCCTTCTCCCGTCATATATGACAGAGCACAAAGGTCGGTGTCATGACTGAATATCTTTTCATGGGGTATGGATGGAGCCTTGTTCCATTCTTCAGTCAAACCCAATAGAACCTAGCTCAACTGTATACAACCCTAGCGAGATGTCGTCGTCTGATGATGATGACCTTATCCTAGGGCCAAGAGGGGTATTTATGGATACAGAGACTTCGACATCTCGTAGTAGTTCAATATGTATATATTATAGAGAGAGAGAGTCAGGAGGGTTGTCGTCGGCTACGGAACATTAGTATTTCCGTTCCGGGGCGCAATTCGTGCCTTTCCATCGTCTAGTCTCGACAATTGCAATTCAATCGCGCCGCAGGAGATTGTCTTGTATTTCAAGTCGCCATACCACTTGATTCACATGGACATAGTACTCGTTGACGGATACCCGCTCCGCGACTGATTCGACACCCGTCTCGTCCAGTTCCTTCATTACCAGAACTTCTACCATCGCCAACCATAAAAAACGTCCCTCCTGCCTTCACCATGTACAATCCTTACCAAGGTGACTATATCCGACTCTACTCTGTTCTCTCAACGTCGCTAACGAATCCGACAGCACCGGGTCACTATGGCGCCCCCGGCGACTACGGTGGTTTCCCTGGCGCACCGCCGGGTATGGGTAAGTGTCTCTACCTGCGTGGTGGATCAAGCAAGGCAAATCGAACTAACATCTCGGTCGCAGCACCTCCTCCTGGTATGGCCGCTCCAGGCATGGGAGCCCCTCCCGGCATACAGCAGCAAGAGGCTCACCAACCAGCTAGACCTGGCTCGTTCCCTTCCAATTTCCAACCTCCGGTCAACATGCCGAACATCAACTTCTCCGCGCCCGTCATTCGACTGGGGACATCGGGACCCTCGAAACCAGAAGGCCCGGGAGGCCGAGAAGACAGAGACAGAGGCGGTAGAAGAGCGGGACTAGGTTCGGGCATGGGCTCAGACTTCCGAGATCGTGGTGGTGACAGAGATCGCGTCTCTCAATTACACCCGCCGACGAAAGAGGAGGTCATCAAGACCATATTTGTCGGCGGCATTACCGAGGGCGCCGGAGGCGACGGAGGCATCGAACGGATATTGCGCGCCGCGGGGAATCTACGGCGATGGATCCGCGCCACCGACGCCGACGACAAGCCTTGCAAGTTTGGCTTTGCAGAGTACGAAGACCCCGAGAGTCTCAGTACGGCCATAGAAGTGCTAAGGGATGTTGAAGTCCCTGTCAAACGACAGTCACCCAGTGAAGCCCAACCTGACGAGGAGTCGACGGTGGAAATGTCCAAATTAGTTGTATGTATGACTAGCCGGTTACTGTTGATGTTGCTAATTCGGTGCTAGGTCGTGCCCGACGACAATTCTCTGAGCTATATTGAGCAATGGGAGGAATCTCACGGCGCAGGTCCGGAACAAAGACAAATGCGTCTGGATCATGCCAGAAGCGCCCTCGAGGCTGTCTTGAAGGACCTTGTCAAACCCAGAGTACCCATCCAGAAGGACGACCTGTCAAATATTGACAGAGAGGGCGACGTCAAAATGACAGACGGAGCGAATGGCGACGGGACTGCTGGCGACGTGGTGACCATCCCGATCTCGATTGAAGACGAACTGGCCGATATCCCGGCCGAGATGCGCGAGACGGTGGCCAAGGAAATCGCGGCTTTCCGAGACAGGAGCAACCGGCGAGATCTGGAGCGACTAAAGCGGGAAGAGGAAATCGAACAACAGGAACGGAATCGCATGATGAATGGAGAACGGTACAACCGACTGGCTTCACCGCCTCCCACTGCGCCTTCGGGGCCTGCAGGTGCTAACGGCATCCCTGTCGGTCCGCGAGGGGCGCCTGCTGGTCCAAAAGGGTTTGGGCAGCAAATCCCTCGCGACTATCAAAAAGGGGTGACGTTTGTGAATGGGACAGGAATCAGCGCAGCGTCGGCGTTCGAAGACGAAGACACCGACGCCAGCGACTCGGAGCTGGAACGAAGACGCAAAGCCAAGAAAGATGCCGAATTGGAGAAACAGTTCCTCGACCAGGAGCGGCGGTGGCTGAATCGGGAACGCTCGAGGACGGCGGCCGTGGAGCGAGAAAAGATGCGTGACAAAGAGGAAGCCGCCCGGCTCGAAGACCAAAAAGAAGCCATGGCGAAGAGACTACGGGAGTGGAACGACGACAACGAGGCGGCGCGCAAGACCGAAGAATATTATGCCGACCGAAGCATATGGATCCGCAACCGTGCCAGCTTCCGACAACGAGAAATCGCCAACGACGACGCCGACCGTGCGGCCGAACAACGCGAGAATGCGAGAGAGTCGCAGCAGCGCGAGCGCGCGGGTGCCATGGCCGACGATTTCCTCAGCAGACAGGAAGAAGAGATGAGCAGACGCGAGCGGGAGCGGGAGCGGGACCAAGACCAACCCCAAAACCAAAAGCAAGAGCAAGAAGAGGACCAACAGCGACACACTCGTCGGGAGCCGGCCAAGTTCAAACTGTCGCTGGGCGCGGCGGCGCAGAAGGTCGCGGCCCAGAGCGCGTCGCAAGCGGCCAAACGCACCGTGGCCGAAGTCGAAGGTCTGCTCGAAGACGAAGAGGACGATGCCGGCGCCGGTGCTCGCAAACCCTTGGTCCCCATCCAGTACGACGCGTCCATGACTTCGACCATGACCGAGGAAGAACGTGCCCAGGCCGCCCGGCAACTCGCGGCCGATATCCCCAACGACAAAGACGGGTTGTGGAACTGGGATGTCAAATGGGAGTTTGTGGATGAAAGCATCATCGAAGAGCGCTTGAAGCCGTTCGTCGAGAAAAAGGTCGTCGAGTATCTCGGCGTCCAGGAACAGATGCTGGTCGATGTCGTCGTGAATGCTTTGCGTGGCAGAGGCAAGCCGCAAGATCTGGTGGGCGAGTTGGAAGGGGTGAGTTTGACATTTCCCTGCTTGACATTCCCCCTTTTCCCTTTTTTTCTGTCCTCTTCCTTTCTCCCGCACTTCAACACCATCTTCTTGTTGAAACCCTCCTATATTTGTTATGGACGTTATACTGACATGTTTGGTCTCCTCAGGCTCTCGACGAAGAGGCCGAAGTCCTGGTCCGCAAACTCTGGCGTATGCTCATTTTCTTCTCCGAGTCCGAGAAGCGAGGTCTTTCCGCGTAGGTCTGACGCTGTGGTTGCGGTTGCGGTTGTGGTTTCCCTTGTGGATCCGGTTGGCCTTGCGGCACGATAGAGATCATTCGCGGTCTACGACTCCAGTCATGGTGTGGTGGGTTTGACACATGGCCGTTTACGTCAATGAAGGACGACAATCCTCGAGGCGATGATGTTTTGGAATAGATAAGATGGCATTCAGCATTCTCGACAAGATATCAATCAACAAGATACTCGACAAGAGCCTTTTCTTTTCTTCCCTGCCGACCTCACAGTTCGCAGCCTCACAGCCTCACAGCCTCGCAGTGATCAAATGGTGAAAATACATGTCCATATCCATATCCATATGCATCCACGATTATTGTTTCTGGTGTTTCTGACGACGAGACCGAGACCGATATTGTCTGATTGTTTTCCTTCTCCTTTCCCTTTCCTGTCCTTCAAGGCTTTTGGATTTTCTATCGCCGTCGATACAATCTGCCCTTGCCCTTGCCCAATCCACCCTTTTTTCGTTCAGTTCTCCCCACTGGCTGGCCTCGTCTCACGCACGACCAATAGTGAGCGGAAGACCAACCCAACCCAACCCAACCGAACCGGCCTTTGAAGTTTGTCATGGCTATCATCCTGTACACTATACTGAGTGTATTGATACTTTGATTAATCTTTTTGTGCTCTTCTCTCTCCCTCTCTCTCTATCTTCTACATCCGATATCTATCCTAGATACTCGATACCCAGTACCTAGTGCCTAGTAATCAATCAATCAATCAATCATCTCCCCACCCCCCAAGCTCCCTCACAACATCTTCCGCATCAGGCCACCCAGCATCCAACCTGGACCTCATCACCATTTCGGCCCCACAGAACTGGACAGCAGCGACAACAGCGGCCTTGACGCCCGTCAACACAAGCTTGATACGACGTATCTGGTTCCGGTCCGTTTCCTCTGTATCTATATCCGGTTTCTTTGTATTTGTATCTGCTCCCCTGGCCCCAAGAACCCGTCCGAGACCACGGACATGCCACAGCGCGGGCCCGCGCAGTCCTTGCGCCGTGATGCACGTGTACGCGACCACCTCGGTCTCGAGCGGGCTCAGTAGGCGGAAGTCCGACAGGTACAGGCCGTAGACGATGCCGAGCTCGTGCAGGCCGATGTCGCGGCGGTGCGGGCCGAAGCTGTGGAAGATGGTTGGCCAGAGGGTGCCGTAGATGGTGGTGATTGTTTCGATGCCGCGGGCGTGTAGGGCGGGGAAGGATGGTTGGGACCTTGAAATTTAGGAAGAGGGTTAGAATAGAAGAAGGGTTGATAGGTAACTAAGCTATATATGTATATAAAAGCAGTGGGGAGGTCGTGTGGAAAGGGCTGAAAATAGGATAGGATAGGAGCAAGATAGGATAGAGTATAGGATAGAGGATAGAATAGAGGATAGAATAGAGGATAGAATAGAGGATAGGATAGAGGATAGGATAGAGGATAGGATAGGATAGGATAGGAGCGAAAGAGGCGTAGGGAGAGAAGAACGAGGCAAGGACAGAGACAGGGATAGGAAAAGACAGGAAACACAACCAAGGGAGGAAGAAAGTAGTGTATAGGACAATATATATATATATATATATATATATATGATATGACATGTCTTTTGCAGTGGGATGAAGATGAAGGTGAACTTGAACTTGAACTTGAAACTAGGGCTCAAGTTAGACTTGGACTTACCACCCCTCCAAATCCATTTCCACAGGCTCCTCTTCCCCCCTTCCGGCTGTCTGCACTTTCGCCAGCGGAATCAGGGCGCTCAGCATCTGCGGCGCCCCGATCAGCGTGAGCTGTTTGAGCAGCACGTCACCTAGCCGGTCGGAGAGGCGTTTCTGGGCCTGTTCGGTCGAGAACTCAGGCTGCGTGGTGGTCGAATAGGTCCAGAACTGTCCGAGGAGGTGTGGACGCGGTGAGACGGTGAGGACGGTTGCCTGTGAGAGAGAAAAGGTTAGCGGCGAGACTTGACAGAAGGAGGAGGACGTAAGTGTGAAGGAGGAGCTAGAGCGAATACAAGCAAGATGTAGTATAGAGCCATCCATAATGATAGCGGATGCCGAAAGATTTGACACTAGGAGAAGTAGGAGCCAAGAGGATAATATTGAGATTGAGACAGAAAGACGATAATAGGGGGTAATGTGCTGCGCATGCTGTAGAAACAACCAAAAACAAACCGACTCGATGAAGGAATAGAGAGAGAGTGTGTGTGTATATATATGTGAGTCAAGAATGTCAGAGCTCGATCCAGAAGAATTGGGAAAAGACAAGATCGTAGAACTGATATGGCAAGGCGCGACGCAACAATCATCTCGTCTCGTCTCGTCTCGTCTCATCTTCTTGTATCCTGTTGACAGTGACAGTGACAGGGACACTGGCTGTAATTTAATGCAATGGACCTGTACCTGTACCGCATACCCTCCCCAGCCCGATGCCAGATGGGGAAGGCTTCGTAAACTAGCAATTGCTGGGACTGTCCATGGAGAGGGCATGGGAAAGGGGGAGAAGAAGTCCATCTATAACTCATCTTGCCAACCCCCTGAGCCATAAGGCAAGATAAGGCTGCCATGCCATTGGGCATATAGGAAGACCTAGAACCAGATTCCGCAAAGCTAGCTGATAGAAGACCAGCCTGACCAGGATTCAGATGAGACGAGACGAGACGAAACGAGACGACATGATCGGTGCAGCAAGTTCAAAACTGCCCCATGGTGTTGTTGGTGTGTGATCTGTTCACTGCTGGCTTCAAGCCTCCAGGGAAGCATAGGAGATCGATAGTAGCAGCTGCAGCTCGAGCAGGACAATCAATCCCGTCGATATCTTCCTCGTTCCCATAAGTCTCACCGATTGGTAAGAAGATAACGACTGAAACAGCAGGCAGATACATAGATGTCTAGACCAGCTGAGTGGTAGAGTCAAACTCCCACAATATCAAACGCAGCCGACACCAGATATAGAGACAGACAGACACAGACACGGCATATCAAAAGGCAAAAGCCAAATGTCAAATGTCAATAGATCCAAAAGCAGATGCTGCTTTTTTTTCCAATCCAATCCAATCCAATGAAATCCAATCCAGAAAAGACGAGAAAAGAAAGAAAAGAAAAGAAAAGAAAAGAAAAGAAAAGAGAGAGAACTTACAATAATCAAATACCAGCTCTCCTCGCCCATCTCGGGCAGCAGAGACGACTTGACTCGACGACATAGTTCGTCCCATTGATCTTTAGTTGGAGTGTCGGTTTCGGAAGACATATCCATTTGGATTCAATTCAATTCTGTTCAGCTCAATTCAATCCGTGGGCTTCTCCAGCTTATCGAACGTGGTGAGAATGAGGAATGAGGGATGAGGATTGGGTTCTCTTCTTTATTGTTGAGCTTAAGAGTCGGTTGATAGACAGAGACGGAGACTGGCAGAGCGAGGTGGTGAGAAATTGTTCTCAGATAGTATACAATATATTTTTGGACTTGATCAGTTTCAAGGTGGTGCAGACCCATAGTATTACAGAGTAGAGTAGAACCACCTCAGGCCTCCCATCTTTGCGTCTTCCCATATTGAAACTTATATAAATTTGCGACCATCATCGGACTTCTTCACGTCTCACTTCTCACGAAAACTACCTAGCATCTGACCAATATCATTTGTATACACGCACTCCACTAATGTTCAAGCTCACCCAGTGAACGATGATATACCATCGTAAGACAAGAGAGAGATATACAGATAATATCGTATCTCTGAAAGTCGAGCGTGAACACCAAAGGATTAGAAGAACGGCATACTTGCACCCAAACCAGCTGCTATAGTATGATATGCTTGCGTCGTGGACCCCAATGTCCATTATCGACCCTGCCTCCTCGTCGCACAGGCACAGGCACAGGCGGACCTGACCACCTCACTAAACTCAACCCAACCAAGCTGGGAGAGCGCGTCGGGTCACATACTTGTCCATTTCATGCGCGGCCCTCTTCGAAACGTCGTCGAGTTGCTGTAGGCGAAGAACAACTGAACAACTGAACAACAGTCTTCGTACCCTACTGGTCGAACCCGCCTTCGAGAAGCGTGACCCCTTTGAAGAGTGACAGATTTGCCCCGATACCGCTCGCCTGACCTGACTGACCTGACTGTCCATAACGCCCCTGGGCCACTCCTGAGCCATGGAATGATTCACCAAAGTGTATGACAGGTAAGTTATTGACACCGCCTCGCAGCAGGCTGGGGTTTCTGCGGCGGGAAACCATGTCCAACAGCCGGCCGATTGCGAGGCTAGCATCCCAGACGAGCATTGAAATATGTCTGTCCAGCTCATGTGGTAGTATAAGTTGTTTGGCCTTGCCATATGCGACTGGCTTTACTCATCCAGACTTATATGGTGTTCTCGTCTTCTTTCAGCCCCATCCGAACTCAAATGACCAGCATCTTCTTTCATCCAAAAATCCGTCCCAAGAAACTACCACCTCCACCTCCACCTTGTCCCTGTCCAGGAAACGGATCCCCCCTCTTCATCTGCAGATCCACCCACCCAGCCAACCCCCTCGGATCACTCATGAGCCTCGTATCGACCAATCGTTCCGTAACCCTTTCGGCCCTCCTGCCCCCAAACCCCATCAGAGTCGGCAGACTCGTGACACCGTACTCGACGCCTAAATCCATCATGGACCCATTACTCCTGTCCGGGCTGTCGAGCTCGACCTCCGCGAACGCCAGTCCGGAAAACTTGTCTTCCGGGGCCGGCGGGCGCGTTTCGACCAACGACGTGATCAGCGGCGTGATCGTGCGGCAGGGCGTACAGGTTGACGTGGTGAACAGAGTCAAAAGAAGGGTGTTGTTGGCCGAGCAGAGACGGAGAGCGTCGTGGAATTGAGGAGGCGTGCGGAAGGAATTCAGGATTCGGTTGTTGGTCTTTTGTGCTGGAGACGGGGTCGAGCTGAACGGGCGGAGACCGACGAGAGAAAAGCGGATAGTGTTTGATCGAGGATATTGAAATGAAGCACGACTGCGCGTCTGTCGTGACATACAATATCTTGGTGCTTGAATCTCCTTCGACGGCAGCGAGAGGAATCGCAGCGCCGAGCGGTCGAGGGGGCCTTTCATGGCGTGCTGGCACGAGGGTCGAACAGGAAGATATGCGATATGTATGGCTTCAATTGTAGATATCAAGTCTAGATGACGAGAAGTCTTGTATTAGCAGCCGCTCATTGCCGGTACTAGTCAACACGAATGCGAGTTTGTCCAAGGAAATTGGAGAAGTTCGTGAAGCAGATCACACTGACACCCAACTATGTTGTGACGTCATCCATACTAATCTCAGCCTCGTCAAACTGAACGAGGCTGCCAGTAAGTATAGGAGACTCAAGAGTATCCGGTAGGTCAACATCATGGACACAACCATCATTAGTTCATCTAATCCAATAGTGATACTATTACGGTAGTAACCGTGTCAGCTCCACCATCTGATTTAGGCGAGGTTCATCATATCTCAACATCTTTGTGCCGTCAGAGACAAATCCAGTCAATATGCTTCGTATGACAATAATACTATGGTGGTTCTCTGCCCATGCAGGTTGAAATGCTCCCCAGTTTACCAATCCATCATCCAACCTTGCCGGGCCTCTTCCGGCGCAAATAAAATCAAAAGGGGTATCACAACCCTGAGGCTGATCAAGATCATGCAGCCCAGTACCACAGACGCCGAGAAAAGGGACATGACCAACTCCCTCCCTTCGCTGATGACGACGAGAACAACCTGTCTAACCCAAGGCTTGCTGAGTAACGCTATGCACAACACCAACAACAACACCGCCGCCAAAATGCCCAGGCCGGCTAGTCATAAGACAATACACGACGAAGACTGTTGCCTGTAAGACACCAAAAGTTGTCAGTTTCTGTCTTTCACGACCACCGTTCGCAACTGGGATGGTTGCAGCGCCACGCCTCTTGGAGATGGTAGCACCGAAAGCGACGTGTTGCCGAAGCCGAGCCATGGCACTGATCCAGTATGCTGTCGTTGGTGTGGCCGTCTTCGATTCATGTTTCCCGGCTTATCGCCACCAGTGCTGTTGCTGTTGTTGCTGCTGCTGCTGCCGTTGTTGCGCCGCTTCTTGTTCACTTTCAGGCAATACGATGTCAGGCGACATGGCCCCCAGGCATCCCAGAGAACGGGAGAAGGAAAGTAAAACTTACCATCGTGCTCGTTCCAACCTTTCAATCCATAACGCCGTGATCTTCAATCGCTGTCGAACGCTCGTAGTAGGTAAAAGTTGATATTTTTCTTCTTCCGCAATGGGTAGAACGCTTGCGAGCCAATAAGGGAAGACGGCCGGGTCCGTGGCCGGTTCGCCATAAGCAGCAAGCACACGTTGATGCAGCCATCGTGCAGATCGAGACCGAGCTCGCTCCACAAAACTCAACCCATATTCTAACAGGGCTTGGGTGGACATTCGCTGTATTCGCCCAGCCTCGCTTTCCCCCGGAAAAGCGCTTCGGGAGGTCTCCTCACTCTCTCTCATCTCCTCTTCGCGGATGGGGATGTCGTCCACCCGTTCTACTCGACCGACCAAGTAGCCATCAAAGACGTCCGTGTCCAGGACGCGGAATTTGGAAAGTCCTCGCGTCTCGATCAGGCTGCGACCATCCGGAAGCATTTCAATGCGTTCAATATACAAGACCGTGCCGATCGGTTGGAACCGAGGGATTCCTGTGCCTTCGGGGTTGGAAAAAGACTGCATTCTAGTCATCAAGATGCCGAACTTGCGTGATCCGTTGTCCAACACCCTTCTCACCATCAGCCGATAACGGGGCTCGAAGATGTGGAGAAATGTCGGCATCTGAGGGAAGGCCAAGGTGCAGGGGAACAAAGGCAAGCGATTCTCCTCGTCCACTCTATCTTCTTCTTCGGCCATGGCCTTCCGAGCGGCGAGCTGATCGGGTAACAGGCATTGCATGAGATCGTTGAGCAACTTGTTGCTGGCCAGGGGGGCAGATGATGCTGCCTGAGTCGGCAGTCTTCGACGACACATCGGACAATAACTGGAATGGTCCATAGCCCGGCCGAAACATCGCCGACAAAAGGTGTGGCCACAGGATGTTGTTACTGGGTCAAGCATAAGCTGGTAACAAACGTGGCAATCGAGCTCTGCGCGGACAGGATCTCGAATACTCTCCAGAGCTGCCACGTCCAGGCGGCAGTTTGACTCCGAGGACTCTGCGTCCAGCGGAGTGTATGCGACATCCGAGGTATAATCCAGTTCGCCCATCTCTGCGAGGGAATATGTCGCAACCAACCGTCCTCCATGCAGAACCCTCGATCTGGGCATAACATCCATCCCGCTTTCGACGACCTTTGCCATATCCAGCCTCTCTTCCAATAATAGACGCTTCTCGGTGCTCTCCGTCTTGCAATTCGTTAACTGGGCCTGGACAAGCTGTGTTATTTTGTTTGTCACCACATCCATTCCACTGTCACCGACGGAATGCTCCATGCCACAGTCCGGAAAAGGGCACAAGAACCCATTCTCTCGCCCTTCAACAGGAGGATATGTGATATTGCCCCGTTTGTAGATGGGAGGGAGACATGGTTTGCAAAGCGTGTTGCCGCACGGGAGCGTCATGGCATCTCTCAAAGGATACGAACACCGTGAACACTGCATTACCCTCACAATGGCGCGGGCATCGATATCGTGGGAGTCTGAAACACCTCCGGCCTGGGGGGCCGCCGACTCGGCTGCATCGTCGCTCATCTGAGCAGTTGCGGCAGCGAGGACCTCTCCGCCAAAGGTATAGCGCACTTGATGAGCCCTTCTTTTCCTTCTGCCAGGGCACCATTCAAGGAAAGTAGGTACCAGAATCCATATATCGCAGCTGCACGACCATCCCCCTCTTGTAGTGAAGGCCTCGGATCTTGGTAGGTTGATATGATAAGAGTCTTCCGTAGAGTCGGTCGAGCAGAGAGTTTGAATTCGACGACGAAACGCCGTATGGATCAATCGTGGACAGGGTGGTCAATTTTTTGTAGAGTATGCCATGCTCCGAGCGACAAAAAAGCACCGGGATATCAATGCAATCTACCCCAGATGTAAGTATACCATGCGTGTTCGTCTTTCGTAACGAGTAATGCTCAAGCGGCGCGCCACACTGCAGCAAGAGGAAAGATCAACGACGTCTACACTCCGCAAAGGTGTATTGGAAAATGTGAACTGGGCGTCGCACAGCGTTGGGACGGTACCACTGGCGCTATTGTGTATGACGATCAGCTTAGGTGCGAGCCACTTTGGTCAGGCACAAATGGGTTCTGGGGAAGAATAGGCCGAACTCGGGACCAGGGACATGATGTGCAGTAGTAGTAGTAGATAGCAGTGGTGGTTGGCCGAAAGCCTCCATGTTCATCGGCAAACCCCTCCGGAACAACGAGACCGGTAGGCGGGCAACAGCACCTGCGATGAAAGTACGATATCAAGCAGCCTTGAGATCTGGACGGAACCGGTGGATCGAGTGCAGAGTAGCCAGTCTATCGAATCCAACGCAGCTTGGTGGCAAAGCATGAAGGGGGACCGGGAGCAAATGGCGGCCGGCGCGGAGACGCCGCCGTCGTCCACGCATCATCGATCTCGTGCGCCTGTGTGCCTGCGCCCCATGCTCACACCACGTGATATCAGACCAGACCGTCTTCCCCTTTGAGCTGGACGCATGGACGTCGTTGGCTACCACCACCTTTGGAAACATCCTTTGTACGAGTCATCATTTGAGCTTGCTCGAAGTTATTGACCCTTCCCAGGGCTAAAGGGATCACCCTGTTCGTCCTAACAACCACGATCGAACTGCTGTCAAGACGCCAACCATGCACCCTCATCCCTCCTCGCTACAGGTGAAGAGAGGGAATCGAGATTGATCGACCACATTGAAGCCTCAACTGGCAGGGGACCCTACTACCCAACAGAGATAAAGAGCCGAAGTACAACTCTCCACAAGCGACCCGCCGACGAACCATCCCAAATCCATGTTCACTCATGATCCCATTGTTCATGCTTCGTATCCATGAGATGCCGCTCGTCTGCGACAACCCTATTTGCCGTCCCGCAATGCACCGTGGCACCCATTTTGGAAGCTTCCAGCGTTCAACGCCGTATGATAAGCCGAAAACAAAGCTCACAAAAGCCATCCTAAAACGCCCTCACCGCTACCACACACATAACCTAAACATAGAGGAGACTTCTCGGAAAGGCGCTCCGGACCTCTCCTAACCAGTGTCCGACTCGGTCTCCTCTCCCAGTTCCTCGTCGAGAATGATCTGTCGCATCATGCCTTTACTGAATAGATTCAGAATGTAATGCCGCGCCTGCAGCCGGTAGTGGTGGCTTTCGAGGATGACCAGAGTCTTCCGAAACAGTTGGGTATCTGCAAAATGGCTGGGTGCTTTGACCTTGAGCGAATGAAGATCCGCCGCCGCCTTCTTGTACATGACCGAATTGCCCATCTCGACAATGTGCTTCAATATCTTTGCTCGAATAGGGTTTTCATCGGTGATCGCAGCCTTGTAACGGGCCTCCTCTTCCGCCGTTGGAGATTGGGGCACCGTTGATGAGCCTACCGATTTCTGGAATACGTCAGCATTATTTCGAGACACCGGTCAATGCGTAAACTTACCAAGCACAACACATCGAGATTGAGAGGCAAACAGAGACCCAAGGATCGTCCTCGAGGGTCTACCGCGGTGTCCCATCCGTTTTCGGCGAGCATTTCATACCCATGTATAGTCCTTGAAATCATACCAAGTACAAAGCAGGCGGTGCCTCGCATCGACATAACTTCGGCACCCTGAGCAATCCGCACGATTGCTCGGACCACATCGGCTTCTTCCAAGAAACAGGCACCGAGATCCATGGAACCGATGTTTCCCACCGCCCACAGACACCCTTTGACCTTGATCAATGATTCAGCATCTTCTTCATCTAGACGAAAATCCCGGATGGTGGAGGAGAATTCGTAGAAATGTCCGGACTGTCGGAGTAGTTTGCATCCTTCCTGCGTGCGGGCGAGTTCGCGATAGAAGTGCGGAGGTGCTATCCCAATCTCATGGAGCTCTGCTGCTGGGTCATCATTGTTCAAGTGTGCCCTGTTCATCGTTCCGTCCATGTAGGCTCGAAGTGTGGAGGCCTCAACCAAGGCGACGTATGCGTCGTTGCGTCCAAGGAACCAGTCATCCATTTCCTGTGTGATATAGTCCAGTCCACTGAGGTATCGGTAGCCCACCGACGTCGATAAGAATCGAAGGAGAAGCGGTGCTCCAATCTCCCCAAGGTGGTCCAGAGACGGCCTGCATTTCACCACATACTCCAGATGACTGCGCTGGTTGCAGGCTTCTTCGAGTATCTTGATAGCCACCTCGCAAACCTCCACATCGGGATCATAAAGCTGTGTTAAAACCAGTCTCAAAGCCCAGTGAGAGCTTGTTGGGTCTTGCAGTCCGGATGAATATTGAACCCGGCCCACTGCATAGCGTCTCAGGAGTCTTGTTGAAAATAGGCGGATGTCCTTCACTCCCGAAGTCAGCGCTTTGGAGAGGATGACTCGGAGATGCGTGTCCAACGTGTAGTCCATGTTCCCTAGGAGCGCCCGGATCAAATCATCACGATCCTTCAACTCTACGAGGTGGTAGATAATGTCCATCATGTGCCACTGCTCCATCAACCGGATGCCTTCCATGCTAGGACTCAACGCTCCGAGCATCGCAAAGTATCCTCCGCTCAGAGTCTCGGCCATGTGGTGACGGTCGAAAAGAGGGCTAGCAGAGGTGATTCCGCTGTGCGGATCGACCTGTGCCAGGCATTCTGCAATCTGCCGTAGAAGCTTATTCTCGGCAAGATATTGAGTGCCCAGTGAGGTCTGGGTGAGAGCGCGCATCAAGGCACAGCCGGTGCGCACGTAACGCTGGTTGGGTCTTGTATTACGGATCATCGAGAACCGATATTTGAAGGGACGAAAGAACCCAACAAGTCGTTTCAGGAACTTGGGGGATTTTATGGCTTCTTCGAGCCTCTTGGGATTTGTCAAAGGTCCTTCCACCAATCCATGAATGAGGTCCCATTTCCACTTGACATATTTGGAATGGCTTGTGACCTGACTGTCGGCCATTGCCTGTCGAAACTGATCCGAATCCATCATGGCTGTGTATCTGGACCGCTCGAGGGCTTGTGGCCCGACGGCTAGCTCATCAACCGGAGCATTCCGTGCATCTGTCGAAGCCGAGGTTCGCTGGAGCGTCCGGTTGATGCTCTCAATCTGGTAGATCAGACTGATGTTGGAAGCTGATGTTTCGGACCCATAGTCTCGAAGGCTTGGGACCAGATCGCCCAGAACTTGAATTCCGGAACTGATTGCCTGCGGCAACGCAAAATGCGCGAGTTTCAAGACTTCAGTGAGGAGGAGCGCTGCTTTTCTTTTGAGCATTATATCTTCTTCATCCTGGATAAGATCCACGAGTGCTGGGACCAATCCAGCTTTGATCAGAGCTGCCAAAACAAATGCGGAAAAATGTTGCGTCAAGTCGAACCTGTCTGCCGCATTGTAGCCTGCCAGTTGCTCTTGAGAAGGTGGTTCGACTGATAAAGCCCTGGCTCTTCCGTAGGTCGTAAGCCTTCTGCCGGCGAGATAGGAACCGGACCATGCCGGCGGCTTGATGCGGAGAATATCAAAGAACAGCTCCAGTAGCGTGTCTCGGGATTGTGTGATGGGATACACCAGAGATTCAATTAGCGACCGGAGCGGCAGTGCACTGTTCATCGACAAGAGCAGAAAACCAGGCCAGGTCTTAAGCATGGCTGCAATTGCCTGAGCGCAAGTCTTCAACTTTTCCTCATTACCACTCAGCAGTAGTGGATCAGTGAAGGGTGCAAACATTGCCTCGAACTCCCGGCCAGTGTGCAAATATCGCCGCTGTCGGGGATGATCTAGAATATAGAGGAAACTGGTAACGAGACTCTCGGGTGCAGGAAACGATCCATCAGCTAGTGCATCAGTGAGGGTGCCCATGCCATTTGCGGACACGACAAGCTCCGTGTGCTTCATCAACAGCTCCGCCAGAGTCAGCAAGCAGACATCTCTGAGGCTGTCTTCGTGAGCTTCTGCAACGGCAACCAAGCTTCGGACAACAGCCAAGGATAATTCATAAACACCATCCTTGACATTCAAAAAAGCCCGGACGAACTTGATCGCCTGTTCGCGTTCCAAAGTAGCATTGGCCTTTTTTACCAAGGATAAGATCACGAGCTCATCAGTGTGTAAGGCTCGAATAGTCTGCAAAGATTTCCGGTCTGCGATGGCATGTCGGGTCAATCTGTAGCCCGCTGCGATAACATCAGAACTGTCACTAAGCAGCATCATTTGGACGCGGAGGCTGAAGACAGACCAGGCAAGGTCGTATTTCAGGGTAGTATGACGCTTCAGGAGGTCGACCAGAGTATTAGCTCGCTCGATATAGTAGTCCGGAGGCATCCCGCTTGCTTCGAGTTGTTGCAGGGTCTCGGTCAAGACCACAGTCGGCGACTCGCTATCGACAGACTCGGACACATTGTTCTCCTGACTGGTTCGTGGAGGAGTCTTGTGCGGACTACCTCGAAAGTAGCTGGAGAGACTCACATTGGGCGGTGTGCTAGGTGATTGGGACCGTAAGATTTCTTGGTCCAGCTCCTGCTTTAATTGTGCCAGCTTCCTGTTCGAGGAACCCAGTTCCAGCTCTACCCTCTGTCGTTGGTCCTTCGTCTGCTTAGGGTGCTTGCTTAGAAGCGCTTCGAGCATGTTTTCCGTCCCCAACTTTATTTTCATCTCTTTGGCTATCTTGTCCCGCACTTTCGCCTGGCGTTGTTCCGAGGTGGTGAGCGCATCCACATCCTTATATGGCTGCTGGAGCCGTGAGGTATTCATCCCGGGCAGCTCGGTCTGAGGTGTCGTCCTTCCCGAGTGTATGACGCCCTTCAATTCCGGATTGAAGCTGCCGGGAGGACCAGCCACGGTCTGGTGGTGAGGGAACGCGTGTTGCCCATACTGAGCGCTCCCACTAGACAGTGACCGGCCGTCTTTCATCGAAGGTCGTTGCAAGCCCGTGTAATCCTCACTCTTCCGCGAGCCATGTCGGACTGTAAACCCTCTAGGCTGGGTAGGCGTCACCGAGTAGCCTGACCCTGTTTCTGACGAAGCCATCGAGCCATGGAGTAGTGCGTCCGTTTACAGGACTCTTCGATGGGCTGAGGGGTGCGTAACGGGCGCAGACAAACGAGGTTCGGCCCGGCCGGAGAAGGAAGCAAGACTGCCTTGCGAGCGACCAGCAGAAGTACCGGCTCTGGGGTCTAGATGGGCTTCGTATTCGTCGGTACGTTCATGAGGCCCGTGGATACTTCCTGGTTGTATGGGATCGAGTGGAGTAGTGGTACGAGAATGCGAGGGCTTGACGGAGGATGCTTTATCTCGCGAGTGACTTGGTCATCGCGGCTGGGTGCACCTCGATATGTCTGGATCGGTTCGAGAGGTTAGTCGAGGATTGTTCGATTTGGTTACTGTGCAAAGAACGACGTGGGTAGGACTGCTAGTAGTGTTGTGAGGAACCGGTGTTGTAGTTCCGCATCGTAGGGCTCTTCCCGAGTCTGTACTACTATTCTGCACAGATACTCCGCAGGGTTGGCGTACAGTCAAGCACAGGCAACTCGACGCGCATCGCGGATATGTCGATCCAGACTTCTGCAGGTAATTATGGCCATCAACAACAATGATCTCCATGGCTGAAGTATATATCTTGCTACCCTCTCATGATGCCCATGCTTATCTCGCTCGCTTGTCCTTCGGTAATGCATGCACTGTGCTTCCAATAGAAGAACGACCCTGGCGCCGTTGAAGTATTTCATTATGCCCTCAGTGCCCTTAAAGCGATCGCTGACATCATAGCTATAGCTTATCGAGATCTCCGTCTCTGGGGACTGCAAGCCTTGGGAAACCCAGCCGTGCACATCGCGCGAGCCTGACGGGGACTGTCCCATCTCATAAAAGAAGAAACCACGCCGCCTTCAACACGGAGAGGACCGCTTTTACTGGTATTACATCCCATCAGCTGATGGAATGTTTCCTGATCACAAAGAAAGTCACAATATTGGCGGAGAGCGGAGTAAAATCCAGGTACAGCCGCGCCCATCGGCGAGCTCCGTTCGTACGAAAGTCGAGCCCTAGCCACGCAGTTGGGCGCAAGAACCAATCGCCAGCAGAATAGACATCTCAGCAATGCAGGAAGAGGAAATCCCTGATCAGCGGTCAGCTATTCTTTAGATGTTCTCAGCCTGGACGTCAGTTGCAATTGGTGTTTTTGCTGGTAATATTCCCGGTGAATGAGTGCCCCTCCGATAAGAGTACCCTATATAACGCTAGATTCTTCCCTCCACCATCAGTGTGTCGAACCATACTCCTCGAACGATACTCTCATCCCTTTCTTCCTTCACAATCCGGCCCAATGCAGCGAGCAGTAGAGCGATTGAACCGCGAGTTTAGAACTCTTTCGCCCTCGGGTGCTCCCACTACATCGTCCAGTGAATCAACTGTCGGCATGGCTAAAGTCGCCGCGGCCCGTTATGGCAAGGACAACATCCGCCTGTACAAGGTCGAGAAGGATGAAGCCACCAAGACACACACCGTCTACGAGATGACAGTGCGTGTGCTGTTGGAGGGAGACATTCAGACCTCGTGAGCTTCTCCCAAAAGAACTGCTCTTTATCAATGCTAACGCTGTACAGCTACACACAAGCAGACAACAGCGTCGTTGTCGCAACCGACTCGATGAAGAACACCACCTACATCATGGCAAAGAAGAACCCAGTCCACCCTCCGGAGTTGTTTGCTTCTATCCTGGGCACCCACTTCATTGAAAAATACAAGCATATCCACACCGCACACATCGACATCATCCAACATCGCTGGACCAGAATGACGATTGACGGGAAGCCGCACCCTCATTCTTTCTACAGAGATGGCGAAGAAAAGAGACTGGTGCAAGCGCAAATCATCGAGGGCAAGGGCATTGAGATCAGATCCGGCATTTCTGACCTCCTAGTGTTGAAAAGCACTGGCTCAGCCTTCCACCACTTCGTCCGAGATGAGTTCACCACTCTGCCAGAAGTGTGGGATCGTATCCTCAGCACATCGGTCGATGCCGGCTGGAAGTGGTCGACATTCAGTGGTGTTGACGCTGTCAAGCGGGACGTCGCCCTCTTCGACGCAACCTGGGTGAAGGCTAGAGAGATCACCTTCAAACTGTTCGCCCTGGAGGAAAGCCCGAGTGTGCAGAACACCATGTACAAGATGTGTGAGCAGATCCTCGCTGCTCAACCCGCGGTTGAGGCTGTCGACTACTCTCTGCCAAACAAGCACTACTTCGAAATCGACCTGAGCTGGCACGGCGGACTCAAGAACACCGGAAAGGACGCCGAAGTGTATGCACCTCAATCCGACCCCAACGGCCTGATCAAGTGTACCGTAACCCGATAATTGCAATGCACTGTTTCTGGGGCTGGATCGGAAGATGGAATGATTGGTTGTCTTGAGGAGTTTGTTGATCAATGAATAATGTCCACCTATACGGCTTGTAGAATACACGCATTGAAACTTCATACATTCCATGCTGCTCATTTTATCCTCTTAAGAGTTTCCGCTCCAACGCCGACAAAAATCTGGTGAAATGTATGGTCATGCCGAACTTGAGCTCGCGCTGGCGGCCTCAATAGCCTGCGTGACTGGCCCTGGGACATGAGGCTTCCCAGCAAATTTGACAATATTCTGCTTGTAAGGATGCGCTGTGCCTTCGAAGACTTTTAACCGTGCCAGCCTCTTATCCCGCAGCCTGTTTTTGGGAAGCATGCCTCGCACTGCTCTCTTCAATACCTCTCCTCCACCCCATTTCTCGATCATCCGGTCCATGCTCATTTGTTTGAGACTGCCAGGGCGCGTGTTGTGTGTATAGTACTGTTTCTGTAATCTCTTTCTGCCGGTAACGTGTATGTTATGGCATCCCGTAGCCACCACATAATCGCCGCAATCGGTGGAAGGATCCCAAATTGGTTTATGTTTGCCCATGAGAAAGACGGCAATAGAGGAGGCAATGCGACCTAGTGAGCGCGAGTCGCTGCCGACGTCGAGGTAGTGCCATGTACGGGAGTAGGCAAGACGAGTCTATTGCGTTGGATCAGTTGGTCTGTCGCATGGCAAGAACTTGGGCGATAATAGGGCTTTGCGCATACCTTGCCTATAGTTTGGGACATGACTGATCACTGTTGACCTATGCAATCATGGAACGCCCGGAACCAGATCAACGTCTGAGGAGGAACAACACTCGCTGGCGTGAGCTGCGGTCCGGTCGGAATTCAAGGTCTCAATTACATGAAAAAGCTGCCGGCAACTTGACTTCTAATGGGGACAAGATGGATGCCGCCCTGTGCTTAGTCGCGCCACGCCACAGGTGATTGAGATTGAAGCGGCGTGAACTCACGGCAAATCAGTATTAGTGGCCTAATAATCTTTGCGGCGCTGGCAGTGTCATGTGCTGCCAAGCCTATGTACCAGATTAAGCTTAGCGTCACATCGGCGCTTTCTCCGCCGTCGTGGAATTTCACACACAAGATTTAGATCCCGCAAGAGGTTCAAAACTCCCACAACACTACAGCTACCAGGTCGCCAACTCACTCCTCCTCCCTGTCCATATCAAAATGCCTCCAAAGAAGAGAGTCGAACGCGCCGCCACCGAGAACATCTCGCTCGGCCCTCAGGTCCGCGAAGGTGCGTCAAGGAAAAAGATGAAAAGCCCAAAGATATTCAAGGCTAATGGATGTTCAACAGGTGAACTCGTCTTCGGCGTCGCACGTATCTTCGCATCCTTCAATGACACCTTCGTCCATGTCACCGATCTCTCGTAAGTCAAATACCACACCTGTAGAGGACAAAGTGAATCTGGCATTGCTGGGTTCCATGCACGGAATGGATGGGCTAACAATCTGGGTGATTCCAGTGGCCGCGAAACCATCTGCCGTGTGACTGGAGGCATGAAAGTCAAGGCCGACCGTGACGAATCCTCCCCGTATGCTGCCATGTTGGCCGCGCAGGATGTTGCTCAGCGATGCAAGGAACTCGGTATCAACGCCCTGCACATCAAGATCCGAGCCACCGGTGGAAATGGCACCAAGACCCCTGGCCCAGGTGCTCAGTCCGCTCTCCGTGCCCTGGCCCGTTCGGGAATGAGAATCGGAAGAATCGAGGATGTCACACCAACACCTTCCGACAGCACAAGACGCAAGGGTGGTCGCCGTGGTCGTCGTCTGTGAGCAGATGTGGTGGATTGCCAGGAACGTTTCATGTCCGCTCAGTACTGGAGCAATGGACACTGCAAAAGCTCTTGGAGAGGATGGAGAAGGGAACTACTGTGGTGGTTGTCACAAATACGCGAAGAACGGCATTTCTGCCTGGTCTTCAAAGCTGCGACTATTTGTCTGCCGCAAATGGCGCGGATGATGTAGTAGTGGCATTATGAAATCAATCCAAGATTTCGACCCTCTTCGTCCTCATCAAATCTTCCTTTCAATAATTCCAACTCGTTCATAACAGAAAGTATACGTTTGCTAGTAACGCTTATCCCCCCTGTCATGACCTCGCATACTACTATACAATCTCAAAGCAATGCGCCGACACTACTGTTGCTCTCGCTCCCACCGAAAACGCTGATCGGCATAGACCTCCTCTCTTTCAACTCGGCCCCCAATTTCCACGGCATCACCAACATCCCCTACGGAGTGCATTTCGTGTATACAGGAACGCATGCCTCGCTCTCCATCCGCCACGGACGATGGCTGCACCTCGCGCCTGGTGGTCCGCCGTCACAGGTTTTGAGGTGGAACAGTGATACAGAACTTCTGGAGTTGTTGGACCACGACAGCCAGACGGCGCGGAATGCTATTGCCGCCGTTTCGAGTCGAGGGTTAGTCGACTACACTGCTCTGCAGGATGCGACTTCCGATCTAGCGACACGAGAGTCAGAAGCGGACAGCGCATCGGGGCGGCCATCTGATGAGCGATCAGAAAGCACCGACTGGCCGAAGCTCTCAAGCTATATCTCGGCAAGGCTCTTTGACCGTGTCCTCTCGCCAGAATGGGCCGTGTCCTCTGTCTCTTCGGCACCTAGCGATACGGAACATATCCCGGGTCTTTCGCATCTCGAAACCACGAATGCGCTGCACCAACTGCCGTTGAACCTGCTCCCGATTGATCTGAAGCAGACTTGGGAAAGTGGTGACATTGGGCGCACACGGACTGAGCGGGCAAGGGATAGGAGCTGGTATCTGGCACAACTGGTCGACAGTCTTACGCCGCCCAACGGTGACAGGGCTCTTGGGGCCAAAGAAGTGTTGGCCGAGCTACAGTTCTGCTTCCTTATGATCCTTACGCTGTCCAACTACAGCTGCCTCGAGCAGTGGAAGAGGCTACTCGGCGTGCTCCTCACCTGCCAAAGTGCCCTGGTCGAGGTCGAGGCCTTTTTTGTGGAAGTGGTCAAGATTCTGGACATGCAGATGAGACACGTCGATGATGTGGAGGGAGGCCTGTTTGAGATGAGGGACGAGGGTGCCAGCCCTTGGTTGAGATCTATTTGGGGACGCTTTAGGGCCCTGGTAGATGAGGCTTTTGCAGAAGAGAAGGAGAAGGGAAAGGCTCTACGCAAAGCGGTTGAGACTTTGCAGAAGCTGTTTGAGGACAAATACGGCTGGCAAAGTGAGCGAGACATTCTGAGGAGAGGAATGGTGCAATTAGAGGACGGTGAGAGCGTCGAGTTGACGATGCAAGGAGCCGATGAGGATGACGAGGCAGGCGAGTATGCGCCGGTTGTTGTTGACACATAAGTAGCCAGGCACTGCACATCTTTCTTAAAACTGGGCACGAATTCTGCCCCTGTGGACGTCAATCACATAAGAAGTCCGAGTTTTCTTTCTTTGAACATTTCAGTTGTATTCTTTTGACCGCTGCTAGACGCATGCCCTAATACAGGCTGGCATCTCAAGAAAATGAGCGCCGATATTTGGTCTGCATGACCGGAAACCTCGTCATTCCGACCATAGCATTTTGCTCCGATTCCGTGCCGTGCAAATATGTCAAGCGTCCACTTCATCTCCCGTTCTGTCAATGCAGTGCTGCCATGACCAACACAACAGCCACTGAAATCTCCATCTCCCAAACCTCGAATCGACCGACCACTGCTTAACGGTAGGATTTTTGGTATCTGGCTCTGGCACCCGGACCGCCGAACTTCTTGGGCTCGCACCGTCTGTTGTCGGCAACAAGCAGTGTTCGGTCGTATTGAACAAGGGCCTGCTTCAGTTGGTTCTTGGTGTACTCGTCGACGTATTTCTGGTAGTAGGCAACGATGGATTTGGCGATGGCTTGTCGGATGGCATAGATTTGAGAAGTGTGACCACCTCCGGTGACTCGGACGCGGATGTCGACCTCGGCGAATTTGTCAAGACCGACAATCAGGATTGGTTCGTAGACCTGGATTGCGCACAATCTGTAAGATTTTGATCTCCCTTGTTCTGTTCATGTCACCCTCATACCTTGAAACGTAGAATCTCCGGCTGAGCGAGAGCGAGAGGTCTGCCGTTGACCTTGATGAGACCTTTGCCCTTCTTACAGTGGGCGACTGCGGTAGCTGTGAGAAGAAAGTTAGTATTTCCCATCCTTTCTTTGCGGCAGCTCATCGAGTCCAGGTCGTACCAGTCTTTTTCTTGCCGAAGCACTGCACACTCTGAGGAGCCGACATCTTGAATCGACGGCGATGAGACAGAGCAATACAGGTGGTGTGAAGGAGTTGTCGTGGTCGTGGTTGAGGGTCCTTGAAATGCTCGCGCAGTCTGGTCAATTTGCTGATGTGCGAACCGCAACTTCGCCAAGAAGCAAATAGGCTAAACCGAAAAAGGCTGTCGTGTGGCGCCGCCGCGATGCACCCTTCTTGGCGGCAGTGTAACGAATGAGGAAACTCTACCGAGTCATAGACATGCGAGTTGCTCGACACAAGACCTTGCTGCTTTCTCAGTCCAGATACTGACCGATGTAACTGCACCGTTGAGCATTGGTGATGAAAGACTCAACTCCCAGTCATCCTCATAAACATTAGCCTATACGCCGTGGGACGATTGTTTCTTTGTGACCGGGTGGTTTATCATGCGGACAAAATAGGACAGATGACCAAGCTTACGGTACGATATGTACTAGGTAGGTATCCATTCAATGCCGCCGCGAATATCTTGAGGTTAGGCATGGCAGTCAGACTCGCGCAGAGACTGCTTTCCAAGGTTTGAAATACGCTGCTGTGGCACTTGCTGCGCTAGCAAGCATACAAGAACCTGTAAAAATGACCACCGCTTCATACCTGAACGCTCCATACTTGATAGTATCGACATGGTCCAGCAACAGACCGGCGCTTATCGGACCAGCCAAGATATTTCCGAGACCCTTGCCGAAGTTGAAAAGGCCAAACGCAGCAAAGGCCGCCGTGCTGTCGCTGGCAACAGCTGTGCCCATCCGCGCCCACATAGCCGTGTAGCCAGCCCCGAAGAATCCGTAGACGATGGCAAACACACCCAAGACAGCGAAGCTTTGCGCCAATCCCCACAGCGTCAACACTGCGGTGGCAGACGCCAGGGTCGATGTCAGGGTTAGAACGTTGACGGAGAATCGGCGGTCAGACAGATACCCAAAGCTGAGCTGGCCAAGGACTTGGGAAACGCTCATCACGGCCAACAACAGCGCCCCTCTTGTCGAACCTAAGCCCATGGTAGACGCATACGAGGGCAGATATAACGACGGGAAGAAATATCCCAGTCCCTGCATCAGATTGGAGGTTGTATAGATCCAAAAAAGCGGCACCCGGAGGAAGCCCCAATCGGTCTGGCTCACGGCAACTTGGGCTTGCTCCGGTTCTCGAGTTTGTCCCCTTAGAAATGGTATCAAGGGGCCTGTCGATAGTGCAAGACCGACTGCAACTGCCCTTAGTGTTGTTGGTAGCCCATACCTGTGGAGTAATGCTTCGAGTGTAACGGGCATGACCGTCCCAGAGACTCCGGACGAGCTGCACAGGATGCCATATGCCATTCCTCGCCGCGCAATCCAGAATTCATTCACCATGCCGATGATCGGGTAATAGAAAATGGTAAATCCGACACCATACATTACACCTTGAGTAAAGATAATGCCGCCTAGTGTATGCGCAAAAGAGCTGGCTAAGATCCCGAGGATGCAGAGGGTCCCTAAATATGCTATTAATCGACTTGGTAGGCGTATTGGGGGCTTGCCTTACAACCGAACCATATCATGTATTTGCGGTATCTCCTCCAGCGTCTGAGCATTGGTATGATTATGGGGGCTCCCATGTATGATATCCCCGATGCGACAGTCCCAATGACCGAGACATAAGGCTGATTGGCATATTCAGGAAGGTGCGAATAGTAATTTTGGAAAACACCAAAAGATAGGGGAAAGCCTGGCCAAAGTATACCCTGTTATTAGTACATATGTAGTACATGGGACACAATGGCAGTAATCCGAGATGAGAGCATCTTAAACAACCCCGTCGATCCACTCACCCCATAGTAGCGACTCGAAAACGAAAGCTGAGAGAAGCATTCTCCATGCTGCACGGCCTTTGTCCACCGGCTGGGGGGTTTGACCTGAGGCTTCAAGGCTTGCTCCAGTGCTTTCATCATGGTGAGACCCTTCTTGTTGAGACGTTCCCCGTGACAAAGTCTCCAGATGGGTGTTGTAGTCAGCGTTCGACTGAGCCATATTCTCTTCCAGGTAGGTCTCCTTTACAGCTGGGCAAAGGGATACAAAGTTGACGGCGGAGGAATCTCGCTATATGGGTGGAAGGGCAAGAGGTGCACCACTGCAAGGGCTTGCAAGCGTCACATGAGACAGGTCTGAACTCGTGGAAGGCTGAGCATTTTTGCCCCCTCCTTGGATCATTCCTGAAAGGGACTCAGAGACATTATACGTACTTGTTGATATAAACCTGGCAATGGAGAGATGTGCCGCGGCTCATCGACTAGGAGAAAACCGATCTTCGTCCATTGGTTCGATGTCTCAATAGAGCGGCGTCATTATATTCCCAAATCTGGATGAGCTAGTCCCAAATTTCTCACGTCTTGGCGAGTCCCAGACCTCTTTTTCACTTTTCAACCGACTGTTATTGCCATCAACCTAAACGTCTTTTCAACCACAGCCCTCTGTTCTTTGAATACCTTTCATAGAGCTGATCCCCGGCTTGAGGTCTCTTTCAGCTGCAGCTGGTGCTCTCATATACCGCCCCAAAGCTCCTCTGTCATGTTTCCTCAACAATAGAGAGCCTTAACATACTAAAGCTGCATCAACGTGACTCTTGCCATGGAGAATATTGCGGTGGGGATCATCGGCATGGGCGATATGGGCCGCATGTACGCCAGAAGGTTCAGTCAAGCTGGATGGAGGTAGGCCAGATTGATCCCTCTTCGTGAAATATAAGCAGAATTGTGTTTGTGTCATTCCGGTACGTTTGCTCCTACTGTCCCCTCCACACACCTCCTTCGATGATGACTTGAGTGCATTTGGCTCGAGCATGGTTATCGCAATACTGCTTCACCATTTTGGTGTCGCATTCTATTGTGGTTTCCGTCACTGATGTAAATAACTCGCTACCTTACTTTTATTTTGTCTGAAGATTTCTGTCCCCAACAACATCGCTTCCATGTCCTCAATCAGAAGCCTTGACTGACGAACTTCTGTGCAGATCTGTTCCAACTGCTTGTGTATCTATATAGAGAGCTGATAGGAACCTCGTGCAGAGTCAACGCTTGCGACAGGCCAGACAAGTTCCAAACACTTCAAAAGGAGTACGAGAATGAGGTTTGTGTCGGCCGCAACACTTGATGAGCATGATTGACAAGATTAGAAAGGAATAAATGTATTACCTAATGGTCATCTCGTCTCCAGGGCTAGCGACTGGATCATTTACAGCGTTGAAGCCGAGCTGATAGAGAGAGTCGTTGCTGAGTATGGCCCGTCTACCAAAGTGGGTGCCATCGTCGGCGGACAGACTTCATGTAAAGCCCCAGAGCTGGCCGCTTTTGACAAGTACCTGCCCAGTGATGTTGAGATCGTTTCTTGCCACTCTCTCCATGGCCCTGCCGTAGACCCGACAGGTCAACCCCTTGTTATCATCCAGCATCGTGCATCACAAAAGAGCGTCGACCTTGTCGTTCAGATCCTCTCATGTCTCAACTCCAAGATGGTATTCCTTTCAGGAGAAAAGCATGACCGAATCACGGCCGACACGCAGGCGGTCACTCATGCAGCCTTTCTCAGTATGGGTACAGCGTGGGCGGCCAATCAACAGTTCCCATGGGAGATCAACCGGTATGTTGGCGGCATTGAGAATGTCAAGATCAACATCACATTGCGTATCTACGCCAACAAGTGGCACGTCTATGCCGGCCTGGCCATCCTCAACCCTGCCGCCCGGGAACAAATCCGACAGTATGCGCAATCCGTGACAGAATTGTACAAGCTGATGCTGGGCGGTCATCGCGAGGAATTCGCGCATCGAATCAAGAGCGCGGGAGCTGCAGTTTTTTCGAATGAAACATTGAACCACAACCTCTTGCTAGGGGACGAGGTACTCGACAGATTTTCCTTGTCGAAGCGACCAAAAGAGAGACAGCCCAACAACCATCTCAGCTTACTGGCGATTGTGGATTGTTGGTGGAAGCTCGGAATTGTGCCGTATGACCATATGATCTGCTCCACGCCGGTGAGTTCCCCCCCGCTTAAGTGTCCTTCTATTCCTGACATGGATTAGCTGTTTCGCATTTGGCTGGGAGTGACGGAATATTTATTTCGAAACGAGACCTTACTGGAGGAGGTCATCAATACAGCCATCGAAGACAACACCTTTCGGTCCGACGACTTGGAATTCACCTTTGCAGCCAGGGTAAGTCATTGACACAGTTCCACACGTGTATTTATTGTCCTTGCTTTTTAGCCACGAATCACGAGCTGACGCTTCTGAAAAAAAGGCCTGGTCCGAATGTGTCTCCTTCGGCAATTTTGAAGCCTACCGCAATCGATTCGAGAACATCCAGCAGTTTTTCGCTCCACGGTTCCCCGAAGCAGTGAGATTGGGCAACGAAATGATCAAGGAAATCATGTTGAAAACAAAGACGTAACCTTCATTTGTCCTAACGACATCGCGGAAGGTATAACGCTGACTCACCATGGGCGGATACCATTGAATCAATTAATCACGTCAGCAGAGAGGCGGAGTCTTGAGGCAAAAGACAACATATGCCTGTTAGTGGCTGTCGGGACAGCCTCTCATGTTGACCGAGTTGTCCCGCCTCTTCACCTCTTTGTCTCGGACAGCCACTGCTGGGAAGGATCCAACCTCGACGCAGAAGCTTGCAGGATATCAATCGCCTGCCACAATTGATGAGAAATCAGTGTATCCGTCGCAAGGAAAGCTGACTGAAGGTTCATTGTCGCAAGCCTGGCGGGTGCATAAGAGCCACATAATTGGTTCACTGTACCTGTTCAGAGACAATGGACACACTCCGGAGGTCCTACTTGACACAGTACGTCGACTTGATGGAGATTATGCCAGAGCGTTCCATGGCGCAGCATGACTGGCTCGCACAGGCTTGTTAGGAGTTCATCATCCCAACCTCATTATCGGATGCGACGTTGATCCATTTTCTTGCCCGGGAAACCGCCGCGGGTTGACGAACGAGGGATGATTCTCACAACCTGCAGGGCCATGGCTTGATAAGGCAGAGGGAAGTCATTACGCGGAGCTGCGCCTTCTCTGCTGTATACCGAGCACTGTGCGAGGCCGACAGTGGGCATCCGCTCTTCTGGAGTTACCTATTGCGTACGGCAAGAGAAATTCAAGAGGCGCAGCACCGGCATACAAGAAACGTCCCAAGTGGCCGCAGTAGCTCGCTGCTTTCTTCGTTGTCCAGTGGAGGAGGGACAGCGCAGCCAATGAAACGGCGAACGGAGTTGATGACAGTCGTCAAGCGGAATTTGCCTAGCCTCGCGCTAGGGGAATTAATGTGTGGACTACGCGGACACTAGTATCCAGTCAGGACTAGCTCCCGTACCTTGTCTTGTCATCTCCGGAGTCTCTCCCCAGATTTGTTGCTATTTGTGATTGTCATCCAGCCTCGCCTGCCGGGGAGACTCCGGTCAGGACAGCATCACCAGAAGGATCCTAGTGACATGTGCCATGGGCAGGTGTCACTCGCTCCGTGTTGACACTGCTTTGTATGGTGACTCGAAACTAATGTTTGTCGTCAGCGTTGTGCCGATGCGGAGCGGACTTGTGATACACACCTCTGTCGGGACAGGGGGTGATACGGGTGAAGGCTTGTCACTCCTCCACCGCGCCATTGGCAAGCCACGGGACGCGTAATCTGCATTGCAGTCTTCCCTTGCGTCCAGCTCTAGAAAATTTAACAACAAGACATTTTCTCCTATGTTGCCTATCTGCGTTTCATTTAGAAGATATCCCTCAACTACTGACGACCACAGACAATCGAGAGAGGCTTTCCGCTCCGTCATAAGACTGATATAGCCACTCCTCGAGCACCTATTGGACGCGTTTTGCCTGAAACATCTCTAGACAACATGCTATACAGAAGGCTCCTCGCGGCCGCCGCCCTAGGTAGGCGTAACCTCCTTCGCCAGATCCAAAGACAACTTTTACTGACACGTCTATTCTATAGCCGCTGGCTCTGCGGCCCAGGTGGCTCAGTTTGCCTCTAGTGGTCGCCATACTTTATCCGTCAACGTCCCCTCTGATACCGCATCTTCTGGACAAGGTCCGATTTATCTCCAGATCAGCGCCCCAAGTGGCACGGAATGGGTCAGCTTCGGACAAGGCTCGAGAATGTCGGGAGCACACATGTTTATTGTATATGCTGCCGACAACAATAATGTGACGGTCTCGCCCAGACTTGGCACCGGTCACGTCGAGCCCCGCGTGAACTCGGATGCGCAAGTCTCTGTTCTAGAGGGCAGCGGCGTCACTACTGAGGGCACCTTGGTCGCCAATATCCGGTGCGACACATGTCTGAGCTGGAACGGAGGCAGCATGGATCCCACAGATTCATCCAGCACTTGGATCTATGCGCACAAGTCTGGCGATGCCCTCTTGTCAACTAGCACGGATGCCGACATCTCTCAGCACGACGGCGAAGGCGGGTTCACGTTAGATCTCACCGTGGGGACGGGTGGCAGCTCTACGAATCCTTTCGTGGCAGCTTCGGATGATTCTTCATCGTCTGGTGCTTCGGCAAGCGGGTCTCAGACTGCCGGTAGCACTGCTGGAGCTACCGGGACCACTTCAACCACTTCAACGACAGCGAGTGCGACGAGAGGTGTTTCAGATCCCCTTTCAAGCTTCGACTCATCAGCATCCAGTTCAACTGGCACAGCACTTGGACCGGACAACAAGATTCGAATCGCTCATGCCGTTATCATGTCGTTGGTCTTCGTGATCTTGTTCCCTCTCTCGGCATTGACCATCTATCTGCCGTATAACGAGAAAGTCCGGCACATACATGCTCCCATGCAAGGTGTGAGCTTGGTGTTGATGATTGTCGGTCTAGGTCTGGGCATTGAACTCGCCAGACAGTTGGATGAACTTTCGGGCTATCATCAAGCCCTCGGCTATGTCGTTGTGGCATGGTTGGCAATCTTCCAGCCCGCCTTGGGTTTGAGCCAGCATCTGCATTTCCGGAAGAAGGGCACACGCAGCGCCATGGGACACACGCATCGATGGCTGGGTCGATTCTTCATCCTTCTCGGCATTGTCAACGGTGGTCTGGGCTTCCGGCAAGCAGGTCCTGTCGGTAAGGGCCACAGCCCCGTTTGGTCTGTTGTCGTTTACGGCGTGTTGGCTCTCATCAGTTTCGTGGTTTACATTGTCATTGCCTGCCGATCTCCAGGGGCACCTAAGGGGTCTGTCTCCAATGGCCTACCGGGCGAGAAGCCGCGGCCCACGACCCGGGGATATGAGCTGCACGATCGCTAAAGACGATTATTGCCTCTCAATGGAATATTACGTTCAAATCAAGTCCTGTGAGATGGTGATATGAAGAAGATTAGACGCCAGCCCGGCTACACGAACTTGGGCAACTGCTTTGTGTGTATGTTATATGGTCAGATGCAGACTAAAGAGCACAAACTGGACTCCAGGAGTCTCAGCTTGGTTGGAGATGATACTAGGCAATTGGACCCTGTTTACCACTTGGGCAGTCGCACGCAGGTGGTTGCAGGGGCTATGGCATTGGATTTAAATATGATATGATTGGTCTCATTGCCTCGAGTCGCCCGTGTCCTCCTCAGGCCACGTACCTCTGCGGTAAACTGGGGAGCTCCCGATGCCCGTCACGATGTACTTGCTAGATACGTGTCGTTCGCAGTCTCGACATGCTATCACAGGTGGGCGAGCACGGCCTCAATTGACGCAGGCTCCCCCAGGATGCAGGACCTTTTGAACTTTGCACCGCGTCATGAGATACGACGGGGCGTCGACAGCCATCTTTGATAGGGGAGTTTCTCTTCTGAGACATGAATCTTAAAGCACATCAAGCTTCGAGGATGGTATGGTTTGGTTGATTCCTAGATCAAGCTTCGAGGGTTTATGAAATGAGACTCCTCACGACTCCTCATATTGGTCCTCCTCCTACCGAAAGGGTCGATCCCCCGCAAATTTCCCCATGTTTCCTAGTCACTTGAGATCCTCATGGGCGGGATCGCCTATTCTTACCCATGGACTCCAACTTGCCTATGGTGGTATGAGGCTTCCTCTGCATACCTCATGACCGCGCGTGCTTTTCATTGGTCTTCTCATACTTTGTCCTTCCATGAACACGGCACGTCTTCGATCCTCAGGAGTCTGGCCAACGGGCCGCTGGTAGATCGGACTTGGACAGGACCATACGCTGAAGGATCCCGATGCCTTCAGCAACCAGAACTTCTATGACGTGCCGCAAAGTGGTATACAATGGAGAGTATAAAATGACGATTCAGTTGCCGGGCCTTTACATAAGACAGTGATTGACTCCCTATATCTTGAGCTCTCGAACTTCAACCGCGAAGTACGTGGCAGTATTATTTCTGCTTCACTCAGCGACCCTCTGAGCAAGATATCATGGGCTTCCTAGGACCTAAACAGCCTTACTTCGGCCTGAAGGGGGGATGGCTGACGTTCTGGATTTCCGTGAGTGCCACTTCAATGTCCATATGCCGACGAGGACAACGTTAACACTGTTATCAGGTCGCCTGTGCGACGGACATGACTCTGTAAGCCCGCCTATCATGTGGTATTGGTTGAGGCCCAGGGTTCTGACTAGATTCCTGGGTACAGGTTTGGCTATGATCAGGTATGGACCACCCTCTACTCTGTCAACATGGACCTATCTGATTCTGATATCGAGTTCAGGGTGTTTTCGGTTTGTATGGCGCTATCTTCCCATCATCATCCATCTAACCATGTGAAAGGCGGCGTTATTGTCACCAAAGACTTCCTCGATGTCCATCACCTAGGTGGCCCTCAGAAAACCTCTCTGCTTGGTATGTTACCATTAGCGTGTTTCTCCATGTCAATAAAGCTGATGAAATCCCAGGGACTGTGACCGCAATATATGACATCGGGTGTTTCTTTGGCGCGATCATAGCAGTCTGGATGGGCGAGAGACTCGGACGAAAGAAATCCGTGCTTGTCGGCACCACGATCATGAGTGTCGGTGCCATTATACAAATCACCTCCTTCAGCACCGCCCAGATGATCGTTGGCCGAATCGTCGCGGGTGTCGGCAATGGCATCAACACCGCGACCGCCCCTGTCTGGCAGACCGAGACGTCGGCGATCAAGTGGCGAGGGAAGCTCGTGGTCATTGAACTCATCCTCAATATCGCCGGCTTCTCTCTTTCCAACTGGGTGACCTACGGGTTTTCTTTCGTTGGCGGACCTATTGCATGGAGATTCCCACTCGCCTTCCAGTTCATCTTCATCATCGTTATCTATTCGACTGTCCCGTGGCTACCTGAGTCACCGAGGTGAGTACATGCCCCCATCAGAGTGAGAGGTGAGACAGCTCTATAAACTTATAAAGTTATTGACCCACTATAGATGGCTTATAGCACACGAATACGAAGACGAAGCGTTCAAAATCCTTGCCGACCTCGAGAACAGATCCGAAGACGATCCATTCATCCTCACCCAGCACAAGGAGATCGTGTATACTGTTCAGTATGAGCGCGAGAACGCCGTCCGATGGCTCGACCTCCTCCGAGGCCGGACTGGTGACAAGGGAGGCACCAAAACCATCCGGCGCCTGCTCCTCGGTGCAGGGACTCAAGCTTTTCAGCAGCTGGCCGGCGTCAATGTCACAAGTTACTATCTGCCAACGGTGCTGATTCAGTCTGTGGGACTGGAGGAAAAAATGGCCCGACTTCTAGCGGCATGCAATAGCGTGTCATACCTTCTCTTTTCATTGATCGGAATCCCCAACGTGGAGAGATGGGGGCGCCGCAATATGATGATCTTCGCGGCCTCGGGACAATCCTTCTGCTACCTGATCATCACCATTCTCATTCGATACAATGAGAAGCCAGGATACACTCACACCCATGAAGTCGCCTCTGCCTCGGTGGCCTTTTTTTTTTTATATTATGTGTTTTTCGGGATCGGAATGCAGGGCGTCCCATGGTGTAAGTGCTAACCCTATACCATACCATACCATACCACTCTAGTCTCTGCGTCTGAACTCCGATGGCATCCATCTTAATGCTGACGGTCTCCAATCTCAATGCTGATAATTCAATGCTGACATTGTCCACACAGTGTACCCGACAGAGATCAATTCCCTATCCATGAGAACCAAAGGTGCCGCCATCGGGACTGCGACTAACTGGATCTTCAACTTTATGGTCGTCGAGGTATGTTAAACTGTCAAACTGTAATACTGTATAGAAGTCCCAGGACAGTCAGGAAGCTGACAACCCCATCTTCCAGATCACGCCTATCGGAATTCAAAACCTCCACTGGCAGTTCTATATCGTGTGGACTGTGCTGAACGCGTCATTCGTCCCTCTCATGTACTTCTTCTATCCCGAGACAGCTGGTCGCTCGCTCGAAGATATCGACGACTACTATCGCACCAACCCGCCCTTGTTGGTATTCAGGGACAAAGACGTCACTTCCAGCAAGAGACCCGAGAAATACAGGATCCGAGAAGAAGAGGAAGTCCGGAGAAACTCGGCAGTCGATCCTATTGTCTTCAGACGTGGCAGCAGAGTCAGTATTGGTGCTGCCGGCGCTCAAGCGCGACAGGTCCAACTTGCGGTCGCGCGGCAACGCGATCGTGAGGAAGATTATGAGGGAAAGACTGAGGCAGGAGATTATGAGCGCGAGAGAGTCTCTCATAAGGAGGATGCCTGAAACTGAAAGTTGAAACTGCGTTGGTGTCAGGTGATTCGATTGAGGGTTGAATAGTGGCCTGGTTTAGGTGGGTAGTCTTTGTTTTCGTGCAATATAGGTTTGGAAAGGGTTTCTGACTTCATCGCATGGCAGGAAGGGGCAAGGCTGAAACCCCCTTATGATCGATCGATCCACTTTGTCAAGTATCGCTGACAGGTATTTCCTAATATTATACTTTCCTACTATCGTATTTTCCTACTCTCTTCACGGCCATGAGTCGTTTTATCCGTTACGCCTAGCTTGCACTAATATTCTGTGAGTGTGGTTTGGTTTGGTTGGTTCGGTTGTGGGTCATATGTATTGTATGGACGGACCTTTACTTCACTTGCCTAATCCGCAATACTCCGCAATAACTACCAGATTTCGGATCTTGTCTTAGTCTATCATGTCTATTTCTCCCTCCCACATCCCCAGACCAGACTCAAGTACCTGGTCCGACGATGCGAAGGACATCGGCTAGGAGTCTTCACCTTCACCAAGTGATCGACCTTAGGACCGGTATGCATAAGGTGAGACGAGGCGAGGAGAAGTAAGTGGGTCTCGAGGAGGGTGGAGTCAAGATGGAGAGTGGATCCAGGAGCAAGGCTGAGGTCCGAAAGGGGCATGCGGTCCAAACAAGTTCGAGTAGAAGCGGGTTTGGGGGAATGCTCACATCAATATGCAAAAGGGGATATTACAGCCTGTATGTAAACCGTGGGCTCAAGAAAAGTGACGTTTGAATATAAGAAATCATATTATATCAAATCAACTCGGTATAGAATCTCACATAAATCTTTGATGTCTCCGCAGCAGGACGGCCAATATACTCCAGAACGTGAAACCCATAGGAGAAGCCTTCATAGTATCCTGTCTTTTTCTCGACCTGCCATATCCTCATCTCTCCCTGGAGGGACGATGTAGATCCAATCCCACAATTTCAACGCTGGTGTGGAACAACACGGTAAAGAACTCAGACTCTCAGTTCACCTCTCATCTTGCTCTGTCAGATTTCAATAATCCCCTCATCATTCGATGTTCCCACACCTTTCCCTGTCCCTGCTTAAGATCTCAAGATCCATGAGCCTATAAATCCAACCTATGCGCGAGCTTCATCCGGACTCATCCCATTCCGATACAACCACAACCGACTGAAATCCTTGACCTGTTTTCTTCTCACCCTCGACCCACTGGGAACACCAAGACCCGCAGCGTCACCTCTTCCTTCTTGTCGGCGTCCTTGGCCATGTCCATGTCCAGCACCATCCACAGCCTGAACAGTATCCCACAAGTCAAAAGCATCCAGATCCACCTCTGCATCCATGAAGGCATTCCCACCCTTGACTCGCCCTCTACTCAGATCACGGGTGTCAATGCCCTCCATTTCAAAGATATTATCCAAGTAATGCTGGTTGAACTGGTGTCCGGACCCGACGCGCTTGAACAGCCGGCCGACGTATTTGTTGTAGTCTTCTTTGGCGTCCAAAGTCCCCTTCCTCTCGATGGGTGTCGTAGGTGAGAGGAGATTAGTGTATGATCGGACCGGAGCCTTTGCTGTGTATCTGCTATTGCTATTCGTGGTTGCGAGGTTTAGTTTCCTTGTTGTTGCCACTGCCGATGCCACTGTCGATGTTGAAGCCAAAGTCGACCCTGATGGCGAGGCAGATGTTCCAGTGGCACTGGCGTCGTCATCATAGCGTAGAGATGTGGGAGTTGTGGTAGGTGGAGCGCTCGGCGCCGCATTTCGGACTGGAGGTGATGCTGCTGCGGCGGTGGTACTGGATCCGGTCCACGGCGGCTGTTGTATCTGTCGCTGTCCTTGGAGATATAGTTGTGACTGGAGCTGTTGGTGTGGTCGTGCCTGTGCCTGTGGCTGCGGTTGCGGTTGCGTGATTTCAGGCCGGAAATGAAGAATGCCGAATCGAGATACATAATCGCCTGTGTTGGCGTAGTGCTCGATATACCTGACCACGCGGCCGCTATGTTCAGAGTCGCAGTCGTCGTCGTCGACAGTGGAATCATTGCTTGTGCTGGCCCTGATTCTGGCATCAATGCTCGTGTCGCCGTTTGTTGTTGTGCTTTCTGTGCCGTTCGTCCTGCCCTGGCTCTGTCCGTTAGGACTGACGGTCGTGGTGATCACCGGAGCATTCCAATGATTCGCGGCGTTTCCGAAAGTATATACTTCGAGTTTGCGGATCTGTTCGGCTGCGACGGTGGCGTACAGCCAGTCCAGAACCATACCGCCCTCGATGCAGCCTTGACTGTGGAGGATGAGCACCACTTTATGCACTTCCGGATCGGTGATGATCGGCAAGAGCTGCTCGTAGGCTTGTCGGATGTCGAGGGTGGGATAGGCTAGGTCGCGCTGGATGATGCATTCGAGCACATCGAAGATGATACCGCGGCTGGTATGTCATGGGATTGGTTAGAATGATATATATCATTGACAAAACCACACAGAATCAAGCAAGCCAAGGCCGACACCGATGCATGTATGTTGATGTCAAATAGGCTTGAATAAGCCCAAATACTGGATTGTGGGATATCAACGTCAAATACTCACGTCTGATTATGGATCCCATACACCGGCCGTCTGAAAGTCATTGCAAGTCGGTCCAGGTTCGATTGGAGCCAATGTTGACTAGACGAAAATAAACAGTCGTCAGCATACTCGTCACCGTACATTTGAGACACGATTGAGACGGTTATGGATGACTTACCCAACAGCAACTCCGTTGATGAAAACCCACCGCTCATGTTTATACTCCCGTTGCCCCTCGACACATCGCGGGTGTGATTGGAACCTAATCCGTCTGCGACCGTTCAACAAGACTGTGAACCATTGGTTTCCCAGGACGAAAGCCACAATATACAGAAAGTATAGCACCGGCAGGAGAATATAGGACAGGGGAAACAGGGAGATGAGAAACAGCGTCTGCGCCACCACCAGGATCGAGTGGATGAGATCAGACCATAGATTGGGCCAGGTCAATGCCAACTCGTCTAGTCCTTTGGATTGTGCTGGACTGATGGGCAGAACGATGCTGGGGAGACCGGCGGTGAGAGGCCAGGTGATGGTGATTTGGGCGAAGAGCCATAGATCATTGAGTATCAGGAGGAGAGGATTCGCGGTGTAAGAAAGGGATTTTGGTGACGGTGCCAATGCCATCATCGCGATATTGTCGAGGAAAGTAGTTGTAATAGTAGTAGTAAGGCCGCCAGAAGGCAGTTAGGAGGAATGTATCGAAAAGGTGATGGAGTCGACTGAGCGATACGAAAGAGGGCGATGCGAAAGAGGCCGATGCAAAAGAGGCCGATGCAAAGCCTTGGGAGTGCTTCGGTCTTTGATGGCCACAGATAAGGAGGCCTTGAATGATCCTCGACGTGCCTGACCGTGACATTCCTGGGCGCCTGAAGAGTACTCAGTAACGGGGTCCCTTGATTGAAGTTCAAAAGGCCCAGTATAGCAATTCTGAACAGGCGGCACTGGCAGTCAGCCGCATTGCTTTAAAGGCTCTTCAGAAGAGCAAGGCTGCCAGGCGTCTAGATGCCCCCTCACACAAAGAAAGAATCTCGATAGGAGGACATCGGCACGACATGCTCGCATCCTTGGAAAAGGCGTCAGACATACTGCAGTGGTCGGCCCAACTTGACTTTCACATGTCGATGCCCCAAACCCTCCGTCAGCATTCAACGTACAGGAAGCTGAGAATGGTGGCTTATGCCTGGAGGCTGGCTTTCGGTTTTCAGCTCTGTGGTCGTGGGCTGAGAAGCGGCGGTGTGTGATACGAGGCAGCCAGGCGGAAGAGGAAGAGGAAGAGGGGTAGTTGAGGCTCTCTTTTCCAGGCAACCTCAGACATCTCGAACGCACCCATCGCTCCAGTCATCGCCCACTGGCAGATCGAATCATGCGCAGCAGCCGAGGCCACCCGTGGGGTCCGCTGATAGGAATAGCCCAGCATTCTTGACCGGTGTGGATGGTTCGTTGCTTAGCGAAATGTGAGGCTGAAGAATTTGGCATACACAGAATGCGCTTTTGTGAGTAAGACCAAACGGACGAAACCCCATACGGTCACGGGCGGATGAGTTCTACTCTCGACTCAAGTCTGACATCCCACGAGTGACAGACGAATGTGTTGTCGCTGTCGTTGTCGGATCAGCCTCGTCCTCATCGTCGCGGCTCGCGGCCAGAATGGCTGTACTTACTACATTGACAAAAGAAAGGCCCCAAAGAACGCTCTTACTTGATCACCATTCATTGTCTCCAGTCGATCCCGTTTGTCTACTACGCCTAGGCCCTAAGCACTATCGTTGGTTACCGAGGATTGAGTTGATCGCTCACTCGATCCTGCTATCACAATACCGGCCCAATATTGAAGGCAATGGGCAGTGGGCACAGAACAATCAAGGCAGTTACTGACAACTGACTACCGGCAATGTACAGGGTCTAAACCCCCATAACCGACATATCAAGATGCTCTTATCCTCTCTGCCTTTGAATACTTTTATCAAGAAGAAATGGGATGGTGTCTGTCGGGACCGCGCCCACAGCTCCCCAGGGCGTGCAAGTTCCCCAGATTGATCAGTTGACGCGTGCTTCAGCTGAAGACACCCGCCCTTTCGGCAGCTGTATATGACTCTAAGGACCGAAGAGCAGGACTAACTACCTGCATCTCGTCCTAGGAGTGCAAGCAGCAAGCAACAAGCAGGCTTTGTGGGTTTTTGGTGCTTGATCGGAATCTCCACTGGTCTGATTCTCGAGTCCGCTTCGTTACACGAACGAGGCTGACATGCACGCAAAGAATCAAGCACTCAGCCATTGCAGATTCGCGTAGCTGCAGCTGCATTCATCTGCAAAATCCATGCATTCAGGCGCGGCTGTAAAGCACATGACAGTGGTTCATGACGGTTCAGACTCTCTCGAGGGGGTCTGGCCTTTCAGCTCACGTGTCAGCACATCCAGGATGGACCGACGGCGACAATCTCGATTCTGACATGTGCGAGGCGGCGGCTTCTTCTGATGCTTGAAAGCACGTCCTTTTGCCTCCAGGGTAGATGGACAAGGATGCTAAAGAGTCAAGGTAGAGAACCCGGCTTCTTTAAACGGCCATAGGTACAATGGAAAATGACGATGTTGCCAATTTTACTCGACGAAAGCTTGGGAAGGTCATGGCCATTCCGAATCAAGAGGAACAAAGAAATCGTTCATTTTGCGTTATACCTCCATATACACAACGAACGTAGGTTCCAGTCTCGGAACTCAGTCTCTTGCAGCACCATTGAATATGCTTTCCGCGTGCGCAAGCACAGTAGGATACACGTCCTTGACGGCCTCCGCGCCCATCCAGCAATCCAAATGTCCGTAGCCAGGGAACAGTTCACGTTGATATATCCCTTGGCCAAATATGGTGGTCAGCGTGGTGTACGACTTGTCAGTATTCTCTGGCGTATAGACTACATTGTCAGTGCCAGAGATGAAGAGGATCGGAAGGCCCCTGAGCCGTTGCAGATTCTCCGGTCTGACCAAGGACTCGAGAATGTTGTTGGTCACCTCGCCATGAGTGCCTTGGTACATGAGCTGACTGAGGGCGTTCATGCTGGTGCCACCGAGGAACTTGGACAGGTTGGAATGGGTAGCTGCGTTGAGACGCTTGTGGGACCAGAGTCTGTGATTGACAGATGATCAAGTCAGTAACACGTTCATGCTGACATTGTGCATCGAGAGGAATAACAAGGCAGGTGAGGGGAATATAAGAAAACAAGAACTGGTACATACCTTCCAAACACGAGCTCGGATCTGTGGCAGACGACGCTGTTACACAGTTCGGAGGGAGATCCAGCAGGATACAGTCGCACTACCTGGTTCAACAAGCGCTGCACGAGAGAATCATGCTCGGTGGAGATGCAGGAGAACCAACTGCCAGCAAGCAGCTTGTAGATCTTCGTCAACGGGATCGGCAGGGAGGCTTTGACTTTGTTCACGGTGCCAAACATGGGATTGAAGAACACCTGTGATGCAGTCATGCCGCTGATCCATTTCGAATTGATCGTGCCGTCCAGCAGGCCGGCGGAGAGGGCGACCGATCCAGCACAGTGGGCGATGACATAGATGGGACTGGCAGAACCTTGGAGTCGATGGATCTCTTCGAACGCTGCCTGGATGTCGAGGCGAGCATCGTACGTAGTGAACCCTCGCTGGGCATTCGGGGTCTTGCCGGTGCGGTGCGTGATGCAGAACACTTCGTAACCGGCGGCTTGGAAGTATTCGACGGCATTGGTTTTGATGGTGGGGAGGGCGAAGATCTGATGGTCAACAGATGCACCGGGGATGAACAGGACTTTCCGACCTTGCGAGGAGGTCGTTGTCGGTGCCCATCGCTGGAGGGTGGACACTATCTTGTCAGTGGAAGTGACCTTGATGGTTTCGACCGGTGGCTTTTTGTTCACTTCGTAGCCTTGATAGGTGGTCGTGGGAAATTGCATGAAGCCCAAGGGCCCTAGGAAGTTCGACAAAACCTGCCGGGCGAAGAAGGTCAAGAACTTGACGGTCGAGAACATCTTGGACAGAGTTGTCGAGCCATGAGGTGTGAACGTGGACAATTCAGAAGCAAAGTCTTGCGGCAGGATATGCAGGGTGCCTTTTCCCACCGTGCGATCGCCCTTGGTCAAGGTGACATATAGGGTAGAAGTGGCCTTCCAGGTTGACCAAGGCTTGAATGCAATTGATCGATCAACAATCTTGTAGCCATGGAAATGGACGATCTCTCCACGCGTGGAAATCATGTCAAAGTCATAGGTCAAGTTGGTCGTGTCAGGGGTACGCTTGTCTTCATTGAACAGGTTGAAGGCACCGCGCAGGACCATGAACGGGGAGCCCGGCAAGCCAGCACAGGTAAATGTTCCAGTGAGCATGGCAGGGTGGTCTGATCGTCCAATCACTTCTCGGGTCAGCATTTCGCTTTTCGAAGTTAGAGGAACGGCTTACATTCATCAGTGTCCCAGGCATGACAACTGAGGAAGAACCTCGCCGTACTGCCAGCCGCCTGAGCCGCGTCCGTCGCCACCGCAAAGTCGGCAGTCTCATTGCCAGTGTTGACTTGATCTTCGATGTTGATATACCCACTCATGACCTCAGTAAATTCGATTCCTTCAGAATCCGAGGCCATGGCCATCTGGATAATCCGGTCGGCTTTACGAAGTTCTTTGTCCATAGGTTTTGGATGAGCAGGCCGGCCGAAGAGGTCAAGAGTACCTGGACATGTTAGTGCTCTCAGTCTGAATAGTAAGGCTCTCCTCCTACTTACCATTCTGTGTAATAAGGTCAATCCTGAGGTCCTTCCGCTTTGCAGCTGCCTCGACCGACCTCTCAGCGAGAGCGGTAATCGTTGCGAAAGGATTGACACCCAATGCAGTGGGCAACGCTGCACCATCCACAACGATAAGTCCGTCATGGACTTCTTTCCCTTTTCCTTGAAGGACTTGGCCGAACTGGTTGACTGCCCCGTTGACGCCAGTATCATCACTGCTGATTGTTGCTCCACCCATGATGTGGACCGTGATCTGTGAGTGTCAGATGTTGTACTAGAAACCTTGTGCAAAGCACTCACCTCTTGTTCCCCCAAGGCAGCAAAGAAAGGAGAGTTAATGTACGTCCCTCCTACTGCATTGGTGGCTTGTGCAAGTTTCCCGTTGAGATACTTAACGTGATCGCTTCTTCCCACTCCCAAGAAACTCAGAGTTGGTTTGTCGTTTGTTCCCATGCTCATCACTGCTTGGTTGCTATCGTGAGACATGATTAGATATGTCTGTGTCTTTTCCAGGCTTCCCATTGGCGCGTAAGGATACAGCCTGCTCAACCGTCGAGCTAGATGATGCTGCAACTTGTCTTTGAGGGTATAATGCCGGGGAAAGGTCTTGCCCGGCAGAGACTCCAGCAAACCTTGAAGCACTGGTACCAATGCGCCAGTAATGGCACCCTCCTCGATCACAAAGCCATCCAAGGGGTTTGGCTGCGCACGACAGTCAATGACTCCAGTGATAGTAGGCCCAACCGGTCTATCTGGACTGGGAGAGGGGCTGCCCAAGCCGTTGGCGTCGTAGTTGGTGTTGTATCTGTGTTTGGCGTTAGCATCGCCGTTCGACTGTGGCGGATCAAGACACAATACCCGAAGGCCAAAATATCACCGTTGCCACTCATATCTTTGCCAACACGACTGCTCATTTTCATTCCAAGAGCTTTGCTGCGAAGGAGGATCTCGGTGGTGCCTAGAGCTCCGGCACCTAGGAATACAAACTTCTTTGCATGAACCCACATGAGATCATGGTAGATGTTCTTCTTAAACAGTCCACGTTTGCTTGTGTGGCAGGCAAAGTATACTAGATATCCCTCCTGAGTAGGGTGCTTCTTAACGTAGCGCGCCTCGCATTCGCAAAATCTGCCATGGTCAGCAGTGTTCATCGAGAAGATTGAGTGGGTCAATACATTTCTGCCCCCCAGTTCCAGGCATCGCTCATGTAAGTCACCAGGGTCGACGACTTGCTCCCGTCGTTGACACCAGTGCTATCCATGCCAGTAAGCGCGCTGGCTTGCATTTGCTGGAGTTGTCAGCATAATTCCATGACTTGTTCTGGAAGGAGTTCGCCTACAACTCCCGCGTAGTTCGGGCCATTTTCAAATCTCGTCGTCTGCGGCACGCGTTTGAAGTTCTTCTCGAGTCCCAATAGCTCCGCCTGTTTCCTCAACAGCTCCAGCTTAGGCAGAGGTGGAAAGTCCTCTGGATATTCTTCAGGCTGCAGCATCTGGCTAGCACGGTTATAGTCTGCAAGCTTGTCAGTGACCGGACATGGACAGCACACGCATGATATTCACATTCATCCAGAGCACCGGGTTTTTGAAGGTCTTTTGGCCATTCCGGGAGACTCATCGTCCCATCATCTGCTCTGAGGAAGACATTGGCGTTGAGGAGGCTGGTGCCCCCAAGACCTGAGAATGTTAGTTGTCTACTCGGTAGCTACTGTTGCGCCTTCCACTCACCACTCGCAACAAATGCGTTCTGCCCAGCGCCCATGACCAGCTGGTACAATTTCGTGGGATCACCAATCTGCACCGGCGTCCCTGGGTTGTCTCCAGGAGCGAACAAACCAGAGACACTGATCTCCGGTGCAGCCTCGGCCAGGGTTGACGGATACTCTCCAGCTGCTGAGGTCAGAAGGGTCTATGAGGCTTGAGGCAGACTCACGCCATCTCTCCTTGCCTCTTTCGAGGACGCATACTGACTGGCCAGCCCGTGCCATGCGTGATGCTGCAACGCCCCCTCCATAGCCGGAACCAATGACAACTACATCGTAGGTGTGTCTGAGTAGTTCCACAGGACGTGACAAACGTGGAAACTTGTTATTTACGCCATGGTAATCGCTGGCCTCTAGCTTCGACTGTGCGCGTGACAGTGGGCCTCCGGGTTCAGTCGTGCCAACGCGGTAAGGAGGCACATGATGGAAAGGGGACTGAGGAGGTTCTGTAGAGTTGGAAGAGCTGGAGCCATAGCCGTTAGTACCGGTGGAACCGTTGGCGGTCTGGCTATCTGGATCAATCAAGCTCTTCTTTTCGCCCCTTTTGCCGGCCACTTTCTGCAGATCTTGCTCCATATTCAAGAGATAGGGCACAGCAGATGAATTCGATGTAGTTTCCAAGGCAACAAAGTAGAAACCATAGAAGGCTCCATCACAGTCAGAGCAATCTTTTATAGAGCTGTCCCAACAGGAAGACCACCTTGGCCGAGTCCTGGGTGGTTAGTGCCGTCAGCTGCATCCAGCGGTCAATGCGAAGGACGATGCAGGCTCCGGGGGATCTGACAGTGCGGCTGGATAGTCCAGAGCATAGCTGTGGACGCTGGAGGCATGTTGGACATGTGAAAATTGAACAGGGGTTACTGCTGTTGGGTAATACAGAACCTCTGTCGTGCTCCAGGAAGACCATTTCGCCCAACTTAGGCGTACCCCTCAAGTAATACGAGGCACAGGGAGTGAGGACGTCCAGAATTATGAATCCTCGAAGTGTAAGATGCGATTCAAGGTGTCGTCGTGATATGGTCGGCCTTTTCCCTGTATCGGAGCGGAAGAACGTACCGCCGAGATTTCGCCAGCCAACCGACCCTGGCATCTCACCTGCTTGGTCGCTCTCGAGGCCTCCAATCATCCGATCTGGTCGAAGGGGAGCAGCTGCGGCCCATCAGCCTCAGCTGAGTGAAACACGGGATCTTTTCGCGGGGAAATTGAGGTCTTTTTGTGCTCTGACATCTGACATGTGAAAGTGGTCGAAGCTTCTTCAAATCAAGCCTTCACTGTGTCTATTCCTGGTCTATTCCTCCTCTGGTCAGCTGTGGCAGAGTCTCGCATCACCGCCATCTGGAGAACAGACAGATAGCCTCGTATAGAGAGCAAAACAACAAACTTGCCATGCCGGCTAAAGTTATTTTCCTTATGGCTGACTATGGGCATGACCCTACCGGTGGGCAGCGAGCGGATCTCATCGCGCGGAGGCTGGCTAATGTTGGATAGAAACCGCGATCCCCTGGCAGGTCTTCCAGACTGCTGGATTAGAGGTATCCTTTGCCACAGAGAAAGGCCAGTCACCAGTTTGCGACAACAAAATGCTCTCAGGATGGACCGGGACTCTGCTAGGGGCCAACAAGGCTGCGAGAAACGCCTACGAGGCGCTGTCGACAACTTCCCCCAGTTTTCAAAAGCCTCTGGCGTGGCAAGATGCCTCTTTTACTCTGGAGGACTATGACCTGGTCTTTCTTCCTGGCGGCCACGAGAAAGGCGTACGTCAGATAATAGACTCGTCTCGCGTCCATGAGCTGCTGGCAAGATACTTTTCTCTGACTAAGAAGCCATCTCAAAAAGCATTAGCAGCCATATGTCATGGTGTGCAGGTGCTAGCAATGGCGTCAGAGAGTGACGGTAGAAGCGTCCTGCACGATGTCAAAACCACAGCATTGCCAGCGTTCATGGAGCAGGGTATCTTCCACGCCACCAAACTGTTCCTCGGCGACTATTATAAGACATACGGGGCCGGCACCGATTCCGTGGAGGGCTTCGTTAAAGAGCGCCTAGCTGATAAAGGGCAGTTTGCCAACAGCATAAGTCCCCGTCCGTAAGTGTGTCGCCACTCCAAGATTGAAATATCGCATACACGGCAAGTGCTGACAGTTGTAGGTTTGTTGTTGAAGACCGCCAATACAATTACCTCTCGGCGAGATTTCCACCCGACGCAGAATTGCTGGCAAGGAAGGCTGTGATGATGGTGAAAGAAGTGACCAACCATGCTTGACACTACCCATGACCCATTTGAGGGTTTACGACGACTTCAGCCTCTTGTCCTGCCAGGCGCAACTTTTGTCGCTGCATCTCTCTTGCCTCCTTGGCCGTATTGATATTGACTTTACCGATCTGCACGGTTTTCCACAACTCCGTCGAGGGGACTCTTCCTTCGCCGCCGAACAGGCTGAAATCGATACCATGCCTCGTTGAGTGTCTGAGAGCGAATACAACACTGTGCCTTCCTTGTGAATTGCCAACGACCCTGTGTGCTCCGGCATTCATGGATCGAGCCGAGAGTGTCCTTAACGTCTGGCCAACCAAGACTGTGGCCGTGCGGGTTCCAACAGGAGCATCAACCCAGACAGAATTCGATGTAGACGAATTGAATCGATCCAAAACTTGCAGTCCGGAGCCATCACCTATGCAGACGGTCAGCAAGCCAAGGTCTGTGTGTTCTTCGGCGTGCCCAGTGGAGGGAAAATAGCGAAATAGTCGCATGAGCGTGTAGGTCATTTCGTCTCTAGAGTCTGGTATGGTGAGAGTGCCGTCCAGGATATCATCCCATACAGAGAGATCTAGATCACTGGCTCGAGCAATATCACATAAGATTCGGAATAGAAGGAGTCCAGCATCGTGCCAGGCTTTTGCGGTGCTGGCTTCGAGACTTGTGGCCAGCTGCGCCGGAGAGCTTGCATTCGAAGTTGCATTGCTATGCACACGACAGCGGAACGTGATGTATTCCTTCTCATCTGCAACATGATAGTACCCAAACTCGGTGCCTTGTTTAGACGGGTATAAAGAATTCTTTTCCACCTCCGAGGCGTCGAAATATGCGGCCGAGCGGCCCAATAGGTCTGTGGTGCTCTGGGCTAACGCTTCCGGTAGCTCGAGGAATAGCCAGCCTTGCTGCGCAAGATGAAGGAGTTGGTCTTCGTTCAATAGCGGTGGTGGTCCTGGAGGGGGTGGAATTAGGGTTTGGTCGGCCATTGGCAGTTAGTGGGAGCTGCTGTGCAGAGTCAGTTGAGGTTTTCCTCGACTTCTCCTGGTCCGAACGACCTCGCCTTGCTACGTCTCTGAGTAGTTAATATCGCATGAATAGACGAGTTTGCAAATAACTACTCAGGTATGCCACTTGGTAGCAAAGATCTCACCGGGATTCGCGGAACACGGCCGCGGATAGGAAATGACGTGTCGACTAGATCGGTGTCAGAACCTCAAGGCAGCATGTTGCCTCATTCCAGAGTGCTGCAGATGGATAACTGCAGCTTCACAGAATATCTTCTTCACAGCACCGGCGAGCAAGAGGTCCATATCGGTAGACAAACATGTAGATACGATGCTACCACAGTGACAAGCCTTTCTGTATGCAAAGAAATAAGATATCGGCGCGTCGACGCGTCTTGACAGTCAGCTATGACATCACTGTACCTTGGCGAGTGCGAGCAGCAATTTCCCTCGAGTCATTACTACTACTGCAGGTACCTTATGGCCTTTCGTCTGCGGTGTTCTACCTAATGTAGGCCCTAGGTACTGGGGTATCTGTACCTTACACAGTACACACTGTAGGTCTATCCCAAGAGTCAAGACTTGTGTTCTTTTTCGGTGCTGTCCTACAAGTTGAGCAAGGCAACACACAGAGCTGAACAACAGCCCGGATCTATCCATTGTAACAGGACTTCCATGGACAACTGCCAATGATAGTTTGTGCATTGACAATCTGCCAGATTGAATACATCATGACCCTGTTGTATGATCCGCGCATCGACCAGCGAGCGCTTTGCTGCTTCCTCTCTTGTCCTATCATGAGCTATGGCCCGGTCAGAGACACAAGATGGTGACGATCAATTTGGTTGGCTCTCCGTTGAGGACAATGCAGGAGAAAACCTGTAAAGACACTATTAGATTCGCTTAACTAGACGTGAGTCTGCAGGAAGTTCGCAACCGAAGTACTGACTGCAACTATAGAAGCCGTGGTAGAGTCCTAGTCCTTGATGTCTTTTCTCTATCGTCCCATACCACTCATTCGGCTGAGCATCACTGCCTGTGCAAGCAAGCGTCTGTCGAACTGTCCCGCGCTGACACTCTCATATCTCGCGCGTTCTCACTACAGTACTCAACGCCCAGCATCGATGATGGAGACGGTCAAAACGGCAATTGCGGAGAATCTTGGGGGCGTCTCTCACAAGTTGGCCAATCAGGAAGACCAGTTTGACATCAACAAAGATGTGCCGGACCTCTCTGGCAAAGTTGCTCTGATCACCGGCGGCAGCGAAGGCATCGGATATGCGACGGCCTACACGCTGCTGAAAGCAAACCTGTCCAAGATCTTCATTGTGTCGATGAAGGAGGACGTCAAGGACAACGCCGTGGAGGAAATTCGCCAGAACCTTGGAGCCGAGTACGCCGACAAGGTCGTCTGGTTGCAATGCGACCTGTCTGACTGGCCGGCTGTGACGGAGGTCGCAAAGCAGGTCCGCGACCAGACGGACCGGCTGGATATCTTGTGTCTCAATGCAGCGCGTGGGATCATGACCTATCAGCTGACTGACTATGGACTCGACCGACATATGGCGATCAACCATTTCGGACACGTCACTCTGACCTCGCACCTGCTGCCGCTGTTGAAGAAGACTGGCGACAAGGGCACCGTGCGGATCCAGGTGCAGTCGTCGCGATCACACGCAGATACCCCTAAAGACGTCAAGTTCGAGTCGCTTGACGAACTCAACACCGACCTGGGCGCCAACGCGCAGTACGCCCGCTCGAAGCTGGCTGTTTTGCTGTACACGCGATATTTGGATGCCCACCTGCACAAGGAGCACCCGAATATCCTGATCAATGCGACGCATCCTGGATTTGTCCAGACGAGACAATCGATGAAGGACATCAAGGAGCCGTATCCCATCGTTGGCCAAGTCATGCCTTTGGCCGTCAGTTATATTATGAAGGATATCTGGATGGGCTGTGTGAGTACGGTGTATGCGGCGACCGCCGCGACCAAGTCCGGCCAGTATATCTGCCCACCAGCCATTGCGGAACCGGGGAGTGAGCTGGCGCAGAACAGTGAACTGGGCGAGCAATTAATGAGACTGACGCGCGAGATTGTCAAGGAGAAATTCGGCGTGCAGAGCGTGGACAAGGGCTGTCCATTGAAGGATTATTAGGACTTGCTGGACTGGATATTGTATGCGCGTTACGGTCCAAGGCACGTGTCGAAGGAAAAGGGAGCTTGTAGCAATGGAAACCACTTCAATAAGTTCCAGAGATCCCTTTTGAATACATCTGGTCACTGGACTTCGTTGTTGAATTGCTTCCATCTTTGGAAAAATTGAGCCGCATTGATAACCCAACATCCCGCTTGAACAACCCTTTTCATGCAGAATGACAGACCATTATAAATCTTGCAGTCGACTTCGCTGGACGTCCTTCGGACCCGAAGACACCATCTCTGCTCCTGTGTCCTGTGTGACACACACAGGCAGGCCGACCTTGCTGTTCGTGATATACTCCTATCACCACCCAACTCAACGGCACGTCTCTGACCCTTACCGGGAGATGACACCAAATTTTGCCCTGTCAACGCTCAGTCCATACTGGCGTGTTTTACTCCCACTTCTTTCTGCCCAAATTCAATCCAACCCCGTGGTTGAAGACAAGCGTGCCGCCAATCTTCGCCGAGGTCACCAGCAACGGCAACAGAACAATACTAATCACCAGATTCAAGTCGCTCGGCACCCTGCCGACAGTCTTGTTGTTCTTGCGAAGATACCAACTATACAAATTGACGACGAAGACGACATCGTTCATGAGGGCGTGGGTGATGGTGGCCTTGATGCGCGGGACCATCGAGCTCTTCTGTTTTCCCTCGCTGTCCTTCTCCCACGGTCCGCCGTTCTTCTTGATCATCCCCACCAGCTGGATGTTGCCGGACATGATGGCCGGGACTGTACTGACCAGGCCGGCGCAGAGCAGGAAGTACGACAGCCGAGTCAGGTCGACGAGGGTCGAGGGCTCGCCGAACCGCGTGGTCAGGAACGAGGGCCGGATCCATGTCGTCGTCAGCGCGTACAGGATGTCCAGGCCCCATGAGAGAATGCTGAATGCGATTGGGAAGTGCACGAGCGCTGGATGCGCGGGATGTCTGGTTGCACCCGGGAGAGTTGTTAGTTATCATTCCCAGAGGGCAAGAAGTTGTCATTTTGGCTGACACCGGGCTGTAGAGAACGAATGGAGGGAGGCAGGTCAGGGCACTAAACATACTCGGTGTTGAACTCAGGCACGGGTTCGCCGACTTTGTGAGCGAACTTGCTCTGTAGATGCGTCGAGTACACCATTTTGGCTGTGGTCGTTGTCACGGGTGGATTTGGTTGGAGAGTGGAAGCGTTGTATTAAGATATGCCTAAGTACGATCAAGTAAATGAACGTGAGGAGGAATGATAGAAACAGAGACAGAGACAAAGGTAAAGGTGAACGAATGGATGAACACGCAGAGAGAGTTCTGAAGGCAGGCGGTGGCAGGCAGGCCTGTTGTATATTTAGAAACCAAAAAGGGGAGACCACACGCAAATCAATCAACTCGACGAGACACGCGCAACAGAGAGCGACACACCAGATCCACTCAAACTAATCGCGGAGTCCGATTGAAATCTTGACGATTTGACACTCCGGGGCCAAATGAGACATCGTCCAATCAGGGAGTCGTAGCTTGTAAGCAGCACCACCACCGGCGCAGTCAGTGATCATATGAAATGAACACCTGGCATCCGCCCGTCAGGCCCCCAGTAAGTGTCGTCGACAACTTGAATGTGAGGAACGGATGGTCTTGGGCAACATACGCAGTCAGGACGTCCTTTCTACTCCCAGTCACAGTGTTGGCCGCAGTAGACACCCTCGACATCCAAGAATCGGGCTGCACGTGACAGCCGACCCCCTTTTCCGGGCCCGGCAAGGCTGAGCGAGGCTGAGAGTGGAGGTAGGGGCAACGTCCATATTTACTCTGTATCGACCCATCCCTCCTCAAATGCATCCACCTACCAATATACCCTCGAAAGCTGAGTGACACGACACACCAACTTCCATCCTACTCATGTCTACAGCTTAGCCCTCCCCAAAGCCTCAATGACCTCCTTCGCGCCTCTCTCGCCCGACCGCACAGCTCCCTCCATGTATCCCTTCCACTCATACGCAGTCTCGGTGCCGACAAAATGAACCTTTCCATGCGGCGTACGCAGTGCATGATGACAGCCGGTCATGATCCCCGGCGGCGACGCAGGACAAGGACATCCTTGCGCCCACTGGTCCTTGTACCACTCGTGTTCCGTGACCGCGATCGGGTCTGGAACCCCGCCATCCATATACGGGCCATATGTGCGCTTAATATGGGCCAGGATAGCGTCGAACCGTTCGCGCTGCGGCAGCAGTGACACCTTGCGCCCGAATGCGCCGTTGGTGAAGCACGTCAGCGAGAACTGGCCTGTGCCGTCGGTACTCGAGTCGCGGCTGGTCGTGATGGGGCCGCGGAACGACATGGTCGCACCGGACAGGCCTTTCTTACGCCACCAGGGCTCGGTGTAGCTCACCATCACCTTAAGTGTGTAGCCGTGGACATTTTTCTGGCCCAGCTCGACCTTGGCCGGCGGCAAAGGCGGGTCGAATGCTATCTCCTTGTACAGCACTGTCGGGACGGACACGATGACCCGGCGACACTGGAACTCTCCACGCCCGGCAGACACAAAGATACCCTCGGGAGTCTGCGAGATCCGGCGCACGGGTGAATCCAGCACGACGGATCCTGGGTGCAGCAGCTCCGCTAGACCAAGAGACATGGATTGAGTGCCTAATGTCACGCACGAATTGTCAATGGAAAGTTTAGGTACCCATCACCGTGCTTGCAAGGGGTACCCAAAGCACACGAACGGTTGGACTTGGACTTGGACCCACGTACCTTTGACAAACCGAAGGTGTTGGCCTCCATGCTTGAAATCCGACCTGAGCTGCAACAAGCCGCCGCCGCTCTTGCAATAGTCGAGGAAGAACAATGCGCTCAATTCCGAGGGTTCCAGACCTAGCAGAGCCCTTGTCCACAACGTAACGGATGCAAGCGCACTACTAGAGGTGCTGTTCGCCTTACACCACTCCTCGAGGGTCATGTCGTCCAAACCGCCGCCTGTGCCAACCGGGTCGTGGATGTCTAGCTGCTGACACAGCTTCTCAGCCAAGTCGCGGATATAAACCAGACCCTCGACCCCATTGGGCTCTGCCAGCTTCGTCGGTGTGCCGCCGTACGGGAACAAGCCTAGTCTGCCGTCAACGTCTTCCTGGATGATATCTCCGACGGTGTTCTGCACGACGAGGTCCAGCCCGAGCGACTTGGCCAGCGCGTACACTTTCGCCTGGTTGCTGTCGTTGATCCAGGCGGCGCCGAGGTCGACGATCTTCCCACTGCCCTCCTGTCCTGCAGGCTGGACAGACCACGTCTTGCCGCCCACCCGGTCGCGTGCCTCGACAACCACACAGGACACCCCGGCCTGTTGCAGGTCGTAGGCGGCTTTGAGCCCGCTCAGTCCCGCACCCGCGACGACCACGTCGACCGTCCGCATCGGGTCCTGTCTGACTGCAGCGTAGGCCTCGATCTCGAACTTATACTCCGGCCTCGCCAGTGCCGGTACGGGAACCAACGTTGTCGCTGGCCTGTGCCCGTCCAGAAACCGCTCGAGATGCTTCGTATGTCGTCGCTTCGCCGGATCGTAGTCCACGATATAGTAGACTAGCTTGAAGATATCTGTGACTTTGGCACCTGCTGCCTCGAGACAACGCGCCAGGTTTTGGAACGCCAGTGCTATTTGCTGGTCGATGTCTTGAGGGACAACTCCGTTGCGATCTGCCCCGACCTGCCCGGCCGTTGAGACAATCCGGCATGGTCCTGTGGACGAAGTGACGTGTGAGAAGGTCGGACGTGAATCGAACAGCCGGTACGGATCAATCGTGTACACACTGTTTCCGTCTCTCTTGTCCTTGCTCGGTAGAGGAGACATGGTGGAGTGATGCGTCTATACAGTCAGGGCCAACGTAGAAGAAAACGCCTGGGTAATCTCCTTTTCTCTTTCGACGTATCGACTGCACAGAAGATCTTTTCCGAGAGAGTGCAATATCAGCATTCAAAACCTTTGATCTCCCGACGGCTTCCTCGATCAAACAAACAGTCTGAATATGATCTTGCATAACAATCCGTAAATTCCCAAACCGTTCATTCGCAACATGGTCTACTTATCTATCGCATCTTCGGAAATCGACTACTATCACAATCGATTGCCCCTCAGTCAAATCGCTCAGACTACCCAATCGCGAGTGCAGATGTCGATGCGGAGAGTTTCGCACTTGACATGGACGAGAGATATGGAGCGGAGCCGGCGACGGAACTCGCTACTCGTATCCTCCTTCTAGTTGGGGGAAGTGTAACTGATAAGATCAAGACTCGGTTCCGAGATAAATCGGTTCACGCCTGTCGGTAGCGACAACAATGGTCGAACTTTTTTCTCTGTACGTATAGGGCAACCAGTTGCTCATCAACTTGCAGGTTATTGATAACATTACAGGAACATCAGTCGTGTACAGAGCCATCATTCGACAGGGCTGAGAAAGTTGAATTTGATCACAAGGCGATGAGACTCCACGGTCCAAATAGATCAGGTCATCCATGAACCGAATCCCCAGCCTTGTCTTTCGTAACTTCTGCAATAACAGATCGATTACCCATACATACAAAGAATCTGCATCACGACAATGTCCACCACACCAAGCAGGAGCAAAATTCCCGCTCAGGGTTTGATGCCATTTCAATCGAATCCTCAGGAAGACACCAAGCTCAACCGATGTCGCTTTTCAGCCTCGGTCTCACGCAGCTTTCTTCGTGAGAATACACTTCTCTCCCACCCGTCGAGCTCGCTGATTTTCGTTTCTCTGACCAACTCGTACCCCCCAATACGTGGCAGTAGAACGGCCCAGACGAGCCAGTACACGCCTCCGGCGGCGATGATTCCCATACCCACCACACAGTGCAGATAGTAAGGGAGATCGTTGTAGACGTTCTGCCCGTGCTCGGGCGGCACGAACGGGGCGGCTGCAAGGTAGATGTTGCTGAGCAAAAAGAGAAGTACGACGGGCCAACTGGCGCGGAATGGGGGCGACCAGCCCCATTTGCCGGGGTTGATGTAGAGATATAACAAGCCGGCCGCAACAAAGGCGTTGACGATCGATAATGGGTATGAGATGACACTAGAAACGCATACAAATGTTAGTTTGCGTGTTCTTTGTATTGGAGATCGACATGCCCCTGGGGTATCTTGTGAGGCTACTCACTTGAGGATGAAATTGTATGCATCGCCAGGCGGAGGCGCAAGCATGATGATCACCGACACCAGCCAGTGCTCGAACAGCCCAGCAAGAGGAGCGTTGAAGGGCTTGTTGCTCGCCCAGAATCGCGAAAACGGCAAAATGCCCTCACGACCTAGTTCCTGGACCACTGGATCGAGCCTGGTCAGTATAGAGCCAGAGAGACAAGCCGGGAACGAGAACAAAAGACTTACGTCGACCTTGAGAGAATATAACGCTGAGTACGTTTCCGAACGCGGACAACGCAACAAAGACTGACAGTGCTCGTTCGGCACTGTTGCCGAAGACGTTACGGAAGAACGACGCCGCTAGGATACGTCCGGAAGATGCGATCTCTTCTTTCGGCACGGCGGCGAAGTAAGCGATCTAACCCAGCACCGTCAGTGAGAGTCCATAAGTCTTGCTGCCTCCTTCGTGGTTTTATGGGAACTTGAGGTCTCTGAGCAATACTTACGTTCACCAACATGTAGATAACCGCGACTGAAATCAAAGCTGCAGGTCCAGCAATCTTGATAGTCCGGACAGGATTTCGCGTTTCGCTGAGGGCGTAGTTGGCATTGCTGTAGCCAATGTAGCTCCAAATCACGTTGTACAACGCCGTCACAACACCATACCTGTACAGTGTCCGATTAGCTCCCAGTCCTGGAAGCGAGTAGTGAAAAAAAGGGATCCAAAACTCACGCGCTGCCTGTGGTTCCTGCAAAAGCATTATCAAAGTTGTGCGGCTTGTCGATTTTGAGGGCTCCGCCCAGAGCAGCCTGTTACGGTGAGCACGGAGTCGTCTTCAGTCTGCACGGTCGATGATCTTGGACGTACCCAGCCAGCAACAATGATCAGAAGCACAACAATCAGCTTGATAAGGCCAAGGAGGTTCTGTAGTCGCAGGCCCCACTTCAGGGCGCAGCCGTGGACGAGGAAAGCAGCTGTGATGCATGCCAATCCAATGCCTCTCTGATTCCATCTGGTGACCTCGACCTGCGCTGCGTTGAGGATATATTCTCCGAAGACCACGGAGTTGGAGCCCGCCCAACCTGATGTGTGACGTCAGCATATATTGCGCAGAAGAACATCTTTGCATCGCAGTAGACATACCCAGGAGAATGACATAGCCGGTGTAGAAGCCTGTAGCGAGGTATTTTGGCTTACGATAGACGAATTCGAGGTAATTCTTTTCGCCGCCGTTTTTGGGAAGTCCTGTCCCAAACTCGAGATATACTGCCATCCCAGCCGCGGCGATGATCATGCCCGCGACCCAAATGAATAGGCTGAGACCGACGCTGCCGGACAGCGAGAATATCGTGCTAGGCGTGGCGAAGATACCTGTTCCGACCATACGGTTGAAGACCAGGAAGAATGCAGAGACAGTGCCAATCTGGCGTTTTGTCTGTGAGGGAGTATGTTCGAGGTCTGTGTGCAAGCCTGCAATATTTTGTTAGTTCTCCTGAACTGTCCTTCGCGCTGGTTTATAATGGCCTACCATCGTCGACCTCTCCACCCTCCGCTACTTGGGAGGCATCCTTGGATTCTCCAGGTGTTCGAACAGGAGAAGAGCGGGAGACCGTTGATCGCAATTTGCCAAACATTGTGATGCCTGGTAGCAGCTTTCGGGTGCTTCAATATAGAATTTCAGGTATGCACAAGAGGCGACCATTCGCTTTTCTGGAACTCCTAAGATGGGAGCTCTCTAGGTTAAATAGCTGTGATTGCTCGTAGCAGTCGAGGATTTGGTCGCGTGAGGTCTGTGGCTTCGCACCTCTTCGCCAACCTCACTAGCATGGTCCTGGGTAGTATCACTGTATTTCCTGAGCAGTGTACTTTGAGCCAGCCTACAACACCACATTTGGAGGCAGGGGCAAACTGCAGAGGTGGAATGACTGGGGAACTTCTGACGAATGAACGCCTTTCTCAGCAAGCAGAATCCATGTTGACGATCTGGACAATTGAAATGAAGGGCAACGAGGTGCGATTGCGCCATCTTTGGAAGGGATTTCTCTGCCATCCCGAAGGAAAATCTGGCAGTCAAGGTTGCGTCGCTTGAGTAATGGAAACTCCTCGAGGCTGAGAATCTTGCACAGAAAGGTGCTTGGGAGCAACGTCACACGCGCTCCACGGGGCTGCGGTCCTAACCGTGGCAATCCGGAACGTTATGTATCATTGCTCTGATGGGGAAGAAATTGCGTGATTGACAGGGGACATGATGGATTTGTATCCATCTAATGGCTTTTTTCTTCACTTGTGCATTGGCACTTTTTCTTGCCATTCACTGCTTTTGTACACCATGGCGTCGAGTTACGATCGCACCGTCCCGACTCTGCATATTGTCAGCATGTAAGTCTATGACTCAATAATCATCAGGAACGTCCTCAAGTTGCGAGCACGCGAGCCGTCGAATACATCTCTGGTCGTATAAATAGGTTAGGGTAATATCTCGTTATGTGTGGCCCCACAAACTTTCGAGATCGAATACACCAGTTTTGCATATTACCCTTTCTAGCCTAGCTCTCATCGACCACCAACTCCCCTTTTCCGTGAGGCTGGCTGCTTGCAAGACACAATTAAGGGACGTAATACCGGCTTGAAAATGGCATCGCTACGCTTGTGTTTCTTTCAGGCTGCGGAAAGTTTTCATTATGGTGATGGCTTCGTGAGACTCCGATAGAGACTCGTCTTAGAAGTTCGAAGTCGTGGGATGAATCGCAAAATCGTCCGAGTTCAAGTTGTTGACATTGAATTGCGGTATTGACTACGGTGGACTGTATCATGCGCAATATGTCCGAATGGCCCTCCGTTGCTGCGTTTCAGGAAGGAACCTTGACACCCCGGAGCCTTATCCATCCTCGTGGTTTGGAGATAAGTGATAGTTGTTGAAGGAAGGCCGGGCTAGACGCTTGCAGCACGGGATCAAATCCTACGAACTGTAGGATAAGAGAAGTGCCGCTTGTTTGTCCGCCGAGCCTTTATACTTAGATGAGGTAGCCAGCCTTGTGAGCCAGCCTTGCCAGCCTTGCGACGTAAGGTAGTCGGAAAAAGAATACACCGAAGATTATCCGACGAAATTTATGTACAACAACGTCGCCTGGCGATCGCCAGCCTTCTCGTGTTAATCTTTCATATCACGACGGTAGACGGAGCAGATCGTAGAGCTGGCTTGAAGGATTCATCTGCTCCCTAGCTGCCCAGCCAAGGCCAAGGCCAAATGCAGCCCTCATCGTCAAGAACATTGGCTACCACTCTCCAAACCTCGCTCATTCTCTGCGAGCGATTTGCGTCTTCGCTCGCCCCGAATGCCACGAACGATCTTCCGGCCACGAAGCCTGACGAGCCGTCTCCTCTTATCCTTCTCAACGCTGCTGCGACGTCCTTGAGGTCTCAAGTCACGAAACTGTCCCTGCTAGCCATCAATACTCCTTTCACCCCGACCGCAGTCACGACGTGCCTCGTCCCGTTGAACGAATCAATTCTCACGTCTTTGGTGACGGCGGCTCTTCTTACAACACCGGAGCAGTTCACTCCTTCGTTCTCGTCGGAATGTCGCTCATTCGCTGCCTCCGCTCTGCGGGACATGCAGACCGTTTTGCAGCTATTGGAGAAACGAAGTCGGAAGGAAAATCCGAGAGCAGAGATCTCCGAACCAGAAAAGAAGGCCTTTATAGAGGCTACTGGACGAGTGTGGGATGACTGTGACAAACTTGGTCCTCTGGCGACGGGAGGCGTGCCTGGTTATATTGTGCAAAAGTCGAAACAGTGGCTTGAGTTGATGAAGGATGCGGTCAAAGAGTTGGAAGACTGGGATCCCGAAGAGGATATTGACGATGATGACCCCTTTGGCGAAAGCCTCAGTGACGACGACACCGCTGATGAGAAGGATGAGGATGCCCAAGACAACGACCGTGTGGCCATTTCTGCGGGGGTTAAAGAGCAGGCGCTCAAGGTCCTGAACCGGATTCCGCAGAGCATTCACGTGGTCATCAAACAGAGACTGGAGAAATTGGGATCGGGTCCAGAAATCTCCAGCGATCAAATCGCACGGCTGGATACTTTGCTCAAACATAACCGTCAGATCTCGGAACTCATCGACGAATCCGCCGAAGGCATGTATCTCGGAGATCCGGAATTGTGTCTCAAGAAAGCGGGAGAAGCGCGTGCTCTCACGATCGAGGTTGTCGAATCAGTTCTCCATCCCTTCCCGCGGGTGGGCGATACCGAGACGAAGGAAGACCAATACATCAAACGAGCACTGCAATGGATACAACAAGTCGATCCTGACGGGCATTCGCGATCAACCGTCCCAAAGTCTGATGCAGCAACAGTAAGCTGATGGGTTTGCCGTGTGGATATACAGATATGGTATGAAACATGAAACGACATGTCAGGCTTGTTCCACACAATCTATACCGCAGAAATCGATCCCGCTCCAAAGGAAGAGTCGTTGATACTGGCACCAATTTCTTGATCTGGTTTGTAGGTCGTTGCCCAGCACGAATCAACCTTCAACCTTCAACCTTCAGCTCAGGTCTTAAATCAGACCACAACGACGACCAGAAGCTTGCCCTGTGTCGGCTTCATCAGAACTCTGGCCGATCATACAACTCTGCGAGTCCTTCCCGTCTCAACCTCATAGATCCACCCACTGATAGTCACACTGTCCGGGACCAACTTAGTGTCCCGCAAATACTCGACGTCCTCGTTGACGGCCCGCTCGAGGTCCGAGAAAGGAAGGAAGTCCAGATTTCGTGACTTGAGTTCCGCCGCTGCATCAGAACTGTGTGAAGACAGAGTCAGCTCAAGAAAAAACAAATCGGGCACACTGCCAACTCCGGCCAACGAGTGTGATTCTCACCCAAGATTCTTCTCGACCAACCCATAAGCGTCGTCATTTGTGAACGTCAACATTCCGCAGCCGGTATGTTTGACCAGCACGATCTCCTGAGTTCCCAACAGTTGCTCGGAAATGACTATGCTTCTCAACCCGTCGCGCGCTGAAGCGCCTGCCTGGGTGGGTATCAGCTGAAGTGAAGTTCCCACAACGATTTGCGTAACGGGGGCTCAAGAGGAGTTGCGGGTATAGCAGGCTGTAGGAGATCGGTACTTCTTACATTGCGAATGACATGAGCATCGCCCAGCTCGATCCCGAATGCCTGCGCCGGGTCAATCCGAGCATCCATGCATGTTAGGACCAGATATTTCTTTGCAGGCGGTAGCGCGAGATGTCCTTTGGTGAAAGAGGCCGAGTAGTTTTCTGATGCTGTTTCAATGTTCTTTTGAATGGCAGACATGATTGAATTAGGCGAGAAGATCTGGTATATTATGGCTTATTCTTCGATACAACTCCGGTCTCTGCGAATATACTATGACGAATTTGTAGCACTGATCGTATCTACCACCTCGACGAATATCAGACAGAACAAACAGAGATATCTCTCGCGCTTGATCAGGGAGATTTCTTCTGCCGCTGCAGGAGGGGTAGGTCATAGTATCAGCCTGGGCGATCTGAGCCCCCGGCGATGCTGGATGCTGGATGCCGGATACCAGAGCCAGTCAATCCCCCTACCGATGCGATGGCGTGCTCATCCCGGACGGGAAACGCCATCTAGATTTGGAGCGAGGTGCTTGGACAAAGACGTCGTTGCTCAACTCACGAATCAGACTGCTGGCTTTTTGATGCATGGACCAATAAATCTAACGAATTGCGAGGAAGTTGAGACGGAGGCATCCCCTGTGGGAAGGCTGAACCCAACCCGACGACGAAAGCATATGATAGAGGTCTATCATCACGGTGAAATACACAGACTGGCTGATCATTTTCCCAAACGGATTCTACGTGCGAAGGTTAGGTATCTACTCGCTATATACCCCAGTCTCCAAGTTATCAGTGGTCATAGTTGAACAAATGAAGAGTGAAGCCGTGGTATTGTCAAGTTTGATATCTCCCACCACTAGGTGTCAATATCAGACAGATCTCGTGCCAATTCATCATAATCTGCTCAGTCGTTGAGGCCAGACATTCCATAACCTAGTAGCATATCATACATTTACACCAAGTACATGTCAAACATTCTTCTCCTTATCATCATCGTCGACATTAGCAAAGTTCATCCTTCTATTCTCCTCGGCGACGGCAGCGCTTGTTCCAAAACCCTCCTCACGCCCAATGGCCGTAGGCACAAGCACGGCCTCCTTGTCTGGCGCCTTGAAGCCGCCCTCGGTCTTGTCCTCGCCCTTCTCCGGCCAGAGGAGCTGTTTCTGGACCAAAGCACGGACCATGAACGCAATGACAAGCAGCCAGACCAGCACCAGCAGACACGTCATGACACAGCCGATGATGCGGATGGCAGGCACGTCGAAGGCTTCGGCGACGGCAAACGTGGCGGTGGTCAGGGCGGTCTGCGGAAAGACGAAGCTAAACCAAGTCATTGCAAAGGGCATGCGATGCTTGTGGCGCAGACAATCGACGTTGGAGACCAGACTGACGAAGAAGAACCACCAAGCCAAGCCCCACAGCCAGAGACACGCCCAGTTCGCGACCAGCCGTAGGATTTGCGCGGCCAGCGCCCCGGGGACATCCATGAACATCGCCCCCGGGGTCGAGGCGATCACGCGGTGCAGGTTGTTGGCCATGCCGATGGTGCCGCTGACCGTGAAGGCCGAGGGGCCGACGGACACGAACATGCCCGGCCGGAGAGGTTCCGCCGGCAGCTTCTGGGTCATGAGTCGGTAGACGAAGGCGGAGTAGATGGTCAGCGAGACGAGAAAGCCGATGCCTTGGATTGTGAAGCCGCCCACGATGACGCGGATCGCTTGATGCGGACTCAGCGCTTCTCCGGACAGGTTGGCGGCGTGCGGGCCGACGATCAGGAGCGGGTAGGCTGGGAATATCCAGATGGGCGTCATGCGGGCGATCGTGAAGGTCAAGGTCGACCAGAGGATCAGGTAGATGGCGATACTGAGAACCACGGCGATGGCGGCGTCCAGCCAGAAAAGAACCAGCACGGCGTGGGTCAGCCATTCGCCCACCCGTCCGGCGCCGTATTCGACGATGTTGATCAAGATCGTGCCAAACGACACGGCGAATGCTGGCACAAAGAGTGACTCGGTCGGATGCGTCAGACTGGCCCGGAAGGTCCAGGGGTACAGCGTGAAGCGGGCGATCATCATGGCCCAGATGAGGATGTAGAAGACGATGTTGAGCAGGAAGAATATGACGCCGATCGTGTAGAGACCGTGGAACCGGTAGGGCACTAGCATGACCTCGCAACATATGTTAGCGGTGGTTCATGTGGTAGTGGTGGGACAACGTGTTGCTGTGTCGGCTTGCGTTGGCATCTTACCGCGGTGAAGCACATTGGCAATTCCTCCAGTAGCCATGGTCATTGTAAACCATGCCCAAGTGACATGTTTTAACCGCTGCCTCCAGGATAGACGTTTCGGTTTCTCGTCGTCGGACATTTCCTTCTGCATGGTCTCGCTCGATCGTCGGTCCTCCTCCTCAGGAATGGTTCGCCGCGACGAACGGTCTCTGGTTCTTCTTCTCGTGGCTCCATGGTCGAGCAGCTGATCAAGACATTCGGACTGGTCGGGGACCCTCCTTTGGTCTGCGACTGTGGGCACGTGCCGGTCCTCTTCGTTACTCGGTGCTTTCCACAATCCAGAATCCTGACATCCGTCTTCATCACCGGGATAGTGTTTTGTGATCGTACGAGGCCGGTGGAGACCAGATCCATCCGGTTCTGCATGAGAACGATGGTGATTATCTGATCGAGAAGCGATGGAGGATCTATGCTGAGACGACATATTGGACTCTTTGCTCAGAACTTTAGAAACCTGTGAGCCGTGCTGTGACAATCAACCGCTTGCCGCCAGTACTCCCAATGGTCCCCGGCGTGTCAAGAGGCTGTCGTGCTGTTCTGTCGCGTGCGCTTGCCTGAAGCTCTGTCAGAGGTGTCTGTGTCCTCGTTGCCGGCCATGGTACGAGACGACGTGTCAGAAGAACAGTAATAGACCCCCAGACGACGTTAGACGTTAAAGCGGGAGGTGTAGTGGTCACGCGCTCGCAGGAAACGCCAGCCAAGAACCTCTGATGTCGTTGAAACAAACTCGTACCCGTGGAACCAGGGGAAGGAACAATGGCCTTTCACCCAGTTTTGAGGGGTCCTATTGTTATAAAAGCAGTATCACGATCGCAGTACGACATGGAGGACGAGATGAAGATGTTAATCAGAGACGCTCCAACTGCTAAATTAGCAACCGCCAGCCTCTGCGAAATATTGCAAGCCGTCCCAGCCTTATGCCCGAGGAAGTCGCGAATTAACATAGGAAGTCTCGGAAACGAAGGAAAAAGGTACGGAGTGGTGCCGTGTACCCGTTCTGAAGCTGTAAGGTTGGTACCTCCGTAGTCGACCAGACATCAGGAGCACGAATCAGCGCAAGAGCATCTTCTGAATGAGCCCATCACCTCCGTATTTTGATGGATCTCGGACAGAACGGGCGAAGTGGGGTCCAATCACGTGCCCCTTATCTGACCCATTAATTAGCTAAGCAGCTCACTTATGTAATCAATAGACAAGGCTCACTACGCTCACCTCCAGTCCATCAAAGCATGAATCATTGCCCTGCACACCATGTCGACGACAGCGACAGCCTCCGCCATCCTAATGGCGCCGGTAGCCTTGTGACCATCGTGGCGTCGGAGAGGATAATGATCAAATCTAGCAATAGGACAGCGTACGCCTTCCTCCTATATGGTTAATCCTCCGTTTCCACCCTTTCACAACCGCTCGCTTCATTTTCAAGGCTACGATCATCAATCCGGAGAAAAGCTTCTTCAACATACTATCGCAACTGCTGATGCCTAGCACACGGTATCAGCCACTATAAGGTAATGTCGATATAATATCCTTGGGTCGTGGCTTTTGAATTTGGACGCGACCTGGTTCGGCGTTGCCAGCTGGTCCTCAGTGACTCACACAATATCACGATATTGCAATTGTTCTTTGCTCCTTGATAAAGGCAAGCTCCGTTTCTCTATACAAGCTCTGTCCTTTCTCACCACTTTTGCTATTATATCACTTGTGCACCCTGGAGGCCTGTCTTGTAAAACAACCTCCGGTTCTCCAGTTAGAGATGTCGAATATTATGCCTCAAGTCAGAGGCTCCCCAAAAGGTACCACCTCAACTACCGTCTCAGAGGCTGCCGCGCGCCCATTGATCCCTGAAGATGGTCTCACACAGGAGGCCGCCAAAGACATTCTCAAGCGAACACTATCTGTGAAAACGGCCAATGCAGCAACCGATATCATTTCGGAGCGAACCGGCCTCTCCAAATCCCTGGGTAGTAATCAGTACCCCTTACGAGACATTGGACGGGGCAGCTGTGGGAGTGTCTTTGAAGTACCAGAAACCGTATACGCCATCAAGAAAGGGGCGGGGACCGAAGCCATCTGGAACGACTTCAATTTGACCAATTGCGCCTACAACAGCTGCCTGACTTCGCTGGGCTTGTTCGAGTATGCCTTTCGTGGACGTCGCGTCCCTCGTGTGCCCAAGGCACGATATTTCAATGGACCAGACGCCGACGGGGTTTGGACTGCTATCATATCAAGATTCCCCGAGGCAGACCGGACCCGCGCCGCAGCATTCTACCTTGACCATATTCTGCCTGTGCCTCGGGTGACACGTCAAGCTCTGGTCCGGCGATTCTTCCAGCCAGACGAGCAAACCCAATAAGATGTTTTGAGTAATCCTGAGAACAGGGACTGTCTCGTCCGCGTTTATTTCGGCAGAAACAATCCGAATACCCGGCCACACGATAGCAGCGACACTCTTCGGAACTTCCCTCTATACCTCGACCAAGCGAAGATGGTCGGGATCCATGTCGACGCATATGCGGAAGAAATGGCAATCGGGCTTGCGATCCTACACTGGAAAGCAGGAATCGATGCACAAGACACCGAGTTTGTCATCGGCTGCTCGGCAACCAAGACGTTTGCCACTGTATACTCAGACCATGGATCTGTACAACCACCAGCGTCGACCACGGACGATTTCACGGAACGAGAGACACAGTTGTGGATGCTGGACTTCGATAAGTGCTCCAAGATTGACCTTGAAGACAAGGCTCTCTCATCATCACAGGTCGTGGAGAAGTATATGGTCGCCGTTACGGGGAATGATCCATACTTCCCACATCCATGCTTGGTTGTTGATCTATGGCGCAAATTTCGTAGGGCTTACCTCAAGGCCAGCGAAATCCTTATCAAGCACAGACGACTGGGTCGACGTGTGGCGAAATTGCCTTTGATGTTGATGGAGCAATGTGAGAAATGGGGAGAGAAGGATCTGGAGGCTGAGGAGTATGATCCTTTTGAACGACACTCTGATGACGAGGAAGCTGAAATTCTTTCCGAGCAAAGTAGCTCTGACGATAGGGAAGATGACGACGACGAAGACGACTAGGCTGGAGGAGGGCTGGAGCATCCCCAGACTGTAATGAAAAGGCAGGGCCAAATGATACCCATTGAGCAGATACAGTAGATGTCAAACATACGTAATAACTAGTTCTCATCATCATAGAGCCGTTGCCTCTGATGCCCTCTGCCAGAGATATCGAAGTTTCTGATACATACCTCCGATGCCCTGTAAATCGTTATCTCGCCTTCTGGTACATATAGCCCGGGAGCACTCTACATACAAGGGTAGGCCAGCCAAGTAAGTAGTATTTGAAAATGGAAAGTACCCCCTTGACAGGGAGCTATTGGGTCATTTAGACAAGAGGGAGCTTGATAGCTCGTCATAGAACCACTTCGCACGAACTATGGTCAAAAGAGTCTCCTTGATTAGGTTGAACTCGAGGCAGGCTTTTGGAGGAACATCGATGCCATTGTTATGTTCATTTAGCGACCCTGACCAGGACTCGTTATTCATGACTGGATCGCTATATCGCAACCATCACGAGTTCAATTTCAGCTTGTCAAGCCTCTTTCATGGGTTTTGTCCATCCAGGTCTAGACTCGTCTCGTACTTCTCCAGGAACTTCTTGAAGCCCTCTTCCACGACTCTCACATCCTCCTCCACCTTCCGCCTCACGGCCTCGTCCTCAGGGTTCTTGTCACTATCATGATCTTTCTCCAATGTGTCCAGTCCGCCGAATAGCCATATCTCTTTCATTGTCCTCGTCAGCATCATGATCTCCTCCGCCGCCCGGATCACTGCGGCCGATTCGACGTCGAGTTGGAATTGTTGCACAGCAGTGTCTGTGAGAGAGGGTGGGAGCTGGCTTCCTGAAGTGGCGGAATTTGTGGCCTCTGCGGCCGTTTCGTCAAGGGCAACGGCGAAGATGTTTTCCAATCGTTTGATCAAGGTGGTTGAGAGAGCGGTTATGCGAGCTTTTATTGGATAGTTAGAATGCGCGTGGCTCAGACGTGGACGGCACAGAACAAGAGTGACAGCGTAAACGGGCCAAACATGGGATTGGGATAAGACAAGAGTCTTCGCAGACGCATCAGACTTGCACACTACCGGATTGGCCTACCTTGCAGGAACTTTGCGGTTGGTACAGCATCGGGAATGTTGTCTCTTCTTGAAGAGGTCTCCATCGCAGAGACGAACAGTCCGGCGACTTGCTCGATGGCTGGACCTTGTCCACGACCTTCAAGAGATTGCCTGTTTGCCTTTGGTGCTGTGCAGACCCATGAACGTATCGCTCTCTCTGTGCAGCAAGCTGTGCAGTGAGTGTGGTAGAATGCCCACCGTTCGCCGCGCGGTCAAGGCAAATAGTTAAGACGTGGAGATGGGTCTACGCAAGACATCTCACGTAACGGTTATGTTGCACCGATTGTAGGCCACTTAGGTCTGCCTGTACAGAGATCGAAGGACGAGGATAGGTGGTGAACTTGAGGGACTGCGGTACAAATGAGAAGAGCATCAGGCACGATAAAGTGCGTGGCAGGCTTTATAGTCCGCCATAGTTCCTTAATACGGCAGATCATTTATGTGAATACGCAAGCATCTCTGCCACTTCGCTCGCTCGCTCGATCGATGTTCTCTTGAAGCATTGAACATAGCACAATCCTGTGCAGGAGAAAAGAAAGTGGTTATAACCGCTTTGCTCCGCGAGATTATGTCTCAAACTTCTCTTGGGACCTTCGGGCTATCATCGAGACGAGAAAACACTGTGCGGAGTCCCGCCTTCCGACATCACGCTGGCTCCGGACTGAAAGCCTCAGGCAAGCGGTCCGTTGCTGGGCCTCATCATCTCAAAGTGATGGCTGACTCTTCTTCGAGGGCTATGCTATGCCCCAAGATGCTCCAGAGTCGAATTGGTTAACCGAACATCGCTACATGTACGCGTCTGGCACCTACTGTGGTATACAGAGTACAGAGTAGCTCGAAATCGCCAACTCAAACAACTGACCCACCACTGTCTTAGACAATTACCGGGCATTACTGCTCCACGACTCCTCTTCCAGCAAGTTTTTGCACAGCCTTGCCTTCTCTTGGGCCAGAATATACAACGTCCGATTCTCATCGCAATTCTCATCAGCTAACAGCAACACCAGCGCTGACGTCAAGGCAAACTTTCCCTTCTCACTCATGTGGGCCAAACGCCTGGTAGCGGAGAAGGCTGACAGTGATTTTCCTGCGACATTCGGCCGACAAGAATATATGAGCTCCAGTGTCCCTGAGACATGCATACCGCTTGCTCGGAATCAACTACTGCTGCAACCACACCGTGAGGCTCAGCATCACGTCTTCGGCTCCTACGGCAGCCTGTATCGCGCGACATAATCTTCCTCACTTGCTGTGCCGCTCCATAATCGAGGAAGACGTCGTCGTCGGAGAGACAACGCCATGCAAAGCATATGCAGGTAAGTGCTTGGATCTAAACATCCATGTCTTGACCGGCCAATCTTTTTTCACGGGTGAACACAAGCGAGTGTTGCTATTTCCGTTGCCAGGCATCCCTCTCACCCGCCTCCCTGGTCCACCCCTCCGTGGAGGATGGCGATGAGTACTCGGCAGACTGTCTTGAGCAATCGTTCTCATCTGTTGCATTACCTCCACAGATGATAGGCTATGTTCATGTCTTTGGAAGTTTTCAGCAACAGGGGTGCTTGGTTAGCTTCGCCCTCGCCGCCCATGAATCCTCCACTTCCTCCGGTCAGAAGAGGAATGACGGACCGTAAGGGAAGTCGAAGAATATAAAGCACGACCGGTATCTAGCACATCGTCCACTTCCCGCTCCCTGAGCTTTGACATTGCACGGTCGTTTGGTCTTTCGTTCATTTCTTGTCGATCTCCCTGCACAGTGTCAGATTCATTCGTTCAATCTGCCTGACATGGCGGGTAAATCATTCGTTCTGTGCTCTCTCCTAGCCCCAGCTCTCGCAGCAGTGCTTCCCAGAGGTCAATACTACAATGTGACTTCGTCGGTACCGGGTGTCCAACCAGATCAACCTTGGGGTGACTGGACAAGCTCTACTGCAACTGCCACACCACAACCTGAGCAAACGACTTCCACTTCGGGCCTGGCATCGACGTCGACACAACCTGCAGGAGTGTCTTCTGCTTGGGGTGACTGGACTAAATCATCGAGTCAATCTGTACAGAGCCTATCTACAGAAGTCCAGCAGACATCATCTGTGGCAGCAACAGCTTCATCAAACTGGGCTGATTGGACTGGGTCATCATCCACGGCTCCAGAAGAAACACAGTCCACACAATCCACTCCATGGGCACAGACCTCTACGCAGTCCGCAGCTGCCTCTTCAATCTGGGGAGACTGGACGGAGACCCAATCCACTTCTAGCCAGGCATCTTCAGGTTGGTCCGACTGGCAAGCTTCGACTGCCACTCAGACGGTCAAGATAACCACTACTTTGTCACAGCCTAGCCAAAGTTCTGGCTGGGGCGACTGGCAATCCAACAGCGCTCAAACGACAGTATTGTCCACCACTCCTTCTCCAGTCGCTCAGGAGAGCTCGACGAGTGTGGAAGTTTCTGCCAAGTCGCAAGGCTGGGCCGACTGGCAATCCAGCAGCGTTCAATTGGTCACTTCGTCAGCAACCCCTGCTCCTGTCCAATCTCAGTCTAAGGGATGGAGTGATTGGGAGTCAAGTTCTGTACCTCCCGCGCCAGAGTCGAGCTCCGCCCCTGCTCCCGTGGAATCCGAATCCAAAGGATGGAATGACTGGAAACCGAGTTCCGCTGCTCCAGCACCAGTCGAAAGTTCTACGCCCGCGCCCACGCCAGCTGAATCCAAAGGATGGAATGATTGGAAACCAAGTCCCGCTGCTCCAGCACCAGTCGGGAGCTCTTCGCCCGCTCCCGCTCCTTCCGAATCCAAAGGATGGAATGATTGGAAACCAAGCTCCGCTGCTCCAGCACCAGTCGAGAGCTCTCCACCCGCGCCCGCTCCTTCTGAGTCTCAAGCTTGGAATGACTGGCAATCCAGCTCAGCAGCACCGGCACCAGCTCCCGCGCCAGAGAAGAGCTCAGTTCCCGCGCCCGCGCCCGCTCCAGTTGCGTCGAAGTCACAGGAGTGGAACGATTGGACATCCAGCTCACCTACTCCGGTCTCAGTCCCAGCTCCGGCCACAACACCAGCCGAATCAAAACCTGCCCCTACACCATCCTCCGCTCCTGCTCCAGCTCCAGCGCCAGAGCAAAGCCAAAGCGCAGCCTGGGGAGACTGGGAAAGCTCAGCAGCCCCGTCTCCATCCCCCGCCCCGTCTGTGCCTGCATCGCCAGCTGAATCAAAACCCGCCCCAACTCCCTCATCTGCTTCTGCTCCCGCTCCAGCACCAGAACAAAGCCAGAGCGCAGCTTGGGGAGACTGGAAGGGCGGCAGCAGCGCCGTTGTTCTAACGCCAACGCCAGCTCCAGCTCCAGCTCCAGCGTCGACTCCGGCTGAGTCAAAGACTACCCTGGCTCCTTCATCTGCGCCCGCTCCCGCTCCAGCACCAGCACCAGAACAAAGCCAGAGCGCAGCATGGGGAGACTGGAAAGGTAGCAGCAGCAACGCCGTTGTTCCAGCATCGACTCCAGTTGAGTCAAAGACCTCGCCGGCACCATCTGTCGCTCCGGCTCCCACCATCGCTCCCGCACCTGAAGAATGCAAGCAAGCCACCACGACCGTGTACATTACAGAAACACAAATCCAAACAGTCACAACCTGCGGCAGCAACTGTGGCTCGGGCGTGGCTCGTCCCACCGCCTCAATGGGATTCTCGACCAAACAACACTGGCAGGGACACTATACCAGTAAAGGTCAAGGCCAGGGATGGAAAGACTGGAACTGATGGACCCGGTCGCACACTGCAACACAGGTCAAGGGTTCTGTCATCAGCGCCCACTTACTTTCAAAGTGGCTTCGTTAAAACATAAAAGCATAAAACAGGACCCGGGTCACACCGGGCAGCCCATTACGATTATCATTACGGATCGAGCACGGCTTTTCCCCGGAACTCGTCTTTCAGCATTACAGGAGATGGAGATGAGAAGATGATGTCCCGACATTAAGTAAAAGGAGGAACCACAAAAAGGCGGCATTCTCTCAACGCATTCTAATTCTTCAGGCCAGAAGGTCATTCGCCAATATTTATAGTATTATATTATTTTCAATTCGGATCAACTTGGTGACCAACTTCCCCGTATTCCCGCCCTCAAACAACCTCAACCACGTCTTCGGAATATCCTCGAACCTCGTCGGCACGACCTGCTCGTTAGCGTCCGAGATCTTGAGTTTGCCTTCCTGCACCGCGCGCGAGTACAGCTCGAGCGTCTCGCTCGCTTTGGCGAGGTGGTCCATGACGATGAAGCCGCGGATGGAGAGACGCATGGTGATAACTTGGAAATAGTCTGGAGAGAGAAAATAAGCAAAAGACTTCTGTTGGATATATCGCCAACAATCGGAACTCCTTTGGACGAAGGTGTGGATGGGGAGGGAAAGGGTAACGAAGATTAGAGATCCTCAATGTCCATTGTCCAAGAAGAAAGGAAAGAAGACGATAGGAACAGGAGATGACTAAAAAGGGGGGGGGGCCTTGACGCAGATTCCACATAGTAACAGAGTTGGCAGAGGGACCGAGACACTATAGGACAACTTACTTTTCAACACGGTCGGTTCTTGGGAGTTATATGCTGATATCGAGCCGCAGGCGACGGCGACGCCGTTTCTCTTGAGTCTGGCGAGCATGAGATCGAGGATGTGGCCCTGGAATAACACCACAGGGTTCAATCAGTTTTTCTCTTTCCCGAATCTTCATCTAGGCCTTATTCAACAAGTCCTGCCCTGCATTGGACAGGCGAGTTGTTGAAGGGTCAAAACAAGCAACAGAAAACTTACGCCGACATTGTCGAAAAATACATCGACGAACCCGTCCGTCGCTTTGACTAGGTCTTGTTCAAACGTGGCGCGGCGGTAGTTCAGACAGATATCTGCGCCGAGGGATTCGACCCAGCGGCATTTCTCGTCGGAGCCGGCAATGCCGATGACTTGGGAACAGCCGACGATCTAGATAGTAGGCGGGATTAATTAACAGTTGACAGGATGGCAATGAGGAGGCTGAAGCACAGGAAATGACGAACGCGAGATATATCGCATGATCAAGGGTTTCGTGAGGGTAACGTAGAATGTTTTGTGGTGATTGTATAGGAGAGACCAACATACATTCTTTGCGACCTGGACTACCATGCTGCCTGTGGCGCCGGCAGCTCCAGACACGACAACTCTCATGCCCTGTTTGGCCTCTCCGATGACAACGAGACCATAATACGCCGTCAATCCTGGGCCGCCAAAGGCACCGAGATAGTGGGTGATGCTGAGTCCGTTGGGGAGCGGGGTTCGAGGCTGGCACGCGGCGGCGTCTAAGACGGCATATTCTGTCCATCCTGGTCGGGTGTAGACGATGGACCCTACGGGTAGACTGGCTGCGGTGGAAGCGATGACTTCGCCCAGACCGAGGGCGGACATGGTTTCGTTGAGCTTCACGGGCGGGGTGTACAGCCGTTCCGGCGGGATGGAGGGTTCAATGCCAACGCGCTGTGCCGGGTCGTTGGACAGGAAGAGAGTCTTCACCAGGACCTGCTCCGGGCCCAGTGCCGGCAGCGGTCGTTCGACGAGCTTGAATGTGGCATTGGCATTGGCATCGCCTTCTGGAACTGTAAACGTCGGCAGGCCTTTAGGGTAGTTGGCGACGATCCATGCACGGGTGGAAGTGGGAGTTGAAGGCATCGTGGGTGTCGGCCTGTGTTAGTTTCTGCAAGGACTAAAAGCTGCTCAGGTCGCGAGGGAAGGGCTCAAGCTGGTCTGCCACTGTTCTTTAGTGTTGGGAAAGCGGTCAGTATTCAGCAGCCGTGTCTGTCAGGGGTAGGGATGGTAGGCCTCAATCGGACTCGGGACGACGAGTGCGGCGACATTCATACAGATAAATGTATTCAAGGTTGACGATTACTGAAATACCTTATGGGCGGACAACATGCAGGAACCGGTGGCTTTTAATATAGAAATGGGACATGGTCCGAAGGCATCATATCACTGCATGTTATGGCTGCGGGCGGGGAAGCCGAGAGGATGAACATCAACAAGGTGGGTGAAGTTCTGTGTATTCATGTTTAATCTATGGCTGCATGAAGGTTGGTTCGGAGCAGCCGAGGTTGAAGGAACAAGAAGTCGGTCATATGATTGGCGTATCAATATTGTAAGCTCTGCGATCGTTCCCGGACAATCATCTTTCAGATGTGCATACCGGGAATATCCAGACATGACCCAGGGAATGCGCATTTGTCAGCGGCGCGGTGAGATCCAGGACTCGTACTTCCACCGGCGCTACAGCCACCGGCTAAGCTGTACGGAGCCAGGACAAGTGGTTGATGTCGGAGAATAGGCACGAACCGTTCCTTCAATAACATGAATGCCCTCATCGGTCACCGACCATCGGGTGTGGCCTGATGGTTTTGCCGCTGAGAAAGCCCACCAGAAGAGTAAAGACTGAAACTGTCCGTCGAGAAAGCCGTCCGTTACACGTTAGTCGTGCCTCAAGTTGTATAGGCGGATGAGGTGAGATTGCTGCTGATCAATGTAGCCAACAGAATGTGACACGGAGTTCACTTTGCGGCCGTAGACTTGGCTTTGAGATATCGGCTTGGGTGATGTCGAATGAGGTATGCAGACCACATGGAATGGATCATAGGGTACCCTTCCATAGGAAGCCGGTTATGGAGTTGCCGGTGGTCAAGGTGCGAAAAGCCACCGGAATGTACTCGGGTTCTGTGACAGCAATGCCACCGGCTATCGTGAAGAGATACAGCGGTGAACGCTCGAATTCATCTTCGCTCTCAGCCATATAGGCCATCCCACTCTTCCTCTGCTTCGTCCTCGGGGGAGGCATTCTTCTTGATATCATCGAGCAGCTTTTGTTTGCGGTCCCTCTCCCGTTGCGCGAGATCCATTCGGTCCAGGGGACATGTCCCGTTCAACAGAAGCCAAGGTCGGATGCATTCCAGATCAAAGATGTGAGTTGAATGGCAAGGTAGCTGCACCACAAGCGGGTGGGGGTCCTCCACGAACGTGTTCCCGCAGATTGGGCAATCGGCATCTTTCTTGATCGTCTTGATATTGACACGGTCCAATGCAGCGATATATTCCTCGTCAACCCCCTTCACCTCCCGAGGTGGATGTTCTGCCGCACCCATCAAAGCCTCGATCATGTTTTGTAGGAGGTCGGAGTCTGCGTGCTCATTTTCTCTTTGTATTAATTGAAATGCTTCAGCGAGTGAGGAGAAAGCGGCAGACACATCGCCAGGGACTGGAACAGCATGTTCTCGTGCTCTTTCTTCGGGGCGATCGGGTGTGATTTGAGACAGAAGACTAAAGAACGACGAGAGGTCTGGTCGACGAGGGCGGGTTTCCGATTGCTCTGCTCGATTGATATTATGTTCGGCTAGTGGCTGGAGTCAGTATTCGGATTTTGCATAGCACATGTTTAATATCCTTACTCTCGTAGCTGGCCATTGTAACGGTTGATGTCCCGTGCGAGAGACAGGAAGAGGAAAAGTCAAATGTAAGAGAGGGTAAAAGGCAAGACGTCCAGAGCAGAGATATAGGCGGAGAGAATTTATGGTACTGCGACTCCAGGCACGAGTTGATGGCGCGACGAGGGCTGGACGCGGCGTACTAGTAGTGCAGATTGCGAAGGCAGAAGCTGGAGACGAATAGGTAGAATACAAGTCGTAAGCTTTTTGATTCCTATACAGATGTTCAAAATCGCAGAAAGACAATGCTATGGCGTCCCAGTCGAGTGAAGGGTGTCGCCGACGAGTATTTGCTGCCAACAAAGACCTTGCGTACTCTACTCTCTACTACGAATGTACTGCAGAGCAGACGACTTGCCTGCGCTGTGATATTAGTACTGCGAAGGACAAGGACGAGAAGCGCAGGCGCCACAAGCCACAAGCTCCAGCCACTTTCTGCTCAGCCACATACAATATCGACTTCCACCTCAACTTCAACATGCCACCAACTCGAAGTAAAAGTGAAGCAACAACCAAACCACCTTCTCTTCCATCTTGCCACCACCAATGCGAGCGTGAATAGCTCCTCCGAGGAGCGCTCATCGGTTCCAGGCCGCCAACGATGCCGCGTTCTCGTGATCCATGATCAATCAGTAAAACCAATATCAGGCCCATGGAGGCAGACTGGGATGAAATCACTCGCATTGCAGTGCCCTCTTCTGGCCTGCATGCAATCCCTACGCCCGCCACTGCTGTAGCCTTTGATGATCAACAGGAACTACTATGGGTTGGCAATGATCAGGTACGTCCAACAGGGGAGTGGTTGAGGCCATCTCTATTGTAAGACTCACACCTCCGTTCCAGGGACGAGTCACGGCTTTCTATGGACCCGAACTACAGCGATATGTCTCGGTCAAGGCTCATCTCGGCGAAGGGCCCGTCAAACAATTGTTGGTTCATGACAAGGGCATCGTCTCTATCTCAGCATCCAGTGTCCATTTCGTAACTCGCAGAGGCTTGACTCAATGGCACATCTCCCACCGGTTGATGGTCGACCTCCGATGCATGACCTATGCAGCTTCCAGCAACCTCATCTTGGTGGCAGGATGTCAAAGCACCTTCTTCATCATTGACATCGACAAAGGTCAAGTGGTGTCCGAACATGCTGCTCAGGCCAAATACACCATCTTGAAGAAGAGCCGGCACATCTGTGCAGCAACTGACGACGGCAACGTCCATGTCCTCAGCTTGAACGACTACGCCATCCTCAAAAAATGGAAAGCGCACTCGACCGCCGTCAATGACATGGATGCACGCAATGACTTCTTGGTTACATGCGGCTTTTCCGTCCGACAACTGGGGGTGCCGATTGTTGATCCATTGGCCAATGTCTATGACCTGAAATCACTCACGTCGCTCCCACCCATTCCCTTCCATGCAGGAGCTGCATATGTCCGGATGCACCCGAAGCTGCAAACAACGAGCTTTGTGGCATCACAAACAGGCCAGATGCAGGTGGTTGACTTGATGAATCCGGTCAATGTCATGCTCAAACAAGCAAACGTTCAGTTCATGTTGGGCATGGAAATAGCCCCCTCTGGGGATGCTCTAGTCATCACGGATACAAACGGTTTGATATATCTTTGGGGGTCTCCCTCCAAGGTCCGTTTCAACAACATCAGTAAAGAAACCGAATTTGCCGACCCAGCTCCGCCGCCAACCCCCCACGTTGACTGGAACGACGCACCACTCAACACGGTGGGCATGCCATATTATTCGGAGCCGTTACTGTCTGCATGGCCCAGTCACATGGTCTTTGAGGTTGGCGCGCCACCTGTTGCTGTGGAACCATCTCTTTATCCTCATATGCAACCAGCCGAGATGGGTCACTACGCGCCCAATCTCAACCCCAGGAAGCTTCGACGGTATCAAGTCCAAGACAAGAGAGGAGGCCACGTGGCCACATCGATAGCTGCGCCCAAGTTCTTGAGCGAGAAAGCGAAAGAAGCGACCGGAAGTGGAAATGGCAGGAAACTCTCTGACGCTGCCGAAGGGCTGGCCGGGATCTCTTTGAACGGGCGAGCTCAAACCGATGAGGAGCGGATGCTCAAGTACAGCAACGTCGAGATCAAATACAGCCGGTTTGGGGTCGACGACTTCGACTTTCGCTACTACAACAAAACGCCGTATTCTGGGTTGGAAACCCATATTTCGAACTCGTTTGTCAACTCTCTTCTCCAGCTCTATCGATTCATCCCTTTGGTCCGCAACGTGGCTCTACAACATGCAGCGACGTCGTGTGTGGCGGGCAATTGTCTGCTTTGCGAATTTGGATTTCTATTCGACATGCTAGAAAAGGCTAAAGGCCAGAACTGCCAGGCAACCAACCTCCTGAGAGCATTTGGTGCCTCTAGAGAAGCTGCGAATCTGGGGCTCTTCGAACATTTGTCTCTGGCCAATGGCACGCCACTTTCCACGACCATCCAATCCGTCAACCGGTTCTTTCTGAAACAAATGGCCCACGATTATGGGACGATGGCTGCCAACAGCGAGGGGATTGACGAGGTCCTTGCGAGCAATGCCTATGAAGCAATTCGCTGCATGTACTGTAACAACGAAACCACGAAAACGGGCAGCACTTACGTGCACGACCTGGTGTACCCTCAACTCGACCCGAAAAGCCCAATGAGACTGCTCAAATTCGCGTCGATTCTGAAAACGACCATCGAACGAGAGACCAAGAATCGAGGGTGGTGCAGTCGATGTCGACGATATCAACAACTCGCCATTCGCAAGACCATCCGGCATTTACCATCGGTCATGATGATCAATACCGCCCTGGCCAGTAACTCGGCAATGCGTGGATTGTGGGAGACCCAAGGGTGGCTTCCGTCCGAGATCGGGATCATCATCCAAGACAGAACGGTCTACTGTTTCGAAGGAGCAGATCTTGCGTTGCATATGCGAAACCGATCGCCCAACCTGGTGATCTACGAACTGGTAGGCTTCGTGGCCGAGATCGACACGAGTGAGAGACACCAACCGCATCTGGTCAGCATGGTGAACGTCGAGGTCTCTAGCAATGGACCTGAAATCTCGCCCAACCATAAAGTCTTTCCCAACTGGCATCTGTTCAATGACTTCCTGGTGACGCCCGTGGATCCCCGAGAAGCACTGCATTTCAACCAGAACTGGAAGATGCCCAGCGTGGTGGCTTATCAAGTCAAGAGTGCCCATGGCAAACTGGATCCATCTTGGAAGGAGAACATGGACACGACCTTACTCTATCAACATTACAGCATCAACGGAATCTACCCCAAAGAGGAATGTCAGATCTTGTCGCCGGAGGAACATCCCCAACATGGCACGCCGATTGCCTTGGACACGGAATTTGTCGAGTTGGAGAAGGCGGAGATCAATTTCAAGGCGGATGGGACTCAAGAGACCATCCGACCGGCCAAATCCGGACTTGCTCGGGTCAGTGTTCTCCGTGGGCAAGGAGAACTGGAAGGGGTTCCGTTTGTGGACGACTACATCACCATCTATGAACCGATTGTGGATTACAAGACACAATACTCGGGCATTCGACCGGGTGATCTCGATCCTCAGGTTTCCGCTCACAACCTCGTTCCTCTCAAAGTGGCATACAAGAAACTGTGGATTCTACTGAACCTAGGTTGCGTCTTTGTCGGGCACGGATTGGCCTCGGATTTCCGCAAAGTCAACATCCACGTCCCCAAAAGTCAGACGGTTGACACGCAATTTCTGTATCTGGCCCCGGGCAAGAATCGACGATTCTCCCTACGGTACCTGGCGTGGGCTGTGTTTAAGGAATACATCCAGGAGGAAACCTTTGACGACGCGCAGGTGGACGGGCATGACAGCATCGAGGACGCGCGCATGGCTCTGCGGCTCTGGCGGAAATACCAGGAATATGAAGATGCCGGGGTCGTGGAACAGATGATCGAAGACATCTATCGCAAAGGTGTCAAGTACGGCTGGAAACCTCCGCCACGAAGTATTGGAGGCACGCAGTTGCCCGACGGGGTTGGCACGGGAGCAGCTAACAGCGCCGCGCCGAGTGGACGAAACACACCGGACTTGATGTCGATGACCCCTTTGCCCATTTCTCCTCCGGCGCCGAGGAGCAGTGGGAATTCGGGAGGAGGCTTTCGATTGAACGCGGCGGGCGCGGGGACTTTTGTGCCGGGCAATGGGATTGTCAAGGAGAGTCCACTGCGTTGATGTTTAGGGTCAGATTGGAACTGGACAGAAGGGAGCGGAAGGGGATTGAGCAGGCTGAGGCTGACGGAGGATGGAGAGGTTGGTGTCTTGCCGACGAGGAGATCAATCGTTCAGCTCCTACCTAGTGAATCGCTGCAGATAGAAACAGAGATACCATGAATCACTGCACTGTTTCGAATGCGGTCAGTCTTGTGGGTGCGTTGTTTACGGGGGAGGGTTTGACATGCTCTGGATCCTGTATCTCAGATCTCAGATCTCAGATCTCAGATCTCCCATCTCACATCTCACATCTCACATCTCCCCACAGGCGTGTAATATCGGAGACATCTGTTTCTGTCGTTGATTGTTCCTGGATTCTTTATCATCTAGCACTGTTGGCACTGTTGTCGTATAGATGGATCGAGTTCCAGTCAGCCTCTCAGCCTTTAGTGAGAAGTCTATCCTGATGATTGGCGCGAGGGAGACTAGAGACCGAAGACTGGAGACTGGAGACTGGGGAATTGTGGATTGCGAATTGCTGCTACTAAGATACTAGTATTTATATCCACGGTATATATTCTATCTATCTCCTCGTTGCAGTAGATCTCCGCATGTGTACGTAAGACATCTCATAAGAGCCTCAGCCTCATTCTCACCAACCAACCAACCAACCAACCAACCAACTGATCAGGCACCAAGGGTCAAGGGTCAAACATACAGGATCCAAGATCCAGGGGGGCTGATTCAACATCCTCCACTGGCACCTCGAATCCATATCCATCTGCCAGCGGATCCTGCAGCACGACACGTCTCATATCCGCCGCGCCGCGCCGCACGGGGGTCTCAATTACGAACGCATCCTCGCTTCAATTTACCTGTGCGTCGCTGTCGTCGCGTCGCGTTGCCCTGAGCGGCGGTTTCCAGTCTCCAGTCTCACATTGGCTGGCCGACCGACCGACCGACGACACCCAAGTCAATCGCCTGAACTTGGCCCAGCGAGACTTGAACCGTTACTACTGTCCCATCGCTACTACGACGACGACTACAAGTACGTTGAATCTTTAACACTACCTACGCCTTAAGGTCTGTCTACAGACAGACAGACAGACAGACAGACAGACAGAGAGACAGACAGAGAGACAGAGAGACAGACAGACAAACACTAAGAGCCGAGACTGCACCCGAACCTGCACCTGTACCTGCGCAACAACGGGACCTCCTTCTCCTGTCCTCGTTGTCCTCTCTTGTCCCTACTACAGCTCCTTCAACTATTTGCACGGATCCGATCGACTCTACTACCCTGATCACTACCTCATTTCCCCCCTTTTCCACCATGTCCAAGACGAAGACAAAAATGAAGAGTCGGCCACAAGTATACCCGCAACGCCCATTCCACATCATACGAGCGATATCATTTATATGCAGCGGTATCGCGTCAGGCATCTTGATCTATTTCTGCATTCAACTTCGACAAGATGGATTCAAACTCCCATGGACATTCGTATTGGTCCTCGCCTCAACCCTCTCCTCGCTCCTCACCCTCGTCCTCACCAGCATCATCTACTCGTGCGCATACCTCTCGCCGCTCTTCAATCTGATCACCAACCTCCTCATCCTGACCATCTGGACCGTCGCCCTCGCCCTGTTGACATGGAACATGTACGGCACGCTCGGCCACAGCTGCAGCCGCGCGAACTGGGCCTCCGACGCCGGCATGATGGTGTGTCGGACGTACAAGGCTTTGTATTCGTTCACGGTCTTCGGCTGGGTCGCGCAGGTCGCGCAGATCGTGCTGGATGTCCGGAGTCGGCGCGCGGAGACGGCGTTGGGGAGATATGATATGATGATGGCCGATTCGAGGGATTCGACGCTACAACTACAGCAGCTGCGGGATTTCAAGGTGGGTGATCATCTGCGTGGGGATAGTAGGAGCAGTAATGGTGATGGTGATATTGCCAATTCCAATACGAATTCAAATTTCAATTCGGGGTTCTTGCCCGGCGGTGGTGGCGGTGGTGTTCATGATGGTCTTGGTCATGGTCATGGTCATGGTCATGGTGATGATGTGCCGTATGGACTTCATGATTACAGGGCCAATGCGGAGGGGAGACGACATCCTGCTTTCAGAGAGAGAGCAAGAGAGAGAGAAACACAACCTCTCAACAACAATGTCTATAACTACAACTACAAGAACAACAACACCAATTATACCACAGGGCGTCGACCACCGGGTCAGCCTTTTTCGAGTCCTGAATATGGACGCACCGCGGCGCCAGCGATACGGATGGACGATTTCAATTACAGTCAAGCCCAAAACCAAAACCATAATCGCTATGCGGCTCACACTGGATATAAAAATGATGGGTATGGATATGGATATGGATATGGACCACAGCGGTAAAGAAAAATGGCTATAGATGGGGTCGATCAGGAAGAGAGTCGGACGTTATGGGTCACCCATGCGTTGATCAAGGAAGAAGTTGTTAGGGCTGCGACTCTCATCCTCGTCGTTGACCAGGACCAGGTCCGAGTCGAGTCGAGTCGAGTCACTTACTAAGTAAGGCTATCCAAAATCCCTATGTCGTGTCGAGAGATGGACTTGTTCAATTCCACTCACTTTCCAAAACTGAGGATGGTGACAGTCGCCAGTCTTGGAGACAGCAGTGCTCTGTCCTGCACGACCAGCCGAAGAGAGGACTGGGGACACGACCTGCTGGTGGTTCGGTTGGTAAGGCTGTGTATGAAGAATCGATCAATCAATCAGTCATGGCGGGAAAAGATGAATGAACCCCTATTATGAAAGTCAGATTCTGCATAATCGATATATTGCTCCGAGACAACTATTGGTTCTGAATATCCATTGGGACAAGACATGACAAGACAAGACATTCCACGCTGTCTGCAATCCACATCGACGACTCTGTGTCCCAGTTTTCCTTATATTCGGAATCCGATGCGGAGGGCAATGAACATTCCTGATGATCCCTTTACCTTGAGTCTTGACCACCGGTGCAGCAGTGCAGCGGGTGTCATCTATGACCAGATCAATATCAGGTTCTGTATTCGAGTCTACCGCTGTCAGTCTTTCAGTCTTTCAGTCTTTCGTCCTGACGTCCTGACTCTCTACTCTCTACTCTCTCCTCTCTCCTCTCTCCTCTCTCCTCTCTAACTTAGTCCCTTAACCAGTCCCTCAACTAACCAAAAGTCACACATATTCCCTCCCTTTAATTCCTCCTTCTTCGTGGCCTTTCTCTCTTCCGCTTTCATGAAAAGGAAAATACACATAACAAATACACAACCACCACTGCACCACATGACTGGCAGGGATCAGACTTCAGAGATCATCATTCGGAACTTAGACTACAGAAATCATAATTCAGAAACATGAGACGGGATACGATGAACAGGACAACGAGTGAGCCAGGTCGCTTGACGGCGCAAAAGCAAAAGCAAAAGCGAATTCTAAATCCTTGAATCCTTGAATCCGGTACAGCCTAAACGTGTATTTCCCAACCGAGGCCAGGGGGACAAATAGAGAGTAATGTTCAATCAATCATCTTCTGCTACTATTCCCCGTGAAGAATCTCCATGTCTCAGTTCTCGAATGTTGTACGTATATACGTATATATACTGCGGCAAGGCTACCTTAAGGTATGCAAGAGATATAATTTTCAGGAGAAACCCAAAACCCAAATGCAAACCCACACCGAAACCAAAACAGCAACAGCAACAGCAATAGCAAAGAGCAAGAATCCTTCCAAGTCATCATCATCTCATGTCATGTCATATTCATATTCATATTCATATCATCTTTAAAAACAGGCCAAACGAATCCAGAACACTGTATAACATTTTTGACTGGGTCTGGACTGGTAAGGATCACTCGTGCCTTTGTCTTGCAAAAAGGTCTTTTGACCTCTTTTTGACCTCTCTTTTGACCTCTGTTCTGCTTCTGCTTCTGCCGTGTCTCTAATCTTGGACTGTAACACCACAGTCTCCAGTCTCCAGTCTCCAGTCTCCAGTCTCGAGTCTCGAGTCTCCAGTCTCCAGTCTCGAGTCTCGAGTCTCCAGTCTCCAGTCTCGAGTCTCGAGTCTCCAGTCTTCAGTCTCCCGTCCCCAGTCTCAATTCCCAGTGATTCTCAAATTCAGAGTCAATTTTAGGAAATTCTAGTCGTATCTCCCCCTCCCCTTCGGCCTTATTGACCACCGCCTCCCCCTCCACCCACATCGCCCGGTTTGCCAGGCATATTAAAGTCACTTCTTTCCATGGCAAACGGCAAGAAGTCGTCCTCATCCAGTCGATTCTCCGGCCGACTTCCGCTCTGTCTGCCTCCTCCTCCACCCCCTCCACCTCCACTTCCACCTCCCCCTCGGGCCCATGACCCAGTACCACCACCAGCACCGCCAACCACATTACTGCTATCGACGTGGCCCATGCTGCCTCCGGTCCCGCTATAGCTGGAAGACGATTCGGCATGTCGATGTGCAATACGTCTTGCCCCGGCCCCTCCGCCAGGCTGCTGTGACGAGAACCCAGTTCGATAGGGTATGGTGGACGATCGACCCGAAGCAGATTCGGAACCGGCTCCGTCGGAAGCCAGCGCCGCCGTGGCAAGTGAAGACTGCCGATGAGCTTGAGAGGTGCGACGGGGACTATCGACCGTCCGACGGGAAGCTACTTTGCCAGAGTTGTCCGTGTCTTCCTCGTCGTCTGCGCGGGCGGATTCGCGACGGTGACGACGCCGGTCGGCTCCCATACTGGCACTTCGCATACCATAAAAGCCTGCGACATCGTCGTCCGGATTCAAAGGTCGGCGCTGAACCGAACTGGAACGTTGGTAGCCGGAGATGAATGGTCTTGGTGAGTTGGGGATATCAATGGCGGGAACGTTGGCAGTGGATTGAGCCTGGGCCGTCTCCTCGGTGGGGGCTTCGGAAGGCGAAGAAGGTTCTTCAGCAGCCAGACGATGCGGTGTGTCCGTGTCATCATGACTGTAAGCGGCACTGAGCCGAGATGGAGCAAAAGGAGTATGCGGCGTATGAGGAGAAATCGGTTTTCCGGGAGATGATGAAGTAGAGAGGGATGTCCCCGCCACCATCTGAGGTACCCCTGACAATTGTCGGCTGGAAGAAGCCGAAGACCTCTGTAGCATCAAAGACGAAGACATGGAATCGGACAATGCAGCATTGGAGTCTCGCATCCGGTGGAATCGGTGTAACGCCGCCGCCGTTCTTCTGGTAGACGCTTGAGCGGCGGTGGAAGACGGAGATGAAAGAAGATCTTTCTGGAGTTCAATCATCTTCAAGAATTCCGAGATATTCTCTCCGTCGTCCTCCGCCACCGATCCCGAACTGCCTCCGCCAGTGGCTGGTTCGGTCATCAACCCTGATCCTGGTTGAACGGAAGACGTGGCGCTGCCTCTGCCGCTACTGGTTTGGTCGTCGTCCGTGCGGACAGTTGTCCCCCCAGACGACAATCTGGCCCGGCGGTGGCTGAAACTACTACTATATCTCGTGACAGGAGCCGGCTTGGGTGAGCTGGACGTCGACGAAGCGGCAACAGTGTCTGAAGTCAAGGATCCCGCTCTCCGTCCGGCCAGGATTGGTCCAGCTGGGGGAGCGACTCCTTCCTCCGTCAAGGATCCCAAGGTGGGTATCCTCGCCGAATGCGTTCGTGGTGAACTGGCCAAGGGAGAAACACCGAGAGGCGAGGCTGATAGTGTCGGTGTTTTGAACGGCTGCATGGAAAATGAGCTCCGTCGAGTGGCGGCCGCCGCTCGGAGTGAATTTCGTGAACTCTGCGTTGCCGTGGCATGGGTATGCAACGACGGTCTGGCCAGTTCAGGAGTCGGAGGAGAGCTGCCATTAAAGTCTTGCGCATTGCGTAAGGCCGAGATCGGGCTTGTGCCGGGCGCAATGCCTGTTCTGTGGAAGGTGGACAAACTGCCATAGGCGAGGCCAAGCTCCGGCGACTCCAACAGATTCTGCCGCCGGTCAGCAGGCAGAGAGCCGACTTCTGTTCGTGAATCTTTCTCGCCAGATAGAGATGGTCGGAAAAGGTCGTCGTCGGCTCCGAGAAACCTTGAACTCAGTAGCTCTTCGGAATCGTCTATCCGAAAGTCACAGTTTTGTCGATAGTCGACCTTGACGGAGAAAGACCCAGCCGGAGACTCTGTCAAGCCGAAGTCGTACGATGATAGAACGTCCGAATTGCTATCGAAAAGACGGAGATGGAGGTTATCGGACCGCGACAACCCACTCTTTTGGGATCCGTCAACCAACCGATAGCCCAGCTTCATTGCCATGGTCGACCGGACCTTACCGACCTTTCTCGACAATCTCCAGGCCGGCAGGAAATTGCTATAGGTGTAGAGAGAACGGAAGAAGACGATGCTCTTTTTGTAGACCAAAGGCAGGAGCGTGGCCAGTTCAGGAGGCACAGGGACCGTGGGATCACCCAGTTGAATCGTCCACCTCTCCAGAATCACCTCGTTGGCATCTGTTGTCCGTCGCTGATTCCCACGGGAAGCACGATGCGCCGAGGACAGTGTATTCATGACATCCCATCTCTTCCCGTCTTCGTCCAGAATCACCAGCCGTTGACCCTGGGGTAAAGGATCGGTGGTGAGAAAGATCTCGATCACCAAGGGCGGAGGTCGATTGCCTTCTGCATCACATGTCTTCCATCTCCTGATCTCGTCCTTGTACTCGTCGGTCTCGTCGATGTCAAGATTGAACCACCGATTCACCCGTTTTGTGTCTGTCTTTTGCGAGTATGCAGGAGCCAAGTCGACTCGAGATTGAAGAATGATTAGAGCTGCCTTGGTGTGGAAGTTCTGGATGACCTGGTTCAGCCGCTGCATCTGCACGCCGGGGTTGTCCGCAGGTTGATCTTGTCGAGCACTTGCAAAGTCCTCCGAGGAACCAGACCCTTGGGTCAGAGGGGAATATGTCCTTAGAGCTTGGAGGTCTCGATCTCTGGGGTTATTGGTACGTGTGGGATTCGTCTGCTCCGAGTTTGCGGGGGACGCAGTCACCGGAGGTGGGCGAGGATGTTGGTGCATTTTGTCCAACAGGATCGACCGACGATGAGTTAGGCTTCACTTGCTGTAACAGCGGGCTTAGCATGGGCGTGACGAATGATGAATAGCAGAAAGTATCCGATATCCTTCCATCGCATGCGATAACGTCCACAAGTGGATGTGCTTGTTGCCGATTCGAGCGGTCAAGACATTCGACGACAGAAAGTTGTGTGATCTTTGGTAGGTTTGGCTAGGCCATTCAAGAGGGTTTGGTTTAGGTAAATGAGCGAGGCATGGCAGACGGCGCAAGTGTGAGGATGGTCAGTGAATTGTTGAGCGTCGAGGGCCAGGTTCAAGATGGTCTCGAGTCGCAGGCATATGACGGCAGCGACATGTGATTGGGGTGGAGGAACCAGCGTGGGATGTAGTGGTGATCAGGCGATAGTCGAGGGTCTGGAAGGAATCGGTGCCCAGTGGTGTTGATTGGGACCGCAGCCAGGCAGCGATGCGGCTTTGGTGTTGTCGAAGCGACGCGGAGCTGATGGGAGGGTTGATAAGTTGAAGGGATGGATGGGTTGGCAAGTTTAGAGAGATACTAACAGAGGAAGGGCAAGAGTCAGTCGGTTGATACACGTCGGAACAACAATACCGATGATGATGATGATGTTGTTGAGTGAGAAGCGGCAGGGTCGGCGTTTTAGCTAGTACTAGTACCTTAGCAAGTTAGTGGGAGTCGCGCTAGAGCCATAATCCGTCAATTAGTAGTGACATCGATGCCTCAAGTGGACAGCTAGTGGTACTACTGTACCATCTCATCGGAGAGTCGGGGATACGACGACACTGGTGGCCACGGACAGGGTGGAATTAAGAACCGGGGAAGCTCTTCTAGTTGTGCACTGTAGACGAGGTGGTTTAATTACTATTACTCTAAGTAGGGGTGTAATGCAGTAGGAATATTGATCTGGCCAATTCTCTTCGCCGACCGGTGACTGCAGGGACGAAATGCGAAAGACGTAAGCGCAGGCACACTGGAGTCTGGACAGCACACCCTGCAGTGTAGAGTGAATATACGGCGCAAGATAGGTCCAACAGCTGAGTTGTCTAACAGGGATGGGCTCCCTACCTGGGCATCATCATCTAGGGATCCCTAGGACTACGACTTACCTAGGAGGGCAGTTAAGTCCAGTCCTAAGGTTCCCCTGTAGGTGCCATAGTAGGCAGACGGGTAGCAGGATAAGGACACTCTCTGCATCCCGCTTCGCTTGAAAAGGATGACTCTTCGTTATAGGCTGCCTTGATAAATAGAAGAGACCGCTACTGCGAGGTACCTATCTCAACCACTAAGGAAGGATACCAGGGATGCGCCTATTATGGCATCCACAGGCACCTACATACCTTAGTCACCAGTTGCGACGTTGAACAGCAGCTGTATGCACACTCCGACCAGAAACATAACTGTCGAGGACAGAAAGGGAGACTTGAGCCTGCTCGGTTCGACCTAGGGACACTCACAGCTTGATGGGTTTGAGTGTGGATGCGACAGTTGTAGTAGAATGATACCTAGATTGCGCGTCAACTCCAACCCTCAAGGTAGTCAAGGTAGGTAGGTAGTTCACCTACATCTGATCGGTACAAAATCCTCAATTCATTACTGTTCATCTAATTGCTTCTAATGATGCTTCGATCCTCGCTGAGGCGTGTGGTTCCCACGGCCCCGGCCTCGACTCTCACTGCCTCGCCCAGGCTGACCACTGCCACCACTGGCAGCTCTCCGTCCCGAATCCAACGGAGAGACCGCCGCCGCCGCCGTCGTCAGCCTTTCTGATCCTGTGCTCTCTGGCCCTGTCGTAGTCATAGCTTTCCCTCTACCACTAACAGTGCCTCGATGAGGTCCGCCTCGGCCACGACCGCCACCTCCCTTGCCACGCCTCCCAGTGGCTGTTGCTGTCGCTGTTGTCGCGGCTGCGGTGACCTGGGCTTCTTCTTCCTGTATCCGCTTGCTTTCGTTGTCCCACCACTCCTGGAATTCCTGTTCTTGCTGGATCTCTTGCAGCGATCTCTTGGCCGCGGCCTCCTTGACCGCGATCTTTTCCGTCTGCTGCTGTGCTAGAATCTCCGCCATCGAGGTGCGCGCGTCCAGCGCCAGTGCATTTCGCGACGGCAATGGGGTATGGCGGATCGATTGGATTTGCGGCGCTGGCGCCTTCGAAGGTGTAATCCCGGTAGGAACACCTCCTTGACTAGTGCTCGGTGGTCCAGGGCTGGGACTCGAGACTGCCCGAGCCACTGTCTGGCGCATTGTCAGAGGCTGCTTACGGCCCTCCTCTTTGGTGCCGGCCGCCGGGCTAGGGGTCTGCATCGCTTTCGGAGGCAATGGATCGGGCCCAGGCGACTTGGGGACAGTCTGCCATGGGGAGGAAGGTGTCTTGCTTCCAACTTTTGTAGATGCACCAACCGACTCGGCACTTTTGGCCTCTTGCTGCTTCAGTAGTTGCTGTTGTCGCTTCCTCTCTTTCTGCGATAACCTGCTTGTGGCTTTGGGTGGGGTAGATGCTAGATTCATGGCTTCCGTCAAGTGGGATACTCGGGACACCGAGGCTTGTGCCATTATACCCTTCAAGTCGGTTTTGCTGGCGCTTGATGTCGGTATTTGCCAGACTGCCCTTCGCTCAAACCCAACGCTGGATCCCATTTGTGGACTGGAGATTCCGGGTTTCCCAGTAGGAGATGCTGGCGATAGAGCAAGCTCCTCTTGTCCAGCGTGGAACGGCCGAGGCGTTGTCGAAGATGTATCTTTGTCTCGAAACGAACCTGACGAGGTGTACGGATGCCGTGTTGCATCCACGGCAGGGCTCGGTAGTAGGTCAGCATGTTCATCATCCATATCGAACGGTAGGTCTTCTCCGGCGTCCTGGGCCACGATTTCCGGACTGGGACTTGGACTACTGGTTGGTGAGTCAGGGACTGTCGTGGACACATGGCTCTTGGAGATTGGCGATGATGCTTGCCGGTCCAAGCTGCCGACACGGAACTTGATCGCAGCAGCATACCGCTCCTCATCTTCCACCAGCCTCGACCTCAACCTCATAGAGTCTATTCGTCTTTGTTTGCCTGCCTCGATTTGGTCGAGAAGGTCTGGATTCTTCTCGATCAGTTCAGCCTCCGATCGGTCGCTACGTGCGAATGGAAGGTAGGCCAACTGATTCGCTTGCACAACCTCATCAAGTTCAGCAAACAGGTCGACATCGAGTTCGTCAAGCAGTCTCATCTCCAGCATGCTCTCGAGGTTGAGACAAATATATTCCAGCGCAGCCCGTTTGAAACTGTCCACTGAACATTCGGCCACAGTGTTGAGAAGTGAACAGACGTTCCTCACGTTCACATATCTGCCAAGGGTCTGCTGGCAGATCTGTGCGAGACGGTCCAGCATTAGTTCGTTCGCAGCGGCCATCAACTCGATGACAATATCAATAAACTCGTCTAGGCTCTTGGTGACGAGGTCATCAAAGAGCTCTTCCCCAGTATCGGCGTAAAGGTGTCGTAATACCAATCCGAAAATTCTTTCGTCGATATGTTTGATATCCACCCGCACAGCCTCAGACTCATCGTCGGCAACATTGCGTCTTGAGGACATCCACATCCCGCCTGCCCTGCCGTTGAACAATCCGTCAAAGAACGGGCAACGTATGCAGAGCAGCACACTGTGTGCGGGCAGCTCGGCGCCATCTGCAAGTTCAACCAGGACGTCGGCATCCGAAAAGAAATTGGGGTCTAGTATGGCAAGTTCCATGTCAATGCTTAGACTTAGAGCCGGGTCGACCATCGTCCTCACAGCGCGCTCCAATTGTCGCAGTTCGAGATGAGTAGCGATCTTCATGAGCTCGATGCGCACAGACCGGTAGCGGGCGGCGAGATGCAACGCTTGGGTTGTGTAGTGCCAGACGTCGACCAAATTTTCCGTGTATAGATAGAAAACTATGTTGACCAGGGTCAAGAAGTCGGCACCTTGGAACCGCAGTTGTATCTGACCATCCGGCCCGTACTCAATGGATAAAACATCCGCAATTGAGAAGTAATACGTTTCTTGGAATTCAGCCAATGCGCTCCGCATCACACGGCTTCTGGCTTTGAGCATGAAAGAATGGACCGGAATTCGAACATCGGTGAGGTTGGACGTAATCCAAATATCGTACTGACTTTCTGCAAGAGGTTCATGTTTCTTGCACAGCCTCAGAAGATCCTGCTCGGCGGATGGTGTGCAAATGATGGCCCGGGAAATGCGAGCTGGGTCTATCTCCGGTGTTGTTTCCGTCTGGTCTTGCCCATAAGCTGCAAAGGGAAGCAGCGAGCGCAAATCTCTCCAAAGAGACGGTGGATCAGGGATGATCTGATCTCGTGTCACTGTGCAATCCTTTCGCACGGCAGTGAACGCTCCGTAGGCATTACTTCGGACAGCAATGGCCCCAGTCAAGTTAGGAATGCGGACAAATTTGTAGTCCTTCGGTCGTGCTGAACCTTTCTTCATGTCTCTCACGCTTTTGATGTTGGCGCGCTTTTCCCGGCGCCAGACTGACCCTGAAGCCGTGCACAGGATGATCGACCCATGCTGATCGGCAGCCATGTCGACAGCGGACATGTGTTTCTTGCGGATCGACCACAGGCGTAAGGGCAGAGGCAGGGCGTTGCGGGCCTTGGTAGGGTTGGTGGTTGACATGTTTGACGGCACGTTCTCGGCCTTGGGCACCTCGATGGAGAAAACCTCACCATACGAAGACATGGCACATATCGTGTTTCCACCGCTCGTAATTTGTTTGATATAGTTGGCCTCCAAATTGCCAGCCGCTAGCGTGTTAGAGACGTAGTAGCTGGTGAGAGACTCGAGTGGAAACAAGACTTTGGTCCATCCATAATGGGTGAAGACAATGACATCGTGATTCTCCAACAAGACAGTCGTGGCACGGTCGATTGCGCTGACCGACTGTATGGGTGATTGCAGTACTGACACGCCTACCCGACGTGGTAGTACCTGTATCTCTAGGGAGCGTGCGTCTGCATCCATCAACCCAAGCTGGCCTTCATTCTTGCCAAAGGTGTATAGGGCGGTCGAGGTGTAAATGGCCGAGTGAATGGCCGAGGCTGCGGCACCGATGATGAGCTCCTTCTTGATGTACCCATACAGCTGACGTGGTATCAACTGCATCGGAGTCTCATTCTGGGGAACCTCGGGCAGCGAATAACCCAGTTGACCATAGCGGTTGCTTCCCCATGTGTACACTTCACCCTGGGAGCACACCGCCACGGTGTGATCTTGACCAAGGGCTATTGCAGAGATGCGGCGCTTGGCCAGGCCGCCGGTCTGAATGCACTGGTACGTGAAAGCAGTGTTCTCATCGCCAGTACCCAGCCGACCACCGCGGCCGAAACCACACATGTAGAGATTGGAGATGGGATCGTCGGTCAAGACGGCGGTATGAAGCTTTGACATGACCACATTTTGGATTGTAATGGGGCGATAGCGGATGATGGCTGGAATATCGCTCTGTGGCCGAATGTCAAAAGCGCTGGAGGTCATGTCCTCGTTGCCGAATGACCTTTGTCTCGCTGCTAGATGGTCATCCAGAAGACGTCGTAGCAAATGATCGGGCCGAGCGAGTTGCAGACGCTCTGGGAAATGCCTGTCATCCCCATCTCCCACTCCGAGGGACAGGTTCTTGTTGCTGCCAAATGCGTACACTTCATCGCCGACAAGATCGACGACAGGAGCGACGTACCTTTTCACCCTTTCATCTCCTTGACCGTCCTCATTGTAGTCGACCCCATTGATGCTGTCGTCATCATTAAGACCAGAGGGCAACGTCAAAGGGTCCTGCTGGATAGTGCGAGGCGCTATGGTCAGACCGAACACTTCAAAGGGACTATTCCCTTCGCGATCCTTGATCTTGACCAAGCCACCAGCATGGGTACGCTGAGTGTTGGTAGTGTAATCCGTTGCATCCTGGATGTCCCGGGCCAGAAGAGCATGGGCAATGGAAATGTTGCCAGAGTACAGCGCCCGATGAAGGGGAGTCCATCCACTCTCGGTATCCTGGGCATAGAGATCCAAGACGGGCATTTCCAATAGAGCCTTGACAAATGCCAGGGCGTCTTCCGACCTTGACGAAGCAGCATGATGCAATATTGTTCTCCCAAAGGTGTCTTTTGTGTTCACCTCGGTACGAGTAAGCCTCAAGCTCGTACCCTTGCTCGATGAGCTGCTGCCAGGACCATTTCCCACACTCTTGCGCGATTTCAGCGGTGTCTTGGGGGAAACAGCCAAATTTCCCGGGCTGCCAATCCTCAGTGTATTACCTCCTCCTTGTCCAGCGCCCGAAGCTCTCGGGGGTCCGGAGGCGAAGGTGGCGTTCGCCAGGTATTGCCGAAAAGTATCGACATCGTCTTCGAGCAAGCAACGCCAGAGATTGTGGCTCATGTGGTATGTAAAGGAGATGTTGACGCCTCCCGTGACCGCGGAGAAGCGCCTCGCTGCAACCTCGCTGGGTTACGGCTTGTTTAAAGGCGCGGTGGGCGGACGGAGAGGTTGATGAGTTGAATAGAAGGCGTTGGCTCAAGCGTGGGTCATCTTCGGACGGTCCGTTCAAATCTCACGAGGCTTCGCGGTCTGCTTCAAGTTGGGGGAGAGACGTCTGTAACAATATTGCGGCAACGCGCCTTCAGATGCAAAGGTCGAAATGTGTCAAAGACTGGGAGCTCGAGATCAAGATGGGCGAGGGGCAACGGTGACATCGAGGTCGCGATTGCGATAAATGTGCGGAGGGGGAAGATGAGGATGATACCGGGCATCGCTCCGCAGCCAATCAGATGGCCTCGTGGCGGTACGAGCCATGAGTGATTCGAGAGCCATACTCGTCTGGCGGGATCTCTGACAGCTGTGTAGATACAAGACGCGTGATATGGGAGATTGAGAGGAACAGAAACGAACAAGCAGATATGTCTACAACAGAGACGAGTCACTGGCACCAACTTGGTGAACGCGTCGACGCGACTTGTAAAGGGCGGTGTATGTACACTCTGTATGGATCCTGGTCCTTAACTGTCCATAGTCCGTGGGTCTCGACCAAATTCCTGTCACTTTGGCATGCTCGTGAAGAACTGTGTACATATTGTAGCTCTGCAGTACGTATCTGTGCAGACTGGCTCTATGTCTCAACCTGAAAAGCTCTTCCTCTCTCCCTATCTACAACACCATGACTCCGGCTGCCAGACCTAAACCTAGCAGTGCCGCCGTGGGTGCTGCTGCGGCGTTTGCTCTCCCGGATGATGTTGTCGTGGCTGCTGCTGTCCCCGTGGCCGCCGCCGTCGTTGCCGCGCCTAGGTTGAAGGTGGGCGTCCCAGTGAGGACCAAAGACGTGCCTTGAACGCTCGCCGTTGGCACGGCCGGTTCTTCTGTCGCTTGAGCATCGGGGATCTGCGTGCCGGTAGCGGTGGCCGTCACCGATGCCCCTGGGATAGTGGTTCCTGTGGGAATCACAGCAATGCTGGACGTGCTGGTTCGATTTTCGGCTGCCTGGGCCAGAGCTGCGACACCATTGCTGATGTCGTAGACTACATATGCACTTCTCAAGAAAGTGTCCCCAAGGATACTGAACCCGCCAATGGGGGGTCCGAAGCCAAAGTCACAGCCTCCAGATTTGTCTGCAAAGTTCTCGGGGGGAAATTCTAGATTGCCCACCACTTGTGATACCGGCACGTCGATGGTGACGCCACCGTCGCCGCCGAAGGAATAACTGATCGTTCCGTTGATGCCGGCGAATTTACAAGGCACGACGTAACTTCCTTGGCCAATGTCCACTGCCCCGAAGCCGTTGGCTAACGCGCTGAAAACATCGTCGGTGAGAAGGGTCTGACTCGTGCCTGAATCAAGCAGGACCGACTGTGCATAACCTTCAGGCGACAATTGTGTCGTCTGTCCTGTGTGATCGGTGAAACTGACGCTGGTCAGGGTGACGTAGAACTCGGATACGTATCCCTCCGGTCCTGCCTGTAGAGGAAGAGCGACCAGATCGCCGGTGTACTTGGTGGTGTCGATTCCTCCAAAGATGATCGAGCCCTTGTTTGCCTGAAGGTCGTTCAAGTAAAGGCTGTAAGCCTTTCGGTTGATGATGCCAGCAGATTGTAGATTGTCCATGACTGACGGATACACACCGTCGGGACTTGGATTGTTGGCTTCATTGGTATCGAAGCCCACGCCCATGACTCCATGGGAGTCGAACAGAGACAAGGCCACACCAATCTGCTGGTCTCGAATGGGGTCAGAACCGCCGACGGTGATGGTGTCGGTGGCCCAATCGCCAGCATCACTGTCTCCTGGGGCGGCATAAGTCTGTAGGTAAGCAAGCAGATTAGCCCCTGAGCCGCGAGGCATGCGCACCAACGCCTCCTGCAATACTAGTAGCACTTACAATGTTGAAACCACCTTCGTCAATTACGTTGTAGGTGCTCGAGGCGCTCGGATCAAACGTTCCAGCATCGCACCCGCCTTTTCTGCAGAGAGGTGCCGAGGCTGCCGGTACCCATAGATCAGAAGAACCCGTGTCCAGAGTGACAGCAAGGCGTTGAGCCGGGGTGCCTACTGTGATGTTGACCAAGTATTCGAGCTTGTTGGTGTTTTGCGTCACTGGGGCGTCGAAACTGCCATCCGAGTTCTGTCTGCGAACCAGGCGACGGTCCAGCGGTGCACGTCGTTCGACATCCAGTTTGAGATAGCCCGGGGAAGCGAGACATGTGCTTGTGAATGCTGCAATTGCAGCTCCGGCTAGCAAGTGCATGCTTGTAATGTAACCTTTGGCAAGGGATCTTGCTCTAAGTACAAGCCGAGACAAGAGAAGTCTGGGCAAGGCGGTGCTCCAAGATCCAGGTATAAGGTAGCGGATAGCGGGCTGCAGGGCGGTTGGGGGTTTAACTAAGATTCAATAAGCACTGCAGGCCTGCTGAGGACAGGAAATTCTCTGCGAACAATTACTTAATTGATCAATAAACTGGGAAGCGAAGACCAGGTCGAGGCGAGGTGAGTAGCGAGTCAGCACTCAAGTACTTGTTGTCGCGTCGGAGATTGGACGCTGAACAGTTTGTAGTATTAGGCAGCCAACGGGGGGATGGAGGGCCTTAGGCGCCTAAGGAGCCTGACGGGGGTGAGGGCCCAAGGGCTAGGGGAGGCCTAAGGGGCCTAAAGGGCCGAATTGATGAGGCTGAGGCTGAGAGGATGGAGATGACTAGAAACTAACTCAGGTCCCTTACACCTCTGTTGGTAGTCGGCTCAATATATCAAGTAGTGACTGTGGAGAGTGGAATAGATGACTACCTACAGTACAGTAGCAGAAGTATTAATAGTAGGTCCGTACCTAAAAGGTCCCTCCAATCCCTCTCAGCTGAAGGCCTTTTGGCTTGCATGCACCTCGTTCCCTGTTTGCTTCGAGGCATCACGTCAGGACTGCCCGTTTGATGGGTGCCATGCAGACACGTATCCTGGAAACCCTTGTGCGCATCAATGGCAGTGGAAGTGGACGGGACATGGACAGTGACACTCAACAATTCGATCAGTCAACGATTCAATCAATGAAGGCCGCGTCACCGTAGCCGTTCGATCTGGAGAATGGATGGATACCTTTCAAGTTTGTACCTTTGTTCCTATACCCGCCGAGTCATGCAGTTGGTGGACCATATTGCTCCGTACCATCCGAAGCGATTGAAGTTCCCCATTGTAGGCGCCATTTTGGGGCCCCCAGGCCCGGAGTCCGCCGTCCAGCTGCCTTAGACGGTCAGGCAGAACAACGAGACCCATCTACTCTATCACAAAAAGTCCAGCATGATACTGCCAATCGGAGATGGACGTGCTCATATGATTATCCTTGCTTTGGTGTGCATAGTATTCCGATCAACTTTTCTAAAGCAGACTCAGCGCTCTTAGGGACCAGTCGAGCAAATCCTCGGTCCAAGACACCCTTCCCAGATATTAGATCTCCCAAAAGAATGATCGCAATGAAATCCCCCATCGCATCAAGTCCTCCTGATGGCAGGCAGTTGCTCGGGTAGTCAGACGTTCAAGCAGCGCGTATCCTTGCTCTCCATATCATTATGACCCCGCCATGGAGGCCTCTCCGTTCTAACCAACCCTCCAACGGCCAAGAATGAAGTCTAGCCTCGTCGAGTACACACCTGATGTCTTCGTCAAGGCTACTCTCCGGAATGCCCGGATCACTGATCCTTCTTTGCGGTCGTGCTGACTTGAGCATCCGAGCGTTGAAATACGAGCTCATCGCGACCCCATATGGCCACAGCAGCCGTTCCACAGGGTCCCAAAACAAGTGTTACCAGTGAAACCTTGATCGCTTCAACGAGGGTTTGGATGAGTGTTGCGTGTTCACGTTTGGCGGCAACTCGCAAGGTCAGACCCCAGAGCAAAGTGGCCGAGACACCCACCAGGATATCCCACTGCAAAAACCAAAGAGCACCATCGGCAAGGACTTTGACGTCGTGTTGACCAAACGGCAGAACAGGAAGGAAGACCTTAGCCGGTTGAAACTGTGGCAAATAGGTTGGGCTGAACAAGACCGGGAAAGCAAACGCCAGAAGCGAGAGACTCCACGCCGTAAGGTGTGATGCAGCCGAGCACGCGATCGAGAATGCATAAGCCTGACGCAGATACTTGACGGTTTTGGCTCTCTTGTCACTTTCCGTCAGAGACCCAGCCCTTGGGTCCCGACCCGTGGCGATGGACGTCAAAATCAGGTGCGTCAGACCAATCCAAATGGACCAACCCTGTTGGATTCCCGTCCAAGTCTGCTTCGTCTCGAATGAGACCACCGTGGGCGCGGGAAGGCACATCAACAGAGACGGCAGCCCAAAGCCCACTAGAATGCTGATTGGCACAATGGCGAGCCTCACTGGGACGTCCACGATGAGTTGGAAGTCCTGAGGGTCAACCACTGCCGGCGACAGCCCTAGATGAAGCGCAAACCAGAGGGGCGCAACGCAGGCATATCCGATGATTGCCACTCCAACGCCGAACAAGGTCGTTCTATTGCCGTCAGTTGAGCCCCTCGTGAGTCTGGGATCCTGCGACTTACGCCATAAGGATGAACTTTTTCTCGTTGCCGACGCGGAGACTCTCGATCATGATCAACACCCATGCTGAGAGGACTTGTCCACCAAGATATAGGAAGGAGAGCGATACATCTGCTCGGTTGCCGTCGATAGCTGTGTAGAAGAAACTGACCAGAGTGGTCAATTGTCTATCCACCACTCCAATCCCCGTGTATGTCTGCTTCATGGGCGCTGGAGTAGGGCCTGGTATCACGGCGCCAGGCTCACTTTGCCGGCCCAATATCGCCAAAAGACCATTTTGATAGGGGAAGACCCAGAGAGTCCAGAATCCGCAAAGGGATAGGAAGATGAGAAGCGCCTTGGGGACAGTAAGCGCCATACGGGGCACAGTCGAGCAGTTACGGGCCTGTTGTTTCGTGACACGCTTGACGATGCGGTTTTGGATACAATACAAACCAGAGAAGTATCATGAAATAGAAAGAGCTGAGGCTACAGAGGAGAGTAGACGAGGTAGAAATAGCATCTTACGAGAGAGAAGGCAGACGGTCGCCTAATCGCCTGAGATTCCAGCCTCAGCTTGCCGTGCTGACCGGCGTGCAACGATTGGTCTGAGGCGTCTTCAGCCAGCTGCAGCAGTCCAGGGTTGCTTTGTCCAACCAGCAATGCTCTGCAGTGCCACCCTGCACGTAAGGACTGGTGTTGAGGCATGAGTTGGATGCATGAGCTGGACAGCAAACACCACTGATGATTAAGATGTCTCTATCACATCATGTCGGTACAAAAGATGGAACTGTCACTCTTCAAGGCTGTGTACGTATTTTAGCTGATGCAACCAATATGGCAACTCAGCCGAACTCAGCCGATTAAAAACCTTACTCTAGCCTTCCCTGGACTAGTTCACTCTATGGATTTTGTAGCCAAAGGCTTTTCTCCCACTCGAAATGAGCCTCGTCGTTCTGGTACTGACGAGAGAGGGACTGTTACTGGACAGGTCTACCAACGATGTCACAGTGAGCGTACTCTCCTAATACATCCTCCCACCCAGTACGGTCACCAAAAATGCCCAAACGAAAGCGCCAAGACGAAGGGCAGGAGGAGGATATAGCGATTGAAGACCAGGCTCTGCGGATAAAAGTCACCAGGCTAAAGGCCAAAGTCCACCAGGGCATCAAGCGCCTGCAATCGGCGTTAAAATTGGCTCGGGGATTCGAACGCCAGAAGCTCGGTCGCCGACAGAAAACAGCCAACGATGAGCCCCAGACTCTTTTGCGACTACGAGAGGAGGTCGTTGTGCTGAAACAACTGCAACTCGACCAAACAGCGCAACGATATCTGCTCAAGCACTTGGTCAAGGCGAAGCGAATAAGGGAACATCCGGCATTCGTTCATGCCTATGGCCAGAATCCTGCCGTTGACCCCACCAAGTCAACGGCCGAGGCAAATGTATTGGGCAGGTTGTTCAAAGCCACGCCTGTGAAGAATGTTGTACCTGAAATTATGAAAACGATCTATGATGTGCTTGGGATCCCTCAAACAGGACCCAGCAGTGAGACTGATGGGAAGTCATCTGTCCCCAAGTCGATCAAGCAAACAATACATTCTGTCGAAGCAGAAGAGGAAGAATTCCACGGCTTTTCGAGTGACAATGCTCAACCAAATGGCCATGAGCATCTCAGTCAAGCCTCGGGATCAGATTCAGAAGAAGACCGTCTGCTTTCTGAATACGCCGCTGGTAGGCTGGCCTCTTCAAGTGGTGGCGAGTCTGAGAACGATGGGTCTGCAGATCACAAACGCTTAGACTCTCAATATGGCAATTCGAGGCGGGATATTTCAGTCTCACCAAGCCCAAGTGACTCCTTAGATCGCGCAGAAGCACGAACCGGCGATGAAAGCTCAATCCAGAGGCTCACAAAAACAGCATTCCTGCCATCCCTCAGTCTTGGAGGATACTATTCCGGATCGGAGTCCGAAGATGAGGACACATACAAGCACCGCGGTCCCGCCGAACCGAAAATCAGAAAGAATCGGCGAGGACAGCGAGCGCGACAGCAGCTGGCGGAATTGAAATTCGGCAAGAATGCGAAACATCTAGCCAAACAGAAAGAACAGAACCCTCGAGATGCAGGCTGGGATCTAAAGAGAGGCGCAGTGGCTCCGGGTGATAGGCCTAGGGAAAGATTCCGGAAAAGTGGCGACAAAACGATGTCGAATGGCAACACTACAGGACCAGCAAGGACCACTAAATCAAAGTCAAAGACGAGAGATGATGGAGGCGCACTGCATCCCTCGTGGGAAGCGGCGAAGAAACGAAAGATGCAGGATCAGGTTCAAGCGACTTTCGCTGGAAAGAAGATCACATTTGACTAGTGCCTGGAGTCATCCGACAAAAATACAAAACCATTTTACATCTGGAGATGTTCCTGTCAGCTTGGGTTGGATGGCCCTGCTCCAGGCGAATCTCTGGCAGCATTCATCCAGGGCTACAGGGCTCGCGATGGTCCGCCGAAGTCATTGTCCTTTCTTTGGCTGCCTTGTCAAAATGATGTTGCTTCAGCGCTCCCAAGGTGCATTGCAGAACACGGTGCAGGATGCAACAGAGGGCCTTGTGTATCCATAGACCCACACAAGCATTCGTTCCCAAGTTGCATGAAATATGTACCTGACCAGATCCTGTTACGTCCCTCTACGTCCCTTGATGCCCGTGGCGTACCGAGTGGAGTGAACTTTCCGGTAGTCCAACATGACAAGTCTGCTAGCTTTAGCTACTCAGACCACTCAACAAGACCGAACTGGCCCAGTCCTGCTCCTTGTGTGCTTCCGCTGCTTCGACAAAGTCAAAGTTGGAGTTTTTGCTCGGGCAGGTTTTGGACGTCGTAGAAAACCCCGCCGCTCTAGTAGTTGCTCGTCGTCTAACTAACCTCCAACTTCGCCTAGTGCACTACGCTAAGATAAGAGTTCTATCTAGCGCCCAGCGCGAAACACGTCTATTTTGTACGGCCGCACGCATTTTCATGAGACGCAAGGCAGTGACAAGAGACAATGTCTTGAAGTTACCTAACTATAAGTCACCAATCTCATACACCCAAAGATGTCTTTCTCCGTCTGAGATCGACCTCATCCCAGAGCCCTCCGGCACTATACGCTGTAGTCTACACGACCTCCTACCTCCAACCTGAATCTACACCTCCTACAATGTCCAACCCTCCTGCTCGTGCAGGCCCTGTCAGGCGACGCTCATCTTTCGCATATGATCCTGCCCGCGACATCTTCAAGGAGCTGCCCGACACCATAGCGGAAGCCGCGATTGCCGAAGACGCAGAAGAGAACTCGAAGGACAATGTGGCCGTGACATCGAGTCCAAACGGCCACGACAGTGCGAATGATCAGAGCCGAAAGCGGAGGAGATCGACCTCAGTTGCCGCAGAAGCCGAGGGCAAAGTTACAACAGCTGAAAAGGATGATGGGCAGAAGAAGGAGTCCCCCGAGGTCAACAAGCGACGGCGCACTTCAGGCTCGTCGCCGAACGCAGAGAGACCTTCACCGCAGTCACGGGCAAATGGAGCTGACAAGGACAAACCAGCCCCAAGAACACCGGCAGACTTGCCCCGAATTCCACGTAAATCGAGAGAGGAAGGCGAAATCTCTACATCACAGCCAGTCCCGTCGGCGTTCAGTCGGCGGCCAGAGCGTGAGGATACGCGAAGAAATGGCAATGTCCGTAGAAGATCTCGATCTCCTCGCCGACGGTCTCCCGCGAGCCTGTACAACCGCCGCCGGTCTCCGCCACGGGAACGCCGCAGATCGCCTTCTCCGATACGAGACTCTCCTCCTCGTGAATTCATTCGTCCCGGCGGCGCTCGTGGTCGAGGCCGCAATGTGCTTGCTGAACAACAACGTCTGGCCGCCCTGCGAGAACAGCAGAACGGAGACCTAGCCACTCAGACCAATCGGGGTGTGCAAGAAGTCTCGAACCAATTCTACAACGCACGACCCGAGTGGGTGAAGGAACGTGGACGCGAGTGGCGCAAGAATGAGTCGCAAATCAAAGGCCTACGAAGTTTCAACAACTGGGTCAAATCCGTGCTCATCCAGAAATTCAGCCCAGAGGAAAAAGGAGAGGTCGAGGAGCTCGGTTGGGGCGAAGAGGCCAAGGAACCCGAGAGGCAGAAACCGCTTCTTGTGCTCGACATCGGCTGCGGCAAAGGTGGTGATCTCGGCAAATGGCAATTGGCGCCCCAGACCGTCGGACTGTACGTTGGCCTTGATCCTGCCGAACTGAGTATCCAACAGGCACGCGAACGGTATCAGCAGATGCGACGTGGTCGTCGGCCGATCTTCGATGCTCGGTTTATTCCGCAAGACTGCTTCGGCGCCTGGATCGGCGATGTAGGCATCGTCCGGGAAGTCGGGATCGACCCGAACGCCGGGAGTGGACAGCCCAGTCGCTGGGGCGGTGGCGGCTTCGACGTCGTGGCGGCCATGTTTACCATGCACTACGCGTTCGAGTCGGAGGAGAAGGTGAAGATGATGCTCCGCAACGTGGCAGGCAGCTTGAAAAAGGGAGGCCGCTTCATTGGCGTCGGGCCAAACAGCGACGTGTGTGCCGAGAACATTCGCAAGTGGTTCGCCAACAAGGCAGCCAAAAAGGCTCAGGAACCCGCCCAACAAGAGAACGGTACACCAGTGGCAGCAAATAAGGAAGAAGGTGAGGCTGCGGAGGAAGAAGAAGAAGAAGGTCCGTCGTGGGGCAACTCGCTGTATCGAGTCCGGTTCCCTGTCGACCCTCTCCGTCCACTACAGCCCGATGGATCGTTCCGGCCGCCGTTCTCTTGGAAATACATGTACTGGATGGCCGAGGCCGTGGATGTCCCCGAATTCGTCGTGCCGTGGGAGGCCTTCCGTGCGATCGCCGAGTCGTATAACCTCGAACAGCGCTATCGGAAGCCTTTCCCCGAGATCTGGGAGTCGGAGCGCGGCAATCGCGAAATGATGGCCCTCGCGAACCGCATGGGAGTAACGAGAGTCGAAGGCGGCGAGCCGGTCTTGTCGAAAGAGGAAATGGAGGCCGTGGGATTCTACCATGCTTTTTGTTTCGTCAAGGTCTGAGCTGGAGCCAATGCAGCAACAGCGACAGCGCAACGAAGCTGGCCTGGTAGCGGTCCAGAGGGTGTTTCTTACTGCATCCTATGCCACAGGGGACGTTACAACGTGAGGCGACGCGACTGGTCCGCCATGAGGCTTGGGATGTTGCCATACAAACCGAGGATGGCTGTCGGTTCCGTTAGCTGGGCCATCTCCCTTCGTTACTTCTGGCGTTCCTGAATGGACGGAGACTACTAGATATGGTAATGGAGTCCCAAAACATTGCATTGCATGCGCCGGTTCTACTTGATCCGAGCTCAGGGACTGGCTCGAGACGAATTGCGAGCTGGAGAGCGCCTCTCGAGCCGCCTGATCATCCGGATCCGGAAATGGAAATGGAAATGGAAATGGAGCTGAGAATGGGACATATTATGTGCAGTTGCTTTCATTCAGCGCGAGCCTTATCATCATTTACGAGAAAAGCATGCGTTCAGACGAGAATATATCCTACAATCAATTCTATCCTGCTTGCTTGCATCCTTCATACATCTCTGAGGTATTGGTCCAGTGAACGTCAAGGCGTCATGGAAAAGTATCAGAACAGTCATAGATGGATGGGTGCATGATCTGTTGTCTAAACTGATCACAATTGTATAGCCATGCAACCAGTCCTCATCATCTAGGCGACATTGACAGATTGTCCACCGGCAGCCTCCTTGACTCGCGGATCAGGCACCTTCGCAATTTCGCGGACGAACTGATTCCGCGTCGAGTCTTCCAGGGCACCGGGTTTCCAGTACTCATATTCGATCCACTCGCCCTCCTTCATCTGGCTCTCGACAGCCTCATGCCAGCGGGCGCCCAGCTCCGGCTGCAGCGGCACGACGCCCGTTTCCTCACAGTAGGTCTCCCAGAGCTGCAACAGGTCCTGCAGGATGTCGGGGTGTTGGGCGGCCAGATCGTCGGTCTCGCCGGGGTCTTTGGACAGATCGTACAGCTGCCAGGCGGAGTTGCCCTTGGGGAAGGGGATGAAGTCGGCCTTCCACTGGCCCTTGCGGATGGCGGCGCGGCCGCACAGTTCCCAGCCGAACGACTCGTCGGGGTCGTGCACGCGACTGTCCTGGCCGGTCAGCCAGGGCGTCATGTCTTTGCCGCGCATCGGCACGATCGCACGACCCTTCCATTCGGGCGCTGGGTGGGGGATGCCTGCCAACGACAATAGCGTCGGTGCAATGTCCATGACGGTGGCGAAGGTTTCGGTGATGGCGCCTTGTCGGTCAGCATGGATGGGCGGATATCGGATCACGCAGGGCACCCGCACCCCGCCTTCCGTGGTATATGCTTTATACAGTCTGCTTGGGGCGGTGGCTGCCTGAGCCCAGCGCGGGCCGTACCACACGAAACTGTCCTTGTTGCCGATGTTGTCGAGCGCGTTGTTGTAGTATTTCCCAATATGCGACATCAGCTCGCCGGCCACCATCGGGTATGCTTCGTACGCGGCGCCCTCGGCGCCATTGTCCGAGAAGAACATGATGTACGTGTTGTCCAGCTCGCCTATGGATTCCAGATACTCTGTCACGCGGCCGATGTTGTGGTCCAGACACTCCACCATGCCGGCGTACGCTTCCATCGCCGTGCAGGATGCCTTTTGGTGGTAATCGTCCATCTCGTCCCAGCCGGGGACCTCGTCCGCTACGACCGGGTGCGGTTTGACGTCCTTGGGAATCATGCCGAGCTCGATCAGTTTCTTCAGCCGCGCTTGGCGCAACGCTTCAGGTCCGTCTTTGTACACATTTCGGTAGTGGTCGATGTACTCCTTCGGTGCTTGCAGAGGCCAATGCGGCGCCGAGAACGGGTAGTATGCAAAGAAGGGTTTCTCGGAGAGGGCGTCGTCTTCCTTCCACTCCTTCAGGTATTTGAGCATTTGGTCGCCGTAGCCGTTGCTGGAATACCACCCGTCAGGAAGCTCTTTGACGTAGCGGCCGTCTTCCATGTGCATAGCAATGACGCTCTTCTCGAGGAACTTCGGGAAATCCACGTCTGGCCTGTAGTCGTAGTGATTGGCGCACGCCGGTAATAGGGCCAGGCTTCGATCGAAGCCTCGAGCCTGCGGACTGCGTTCTTTGGTCAGGCCTAGATGCCATTTCCCGGCCATCATGGTGTGGTAGCCACCGTCTCTCAGCACTTCCGGCAGAGACACCACCTGGGAATTCAAGTAGCCTTCGTAGCCGGGCATTCCTCGCTGCGGAGCCGTCGAGTATTTGCTCCCTTTGGGGAAGTTTTGACCACTGAAGTCGGTCTAGAGTTCTGGCTGTCAGTCGTCGATTCAATTCACAGCGTGATCCATCGGGCGGGGACAGTTCCTAACCCACTCAATCAGGTTCCCGAGACCGGCGATGTGGTGGTCTGTTCCGGTCAGGATCATGGCTCTGGTGGGCGAACACGCCGCAGCAGCGTGGAAGCCGGTTAGACGAATCCCATCTTGGGCCAACTTGTCGATGTTGGGAGTCTGGATCTCGGACCCGAAGCATCCGGCGTCTGAGAAGCCCATGTCGTCGGCGACGATGATGAGGAAATTGGGGCGTTTGGATGCCATGGCTCGACCGTCGTTGTCTGGGCTGCTAGTATCTCAATGGAGGTGTAAAGGAGGTAAAGTTGTCACCTGTGGAGGATAGACAGACACGACTACTCCTCGGTCGACGCGGAACATGTCTGCTTTGGACTCGGAGCATCATTGCAACGAGGGAAGAACAGTCGAATCCTGTACTAGTAGTGCAATGTAGTGCAATGTAGTGCTTCAGAATGAGAGGAGGAGGGGTCACTCCACGCCGTATCGGAGTGCAGTGGGACAGATCAGCATGCGAGATACTTGTAGCACCCTTTCTGGGAGACCCAAGGACCCATATCACAGCGCCTAGGGCCTAGGGACTTGAAGGATAAGGAGGATAAGGGGACCACTTCTGATGGGCTTAGAGGCTCTAGCTCGCCGAGATACTAGATGCCTAGGTGCCTAGGGAGCCTAGGGAGCCATCAGCCCGGGGTTTTGTGGCCATTGTCACTCCATTGCGGGTGCATTTGTGGGCGGACGTGGTAATCATCATCCACATCCGCCATGCAGATATCTTTATCTCTAGGTACCGAGTACCTTTCCACAGTCCTAGACCGCAATGCTTATCCCCGGCCTTGGAAGCTTGCATTGAAGTCAGCTTCGGGTGCAGTCTCTGCAGTACAGAGTAAACCTCAAGGACGCGCCTATCCTCGAGAACCTGTTCTACTGTTCTACTACGGTGAGTCTGTCAGGGCGTTGTGCTCTTCCCGTCGACTCCCACTCTTCATCCAGACCACCCAAACACATCTGTGAGACCTAATCCCTGCTTATCTCGACCAGTCAGCTAGACGACAACGGGCGTGCACGCGCTATTCCTTCATTCCTCGTCTCCCACGCGGCCTACGATGCAACATGGGGCTCAGGAGTACATTGATTGACTAAATCCAGATGGCGACAGTTCACCGTCCATCAATCAACGTCGGATCTACATGATTCCTACCTCTTTGCTACTCCCTACCGACCCCCGCATCTATTGCGTGATCGCTGGACTGCTTTGCTTGTTCAACAACTCTTGCCATCTCCAGAAGAGCCAAACCCCCGGCGGTCCATCACCCATGAAATGACTGAGTGACATCCCTCCAGCTATAAAGAGCAGACATGGTCTCCTCCGCCGGGTATCGTCCCGTGCGGCAGGGCGAGACATCCGAGGAATCCCCTACACCCACGGAACAAGAAGCAGTCATGGGCAAGAGACTCGGGCTCTTTCGAGCTTACTATGTGGTGGCTCTATGCTCGATCGGTTCTTTTCTATTTGCATACGATACTGGCATTGTCGGAGGGGTCCTGACCCTGCCGAGTTTCCAGAATGATTTCCGCTACTCCAAAGCTGAGAAGACACAAGTCAATTCAAACTGTGTCTCGATCCTGCAAGCGGGCGCATTCTTTGGCTGTTTCGGCATCTGGCCCTTGACCTCGTGGTTAGGACGACGGTGGGGCTTCATCATCGCCTCTGCAGTCTTCTCGGTCGGAGCGATCATGCAAGTTGTCAACACGCATTCCATCGGCGTCTTCTATGCTGGTCGGGTTATATCTGGCCTGGGGACTGGAGCCGCGACCGTTCTCGTCCCGATTTTCTCGGCCGAAATGGCCCCCAAGGAGATCAGAGGCAAACTTGGATCTTGTTTCCAGCTGTTGTTTGCGTGCGGTGTCACTGTCTCCTACTGGGTGGACTACGCTGCGCAAGCGGGCATTTCCAGTGATTCATCCATGCAATGGCAAATCCCTGTGGGCCTCCAACTCGTGCCAGGTGTTTTCCTCGGTCTGGGTATGATCCTGGTCAAGGAATCTACCAGATGGCTTGCCAAGAAAGGCCGCAACGAAGAGGCCTACGCGTCTTTGCTGTGGGTTCGGGGCGGCGTGGATGGTCCGGAGATCAGAGCTGAATTTTCCGAGATCCTCGCTGGAATCGAGCTCGAACTCGTCGAGTCTGAAGGACTCACCTGGAAGGAGCTATTGCTCCCATCCAACCGATTCCGCATGATCATCGCCATCACCATCCAGCTCGCTCAACAATTGACAGGAAACACGTCGCTTGCCTACTACGCACCCCAGATCTTCGCCACCATCGGGGCAGGAAACAAGACCATGTTCATCACCGGGTTCTTTGGGATCATCAAGATAGCTGGAGTGGCAGTCTTCCAACTCTTCCTGGTCGAACGCATCGGCCGAAGGATCCCCTTTATGGGTGGTGCTTTTGCCATGGGCAGTTTCATGCTCATCATCGCGTTGATCGTGGCCACCCACCCCCCAAAGCCTTCAGCTACCGGGATCACCTCTTCTGGAGCGGCAGGCATTGCCATGGTGTACCTGGAGGCTTTCTCCTTCAATATGTCCTGGGGTCCACTGACATGGTTGTACATCGGAGAGATCTTCCCCAGTCGCATCCGGGAGATTGGGGTGGCCACGGGTGCCGCCAGTCAATGGTTGTTCAACTTTGTCATGAGCCAGATCACTCCTCATGCCATTGCCAACATTGGATGGCGGACGTTCCTGATGTTTGCCATTTTCAACTACGCCATCATCTTCTACAGTTACTTTCTGATCAAGGAAACCAAGGGTAAGTCGCTGGAAGAGATGGAAGTGGTCTTTGGCACGGTTGACCGCCTGCCTAGTAAAGATGTCGACGAGTTGGAAGCGCAGGCTGAAGACGACAGGCCTATTGAGATTCACGACACGACGAAATAAATGTGTCGGGGTACTTGGTCAGCATTGAATTGACTATCTGGTGGACGTCAGCGATAGAAGAGGACTAAGGAGAACATACTACCATAGATCTACGGAATGCCAGATAGCACCTCCTATACGTGTTTAGGAGAAAGTAATGAATTAAGTGATCCCTCGTCCAAATGTATTCCTCGTGATATACAGATAAATATACAGATAGATACCTATACACAGTATGTTGTCTCGTCTAAATGACATCAGCTTCTTGCTTCTCCGCACTGTTTTCCGCTTCTCCAAATCTTCGTCCGAATTTCATCTTCTGTCTCGAGCCAAATCATACCAGTGTCTATTCATGCCTTATATGTCGTGCCTCATCCATCACCTGAGATCCTTCGCTCTAACTACTGACCGGCACTGACCCAGCATCAAGACTATGCGCAAGTGCTTCAGCACATGCGCGCGAGTCTTCAGCCATGAGAATCCCCTAGTACGTCCTCCGTCCTCCCTTCAACCAGACTACACTCTTCCCTCAAGACAACCAGACCTGCACTCTTCCCTCGAGACGACTCGCCTCGCGATATCATGACTCCCTAGACTCACCATTTGTATATGGCATATAGGGTCTCCCACGCTCCTCCGCGTCCTCTCGCTTGACCAAAAGTCCCTCTTCTACTACTCCTCCTCCCCAACTCCCCCGACTTCAACGCGGGCTCCCTCCCAAACGGCGCATCCCACATGTCTCGCACACGATCGCCGTGTCCAGCGCCAAAGGCGGCGTCGGCAAATCCACGCTGGCCGTCAACCTCGCGCTGGCATTCTCGCGCCACGGGCTCCGCACGGGGATTCTCGACACGGACATCTTCGGGCCCTCAATCCCGACGCTTCTCAACCTGGACAACAACGTCACCTCCAACACCGACGACAAAGCCGACGGTGATGGTGGTCTCCTCATCAAAGTCACCCCAACCAATCACCTCGTCCCACTGACCAGCTACGGGATCAAGAGCATGAGCATGGGCTATTTACTGTCCGACGAGTCGTCGCCCGTGGCCTGGCGCGGGCTGATGGTCATGAAAGCGCTCCAGCAGCTTCTGTGGGAAGTGGACTGGGGCCAGGGGGGAATTGGATTGGATGTCCTCGTTCTCGATATGCCGCCGGGCACGGGCGACACGCAGCTGACGATCGGGCAGCAGGTCGAGCTGGACGGGGCGGTGGTGGTGTCGACGCCGCAGGACATAGCGCTCAAAGACGCCGTCAAGGGTCTGGAGATGTTTCGCAAGATGAAGATCCCCGTGCTGGGCGTCGTGCAGAACATGAGTGTTTTTGTGTGTCCGCATTGTGGGACCGAGACGAGGATCTTTGCTCATGGTCAGGAACAAAACCAGAGTGAAAGTCAAGATCAAAACCAGAGTGAAGGTCACGGTCACACTCATGATCCCTTGACTCAAGCTAGTAGCGGTGGTCTACAGTACGAAGCTGGGAAACGGGACATTGAATTCCTCGGCGATGTCCCTCTCGACCCTAAGATCTGCGCAGATGCTGATCGCGGTATGCCTACCATCGTCGCTGAAGAGGCCGCTGGGGTCAAGGTCAATTCGGTCTACTACGAACGAATTGCTGAGACGGTTGCGAAAAAGATCGGACTGGAGTGGACTTGACAATGACGACAAACAACCCTCCCATGAAAGAGGTGGATACCATACCATTTGGGTTATTGTGTGGGACGGTTCGAGACACACAAGACACATATCGAGGCTCTTGAAGAAGGAAGGGTCGGGTGTATGTATGGGATTATCCTGGGCTACGGATTCTTCAGCGCATATATCGCTCTCTTGGACCCGGGCGGCGGCTACGAGAGAGTCAAATTGGTCTACTTCAAACCCCTTCAAGGAGAGGCCGGGCATTCTTGCAGTGAAGCATACTTATATTTCCTCCGCTGGACTTGCTCTCCGTCTTGAGGAAGGAGGGAAGAATCTGTGTCTCGGCTCTTGTCGACTCTCCTCTCGTGTAGGATGAACAAATACGTTGCTTAGGTCGTGCATCAATATTTCTGTTGTTCAAGGGGAGGAAATCTGTACATATCAAGGTAGTTTGACATAACACTGGAAGCAGCATCAGTCCTACCTAGGAGTAAGCAACCTCGATACAAGACAAAACAAGACAAGATAAGTGATACTATGTGCGTTATATTACGTGGGGTATATAGGTAGGTAGTACTAATAGTCATACATATCATATCAAGACATTCGTTCCACGGCAGTCCGGAACGTCGTGTCCGCCCGATCATATAGTTTTGGTCTTCCTGAATCCGTCTCCGTCTCCGTCTCTGCTGGGTTTGCCTTCGTGGTAGAAGGCTGTGGCTTGCCGTTCATATCTCTTTCGTCAACACCGACACGCGAATCGGGACCGCCACCATTCAATACGCCACCACCACCACCAGCCCCAGTAGGATCAACATCATCATCATCATCATCATCATCAACGACGCCGACAATGCCATCAGCCCGGACCACAGCAGTAGAACTGAGACTGCGGAGAGGTTGCATCCGACCCATCCCTTCATCGTGCTGGTGACTCTGTAGACGTTCCAAGCTGCGCTGACTCCGGGGTGAATCGGAACCCAAGTGTCCAGGAGCCGGAGCCGGACCAGGACCAGGAGAGATAGTAGAGGCCGGAGTGTTGTCTGCGTCCTGTCGTGGACGAGAGTTTTTCGGGACAGAGCCCTTAGCACCGGTCCTTTCGTTCGTAGTCTCGTCTTCGGACTCGGCGCTTACGCTCGCGGTATCTGAAGCAAAGCCCCTACTTTCAAGGCCCAGAGGACTTCCAGGTCTGCTGGTTGTCGCGAGATGATCCGAAATCCGAGACTTTCCTTGCTCGTCGTCATGTCTTTCATCCATGTTCTTCGACACCCCATGCGCGGCGAAAACCGCTCGTGTACTTGCGTTGTCGGAGGTAAGTCCGCTGCGACCGGTCCTATTGCTCGCAACGTCCGAGAGAGTACGTGAACCGGATTCGTCGCGGAGATGGGATGCGGTCTTGAATCGAGGTAGAAACCCCGACGAAAGAAGCGCCGCGTCGGGAGACTGCAGTTGAGCATCATGGGGTGGTAAGGGGCTGGTTGGTATGGCGGGAGACTGTCCCGGCGCCAATCTCAAATCGTCGTGTGTTGTCGTTGCGGAAGTCGTTTGTCGTATTGAAAGATCTGGCGGCGTTTGACTGCCTTCCGTTTGTCCCGCATCCGTTACACTAATGGTCCGTCTTCGTCCTTGTACCTTGGACTCGCTGGGCCGCCGTTTCGTGCTGGTGCTTCTGTTCCTCGAGGCGCTGAAACTCCGCAGCCGGCTCTGTCGGGAAGTCGGTCGGTGTGCAGCAGCGGGAGTGAGACTGACTTGTCCGTCCGCCTCATCAAGAGCCTGAGATCCGGCTCGATCAACATCGTCAGCTGTTTGGTTTGACTTCTCCGCCTTCACGGCCTCCTGCTCTCGTCTCATTGTAGATTCATCATGTCTACTTCCCCAATTGCTCCACATGGCGAGGCCGAAGCTCTTCCTCTTCCTCTTCTTGACCAGAATGTCCATGTCGGTGCGTCGAGCTGCAAGAGCGCTGGGCGGAGGATTGTCGCCACCCTCGAACCCCTTGATTTCCCCAGTGGCCAGTGCCTTGATGCGTTCCTTGCGCACTTTGCTGCTGGCGCTCGAATACTTCGTGTCCCAATCCTTTCTTGCCTCCAGCCATTTCCGCACTGGACCCGGTTTGACCACTCCCACTTCATCCGGTCCCAACTGGAGAGCGGGAAGATCATGAATGTCAGCAAGAGGATGAGTCCTTCCATGAAGGTCGACTCTCTCACGTATCATGTTACCAACAAAACGAGGTAAGGGATCGCCAGCTCGACCGACACTACCGGTCACTGCCGACGGGTTTAATTGTAGTTTTGGCAAGTTGTCGTCGGACGATTCGGCTTCAGCTTCACCCTTTGCCTGGGGATCCGACTCCGACTCGGACGAAATGATCGAGATGTTGTCATCGTCTACGATCTCGATCGCCCTTCTTTGAGCCCTTGCCAAAGCCCATGCCCCGAACTGCGCTACCGACCTGTACATGAACTTTGCCGGCCGTGTAAAGGACAAAGTTGTAGCAACATGGCACAGGTCGTCCCATACCTGCAATTGGACAGGGGTCGGTCGATACTTTTTGAGCATCGCATCGCCGGGATCGTATCTTGAGCGGTACTCCGAGCCCAGTGGGTATGCGGATGGACTGGCCATTTTATGGGCCAGATAGATCTGTTCGTCCCGGAGGAGTTCACCTCCACCAGTGAGTATCAGTACAGGAGGAAGACCACCGAGAGATGGTTGCAGTACGGGCGACACCAACGGATGCGCCAAGAGCTGATTGGTCGTATACATTTGGATCTGGTCCTTCAAGGTGACTCGTTTTCCATCGAGCTCGACAGACAAGTAGTGCTGCGATCCCGATCGAACCTCTCCATCGCGCTTGATTGGTACTGACGCTTCTGGGGACTCCTCTCTGTCGCCTTCTGGATGGCCAGAGAGCTTGTGTTCTGAATAGCCGGAATGCAGTTCTGCTGAGGCCGCCGCTTTGATAATGTTAGCCGGGACATCTTGACCTTGTACCATAGCACTGATGAGAGCGAGTTCATGATCGTTGGGAGGTGGCCATGACATGGACGGTTTGTGCATGAACCCATGAGAAGGGATGTAATCCAACTCATCGCTACCAACCAAGCTGGGAAATGAATGAGTCAAGTCCACCCAAGGCGAGATGAGGATGGCTCCAGCGGGTAAAGGGAGGCCTTGATCTCGCAGCAGACACATCATGGAGACGAGCAAACCACCCCCGGCTGAATCTCCTGCCAAAACAACCTCGGTGGACTCATGTAGCGTGAGAAGGAAGAGGTACGCGGCGAGACAATCATGCAACCCACAAGGAAACGGGAACTGCGGAGCCAAGCGGTACCTCGGGGCAAAGACACGAGCTTGAAGTTTTCTGGCATGCCTTTGCATCTGATATCGATGTTCATCCACGCTGCCGAAGTAGTATGCGCCGCCGTGAACATAGAGCATTATCCTCCTACTTTTGACACCCTTCTTCTTCAGCTCGTTGTAGTGCGTGCGCATCTCGATCCAGTCTGCCGTGAGTTCCATCTCTTTGGGACGCCATTGCCACCATTGAGAGCCCCCAACCTGCTGAATGCCCGCTTCCCCTAGTTGATCGGTAATTGCTTTCGCTGCCTTGGAGACATATTCGGCGGGAATCGAGACATTCTCCGTTCTCACCCAAGCAGGGGTGGGCACCCATTGAGCGGTAAAGGCTTGCAAGTCCTCCACGGTATGGCGAGAGGCATACTTCAAGAAGGTTCGGATGAGATGAAGTCCTTCGTCGTAGGATATGTGTGCGGTAGGTTTATGCCGTCGCGGTTTGTGGTTCGCATACTAGAGAACACTCCGTCAGACCTAGCTCATATCTCGTAGTCACAATGGGTAGGGTCCCTACGTGGGAGATATATGTCTTCAGCACCGTGGGCGTGACAGCGGCGCCAACCCCGACGGTAGAAATGGTCATGTTTATTTACCGACACGACCACATCTTAGAGTGGATCATGCTGGCGAGCGCAGTGCAGTTACCAAGGGAAGAGGATGTCGCGCAGGAGGTGGAGGGACAAAGAAGCACTGAATCGATCTTCGGAAATGTGTTCGTATGGGTTCTGAGAGCGAACAACGGATTGTGAAGGTCGTCAACAATGCGACAGGACACATTCACAAGTGTCCACAGGATCGTTGGGTGTTGGGTCCTGGGTCTGGAAGTTCCCGCTCCCACTACAGAATACTCCACAGTACACTGATACTCTACGTCATCAGAACAGTTCAGCCTGATCACCTGATTCAGCCTCGTCACGCTATCTACCCCTGCCAGTTCCTACTCTGTCGACTCACTCCACACTCTGCAGCTTGATGTATCTCAACAGAAGGGCAATTCCAATCACAGGTAGGACGCTGATCACCTCTCCCAGCGCAGCATATTGAGGTGGGAGCCTCCATTTGACGAACAGGCCCGCCGCAAGAAGAACGGCGAACAAGTTGTAGGTGAAGGACCAGCAGAAATTGAGGATGATCCTCCTCATGGCCGCCCTGGAGAGATCAATCAGGCTCAAAATTCCGGCCAGAGAAGGCCTCATGAGAACTGCATCTGCTGCACTTTGCGCGATTTCGCTGCCCTCATTGACATGTATGCCTATGTTAGCTTGAGCCAGTGCCGGTGCATCATTGGTGCCGTCGCCGCAAAACACGACCACGGCTTGCCTGTCTTTCATCATATCGCGGAGGTATTCCACCTTGTCCCGTGGAGCACATCGCGACCTGACGTGGGATTGCGGGATGTTCAACGTGGACGCCACTCTCTGAACAGCTCCATCATCGTCACCACTGACAACCGAGACTGAAATGTTGCGTCGTTGGAGCTCCTCGACGACCCTTCCACTGTCAGGTCGGATGGAGTCTTCCAACCCAAACACAGCACGAACTTGAGTATCGAGGACAACGCAGAGCACCGTAAGTCCCCTTGATGCAAAGTCTTGAACAGTAGGGTCATCTTCCAATCCAAGCCAGCGGCAGTTCCCTGCTGCTACCTTGCTGCCTTCAAAAACGCCTTGAACTCCTTTGCCAACCATGGTCCTCACCTCTCCCACTGGTGCCAGAAGGACACCCTGACCCTGCATGTATCGAGCCACTGCAGCAGAGACGGGATGCTTGACATCTGCAACCAGTCCCAAGATCATCGGCTTGATCAATCTCTCTTCCCCTGAGGGGAAGTCTTCAGCCACCACAGTGAGCACTCCTTGTGTGAGAGTGCCGGTCTTATCAAAGACGACATGACTTGTCTTTCTCGCCGTCTCGATGGTCTGGCCTGTCTTGAATATTATCCCGTATTTTGCAGCCACTCCACCGGCGATCACAATAACCATGGGTACACAGAGCCCGATGGCGCAAGGACAAGAGACTATAAGCACCGCGATAGCGTAGGTGATCGCACGTTCGGCTGCCTCGGAGGCAGAATAGCCTCGTCTTGCAATTCCATAACCCATCCAGCCCAAAAAGGTGATAATGGTGATGCACACAATCACTGGGACGAAGTACCCGGCGACACGGTCGGCTATCTCTTGTGATTTGGGCCTGCTCATTTTCGCTTCATCCACCATGTCTGCAATGGCGCTTATCGTGTTGTCACCAGGCAGACGGGTGAGGCGGATATGCAGCAGGCCTGAACCGTTCATCGACCCGGCAACGACACTAGAACCTGGTTTTCGGGTCACAGGTCGTGATTCACCAGTCACCATAGACTCATCGACCTCGGAAATACCTCGGATCACAGTACCATCAGTGACAATACGTGATTCGGGACTAACCTTGAACACATCGCCATATTGAAGCAGACGAGCGTCAATCTCCCTTTCGAGGAGTGACTCATTGTCCACCAGAAGAGCTGTTGGCGCCTGCAAGGTGCGCAAGGAAATTGACTCTGCAGCCCGTTGGCGAGCCCATGAACTGATAAATCGTCCAAGCATGATAAGGGTAACAATCAAGGTACTCGTCTCGAAAAAGTCTCCCGTGCTCAAAGGTTCTCCTTTCATTTGATAGGCGAATGCTATAACAGAAAAGAGGTAGGCTGCGCTCGTACTGAGGACTATCAGCAAATCCACTTCAACGAGTCGGGAGAAGACCAGGCTCTTGAAGGCGAGAGGGTAGAAGCGCCCAGCAATACCGACTTGGATTATTGTCGCCAAGGCCAAAGACACGGAGCCGTAAATGACTGGATGGTCTGGCAATGGTGCCCATGCCAGGACAAGCACGGGGATCGTGAGCAGGGCGGATATTAAGGTGATCCATCCATCTTCGCGGACCTGCTTGCTGCCTGTTTCCTTGGATTGCTCGGGCTTTACGGGAGCGAGTTGCAGAGGGACATCGAAGGCTGTGTCCACCAGAGTTCTAGCCCCGAGAACAGCCGGGTCGTACTCGATCTGCACAATGTCGTCCTTCATGCTCTTCACCTCTAGAATGCCAATCGGCCTGGCTTGCTGTGTCAGCGACTTGGACCCTTTTGGTTGGATGACTTCGATTTTCTGGCCTCTGCTGGTAATCTTCTCGCATCGGAATTTGGTGACCCTCCCAATGTATGCGACGACTTGGTCCACCGACATCCGATTCGTATCAAGATCGAATGCTGCTCGAGCAAGAATCAGGCTGATCTGCAGATGACGAACCTCTGGGAGGCTTGCAAGGGCTCTATGTAAGCCCATTTCACACCCTGCACAAGTCATACCACTGACACTGAGCACGACAGGCTCCAGATGGGCTTCTCCTTTCTCCAAGTCAGTCACATTGAGGGCAAAAGACTCTTTGCAATCTTTGTGATCATGGCTTGTATCGCATCGGGTTCCGCCAGTTTGAATGGTCGTGGTGCAACACGAAGGTACTTCGCACGAAGGTACTTCGGTTACTGTGACCTCACCGTTGTTGCATGCAAGCTTCCCACAACAGTCCGACTCACTGTCTGGTTCGCTACGTGCATGATGTCTCTCGTGGCCATGTCTCTCGTGGCCTCGAGCATGGGCGTCTGGAAGTAGCGGGGTTCGGCGTCTCTGCGGGCGACAGCATGAATCCAGGTTCTTTGCCTTCAAGATACGGCAAATGCATCTCAGGGCCCCTCCCACAGCGCTGTACCTCTCTCTTGCCGAGCTGATGTGCTTATCACAGGCTTGGGAGCGGTGTCTCCCACCTGGTCGATGCCCACATCCCTTCTCCGGTAGTTGTGGGTCGCAAGATCCGCCCCACAGCCCTCGATGGGAGTCCTGGGAGGTAGACGGCGGCGATTCTGGATCACTGTCGCCACATTCGGCAATGCATTCGATGACGGCCGCCCGATCGATACAAGATTCTGCTTGATGGTCAGTTTCGCTTACAGGCGACACAAATGGTGTAGTAACCGTGGCAGCCATCAGGTTCTCCTGGAAGACATTCCGTACAGTCGCTGTCTATGGCATCGGATACCTCCTTCTCAGGATTCACGGAGGAGTGGCAAGAGGGTTCGGGAATACTCTCTGCAGTATTCGGACAACAGTGGCATGATGGCTTCGTTGCCTTAGGGGCATCGCAACATGAGGAACCCATTGTAGGCAGCGCCGCTCTTCAGAGGAAATCAAGCTACGTAGGGGCTGATCCGTGCTGTGTCAATGACCGGTATCACTTGTGCAGGGAAAGAACAGATAAAGACGAAGAGAAGGATTGATAACAATTGTACCACCTGGCACAGAATATATACGTAGACAAGTAGTTGGCAAGGTTGGGTATCTACTACTCTATAGATAAATATAGATAAGGTACCGATAACAGCAGTGTAATGTCGGAAGGATATCGGGAGCTTAGTTCCTCCGGTTCCGGAGCCGCATGTTGCTGCCTGATAGTTCACCGCGTCTTCAAAGAATTCTCAAAACAACAGCTTCACAGACCGCATCGCAGAAGACACTCTTTTCGCACTTGACTTCACTTTGGACGCCAGGTCAGGGTCAGGGTCAGGTCGAGGCCGATTCAACCATTTCGCCGATGACGCACGCCCAGAGCACACACATACTCAACAGCACCCTCAGCTCGATGAAAATGGTGCTATGCTCACAGCAAGGGGAAAGCCCATAAAGCGAGTCTCTGCAGGCCAGAGAGACAAGACAGCGACCTTAAGAGATGCGCTAATACAACAGGTCTAGGATGTCCTCACTCCTGAAGCGGCCGTGACTCTCCTCCTCCTCGTCGATTCTTCCTGCTACCCTATGCTGCATTGAACGAACGTGCTGGACATGGATACCCCGGTTTTGCTCCAAGGCAGGTGATTAGAGCCTAAAATGGCCGGGTAAAATCCATGACTCTGATGAAGCCATCTGCCATCCTCCTCCGCAGTCTCTTCTCACCGCACCTGTCTCCAGCGCATCACACTGGCAGGCCAAGGCTACAAACATCAGGTGAGAGACAACCAGGTAGGGTCATTCACCCCACATGAAACCCGGACCATAGCATTCCCCATGGGCGCCATGTGTCATCGGCTTCCCACGGTCCTTTCCCCGCGCAAACGGTGTCCATACCGGCCCCGCGATTCGGCAGTGTTGTGCAGACCGTTGAAGGGCAGCAAGGGCTCTTCGCCGCGGTATACATTGTCTACTTTCTACTTCTTCGAGAATGACCTCATCAATGAGCCCCGCTTACCAAAGGGTATTATATGCTTCTGGATACCTTCCTCGACCAGAGTGCTTCCGCTGTATAGGCTCACAGGAGACATAGCCTTCGCGCATTGTCTCGGTTGTTTCACGAGCCCGAACCAGGTCTCCTTTCGCATCTTGTTGCGAGGTATCCGTTCTCTTCTGTCTTCTACCAGATCGTTTAGGAGTACACCAAGGCCGCTGTCGAAGATGGCGGCGATTAACGTGCTTCACGATGCCGAAGTCCTGGGCGACAAGGTTTCCGCCTCACACGAGGAGCGTATGCATTGGGGCGAATTGACCGAGGAGGAACAGGCAATTGAAAAGAAAGTGCGCTTGAAAGTCGACCTCCTGATCATGCCCATGGTCATTCTGGTCTACTTGATGAACTACATTGACCGGTAGGATTGGTCCTCGCTGATTTGCATGCTGAGGTCGATCGGGATACTAATCTTGACTCAGAAACAACTATGCGGCTGCCAGATTGCAGGGTCTAGAAGAAGACCTGGCATTGACGGGCGACCAGTATCAGGTCGGACTGAGCATTCTTTTTGTGGCATATGTAGGTCTGCCCTTTTTGGCCATGCCTCTACCATCTTTGTCTGTTCATGCTTTGCACGTTCTGCTCAAGACAAGGCACAAATACTAGCCAATACCGCCATTCACGCGGTGAAGCGAGCTCCCTGATCGTTTCCCAGGCTACTGAACACATGAACACCGACTGACCATCACTCTCGTGTCCATCAGGTTCTAATGCAAGTCCCTTCAAATCTCCTGCTCAACTACAGCGGCCGACCATCCTTGTATCTGGGCTTCTTCGTCGTCGCCTGGGGCCTTGTCTCTGCCCTGACCAGCCAAGTCACCAACTACGGACAGATCGTGGCATGCCGATTCCTTCTGGGACTTGTCGGTAAGTCTCGCCCTCGTGATAAGGAATCCGCCTATCCTCCATGAACCAGAACGCGTTCCCAGCTGCTCCTGTCCGCTGTCACTATCCTCGCCACTGCTCCCCTATCTCCACTTTATCCTTTCTCTTGTGTTTCACAGTGTGGTTTGCATTTCCATTCCTATCTAACGCCGACTATCCATCCAGAGGCCCCTTTCTTCGCCGGCGTACTGTTCTACCTCAGCAAATGGTACACCAAAGCCGAACTGTCGCTACGCATGGCGATATTCTACTCGGGCTCCCTGATCTCGGGCGCGTTCGGCAACCTCATCGCGGCGGGGATTCTATCCGGCCTGGCGGGCGCCCGAGGCATGGCCGCGTGGCAATGGCTGTATATCATTGAGGGGTCGATCACCGTATTCATCGGACTGGTGATCTGTGTCGTGCTCCCCGATTTCCCGGATACGTGGAAAGCACTGAGCCCCGAGATGAAGCGGGTGGCGAACCGACGACTGGCGATCGACGCGGCCGAGGCGGACGTCGACGAAGCCGGGGTCAGCAGCCAGATCCACGGCATGAAACTGGCCTTCCTCGACCCGAAGACGTATATCCTGGCCATCGCCTACCACGCCATCACAGGCGCCGCGGGCTTCCAGAACTTCTTCCCCACCCTGACCCAAACGCTGGGCTACTCACGCATCATTTCGCTGCTGCTGGTGGCACCGCCGTACATCTTCATCGTCTTCTGGTCCTTCGCGCACAGTTACCTGTCCGACAAGGTCGGCAATCGCTTCTGGTTCTTCGTGTATCCCGTGCCCGTGACGATCGTGGGCTTCGTCATCTTCATGACCACCGACTCCTTTGGCCCGCGCTATTTCAGCTTCTTCCTCATGAACTTCGTCTTCGCCATGAACGGCACCTGCTACGCCTGGATCAGCAATGCCATTCCGCGCCCGCCGGCCAAGCGCGCCGCCGCGCTGGCCTTCATCAACTCCGTCGGCAACGCCGCCAGTATCTGGACCCCTTTCACCTACTATACCGGCCAGGGCAAGCATTATCCTGTCGCCCTGGGCATCTGTATCGGCCTGCAGGCTCTGGCGGCGCTGATGGGCATTACGCTAAGACTCTACCTCACGCGCCAGAACAAGCGGCTTGCCCGACTCGAAGACGAGAATGTCCAGCTCTCTCAGCGGGAACTCGCCAAGCTGCAGAAGACGGCGGATATCGAGGGTACTGACATTGCTGCCGCCCGCAGGATGCAGAAGGGTTACCGATTCATGATATGAACGGGTTTGTGGCGGGCAAGGTCTAACGAGCGTCCTTGGGAGACATAGTCTTGGAGACTTGGTTCAGGCTCCTACGGTGTAGACTGGCATCCCATATGTGATCGAAGTGTTGAACACTGATGTTATTGATTCTCATCTGGTTCTTCGGCTACAGAACTCCTTGATGAGAAGCAGTTTCATGTCCCTGCGGCATGGATGGGCAATGAGTAGCCGCAGGCTTTTGCAGTCTTTGTGACCGCCTAGCTCGAACTGATCCACGCTCGATCGTTGAAAGACTCGCAGTAAAACAACATCTTACAGAAAAACAAGACCCTCCTAGCTCCGTCAGTGCATGTCCCACCATTTCCCTTTGCAAAGGTATGTTAAGCCGCCCACTCTTCCGGGATGACTGGTCTGCCAAGCTCCATGCACCTGCACTCGCCATGATTGTGTTAATACTCCCCACCCAGCGCCATGCCGTGATTCATACAATTCGAAAACGTGACAGGGGAAGGAAAAGAAAGAGCTCTGGCCACCGAAGAAACATCCATGCCGACAAGTGTTGTCGAGCCATGAGGTCAAAAAGCAAGGTTTCTGCCCCGAATCAAAGTGCTACACATTCAACCGGAATGTCAAGCAGCATCGTCGTCTTCACGGTCCCGCTTGGTTCCGCGCTGATCCTTCGGGTCCGCCTGATCGATCATGTGTAGGAGGTCGACGAGATGGTCTCGCAAGGTCCGCACCTCGGACGCCATGCGGAACAAGGGCCGTCTGAAAGCGCGGAAGAGCTTCTGGTTCAGTCGCACGCCGTCCTTCTCGAATGGAGCCCCGTGGCGATTTGCAAAGCGTGCCAAGTTTCGCATGATCAAAACACACAACCACGCAACACCTGTGGGATAGCCATGCTCGTCAACGTCCGTCTGGTACATGGTATGTACGCTCATGGCTTGGTCCGGCTGTTGGGGGTCAGCTGCCAGCGCGTTGATCAGCTTGGCCATGGCTTCCGGTGTCGAGGGGATATGTGTCAAGATGTGCGAGCAAAACTCACGGAGCGTCGGCACCGGACTGCGTCTGCTGCATCGCGTCCAACGACACTTGAAGTTAGACGACGGTGTGGGCGGACAGAAGAAGCCACCCTTGGGATTTTTCGGCAGTCTGAGATGATCTGACATGATGTGAATCCACAATCTCTCCCGAGTCGACTGCCACGTGCCGCATACATGTTGCCCAGGGCTTCGACCGGTCTGACCCGTCTGTCCGGCCGATTGCACGACCCACTGACATTGGAACAGCGGCCGGCCATGTAGGTCTAGCAGCACACGGCGAGGTCTGATTCCTTTGATGATGAAGCGGGGTGAAGGACCGTTGATGACCTGAGCCTGTGCGCTTGAAAAGGTGTTCGAAACATTCTTAATGAAATCGGCGGCGTGCACAGGATTGTTCAGACTGAATTTCGACGAATACGCGTGCCAAATGGCGACTTGGGTGATGTCATCCCCGGGAGCTTCTTCGAAGCAGCAGCGCAGCCATCTCGAAGAACGATCAGGCTCGATGAATTGCAACAGATGAGCGTGCAGCTCTTGTGGAATGTTTGGGATTGGAATGTCACGGGTGTTCGTCTTCGGAGAGGCCGGGACCGACGCGACAAGAGCGGGCGCTTCGTGAGCTTGCGCATAATAAGCTCGACAAAGGTTGAGCAAACGCGATATGAAGTGCTTGATGGTCTGGATGTCATCCGACAATACCATGGCAGTGTTCTCCGGCACCGCAGTCAGTTCGTAAAGAAAGGTTAGGGTCTGTTCGAGAATTTCGTTGTCCAAAACCGAGAGGGTCAGTGCCAGCAATCTCTTGATTGTGGCCAAAGGTACCTGTGTCATTTGGTGAGGTTCAGCCGTCGCCATTCCGAATCGATTCAGCGAACGGATTGCTGTGAGAAATATTGCCCGGTCTTCTGAGTCGAGAAGAGGGAGAAGAGCACGGTACACTGGATTTTCTGGAACCAATGGCCAATATTTGGTGACATGTTCAGCGAGCTCGAGTGTTGAGACCCGGAACTCGGTGAGCTGGGGCCGATCTGGGACAGACAACGCGACGGCGAGAAATTCCTTGAATAAGGCCAGTTGAGACAGAAAGACGGCATTGTCCTCGAGCATAACCATATTGCGAAGTACCAATATGGCCTCGTTCAATCTCTCAAGTTGGTCAGCCTTTTCGACGTCGTCCAGATCGTTGCCCCCGTTGTCCCCGGCCGGTGTCATCACCTCGCTGATGCGCGCAGTCAGATCTGAAGTTCCGAAAGCTCCATTGAGGGTAGCCAGAGGAAATCTTCCATCGTCTTTGTTGTAGGTAACCACCCATTTGACACCACAGACGAGCTTGCTGATTTCCAAAGCCTTCTCGATCAAGCCTTCGGCGGTGTATGGGTATTCTTCGAACTTCCACTTTAAACCGCGTTCATTCGACATCTTTACCATGTGAAACAGGGCCCATCGCTGCAGTTCCGGGTCGCCGGTTCGCAAAGCATGAAGACACCGATCGTAGATCTCGGCACCTTTCTGGATGGCAATTGGTATGACCGACTTCAGGTATTGCTGAGGTTCTGGTGCAGCTCGAGGCTTGGCCACAGCTTGGGCTTGCGCCTTGCGGACATGGTAGCTGGGATCATTGCCCGGTGTCTGGATTGGACGAAGGGTTAAAGCGACGGATGGGCGAGGTTCGTATTTCTCAAACCAATCGAAGGCTGAGTGGCGAGGGTCGGTGGAATTGCTGGTGTATGTCTGCTGGGCAACTATTGGAGCTGCTGGAGAATCTGTGGCACGAACTGATCGTGGGCGTGTCGGTTGAGTGTCGGGCTGGAACATCTGAGTTCGTTTGGGATCTTGTCTAAGTTGACCTGTTGTAACGCGTTAGCAGTCTTGACCATGGGAATTGAACTCCTGCGCTGTTGTCGTTGACGCGACATCATCTACAGTCCTCACAACCTTGTGCGCGACTGACATAAAGAGTGAAGAATAAACATACGTGCTGGATATCGGCCTGCGCTTTCTGGTTCTTCGGTTTCAGTCTTTGTGCGCTTAGGCGTTGTGTGGGCCTCCTCCTCTACTGGCGACTCCGGTCTGTCGGTCATCGTGGATTCAACTGCGTGAGAGTTGGGAATAGGGTAGTTTTCGAGGGTTCGTGTCCGGAGATAACCCCCCTTTGCGCTGAGGTCTTCAAGGATTTCTTTCGGTGGTGGTACTTCGCCCCAGTACGTGGCAATTTCGTAGGCACTGTAGAAGAGATGTCGCGTTAGTGAGGTGAGTGCGCAAGATACTACCTCACACTGTTGTGAGGGCAAGACACGGTGACTTACGCAAGGTTCTTGTAATAAACGGTTTTCAGTTGAAATGTCATCACCGCCTCGTGCGCTTTGCCTATGCCAAATTCCCTAATTATTGTCCTCCAGGCCATGCGTTCAGCCGACAGTGCATCATAGCCGCCTCTTGCCATGACCAGTTTGTACAATTTGTGCAAGGAGATGGGACGTCCGCTGACTTTGCCCTCACGGTCGAATGAGGTCCTATTGAGCCGGATTATCAGCAGCTGTGTTTTCGCCTAGAGCTTTCTGACTGGGGAGTATACCCTCGCTTCTTGTGAAAGGCAGCGACGTCCTTAAGGAACTCCTCCTCATCTTCTATGATCGTCTGTAGCGGCGGTGTCATGGTTGCGACGATGAAATTGGGTTGGATCTTTCACCAGCCAGGGGGGTTCGTGTATTGTTACCGATCTAAATCATTTCGTGACTGTGCGGTAAAGACCGTCGAGGTTGGTGTGAGGACAGATTCACGCGTTCGTGAATACTTGCAGACGCGTTGAGTGCTGGGGAGGGCAATGGACAGAGATGTGGTCACTGAGACTTGTCGTGATGGAGGGCGCCGTGAATATTAGGTGTTGATTGACAGGTCTCCGCACAATTTTGCAGGCCAGGCCGAGTCAAGTTGACGCCTTCAGCACGATCTTTTCGAGTCAAAGCTGAGTGAAGCTGGAAAGCGGGCGCAGGCGGAGATTCCTTTCCGGCTGCGCTGCGCTAAACTCCACACGCAGATCTGCTAGGTATGAACTCATACTCCTACTACTATATCCCTACCAACCTACGTCCTACTACTAAATCTCTTCCTCTTTCACAATATCACGATCCTACCTAATCTACAACACATCTACCACTTCCTACCTATACTACACCTCTTGCCATCATTCTATGCTCAGCAACAGCTATCCTCATACCTCAACTTGCAGCAGATGGATTTCTCTTCATGAACTAGCTATCCTTGCCTTGTGGTGCCAGCGCTGCTCTTCTGCTCTTTAGACTAACCATGCCTTCGCAAGGATCTCAGCAGCTCTCTTCCTCTCCCTTGTGTCTTTCCTTGCTCAAATTCTCTTATGCCACCGTCTCTAACGAGAGCATTGCTCCGATCCCCTGGATCCACCTCTCTAGCAAGAACAGTCTCTTTGCCGTGTTCGAAACAAGCCCGGTTCAACTGGAAGATGGCCGTGTCGAGGAGAGACAAAGGTTCAAGGTCCTGCGGGATCCTGAAGTAATGGTATATCGAGAGGACATCTTGTTTGGCTTCTCCTGTTGTGTTCGGGACTCATGCATCCACAGGAAGAATTGGATCTCAATGCCCTCTCCGCCGGAGCGCATCGTGCAATGGCCCAGGCACCAAACATCATGTCTCCTCAGATCCCGGATGTCACTGTCATTGTCAAGGTGCCAATAATTGCCATCAAATATCCCATGCCGAATGGACAGGTGATGGATGCCGAATCCAAAGCCTTCTCTGCTCACACTGCTCCAGATTCGCCGATTCCAGATCCGCTTTACTACAAATGAAGACTACTACGAAGCCATGAAGATGCTATCTCGTGCCAATGTCCCTACAGTCGAAGCAGGCTCATTCCCACTTCCAAAACCTCAGCCAGCGCCGCGACAAGCCACTTCGCATTTTTTAACACCAAGTGATTCCGCGTCACAGATTGGCCTGCCAACCGAAGGGACAACCTCATACAGAACCGGCCCAACAGATCAAGCGGCCTCGTCGCTGTCCAAATATTCCGGCCCTTTATTTCATCCACAACCAGCTCCGGTGGTTCAATCTGTGATGCCGCCTCCAAGTTACGTCCCTATGACAACGGATCGTGATCAAGATCGCCAACCAGTGCGACTGTCCAACATCGGACAATGGCCGAATGGACAACTTCCCAACAATCAGACCGCAAGCTCACGATCGAATATCTCGTTGAGTACCGCGACTACTCTGGTTATGCCGGCCAATCAATCTGATGGCCTTCGCATGGCTCCTAGCCGCGGTAACGTGGCCACCTCCGTACAGACAGGTCGCTCCGCAAGGGAGGTGGACCCTCTCCAAATTCCACAATCAGTGACAACGCAGTTGGTAGATGAACAGGTGAGGCTGGGGCTCCCTCCAAAACGAGAACTGCCATTCCAGAAAGTTGTAAAGCATGCCGTCCACGAACAACGGCCGCAGACGGAGATCGATAAGGAGCGAGGACTGGATAATGATGATTCCCAGTCTGTGACTTCGACCGTGGCAAAGGGGAAACGCAAACGGGGCGTCCCGCAGAAGTCCACGAAGACCCCAGGAGCTAAAAAGCCTCGAGCTACAACAACGCGGAAGAAAGCTGGCGCGAATTCAGCGAAGAACGACACGCCTGTCCCTACTGTTGAGGAACTGCTTCAGCAACAGGGCGACCATATGCGCCGACGCACTGGACCAGAGCAGAAGAATTCTTCGGTTGAAGTCAAACAATCTCGAACCCATGGCGACGCCGCCCAGTCAATGGAAATACCCGACTCGACCGACTGTTCGACTGGCCCACGAGTTGGCGGCGATATTGCCGACGCCAGTCCGTCCCTTGGAGGTGGCTGCATCACCCGACGCATAACGAGGTCCGCGTCCAAATCCCTCGCTTGCGTCCCTGTCGAACAGGCGCGGGAGGAGAGGACAGTAGAAATCGTGGATCAGGGGCTTCCATGCACACCCGCTGACCAGGTTGTCGTACCACTGACTCCAGACTCGCCGGCCACAGATACAAACAAGTCGTCAATGGCAGCACCCGCACTGCGCTGCCGAGAAACCGCGTCGAATCCAACCAGATTTACTCGAAGCCATCAAACCACCTTGGACTTAACCGAACCTGAACATATTCACCCAACCGGATCCTTTACATGTGCGGATCCACCACCAGTGCAACCATCAGCAGATTCGCCACAGCCTAACCTAGAAGACCTCAATTACGCCCAAGCCTGTCTGGAAGCGGACACTGAGTTCGCGCAGGGCGAGCAAAGGCTCCAGGCATGGACCGCGCTGCCCTCTGCCACGCGAGTGCCGGCGCTACGATCGTACTTCTGCCGGCTTATCATGGACCCCGGCTTTCCTGTTCTATGCAAGACCCTCAGTTCCTTCTGGGAGAGGGAGATCTTGGAGCGTCGCATTGAAGAAATCTCGGGACACGCAGATGTCGCGAGAGGCGAAGAGAGCGAAACTGGTGTGTAGGATCGATGACTTGGGGTGAGTGGAGCTGGCTGGGCTGCGCAAAAGGAAGATGAAGACCATTCGAGGGCTCGGAAACAAGATGAAATGAAAAGCAAGCTGGCATAGACGGCACAGCATGTGTGTCGGAGCCCATCGAAGGAAGCAATGGGGGCATAGGGCCTTTTTTCTGCAGCAGGGCGTGACTATGTTTCGAGTATGCTAGCAATTGTAGAAGTACGTATTGTAGTGGTACCAGTATTCGAGGGCTGTAGATTCCTCGACGAGCAATGCGTTTATCAATGACCTTCATACTGTGCCTGTAATATCACTGCTGTGGTTTGGATTTGACCTTCTGCGCAGACATCAGCGTAAGATCAAACTTTACAATCAGTGGAGCGCAAGTTCTTCACCCTCAATAGTGTAATTGTAGTTCTTAAGCTCGTTGTCTTTCAACACGGAGTAGTTCAATTCAACAGTACTGCTATCTATCCACCCCAGCTAGGAGCTGGGCTTGCTCACTATGTGCGGTACCAATCTGCACCAATGCTCATACCAATATTGTCATCCCCATTGGCCGTATAACTATGCAGTTGCTCAGACTCCTGATCGAGGTCCAAGCGTGGTGCAAACGCTCAATGCTGTGTCGCATAAGGGACGCCAATAAGCATGCCAAAGAGAAGTGCTTCCAATATGTTGATGCGAGTCGCCTTGCAAGTCTGTGTCCATAACCATGAGGGCCCTGGCCCGTCCAATTTCCGACCATTTGGAGTATACCTTCTCGATTCACAAAACTTTTCTGAAGCAAAGTATTGTACAATCAAGGTCACACAGTCAAGAAGTGGAAACAGCACCAAAAAACACCGTTAGCTGATTAAGAGTTGCGCTTTCTTTGGCAAAGAAAGCTTGCTGAAGCGAGAGATCAACAATTGTGATGTCTAATTCGTCGTGGAACGCATATGTTGGCCTTGCATGTGGCGTAGCGTCGTCAACCACGTCGGCAAGAAGAAGCTGAAGTAATGAGAAAGAAAAAGTATGTGTTGGCCCAGAACTCAAGGCCTCAGCCTGAGAGCTGAACCCTTTGTGAGCATTGCCTCCTGGTCTCAATAAGGAGTCGCCGCCAAACCTAAGCCGGTTATGGCCTGGCAGAAAATCGTGTTGGAAGAAAGAAGAGCACAGGTATCGCTCGAGGGATCCAGAACGCCAGGGATCGCTATGATGACCGCCGACAGCACCGACTGAAACAGTGAAAAAAGCCGCCCGTCCAAACGCCGGGCTATAATGAAGTCGTGCGCAGAAAGCCGCTAATATGAAAGCATCCGGTGATTTCGACCCCTGAGAACATCGACTCCTGGTCGTGGTCCGGCAACGGGGGTATATTCGACACCCATGTCCAGATCCATATCGCCGTCAAGACGACTTCGTCCCATTGCCGTGGGACTAGAATCAATCGAGGGAGAGTGTTGACCAAAGGCGAAAGTTTGAGCTCTAATAAGTTTGGATCGTTGTTTGACTTTTCCGAGGCCTCGCTCACAATCGAGGACATGCTCTTTTGCATGCATCTCAACATAGTTCTGGGGGTAACACCGGGACCGATAATCCTTGAAAAAGGTGCTATACCCACCATCCAAGATATAAACTTCGGGATACGTCAAAGCAGGATAACGATCAGCATTGGTAGCACGATCTTTGTTGCGGATGAACTTGGCCATAAGAGGGGCGCGATGAGCAGAATACTCGCAGTGGAAGATGAGGAGTGCCTTGGAGGTCGGTTCGACGTCGAAAAGTTGTGATGATAGCTGCTCCTTGTCGTTGAAGTTGATGGCCCCATCGATATGCCCGCCACTATACTCATATTCGAACCTGCAGTCGATGATGACCCGTTTTTCGTACATATGATTGTAGCGACCGTCAAGAACCTCGACCATGGTCTCCTTTGTTATCCGTGGCAAGGCGCCAATCTCACTCGGGGTAAAATGAGGCAGTTGGGGCACGTGAGGTGCTTCAACGTCCATTATAGAAGGAAGCAACGGCGGCGGGGGGCTGAGGCGTCCCTTCTCCTGTTTCATCACGTCTTCGGGATGCTCAAACATGCTGAGAGATCGGCGAAATTGCTTCCGAGGTCTCACCAAAGGATTAGAGCCTTTCCTCGTGTGCCCCCCAATAGGGGATCCGTTGCGTGACGAGTGGCCGCTGGCACATAGGCCCTGCCGAGAGCGTGGAAGAGCGAATGCGGCAGCTCCGAACCGCGGATGATGTTTCTCCGGCGGAGGCGAATCCGCGAATATTTCCGACAACGACAATGACGACGAGGTGGTTGGTTTGTTTGGGTGATTCCCGAACTTGAAAGGTGGAAGCTGGCTCTCCAGTGAAGGTCTCTGCGGCACGTCTCCAGTACTGAAGCCCTTAGCTCGGCATAATGAAGGTCGGAGAGGCCCCGGTTTTCGCCGTTCCTGGGGGACGTTGAGGTGCATAGTGTCTGTAGGACTGTCTGAGGCGGGTGGAGATGGTACGGGCAGCAAGGGCGATTCGGATGGTGTAGATTCGGGAGTGGGCGAATGCAGCTGTACTTCCACTACTGTAGAGAAGGGAGCCTTGTGTGGCAGTGGAGAGAGGTCGATGTCCATGGAGTCATGGACCCCAGGAGAGGACGACGGTATAGGAGGCGTGGTGAGGTGTCCTTGGATACTCGGTCAGTCCGACTAACATTCTCCATTCTTCAATACTCCTTACTCTGGCCATCCTGAGTTGCAAACATGCTGTTGGGAAAGAGCGCCCGCCGAGGCGTAGGTACTTGCGGACTAGTCTGACGTTAGAATACTGTAACATTGCTCCATGGTGAGTGGTACTCGCCTCTGATCAATATGAAAGTTTTGAGAAAGATCGGCTGCCAGACTTGCGGTAGGCGAAGACCCTCGAACGGGCTTGAGGCTGAAGTAGTCTGACTGCGGCTTCTGCATTGATCTCTTCATGGATAGATCCCTGAAGTTGAAGTTGCTTGTGGCATAAGGTCTGGGGCCTGCGAAAGAGCCAAACGATGTCGGAGCATCTCCTCTGAAGCCGCAATGGCCTATGAACGCAGGCGGCTGCATGGCCGCCAACGGTGATGAGGCCTCGATCATGATGCCAAGGGCTTCTTATTTAAAAGGTCCCTCTCTTCTCTTCACCCTGGACGAAATCTCCCGGTCCAGGACTGAGGGAGGCAGATTTGGATCTCGTCCGTAGAGGGCCGTCCCACCAACCCGTCCCGAGACGAATCTTTGAGATAGCCACAGCTGTTTGAGACCGGCAAAGGTTCCTGGGCTGGTCCGTGTCGAGGCAGGCTTCGAAGTGGTGGTCGAGGAGATCTTTCAAGCAACCATGATGCTCAGCATGGGATATAAGGACTGACTTGGTGGTGGTTCGTGCTGAGAGGGCAGTGAGGACGGCAGCAAGGGCGAGAGTCAATGCGAGCAGGACAGACCACCGGGGGGCAGTAGGCTTCTCCTCTTTGCTGATGGCAACAGGGTTGAGAAGGAGCCTTGACCTGCAGCTCTCGGTGGCTCGAGAAGAGAAGAGGAAGAGAGTTTAAAGCAGGGTGTGCAGAAGCAGTTGGGTGAAGGTTCCCTGTTGTTGCTGGGCAGCATTGGACTTGGAGGAGCGATGGAGACGGTCGAGTGCCTGAGGGACGCAATGCGGGCCTTCGCCTTGGAGACGCTGAATCCAGAAGAAAGGCTGACAGCTTTGGGAAAAGCCAACTCCACCAACGATGGCCCTGACACATGCATTGACAGCCGATGGAAGGCTTGCCTCTCTGTACGTACACATCTTAGGTACCTCGTGATGCAGTGTGCTGTAGTAGTTCGATACGACCAGTTCCGGTAGATTCTTGTTCCAGGACCTGGTAACCAAATGTCATGGTGTCGGGGGTTGCCTCCTAGGAGAAAGGCTGAAAGACACCCACAGGCATGCCCCCCGGGTAAATCTGGGTACCTAGATGGATTAGCTCCAGGTACCGCGAGGCTAGCCGTGCTCTGTACCAGGGCCTAAGCCCTCACCCGCCATCATTCTTAGGAGAATTGTGGGTGATCCGGGACCATTCTTTAACTAGAACTCTCCCCCCACTTCAGCCTCCAGCTGTCTGCGCTGCCAGTCCAGAAACACCGGCAACCAACCCCAGTGCGAAGACCAACTTTCGCTGGCCAGGTTTCGTTTCATGCAACCGCCTAGTTCAGACCTTCCCGCTCCGTCAGGCGTGCCATGGTTTAGAAAAACTGGTATGCTTGTACATTTTTTTCTCACCGGGGCCGGTCCTTACCCGGTATTTCTGTCCAGTACCTGTTGCGGCTTTCCTCTCTACTCGGTCCTTTCGACCTTCCTTTGCCTCGTCGATCGATTAGGTTATGCGGCGCTTCCCACCGTCCAGCAGCACCCGGCCCTTCGCCTCTTGTCAATTTCATCTTGAGTGGATCAATCGATCGTCTGCTCAGCTGCTCAGCTGCTCAGCGCCCGAACCCGTTGCCTCAAGCTTAGGCAGGCTAAAGCGCCTTCAGCTCAGCCTTCACACCTGTCAAAGCCCCGTTCCTGACCGCGGCCGACAGGGTATGGCCGTCATGACGCGAGGTTGCCCTGTGCGATAACCGACCTTGACCTACCTATCACGATGCTCAACCGCCCATCGAAGCGTTCGTTGTCCCATTCGATCGCTTCCTCCGATGTCATTGTGCAGACGTCAAATGGACGCTCTGGCTGCCACGACAATATTAGTACAAGTGGTATTGCTTCCAGTGATGGGCGCGTGCGGAAATCACATCGGGCCATTATCTCAGCAAAAGAATGCCTTGCCCCGTGTCCCCAGCGCACAGAGCAGGATGGGATGCCTGTTAGTCTAGATCTCGCTGAGGAGACATTCTTGGGATTTCTGGCCATCGGTGACAGCCGCTTCAAATTCGAATTCACGCCGAAGAATTTCAGGTGGCATGTTGCACGAGAAGATGCAATCCAAGGTGACTACGCATGCACTATGGTGAGCCGCTACAGATGGTTGTACGGATACATCAAGCTATCAACCAGAAGAAGGACCTGCTCCGGATTGTTGATTGCGCCATTGATTCTACTCGCACTTCTTATCATCTTTGGACAACGCGAAGCTTGTCCAAATGAGCATGGCTTCAGGCCCTAGCCGCTTCATTCTCGGTTGTGGCTGTTGCACTGGTTGTTCCACGGAGGCTGCGTGTCCGACGCGTCCATATCCGTTATCTGAAAGTTCTCTATCCACACTGCATGCGCCTTTGGTCAACAATTTGCAATACTCTCGTCCCTTTTACTCGTTGAGCTCTTCCTTGTCGAACGCCAGGATATCGGCCTATAATTGATCACTCCTGCATACTGCATATGCTTCTAGGACCGGCAGGTCTCGATCAAGATCCAACAACCGGACGGCTTTCTATCGGCATCTTCTGTTTCACACTAGTCTTGATTGTTGTCGGAGCAGGCGTCGTGCTACTGCTCCCGCCTACCCCACGTTGGCAGTCCGGCGATGATCTGAACTGCCCAAGACATGAATGAAGTTGATAAGAAGCTGCTTTGAGTTCTCCCGAGTTGCCGACTAGAGGGTCAGCTCAATGCCCATCTACGTCATGCAATCAAGATACCTTTCTCGTTCCCTGCTTTTTGGTATCAACAACATGCGCTTTCGCCCACGTTGCAAAACGATACTTCGTGTGATCGAGATCACTTGGAGCAGAGACGAGGGCAGGGCAGTCGGGCTCGCCTAATGGTGGTGCATCCATGTGCTACTGAAGCTGTTGATGAGGGGCACAAACGCGTAACTACGACCTGTACTTTGATGATTCATCATGCTTACAGGCCGTTCTCCGCCTGCTGCGACACGGACACATTCCGGGGGAAGCTCCTTGGTGTCACTCTGAAGCTCTCTATCACGGGCTTGTGGTACATTATGTACCTGGTCGGTTCCGAGACGTCTCCTCATTTCTCAGGAGGAATCCATGTCGTAGTGGACTGTACCGGCTTAGACCGGCATATGTTGACCAGGATCAGAGCATCAAGCAACCTTGCTCAGAGTTGGAGTTCCAGTAGCATCTTTCTGCACCTTTTGATGGTGGCACGACAGCAGTCTCGGGCTCGTCGGATACCGGGAGCAGTGTTGATGCTGAGGTTGAAAACGCGTCTGCCAAGCCTGCAACATCAACAAACTTCAAGTCGAGTTTAAACACTGCAACGCGAAAGAGACGCGTCCAGAACACCCTCTCACGTGACTGAACACACCTTAATCAAACCACTTCAACTCTGGGAACTTTCTTCTCCTCTTCCAAGCCTTGCAGCGAGCCACTTTTGGCTCTGTCATCCTGCATCTGAAGACAAGAGTTTACGGTCTATTGGATAGTGGCGACAGCACGGCCCGACCTTCCATGGCTCGAGGACGAGGCTTAAGACAAGCCACCAAGCCAACCAAGCCATCAAATGTGTTGGCGGCAGTTATCCGGAGGGCCCAGATCACTACCCGAGCTCTGACAGCAAGCCATTGATGTCTGTTATTCGGACGAGACTCTGCAGCTTCAAGCTCTGATATTTCTTTCATCTGGTGAGTTTGGGCGGACAGACCACAGATCAAAAGGGCCAGAATTCGAGTTTTACGCGGTTCATGCTCGTACGTACTTGGTAAGCTCATTGCTTCTGCCAGCTGCGGCCAACGCGCCGGACTGGGTTAATCCATGCCCCCGACGATTACACCACCCCGTCGGCTTTTCTTCTGCTACTACGCGTCGGCATGTTTCCCGATTTTCTGGGCGTATGTCCAAATTGAACCCTGATACTCCTACACTTTTGTTGCTGCGGCATGATAACTATTATTAACAAGGTGTGTTTGATGGACTGCTGGCAGGCGTCAATCACGTCGATCCATGATCTCTTGTGCAAGGTACAATCGTCGATGATCGAGATCTGATTTTTCGACACGAGGTCATGTGTATCTCCTCTACAACCGTCCGATCTCGAGGATTGTCCTTTACCATGGCGCAAAGACGGACCACGTGGATGGGTTTGCACTCGCCAGTCTCCAAAGACGTTGTGCTGACCTGTGTCGCTGGGTATCATTATTGACGTTGTCCAATCTCGGCATGCAACGATGTTTTTGTCAGAGCTCCCTGGCCAACTTGAAGGGGGTATACGTACCTTGATTTGGGCATTATTGCTCTGACCTCATATCATCTGCGCTTCTTCCTGATCTCCGCCTCAAAGCAAGATCTGGACTTCTTTTCGATGTGGCATGGCGATCTGGACATGATCCAACAGCCTTGCATGCGTGTGCAGCGTTGAGATGAGATGACGCAACACTTGATTTCACCGGCCGGCAGACGTGTGATCGACCAACAACAGACAATGATACTGTCCGGCCTTGATGGTCGAAAAACCTTGTCCATAACACTGGATGAGATTAACTCGTTGAAGGCTTCTCTGTGATTCCCAGGGCCAGACAACGCGTATGTCACTCTGAAGACCTACCATCAAGATCTCCCCGGGCTTTGCAGGTCTTTCTCTGCATTGATGCTGCCTTCGCTCAATGTAAGTCGACCGCCGTTACGATACCGTGTATGAAGCGGGAGACAATAAGAGGCAGTCGGGGAGCAGCGTGAAAGAGGGGATCGATCGAGCAAAACTGGACTTGTCCTTGGAAGCTTGCTCTCAATCTTTGTCTCTCCAGCGGTGAGTTCAACGTCGAGACAGTCATCTTCTCTCGTCCCCAAGCCGTGAGTACTCTAAACCTGTCCAGACCTTCTTTTCTCCCTTTTTGTGTTCTGGCAGCGCTGTTACCAAACTACCTAGGTTCGTGAGTTGAGTACTACCACCAGGTAATGAATGCCCTCCGACTATCTGCGATGCTATTTCCTGCTCATTGCTTCCTTTGCCTTTCTTCTATGGTCCATAGAAGTCTGCCTTTGTTCCTCGACATTTAGCGAAACACTCTCCTCTGCTCTCCACCCTATCAAATTTTCCGCTGCTTGACCGTACAGAAACCTATCAGCTAAACCCACAATTTATTTCTGGTCCATCTAGTACAGGCACAATCATATCTATGCAGAGAATGGCGAGTAAGGGCAAGCTTAAACATGTTCAATACCGAGACTACGTGTAGCAGCTACCCACAGTCAAGCCGTGGAGACGAGAGTGTCAAAGACTGCTTCCTTCTGATAACCCCGACAGGCTCATCACAGAACATGAGATGTTGTTTTTGTTCTCGTTCTTGTTCTCGGCGCAAAGGTATACGATCTTTCAGCCGCTCAGCTCAACCGCCGGAGGTCATCTTCTCTTCTCGCTAATACATCCCCCTTTATCGAGTGGAACGCAGCTCTATCATCTCTACAAGCTCTCATTTCCCTCCACGAGCAAACATCATGACTCGTCCACTCGACACTCGACACTCTCCACGTCTACAATCCAGCGCGTTCCATACAGTCCGTCTACTTTCCAACCCATACCCGGTTTTCCTTGTCTCAAGCTCGTCCTGCTGCAGTAGTAGGAGCAGCAGTAGTTTTACCTCCACAGAAACAGCATCCCTTATATCAAGCTTCCAACTAAGAAAGGTGTCTCTTTTCTACTGGCTTTTCAAGACAGGCGCCCTGACGCAACGACCCGTCAACGAATCCCCAACTGACACGTGACAATCACCTTCAATCAGATTCGCGTCTCAATCAGAAATACCCCTCGAACAACCACCCCAGCTTCTCAAGCGCCTTCTCACTCCGCCCAGCCGTATACGTGCTGATGCCGAATTTCCTCGCTCCAGCGAGATGCGTGGCGCGGACCAGGTGGGCGTGTTCCTCCTTGGACAGTTCGTCCAGCACGGCGGCGATGAAGCGGCGCGCGTTGAGGGCGTTGGCACGCATGTGGCCCATTACCATTTCGACGGTGACGTCGCCGGAATCATGCCAGCACTGTAGCCATCCCAACAAAAGGGGGAATTAGTTAGTTTTGGAAACTGGACACCCGAAGGCGGGAGGGGGAGATTGGACAGAAGGAGTTTTCTGGGAGGGAGAGATGGACGGAGGTACGGGGAATTATTCCCGGGCAGAGGATAGGGACTGGATTGGGGATTTGTGCATTGAGGCCAAAATGGGGAGGAACCACGTACATCATAATCCGTACTCATCAGGATGACCTGGTAGGCGATCTCGGCTTCGGCAGCGAGTTTGGCTTCGGGCAAGGTCGACATGTTGATCACGGTGCCGCCCCAGCTGCGGTACATGCGTGACTCGGCGCGGGTGCTGAATTGTGGTCCTTCTGTTTGGGTTATGGATTGTTAGTTTTGGTTTCTCACGTTCTCGCTTGGTCGTAGTGTTGTTGTCCGCGCTAAACGCAGGCGAACTATGCGTAGAACAGTCGATCAGATGATATGAAGCCGGAACAGTTGATCCAGAGGGCGATCTAAAAAAGGGACAACCCGATGTGGGAGAGGAGAGGGCTGCTCAAGAGGGCCATCTGGTTCGACCGTCGACAACGTTCCAACCAGTCCGTACTCTCACGCAATGTACTCGGTAGAGAGTCTGACAGCTCGTCCCAAACAACCCAAATCGATGACACCAGAACAAAACCAGACCCGAAACCAGACCTGACCAAATAAAAAGACACAAAACGAAAAGCAACGAAAAGAAACCAAGAAAAGAAAAGAAAAACAAACAACGTACCCATAACAACCACAGTCCCCTTATCATGCAACACCACGCCCTCACCCTCCAAACTATGGCCACACTTCCTGACCACATCGCCGACCTTGCCATCAAACGGATCCGCAAAAGGGACATGCAGCACGAACCCGTCCTCGAAGAAGGTGTGCGGCCGAATCCCCTTTGTACGATCGATGCACTGGTCCGGGACGACGAAGTCGCGCGGCTTGACCTCCTCGGCCAACGAGCCGGCGGCACTGAAGGCGATGATGCAGCGCACGCCGATCTTGCGCAGGGCGGCGATGTTGGCCCGCACCGGGATCTCCGACGGCGTCAGTTCATGATGGGGGCCGTGGCGCGCGAGAAAGGCGATCGGGATGGCCTTGCCCGTGCTCGGACTCGGGTGTTCGAGGATGGTGATGGGCGAGCTGGGCAGGCCCCATGGCGTGGAGATGTGGAGGACCGCGGCTTTGCGGAAGTGTGGGAGGTGGTCGAGGCCGGTGCCGCCGATCACGCCGATGTGGATGGGGTCTGGGGAGGGGATGTTAGATGGAAAGATAGAAAGAAGCGCAAGAGAAAGAAGAAAGAAAGGAAAGCGAAAAGGAAAGAAAGAAAGAAAAATGGCAGAGTAGGATGTTTGGGAAGAAGAAGAGACAGACCTGGGTATGTGGTTGGGATGTCTTCGTCTTGGGGAGCCATCTTGAGATAATACCTAGTATCTCTCGTCTTGTATAGACCGGTTCTTGGCCTCGGTGGCAGTGTCGTGTCGAATCTGGAATGATTGATACTGCTGGAGATGGCGTTCTTTCTACCCTAAGGACCAGGCAATCGTGAGCAAGTCGTCGATTGAGAAGCAAGAAAGGCGGAGAGGGAGAATAAAAAAGAGAAGATTGGGTAGAAAAATCAGAATCGATAGATGAGGAGCCGGTGGTGTCTTCTCGCCTGGAAGGGATTGGAATACTTTCTATATTGCCAATCGTCCCCTCGTCTCGTGTCTCTCTATCTCTCTGTGCTCGTTACTGCGAAAAGAAGAATATAAATTAAATCTCGATGCAAGCTGGTCGTCAGCCTCGAGGAAGAGAAAGACTGATCACTCCATCCGGGCCCGGAACAATATAACGCCGAAAATGAGTGTCCAATTGCGCCATCATCAACTTCATCAAGATCATCAAGAACGCTGCCATTCCAATTCATCGTTCCATCATTCATCATCGACATGGAGTAATTCCCAGGATATAGAACGTAAATTGATCCTCAGTCCTCTCAGATCAAGACCTCCATTAAGGCAACCGTGTACGCCCAAAACCCATTAGTCTGTAGACAAGACGCATCCCATTCCCTCCCAGGCATCCACAATATATACCAAAGTAGAAACGGTTTCATGCCCATGGATTGTCATCGGCCTCATAAGCAAACGCCGTCGGCGCTTTGGCCGAGACTATGGTGCGCACCTTCGACGACTCATTGACGCCGAAATTGGGTCCGTCAGGGATTCTCCCAGTCACCACAACTGCTGCTCCTTCTTCCGCACCAGGGTCGAAGGGCAACCGTGCCTCAGCTGTTGGGAATTTGATGTCGAACTGATCATCCAGAGCCGGATTGACCCCGAGGTTGGTGAAGACCAGCGGCCCCTCGAGTCGCGTGCCACCCAGACGTGCTCCTTGATGGGTGATAAGGTGGGCAAGCAAGACACCGTGTCCTTGATAAATACCCGAATCATCTCCGACTATCGAGCACACGAGACATCGGAACGACGGGTCGACTTGCTCTTGTTGCTGCATATGCGACTTCGCCAGGAAGAGCCAGCGGTACTGGAGCCCGGATGCATTCATAAAGATCTTATCGTTCACTCGATACCCCTTCTTGTCATGTACAGCGGGTCCCGAAAAGTGGCATTTACTGCTCGCACATTTGTAGACCCGCTGGGTACCATAGAACCCGACCGGAACCAACCAGAGTCCCTTTTTCAACGACCCCTCCCGGAGCTCATATGCATTTTTGCAGAAGCCGCCATACTTGGTGATGGGCGCAATGGTGGTGGCTGTGGACATGCTTGACATACTGGAAAGAACTGTGTTCTGCCGCGAGGCCGCCGTGATGGATGAAAAGCCACTATCCGACCGACCGCTGGGTCCAGGCACCCCGAACGCGGCGTTGTCATATGCAGCAGTGGAATTTCGACTTTCCGCACTCGACCAGGTGGCACTGGAGCTGGTGGAGGCACCGGTGTTTCGTCGGGGACTCTGCGAGATCATGTCCTGCTGGGATGATCGGGGAGACGGATCAAGTCTGCTAGCCTGAGGGACCGTCTCCATCGGCGTAGGCGTTGTAGATGGTCGACTGCTCTCTTTCCGACCGAAGACTTCCCTGACCGTTCCCCATTTGTTGCCCTTTGCGACTGGTGGTGTCGGGGGTGTCTGTTGTAGCTTTGCGCTGGGATGAGTCACCATTTGAGCCGACAAGGTGGAAGTTGTGGAAGGCGGTAGGACATTCTGTGGTTGCGACTGCGGCTGCGGCTGCGGTTGCGGTGATGGTGGTGGTAGTTGTGCCTGATGCTGCTGTTGCTGGTTCGGAGGGAGATTCATCTTCCTCTCTATATCCTGGTCATATTTGCGCTGAAGCAACGCATTCAATGCAAGGAGGGCGTCGACCCGTCCCTTATCGGCTTTATCGATGCATGTGTCGAAGTCGATAACATCATCGTCGTATCGAGCCTCGGCGAGGCCAGCCAACAACGCATTTTGGGTAACAATCGTGATTTTGTACAGGGCGAGCTGCGCGGTTGCTGGGATCTGTTAGCCCTGACACCGGACTGGCAGCCCAGACTGCTCTCCAGGTGTGTACGTACTATCACCTTCCTCGAAACTCGAGCCGAACCGTTCAGTACCGTTTGCGACCACCTGTTCTATCTCTCTTTTGCCCTTTTCCATCGATTCTTCGAGGAGGTCTGAAGGTGGAAGGGCATCGTGGGCCTGACGACGAGCCTTGATTTGCCTGACAATGCGGCTGCCGGCATCGTAGGCCTGGATCAGCCCGGCGACGCAACTGACAATGGCAAGAGCCTCGCCGACTCCGGACATGATGTCCTAGTGGTGACGAGCGGCTGGGAGCGGCGGGCGAGTCTATCGGTGACAAATGCGGTTACAATGGAAAGGTGCGTCTGTGTTTGCGCGTGCCAGGGGAAACGAGGTGGAGGTGAAGAAAGCAGGACGAACGAAGGCATTCTGTATCACCACATACAAGGCTGCGCCTCATTGCGGTGACTCGACCCGTCTCGAAGGGGTCCTTACCTGCTTGGTGCTTTTAGCGGGCAGCCACACGGCTTGGTACAGCGGATGGTCTGCATAGGCACCCAGGATGGTGGTGGTGCCGTGGATGGATTGGATGTTTAAGCAAGCATTTGCTGTGAGCTTGGTGGTGGCAGGATGCAGGATAACCCCTGCAAACAAGACTGTATTCATTGTGTCTTGTCGCATTTCATGCATTATACATTTCACCTTGTAGATCGTAGAGTCCGTCATGAAGTGTATTGGGGGAAAGAGAGTCGGAATGTTGCGATAGACAAACGAGGTGTGTGTGACAACCACAAATCCCCACCATAGTGAAGTACGTAGAGTTTAGTCAAGCGTCTGTGGGTTAGGGGTACCTAAACTACATATATAGACCTAGGAGGCTTAGGAGAGCCTAGGGAGTCAGGTTAGGGGCCTAAGGAGCCTAATCCCTAGGACTCCAAGCCCCGAAGCCCCGAAGCCCTACCTAAGCTCCCTAGGCCTTAGGAGCCCTACTAGTAGCCTAGCGCTGCCTACCTTACTCTATAGTCCTGCTATCTTCCGCTGCCGTTATCTTCCCCGCAAAACCACATTGTCCAACAAACCCTCGAGCCAAAGCAAATAAAATTCCTCCTCATCCAAAGCCAAACCGTGGTATCATCTCTACCTACCCACTTCAACTGATCCAAATCCTCAACCATTTGACACTCAAAGTCAAGATGTTCGAGGTCCCCAATGCGAAAAGGTAGGCCCGTCCAGACCATCTACAGTCCTCTGTTCAAAAGGTCAAACAGTTACTGACCTTGTACAAAAAGGATCAAACGATCCGACCTCTTCCATACAGACAACAGCCCGACGGGCTCTGAAGCAGACTCCAGATCCAGATCTGCTTCGCCCGCGGATATCGACACAGATCATGATGACGGAGATGCTACTATAACCGTACCCGACTACGGCTTCGAATACGACTTCATTTCTCCCACCGTTGCAGCTATTCCACCGAAATCCGAAGCTGTACCAACGACATCAAAGAAGACCGAAGTTCACGACAATCAAACCCACGAAGACGATCAAGAACAAGAACAAGAATTCCAATTCCGTCTGTTCACTTCCGCAACTGTAACTGCCCAAACCCAGAAACCATCTCAATCTTCGCAACAGCAGTCCTCAAATGTCGCGAGACCGACCATCAGACTTTCACGGACTCCTTCTCCAGCACCACTATCCGGCCAAGACGGTCTTCTGTCCTTGGATAAAGCGCATTTCGTCCGCCCCCACCGCCCAGAGACATATTATTTCACTGCAGCTCTACCGGCAGACACAGCGCAGGCCTTGAAATCCCAGTACGCCGAAGTCGCGGTCTCCACTTCCCACGTGCTGTCTCGGTCCAAATCCACGATCTGGCCCGGCAGCGTTCTACCATGGCGAGTCATTCATGTGGAATTGGTAGCCCCGAACCGACGTGGTCAGGGGACGGTCACTAAGTCGACGGCAGGAAAGGTTTCGGGTCCGGGTCTGGCTTCGAGGTCGACTTCGAGGCCAAAACCGTCCAAGAAACGTCGAATCGTTCTTCGGCAACGACTAGCCAAGCGCGCCGAAATGGCTGCGCAGGCTGTTGCAGCGGAGCTGACTGAGAAGGAAAAGCGGACGCGGCGCAATCGGGAGAAGAAGGTCAAGCGGAAGGAGAGGGAGAAGATGAAGAAGCAGAAACTACTGCAGCAGGAGGAGGGAACGGGTGCTCAACGTGGAGATGGAGATGGAGATGGAGGAGATGATGGTCTCCACGGAGAAACGGATCAAGGCGAAGACAGAGGTAGCGAGGCTGGTGATGTTCAGACTGGTGCGGGTCGACCTACAATAGTAGCAGACGATACTGTGGCCCCAAAAGCAGAAAAGACGGATCCTCACCAGCTTCACACGGCCTCGACATCTGCACGAGCACCGACGGCCACGGCCATCACCAGTTCGAAAGCAGATCATGACACAGAGCAGGTCCTGTCGAGACCTGCCCCAACGGCTATGCGTACTACATCAGCATCAGCACCGACTCGACGAGCTCCAATAGAAAGAGGCACAGCGCCGACGTCGGTGCATTGAATTCATGTGGACGAGGCTGGGAGTGCATGTCTACAACTACGTGTCTGCACATTCCAGATCTTGGAAGATAGGTAATATGATCTCGCTGTCACGCTCAACATGATCGACTTAAGAAATTCATGTCATTGGAGTTGTCCTCCACACTATACGCCACTTCCCCGTGCTCCTGTAGCCTTGGGCAGTCTTCTCATGCCATGTAAAGTATAAGTTGTACGCCCTCCCATCCCGCCATCCCAGATCAACCTGACCATACACCTGCTAGCTATGCAGTCTCAATGAAAGAAACATCCCCCCTGCCACCCACCCTCCGCATCGCCTACAGTTTTTTAATTTGCACCCATCTATAGCAAAATCACTGACCATTCGCGATGGCCCCGGCAAGCCTCTTCCTCATGAAATCAAAGAAGGCAAACTGACTCGGGCTCGGACCGTACTCGTAGACGAAGCGACTGGCCAGGTAACTGCCGAAGATGGCCTTGAGGTAGTTCTCCGGCACACGCTGCAAGATCTTGTCGAGGCCGACTTTGCTCTGGAGTGTCTTGGGCAGAGCTTCCTTGAACACAGCCACGCGCAAGGGCTTGTTGTCCCACAAATCGTTGTAGTTCTGCAGTTCCTCGTCCAGCTTGGTGATGGCCAGAGAGAGCTGGTCGGAGAGCGTGGAGCGGGGGCTGCCGGTTCTGGCGTGTTCGCGCCAAATGGCTTCAAACTCCAGCCGGGCGTTACGCCGGATGATCTCTTGCACTTCCTTGACGTAAGCGTCGTAGAAGTCGGGAATCGTGCCATCGGTGCCCACGCACATGTTCTCGATGAACCCCTGGTCGTCGAAGGACAAGCTGGCGAGAACTTCGAGCGAGGAGGAGGTCACGCCGCCCTTGTTCGCCGAGGCGTCTTTGTATATTATACAACCTGCCTTTTCGAGGCGAAGCTTGGCGTCCTGCGTGATGAAGAGGTTGGCGCCCTCAACAATGTACGGAATCGTACACTTGCCGTTGACGATCAATTTGCTGGTGGTTGACAGGTCGATGGACTCGGGACGACCACCGCAGGGGACGAAGAGGTCGTACTGCGTGCCGTCGCGGAGGTGGAACGTATTTCGGAACGTCATGCCGTTGTTCACTTTCTCGCCTGTCGGCAACGTAATGTTGGACTCCTCGACCAGCACCCGATAACCTTGCGGCGACAATTTCGAGATGTCGTACTCTTGGATCATCAGCCGCTGCTTGGCCAAACGGACGAGTTCGTCGCGATCCAAACCAGCCGGATCAACCAGAACACCAGACCCATCGACGATGGCAATGTATTTCTCATTACCCAGCAGGATTTCGTTGGACCCTAAGTCTCCATCAGGACCTCCGGTCTGCAGCTTCCGGATCTTGCTTGGATCTAGGTTTAGTTCGCGGTAGATACCAAGCACATACTCGCGGACCGACAGTGTGGTCATTCCGTATCGGTCATGCGGGATGCCGCCGAGTTTAGGGCTCTTGCCCGTGAAGAACGACTTCCACCATGGTGCGCCACGGTTGCGTGCGTGTTCTGTCGCCCAGTCGACGAGATCAGCGGTGTTCTCGTCCGGGCCCATGAACAAAATCTCTTCTTGTCCGTAAAGGTCGACGATCGGGTCCTTGATTCCAGGGCTTGTAGGAGGCAAGAGAAGATCCATAATGCTGTCAATGTACTTTTCAAAGGCCACACGGCCTTTGTCTTGATGGTTGAAATCGAGCAGAATCACACCTTTGGACCCACCCTCCGGGATATCCTTGTTCTTTCTCTGTTGAGTGTTCGCAAGGTTGTAGTTCTCGTCGAATTGCGTTCGGGCATTGATTGCGTATAGTTCTTTGTTACGGGACTTGACAATTCGAATGCCACCCCGAGCAATATCGCGGAAGCGCAGATGGAAACCTCGGAATTCCGAACCGATGACCATGAACATGCCGTACAATGGCTGGGGGTATTCATGGGCGGGCAGGAAGTCCGTACTGGGCTTGAGTCTGAAGCTGAGGGCAACTTTGGTTGGGGTGTAAAAATTGGTCTTCAAAACTGCGCGATTGAAGGTCAAGAAGTATTGCATGACCATTTCGTCGTGCTGATTTGTCACAGTCTGAGATATCATTTCAGACAATGTTTTGTCGTCCAGCACCTGCTCTACATTCAGTCTGAGGTAACTGAGGGTTGGGATGAAATCATCCTGCTCGCCTCGGGTCTGAACGTAGTGGGTATTTGCAAATGAGAGATAGAGCGAACGGATCAGATTCGGGTATTTGTTGATGATCTCGAGGATGTAATCGGCGGTGAAGGTCTCCTCCCGCAGGCGCTTCTTGATTTTCGATAGCAGCTCTGCGTTCGTCGTGCTGTCTCCTTTGAGCGCTGCCACCAAAGACGCGTATTCCGATCCGAGACGGTTGAGGAACTGTTGCACGAAGCTATGCACGCAGTGAGCGTAGATACTCTCCTGCAAGCTCAGATTGCCGCTCGCAAATTGGCCTTGCAACTTGTTCTGAGGGATGCAGAACAGTAATGAGACCTCCTTGATGATTTGATGAATGGCTGCCTCAATCGGAGGATATCTGGACCGGGCGATGTCGTTGGTGGCAGGCTTCAGGTAAAGTGAGATGACTGTGATGCCGTTGGAGAACTGCTCCACATACTTCCGCGAACTTGTCACTCCGTAATAGTGGTACAGATCAGACAGGGCACTGAACACGCCCAGGGCGGAGCCTTGCCGATATGCAATGACCAAACGCTTCTCCCGTGTGCCTTCCATATCAAACATCTCTATGACGGGCCCGGTTCTCTGGACAGCGTAGGTGATGATCTCCTGGTAGATTTCTTTGGTCTTCTGTGTGGCCTTCTGCAGAAATCGCTTCTCGCCAATGACCTCGAGATCGGTCTCATCGGGTCTGGGGTTGGTGTTCTTGAACTGACACTGGTATATGAAATAGCATCGCAAGGACTCGTCGGGGTTTTCTGGTAGTGCGTTCGTCGATCGGAAGGATTCGACTCGGAAACTTCTGCTGGGCGTGGATCCGTCGATGTATTTCTCATCTATTCTCTGCTCGTATCGCGGCCCATCAATGTTGCTGACTCCGGGCTTGCTGGTGTCGATATAGACCGCATGGTCAGCCGCCTCTTTGGCGAGCCTGATCTCCAACTTCTTGTCATCTCGGGCATACGCAGCCACTTTTGCCGCGTATAGCGAGAGGATATTGCTGGCCACTGCCTCGACGGTCTCGGTGGAGAAGTACATGTCGTCAATGCCCAAGGCATTGTAGAACCACTCGGTCTCAGAAGGAATGAATTCCGTGGGGAGAAAGCCTTTCTCTTCGATGAGGTCCATAACTGCAGCCCGTCAGTAAATGCCACATGCACCCGGGAGGATCCCGGTCTTCTCACCTTCTTCCATTTGGGCTTTCTTGCCCTCGAACTTGGGGGCCACATATCCGGAACTGTGGTCTGACAGGATTCGATGCAGCGACTGACTTGAGCTGGAGGCACCAGGCACTCCTAGCAATGTTGGCTGAGGCGAAGGCTGTCTTCCGGGCGTTCTGATGGCCTGGTCGACGAGCTTGTGCCTGGCCGGATTCATTGGCTGTACACCGTTCATATTTGAGGTGTCCATGTTGTGGGAAGTGCAGACAGTACTGCCCGCAACCGAAGTAAAGGAGGGAACAAAGCGAACAGATAAATAGTTTCGAAAGGACACCTCGATGGCGGTCGAGATTTCCGCACAGACACCAAATGGTCCAGGTAAGCGCTGATCAGCTGTACCAAGAAGACCAGGCTAGATCTATCTGTGTTTCGAACAGAGCCTGAGGACGGTGATGTGGCGGCGTAAGGGGATCACCTCGCTCAGTTCGAATCCAATCTATTCGCTGGGAAGAGATGAATCTCGTCGGAGTGTTCTCGCTATTGGATTACAAGGCGACGATAATGACAATCTCACTGCAGCAGAAACGAGTGCTTCGAGTGCGGCTGGCAAATGATTTCTCCTGGTAGAAGTCGATCCATGGAATTCCCTACGTGTCCGCAGCAACCCCTTCGACCGCCTTCTTTATATTGAAACATCCTGCGCAAAGTTTTCCACATGTTGCATCACACAGATGCAGGAGCGAGACATTTTTCCGGCACGTCCTTTTCATAGGTGACAACATCCCCCGCAATTGGATGGCGATGCCACTCGTGGCAAAGTCTCCTTTGTGTCTTCAGGCACCGTGTTCAACTAGATCGATACTAGTAGCCCCAGGCACGGGCGCAGATCCTATCAGGGCCGGCATTCGAGAACTTGAATACAAGTGAAAACCTCCCTAGCCTTATTTCAGCAGCCTAGCCCCTCGCCGCCGCCTCGCGCGGTTATAATCGGGGCGGATAAAGACATGCTCATCATTGTGGGCCAGTCAAAAGGCGTCATCAGGAAGAATGAACAGGGAAGAAATTCGATTCAAGAGACTGGGAGGCTTCCTGCCACGATGCACAGTTGACACAGTGACCTCCGGAGGTCCTCTCTGTAATTCTCCTTCTTCGGGGGTTGGTCTCCGTCAGGCATTTCGTTCTATGAGATACGTTAGATTCATAGGTTTGGAGATGAGTGGATTAGCTGTTGACGTAAGGCGCCCTCCACGACCCAGTTGTGCCAGAACTACACCGACTGCAGTAAGGCGGGCGGAAATACGAAAGACGATGTTGACTGACCGACAGGCGCTAACAATACAGGGTAAATAATGATCCCAGAGACCTCCGAGTCTGAGAGTCTGAGAGTCTGAATGCGTTGTCTTCGCCAACAACACGAGGGGGGGTAAAATACCCCGTAGGCTATCATCATCCTTCCTATCCGGGATATACGTATCACAGTACTGCGAGCACACCATAAATCGAGACCTCATCTGCAACGCTTAACTCCAATAGAACCAAATCGAGGAAGCCCAGCCAGACATTCAGATCCGGGGCGGATGTTCCACCGCTTCCTCCTCCGCGTGACTGGCAAGACTGTTGGTTTCGCTGTGCCGCCTGTTCGTCTCCGTGTCCACGTCGCCATCTTTGTCCGGATCATAAGATGCGCTCGCTGCGCTGTACTCAGTCTGAGTGACTGGAACATCACCTTTGCAGATCCGATCCTCGTCAATGGACTCGCCATGGCCTTCTTCGTCTTCTGCCAGTAAACCGTGCTGTTCTTCGTCTGCTTCGTGGTCGCGGTCCTGCTCGTCGTCGTCTTCTGAGGCTTTCTCTTTGATGAATGTGTCGATGATATAGTACTGCACAGCGTTCATGAGCAACGGAAAGATCAGCATGACAAAGGCTATCTGAACAGCCTCGTTGCCTTCTGTCCAGCGAAGCGCCCAATCACCCACACGCTCCAGCCACGGACAGAGTTGGAAGATGATGAACACACAGGTCTTCATACCCAGAAGACCCAGAAAGTAGACCAAGCATTGCTTGAGCCACCAGGTAGCCTTGGGTGGTCTGCCGTAATGCCCGGACATGATGGATTCGGGAGGATTGGCTAGGCAAGTGTAGCTTGCACCGATGGTGAGCAGTTTCAAGATGATGATAAGGATGGGAATGCCGATGGTCGTGTCGATGCCCAAGTTCAGCAGGTAGAAAGAACACGGGTTTGGCTGATATCCCTCCGTCGCCACAGCTCCAATTGTCGTGGCCGCCGCCTTTGCCAGGCTCTGTTCTATTTGACCAGAGGATAACAGCGACATGACGAGATTGGCCAGGTGCAGTAACATCGATCCCACCACCTGCTTCGACACGTCGAAGGACCATACCTTCAGAGGCCGCTGCGGTCTCTCCCTCCACCTCTTGTATACCAAGGAGGATAATGCTAGGACTCCCAGCGCCCCTTGAACCAATATCGCAAAAGGGCCAAGCAACTTGCATTCGCCGCTACTCTCATCGTCAGACATGGTCGCCGAGGTGACTGCCAAGGCTGTGGGAGAGGCAAACGCAGCGGACGCCGTTTGGATGGCCGTTGCCGGTGCTGTGGCTATGTTGAAGAGTATAGAGGTGGTCATGAGCGCCATGGCGGAGGAGGATGAGGATGCCTGGGAGGGTGAAACAATAGCATCATGGAGAGAGGCGGTGGAAGGTAGGTAGTCTGGAGCGTGCATGTGCAGGCAGGTTACAGTGACGCTGCTGTTGTTGTTGCTGTTATTCTCAGACAGAAGCAGCAATGCGACAATCAGCCTGCTGAGAATGCGGGTGTGATGGGGAGCATGATAAGGTACAGTTTGGTTACCTGCAGTGATATGTCACTGCATGAGGCAAACCAGGCGTCAATTGCCAGCGTGATGCCAGCGTTGACCCCGTGGCCCAGGAGCGCGGCATTCGATGATGAGGGAGAGGGGGGAGAAGACATTCGGAGCCATTGGGCCGTGCCAATCAGAGCATGTGCCAGACAGAGCTCAATACTGCAACGTAGTATACTGCGGAGGATTTCAACACGTACCGCCGATGGATATTGATGGCTTGGTGGCACTCCGCCGTGTTAAGAGTTGTTTGTCTGACAACTTGATGGTTGGGATAACAGAGGCAAAACACCGCTCTACACTGATAAAACTGTCCTGCCTTGATTCTAGCCCAACTATAAACAGATATACCAAGTAGACGAGATCCTACAGTGGTATATAATGTAGCCAGATGGTGGTTCTAATTATGTAGGAAAAGACCAGATCCTGTCCAAGGCGCCTTTCAAAGCAACCAACTCACAAAAGGGTATCACGGGGCGAGCCATCAAACAGACAGCAACAAGCAACTTCCACACACAACGACAGACTGTCTTTCATACGTTCATCAAAATTCGTTCTCTCCGATCTTATTGGAGAGATGGAGACGTCCGATCTTGTCACCACTCGAGAGCCAATTCTTGATGACACACGGGGCGGATTCCGGACCGGCACAGATTTTCTTCCGTCCAAGGTTCTTGAACTTGGGGCCGATTGGGCCATTGACATAGTGGTACTGACCTGCAAAGCGATATTGTCGGCGATCCCTCAGCTTGTAAAACTTGTCGCCCCAGTGGCCGGCGAAATCGAACCACTCGGTCGGCGCACTGGGGGTGATGTTAGAGGCACGGAGACGATCCGCCTTGAAATCATACGTGTACGCATGAGAGTTCAAAGCGGGATCCCAGAGTGGACCACGATCGGTTTGATCATGAAGGATGCCCCAAGGCAAGATGTACGGATGGGTGCCGGGGGTAGCATACATGGCGTGGGTCCCGTATGCCGAATAGACAATAGGTCGCTTCCCGAGCTTCTCCACGGCGTCGTAACTGTAGGCCGAACCAAAGTTGTGTTCACTGAAGAAGACGGCCTTTGGTTTCCCGTGATGGAAGCGGACGGCGGTGTGTTCCCAATCGCCGACATGGTTTCCAAACCGGACATTGAGCACCACATTACCCAGGTTGAAGCTATAGAAGAAGAACCAGAAAGCGTCCACGATGCCGTGGCCCTTGTTGACCGTGATCAAGACAGCAGGGGCATCGCTTCGGCCGCCTCGCCGATGGTGCGGCGGAGTATCTTGGACCATTGAGCGTCGCAATTCCGGATGCACCCGATGGACAGCTTTGGCCTTGGCCTTTCGGCCATACCGTGAAAGCTGAAAATCTTCCCGAGTCTCAAACCCTTCAATGTCTGGCGCAAACCAGTCTTTCAGGTCAGCCATCGCATCCTTGAGTGTCTGGAGATACGTCCGCCCGGGCGTGTGGACCCAGTCTTCGTTATCATGGGTCGTATCATCATCAGCATCGGAGGTCATGGAAGGGATATTCTTCTCGCCCTCCAACCAGTCAGGCCTCTCTTCGACATCGTCATCGCTGGTAAGGAACACCCATTCCCCATTGTCCCAGTCGTTCAATTTGTCCAGATTTTGTAGGGTGACACGTTCTTGGATGGATTGAAGTGGTGTGTAGTTTAGGGTCGGGGTGATGTGGTACAGGTGTTCGGCGATATCGCACGGCCAGAACTGTTCCCCAGAATAGAGATGAACCAGTGGTGCATACTCCAAGACGTAATCGGGGACTTCTCTCAAGACACGTTCATCGTCCGTCCAGTCTTCTGGCCTGTCCTTGCCCTCAGTCCACGCCCGCTGCCAGTCCCAGTCTAGAGCTTTGTCTACGGGCTGATTTTCGCTCTTTACCAGGGGCCGTTGGCCGAACCTGTCCAATTCGGAGATCAAGTGTATATGTGCACCACCACAGACACCTATCCAGCGGCAGGCTTTCCGGTCCAGCCAAGATTTCGATGTGGCCATCCAGCTTGCCTCTTCCCTATCCTCATCCTGCCAGATGAAGGCGTCTGGTTTTGCTGCTCTGAAGACACTGTTCAGACACATATAAGAGATGATCGTAGACAGCACACCTATGGTGGCTTTCGTTTTGGTGACCCCCATGTGCTCTCCCTCCAGGGACGTGGAGGTTACCGGTTCATAAGGAGTGATATCTTGCTCGTACCCTGCGGTGCTCGAGTCAACGAGAACCACAACAGGGCTGGGTTCGGAGTGAGCGGTCACAAATGGCGCTTGGAGTGTAGCGAGAGAAAGGCAGTCCGTCGGACCAGTCAAAGTCGTGGAGGAGGAGTACGAGGATGAGGTCGGTAATAGGACAAATGATTCCGCCGAAAGGATATATAACGATTGAGTAAGCGTCCGTAAGGCGCCATGACGAAAGTGTAAGGACACTGTAAGAGCGAGAGGCCGAATAGATTAGCCCAATGAATCACGAAAGCAATAAGGGACAGAGAAAGGAGATGCATCTGATTTGGTGGCGGCCATCATGCACCTGTCGGATGTCGCGGCGACGGCGGAAGCGCGGCTCAGAAGGGCTGCAAAGCTCCTCCATTGTGCAAATTGTCTCATATGGCGGGGAGAGCAGCGAGGCATATTATGGCATGGAGGATAAGTCTCCGCCCTGAAGAGCTGGCGTCCGCTGTTGCCTCTGCACCGCGCACTGTCTGATGGGATGGATGACAATGCAGGCTTTCCGCCAGCATCCGTTCCAAATGCGGAGGGTTTTGGCTAGACGTACTGATGGATTAGGTATGACTATTGGTCGAGCGGGCCGACCTGCGACCAATCTCGGGTGCTTAGTCTTCCCCAGGTATCACTCTTATCTTGATGAAGCGGTATAGGAGGCCAATAACGATAGTACCACCGGGGCAGGTCGTGGAAATGAGAGCGGAAGTTGGGTTGGTAACCTGAAGAGCGATTCCTCGACCAGACCTCGGTGGTAAGTAACGAGTAGTACTTAAGGTAATCAACGATGATAAGTGTCGTCTCCTGCGGCTGACCCTTGGAAATAGATAGTGATGACGGTGAAGATGAAGGGAAAGGTGGGGGTCCTGAACTTGAAGGAGGAATCCCGAGCGCTAGGCTGGACCGTGCCTGTTATTTGCAGTTGACAAACCTGAATCTGAAAGTTGACATGCCGGTCACAGAGTGGCCTCGACTCGACTCTTGACGGTTGACTTTCCAACCCTGCATCCAATCCGCTATCCGCCTGCGCCAACGCTCCCTCACATATCGTGTATTGCCGCCAACCTGACCTCTGTCACTTGAAGAGTGTTTCACCATCGACATCCGCACAAGGGCACGCATGAGAGCACATTGTGTTGTGTTGACTGGCCTGCGCATCCTCAAGTCGAAGCTCCATGCTAAGAGAGCACTGGCCTTTTCATTGAAGGCCTTTTGGAAACCTTTGAAGATTTGAAAGATACCACATGGTCACGTGACCTCGATATTTCAGTGTCTTCTCGCCGTGTGATATATAACTCTTATGTTGCGATTCAAGCACAGTTGAACATGGGACCCGTGGCCATGGATCAGCCGAGCTATACCTATGAGGACGAAGATGAGTACGAGTACGAGTATGAAGATACTGAGACAGAGGTAGGAATTGCGCACAGCTTAGGCGACTCTTTGGAAGTTGTAGATTCACTCATTCCTTACACTCTTCTTCTATGACAGACTTTTCTCGTGGACCTGGATCTTTCTTCGTTGAACCCGCCCACCAAATCAAATGTGCCCGGAGCCCCAAAACCAGCGGTGCCTGCCAAAAGGCCTCTCGACAGATCTGATCCCCAACGTGGGACGCCCGACCGAGATGCCCCGACTCCAAACATGGCAGAACCCGTCGAGGACGAAGGTCGCGACTTGCAAGATCGGCCATCCACCCCATTCGCCGACGTCGAGGATCATGAAGGTGAAGACGGAGTATCACCATTTTCTACACACGTACAGATCCTCGATCTCAGCAGCAGCAACCCGATAATCTCCTACCTGGGCCAAGTCTACAGTTGTACATGGACGGACATGATCGGCACCAACATGTTTTTCACAAAGCCGGGGACGGCTAATGCTGCTGCCACAATGCAATCGACAGATGACTATGATCTGTTGGGCATGTCGAGGATCAAACTCGTCGGTGATCGGGCTTCTGTGTCCCAGAAGGCAAGGCCAAAACAGGATCCCCACGGAGAAGATGATTACGCCGAAGGACAGCCGACTGTCCAGGAAGACGAGCCAAGTGGCCGGAGTCTCGGGAGGCTTATCCATAGCAATCCGAAAAATAATGCTCGTATCAAGAAACAAGCAACATTTCTGGAGAAGCTCATGGACCTTAAGAGACAGCGTGGAGAAACAGACATTGTGAGGACGTATGTGGATGAGGCGATTGCGTCAAACAACAGCCTAAGTCTGCCGCAAACGATACATTCCGAGATTGAAGAGTTGAATCGCAGGGTGATCAAAGGAGACGCAGAAGCCCTAGCAAGGCTTCAGGAAGTCTATTCTCGATCTGAAAACCAAGACACAGAGCTAGAAGGAATGTCCCGCGGCCTGCAGGAAGAGGATGGCTGACATGTCATACTCCAAAGCTCACCGAAAACTCCCAAGACTGGTCACCGTACTCCGCAGGTAAAGAATCCATTAGCCCCGAGAAACCGGCAGCAAAAGGACACTGGAGAAGTGAACCCATAGATCACAGCATTCTGCAATACAAGTTTCTGCCAGGGCGGCAAAAGAATGGTTGGATTGCGCGCAGCTCAACGGTCCTGCTTATGACGGTTCCAGTGTACTGGGGATGGAGGGGGCGGAGGAGGCTGATGCTCAGGATGTTGTCTGCTATCAGAATAGGAGACGTATTTTGGGCGCGGTTGAGTCTCAACGGCTTTGTACATGTCTCGCGTGGAAGTCTCTGAGGCGAGGACAGTAGAGCGATATGATGAACGCTGCATGCTTCCCGGAGAATGAGGAGTCGAGTTGGGCACACTGGGTGACAGAGGTAACTCGGTTATGATCTGGAAGACTTGGGTCAGTACCATGCCATCGACACCGACAGCGGGGATAACAGTCAACTCACATCTGTGGCGTGGTGTTCTTGTCCTTGCGGTGAGCGAGGATGATCGCCGGCTTGCTGCAGTTGTCCGAGACGATAAGGACGCTGCTGAAGGCACCGACTGGTGATGCTGGAGACGGGAGGCTGATCGTCAGGAAAACTGGGGACTATCTTTCCAAATTTCCACCGTGTCAGATGAGATGAGAAAGAGAAATGGAAACTGGTTGGGAACAAGGAGACTGGAGTCAAATAACCCTTCACAGCTCCGGGAAATATCGTCTGGGAAATCTGGCGGTCAAGGCGACGTGGGATTGTTGCATTTCAAACGAACCCGGCTGGCCATTGAGCGACGGCCGCACTCAACAACAGCATCAGGCACCTAAGATCATGATGCATACCTACCTACCGTACCCAAGGGTAGTATGTAGTAGCGTGTCGGTATCAGTGTTGCAGGGGATCCTTTGGCGGAAGCCTCTCTTCCCCGGAGCCCCCAGGAGGAGCGATCAAAATTCTATTCTGGCCCTGGCCAAACGCCGCTTGCGTCGCAGCCATTTGCAACCCTTCATTTCTGTTTCCGCGGCCTGACTTGAGCCTTTCCCATTCTGTTTCGTTCTCGTCTCTCTCTCCCTTGGTCTGACCGGCCTGAGACATAGCCTCTAGTGGAATGCATCGATCGAATCCTTGAGGTGATTGATTGCCCTTTTTGATACCCTTCTACTGGGCAGTCCATGATCAATCGCATCTTGACGTGCATTCTAACCGAGGCCAGCAGGTCCGATTCAAGGACGCTCCCTACCTAGGCCCCCCGTATTTAGCCAGAAGCCCCATCGTGGGCCTCGTGTCTTTGCATCCACTCCGATCCATCCATCCGCGGTTGCCGACCTATCTCAGTTTGTTGAAGCTTTCAGGCCAAAAGTTGCAAGCTAGCAGGCAGAGCAAGAGTGGTCAGCATGCTATAGAGCTAGGAGCCCCCCAGCGGCCCAAAACTGATACATCCCGCGCCGCGCCCAAAGATCCAGCGCCAGAAGCAACAACCGAAACCTTCCGAATTTGATCCCTACCTACCTACCTACCTACCTACGTTTCAAGGGATGTCCAAGGGATGTCCTTGACCCCCGCCCTCTTGCTAGGTATTCACCGGCAAGCGAGGCCGCCGTCTTTTGCGGGAACGCGGCTGGAGGCTAAAGAATGGGGCAGCCCGCCCGACGGCCCTTGCGGCGTCCGCGGGGAAACTGCACCGGACAGGCTGGGGAACCAGGTGCAGCCATTCAGATCCGACTGCGTGTCCCTGTACACGAAGTCAGGACGTCGGAAGAAGAGGATATTGATTGATGCCTGATAATGTCCAAATCGACGACAACAGCTGGACAAGACAGTTTACATGGCATGCCTGAAAGTGCAATCGACGGGGAAACGTGCGCCAATACTGGCACCCGGTGTCGAGGCGAGCCCCTTGTCCTCGGCCTCGTGTCACCCTCACCACCGCCGCCGCCTTCCGTGTACGACTAACTCGGCCATCATAATGCCAGGTTGACATGCTTTCTCCATGTTTTTGTACCACCTTTCAAATTCCCCGGATGACCGCCCCAGGAAGTTGAAAGTCAAGAATTGCAAGGATGTGGTTACGATGTTGGGCCCGACTTCGGACAAGAGCCCTTGAGGACGATAGTCCAGGTCGGCATCCATCCTGCTATCGCCACCCTTTACAGGGTATGACGTTGACGGCGAAGCCATTCCGAGCGCCCCATTCCTACGCCGTGTGTGCCAAACGTTTGTCAGATTGGTATGTATATTGCGTTGCGGATGCCTGTAGGTGTGATGTTAGGATGAGCCGTCGCCGTCGAGGAGAGGATTAATACCTACGACGACAGCTACGAACAGCCCTTCCCTTACCACGCCTTTTCACATCTGTGGAGTAGCTCTCTCCCACTTAGCAGATGACACAGAAGTCAGGGCAGGCTGGATACGAGCTCAAGGGCATATACATAAGATAGCTATGTATACTGTTTATGTTATATTCCGCATAGTCTCCTGTCGCAGCTATCTTTTAGAGGTGCGGTTGTCGCTGCGGCGAACGCCTTGTACTCCGACGTATCATGCCCTGGGCACAAATCATCCACTGTCAGACGTACGTATTATCTCGACCATAGAGACACTTTGCTTCATGAGCAGCGAATAAACTCTGGTCAGACGCGATATAAATCTCTTCCACCCATCTCAGGTAGTACATTGGATATGAATATACCGTTTTGAAAAGAGTGACGTTATATGTAGATGGCATTGTAGACGTCTTCAAGTAATCGAAGGGGCCTATATTGATCAAGCGTCTGAACTACTATATCGCCAAAAATTCCCACGTTGAGTCCATCCTCCCCATCAATCTAGTCCTCTTTTAGTCTGTCCTTATCTTCGGTGGCACAAAAGTTCTCCTCCAGAGAAACTTAATCTTGTCGAACATAAAGATCAAGAAAGAGTGTCGTCCGATACCTCGCCAACAACAGCGCGATGGATAATCATGTCGTCGGCGTCCTGGGCGGCGGCCAGCTTGGCCGTATGCTGGTAGAAGCTGCCAACAGACTGAACATCAAAGTGGCGGTGCTTGACGGAGAGAATGCCCCAGCAAAGCAGATCAACCTCGTAGCATCTGACAAGCATGTCACGGGCTCATTCGCAACGGCCTCGGACGTCAAAGAGCTCGCGTCGAGATGCGACGTTCTCACATACGAGATTGAGCATGTTGACACCAAAGTGCTCGAAGAGCTCGAGGAGGAGAAGCCCTTCCTTGACGGAACGAAATGGTCGAGAATCCAACCCAGCTGGAAGACTGTACGAACCATTCAAGACAAGTTCACCCAGAAACAACACTTTGCAAAGTTCGGCATTTCCACAGCCAAGTCCATTGCTGTTGGGACATCACACCCACAAGGCTTGAAGGACATTGCCGACCAACTCGGATATCCCCTGATGCTGAAGTCTAGGACCGAGGCGTACGATGGGAGGGGCAACTTTCCGGTGAAGTCGGTGTCCGACATCGAGCCAGCCTTGAAAGCGTTGGCGAACCGCCCTCTATATGCCGAAAAATGGGCACACTTCAAAATGGAACTGGCAGTGATGGTGGTGAAGACGGCTCAAGAAGATTCCATCGACTCTTGGGAGTCAATCACTTTGGGTTACCCCACGGTTGAAACCATTCACGAGGATAGCATATGCAAACTTGTCTATGTGCCTCCTCGAGGCGTGTCAAAGAATGTTGTCCGCGCTGCTCAAGACCTTGCCCGACGCGCCGTGGCCACTTTTGCCGGGACCGGAGTATTCGGTGTCGAGTTATTTCTTCTGCAGGATGACACCCTCGTGGTCAACGAGGTTGCACCACGGCCGCACAACTCAGGTCACTACACAATCGAAGCGTGCCATATGTCACAATATGAGGCCCAAATCCGAGCAATCCTCCCGGACCTGGCATCCACGATCCGTCCAGGGTCGACTGACCTAGCCGTGTCGGCGGCGGTCATGTTGAACATTCTCGGCGGCCCGCAACCCGACTCCCACCTCCTGGTTGCTAAAGCTGCACTAGAGATCCCAGGCGCGAAGATCCATCTGTACGGCAAAGGCGATGGCCGCCCTGGCCGCAAGATGGGTCACATCACAATCCTTGGTTCAAGCATGTCCGAATGCGAGGCCAAAATCCACCCTCTAATCCAGATGGTTGACGCGGTCCGGGCTCACCGCACCGATTCGTCGCCCGCCTCTGCTGCCTCCATCGCTGCCACTGCTGCCGACTTGCAAAAGACCAATCCTCCGCCTACCCGTCGGCCAGTCGTTGCTGTTGTCATGGGCTCAGACACCGACTTGGCAACGCTGCGCCCCGGTCTCACCATCCTCGACACCATGGACATCCCATACGAGGTTCATATCACCTCCGCGCATCGCACTCCGCAGTATATGCTCGACTTTGGCAAAGCAGCCGCGGCTCGCGGTCTCAAAGCTATCATTGCAGCAGCCGGAGGTGCGGCACATCTTCCTGGCATGATGGCCTCTGAAACCCCGGTTCCTGTGATCGGTGTTCCTGTCAAGGCGAGCAGCCTGGACGGACTGGACAGCTTGCTCAGCATTGTACAGATGCCCAGAGGAATTCCGGTGGCCACGGTGGGCATCGGCAACAGTACAAACGCCGCTATTTTGGCGGCTCGAATCGTAGGCACAAGTGAAGCCAAGGTCCAGGACTGGGTAGCAAACCATTTGCAGAAAATGGACGATGAGAACATGGAGAAGGAGTACCGACTCCAGCGTGAAGGATGGAAGATTTACAAAAAGCTGGATTCTTGAGCCCTACAGAAGAACTCGGGAAATCAGACGTTATGCATGCGAGTTTTCTCCTACTAACAGACGATTTGATCTTGATGCACAGTGACCCTCGGCTGCCCTTTCTTGCAGTGTAACGACCTTCTTGCCAGTACTCCTCCATCACACCCCATCCTCCCCAAACATGACTCGAGAAGCTGGTGAGAGTAAGTTCGCAGCGGGGTTTTCGCATTGGCATTTCCCTGTCGACTTGTGGTATCCGCGCCATTTCCCCTACGCGCTGGAAGTTGTGGTCCAGCTGTGTTTGCGCTGAAGCCTAGGTCGCCAACCGGTCGTCCATTGTCAATATCGTTGATGATGTGTCTTCCAACCCATTCTGAACCGTTTTGACGAATCTAATCGTCTCCGCCATCACATGTGGTGGCTTGTCAAGTTTTCATGCCGATCCATGGCTGCGCTACCGTATAGCAAGTTGGGTATTTTGGGCGTGAACACAGCTCATTCAATTCCATGCTCTTTCTTGATCCTCTCGAGGTTTTCTTGTCGAGCGGCAATGTCTTCCTTGACCTCTGTCTTCATCTTTTCCGGTTGGTGGTATAGTACAACAAGATAACGGTTCATGAAGTTGAAGCCATTCAGCTTGTCGCATGCTTGCTTTGCGTCTAGGACATCTTCGTAGACGACGTATGCCGTTCCCTTTGTATTGTTCGTCGTCCCCACTCGGATCTGTCGAACAGGACCGAACTTGCCGAAGAGGTCAAACAGGGCCGGCGAGTCGATATTGTAGGCCAAGTTTTTGACGAAGAGGATCCGGTTGGCCTCCGGGGCGAGTCTGCTGTTGCGGGACATTCGAGGGTATCAATTTCGTCGGTATCGAGGCCTCGGACCTGAGAATATGCAATATACAATTGAGTATGACCAAGGTCGACGAGCTCTCGGTTGGTAAATGCTTCAGATTGCGGCGTGGATGGCAGTCTGGGTGGTTTGTATTTGATTAATCTGCCGCAGGACGACTAGTGCAGTTACAATAATTCCACTTCCGTCTTCAAGTCAACTCCGAGTCTGGGTTCAACAACAACCACCACCTCTCGCGCATCGCTTCCACGCAGTAATATCTCTCGTCGTTGTACCTGGCCTCCCGACGGAGGTCATACGGGCCTTCTCACAAATGTAGCCGACCTCGCTCACTGCAGTCATACCAAGCTACAACCGCTCGCCTATACCCCCCACCTCCGCAACCGACGGCGAGTTCACCTAGTGACCGTCGACGACTGCGATCATGCCTACCTCTACTCGATGGCGTCGCTCCGAAGACTTGTTAAGACCTCGAGCTGTCAGTCCGATCCAACCTGCAGGCGACTTCATTGAGCGGCTGTCCCCCGAACCGACCCTCGAGACCTCCGCCCCGGTCGAACCTCTGATCTCCTCTCAAACGTCCCATATAAACGGGGACTCCTTACAAGGCCTGGGTCTCTCCGACGTTGAAATATCAGAAGAAGCAGGCGTAACGGTGCAGCCCGACCATATTTACTACGATCAAGATGGCTCCGCCCATGTTGGAGCTCGGATAGTGGGTGGCGCGGCTGCGCAAAACAGACCTTTGCAAGACTCGGGAAACCGCTCCTCAAGGAACTCTAAGTTCCCTCAGGATGCTCGCAAATCTCGAGTGAAAACCCATACGCGATCTGGATCGACCATTGACGATCTGGCGAGTGCTGCCATTGCTACCAGCCCTGCTTCGGTCAATGCCAGTTCACCTTCATTCTCAAGGGCGAACCTATATTCCACGACTCGGCCTTCCACGTCCTACATCCATCGTTATGATCAAGAAGATGCCACCGATGGGCCGCCGTCGAAAAGGATCAAGTCGGAGCGCCTGCCCAATCTCGAGTGGTCTCCCCGCGCAGATAGACCGAAGACCAGCGGCTACGATAGCGCCGCAGATATAACATTTGAAGACGCTCTGCTGCTGTTGGAACTCAAGAATGAGGTCAACTTCAAGAATGGAACACCACAACTGTCTTCTGCCATACTCGATCAATCGTCCCACTTCTCCAACACAGAGCGGCGGCGTTCAGAAGGGTGGTCCGTCAAGGAACGGCCTGCACCACCTCTGCATCGAAAATCACAGCACGAAACTTTGGAGAAACGCGGCTCTGATGTCTCCCTGGAGCAAGGAGTCCGATCCGTCACTGACGCGGCGAGAATCTCCTCGTCTGGTCCATCTTCGCAACCACGCGGACCTTTGCCTGCCAGACCCCTCTATACCGCGGCCGAGGGCTCAACAGCGACGGAGTCTCGTGAGCCAGAACATGGGCAGCAAGCCCAAGCCAAACCTGCGCCGGCTGCCCCGTCAAAGAGACAGCGCAGGGTTAAGCCTGAAGTCCAGGCGGAAGTGTGCGCGGCATGCCAGCGTCTTCAGCTAGATACTACAGACGAGGAGAACTCGGTCATGTTCTGGATAAGCTGCGATGCGTGTGATCGTTGGTTCCATGCAGAGTGTGTGGGATTTAAAAGCAAGGCCGAGGCAAGGAGCGTCGATAAATATCTGTGCAAGGACTGTGAACCGGTCCATGGCAAAACAACATATGTGCGGAAGTCATCGCGTCCGCGGACTGCAATAGACTACGCAGGTCTTCATCAAGGCGTGGTCAAGTCTTCCGTGGAGACATCAACCCATCACTACATCCAGCCAATCAAGGAAGGAAAAATTGCTCTCCTACCAGATGACTTTGCTCGAGTGCGGCCGGAGCTGCTGACAAAGGAGTTCATGGAAAGCTGTAACGGCATGAAGCGACCTTTTGTGGTTCCGGCATGCTGGAATCCTCGGTTTGGCGTAAAGCCGTCGATGGACAACGCCAATTCTTCTGCAGTAGAGGACGACAACACAACTTCGACTCTCATCGCCAGTACAGGAGCACCTGCGGGTCCGGGAGATCCTGTCTCAGACAACGTGCGCGAAGAAGAGGTCATCGATTGTGACCAAGACGCATTGGATATGGTGATACCGAGAGACTTGACCGTGCGGAAAGTTGCAGAACTTTACGGACTAGACGAACCAGTCCCTGTTATCGACGTAAAGTCACAAGAGACAAAGGGCCAGTTTACTCTGCAGCAATGGGCCGATTACTTTGATTCCACGGGCGAAAAACCAATACTAAATGTTATCAGCCTGGAAGTCTCCCAGAGTCCTCTCGGGAAACTCATTCGACGGCCTAAAGTGGTTCGAGACCTTGATCTTGAGGATCAGGTCTGGCATGGGGACACGGAAACGCGCACAAAGAAGCGACCAGTGCAGTTCTATTGTCTCATGTCAGTAGCCGACAGCTACACCGACTTCCACATCGATTTCGGCGGCTCGTCTGTCTACTACCATATACTCAAGGGAACCAAGACATTCTTCTTCATTCCGCCCGAGGATAAATACCTGAAGAAATACGAAGAATGGTGCAATTCTGATACCCAGAACGAAACATGGCTTGGAGACCTATGCGGCGGCAATTGTACACGAGTCGACCTCCATGAAGGAGATACAGCCTTCATTCCTGCTGGCTGGATCCATTCTGTTTGGACACCAGAGGACACTTTGGTCATTGGAGGCAACTTTCTTACTCGTCTTGATTATGAATTGCAGCTCAAGGTCGCCAATGTCGAGAAAGTGACTAAAGTGGCCCCGAAGTTCCGATATCCGTACTTCCAAAAGGTTATGTGGTATACACTGATTCAATATTTGGAGGACGATCCACTCCCCGACGAAGTACTGACCGATTTCCGCGACGATGCCGGCTATATATTTTTGCGTGCCAATCCTGTTTGGCATGAAGTTGACGACCTGGCGAATACAGCAGAGCCAGGAGATCCGGCTTTCAATGCTAGGTACTATCCAAGATCTGAGGTGATTGGGTGGCCTTCGCTCAGAGACTACCTGTATCGGACGGCCAGGATCGATGCTGGGCTGCCAGTAGCAGACATCACCAAGAAGCAGGTCGACGCAGTCAAAGCATCGATACCGAAAGGACACGGTGATCCACTCACGCTGATCAAAGTCTTCGCGATTTGGTGTGCCTGGAAGACCGGAAATGTTCCGGCACCTGACTGGGTGCACTCTGATGGCGCTTTAGAGCTAGAGAAGACAGAGAAGGTCAAGAAAACCGAGGTCTTCCGTCTGCCGGGAGAACGCAGTTCAACGCGAAAAGCCGCACAGGTCCAGGCTCAGGTTCAGGCTCCCGAGACAGAAATGAGCGTTGTCCCTCCAGCGAAACCAACCCCCAAGGCCAGTTCTGGTGCCAAGGGGAGTGGTTTGAGGGTAGCTTGTGAGCCCTGCCGAAAACGACGAATAAAATGTCGACATAAATCAGGCAGCGAAACACCTACTCGGGCTGCACCAGAAATCAGACCGCGAAGCTTTTCCAACGCTGATATCCCCGCAAGTTCGACAGCTCCGCAGGCTGGACCGCATGGCGAGCACTTATCGTCCCCAGGAAGGCGATTATCAGAACCTGTGGGGAGCTATACGGAAGCTGCACAACTGGCCTCCGCAAATGCCGATCCACAGTCATCCTCCAAAAAGAGCCGCACTAAGGCATGCGAAGAATGCCGAAAGAGCAAGGTAAGATCCCATTTCAATCTGAAGTGGCTACCAACTGATGATATTCAGCGTCGATGTGTGCACGATGAGAACGGTCGCATTGATCCAGCGAAGGCGGCAGAACCATCCAAGCCTCGCGGCTCAACAAGTTCCCGGCGCCCTGCCCGCTTGAGTGACGGGAGCATGCAGAGTAAACAGGAGCGCATCGATGAGGACATGCTTGACGACATGATTCATCCCTCCTCACTAGACAGGGATGCTTCCCGAATAGTGAACGAAGCGATCGAGGATGACTCTATCACCCCGGCGCCTCAGGACCACACAGAGATCAATGGCGACACGACTGGACCGGGAGTCGATCAGACAGAAGCCATAATCCAACAGACGAATGGCAATATTGACCAAGAATCGATTCCCGTGGATCCTGCTCTCGAAGCAATGACAGAGGCGATCAAGACGGAAGCCGACTCCGGCGACAAGAATGCGTTCCATGCGACTGCAGAGGAGACCTCCCCCGCGCTGAAGAGCAATATCGTCTTCTCCACTCCAGGGCTAGTGAAATCTGGTTCCTCAGTGAATGGAGACTACTCCGGGCAAAGCAATCCTCTTCCCCCTTCCAGACACTCTTCTCGCCAAGCCAAGCAAGTCGAACGGTACACGCCTGAAGACAAGAGATCTCCGAGCAAAGCAACGCCAAAGCCCCAGAGAACGGATCGTCGAGCTTCCAGCGCCGCCAGTGCGCAGACGATGGTGACGAGTGTCAAAAGCCGACGATCGTCTAGCAATACGTCTGGGACCATTCATCAGATGGCAAATATCATGGCCAGGGGAAGTCCGTCTCGAGAAAATTGGGCCAGGCCCGTGAGTAGGGGTAGCACAGGAGGAGAGAGCGACGTGGATGCAGACGAAAGGTTTGCGAGAGAGCTTCATGCAGCAGAAAATGGACTGAGGCGACGGACAAGCATGAGGGCATAGAATGCATAGACCACACGCTGTTGCCGGGGGCGACTTGATGACGATACGACGCGCAGATGGGATTGGAACGGAATGAATGGGAGTTTGGAAGAGTGACCAGTCTCTTGACCAGCACGGCGCTGGAGGCCTCGAGAGGATTTGGTTGTGTTCGATGGGTCGCAGAATGGGATCTCGATGTTTTGTTTCAATACCCTCATAGCATCGTTGTGATTCGAGCGGAGTTATCTGGAGCTGGGAGAGTGTACATGTTGCGTTGGCCTGATGGGATTCTACAGTGAGATTAATCCATTTGCTACCTGTACTAGCATACAAGGTATTTTATTCTTCGTATATCAAATTGAGCAACACAGAGCCTTGCTGCACAGCCTTGCGCGAGATGCACGTGACGAGGCTCTCAGCTGACTAAGGGGTACGTATCTACCTGGTACCTACGTATCACCGATGTGAGCCCCCAATGTCGAAAGTGTGGGGTAGAATGCTCTGGTCTATACAGCGATAGTGCTACTTGGATCGTCAAACATCGTCGTCATTGCAACGACCAACAATGACCTCCCTCTAAGTCCACCGCCCTGACCCCCTTCCTTCATTCCGCCACTTCGAAACACCATGCTGCTGTGCAGTTCACTCGACCATGGCCAACGTGTATAACAGTCAACTTGTATGCATATCCCACCACCTGCCGCGTGCCGCGTGCCGCGTGCCGCGTGCAAACCCGAGCTAATGAATACTAGGATGCGTTTGAAATCTACCACCAGGTCCAAGAGGAGAACGACCGATCGCGGGCTCCAACAGGGAAGGCTCCTCTTCTCGAAGCCCTTGGGCATGCCGTCGCTGGATCTGCCGGTGCAGCCATTTCCAGCGCGGCGCTCTATCCGATCGACTTGATCATAACGCGACTCCAAATCCAACGCCAGTTGCGAAAAGACCAGTCACAGCCCGCCGCGGACGAATACAAGAGCTTTGCGGATGCGGTTGAGAAGATCTACAACAATGAAGGCGGTGTAGCTGGACTCTACACGGGGCTTTTGCAGGCCACGGGCAAGACCATCGCCGACTCGTTCATCTTCTTCCTCACCTACAGTTTCCTCCGCGATAGGAGGTTGGCTGTGCGCGGAAATGCCAAGTCACTGCCTACCATTGAGGAGTTGGGCGTAGGGTTTGTCGCGGGCAGCTTGACCAAGCTCGCCACGGCGCCTATCGCAAACATTGTCACGAGAAAACAGGCGGCGGCCCTGCTTGCGGCCCGGGATCCGGATAGAGGTCCATTTCAGGTTCCAAGTGCGCAACAGATCGCGAGGGACATATACGACGAGAAGGGCCTCGCTGGCTTCTGGTCGGGGTACTCTGCTTCTCTGGTCTTGACCCTCAACCCTTCCATCACCTTTTGTCTCTTTGAAACCTTGAAGAAGGTGTTCCTGCCGCATCATCGGAGAGCACATCCTCCGGCGTCAGTGACGTTCTTCCTGTCCGCTTTCAGCAAAGCGTGCGCAAGTTCCGTCACGTATCCTTTCAGTCTGGCCAAGACGCGTCTCCAGGCTGGTACGAAGCGTGAAGAAAGTGATGAACAGAAGGTGACGGGGGCAGACATTGAAAGCGAAAGAACGAGAAAGGCAGCCCGTGCAACGATCTTCAGTACCGTTATGACCATCGCCCAGACCGAGGGTGCCGGGGCTCTTTACGAGGGGCTGTATGTCGAGATTCTTCGGTCTTTCTTCAGCCACGGCATCACCATGTTGGTCAAGCAAGTGATACAACGCTTCTTGGTGCGTGCGTATTATATCTCCTCCATCATCCTCGGGAGATACAAGCGGAAAGCGAGTTCGAAGCGGCTGGCCCAACGGGCCAAATCGAGCGTCGAATATTACAACCTCGCAATGGCGCGTGCGAGCGAGAAACTCGACGAGGCTACGCAGGCCGTCAAAGGAAGGGCCAATGAAACAGCCGAATTTGTAAGCGAGTGCGTCGAGGAAGAGGCAGGCGAATGGCGTGAACTCTATGGGACAACAGGACTGGCCAAGTGGCTCGACAGTGAACGCCACTAGCAAGAAATGTAAGGGACGGGCATGGTAGCGGATGACTTTACTGTATGATGGGTCGAGCTCGGCGTCATGGGAATACACACACGGGAGTTGGTAGCATCACAAACTGCGATTGTTGGAATTGAATTCCACCTCTGGTCCGTCACCGGTAGGCGACACGCTGGCCACCTCTCTTTTCCATCTTTGCCTGTCTTTTACTCTGCGCATCGTTCTCTCCACCTGCACCTGCACCAGCCATGCCACCGAGCATGGACTTCAGTCCACTCGCGGTGGTGACGGCGGAATAGATCGCGTAGCCAGGTACGACGAGGTAGAGCCACCATGCCCGGTTGCCGAACACGACGACGAAGATCAGGTTGATCCAGGTCCAATACAGGATATCCCACATGAACTCGGTCAACCCTGCCGCATCCAGATCTTCTCCTGCCCGGTGCAGAGAGCCGTCAGGTTTGTAGGTCGGGCGAGCCAGACGTTCGAGATAGAACTCAATCGCCAGGCCTGGTGCGGAGAGAAACACGTAGCGCTTCAGAGACAAGGATCGGCGGAAGGTGAATCGCAAGATGAGGAACACGGCATGGATCGCCAGAGTGATGAGATGGGTTTGCTTCAGACGACTCGTGTTGCGCACGGCCAGGGACTTGGCCGCTTTCTACTCTGGTTTAGTTCGAGTGAAGCGCAACGAATGGCGGCATAAGAGACTCACTTGCGCCATTGTGTCTGACTGCTCCTAGTATAGGCCAAGTCGTAAATGCAATGCGTCGTGGTCAGGCAAGTGCCTTAGGTAGAGTGAATGTGAGGCTCTAGGGGCGTACTAGCGAAATTGAACTTGAAGTTGACGTTGACGTTGCGGCAGCGGAGTGTTAGTGATGCGCCTGCTGGACACCGAGATCTGATGGAGTGAAGCTGCTTGACTCGACTCAACTCAACTCGGTGACATGAGCAGTGAGCTGCTGGGTAAGGTAGAATGAATTGAATATTGGGTACAGGTAGAATTGGAGAGATTGGAATGTGCCCGTTACTGGCTTGTTCCCCGCCGCCACGGTATAGCCTCTTTGGCGCACCAAATAGTGGAGCTACAGGTGACAAGGGAGAGTAGGTTAAGAGTATTATAGTCAACACATTCCAAAATTCTGGCAAATTTCCCCACCCAAATTTATTAGAACTCGCACTGTCGGGTTTGACAAACTGCCTCGATGGCTAAGCGGTTAAGGCGTCGCACTTGTATACCATATGTAATGCGAAGATCACAAGTTCAAATCTTGTTCGAGGCAACAACATTGTTTTTTGTGCTTTTTTTGTGTTTTTAGTTGGCCTACTCTTTCGAAGCAGCTCATCATTCTTCTGCCTGCACTGATGAAGCGATGGAATGATGCCCATGCCCGATCTTCTTGTTCGATTGCATCAGATACATCAACAGACACTATCAATCCTATTGACATTTCTGGACGTATTGCCAGTGTCCTAAAATGTATGCACTACTGTGCTTGCCACGGTGGATGCATTCGTACACTCAGCTTGCTGTTATCGGCGGCTCACTGCGTTGGGATGTGAATTTGAGTCGATGTCTGAGGCTGCTTGCCAACACTTCTTGTATACAACGCAGCTGTCTATTACCCGGATTTAGTGGTGAGTCTTAGTGAGTATCCGGAAATAGACTAGCTCCATAGCTAGTTTTATAGCGTAAATCTTTAATGTAGTTAGTAGTGCTAGTACATAGTAGTACTACCTCGTGCAACAACACCGGCATGCAACGCCTCTTCCCGCTGCGAACAGACCCCAAGAATCATCCCGCTCAAAACACCAGCAACTCTGCATTCTAGCCGCCCGTACTCTATCCATACTTCGAACCTCATCCCCTTAAGTCCTGTGTCCTATAGAATCTCTATGTCACTCTTCGGTCTGGGTGTCACCGAAGCCTAGAGACACGGTCGACCTTAAATGCATTCTCCAGCTTAATCGCGGCGCATTGTTTTGGGAAGGCATGCTCTGGACCTTCAAGACTGCGGCTCGCGTTTTAACAGCAGACTCCTGGCTGTCGACTCGTCCTTGATTCATTCTCACTTCATACAGCGCTGAAGCTCTATCTGTTGCTCGATTACCCGGCAGTCATGGCCCCGTCGCCTACTCACATCGCGAGCCAGCTCCGACAACTCGTATACTACCATCTCGACAACAACCTGTTGAAGAACGCCCTGTTCCTAGCCTCTCGTCTCGTTGCCTACGAACCACGGTCCGCCGAAGCAGCCTACCTCCTCGCGTACTGTCAACTGCAGTCAGGATTTGTCAAAGCTGCCTGGGATATTAGCCGACCTGCTGGTGCGAGAGGATCACATCTTGGATGCAGCTATGTCTTCGCCCAGGCCTCGCTAGAACTAGGACGATTCGTTGATGGCCTGACAGCGTTGGAAAAAAGCAAGCACCTCTGGCAGAACCGCAATACTTGGGGTCAGCACAACGAGTCCAGACGACAACATCTCCCTGACGCCGCTGCAGTTTTGTGTCTGAAGGGTAAACTGTGGAAAGCACACAAGGACATTGATCAAGCAGTGGAATCTTGGGCGGCAGCACTGAAATTAAATCCGTTCATGTGGGATGCTTTCATGGGGCTTTGCGAGGCTGGTGCCAAAGTCAGCGTCCCCAATGTTTACAAGATGTCGACGGAGATGATAGCCATGACCCATGTGTCTCAGCAACAGGCGGCGAAGATCGAAAATCCGTCCATGACATTGCCGGCTGCAGTTTCACAAACTCACAACGCAAGCCATGCCAACCCAGCACCAGCGGATCCTTTCGTATCGACACATAAGCAGAGTGGGCATTCTCAGTTGGGCAATTCTGTTCTGTGGGAGAAGTTGAATGGCAGTAAGATGAGCGTCAACACCACGGGTACTGTCCTTGACGAGGAGGGATCAAATACTCCGTCAACTGAAGTAGAAGTGAATGAAGGGATCTTGCAAGGTGGCGCCGTGAATCACTATCATGAGCCGCCTCCCGCACCAGTGAGAAAGGCGAAAAGCACAGCAGATGTCCCGGCAGATCCCCCTCCTAGGTGGAAGACTGGATCTACACGGTTGAAAGCGAAAGCCAAAGTTGCCTCCGACGACACCGCAGTTTTGCACGACGCTCCCGCACCGACGGCACCTTCTAAGAGAACTGTCTCTGGCCAACCAACATCAATGGCTCATGCACCCTCAGGGACCGCCGAAGGCACAAGAAGAAGTAACCGACTGCTCAACACTGGAAGGCCACCCAGTACTAGCAGCACGACTGGAAGCAAGATATCCTCACTGGCAAACACCCTAGGACTTCGTGAAGGCAGAGATATCAAGAAAGCCAAAGCGCCTGTGGTGAGACCCAGAACTGCGAACACGTCGACAGTGGGCAGAGTCGTGAGCGGAAATCGCACTCGCACAGGGTCAACAGACGCCATGGATGTTGACACCAAGGAGCAAAGAACTGCTGCAAACGCACCACCGGTGCCACCTTTGCCCAGTTCCAAACTGCGAATCGAGTCCGCAGTCAACAAAGACCTGGAAGCAATTCAGACTCTGTTGGATCTTTTTGGTAGGATTGCTTCGGCACAGTTGTGTCTGTCGAATTATGATTGTCAGACGGCAATCCAGATCTACAATTCCCTTCCGTCGGCACAACGCGAGACACCATACATCCTCACTCAGATCGGAAAGGCGTATTACGAGCAAGGTCAATATGCTGATGCCGAGAAGTTCTTCATTCGAGTGCGACAATTGGCACCGAATCGTTTAGAGGATATGGAAGTCTATTCCACGGTGCTCTGGCACCTCAAGTCGGAGATTGAGCTTGCCTATTTGGCCCATGAACTGATCTCCATCGACCGACTGTCACCTCAAGCCTGGTGCGCCATAGGAAACTCGTTTTCACTACAGCGCGAGCATGAACAGGCCTTGAAATGCTTCAAACGTTCAACCCAGCTGGATCCCCAGTTTGCCTACGGATACACCTTGCAGGGCCACGAGTACATTGCCAACGAGGAGTTTGAGAAAGCTTTGGAAGCGTATCGAGCCGCGGTGGCTGCTGACGGACGGCACTACAATGCCTGGTATGGTCTCGGCAAAGTCTACGAGAAGATGGGCAAATGGGGCATTGCCGAACAGCATTATCGGACCGCAGCTAAGATCAATCCCACAAACGCGGTGCTTATCTGCTGTATTGGCTTGGTTTTGGAGCGACTGAAGCACCCAGAAAAGGCTCTGCAGATGTACACTCGCGCATGCACTCTGGCACCCAACAGCGCGTTGAGTCGATTCAAGAAGGCCCGATGTCTCATGAGTCTCGGTCGACCGAGAGAGGCGTTGGCCGAACTTCTCATCTTGAGAGATGTCGTTCCGGATGAAGCCAATGTGTGGTTCTTGATGGGCCGGCTGTACAAGACGTTGCGGGAGAAAGGTAATGCTGTAAGAGCCTTCACCATGGCTCTGAACTTGGATCCTAAGGTATGTTTTTCCGTCAATACTTTTCCGGTTTGGTCGATACTGACGTTTTGTTTTCCAGGCTGCACAATATATCAAGGACGCAATGGAGAGTCTTGACGATGAGGAAGAAGATCCGTACGACCAGGATGAAGACATGGATTGATGAAAGGGCAGAGCGATATGAGCTTGTTGTCTCATAGACCACTGTCTAAAGCGATTCGCCGCGAGGACTGGACTGACTGCTGCTTGTCCTGGTCTTTTCCAGCATAAGCTTCGGGTCTCGATAGCTTAGATAACCATTCCGCCAACGCCTTGGATAGGAGATGGCTTGGCCCTACTCAGCATCTTCTCTCTCACCCACTCTCACTCTCGAGTCAAGCGGCCGAGATCGGCAAAGCGGTCTGGCTCTTTGCATGGTGCTAGTTGGGTTTATGCAGAAGAAGCACCATGGGCATGGACCAACGATGCTTGTGCTCGCCCGCGCTTCAGGCTGCGGCGGAAGGACAAAGACCTGGATTCAAGGGTTCGAGCTGGCACGCACAATAACGTGTGCCCTTGATCGTATCCCCCTCGCCTGAGGAGGGACACGACGTGGATGGATGTATGATTGAACAAATGCATTGGAATGCAATGGAATCGACTCCACCCAACTTTAGGCTGTGACCTGAGTTGGATTGGGTGGTTTGGCGAAGCATAAGGTCCCTTTTGCATACTTGGATGGGTATTTTATTTTGCGTGCATGGCATGGCATGGCGGCATGGCAGGTGAGGGATTGACATCGGACTGGCATTGGGTTGAATTGGAATTGGACTTGGACTTGGACTTGAACTCATCGAACCAGCCAGTGCGTGCGTGATCATAGGCGCAGAAAACCAGCCGACAGGACTGAAACTTGAACGCAGCACAAGCACAAGCACAAGCACAAGCAAATGAAATATGCCTAAGCCTATGCAGACTTTCCTATGCTATCTATGCCTTTTCCATTTCCATGGTCATATTGCCCGATGCCGTACTCTTGTCTCTCTTGTCTCTCTTGTCATTTCATAGAGGTCTGGTCCGTTCTTGTCGGTGTTGTCGTTCTCCCATTACTCCGCGACATGGATTGATGGATCGTTCTGTCCTGACTCCTGGCTACTAGTACCTTCCTACCTGGCCTTCCCTTCCATATCTCGTGTTCTGTTCTTCGAAGAGCTAACTGTGAGTGGCGTAGCGGAATGTCAACAGCAGCAGCAATATTTATTTATTGTGTTAGAATAAAAGATCAAAAAGAAAGATGGAGATAAAGACAAGACAAGACAGAAAGGCAGTTTTGTCTGTTGTCAAGAACCGATAATTACATCTGAGTGAGTACAGTGAGTACAGTGAGTACAGTGAGTACAGTGAGTACAGTGAGTACAGT